TCCCTTCAGCCTCGTCCGTCTCTTGCCTTTGGATCAATCATCTGCGCCGCGTCTTGGTCCTGCGGCCTGTCGCTTTGGGGGACGCTGCATTAGCGGCTGAATGGGAAAGAAGAGCAAAGAAGCAGAAATCAGCCAAGTGACGTGCACGCCGCCATATGCACGTTTGACTTTGTCTCCCCCCTATCGCCAGCATTACCACCAGCCAGCATCGCTTTTACTTCTCCACCACCGTCGTCATTGCTTTTCATCAGTTCCCGCATGCATCACGGCGTGGGGCGTCCTCCCCTCGATCTAGCGACGGACTTCCCGTCCAGGTACATCTCCCGCTGCGGACTGATTCATGGTGGTTGGCCTGAATCATGCGGCGCGCGGGCAGGGCCGCTCGCGCCGCAATCAAGGAAAAAAAGTCGTCATTATGCCGCCTCTCATTGCTCCGATCTTCCTCAATGGCGTCAGGAACTTCCCGCAGGAAGGTTTGAGACGTGAAACCGCATATTGCCGCCCTGCCCCCAAGGCACGAACAAGCCGCATGCCAAGATGGGTCATGCATTGCATCAAACCATGGTTTTGCGTATTCTCATGGGGAAAGCCGCAGAGCTGATGAGCACTGACAAGAAAAATCTCACCGTTGTGCGTCCGTCATGACTCGGGCTGGATTGGCAAAAGAGACGAGGGATGATGAAATGAAAGAAAGAGCCATGGACAGAGCGTAGAGCGGTGGTTCGAGGAGAGGCTCGCGCTTCCAGAAGATGATCGCCTCGTCCCACCATTCAACCACTGCACAGCCAGATATTGTAAGGCCTCGCTTCTCACTTCCATTCTCCTCCCTGTCTCCCGGCCAGTCTCAGTACCTGTCCACCACCCCGGAGGCTTTGTACGTCATCGTATGCTTCGTCTGACCGGTGAGATCCTCAATCCCCACAATAACCCGGCAAGACGGGCCAACGCTTTGACTTTGCAGATGCCCGAAAAGTAACAAGGAAGAGATTGCAGCAAAGTAGCAAGACGGATCGAGCCGTGGGATTGAGTGAACCGAGGAAGGAATGAGGTGATGGTGGTGGTGGTCAGCTCGGTCAATGCCCGCGCCGCGAGAAAAGAGAAAAGAAATCGAAGGCATGCATGAGGTTTCTGGCGTAGCCGCCCGCCTTCCACGTAGGTGGTTCTGCCTCTAGCGCTATCTCGATCTGCCTACTTTATCTTAGCGCGCCATCATCGATTCCGGTATTGCTCGAGAAGGAAAGACGAAGCACGTAGAGGATGGTGGTGGTGGTGGTCACACGAAAAACTCTTCCTCCGAACACTAGAATTTTTTTTCTTTTCCCCGTTACTGCCGAATACCGAACAACGGTCCGCCGCCGACGACACGACCGATGACTGACCCTGCGACGACTGAAGGTCACCGGAGGCCTCGGGGTGTGAGACGGGCAACGGAGTACTCTCCGACGTGAGGCCGGCCGGCTAAGTACCCTCTTTCTGTGTGATGAGCACGACGAGGGCACCTTCAGACAACCAGGGTCCATTTTATTTCCGCTGCTAGCTACTATCGCCTTTTGACCAAGCCCGCTAGCATCGGAAAGCCAAGTCAGGGTAAGATAATCGAAGTAGTTACTAGCCCAAAAGTACCCTGATGCCCCCTCCCCATTTCCCCCATCCCAGCGGCCCGCAACAAAAACCTGATTTTCTGATCGATTTCGCGTCTTGTCACAGCCACGACGGTCGGTACCCAACATCCCATTTTTCCTTTTGCCATCAGCCGCTAAGGGTAGGATGGGGTTCGTAACTAGTCTCGCTACTAGCGAAGCGATGGATTCTGTGACAGCGAAGAGCACAGGGCTGAGTTTTTTTTTTTTCTCGGTAGCAAGCAAGTCGTCACAGCCACTGCCCTTTTCTCTACTCCTTCCATTTTTGGAGCTGCTTAGCGATGGGACAGTGGCCAACAAAAAAAAAAGTCCGCGCGTCGAATGCTGAAGGTAGCAAAGATTAGTTATGCAGGGCACCAACAAAAAAAAAAGCAAATATCCATCCTTCCAAATCTCAAACGCGCCGCCGCGGCATACGAGATCCAATGGAAGATCCATCACTTGCCGCGCGCGCAGCTCCTGCGTCTTCGTTATTGTCATCATCATCATCATCACTTACTAGCCGCTTTGCGGCGCGGGCGAAAAGAGGTCTGGTGGATGCTCTCGAGTCATGGTTCGAACTATTTTAGCGCCGCTCTTCGAAAGCACGGCATTCCCGATGTCGACACGATCGAGATCGTGTCGATGGGCCATGACGGAGTTCGCGTGTGTGTATGTGTGTGTGTGGGGCAAGGGCGCAAAATGGTGCTAAGTTGAGGCAGGGTAATGTAGCGTCGTCTCTCTAGCGCAGGGTCAGCGAAAAGTCGGGGTACGGTAGTAGATGCCCTCCTGCCCTTTGGGTATCAGGGCAGCGGAAGAATGACGCCAAGCCACCAGGAAGGATGTAGTCGAAGTGAAGTAGTGGTACATCGTGGATACGAATTGGTACTTGTTCAGTCCGGTGGAGAGGTCTCCTTATATGTAAGATGCACATGTGAGCTGTCGCCGCAGCCATGGCCCCCGGTAGGTGATCGGTGGGCGAAGAACCGTCAGGCTGGAGACGACAACGCTTCTGCATTTTCCCATTGCGGACGTCGAAAGTGGTGATGTTGGCTTGCGCGCAGCGACGACGGAGGAGTGGCTGGCTGAGGCGTGGCTTCCGCTAGTCTGCCCGTCAACCGTCCGGCTTACGCAACAAAGCTCCGACCTCAGTGGGGCCACTCGAATCCATAGCGTGGCGGGAACGTGGTCACTGGGTTGTGATAGATAGGGTGGATGGAGGGATGAGTGGAGGTGAGGGCTTCTTTCCACAATATCGCATTCCCCCATGGCCTATACAATCTGACAGCTCCGGGCGGTGGTTCTCGGCCTGGCGCCCGGCTCCGGCCTTCATTATCATATGCTGGCGCTGAGGGGTGCAGGCAACCATTAATATTGGGAAGCACACACACCTCCGGTCAGATGACCGCGAGCTGCTGTGAGATGGCCGGCGCTCGTCACGTCTGCAGTGTCACGGCACAAGAATAATGGGCACACCTCTCCTGCAGGGGTGGTTCCAGCAGGCGTCAGCCTCGACGAAATGTGGCTGCTGACGGCATGGTGTCGATCGCGGTGGGTGTCGAAGGGCCTGGACGGTGGGAAAGCGTGCCGTCGCGGGCGCGGATCTCGTTTCAGGCGTCCGGTGCGCGTCGCCGGTGGCAGCTCCGGGGCATGTCGAGTTCTGAGCACATGGCAGTCCGATGAGGTCGGAAGCGGAGACGGGGGAGGCGTCTGGGAGGGGCCCGTGGGTGTGGCTGTTTTCTGCAGATGACCGGAAAGTCCCATTTGGCAGCTGTGCAGCATGAAAGGCGATCGCGGAGCTAGGTCGCGCACGCCCCTCATCTCTCGCAATCCAACCCGTTTGGGCAGTGTGTGATGGGCCAACCCAATCTCCGACATGTGGGAGGTAGGGGCCGCGTCTGTTTTGGCTTTTGTTTGGGTGTTAGCGGGGTGATTGGTGGTCAGATGAATTGATCAATCAGGGGAGCAGGTGCTGGGGGGGCTGGCGTGCTGGGGGCCCTGCGTCCCAGGATGCGGGCGAACGCGAGCAACGCCGCAACGGGGAATGCTGCTTGCTAGTGAAAGGCATGCGATCAGCGGCGGGCGACCGAATCTCGAAGCGGACGCGGCTGCAGCATGCAGGCCCTCATCAGACCGCTTTCTTCCGAGTCGTGAATGCTGCTCATCCTTCGCCTGCGCCGTTTCGCCGAGCCCATCCGCGTGGCAGCCGGGCGATTGGCCGGGGCGGCTCAGCCTTACCAGGCAGCATGCTTGCCGCTGAGCACGCGGGCTGTCGACATCTGTGACGGAGCCGCAGCAGGAAGCGGGCAGCGAGGTTGCCATGATATCCGGTGAAACGTAGCCGGTGGAGCGGCCATGTGGTGTAACGTGTATCCGCCCGGCAGTTGTCAGTGCTGTCGCATTTCCGCAAACACGGCGGCGTCACGATCGTTGCGGATTTACAACAGCCGAACGGTCCCCACAGGGAAACTTGCCGGAATGTGACTCCGAGCAGTTCGCAGCGGTGGATCAGCACGTCGAGTCCGGCCGACCGGAGTGAGGCGGCGATTGCAGACTTCGATCGCCATGGGGTCCACTCGAGAAGCTGATGCGATATCCAGAGCAGGGCGAGTCAGGCGGCGGGCAGCGAGAGTGAGTGAGGCGTCGGGAGATCTGCGCCTTGACCAATGTTGTTGACATGCATGCCTGAGGCACGGCGCACAGACGGCGTGCGGCAGCGACCGAGATGGAGACGGCGAGTCGTGGTGTTGTTGACGTGCCGCGTAACATTACCCGCCGTTGCTCGCATTCGCTCTCTGCAGCACGCCCCCTTGCGCCGCCCTCCTCAGCCACGCGGAGCAGCTTCCTCGCATATTCCGGCGGCGTGGAAGCTGCGCGGGCGATGGATTTTGAGTTCTGGGGGCCGTGACAGATTAGCGAGTACCTCTGTCCGACGTCGCGGAGCCGAGTGTAAGCGCCCCAGGGTCCAGTTCGCAGTGGCATCCCGCGCGGCGCAACTCTGGGGAACCTCGTGATGCAAGCGTGGGGATGGCCGTTGGCCGTGGTGTTGAGCTGCAGCTCGCTAACGCGGTGCGCCATTACATGCAGCGACTGTTCGCATGAAGGACACCGTTACCTACCGTAATTCCAGGCCGCCCGTCAGCGGTGCAGCGCAGCCGTCCACCGCGCCCGCCCGCCAATGGCCGCGTACTGACGCAGCTCGCTTGCGTACCGAGGGGGTAACAATCTGCGAATCGCGACCGGCCCTTCGACATCCTCTTTCGTCCGCCCAGCCAGGGCTCCGCCGCATGGGTGCCGCGACGTGTGCCTTCTCCCTCGCAGGGCCCATGGCCACTTTGTCAACACCAGCGACGCGACCGACGCGCCCAATGAGCCTGCGAAATGGAGCACGACGTCGAGAAGGTTACGGCGAACAAGGACGCCCCGGCATGCGCCGACTCGAGCCAGGGCGCTGATTCGGGTGACACCCTGAACCCGCGACATGTCTCTTTGAAACAAGCTTCGTCCCACCTCAGCACCGGCAACGACATTTCGCTGCGCGCCGTCGCTCCCGTCCATGTCTCGGTACGGAGCCTCGCAGTCGACGTCGACGTGTCGCCCTCAAGCCCGCTCCACGCCCTGTCCGGCAAGAAGCAGGGTGCCGGCGACCTCAAGACCATCCTGCACGATGTCTCCGCAGACATGCCGAGCGGCACCCTGACCGCCATCATTGGCGGCAGCGGCTCAGGCAAGACGACGCTGCTCAATCTCATGTCAAACCGAATGCACGGACGGAGGCTGCATATTAGCGGCGCCACGCTGTTCAACGGCCACGACCTTCGCGGTGACCTCTCGGCCGTCAGCGCCTATGTCATGCAGACCGACGTGCTGCAGCCCACTCTGACCGTGAGAGAGACGCTGCAGTACGCCGCCGATTTGCGTCTGCCTGCCTCTGTAGACAAGGATGAACGCCGTCGAGTCGTTGACGAGGTTATCCTGGAACTAGGTCTCAAGGAGGCTGCTGACACGAGGATCGGCAACAATGTGCACAAGGGCTGCAGTGGCGGGGAGAAGAGGCGGACGAGCATTGGTGTCCAGGTTAGCTACCGTTACGCAGCTCTACAATCAATCCAAACTAATGCCTCCCTCCTAGTTGCTTTCAAATCCATCTGTTCTGTTTCTTGAGTATGCACCCTACTTGCTGTCTGCACGTGTTCAGAATCTAAAAGCCACAGTGAGCCTACCACTGGCCTAGACGCCACTAGTGCCTTCCAGCTTGTCCGTACGCTGAAGAACCTTGCAAGCAAGGGCAGAACAATCATCACCACAAGTATAGGCTCCAGGTGTCCAAGCGTTAAGAGTTTCCGCTAACGAAAGCAGTACATCAGCCACGCTCCGAGATTTGGAATCTTTTCGACAATCTCGTGCTGCTGACCAAGGGTTATCCTGCCTACTCTGGGCCTGCTGCCGATGCTCTGCCGTATTTTGCAGGCCTCGGCTATGAATTGCCACCGTTCGTCAATCCGGCAGAGCATCTGATTGATATCGTGGCTGTAGACATTCGTTCACCTGAGCTCGAGGAAGCCTCGACTGCTCGTGTCGAAGGCATCAAGGCAGCCTGGAGCCAGCATGCCCAGGAACAATTCAGCAGGCCAGATGATCTACGGTCGTCTTCTCTTGCTCTGCCCAATCGTTCCAGTAGAGACTACCATGCCCAGCTTGGCCGCCAAATCCGTGTCCTTACTGCAAGGACGTGGGTAACCACTATCCGAGACCCGATGGGCATGCTCGGTAGTTTCCTGGAGGCCATAGCCATGTCAATAATCACAGGTTACATCTTCTTCCAACTGGGCGAGGATCAGGCTGGAATCCGTTCACGTCAAGGTGCCCTCTACATCGCTTCTGCTCTCCAGGGCTACCTGATCCTCCAATTTGAAGTCTTCCGCTTGACCATCGACATCGAGCTCTTTGACCGCGAGCGTGGAGAAGGAGTCGTCAGTGTTCCCGGCTTTCTCATCAGCCGCAGACTGGCCAGGCTTCTCATCGAGGACTTTCCAGTGCCATTGCTGTTTTCTCTCATTTTCTACTTCATGGCAGGTTTCCGTACTGAGGGAACCCAGTTCATGACCTTTTTTGCCGTCATCCTTCTCGAGCAGTACATCGCCGTCTGCTTTGCCATGACCTGTGTTGCAGTCTCAAGGACCTTCGCAGGCGCTTCCCTCGTTGCAAACATGGCCTACACCCTTCAGTCGATGGCATGCGGTTACTTCATTCAGTCCAACACCATTCCCATCTATGTGCGGTGGACGAAGTGGACAGCGTATTGCGTAAGCTTCCTTCAAAGCTTACACATGTATCGTATGCTGACAGATTAACAGTTCTATGCTTTTGGGGCGCTTGCAGCCAACGAGTTTGATGGGCACTTTTATGACTGCCCGGAGGGAGGTGGGCCCGCAAACCCCAATTGCAAACAGTACACGGGCGAGTACATCATGGAACAACTCGGCTTCCCCTCGAACTGGATTTGGAGGCCAATCATCGTCCTGCTGGCCTTTGTCATTGCCTTTTACATTGGCGCTGGCCTCATTCTTCGGTACTGGAAGGTTGAGATGCAGATTGGGAGAGCCCGCAAGGACGAGTCCGACGAGTCGGCGGGCAAGGAAAAGATGACCGCAAGATCTCTTGAGGAAGTTCGTACCGTCAAGCTTCGGTTGGAAGACTACGCTCTGGAAATCGAAAAGCGGAACTGGATGGGCCGCAAGACAAAACAGTTGGAAGTGCTCAAGCCCGTCACCACCCAATTTGAACCTGGTGTTCTGAACATCATCATGGGCCCTTCCGGTTCGGGCAAAACCACGCTGCTGAATTCCATGGGACGTCGCTTGAAAAATAGCTTCTCCACGAAGTACCACTCCTCCGGTCAACTCCTGGTGAATAATTCCATTCCCTCTGATTCTGTGCTCGAGTCAATCATCTCCTACGTCACTCAAGATGACGACGCTCTGCTGTCCTCTTTGACCGTAAGGGAAACCCTTAGGTAAATCTCTCTCATCCCAATTACCAGAAGGCTGCTAATTTCATATTCAGGTTCGCTGCTGGCCTTCGTCTCCCCTCCTGGATGCCGAAAGAGGAGAAGAATAAACGTGCCGAAGACATTCTTCTCAAGATGGGCTTGAAAGATTGTGCAGATAACCTCATTGGAGGCGAGCTTGTTAAGGGTATCAGTGGTGGCGAGAAGCGTCGTGTCACCATTGCCGTCCAGATCCTGACTGATCCTCGGGTCCTGCTTCTTGATGAGCCGACGAGTGGTCTTGACGCCTTCACCGCCGCCTCCATTATTGACGTCTTGCGTGGCCTCGCCGAAGAAGGCCGCACGCTCATCCTGACAATCCACCAGTCCCGATCCGACCTCTTCCAGCACTTCGGCAACATCCTGCTCCTCGCCCGTGGAGGCTTCCCGGTCTACGCAGGCCCCGGAAAGAACATGCTCACCCACTTCGCAGACCAAGGCTTCGTATGCCCGCGCAGCACCAACCCGGCAGACTTCGCCCTCGACCTCATCACCGTCGACCTCCAGCACGAAACCAAGGAAGCCGCCAGCCGCGCCAAAGTCCGCAACCTAGTCGATTCTTGGGCCAAAGAGAAGCCATCGGCCCAGGACGACAACGACGACCCCCTCCACCGCACCAGCACGACCGCGACAACCACGCACCACGAACACACGGCCACGCCCGCCGAGCTCGGCAGCCTCAAGCGCAGCACTACCAGCTTCCACATCGCCTACCCACTGCTTGTGCGCCGCGCGATGCTCAACTTCTGGCGGCAGCCGCCGCTGATGGTGGCGCGCATCATGCAGGTCGTGGGGCTGGGCGGCATCCTGGCGCTGTTCTTCGCGCCGCTGAAGAACGACTACTACAGCGTGCAGAACCGCGTCGGCTTCCTGCAGGAGATCCCATCGATATATTTCGTGGGCATGCTGCAGAACGTCGCCGTGTATCCGGCTGAACGTGATGTCTTCGCGCGCGAGCACGACGACGGCGCGTACGGCGTCGAGGCCTTCTTCATGCAGTACTTGACCATCGAGACGCCGTTCGAGATCGTGACGAGCTTGATTTTCGCGGTGTTGGGGGTGCTGGCCGTGGGGTTGCCGCGGACGGTGGAGCTGTTCTTCCTCATGGCGTTTAATTGCTTTTGTATTGTCAGTTGTGGCGAGAGCTTGGGGATTATGTTCAACACGGTCTTCTCGCACACTGGCTTTGCGGTCAATATCACGTCGGTCTTTCTGAGCGTCGCGCAGATCATGGCGGGCATCATGAGCATCAATATGCCTGTTTTCCTGCAGGACATGAACTACCTCTCCCCCATCAAGTACGTCATCGCCAACCTCGCGCCGTACAGCTTGAATGGGGTGAAGTTTACGTGCACCGAGGGGCAGAGACTGGCAAATGGCAGGTGTCCGATCGAGACGGGCGAGGAGGTGTTGCAGTTGTATGCGTTGGAGAGTGGGGATGCGAGGTTGAATGTGCTGTGGTTGGGGGTGTGTGCGGTTGTGTATAGGCTGTTGGCGTATGCGTTGTTGAAGGCCAGGAGGGAGAGGTGGAGTTTGAGGTGGTGGAGGGAGGAGTAGGGGATGGATGGCTTGAAGTGACTTTTTTAGTTGCTTTCGCCTTTCCATGTGTTATGATTGTTTACACGATTTTTACACGAGTATTACATTAGATGTAAATCCAAGATCCAAATCGTATAGCTCACGAATTACCCGACCAAAACCTGCGCGGCCATATCCAATCCTCTCACCAAAATCTACATATTTTAAAGTGCAACACAACATCAATGGAAATAAAATATAAGCTTACTTTTACTTGTGTGTCCGTATTTAAGTTCTTAAATACTGATCGAAGTAAAATGGAAATTATTTTGCGAAAGAACCTTCAATTATTTACTCTAGAGAGTTGGGTTTTACCGCGTAGTGTATAATCAGGTATACCGTTAATATTAAGAGTTAGATCGTAAATCTACTCCATTATTATTAGAAACTTAGGACGAGGGAATAATAATATAGCTTGTTAATTTAACTTAGTTTCTTGCAAGCGCTTATTTCTTCCTCCCTTCAGCAGCGTTTTCTATGTAGAATACAAGTGAATGTTAAGTCAACTAACGTCTTCTAGCATCCCTGGTATTGTGTACAATCTATCAAAAGAAAAAAAAATATCGAAGCTGTCTTATCCAAGCACCAAGTCTACCCATTCTTTGTCCAATGCCTCCCAAACTTCGCGCTTGATCTTCCCACTGCCTTTTCGATAAGCTACCCCATTCTGCCAATGCACACAGATTGCGTTATAGAATTCGATCTTCTCCCGATCTGCATGAACCGGGAACTCCGCTTTGTATGTCCCCGATATAGCTACAACGCCCACAGACCCCTCAAATGCCTCATCAGGGTACATGACTGCAACCTCTTCCCCTTTAGAGTCTAGGAGTTTCATGGATCGATGCACATTGTATTTTCCAGGCGCAGTTGACCAGGCATTGAACGATGAACGAAGGATTGCTTGTTGGGCATAGCATGACAGAAACCGCGGGTGCATATCGGGCGTCTGCTGTTCACTGGCATCTGAAATCGGGATCGGATGACAGAAGTGTATACTGCCTCCGCAAGGGTGTTGGTATACTCTAAATGTTTTTGATCCGGCACCCGCGCCTTCAGAGCCAGAGGGAACCTCGATGTCGTGGTGTGTCCATCCAGGCGGCAACCCCTCAGAGAGGCCCATATAGCGCTGTCGGTATAGGTACCATTCGTTTTGCCCCAGGATAGGGCAATTCTCCGAGTCCTTATCTGTTCGGGTGGACCACTCCACAAGCGGAACGGTCCAATCGCGCGGCGCAGCTGTAAAAGTAGCCTTGTCGACTCCCCGAAACGTAATTTCTCCTTGCCACCCAGCCCACGTCCAGCTCGGTGGAACTTCAGAAGGAGGGAGGGGAGGGGATGACAGAGTTCTTCGCCGGGGGAGATCTCCTCTTGTGCCCCAGAACAACACACTGTTGAGGAACATCCTGGGCAAGCCAAATATGAAGCCACCGCTGTATATGGGCCGGAGAACGGTGAGGACGCCCATGAATGCCGGTATGGCATCTTCATCGTGAGTGAGATTTCTCAAATTGTACGAAGAGACCAGCGTTTCCAGGTTGCGAAGATCCGGGTATCGCGGAGGGGGGAAAAGCGCTGTACGGCGCATGGCAGAGCAATCCACGTCGTAGAAGATGTCTTGCGAAGCGAGAAATGGCGGCGGTTTTCCTGATCCGAATATTTCCTCCCAACAGCAAGCTTCGCGACACTCCCACCGGACTGAATCGCCAATGAAGATGAGATGTCGTGGAGAGAACACGTACTCTTGAAATGTCCATGCCCGTGAGTTCCACTTTGTGTCCGCGATTCGCTTGGTTGGCTGGTAGAACCACTGGCTTCCGAACGGCCCTGCGAATGGTTCGGACTGTAGTTTCCTCGGCTGCGATATCCCTTGGAGGCCTCTTAGCCCGTGATCGGCGTCATCTCCATCTGCGGCAATGATGGTGAAGGTAGTGTTGGCGTAGACGGCCGTCATGTTTGCTATCATGTGGTTTCGAACCTCGTCATCGTCTTGAACAATACAGAGCGCATCAATCCAAAGATATTTTTCTCCAAGCGCGTTGCACAAGTCAATAGCATGCCGAACAGTCTGAGGAAGCCGAAACGGCCCTTCAGCGCCGAGGGAGCCATCCGTCCGTAAAAACTCCAGAAGACTTCTTATGGTCTTGAACACTTTTGAGGATCCCCACACATAGCTCAATGCGACATATCGCATACCTGGACTGCCGGGAACAAGGCAGCAACGAGTAGTGTCGATGACCCACGGGAGTGTTATGGGAGCCAGATTCTCATGATCTCGTCCACACGTATCTTGATGATTCTCCTCGCAGCCAGTTACCCATTGGCGAATGACATCGATATCAATCCAATCTGGATCCAGCGCACGTCCGATCCCTACCTCTCTTCCGTCATAATGTTGTCGGACCATGATGAGTTTGTTCGCTTCCCACCCAAACAATCCGCGGTCGAAGATTCCATGAGGGGTCACTGTGGATGGAACCTCGACGGATAGAGGGAACACTACTAGCCCCGAACCCCGTTCATCAGGAAGTCTTTTGAGTGGATGACATGCTGCAGTAGCGAAAAAGTCCTCAAGCACGTCGCAGTCAGAATCGCCCCAGTGACTCGGTTGGATGTTTCGCGTGTCTCGTCCCTCGCAAAACGCGACGTAGGCGTCCATTATTCGCTTGCAGTGAGGACATCCCGTTCCGAGGCATTTTTCTTTGGGATACTTCTCTCTCTAAACTTAAATGAGACGTTTGAAAGCATTTAGTACCAGATTGTGAGGAACGTACCCAGTCCGGGGACCAAACAGGGCCTTCGAATAGGGAAAGCATTCTTTCTTATGTCAATTTAACTCACTAAGAATTAGCAGTACAGATAGAAAGAAGACAGGTTTTTATGGGAACGTGGAGGTGAAGGAATATAAGTTCCAGCCCTTCTCGCGTATTGAAGTGGACGTGGCGCTGATCAGTTTGAATGTTGACTAGCGCCGGTGACGTTGTGTTGGCATGCTCTGATAGGCGCTTGGTAGTGCAATGTTTGGATTTTAACCGAAAACGATGGTTTTGGAGCCTCTTTAAATGATCTTGCTGCTGAAACTATTGGCACCAGCTCTCCCAGCTATCTAATCAATTCCAGTGTGGTTGTGGGCCACTTTCACTAAATTTCGGTGCCGCTCAGCGAGCTAGAGAAATCTTGTAATTTAGCTTGAAGAAAAAGGAGCGGGCAGCAATCGATTCGAGAAGATGGAAATTACGTAAGTGTGCGATTCACGGAGACCGGTCACCTGCAATAGGTGCGAGTAATGGAACCTTAAGTAAACTTCATGCAGGCATAATCGAAGCCCTCATTCGGTTTGTCAATAAAAAGGTTATGTATATAACACTGTTAGTAACAAACCGATAAAGAATGGAGAAGACCCGTTTTCAAATTCCTAAATTTAACGACAAAGGTGCCATCGGAGGTACCTCCTATCGATAAGTCCACGAGCTGCACTTACCATCTTCCATCCTTTCTATTACACTTCGCTCGGTATGCTAATAGACCTGAAATAACTATAAACTATCTTATCCACTAACTATTAGTAACTCTATGTAACAAGAAACTGAGAATATTTATTTATATAAATTTGTTTAAAAGATAACAGATAAAACCTTCAATTATTTCTTTCCGTCGCTTCCTAATGAAAAGAATGTAATAAGTTAGAATTTTTTTTTGCTAGCAGCTAGTTTTACTGATACCTTAGTTTTCAAATCTTAGGTGCACGTTTATATGGTCATATCGTACTTGGTAATCGGCTTTTCAGTATGTAAAACAGCCGAATGCGAATCCTTTTGTCCTAGTACCGTATAGGATTCAATCATGACTCAGCAGAGGCAGACCCCGCACTAGGCACCAGCGGCATCCATCTCGATTTTCCTTGGGTATTGCAGAGTTCAACCTTTTGTGTTCCTTCAAGGTCTTCCCCGTCAACATCCCCCCGTCATCCGCAGTTGAGGTCTCATGATGTCAGCCAGTGGCAGAAGTGCCTCCGCATCGTCCGGGGTAAGTCGTGGGAAGAATGGCGAAAACTTTTGTACCATGTGTTGCCAGATGTTTGAGATGTTGGACTTTAATGCACGTGTTGCTGGGATGCACTACGAGAAGTGGACATCAGTGATCGACTCCGCGGAAGCCGGATGCCTGCTTTGCATTCAAGTAATGAGCGAGCTCGTTGGAGATGAATTAGAACGACTACTCGAATCGATCAAGAACGAGCCTAGGACGAACGAGGCTCACATGAGGGTTGAGATAGAGACAGAATCGCCTCTAGTTTCGGAATCGCCTCCATTTCTGTATTTCTCTGCTAGATTTATAGATGCTAATGTGCGGGTGGGCTTTTGTTATCAGCGATCTGCAGGTAAGTTCTTCTATCTAAAGGAACCGTTGGGTACCAACAGTACACATTCTGACGAAAGATAGAAATACGAGGAGAATACAAGATCCCGAAAGTTCTCAGCGGTGCAGTCGGTGCTCTCTCCGACGATACCGAAAGCGAAAAGACATTTAATATCATCCATACCTGGCTGTCGACGTGTACCAAGGACCACGAAGACTGTCGTAGCCATGGCGACTCCGGCTGGATGCCCACGAGGCTGGTCGATGTGATGAACGACAACGAAGACCGGATCTCCTTGACTACTAGTGACAAGATAAATCCTCCAGCAGCATACACGACGCTCTCGCATTGCTGGGGCGGCCACGTGTCAATCATGCTCACGACCGACACGAGCGAGACATTGGAACGAGGATACCCCGTCAGCGCACTGCCAAAGACATTTTCGGATGCCGTGCAGATTACAAGGAGGCTAGGGATCCGGTACCTATGGATCGACTCGCTGTGCATCCAGCAAGAATCCGTCGAGGACTGGAGAAAGGAGTCCCAACTCATGCACTTGGTATACAGCCACTCGTGGTGCAACATCGCCGCGTCTTCCGCCAGCAACTCGTCCGTCGGATGTTTTTTCAAGCGCGATCCGCGGCACGTGCAGCCTTTCGAAGCGGTGGTCAGGTGGCCCGGCGCGGACGGAGGCTCCGCTCCGTGCACGTTCTCCAAGAAGGAACTGTACGGCAAGCACATCGAGAACGGCCCGCTTGCGGAGCGGGGCTGGGTGATGCAAGAGCGCGTTCTGGCGCCGCGGCAGATCAACTTCAGCAAGGTGGGCGTCTGGTGGGAATGCAGGACTGTTCGGGCGGCCGAGTACTTTCCCAACGGGCCATACATCACGTCCTGGCCGCCGAACGGAAAGCTTCTGGCGCACCATCTGGAACAGCCCGCGGACAAGATCTTAAGGGAAGAAACAATCTCCATCGGAGGGTTCGAGGCTCCGTGGAGGACAGTCAGCATCAAGGACGGCGTGTACACTGAATGGCACACGCTTCTCGCTCGTTATTCTGCGACCGCCCTCACAAAGGACAGGGATCGGCTCGTTGCAATCTCGGGGTTGGCCAAGAAAATCCAAGCGTCGTTGGGCGATGTTTACGTAGCAGGTCTTTGGAGGAGCCGGCTGTTTGTGGAGCTCTGCTGGTCCGTCTTCCCCCCCAGAAAGGGCATCCAACCCTTTGTTGGAGGCGGCATGGACAATGGCAAGTACAGAGCACCCAGACCACGTCCGTTGCTGGCGCCGACGTGGAGCTGGGCATCGACACTGTCCAAGTTCAGGACCGCAAGGCAAGAGTTTGCCTACACCCTGGGTAATGAGATACTGGATATACACTTGGAGCATGCAACGGCAGATTTGACAGGAGACGTGACTGATGGGTATATGAAGCTGCGTGTTTTGTTTGGCACCGCAATGCTGCATTATAAAGGTCCTGAGGCTACCCTGGTTCCGATGTCAGATCCCGTCTCGTGTACGATGTCAGAGCCTTTGGGTGTCTTTGTTCCGCGTGGGTTTTGTTTTATGGATGAAGATGTCAGCAAGGAGGATCTTGGGGACAGCTGCCCTTGTATAGTGCTCTACCTCGACAACTCTGGTCAGGCTGGAGGTCTGCTTTTACGCCAAATTGGCGAGTCAGGAGCTCACTATGAGAGGATCGGTGCCTGGAACTTGTCGCTGGGCCCCAGAGAGTTGAAACAAAGGTTTGACAAGCTTTCTGAGCAGGGCTTGGAGGACATGTACAAGGAAATCCTGATCCATTAGAGCGCCCGTTGGTATTTATGTATGCATTCAATTGCAGCAGCATCTAAAGTGACATGCTCCCGCCCTTGTTACTACGTCCTTTTACTTAAAATTCATTCCACAGGTTTTCTCGTTTGCTCAACTCTTCACAACTTGCTCCCCGGTGCAGGAGCACAGCATGACCCCGCAGCCTCCAACTTCCCCCCTTGCCCTACCGTTGCCGTGCCAGCGCTCTGATGGTGCCTCTCCTGCGCACTTGTGCTCTTGTTGAAGCTCTGCTCACTAGGCGGAACATCCAGGGCCGGGTTCTTGTCGAAGAAGTTCACGGGCTTGAGGGCAACCTTCAAGATCTCGACTGGCATGACGGGGAAGTCCTCGATGCGGGGGACGTGGTTGATGCCGAACTGGACGAAGACGACGATATCGCCGTCGAGAACCGCGTCGCGGCGATCGGCCCAGGAGCGCACGCCGGTGCCGCCGCGCGACTGGTTTGTGTAGCGGCCACCGGCGTACAGCTCGCCGTCGCGGTACTGGGTCAGGTAGATGTTGTGGTCGGAGAACTCGGCGCGGGCGTGGTTGAAGGACTGGGCGTCGGACAGCATCTTCTGGAAGGGCGGGGCCATGATCTTGTAGGCGACGGGCTTGCCGTTGATGGGGTTGCGCACGCCAGCGTTGACGATCTTGTAGACGCGGTTAGCGTCCGTGTTCAGGTCGTAGCCGCCGCTGTGGGTAAGGGCCGTCTCGGACACGGTGTAGCCCGTGCCGTGTGGGTTGAAGGCGCTGCGCGGCATGGCGTGCGCCTCGTCATAGACTAGCCGGTTGGCGTGGCCCTCGAGCGCTGGGTCGATGCGCAGCGAGAAAATGTGCTGGTGGTGCACCGCCAGCACGCCCGGGTGCACGACGGTGCCGAAGGGCACGTCGACGCCCTCATCGATGGGCTGCGTCGACAGGATACCCGTGGCACGCACCTCGTAGGCCAGCTCGCCGGCCTGGTTGAACTGGAAGGCGAGGATATACTCGTAGTTGGAGACGGTGATGATGCTCTGCAGCACCAGCTCGCGGTTGCGCACCACGGCAGCCCGCCCCGTGCGGTAGTTGGTGTGCTTCCAGCCGATGCCGGCGTCCTGCTCGTGGATGCAGACGACGTTGGGCATGTCAACCGTATCGCCTTTGTCGTCTGATAGCACCGAGGAGAGGTAGTAGATGTGGCCCAGGCAGTCGCAGCCCAGCTGCAGGTTGTTCGCCATGATTCCTGCGCCTGCATCGCCCAGGTCGAATGCCGACTTCTTGTGGAAGGGGTGCCGCGGGTCTGCGTATGGGATGTTCATATCTGACAGGGAGACGCGGTAGAACAGCGACCGGTTGTCGTAGCGAACGTCGTACAGGACCATTCCTTCGCGCTGGTTGAAGCCCACCCGGAATCTCCACTTCTGCCATTCGATCACTGACGATGTGCCCTCCTGAGTGACGGTGAATGAGGCGCCTTCCGGCTGCACCACTCTCAACGGCTTCAGGTCGGTGCGGAGCTTGGGCTGGGCTTCTGGGATGTACTCATTGGGCGGGTGGATCTTGAGAGGACCGAGAGGCTTGATCTTTTCATCTGCACCGGTTGGCAGAATGTCGATCCGGATGACGGTCATGGTCTCGGTACTGATGACGGGAGAGATTGGGAGGGGTAGCGCATAGTGGTTGGAATCGGCCTCGTCGGAATTGAGCGGGTCTCGCATGTACATGAAGCACTGGTACATGCGATCGTCGTCGTTGACACCGTCTGATCCGTAGATCCAGGGGTCGATAACCACCACTGTGCCCTTCGGGAGCTGTAGTTTGGCTATCTCAGCCTGCACTCCCGGGTCCTCCAATGCTGTCTTTTCGATTGCCACGATCTCATCACCATCGCCGTTGGCATGGACGTTGGGACCCAGCCGGACGTTCCTGTCAACGGTACCAGTGCTGAGGTCCACTATGGCCTCGTGGTACTTGTTCTGATTGGGCGTCAGCATGACCAACAAATTAAAAAGATCCAGTGGATTTGTGCTTTCTCGCTGTTATAACAATTTCAATGGTGAGGATAGTAAAAGGAATAACGAACCGTGTTGCGAATGTAGTAGTTTATGAAGGCCTTCCGGCGGATGTTGGGGCGCGAAGCTCCACTGTGCTCGGCCTCCAAGTAAGGAACGACTTCGGCCTTCGGAGGCTCCTCCAACGTCACGGCCTTGAAGTGCAGGTTCGTGCCTTGCGGCCAGGCATTCTGCACAATCGCTGAGGCAGCCTTGATCTCATCTCCGCTGAGAGGTGCCAGCGGATGGACTGCCGTCTGGGTGGCGGGCCGCACGGGGAAGCTCGAGACGGACTCGGTAGACATGGTTGCGGGGTCTCCGGTTCTTCAGCAGATAAGACAAATATTAAAGAGCGAGCGAAGGGAGAGGGCGGCGCTGGCTACACGATCGCACCAAGCAGCTACGTCCGAGCCCTTATATAGTTGCCACGGCGGCTGGATGGCAGGGTTCCGAGACCGCTGACAGCGCGCTTGTGTGGGCGATAAGCAAAGTGGGGATGACATTTTGTGGTCGTCGATTGCGGAGCCGCGTAGACTTGCCGCATAAGGTAAAACCCCTCGGCGCCAGCCCGGGGAATTCTGGCGCTGATTGGGTGCTTGCCACCGACCTGAACACGCTTTGCCGTCTCAACGCCGGTGCCGTTAGGTTGCGTTGAATGCTGTGCGACAGGAAGCTGCGGGTGCGATCCTTTGTGGGGGATGCTTTGCCAATGGATGGGGACAACCGCACGCACGGCGTCTGACTGATGAGAGTGTATTTTTACAGCTATTAGTCGAGAAAAGTCCAATAAAGCCAATTGCCGCTTACCCGTTCCGAATCGGAAATCGTCCGCGCCAAAGTAGGTGCACGCAATTGATCAACGTCCAGCGCACCTATTCGGTGCTCCCCGTACACAACATGTTGACCGCATCGCAGCGCATGGCCCACTCGAGCGTAATGCTGACTGCGGGGATGCTCTTGGGCGAGGAAGGTCTGAAGAAAATCAATGTCAGCAGTGAGCAGGCCCCCTCATTGCCGAGACCTGACCGTAGTTGCTAGAATACGAGTAGGAAGCTGCAAGGTACGGCCAAGTCGGCGGGCACTAAGGCCGGTAGCTGGATGGTGGGACGCCAACTGGCGGAGGATTGTGACTGAATCGCGAACACTTCCGCAGTTTCGAAGTAGATAATGAGGCGTAAACAAGCGTTGTCATCCTTTGGGTCTTCTCAAGAGAAGTCTCAACTATCTTGATGTCAAGTGTCTTTTCTTTTCGCTTTGCAAGGGTTGTGTGGATACTGCCGAGAAGAAAGTCAGAGTAGCTGGGCCGGCGGGCGGTGACTCGAGCACAGACCAATTCTTAATTGCTGGGCAGTTTCCTTGAGCTCGCGAGCTTCATTCTCAAAGCTTCTTTGCTTACCCTCGACCTCGAAACACGTCAGCGCGCACCGGCAATACACCGTTCAACCCAGCTGAATTATCGCTGTAGCTGCCGCCATCGGTCTGCACCCGTGAGCGAAGAGCTTTTGTCGCGCTGCGCCAGCAGCCTCTTACACCATGCCTCCAGAGAAAGGCGGAAGAGTCGTCTTCATCGGCAACATCCCCTATGGTAAGTCGCATACACTTAGTCTGCGACATGTGTGCCGTTTCTGACTTTGCGCGAAGGTGTGAGCGAGGAGCTCATCACCGAAACCCTCAGTCGCGTTGGCCAGGTCCTCAACTTTCGCCTCGTCTACGACAAAGACTCCGGCCGACCCAAGGGCTTTGGCTTCGCTGAGTTTTCCGACGCCGAAGATGCCGCCTCCGCTGTGCGAAACCTCAACGACTACGAGCTCATGGGCCGCAAGCTGAGGGTTGACTACTCCAACGACAATGGCGCTGGCGACAGCGCCCCAGCCAACTACAATCCGCCCCAGGTCGCATCCAACGGCCAGGATGCCCCGGCCTCTAACACGATCCCCCCACTGCCACCGGGTGTCGATGTGCCGCCAAACCTTACTTGCCCCGACGCCATCTCCAAGACGCTTCAGACCCTCCCGCCTCCACAATTGCTGGATATACTCTCGCAGATGAAGGGACTGGTCACCACCGACCCGGCCAAGGCGACTGAACTGCTGAGACAGGCACCGCAGCTGTCTTTTGCCATTTTTCAGGCTCTGCTTCTTCTTGGATTGATCGACCAGTCCCTCCTCACCTCGGTCGTGGACACGGCAACAATTCCGCAAGCAGAACCCCAACCACAGCCTGCTGCTACGCCCATGCCGCCCCAGGCCTTCCCCGGATACCCACCTCAACAAGCGAGCCGTGGTGTGATGAACGTCCCCACGCCTCCCGTCGGCAATCCTTATCAACAACCCCCGATGCCGATGCAGCAGCAGCCTGCGCAACCGCAGGTGCCCCTGGATCAACAGGCATTGATTCGGCAGGTCATGGCCATGACGCCGGAGACAATCGCATCTTTGCCACCAAACGACCGCGCACAGATAGAGGCGCTGCGGGCGCGTATCATGTCGACGGGATCGCCCTTCTAGAAAAGGGCCGAACGGAGCGAGGCAAACGGTGGCCTAGACGGGCGTTTGGCGCATGTTTTTTGCATGATCTGGGCAATGGCGGGAGCTTTTCGATATGCGGAATGACGAGGCATACCATTCTGAATTTGTAAATTACTACATATGCAGACGACCGGTCAGTTGGCTGCGCGCAAGGGAGAAGCGGGGGTCTCTTGTGGCTCCAATAGCTTCAGCTGGCGCGGGAACGACACCAGGGTCCGGCGATACTTGGCAGAGCAGCAAGACAGATAAATCGAATGCTATTATTTGGCACGTCTCAGCAGTAGGGCTGATATCACGTTTTCACGTGTGGAATTGATTGTCGGGATGGTGCGGCTCTCCGGATTTTAATTCGGTGGCTGGGCCGCATCGTGATCACCGACCCGCTCTGAGCTGGCGATCCGAGCTCTGTGCGTCCCCAGCCCGCGTCCAACCACAACACGCCGCGCCCTGCAGCTCTCATTCGCCCTCGGCTGAACGATCGCAACTCTCGCAAAAGCGCACACCGAACACCTTGCACCGGCCAGCGCGCGAGCTGAAGGAACGACCAACGACGGCTGCTGCGACACGGACGGCGACGCGCTCTCACCCAGCACTGTACCATATTATGACTTACGACTTACGACCTGAAGCCTGATACCCAAAACAGCAACCCAATACCCAGACAAGAGTAATTCAGTCCATTTCCTGCATAGACCGCTCTCGCCACCCCATCATCGCAGCTCCATCGCGCAACCATGTGGAGCAAGATCACTGGCAAGAGCAGCGACGCCTCGTCGCACGACGGTCGCCGCAAAGAGCACGGCTCTTCGTCGTCGCGCCGCCGCGCCGAGTCGATAGTCTCGTCCTCCACCGCGCGTAACCCTCCCTCACGCGTCGAGGATCGCAGTGACTATCCCCCGACCTTGTCTTCTCGAAGCAATAGCTATGCGCAGCCCGCTCCCTCCGTCTCGTCAATTGGTTCCTACGCTACCGCTCGAGACTACGACCAGAAATCCGAGAGAGCTGCCCCCTCGCGCAGTGGCTTCGATGATGACGACTATCGCTCCGTGCGTTCCGACAGGCGTCGCGACGACGATCTCCGCTCTACGCGATCAGAGAGGCACCGTGACGAAGACCTCCGCTCCGAGCGTTCAGAGCGCCGCCGTGACCGCTCTTCCAGTCGCGACCGCAAACGAGACCGCAAGGACGGCGACCGCGAACACAGGAGGAAGGAGAAGAGGGACTCGAAGGATAGCAAGGACAAGCGGGACAAGGAGAAGGAGGAATCTGGGAAGAAGTCAAAGACGCGCCCCAAGAGTGGTAGGAGACTCTCGGAGATCGTGGATGAGCCAGTGCTCCCGCGGGCTGCAGACGTTACTGGCCACAGCAGTGGTGCTTATGATCTCCCAATGAGTAGCCCGGCCGTGTCTCAGTATACCACCGCCCCGTACGGAGAGTCAACCACTGTCCCAGCTTCTCCCGGCTACGGGCGAATGGATGCACATGTAGCAAGTCAATTTCCTGGACAAAATCCCACCGACTTTTCCTACCCATACCGCCCGCCCCCCAACTCACAACAGGGTGGATCCGGTCTCGCCTCTGACTATTACGGGGATCAAGGCCAGTCAGTGCAATATCAGCCTGGCGTCCGTCCCGATCCGCCAAGCGTCATTGCTGGCACCGAACCACACCTGATCTCACCATCCGCCGCTCCAAACCCTCCCACAGAGACCGGCCAAGGTGCTGCAGCCCAGTATTACGGAACCCCTAGTACCAACGGTGACAGACCCCCCGTAAAGCCACCTAGGCCGCTATCCATGCCAGGCAGCTTCGAAGAAGAACCACCGGCTAAGCCGCCACGGCCAAACTCCATGCATGGCAAGATGTCCACCGCTGCGGCTGCCGCTGTTGGAGGCGCGGCTTTAGGCTATGGACTTGGCCACGATTCAAGCAGCTCACACCATGGAAGCTCATCTCACCACTCCACGAGCATCCACCAGAGCTCTAGCAGCACTACCTTCTACCAACAAGGCTCCAACCATCACGTTGGAGATTCTCAGTACTACACGCCGTCAACCGTCGGAACCTCCACACAAATGTATGCCGACTCAGAACCCGGTTTACCGGCCTACGCCCAGTCCACCGCCACCAGCAAGCCCAGCAAGTCAGGTAAGCACTCCTCTCACTCTAACGCAGGTCTCTACGCTGCGGGCGCAGCTGGATTGGCGGCTGGTGCGTACGGCCTACACGAACATCACGCTCATCAGCATCAACACCAACACTCATCGCTTCCACCAAACGGCAACCATTACCCCGCGCAAGTTCCGGCATACTCTGACCTCGGTATGGCCATGCGACAAAAGCAGCGTGGGCCCGTCGACAAGATTGTGGATTGGTGGAAGGACTACGAGGATGTGCGGAAGATGGAGGAGTACACTGAATACATTGGTGTTTGTCGCCACTGCTTCGACCCAACTGAGCCTCCGACGATGGCGCCTCGCAAACACCATTATCACGCTCACCCCCACTCTCACTCTCACCCTCACCGTCGTTCAAGTGGCTCAATTCGTCACTCTCGTGTCGACAAAGGATCCCGTTACGGCTACTCCTCATCAGACGATGAGCACAAGAGCAAGAGTCACTCTTGGGTCGCCAAAGGTCTTGCTGGCTACGGCATAGCCAAGGTCGGCAAAGCTCTATGGTGGCAGAACCAAGATTTCGATGATACCTACAGTGCAAAGTCAGGTCGGCGACACCGCTCTTCGCGTTCATCTCTGAGTGCGAGAAGTAGGAGTGGCTCGAGAGACAGGCGGAGTGTGACTTCACGCGGTGTTGTACGCCACAGGAGCAGATCGAGAGACTCCCGCGTGAGCCGAAGCTATACCACTGATCGGAAAGAATACAAGGTTGTCCATCACCACTCCGAGTCCCGGTCACATTCGAGGGATAGGAAAAGTGGGCTCTTCTCTGCAGCCGCCGGTGCCGCACTTGGAGCTTCTGTAGCTGGCGCGGCTGCGCGACGTCGCAGTAGGAGTCACTCCAGGTCGCCTCCGCCTGGCTATGTCATTCGCAAGCACCACACTGAGGAGCCCTCTAGCTCGGCTTCCTTCTTTGGCTTGGGAGAGAAAGACCAGCGCCACAGCACTCGCCACTCTGTCATCTCATCGGCTTCGCGCTATGACGATACGAAATCGCACCGCTCGGCTAAGGAGAATACTGGCAGTGTATTCGGCGGCATGTTCTCTTCCACCCCTATCACGCCCACCAAGCGCCAGAAGGCCCATGCAAAGAAGAAGAAGGGCTTCTTTAATTTTGGAAACTCGTCCACTTCATCTACCTCGTCTATAGAGTCTGGTCTGATGTACGGTGGCAGCACTCTGTCTCGGCGTAGTAGCACACTTTCACGCCGCAGCAGCGGACGCAAGAAGCGTCGCAACTCCGACGAGAAGCTCAACGCCACTTTGATTGGCCTTGGTGCCACTGCTGCAGCTCTGGCTGCGGCGAACGGCCGTGACAAGCACCGCAGTAAACGAAAGTCAGATCTAGCTTCCGTGCGCTCTGGCGGAAAGCATCACGGTGCCAGACACTCAAGCGACCGCACCCGCATGCCTGGTTCTTACGTGGGCTCGGGTTCGGATGAGGAGGGCTGGGAGTCGGCTTCAGAGGATGAGAGCGACACTTCTAGCATCGATTCCGGTCTTGCCTTTGGTGACTTTGGTCCCAAAAGCCGGAAGAGCATTGAGAGCCTCCGATCCAACGCTTCTGGCACCGACAAGTGGAGCTGGAGATGGGGCAGCAAGAAGGACGCAAAGAAGCACAAGTCTCAAGACAGCCTGAGAGCCGGTGCTGGTCTCGCAGGCGTTGGCATTGGTGCAGGCCTCGCTGGTGCAGCTGCGGCCGATGGCAGGAGCAGCGCCAGCAGCGTTCCCACCCCGCTACAGACGGTTGATCCCGTGGCCACATCCGACCCTAATTCCTTTGATGCCATCCGCCGCACGGCTTCCGTCACTTCCCAGCAGCAGGGCCAGTACGGCCAACCGCTCGTAACGGCTCGACCTGGCCCCGTTCCTCTCCAGCAGCCTCAGCCTATCGTGCCGGTATCCAATGCCCCGGTGTACACCTCCCAAGCTGCTTGGGCCCCGACCACCACATACACGGCTCCTTCTGGCCCGCCCGTCTTCTCCGGCGGTGCGAGCAGCAAGGCTCCAACCACGAGCTTTCCCGGCCACCCCGGGCACTCCGAGTACGCGGAGCGACCTCCGATGTCACCTAGGCGCGCCTCCTCGCCCACGCACAGTAGCTCTACCAGGCGCGACCTCGCCATCGCGGGTGCTGCTGCTGCGGCGACCGCTGGTGTCATTGCGGCAGCGCACCACGGCAGATCTTCGTCGACTTCGCGGAGGAGGGCAAGCTCGCCTTCGACCAGGGTCGACTCGCCGAAGACGGTCGGCTTTGACTTGACGAGGGCTCAGATGGAGAAGGAGGACAGGGAGATGGAGAAGGAGCGCGAGCGCGAACACGAACGTGAGATTGAGCGCGATATTGAGCGGGAGCGGGAGAGGCAAAGGGAGCGCGAGCGCGACCTCGAACGTGAGCGGGAACGCGAGTTGGAGCGTGAACGCGAGCGCGAATACTTGCGACTCCGCCGTATCGAGGAAGAGACGCGTCTCCAGGAACGCCGCCTGCAGGAGCAGGCCGAACGCGAAGCCGCTGCTCGCCGCGAGGCCGAAGCAGCGGAGGCCCGCGAACGCGCGAGGCAGCAGGCCCAGGAGAAGGCCGATCTCGATCGCGAGACGGAGCGCATCTTGCGTGAGCGCGCCGAGGCTGCTGAAGCGGCGGCCGCTAGAGAAGTTGCTGCGCGACAGGAGATGGAGCGGAGAAGACTGGAGCACGAAGCCGCTACGCGCGAGCGTGAGAGGCTGGAGCGCGAGATCTACGAGGCCGACCTCAACCGCAAGCGTGAGGAAGAAGAGGAAGCTCTGAGGAAGCGCGAGCGTGAACGCGAAGAGAAGATCGACTATGACATTGAGTCCCGCCATCGCGAGCTGCGTGCTCGAGAGCGCGATGTTGTCGAGCCTGAAGAGCATTCTTGGACCAAACCTGCCGTGGCTGCTGCGGCTGGTATTGCTGCCGGCGCTGCTGTCGCTGGCATTGCTCACGATAAGGATCGCGACGAGAAACGCTCCAGCAAGATCGATTTCGACGACGACCACCTCTACGAGGAAGAGATCATGGATCCTGATTACTTCCGTAAGAAGGACAAGGACACCAGCGGTGGTACGGTCCGAGAGTCGAGCCGTGAACGTCAAGAGGAAATTGCGCGGAACGCTGCAAAGAAGGTTATGGCAGACATCGAAGAGCGCTGGAGAGGACCCACCAACAAGCAGGAGATGGAGGATTTCTGGGCTCCTCCCGAGCTCCGCGACCGCTCGCCGTCAAGCAGGGTTAGCCATAGCCCTGATGCGGACGTCGAGGTCCGCCACTCGCCTTACGTCGTTGTCCAGCCACCCTATGAGCCTCAGTACAACTTCACGGCTACCAGGCACGGCGATGATCACAAGGACGCCAGATATCATAGTGTCCCAACGCTCAATCTTATCGAGCCGACTCCGCCGGTCAGCATTGCTGGCAGCATTAGGGGTGAACATTCGGGACCGTCGTCACCCAACGTGGAGACGAAGAAGGATGTCGACGAGGCCATCAAGGAAGCTGAGAAGGAGAAGGAGAAAGAAGAGAAGCAGCGCAAGAGGACCAGCGTCACCTGGGGCGAGGACGAGACCTACCACTATGAGGCGCAGACTCCAGAGAGCTTCCGCGAGCACTACATTTCCCAGCAAGACATGAACAGGCATCTCCCTGAAGACTGGGTGCTTCATGGCGACCAGGCGTACGCGGACCAGCATCGCCATGATGAGATCGTCGTCGAGGCAGAATCGCCTCGCTCGGGCACGGAGCGGACAACTTACCGCCCTGATATTCACGATCATATCAGAGGCTGGGGCCCTGACACCGAGTCCCCCGTGGAGGAGATCAAGCGCTTTGTGGATGATGGCCGTCCAGTGATCGAATCTACCTCTCCTGAACATACCCCCACCGTCATCACCCCTGGCGATGAGAAGTACCAGACGCCTTTCTTCGAGACGGTGCCTGGCTTTGCGGCTTACGATGTCAGTCCTGGCGCGGAGGCTGGACCTGGTCAGCATGGCTTCGTTGAAGAGATTGTAGACGAGCCGGTGGAGGAGATCATTGCTTCCAAGCCAAGGGAGGCCGAGCCACACATGCCTGGCGGCTGGGACGACGAAGAGCCTCTGAAGGAAGCGGAAACTTCGTCGTGGACCGAACCGAAGCTCAGTAAGAAGGAGCAGAGGAAGCGGGATAAGGCGGCCAAGCGTGCCAGTACCGAAACTCAAGAAGACCTGACTTCTTCTACCGGTTCCGTGAAGGACCTTGACCGGGATTCCAGGGTCGAGTCGGAGTCGAAGATCGACGAAGGTGGCTGGGATGCGCCGCTTAGCAAGAAGGACAAGAAGAAGCGCGACAAGGCTGCAAAGCGCGCGAGCTCCAGCCGCGAGGATAGCCCTTCGATGCCTTCCACTCCTGCCGAGGAGCCAAAGGCAGAAGAAATTTGGGAAGACGTCAGCACCAGCAAGAAGGACAAGAAGAAGAAAAAGAAGCGGGATAGCGTCGACCGTGATCCTCGCGACATCGAGCCCAGCTACTCGTACCCACCCACCACTGATGAGAGCCGCGACGCCAAGTCCGACGTGGGCATAACCCCGACCCGCATGCCGGAAGTCCCCGAGGACATGTCTCGCCGTCGCAGTCTTGATGCTGGCCACCAACCCAGCTCAGCTGCGCCTTTCAGCTTCGCGACGGCAGCTGGTATCGTTGCTGGCGGGCTTGCTGACTCCAAGCGTAAGGAGTCTGAGCCTGATAACCTTTGGGCTGCTACGACTCCTTCGCAGCAAATGCCTCGTGCTCCATCACCGCCTTCGGGCCCTGTGCCGTATCCCACAACTTCGAATGGCGACCATGCCTCTACTGCTCAACATCCTGTAGACTCACCTGCCCGATCCATTCCAAGCACAGCGTTCCATGACTACGACGAGCTTGCGGATACAAAGCAACCGTCGAAGAAGGGCAAGAGGCGTAGTAGAGTGGGCAGCAGCGCTGGAAGTCCACTGAGGTCTGAGGTTGCATTCGATGACTACGTGGGCATGGATGCCGCTGCCGCTGCCGCCGCCGCTACCGCAGCGGCCGCTAAGGACCTGTCGAAGATCTCAAGCGAGTCGTTCGAAGCAGCCAATGTTCCTCTGCCGAAAGATGACTCGCCACCTTGGTCGCCGACCGGAGACAAGAGCTCGCGGCAGAAGCACTACATCTATGACGAGCCGGAAGAGTTTCCGATCGAGGCTGGCGTTTCCTTGCCGCATGATCCGTACGGCTCGCCGGCAGCGCAGGAGGAATACCCCGAGCGCGGCTACGCTTGGGAGGACGAAGGTGAGCGGAAGAAGCACAGGCACCACCACAGGCACAGGAGCGAAGATCCGGACAACAGGTCGGTCGCATCGGACGAACGCGACTCGGAAGGGAGGAGGAAGCACAGGCATCACCGCCGCCGGGAGAGTGAGCGCTCGGATGGCACTTACGACGAGACGCGATCGACCGTTTCTGAGGGCCGCTACGACGATGAAGGCCACCGCAAGCACAAGCACCGCAAGCATCGGTCGACTGGCGACGATGACTCCCGGTCTGTCGTTTCTGAGTTCCGTGACGATGAGGACGACGAGCGGAGGAAGCACAAGCACCGGAGGTCGAAGCGTGAGAGCGACCTCTTCGATGATTCTATTCGCGATCGCGATGCTCGTTCCGATCCGGGCGACGTACTTGACCGGGACGACCCGGAGCGGCGCAGACACAAGCGTAGGTCCAAGCGTGAGGGTGAGTTTGATGATGAAGCCTCCGTGGTATCGAGTCCAGCGAAGTACGGCGACGACGATAAGAAGAAGGACAAGGAAAAGAAGGGTCTCTTCTCAAGCATCTTCGGAAAGTCCAAGGAGAGCCTCCCCGAAACGAGCTCCACCAGGTCTCACGAAAGGGCCCGCGACGATAACGATGTGGATGACCACAAGCACAGGAGACGAAAGCATCGCAGCTCCACTCATGGCTCTTTGTACGGATCGGACGATGACAGTCGCTCTGTGGTCTCAAGCACGAGCGGCAGACGCGACAAGAGACTGAGCGGTAGCAGAGACGACTCAGGTATGGAATATTCCCGACACTACAAGGTACATACGACGCCTTCAGAGCAGCCGTTTCTTTCTACTTCTCTCCGACCTCATTCAGACGAACTTTCAAACTCTCCTTCGTTTGATAATGGTGGTCATACCGTTTCTCTCTCCAACGTTATATCGCCGAACGCAATCGACGACAGGGAAGAAGACATGCTAAATTATCTCGTGACAAAGGACGACATCATCACCGACGCGAGCACTCGCAGTAGTGACAAACGCAACACCTTCCACGGCGCGGAGTCTTTTTTAGGGCTTCGGGCAAGAGGTGAATCCGAGCGTCTACCTCCCCTGCCCACCGTCCACGTCCCCATCGCCGCCGCTCATTTCGAACATCAAGACGAACTTGAACATGCAATGCCAATGTTCACCCCTCTACCGCGCAGTCGCTCCACCTCTCCGACCGAAGAAGCTGTCGCTGCTACTGCCGGCCATACTGCCGCCGATGATAACGTTATTAGCTTTCCAAAAGTTAGGCCCGGCAGCCCTGATGCAGCGGCCACACCACAGCCGCTCAGCAGCAGGAAACGCACGCCCAGTCTGCAGAGCATGCGGCAGACGTCTGCGACAGCCGTGCCCTTGCACTTCAGAGGCTTCGGCTCTCGCCCCGGCAGCGAAGTCGGCAGTCCCGCGTCGTCCAGGCCCATCAGCACGACCGCCGTCCCCATCCCATTCCTTTCCCATCAGAGCCGCCGCGCCAGCACAGGTGGACAGGGTGCTACTTCTGCACCCAGGTCGCCCGTCTCGCCCCAGAACGCTGGCCCGACCGCGCCTGCGACCGACCCGCTCGGCACGCTGGCGACGCCGCCGATGCTGCAACAACCATCACAGCAACAGCATAAGCACAAGAGACTGCCGTCGACCGAGTTCAAGAGCGGCGGCACCTTCCGCCCGCTGTACCTCGTCGAGCGCAACGCTTCGCGCAGAGGCAGCAGGGGCAAAGAAGGCGAGCTGCAGGTCGAAGACCTGCCAACGCTGCCGAGCAGCCGCAGCCCGTCGGTCAGCCAGGAGAGCGGCGAGGAGTGGGCGAGCGCGGTCGAGGACGTCGACGACGGCGAAGGAGACACGAGCTTCTTTGGCGGCGAGGCACCGCCAAGCGAGAGCAGCGTCGGCGCGAGCGGATACGCCAGCGCGACGGAGGGAGAGGGCGATGATGGCATCAGCACCGCTGCCCCGCGCTCGCCGCTGCCGGACTGGCGGCACACTGGCTTGCGCATCGATACGGGCGCGTCCAGGGCTGTTGGAGACGACGTTTTGGGCAGCCAGCAGAGCACGCCGAGGGCGTGGGAGTATGTGGCGAAGGATGATGATGTCTTCGACGTGCCTGCTGCAGCTGCGCAGAGATTGGAGGCGGAGCAGGCGTTGGCTGCAGCTGCTGAGGAGAAGGCACATGATGAAGGTAAGAGCTCTGATTCTCTGGCTGCTGCGGCGGCGATGGTTGGTGGTGCGGCAGCCGCGGGGCTCGTTGCGCACGCGTTGTTGAAGGAGAGACGCGAGGATGAGACGAAGAAGGTTGCTGAGGCGGAAGAGCGTGCGCAGGAGGTGAGAGAAGAGGTCGTTCTGCCTACGGCTGTGGAAGAGCCTGAGACTGTCGGTCGCGAGGAACCTGTGACCGCTATCGAGGGACATCCGCCGTTCCCGTCTGCTATTGCTGCGGAGACGCGTTCAATCGAGCCCGCAGCTCCTTTGGAGCCTTCGGATGCTGCGGGGCGTGCGCCTGGCGACGAGCCGAAGCTTGAAGGACTGGATCAGGAACCATCCGCTTCCAGCATCGCTGCTGAGGAGCCCAGCGCGTCTCGAGGGATTGTCGAGCCCGCTTCGATTGACGACCACACAACGCCGACGACAACTGAATCTGCCACGGCCGTCGAAGAGCCCGTATCCACCACCGTCGCTGCCCCTCTCCCCGAGCCGACCGTCGAAGAGCAGCCAACTTCCAACATCCTCGACGACTTCATGGCTGGCGAGCCGGACGACGCCGCCATCGAAGAGGCCCGCGCCGCCGCTGAAGCGGACCGCGAGCGGCAGGAGCTCGAGTCCGAGCAGCTGCCGTCTTCAACTTCCGCCACCACTCGCCCTGCCCTGCTGACCCGCACTTCGTCGAAGAAGGGCAAGAAGGGGAAGAAGGCGGCGAAGCTCGGCACCATTTCTCCGGAGGATGACGGCGGCGATGCTTCTGCTGCCCAGCTCAGCCCCGAGCAGGTGCGCGAGGCGAGGAAGAGGGATACGGAGGACGCGGTTGATGCGTGGTTCGCCGAGGACAATGGCGCCTCGCCGTCGAACGTCGAGACGGAGCCGACGCCGGCAGCAGCGGAAAAGGTCGATGAGAGCGAGAAGAGCGGGGTGCAGACTCCTGTCGCTGAAGTGCCCAGTGCGCTGTTGTCTAGGAAGGGGAGCAAGAAGAAGGCGAAGAAGGGGAAGAAGGGCAAGAGCGGGTCGGTGAGCGAGGTCGTTTCGGAGCCTCCTACTGCCTCTGCCGCTGCTGGACCTGAGGAAGTCCTGCCGACTGCTGTTGATACTGCTAGTCCTGAGGAAGCCCTGCCGACTGCTGCTGAGGACGTGAGGGATGTGCCGCCTGAAGACGTGCCGCTCCCTGAGGCTGGTCAAGCCGAGGGTCTCGAGGCGCCGTTAGAGCCGGAGAATGTGGCAGTGACGGAAGGGCAGCCGCTTGCAGCGGTTGAAGAGCCCGAGAAGGGTGCTGAGCGGGTGGAGCCTGAAGCGCCGAAGGTCCTGGTGGATGAGCAGGTTCCATCGCTGGAAAAGGGTAGTGCTGTTGCGGACGCCGAAGCTGAGCAAGAGCCGGCTTTGGTCAAGGATGACGCTGCCCAACAGTCTCTGCCTGTGGAGGAGGCTGTCGTTCGGGAAGCTACTCCAGACCAAGAATCTGTCGTTCAGGATCTCACGACCGTCGAAGATCCTGGCGTTCTGGAGCACCAACAGCCGCAGCAGCCGTCCGAATCCCTCGAGCAAACCACCACCACTCCAGTCACCGTTCCGGATACCGTTGCCAGCGAAGAAGCGGCACCCGCCGCCGCAGAGGATGTCACAGCACAAGAAGAACCCCCCGTCACCACCGCTGCGCCCGTTCAGGAGGAGGTCGATCCCGAGGCCGAGTTCGCACCCGTGCTGTCTCGCTCTTCGTCCAAGAAGAAAAAGAAGAAGGGGAAGAAGGGAAGTAGCGCTGGCGGGTCTGTTTCTGGCTCCGGCCTTGCTACGCCGGTTGAGGAGAAGCCGCTGCAGGAGCAGGAACAGGTGCAAGCACCGGTTGAAGAACCGCCGGCCGTTGTCGAGGAGACCCCGATTCCGACTGAAGACCACCCCGCCGTCGTTGGCGTCGAGGAGGCGCAACGCGATATTGGCGTCGGCGAAGAAAAAGTCGATGAGCTTCCGGCAGTTGAGGAGACGGCCCCTACGACTACTCCTGCGGCCGTTGGGGAGGTCAATCCGGATGATGAGTTTGCCCCGGTTGAGTCCGCTTCGTCGAAGAAAAAGAAGAAGAAGAAGGGGAAGAAGAGTGGAAGTGGGAGTGCGGGGCTGGTGACACCAGTTGAGTCAGGGCCGGTCGTCGAAGAGGCTGTTGAGAAGGAGCAGATTCTGGAACCTCCGGTCGTTGATCAGCCGGCTATCGAGGAGCCAATTTTCAAAGAGCCGGTCGCCGAAGAACAAGTCTCTGAGCAGCCGGTTGTTGAAGCGTCTGCTTTTGAGGAGCCTATTGCTCAAGAGCCAGTTGTCGAGACTCCGGTACACATCGAACCTATTACCGAAGAGCCTCAGCCAGCTGAGACCGTTACCCAACAGCCTGAACCTAGCATTCCTGAGTCCGTTTCAGAAAGTCGTGAGATCCCGGCTGACACCACTACTGCTGGTGAGGTGTCCACTCCGGTCCCTGAGGTGGATCCAGAAGCTGAATTCGCACCCGTCGTATCTTCGAAGAAAAAGAAGAAGAAGGGGAAGAAGAGCAGCAGTGGCTCGGGACTTGCTACGCCCATTGAAGACCCGGCTTCGGCCACGTTGAGTGTCGAAGAGGCGAAGCGCAGTGAACCGGTTAAAGAAGAGCCCCAACAGACCGTTCCGGAACCTGCATTGGAAGAACCAAGTCCCGCCATTGAACTTGCGCCCAGCGAAGAGAAGCCTGTATCGGTGGGTGAGGACATACCTGCTGTGCCGGTGGTGGACGAGCGGGGGGTGCAGGAGGTGCTGGAGGAGGGCACTGCTGCCGTCCAGCCAGCTGAACCAGAGGTTGCCCAGCCTTCATCATCCGCGGATCTCGAAGAGCAGACAGTGCCAAGTGCGGAGCAGCAACAAGCAGCGCCGGCTGATGTCGTCGAAGCTGAGCCAGAAGCAGAGTTTGCACCCGTGTTGTCTCGATCTTCATCGAAGAAGAAAAAGAAGAAGGGAAAGAAGGGTAGCAAGAGCGTTTCCGAAAGCCCAGCAGAAGCAGTCATCACCCCTGTTGAAGAGGTTGTGCAAGAGCCTGCGGCTATCCCCGAGCCAGAACTAGCCAAGTCTCTCGAGTTGCTAGTATCTGAGGAACCTGTCAGCGAGGCTCCGGTGGAGGTAGATCTTGAGCACTCAAGTTCCAAAGATTTGCCTCAGGATGTGATTGCCGAAACAGCAGCAACAGCCGACCAAGAGCAGGCGCTGCCTGCTGCGTCTGTCCCTCTGCCCGACGCAGATAATGATCAGGAACTTGCAGAACCGAAAACGGAGGAGCAACCGGCCATCACCGAGAAGACTGACATCCTCGAACATGTGCCCCCTTCAGAGCAGATGGTCATCCCCTCGCAAGTTGAAGAGGTGCCCCTTGAGGCTGGCCCTAAGACCGAGATCTCCGCCGTTCCCTTGACGAAGCAAGCGCAGGAAGAGGAGATTGTTCCTTCCCCGGAGGAATCTGCTGCTCAAGTCATTGTCGAAGAAGTTCAAGAGAAACAGCCCCACCACTTCTTCGCGACTGACGTACCTTTGCCAAAGGGCCACGATGAAGATGCGCAGATTCCATTGGCGGAGGACGAACGTGAGGAGTTCAAGGAGGCTGAGCGGGCTATGGAGGTGAAGCCTGTAGTACAAGAAGTTCAAGAGGGACAGCCTGCCCACATTCTCGGTGCTGATGTGCCCTTGCCCGAGGGCGCCGATGAAAATCTGGCCGAACAGTTGACCTTGCCCGGAGATGAACGCCAGGAGCTCCCGGAAGCTGAATGTGCTGTTGAGGCTGGACCCGTAGTCGAGCACGTACAAGAGGACCAACCCCATGACTACAAAGAGCCCGAAAGGGCGGTGGAAACAGAGCCTGTCGTCGAGGAGGTGCAAGAGAAAGAACCACGCCACTTCTTTGGCGCGAATGTTCCTTTGCCTGAGGGTGACGACAGAGAGCTTGCTGAGCAGCTGTCCATGCCTGAGGACGAGCTCCAGGAATTCAACGAGGCCGAGCGGGCGATGGAAATCGAACCACGAGTTACCGAGGACCCACTGGTGCAGAAGGTTTCTGAAGTAGTACTCCCAATTGCTGCTTTCCCTGAGCATCCCCACGTGCCTGAGTCAAACGACGAAATTCATCTACCGGGGGAGTCTTCCACGCAACCTGAAGATGCCGCGACATCCGCTACATTTGATGCTTCCCGCGAAGCTGCTCCTTCTGAGACTGCGGAAGCGCCTGAAGCGCCTGCTGAAGGCCCAGCTTTCGATGGGCCACCTGCACCACATCATGAGAGTGAGAGCATTCCTGTTGTTTCAGAGACACAGCCTGAGCTTGCTGTGTCTGATGTCGCATCGGTCTCTGAGTCACACACTGAAATCCAGCCTTCTACTGACCCACTCGTGGTTCCTCAGGATAGCGAACAAGCCACCATCATCCATGAGACGCAGCCAGAAGAGGAATGGTCAGTCAAGCCGTCCAAGAAAAAGAAAGGCAAAAAGAACAAGAAAGCGAAAGCATCTGGACAATCGAGTGTGGACATCACCGAGCCGCCAACACCGGCAGAGCGCGACGTCCCCGAACTTGCTGATGACACGGGTGCCATGGAGCAATTTGGTATTTCGGAGCAGCCGGCGGAAATCATCCAAGCCGCTGGCGAGCCAGGCGACCTGCCAGAAATGGGCACGACTGCTGCTACTGTAGCCGATGCGGAAACAGAGCGGGGCACGGTGGACTTGGAGCATGAAGTCTCTCATGACCTTGGTCATTCAAGTACGCAAGGGCCAGAGCTGGCTGAGGGGCCTACTTCCGTGCTGCCATCCTCAACTTTTGAGGAGGCTGAGCAGAACGAGGCCTTCCAAGAGCCGGTGTCAACAGTGCAACCCACAACCGCCGAGGAAGCTGCGAAATTTCCATTGCCTTCGGATATTGAGGAGCCCAGCTTTGCTTCCGAGGTTCCTGTTACTCCCGCAGTCGAGCAAGTTCATGACAAAGCGATCGAAGAGCCTCAGCACACGCTCGAACCCGAACTTGCCAAGGAAGCCCCTGCTGAAGAAACACCAACCCTGGGTCAAGAATCATCTGCTGCTATCGAAGCTCAGCCTGACGACGAATGGTCTACTCCCGCTAAGAGCAAGAAGAAAGACAAAAAGAAAAAGAAGAAGCGAGGCTCTGTGGCCCAAACACCGATCGAATCTTCGGCGCCTGGAAGTCCGAAACTGGAGGCAACGCCCGCTGAAGAGTTTTCAACGGTGACGTCGCAAACGCAGGGCGAGTCGGCTGTCACAGTGGACCAACTGCAGCCTAGTGTGGAAAATGTCGAGGCTGCGAGTGAAATCACGCCCGTGGCTTCGGGCGAGCCAGCCAGCGTTGCAGATGATTTACGTGGCCCCGCTACCCCGGCCGCGTCGATGCCCATCGACCCCGCCGCTCCCGTAAGCGAGGAAAATCTCTCGAATCCGCTGGCAGACGAGTCACGTGATGAGACACCGCTTTATGCAGGCGAGTGGAAACTGCCAACTCATTCCAAGGAAAATGACAAGGAGGGCGATGAGCGTGGCGCCGCTCCCACCGGTCAGGAGCCGGCAGAGGGAGAAGCGGTGCCCACTGATGAACAGATCTCCAGCACCGCGACTCCACTTCTGGAGACTACTGAATCAGTGCCACGAGACGCGAACGCTTGGACTGAGGATCCCACAGCACCTTCCGCGCATCACCCACAGCCGGTCTCACTACTGCAACCTGAACTTGCCGACGAACCGCCGAAGGGCATCGAGTTTGGAGCTGAGCAGCAGGTCGAGGCGCCCTTGCAGATCGCTGAGCCTCTGGTCGAGGAGCCAGCTGATTCGCCTGCTGTACTTGAGACCACTGCCGAAGAGGAGTGGGCCTTCATGCCAGCAAAGAAGAACAAGAAAGGCAAGAAAGGAAAGAAGCAGGGTTCCATTTCTTCAACTCCGAAAGAGGTAGAACAAGTTCCTCAGCCTGTTGCCGAGCCCATCGAGGATGTTCGCGCGGTCGAGAGCACTGCTTTGGAGAGCGCTCCCGCCGAACCAACGGGCGAAAACTTGACGGCACCTTCCAGCGAACCAGCAGCCCCTGTTGAAGCTGGTGAGGATGAGTGGGCCCTTCCCGCCAAGAAGAAGAAGGGCAAGAAGGGGAAGAAGGGCTTCGCCGACATAGTGCAGGAGGTTGTGCAGCCAGAGGAGGTGCCAGTCGCTCCTGAGAAAGACTTGCCGGAACGGGCTGGTGATCGTGATGATAAGTTTGAGGAAACCGCGCCAACATCGCTGGAAGACAACAATGATACTCCAACAGAGGTCGCACAAGAGAACGCAAGCGCTGAAGCGCCTCTTGAGCCTTCTGTTCCGGTCACAGAAGCTCCAGCTTCTCAAGAACTGCCGGGCGAGGAGCAATCTTCTGATGTCAAGCCGATCAGCGATGTTCTCACGGAGAAGCCCACCGAAGTTGAGACTGCTCCGGAGCAACCGAAGGAGGCCGACGCTGAAGACATTTGGGCCGTGCCAACGAGGAAGGCAAGCAAGAAAAAGAAGAAGAAGGGCAAGCAAGCGTCCCTCGAAGAGTCTGCCACGCCGCCGACGGCAGAACCTGTTGCTGAGCCCAGCGCGATTGAGAACGTCTTCGAGGCTCCCCCGGTAGAAGAACCCAAGGAAATTCTGGAGGCGGAAGAAGTACCACCTAAAGTTGTTTCAGAGTCCTTGCAGCCCGAAGTCGGCCCTGAGGTGCCTCCTGCAGTCGAAGAGCCCAAGGAGATTGGTGAGGTCGATGCTGAGGACGAGTGGGCGCCTGCTCCGACTTCTTCCAAGAAGAAGAAAAAGAAGGCGAAGAAGGGAAAGCAAGGATCGGTTTCTGAGGCCCTGCCCACTCTTGATGATGCCCCTCCGGCCGTGGAGGAGAAGGTGGAGGAGCAGCCCGCGGAAGATCAAAGCGTCGAGGTCGTGCCAAGCGAACAACCACAAGCGGTTGCGGAGCCCGTGCTCGAGGAGCCGATTGAAGCTGCCATAGAGCAGGTCTCAGATAGCACGGACGTCGATTTGGTTCCGAGCGAGCAGCCGCAGCAGTTGACCCAGGAGCCTGTTGTCGAGGCTGTCGAGGAGCAAATTCCGGAATCGAAGGATGTCAAGCCGCAACCGGATGTCGAGCCTGTAATGGAAGACATCACTGAAAAAGGTCTGGTTGAGGAGCCATTGGACAAACCCGCTGTGGAGGAGCAGCTCGCAGAAGCACCTGTCGTGGAACAGCCTGTCGAAGCTTCCATTGAGGAAAACCTTGTCCAGCAAACTTCATCCTCTGAGCCAGCCGTGGCGGAGGTTGCGAACGTCCAGACCCCTCAGGAGGCGGGCGAGGATGAATGGGATCTTCCAATCAAGAAAAAGAAGAAGGGCAAAAAGGGAAAGCGGGATTCTACCCCCCATACACCACCTGTCGTTGATGAGCCTGCCACCGTCGTCGAAGAACCCACGGTGCCTTTGGACACGGCTAGCCCCATCGTTGAGGAGCCCGCTCATGTCGCCGAGCAGACTGCACCCATAACTGAAGAGTCTGTGCCGATCACCGCCGACACGCAAAATGATGAGGTCTACCTCACTGAAGAACCGAAAACCTTCGGCGACGAGCTGAAAGATATTCCCACTTCTGTCGAGCTTCCCAACCAGGAGCCCTCTTTGCCTATCGAAGCCGAAACTCAACAAGAGGCAGACAAAGCTCTTCCTGCTGCAGAACCCGCCACCAAAGATGAACCTTCTACACAGGAAATCGAAGCCGTTCATGAAACACCACAGGAAGCACAACCTGAAGATGTGTGGGCTGTACCAACGCGGAAGAAGTCCAAGAAAGGCAAAAAGGGCAAGCAACAGACTGTCTCCACTCCGCCAGCTGAACTTTCACAAGCCCAACTTGAACCTGAAATCGTCAAAGAATCACAACCCGAGTCGGAGGCCATCAGCGAGCCGCAGCCCGTGCCTGAGGCCGTCAGTGAATCTCAGCCCGAAGACAAGCCAAAAGAGCCGCAAGAGTCCACGCCCATCGATGCCGTTCCTGATGAGGAGTTCAGCATCCCTTTGAGTAAAAAGGACAAGAAAAAGCAAAAGAAGAAGAAGGCTGCTGCCACTGCTGCTGCTGCGGCAGCGGCTGCTTCAGTGGACGACTCGCCAGAAGTTCAGACCAGCTCGGCCCTCGACGACGCGGTTACACAGGAGGTCCCTCGCGAGGAAGATGTTCCGAAGGTTGAGCATGACACAGAGCCTACTGTTCCTCCACTCAGCTTTGCCGATGCCGCCAGTATCATGGCCGCAGGGCTCTCTGATTCAAAGCCCGAGGAGCCGGAACCGGAAAGCTCCACCGCTCAACCAGAGCCATCAGCAGAGGCTAAGCATGAGGGCGCGGAAGAGGTGAAGGACAGAGCTCTTGAAAACGACAAGACTTTGACTGAAGAATCTGCCTTGCCTCACACTACGGAGAAGATCACTTCCGAAGATGTCGCTCGTGACGTTGCATTACCGGAAACTGGCACACGGGATTCGCTCGATTTCGAACCTCCGAAAGAAGACAAGGCACCAGTCTCTACGGAACCAACAACAACATGGCTGGACGGCGAAGACAAGAAACCCAGCTTCAAAGCTCCGTCCTTTGGCTTCGCAGCTGCCGCTGGCATTTTGGCTGACATTGTTGCCGATTCGCGGCGCGAAGAACAAGCTCCTGAGCCCTTAAAGTCAACCGAGCCTGCGTTTGAAGATGCTCCCGGCGTTCCCGAGACGCCATCCATAACCACTGTCCCTAGCACTGCACCGCCCGATGTTGCTCAAGAAATTCCTGAAGGCCCATCTGCTGTGCTTGAAAATATGGAAGCGCCACCGACGGAACAGCTGGAAGCTAATGCGCCGGCTGAAGATGTCGTCAGCCCACCCTTGGAGATTTCGAGGGATGTCGATGCTACGACTCTTGAGCCTGCTTCGGCGCCGGCGGAGGTGGATCCTTCCGAGGAGTTCGCCCCGGTCAAGAAGAGCAAAAAGAAAAAGAAGAAGGGAAGCAAAAGCTCTGGCGCTGAAACGCCGGTTGTGGAAGAGCCAGTTCCTGAGCAGCCAATTCTCGAATCGAAGGGAATCCCGGCAGAGCCAGGCGCAGAAGCTGAAATCGCGCCTGTTGCTGAAGCTGCAACTGCCGACATTAAGCCTGCTGAAAGTGAGCCGTCAACACAAGATCAAGCGAAGGAGGTTGCCGAACCAGTTTCTGGTGCCGAAGAGAAGCGTTCTGGATCTCCTGTACGCGATGTTGACTTTGCAGCCACCTTGGCAGCGGGCTTGCAGGATTCCGGTTTCGACCCTAGCCTTGTTCTCGATGATCCTACTTTCCACGAACGCAAGACTCCCCCGGGCTCCGCTCTTGAGGCCGATAGCGACGTTGAATTCACGTCGATCAAGCCGAAGAAGAACAAGAAAAAGAAGAAGGCTTTGGCGACCCAGGACATCGAAGGAGACCAGGAAATAAAGGAAGTCATTACTCCCGCCTCGCCTAGCCAAGAACCGATGGCGGAAGATGCTCCAAGTCATGATCCAGCCTTCGCTGCCGCAATGGCTTCCGTCCTGGACGACCCCACTTTCAACAGACGAACGCCGTCCCCTGATTCTGCAAAGGAAGCCGTGTCTGATGAATTCTTCCCTTTCCAGAAAAGGCCAAAGAAAAAGAAGGGGAAGAAGAGTCAGGATGCCAGCCCCGAACCCGAACTGGCTGACAAGAGCCAGTTCGAGACCACAGAGCAGCCCACTCCGGTCAGCGATGTCCCTCAGGATGAAGCTGGTCGCACAGTTCCAGAGGTATTGCCTAAAGCTACTATCGAAGAACATCTTTCTGTGACCGAGCAGTCACCCGGAGAAGTTGAACATCCGAAGGATATTGTCGAAGAACCTCAGCCTCCTCCTGCAGACGAACAGAGTCGGGAACCAGTTGTTGAGTCTCCGGCGGTCGAGGCTCCCACGGATGTGCCCACCGCTGTTGAGAATCCAGCTCCCGAGACTGGCTCTGTGGTTGTGGAGGCGAAGGACGACAGACCCTCGCTAGATGCTGCTCCGGCCGAGAGGAGCGTCTCTCCGGATGTTGCTGTGCAAAATGAGTGGGCTCTTCCGATTAGAAAGAGGAGCAAGAAGGGAAAGAAAGCCGCAAGCAACAAGTCTGGTGAGCAGACACCAATTGAGCAGACAACAACATCGGCTTCAACTGCCCCGGTTTCGACGGCTTGGGCAGATCAGATGGAGGAAGAGACGCCAATTGAGATTCCTGCCCAGGCAGGGTCGCTTGTCCAAATGCTTGAAAAGCAACATGAGGAGCCTACTGCGGAGAGAGGAATGGAATTGAACCAGGAGTGGGATTTTCCATGGAACAGGAAGAATGATCAAGCGAAGCGGATGTCTGTCCAGGAGATGGTGGATCAGTGGCAAGTGAATGAGAAGGCAGTTGATATGGAAGGGGAGCAGAGGCTGCAGGAGCCAACCCACGTCAGGGCATTCGAAGAACCGCCTATCGCGCTTCCCGAGCTCAACACGAAGCAAGAGCCCGTTGAGCAAGAAGTGCCGTCACCAGCTGACAGCCAGGGCAGTAGGATTGCGAACCTTTTCCCTGGTCTCGAAAGGGTGAAGCGCAAAGTTCCACCACCGAGACCAGCTGAGTCTAGCCCCACCGACTCGCTTGAAAAGAGGGGTTCGCGATCTTCTCTCGTGAGCGAACGTGGGTCGTTTGAGAGGCTGCGAAGAAGCTCTCCTTTGCACAGCAAGCGTAGCATTGAGAGGGAGAAGGGGACGGAACCGCATCGCCGTCTCGGCGGTCTTGGACATGTCATGCAACAACCCACGTGGGAATTCCCGGCGGATCTGCCAAACAGAGACAGCGCGGTCAACATGAACGACACTCCAATCCTTCACAGCGAACCCACGTTCCGCAGCTTGGTAAGGGATAGCGGCTTCCACGAAGGTGATCACACTCCGATTGAGGACGAACAGCAGGTCTCTCCGCCCGCACCAATGCGAGTTGATGTGGAAACAGGGCCTGAATGGGAGACGTCTGTCAGACAGGGTGAATCGACTGAAAATATTCCCATGGAAGATGCCAATAACCAGGAAGCCGCTCCGACAGTAACTCCAGTGGAACGAACCAGCCCTGCATTTCCCGACAGCAATGCAGCACAAGGTACGCCATTTACATCTCCTACTGAGTCTCTTACAACCACAAAGGCACGGTCATCCACTTTGTTCCAGTCCTCACCATCGGCAGGCTCAGTTCTCGACACTCCGTTGAAACAACCAGACACGCCCGGCGAACCCGTGAGTATGGCCTCTTCTCCACCTTCGGCGGCACGGGAGCTGCCACAAGAACCTCGCGAATCCCTTTTTGGAGATCCGACGCAGCAGACGCCCGAGAAACCACAGCCAAGCACGACGCCGTCGCGACATTTGAAGTCTTCCAGCATCTCCCTTGAGCCGATCCGCGAGCATAGTCCCGACGACCCCGCTGTCCACAAGCAAAGCCGGCCTATCTCGGACGTGGGTATGCCAGATCATGGAGTCAAGTCCCTCAGGCGCAGCCTCGGATCCGGGAAGAGCCTGCGCGACGAAATGCAGTCTTCGCCAGGACATCCAGATGAAGATCAAGCTACGGCCAATTCCAGGAATGCCAGCTTCGTGGTACGAGAGCGGGCAGGAAGCATCGGAGACCCGTTCGTGGAGAAGCAGCGACCGTCCAGCGTGGTCAGCGACCGGTCGATTGGCAGCCACGCAGGCAGCATCTTCGCTCGAATCAAGACGCCCGAGCAGATGAGGTCGCCCAGTTCAATCAGCGCGCGGTCCGAGACACCTCCGCTGCGCAGGGTAGACCGGGTTGTGTCAGGTGACCTGCGGTCTGCATCGCAGCTTGCCGAGGCCAAGGCGCGCGCTAGATCGCCCGCAACCTCAGCAACCATCACGTCGCCCACCCGCGCCGGCCCGTCAACATACGATCGCGTGCGCGACAAGGGCAAGGGCCGCGCCCTCGACATGTCCCAGAGCTACGTAAGTGACCCGGCCGCCGGCATTGATGATTTTGCAATTCTGACGCGTTCGCAGGAGGGCTGGGGCGATGCACCAGGAACTCCACTGTCGCCCACGCGCCCGCCCAGCGTCCGCAAGCGCCAAAGCATGCACATCATGGATCTCGAAACCCGACTCGACCAACTTGCCTCGGAGAACCGTCTGCTGCAAGAGGCCAAGGCCCGCGCAGAAGAGGCAATGCAAGATGCCAACGTCAATCAGGATCGTCAGGTAGCAGAGGCGGTCGAATCACGTGACGCCCAAATCCGCGCCAAGGATGCGGAGATCGCGCAGATCAGCGAGATACTGCACAACCTCCGCCAAGAGATTGCTCGTCTCAATGAAGTGAACGCCGCTTTGAGCGATGCGAATCGGAATCTCACCAACGACACCAACCAGCGCTATGCCACGCTTCAGGCCGAGACGCAAAGCCACGAGCGGCGATGGCAAGAAGCAGAGCGCGCACTCGAGCAACTTCGAGTTCAACACAGCACTCTATCGGCTGGCATGGAGGATGTCGTCCGCCAGGAGATCAAGAACGCCATGAAGGACAGAGATGCCGAAATCAACCGTCTGCACGAAGAGCTCGCCGATGCCACCGAGCAAGTCAAGACTCTGCAGCGACAGGTACTCGAGACCAAACAGGGCGACAGCTTCCTCACTGTTCGAGACGAAGACTACTTCGACACTGCTTGCCAGCAGCTCTGCCAGCACGTCCAACAGTGGGTCTTGCGCTTCTCCAAGTTCTCCGACAACCGAGCCTGCCGCCTGTCAACGGACGTTAAGGACGAGAAGATCGAGACGCGTCTCGACAACGCCATCCTGGATGGCACCGACGTCGACATGCTTCTCGCCGACCGCGTCAGGCGGAGGGACGTCTTCATGTCGGTGGTGATGACGATGATCTGGGAGTACGTCTTCACCCGCTACCTGTTCGGCATGGACCGCGAGCAACGCCAGAAGCTCAAGGCGCTCGAGAAGACGCTCACCGAAGTCGGCCCACCGCGCGCCGTCGCCCAGTGGCGCGCCATCACGCTCACGCTCCTCTCGCAGCGCGCGCACTTTGAGCGGCAGCGCGCCCAGGACACGGAAGCGGTGGTGCAGGAGATCTTCGGCACGCTGGCCAGCCTGCTGCCGCCGCCGTCACACCTGGCCGACAAGATCCAGGAGTCGCTGCGCAACGTGCTGCGCCTCGCCGTCAACCTGTCGATCGAGATGCGCACGCAGCGCGCCGAGTACATCATGCTGCCGCCGCTGCAACCCGAGTACGACACCAACGGCGACCTGGTGCGCAAGGTGTACTTCAACGCCGCCCTCATGAATGAGCGCTCCGGCGAGACGTCGTCGAACGAGGAGCTCGAGCAGCTGCGTGCCGTCGTCAAGATCGTGCTGTTCCCGCTCGTCGTCAAGAAGGGCGACGACCTCGGCGAGGGGGATGATGAGATTGTGGTGTGCCCCGCACAGGTCCTGACGGCCAAGACGGTCAAGGATCGCAAGGTCGTCCGCGTGCTGAGCGGTGCCATGGAGATGGGGGATGATCCGAGGAGCGTGCGTTCGCGGAGCAGCTTGAGTAGGGTGCCTGGCGCGTCGCCGGGCTTGCCGGAGGGCAGCGCGATGGATACGGCTTTTTAGCGGTTCGGTGTTCCGGTGGGGGTCTGCTTTTGGTCGGCGTTCAGTTCGGCTGTGACTCTAGCATTGGTTCTGATGGGGAGGATGAGGGGATGGAAGTGGGTTGATTGGACTGTTTTTTTTTTTTTTCTTCTTCTCTTATTCTTCTTCGGTTTTTCTTCGTTTAATGAGTTTTGATTTCCCATTTCTTGTTCGATAGACTTTATTGGCTCGAGTTTCTCCTTTCGTCTGGAGCGATGCATTGCGGATTGGAGGAAGGCTTAACGACGACATGACCAGGACCGATTAATATGCATACATGCGCAGGAACACAAAAAATTGACGGTGGTTCATGGTTAGGTACTAGAACAACGATACCATAGATTCTTTTAGTACACACACTGGTTTAATATACTTTATTCGATACACTTGTGCGTAGCCAGTCGGGTCTCGTGGGTGGGTGGCCTGAAGGAGACTTGTGAGGCTCTGCTTCGTGGTGCGAGTGATGAGCGCTTACGTGGTGCCGCTCAAAGCACGGCAGGCCGTGTGAGCTTTCGGCTTGGACGAATTTGCAGGGCGAGCAGTGTGATTGCGGCCCAAGGCCTCCGATTGTTTCATACGTCCTGTAGGTACGCGGTGGCTGGAGACCGGCAAGACGTTGGGCAGTACCGGCACCGCGTTGCCTGAGCGCCGGGTAGGACTTCAGCGGTTCATCGCGTTGGCTGGGGCGCAGATCGCGCGGGAGACCGACCAGGGTCCGCGCCGCACGACTCAGGTTCGGAGCTTTCGCGATGATTCCAGCACCTCTTCTTTCCCCACCAAACCTCCATCTGCGCACCAAAACTGCATGCTCATGCCCCGCATGCTGATATAGGCGTAGCGCGAAAGACTGTCGAGCAAGGCCATTCATAACTAACCAATTCGACGACTCACATCAAGCTACAGCCCGCCAGCTTTCTTTCCCGCCGCCGATGACGAAAAACCGCCGCCGCTCAACTCCCGCCGGCTCTTCTTCCTCCTCCACTGCTTCTAGAACCTCCCACAGCGATCGCCGTCACCCGACGTCAATCCCGCGCCTCCTCCTCGCCTTCGCCGCGCTCGTCGCGCTCTTAGCAGCAGCGGTCATCCTCCTTCCTGCGTCCTCCTCGTCCTCGCTACCAGTCGTCGAGCACATGCAGCGCTTCTTCCACCACCGCGCCGTATCACCGCTCGTCTCGCGCTTCTACGCCAACAGCAACAAGATCTCATCCTCGACCCCTTCCTACTACTACTCCACGAAAAACACCATGTCCGCCGACTCCTCCAACGCCAACACCGTCGACGCCGACTCCTTCCACCCGAAGGGCTCCTCGTCTTCCAACGACGACGTCAACACCAACAACAACGGACAACCCATCCTGCCACTTCCCGCCCCGGAAGAGCCCGGCGCGGCGCTGAAGCTGGACCTCGGCGGCGACGGCGTCAAGCTGGACGCGCTGGGGCCGATGGTGGTGAACACGGACGGCAGCTTGAGCCGGATCGCGAATTGGGATCGCATGGCGGAGATAGAGAAGAGGAATACGCTGCGGATTATTGGGAAGAGGAATAAGGAGAGGTTGGCGGCGTTGAAGGCAGAGGGGGAGGGGAATGCTTAGAGAGAGGGGGAGGGAGAGAGGATGGGGCGGTGTGGTTGTTTTTTTGTGGTGAAGCAACCCGAAGAAAACCCTGGAAAGGCGCTCGTCACTTGTGACTGACTCTGGCGAGAATATATCATCTTGAGTTTGAGGTTTGAGTCAAGGTGAAGATTGTCCTATAGAGTCTATCAAAACTATCTATGCAAAGTTATGTACAAGACTCGAGGGCAGAGCAGCACCAGGCAAATCATCACCGGAAAGGTTCCAAAAGGTAGTAGCAGTCGCTGCATGAAGTTGGAAGGCGGATGCTCAGTGGGAAACATCGTAACGCAGAGAAGTAGGCTTCTGGTCTTTCCGCAGGGGTATGATCGAGACCTTGGTCGGCATTGCGTAGCTCAGTGGCGTTGAGGCAATCAATGACCGCTTTGATGAATGTGATTGGTAGTATTGAGCTGATGGGGGCGTTTTGAATAGCGTTCCAACTCGTATGTGCGCGTCAACGCCAGGCCTGCTTCCAACCGGCAGGCCATCGATCTCTGAAATGAGGCAGTACAGTCGGGGACCAATGCTGACTAGGAATCTCTTTCACACAAGGTAGGCTGTGGTGCGACTTCTTGACGTTTCGGCCCGGATTCTGAAAGGCAGTATCGAAGAGACGTAGGTCAGGCTGTGTTTAAAGATTTTCCATGGACAGTGACAGTCTGTTATTCATTGCGTATAGTCGGAGAAGGAAGGACAAGGCATGCCCAATCCTTCCTTTTGTGGGGTAGAATTTATATCATGGGTAGTTGAAGCTATCGTCCGGTTGTAAATGTAGAATTAAAAACTGTACATTCATATCCGGACGATAGCTTCAACTACCCATACGTTGTTTTAATTTTATTCTATTTTTATTTTTATCTTTTTCTTTTCTTTTTTTTATTTATTTTTTCCTTTTATTTTTTTCATTTATTTTTTCCTCTCATTTTTTCATTTATTTTTTCCTTTTATTTTTTTTCTTTCCTTTTCTTTTTCTTTTTCTTTTTCTCTTTTCTTTTCTCTATCAAAAAAAAAAAAAAAGAACGTTAGCCCAGGCATAGTTACCCCAGATTTGGAGTTCTGAGGGTCCTACTATTCTTTTCGTGTAGCTTCACTGGCTGACCGTTGTATCCATGGTTGAGTCCTGAACCCTGAACACATATATTTACATAAAGGTGAGGCGAATTCTCTTCTAGAGACATTCTCATTCACGACTAAAGATGATACAACTATTCCTGTCATTTATCCGGCGCCTTTTGGGCTGCATTTTCGGCGACGGCGAAGTTGTTGCCCAGAAGGCCGCCTCTACCATCGTTCTCGAACCTCTGACCGCGAAAGAAGACACTGCCCCCGTACGGCCACCTTCCGACACGCAAAAGGAAGAAGAGACACCGCAAGAAACCAACGATGCAACGTCGACAGACCCTGGAGGGGCCTCCTGCTCGCGTGCCTTCCGTTCTTCTCGAACTTTCAGCCGTGCAAGAAGAGGAGTCCGACCTCGCAAAGTCATATTCCAACACGGGAAAGGAGGAAGAAGAAGAGCCAATCCCAAAGCGCCGCCTTACGCTGACGCCGTCATCCACAACATGCGCCACAGCTTCTTCCACCGCCTGCCCCTGGATCTCCTCTACTACCTCGTAAAGCACCACATCCACGATTCCGCCGATCTCCTTGCCCTTGGCGCCAGCACGCGCGCCTTTCTCTTTTCCCCCATGGCCGACGCGCCGTGGCTGTTCTCACTACTGACTTGCATCCCAACATTGCGCGACTTCCTCAAACGCCTGCGCCGCGACGACTTCATGCGCGCCTGCGCTGCAGAAGAACAACAACAACAACACGAACAAAAATATCCACGACCGACGGTCTATAACGGCGACGGCGAACTCCTCGTCCCCTGTGGCGCCTGCCAGAGCATGCACCGGCGCTCACTCTTCTCTGATGCACAGCTGGCCGTGCGCACGCACGCATCGCGCCTCTGCAAAGGCTCGGCCGGCGTTGTGCGCCTCTGCCCGCACGCGACGACGACCCTTGCGCAATTGTCAGCCCTCGAAGCGATGAGTCCGCATGGGGTCTGGCTATCTTGCCACGAGTGTGTCCGGCCGCAGCACGTTACGGTACTGTTGAGCACGATGTTCCGTTTCGCACCGGAAATGGAGTTTTCGGTAGTGCGGTTTGTGAAGGTAGACGAGGATGTTGCAGCGGATGGTGATGGCAGCAGCAGCGGTTCGTCGTTGGTCGCGGTGGCCGACGCCGAGCCGCACTTGACGCCCGAGATGACCTTCGGCGTATTGAAGGCCGCGGCGGAGCGCTATGGTGTCGTCGCGTGCAATCACATGCGGCTGGATGACCCCGAGACATTCAAGTCCAATGTTTGGACACCTGTCAGGCTTGGTGGCCATTTCGTCCATCATTCGAGTCACGGATGTCGAACTAGAACATGCCGAGGGTATGTGCAGGCGGTCTGGGTGTATTCACGCACGAATTCGGGCTCTTTCAGACGTGACTATGTGCGGTTACACGTTACACGACTCTTGGGGCAGTCGAGGTCGGCAGAAGATAAGCAGTGGCTTGATCAGATTGAAAACTTGGAGGAAATGTAGTCGTAATATGTACATTTCCACGTCAGGTATAATGGTTGGACCAAGAAAGAACAAAATAAAAACATGTATCCATACATCCAGTCCTTGGTTACCAAGCTCTCTTTGCAATGGCCCATCACATATCTGCTTGCACTTCTGTAATTCTAACTACTAAAATACCTGAAACTACTACGTCGTTCTCTATGCCATGCGGGTCAAGCTCATCTGTGGTGTCAGACTACCCGAGTTTCCACCGCAAAGCCCAGCTCTGCTTCAGTAGGCTTGCTTTCTACGTCACTTCCGCTTCGAACCTACGGCCGTGCCTTCCAGCTTAGGTGGCTGCGCTCGCACTACCGAGGTCCGCCTCGTTAAGGATTACACCAGAACGATCTTCTCCGAACATTCCTCCCAATCCATCCGAAGGCGCTGATATTCCCCCGTACGATCGAAGAAACATTCACGAACAACCTTGTAGCATGCAGAGAGCTCAGAGCCACGGTTCGAACGACGCAAAATGAAAGGCACATCTCCGCCGCTCAAGTCCCAGACTTCGTCCGCAACCTCTATCTCTTTACGCGCCAACCCAATCCCGCCTCTTTCGGTGATGAACATCCTTCGGTCATGAACATTTACAAACATCTCGTGTAAGAAAGGGATATGATGTTGTATGGTCCTGTCCTTCCAGCCCTCGACAAGTAGCTTCTCCAGCTTCGACATTGCCAAGAAGCATTGCTGATAATCTGCTTCAGTAGCTTTCCTGTACCCAACTCTGCCGTTATCATCCGCAACCTGGCCTGTGCCTTCTGGGTTCACGATCGACGTTCTGACCTGGCCACACAGCACAGCATTCCAGAAGGTGTTTGCACTGCGGCTCGACCCAGACTCTGTGATACTTCCAGCCAACCTCTTCCACGCGAAAATCTCGGCGATGAAATCTTCCCACGATTCGATGGGGGTTGACAGAGCTACAACGGCATCAAATTTGAGCGAGCGGATCAGCAGTCCATGATCTCGTGTCAAAGATGGTACTTCAAAGTACGAATTGGCAGCAGCGGATATGTCCGAAACAAACCAAGGGTCCTGGCTCATCGAGTTGTATATGTCCATGGAGGAAACCAGCCAATCCGGGAGCCACGAAGGGAACGAATCGTCCCTTTCTGGACTTCTTCCGCCTTCCAGCACTCCTAAATTCCGACTCTTCTTGATCATCGCTAAAGCCACTTCGGAGAACACCTGTACCGGCGATTGAGAGTAGTCCGCTACTACAGGCGCGATGTCACCCCAATCATTAACCAGGCCGAGGAGGCCGAATACCAAGTCTCTGTTGTCGGTGGCTTTTTGCATGTTGAAGGTACCTCGTAGCTGCATCAGGGAAAGCTCATTGCCCTGGCGGAAATCGGCACGTGTGCTGAGAATGCGGCCAAGGCGTTGTATGCTTGCAGCCAGAGAATTGAGCAGCTGCTCATCCGGAGAGGTCCTCAGTTGAATGATTTGCTGGCTACAGCACGCCCTTGTGTGCTGCTCGTACCAAGCATGGGCTCTCTGCCAGACGGAGATGGGAAGCTGTTCGGACGCGAAAGCGAAAACAGCGCGCGGGGAGACGGTTGCCTCCTGCACGATCCATATCCGCTTCCACCAGTCTTCGGTGAGAATGAAGCCGAGTTCACGGAAATGCGGTCTGAAGTACGGTTCTACAGACATGGCCAGCGTTCCCGGCGCATTGACTGCGAAGCACGGCGTTTCGTTGATGTGGCCGGTTCGAGCGAACATCTTCAGCAGCGAAAAGGCGTTTCTGGTTGGCTTCGACGTCGGTTGGGGCTTGCAGCGCTTTCTTTTTGAGTACCAGTCCTCGCCGAGCCATAGAATAGCTCTTTGGCAGGAATGGTAGATATCCTTCATCATGGCAACTTGGTGGCTTTTCTCCTGGTCGTCCTGTTGGTTGATGCAGATTGCGTCAATCCACATGACCCGCGGCTCGTGCGGATTTCGTAGCCTGCGAAGTGCCATCCAGAGATTTACTGTTGCCCAGAAGATCTTGTCTCCGATCAGGATTGGACACTGGTGACTTGCATCTCCCCACACATACGAAAGTGTCTCATACTTGGGTTCATTGTCGAGCGAGACGGCGTGAACTTCGCAACGTATTTTGGATCTCCACGATCCTGGGAGTATGGTGACGAGTCGAATTTCGTGGATCGAAGGATCAAGATTATCGTAGGTGAATGGTTGTCTGTCGGTGCGCAAGCCTTTCTGGATGAAAGGCTGCATTTGATAATAAGACATGGCTGCCCAAGAAGATAGCACTCGTTATAGAATCTACGGGTCGGAAGCAGTTTTGACAGCGGAAACGTTGTTATACTTGGGCGCAAGTGTTTTAGCATTCGAATGGCTGAGCGTCAGCATGAGAGGTACGCAGCCTTATAATTAGCACAACCGCACGAGAAAAAACATGTGTGGGGCTTCGTAAATCAGGCAGCAGCTGGGGGCCATTTAAGAAAGGTGACTAGTTTCCGAAATGCTGCTCCTCACCCGACAATAAATCGAACCTCGAGGCAACATCTATAAAAGCTTGTCTAGTATTAGTGTGGTGAAATGTGTATCTATAGAGTGGTATTAGAGCCGAAGGCCAGCGTGGATTTAAATGTTTTTCGTTCATTGGTGGTTGAAGCTATTATTCGGATGCAATTGTGGAATTAACAATTATACATATATTCTCGTCGGGACAATAGCTTCATGTTGTTATTTATAAAGAAAATTGCCGAGGCATAAGGACCCTAGATTCTAGGGCCTTCGCGCTAGCCTTCGGCTTCAGCACCGCAGCTATTTAAAGCTACAAGAAGCCACTAGCGCGGCGCTGCGGCCTTGAATTTCTCCAGTTGCCAAGCAAAACAATTGCGTCATTGTAAGCACTCGCATATGCGTCTCACCATCCCGCCGCGAGCCAATAATTGACTCTCCTCTGCTTCTCTGCTTAAACCGAGGGGCCTTGCAGCGAACCCTTCCCATTCCCTCCACAGATCTCTGTATACCTATCGTCAGGACCTTTTCCGGCACCCGCGCAAACTTTATCTGCCTTTCCAATCTCTCAAACGGCCGCCGATCGCCCCCACCGCCTCCACATTCTCAGTTCCATCTCCCACCCCGATCAACGCAGCGGTCCACAATGTGTTTCTGCACCGGCACCACCGAGGCAAGGACCCCAGCCTTTCTCACCCTCGCTCACTCCCTCCCAACTAACGCCACACCCCACAGTACGCACCCTACGACGAGCCCCCACCGCGCGTGACGACGCACACGGCGTACCAGCGGCCCACCTCGCGACACAGCTACCGCTCGTACCACCGCAGCAGCACCGGCCACATCGCCGCGCTGCCGCCGCCCAGCGCCCGCCGCTCGTACGACCACCACTACTACCATCGCTCCAGCGCGCACTCGCTGCCCGCCCCCGTCGTCTCGGAGCGCCGCTACGTCGAGTACCGCGAGCCGCACCATGCGGTGGCGCATCCGGCGAGGCATAGCGTGCAGTTGGTTGAGAGGAGGCCGAGGGGGGTGAGTAGGGAGAGGGTGGTGATGGTGTAGGGTGGGTGAGGAATTTGGGAGAGAGAGGCGTGAGGAGGGGGGTGATGAGGGAGGGAGGGGTGGATGTATACACGAGGATATGGGTTACGATGTCATGATGGGCGGGTTAGCTTTGGGGGGATTTAGCCTTCTTGGAGAGCTATGTGCGTAATTGTTAAAAGGTAATACATATTAATGATGGTTCTCTTTCTTAGATCCTGCTTCCGGTGTCATGGTGGTGGGGGCGAAAAGAGATGGGTGGAGAAGAAGGCTTGCTACTGCGAGGGATCAACATTTGCTATCGATAGACGGAATGACGAGTCCGATAGGACACGCAACTCATCTCCACTTTTGGAGACAGGCCAAGAGATCGCGAGTAATTGCGAACGGGGAGATTAGGGGCTGCTCGTCAGGTTCCACAGCGTGTCCGGATTCAATGGTTCCCCTTAGCTCCGCCAGGCTTTATCAACGACCGTTAGGTCTGGAATCCGCCTCACAGGAGCCGCCATCTCGACAAGGAACCAATCATACTGGTAGCGGCCAACCACGATTCCGGGGAACCGAAGACCACGTGGGGCTGAACAACGCTTGGATCCACAACCCCGCACTGAAACCCTGTGCAGACTGCCTGATCTGGTTAGGAATCAACTGGCGGCACTTTCTTGGTGTTGATGCCTTAACTGCCGGCCAGCTGCTCCTACAACTCGCGTCACAGGAGTTTTGTTACTCCCATTCTATTCTACCTTGGTCGTCCAATTTCTCTGCCTCTAAAATGCCTCTTCACAGCTCATTGAGCCTTCCGCGCGAAGGTAGAGATCCCCAAAACTCTGAAACAACTGTTTGAGCATGCGGGAACTAACCTTTTCCAGGCTTCACTATCGACGTCCTCGGCCGCATTCTCAAACACACAGCCCTCAACCCCGTTATTACCTTGCCGCTCCTCCTCCTCGCCCGCTTCACACAAAAAGGCCAAGGCTTGACCGCCGCCCACCCCAAACTACTGAAACACCTCAAAACGCTCCTCTACCTCGGCCTCGCAGACCGCATCAGCGCCTGGCTCGACCGCAACGCCGCCAACAACTGGACGCGCGACGACACCTGGGACTGGTCTGACTCCGGCAACGAGCTCGTCGTCGTAACGGGCGGCAGCGACGGCATCGGCAAGGAAATCGTGCTCCAGCTGGCCGCACGGGGCATCCGCGTCGCGGTGCTGGACATCCAGGCACCGACCTGGACCGATGACGCCGCCGCCGCCAACCTACCCACCGTTTACTACGCGCACTGCGACCTCTCGTCGCCCCCCTCCATCGACGCCGCCCTCGCCGCCGTCCGCACGCACTTCGCCGGCCGCGAGCCGACCGTCCTGATCAACAACGCCGGCGTGTGCTTCGGCAAACCACTCCTCGAGACACCGCCGCAGCTCGTCCGCAAAACCTTCGCCGTCAACACGCTCGCCCACTTCGACCTCGCGCAGCGCCTGCTGCCCTCCATGATCGCGCGCGACCACGGCATGGTCGTGACGGTCGCCAGCCAGGCGGCCTTCGTCGCGGCGCCGCTGCTGGCCGACTACGCCGCCAGCAAGGCCGCCGCGCTGGCGCTGCACGAGGCGCTGGCGGCCGAGCTCGCGACCGTGTACAACGCGCCAAGGGTCAGGACGGTGGCCGTGTGTCAGAATTACACGCGCACGCGGCTGTTTGAGGGGTTTAAGGAGGGGGATGGGTGGGTCAATTATACGCTGCATCCGCAGACGGTGGCGGAGGCGGTGGTGGGGAAGGTTTTAGGCGGGGAGAGCGGGTTGGTGGTGCTGCCGGCGGCGGGGTGGTGGGTTAGTGCGAAGGTGAGGGGGTGGCCGTTGTGGATGCAGGTTGGGTTGCGGAAGAGGTGTGTGGAGCTGATGCAGGGGTGGAAGGGGAGGGTGGTCGAGCAGGGGAGGGAGGAGGAGGATGGGAACGATGCGGGGAAGGAGGCTGGAGTGGGTGAGGAGAAGGCGGCGTAGGCGTGGTTCTTCGGGAAGAAGGCATTGGATGGTTGAGTCCGAGTGGGTAGGGGATGCAGGACTTGGCGAGCTGACGAACGATGGCGTTCTCCCAACGTGTAACTCTCTCTGAGCCCCATATACTGACATTAACTTTTACAAACAATAATCGCAGGTGGAGCCTGTTAATTGTCCGCTGCATCTTTACTAAGGAATACGAGATTCTGGATGCGGGTCTGTCGGCTTCGCGCGGAAGGCCAGTCGACATTCCTGCGCGTTGCGGCTGGCATTGCTTCTATCGTTGAGTCGCTTTACGAGTATTCTGCTTGTTGTCTGTAAATAGGCTTCAGACGTACCTGAACAAACGCTATGGTAGGAAGGATATCCTTACCGGAATGGGCCAAGGTTGTTTTGAGTTTAATTGATTTCTGCTTGTGTTGACACATTCTATTTTCAGCCGTACACGTGGAGCGCTAAGCATTGTGACCAACTCGAGGCCATGGCAATCCGCGTTTCGCAGAAGTCGAACCGGCACATTTCATGTGAAGGACAACAGCATCGCATTCCCTGCTCTCAGCGTGCTTTTGCTGATATTTCGACATACTCATCGTCTAGTAAAGCAGCTGTAGTACATGTGAAAGCAATAAAAGGAGGTCCAGCGAAGAGGTTAAGGTTTTGCGCTAGCGCGCTAAAGTAGGGTAATGCCCTACAAGCCCGTGAATCGCACGGAGGGATATCGCAGCCGAAGGCTAGCGCGATGAATAGATCGATGGATAACTATCAATTTTCTTCACAACACCTGTAGATAGTTCAAGCTATCATCTGAACATGAATGTATAATCATTAATTCCACATTTTCGTGCGCACAATTGTTCAGCTACCAACCCCATAACATGAGCGAACAACAAATTCGCCTTAGCCTTCGGCTGCAATGCCCTTCTGCAGAATGTCAGCGTCCGGAAATGCGGGTTAAAATTATACTCACAAACTAACTACGCCTCCGAAAGGAGTACGCTTCATCCAAGAACGGAAATACTTTGTCTTGTGGTGGCTTCCAATAACCCGCACTGTTCAAGCCTGGGCAAAATCTACACGACGTTCCGGATACGATGGCCCGCTTTCTATCAAGTATAAATTGATATGTGGAGCACCTATGGCAATCACCATCAAGGCCTCACTTCAGCACTTCATTGCCTCCAGGTGATCATCCGCAGAATCTGGCACTCGTCCTTCCCGAAACAAGCAACCACAATGCTGTTCAATCTCCGCACCGCCGCTGCAGCGGCTCTTGCCTTCATGGCTGTCCCATCTTTCGCTACCAACGCTGGCGATATCGTCGGGTCGATCCATGCCCTGACTGCCAAGGCGAAGGCCCTGCACGACACTTGTTCGTCCGTTTACTCCGGACCCCAGGGAGGCTATGTACGACCACGCTTTCACTTGTGTCCTGTTTCTTGATTGGAGAGGGAATGCTGATATCGACCCTCTTTTTCAGGCCATCGACGACAAGTTCACTGAAGTTGTGGTCGAGGCCAAGGCCTGCTTCGAGATCGTGAAGACGGCTCATGGCTATTCCGCCGTCTACACCGAGGAAGAGTCCATCAAAATTACCGAGGCCTGGAATGACGTGAGCACTCTTCGTCCCTACTTACTCCAATGACATCAACTGACCACCCGAACCAGTGTCTCGGTGAGCACGAGAAGGTCGTCGTCTTCCTCAAGGAGAGCACCACCGTCTTCGAGAAAAGCGCCAAGGTCATCGTCGACTTCAGCCAGCAGCTTGTGGAGATCTTTGGCGTACGTCAAACAGCCCCCTTCTTTCCCCCCTTTTTTCTCAAACTACAGGCTTAGACGCTTCCGTGTACCTGATGCAAGGCTAACGTCAATATAGCATATCACGGATACCCTTCAGGACATCTGCCCCCCGCAGAAGCCGCATATCCAGGAGCTGTGGCCGCCTGTCCAGAACAACTTCCAGACTTGCATCAGTGAGTATGGCGGTAAGGGCGGCTGGCGTGCGAAGAGGGCCTTTGTTGCCTAAATAGCGCATCGTGGGTGCGAGATCTGGGTTACCTAGATCGAGACACTCCAGCATCAGATTTGCTCTACATGCCGATACACTTTAGCGAGTGTGGTGGAGGACTTGATTGTAGAGGGAAAAAAAAAGTTACCATTGTTTCAGGTGGATGGATAATGCTATAATATAAGTCTTGTAATAGCATGTATACTAAACACTATACATGAAATTTTGGGATAATTGGCGGAAAACGGTTAACATCGATCAACCTGTGAATTTGGAAATCAATGTGGTCACCTGCCGCGATGATGTCGCTTATTTTGCGGTTTTCGGCAAGTTGCATGCGTGCCACTCATGTGACTAAACCCAGGAACCTCCCTGTGCTGACAGCTGAAGGCATCCACTCGTCGCAAGGCTGTCCAAGAACAAGTCGCCATTTTCTTTCATCTCATAACCAACACACCCATGACGGTATCTACAATTCCAAAACGCTTCCATGGAATCAGGCGTCAATGGAAGGACTCGCAAGAGGAAGGCCTCGCAAGTCATTGAGAAGCCTGCGAGGGGTCAAGAAGGGCTTTCCGCGCAAGGCGCGCGACGCAGCGTAATCGCGTCCCCTCGTGCTGTGCCCCAATCACACCATACCCTGGTCAGTGCACCCAGGGCTGCCTTTCCAACTCAAGGCGGACCAAGGGAGAAACAGTCTGGTAAATGACACTCTGTTGGCCTTATCCATTATGAACTAGGAAAGCTTACGTAATTCAGAAGGGCAAGAACCATCATTCCAAGTCGAGGCCGTTTCTTCAAAGACTTACCTAAAGGCTTTCCGGTTGAGAGGAATACCGCAAGAGTACACGGTATTCGACATAGTTCCTGCAATCAACAAGGCAGTCGGATCCCACGCAAGCATTGACGTTGAGGTGTGCTCGCTGGCGGGTGATCCATTTCGGCCGAACGAGAAGATAGCAACCCTGGAATCTCCAAATATTCCTGACAGTGTCTATGTGGAAGCAGCAAAAGATGGTTGGACTTTGGAGACCAGTCCTCCGGAAGCTGGCGGGAGGTTTGGCCGAAGAAATCAGATGATTATGGATACTCATTTCCATGGGTTCACACCATTGCACTCATGTGAAGATGATAAGTGCACTTTTGAGTAAGTATTACCGCTGTATAATTCTCCAGTATTAGTCTAAAGATTGGACAAGCGTCGTTGCTATATCGGGATTGGGTGGTCATCCTTTCGGCTCGTTCAAAAAAAGAGGAGGAAATTTCATGTGGCTTCGAGACGCTCTTCCCGATGATATTAGTGGCGCCCGCGTCTTCATTTACGGCTACGACACCCGGCTCGATGGCAGCACCTCTTTCCAAAGCATCACAGATATTGGTTGCAACTTTCTTACGGATATCCAAGCGATGAGATACAATGAGGTATGGCTTTGTACCACTTTAGCCTCCTAGCTGGAAAGTGCTCTGGCTCTGACCTGTAGTAGAATTCGGATGTTCAGCGACCTCTCGTTCTAATCGGACATAGCCTGGGCGGTATAATCACAAAGGAGGTTTGCAAACCCACCTCTATGGTTTGTAAATTCCCACACTCACCGTACATAGGCAATCATTCAGATGTCAGAAAATTCGTCAAATCGGGACCTTCTCAAATCTATTCGAGGCATATTGTTTTTCGGTGTCCCAAATCAAGGGATGGATATTCAGTCATTGATTCCCATGGTGGGCGATCAACCTAACAGATACCTACTTGAAACGCTCGACAAAGCTTCTGAAAGACTCAGACTTCAATCAAAACAATTTAGAGAGGCTTTCGTTTCTCGAGGCTCTGAAATCGTTTCGTTTTATGAGACCTCAACTTCGCCAACTGCAGAAAACGTAAGTAACCAGTCCTGGATACTGTTACTAGGAATATCTAACATATCCCACAGAAGAACGGAATATGGTGCATGTCTGGTCGCCCCGCTGTTCTCGTCGACCGTGCATCCGCAATATACGCGGGGAACTGGGACGGCTCTGGACAAAATGTTTATGCGGTTGATCGAACACATTCTGATCTGGTGAAATTTCCTAATACGTACGACAAAACCTACCAAGCTGTGGTGTTCCATCTGAGAAGGCTGAGAGGATTAAAGTGCACTCCTAAGTGTTGGTACTCCACCAATACCTTTTAGGCAAATACTGACAACGCTTAGCGGATTCGCAGGAATTGTCCAAGGAGGAAGAGGGTGAGACTGAATCGAATAAGAGAATTCCATTTTGTACTGACTGATTAAGATTGCCTCAGATCACTTGCAGTAATGGAGCAATTTCGACGACAAGACCAAATCGTACCTGCAGACGGTACCTGCGATTGGCTCACGGATCATGACACATTCTGGAAGTGGCTTTCTCATTCCCAGGGAATGCTGTGGATCAAAGGCAAGCCCGGGGCAGGGAAGTCAACCTTGATGAAGCACAGCCTGAGTATCCTCGAGAGGCACCTGGCTGAAGAAAGGGCGCTCATTGCTTCATTCTTCATATATGCTCAAGGAGAGCAGATGCAAAGATCGGCGCATGGGCTTTTTCAGTCGATTCTGCATCAGCTATACCTCAGATTCCCAGCTCTACCTGTGCTACAGGACCTCACCAACACCTTCCAGCGAAGGAGGCAAACCATTGGGCCGCACGGTGAGAAATGGAGCTGGAGCCTCGGTGAGCTGAAGGATACGCTTCGATCAGTGATGAAACAAGCGTCTAAAGCCCGACCAGTAGTCATCCTCGTCGATGCTCTCGATGAACTTGGTACACAAGCTGCCACAGATGTCATTGACTTTTTCAGCAGTACAATGGAGCATCTCGACAGGTTCTCCAACCTCCGAATATGCTTCTCTTGTCGGCATTATCCCACACTGACCCTGGCTGAATGTCTCAAAATCATTGTCGAAGAAAGAAATGACAGAGACATTCACACCGTTATCAGACGGAGGCTTCACAGTTTGCCAAACTCGCAACATCTGGAGGCTTCGATAGTCGAAAAGGCCAACGGAATCTTTCAATGGGCAGATCTGGTAACTGCTCATATACGAAAACAACACCTGAAAGGATTTCCATCTTCGATGCTTGAAAAGGCAGTCAGAAAATATCCAGGGGACTTATTTTCCCTTTACTCAGCCCTATTGCTTGAGTCCTCAGAAGACAGAACACAGACAATAAGGCTGTTTCAATGGGTTTGCTTTGCAAATAAGCCGTTGTCGGTGGCTCAACTGCACCATGCCGTCATTGTGGATGCAGATGTTCCATCAAACTCAATCGATGAGTACGAAACGATTCACGAATCCGGGAACTCGGGACAAGAAATTGAACTCAGATTTCGCCACCTTTCCAAGGGACTCATTGAACTTTCCAGGAACGATGAGACGCAGAGCATATTTGATGCTACTGTGCATTTTATCCATCAATCCGTGCCCGAATATCTCTTGAGTCATGGTTTCGGCGAGCTGGACCCTCGTTTGAAGATTCAACCAGCCGAACGCGGACACCTGCAGCTCGCACTAACGTGTATTCAGTACTTTAACATGCTCGAAATCGAACAGGGAATCATGACCCGACTTGAGATTCCTGATGAATCAGTCTACGACAAGGAACACACCATCCCCACGTTGGATACCTATCCGTTTCTCCGCTACGCTCTCCATAATTGGAATCGACACGGGAGGTTGGCAGAAGTCCTGGAAGATGGTCCAGACTCCTTACTCAAACCCTTCAAATGGGGCGCGAATGCAGCTTTCAACAATCTCAAAGCCAAAAGAGAAGTGAGCGCAGATGCAGATAAATACTTCAATTTGGTTCTCTCGACCATCGGGCGTGTTTTTCTGGTCTGGAGGCACTTAGCCCTTGACCCAACTTATGCAAACCCGCAATTTACACACCATTTTGGGAGCCTCCGGGATTTAAACTCGCCTTCAGTGTACAAATTCGTTCCTCGCTGGGATGGAAACGTAATCGTTCAGTTCCTAGTGCATGAGGGTATGTGGCGTACTCTTGACCTTTTAGAGCGACGCAAACCCCTCGATCTCGGCACCCACGCCTGGGTGGATAGCCATGGTGTACCACTTGTCGTTGCAGTTAATTCTGCACAGACAGACACTGTAAAGTTCCTAATCGGTTTCCGCAACGTCAATGTAAACTGTCGAAACAGATCTACCTTGAAGACTCCACTGCACTACGCTGTGGAACAAGGATGTTACGAAATTGTGGACCTGCTTTTAACTCGACCAGACATCAATCCTGATCTGAGAGACGCGGACGGCAACACTCCATTTACGTTGGCGAAAACACCTGACATAGCCCGCTGTCTCCTGAATACTGGAAGGGTTGATCCTGGGGCTAGGAATGAACATCGTACAACAGCACTACACTCTGCTGCTGAACATGGATATGCAGCGCTCTGCAGATTCCTCCTGAATGCTGATGGAATCAGTCTTAATGACAAAGACACAGCTGGCCTGACTCCCTTCGCTAAAGGGATCTTATACCAATGGACGGATTCTGCTGAAGGTTTCAAGACGGTGAAAACATTCCTATCGACCGCTGGAGTTGATCCAGATGCCGAAGACATTGAGGGTCGGACACCTTTGATGCACGCAATTTGTCAATCAAATTTTTCGATTGTGCGGTTGCTATTGGAAGACGCAAGAGTGAACCCAGACTCAAGAGATATGTACGGCCGAAGTCCACTTTCATACGCAGCCGAAGTCGGAGAAACAGAGATCTTACAGCTCTTGCTTGATACAGAAAAAGTAGATGTCAACGTTAAAGCTACCAGGAACATCCGCGAGCCATTTGGACTTCCGGGAAGAAACCCTCTTGTACGGATCGAATGGGATGTTGAGGGTACCGATGAAATGGAAAAAGCTGATTGTATTGGCTACACGCCTTTGCATTACGCATCCCTAAAGGGACATACAGCCATCGTGAGGCTTCTTTTGGGCACTGGAATAGTCGAACCAGACGCGCGATCCAGTGCCGAGCGTACACCACTTTCCCTCGCAGCTGAAGAGAGCAACGACGAAATTGTACAAGCCTTACTAGCCGTGGGGGATGTTAATCCAGACTCAAGAGACGTCCAGGGAAGGAACCCACTCTCTTATGCCTTGGGTGGTACGACTTATGAAGCCGACCGAGCTGCTGTTGTTGAACTTCTACTTGACACCGAACAAGTGGCCCCAGACTCAAAGGACACTAATGGGCGCACACCCGTTTCCTACGCCGCATCGACAGGAAGCTGGCTTCCCTTAGCAAGTCTGCTATCCAGACATTCCGGATTCGACTTGAAATCAAAGGACGATAGCGGCAGGTCTCCTATCGATTATGCGCAACAGCAGCTAGATTTGGCAGAGCAGTGTCGCCAGAAGCCTCGGCTTAACATTGGAAAAGACGAGTATCAGTCCGCGAAGACGGTTTTGGAAGCATTGCAGAAGAGGCTTGAGGCAGTTTAGGGTTATAAAATGAGACGCTGGATGATTTTTTTTTTTTTTGGATTTCTTGGGGATATTGAACCTGATCCGCTAGAAGGCGGAGGCAAGTCAAGCTGAGTAGGTCAGTCGGAAAATTGAGAATGACTCTTTGAGCCTTTCAACTGCACACTCCAGCCATAACCCTAGATCACCTCTCTCCAACTAAAGAACTTGAATGTTAGTAGTTCGTGACCTTGGCTAGCTTCTATGTGGAAATTGAAATCCCTTCAATGAGATCGTAATGATGTATATTAGCCGCGTGCATTTGAACAAGATAAATGTTCACCAGATTCAGACAGTAAAAATGCTGTTAAACAACAGCTTCATTCTCTTCTCACATAGGGCCAAGCATCATGCTGTGTAAAATGGCACTGGAGAAATGGTATGGAAATTTCCTACGTATCAGTACAACGCAAAAAACGCAGCGCTACAGGCGCTCAGTCCCACGACAGCCCAGCCACTTCTTATGACCGCAATATTCGTCATTCCCCTGCCAGTATCCCAGACCAAATGCCGAAAGGCCCCGTTGAAAGAGTGAAAGAAAAAGGTGAACCCAATCAGCCCTTTCGCGCTGGCTGTCAGCACAGCCGGCCAAGCTGCCACGGTAGCGGCAACGCTTTCTGAACTCAAGTCCCAGCCGAGAAAAGGGGCGGCTGCATATGCTGCGAAGAAGACGTATAGGCCTCCGGAGATTGTGCACCCGGCGATACGGCTCGATATGGAGAGGACGGAGGTGATTTGCGGCCGGTAGATGGTCGCGTGTGGAGATACGGGGCGGCGCAGGCGTTGTTTCTCGAGGATGGTGCGGGATTCCTGGGGAGATAGGGACTGGATGGAGACGGATCTGCTGGGGATGGAAGTTAGTTTCTGGTTGCTGGAGTAAGGCTTCTGATGTGTCTACCTCGAAGAATGGGTTGTAGCCGTAAGTGGAGAGGTTTGGCGGCCGAAGGGCATGGTGCGGCGCCAGGCTAGCTGGGCAGTACGCTGACGGAACATTTTCATTCGATCTTGATGTTGAGTAGAAGGTATGACTGTACTGCCGAGAATCTTGGAAATTCACAGGTGTGCTGGATTCAAAGGGAGAGGTAAAACTTTGGAGTGATAAAGCATTTCGGGTGACTTCGGGCATTCGGCTACGGTCCAGGACGGTACGGCTTTATATCGAACACAAACGAACCGCTGTCATCAACCCAGGCATTTCTGGGGAACCCTTGAATCCGAAAAGGGAATGGTTTACGACAGGAGGCTGCAGGGCTGTCAGCGGCTAGCCGAATCGTCTCGGCGCCAAGCCTGAGCGTGATTGGAGGGTGCTGGGGACAATGACGTGTAAAAGAAACTCCATCATTTATCTAATCAATCAATCTAGTTCCGATAGCTCTCTAGAGTCCACGTTTTCTCAAACCTGTGTTTCCGAATCAGACCTCAGATACATCTTGAATGTGTCCGCATATCCCCCGCCGAGCTTATCCGTTATTTCGCTGGGGTGTGCAATGTTGAAGAGGACCATGACCGCCAACATCAAGCATGCATCGAAGATGTAGAGGAACACCTCATGCTTAAGCAGATAGCCGTTGTTCCCGGAGATGTACTCGATGACCCTGAAGACAGACCGGACGAAGACAAACAAGCTCGCAGCCATCAACACAAAGAAGTGTTTGCGCCACTCGATGTTCGGATCCATGCTGCGGCCAGTGGGCTCCTTTTGCATCCGCATGTAGAAGAGCGTGCTAACGAACATGAAGAAGCCGAAGAACAGCAGCTGAACGAAGAGGCCGAAGATGACAATCTTCTCGCCCGTGTGCATGGCTGCCAACGTTCCCATAGCCATGTAGCCGCCGCCGCCCGACTGCGCCAGGAGCGAGATGACGTCGCCAGTCACGAAGAGCTTGGTGAGCCACTTCTTAGATATGACCGAATGTTTCTCGCCGTCGGTGACGAGGATGATGCGGCCGAGTACCATGTAGACGGATGCGGCGAAGAAGGCGGGCGCGATAAGGAGGAGCAGATTTTGTATGATGTATGGGCCGAGGTTCCACTGGTCTTTGGCGGACATGGCGCGGCCGATGTATCCGATGAGTTGGCCTGCGGTGGATGGGTGGTCAGCATTGTGTTGGCTGCAGCAGCCATCGAACGCGGGTGGACTTACAGAAGCCGCCGATGATGAGTGGTATAAAGTACCACGTCTTCGTGCGTACACATTGCCATAGGTGGTAAGCCGTCGTTATGATGAATGCGATGACGAAGAAGACGGCTGCACCAAGGCTGGGGTGGTAGCGGTAGAAGACGAAAGCATTCGGATCATCAAGCGAAGGGTGGTAACTGGAGGACATTTTGAACGAGTGTGACGGATTTCGATTGCAATGAGAGTCGGCTGTAACGAGGCGGTTGTTGAGAATGAACTGTTCTCAAAATCGAGACGAAGACGGGTACTTAAGCACCGAGGGCGCCAGGCAATGTACTATCTTTAGGCCTGGACGGCATAGTAGTGTTTCGTATCCACCACAAGAACGCCTCGATCCTTAGAAATTTCCGCGAACACCAAAGGCAGCGTGGCCCTGTACTTGTGGACTTTACTGGAGATGCTCGTAAGACGTTTACACGAGTACGCTTACGATGCTCGCTTAACTGCCCTAAATGTCGCCTTGACCATCAAGCTACGGATTGACCAATCGGATAACACCCTGTACGCTGGTTGTTCCAGAAGGACTCACTGCGCCACCTCCCGCTTCAACTTCGCGCCACAAGACGAGGCACACATGAACGTGAAAATCGTTTGATGCAGAAGGAAGGACCCACATGTACCGGGACTAAGTGATTAGCTGCGGCGTGCCTTTCGGACTCAGTTTTCACTCGGCCGAATCGCTGATTCCCCTTCTGGAGCAGAACTTGGGCGTCGAAGCATCCCCACCAATCCCAGCTGCGGATCATCTCTGACAAGGGCATGAAAAATGGAGACGATCTTGATCTGGGAAGTATAATGCATATACTATATGCAACGCAATAGGCTACTAAGCGAGATCCTGGCCCATATTTATCGAACCGGAAAGTACAACGCTGCATTGTTTGCAGCGTTGGCTGATGGCCTTGATATTCTAATGTTTTGAGACTACAAAACCGTCACCTATGAATCCACTGGAGCAGCGGTGTTCACGATGGCAGCAACTTGTCCACGTCTGGCGTCACTATTACCGACGGGCACTTAGTATTCGCCATATCCTACATCATCACGCCGACCGTCATGGTCTAGGAACGGTATTGTCGACATCACCACGATCATGCACTCCGCCATCTACGAGCGGAAGAATGTAGGATGCCAAGAGAACAGCAGCAGCGCGAGCATAGGAACGGGACACAACATCACGCACGCGGTCGGCTGCATGGAGATGTCATATGGCGGCATGACCATCGCGAGAGGGATGGTTAAACTCTACACGCTGCTACCTTGCCCCCTCGGTCCGACGATAATGTTGACGCCAACGGGAGCGGGTACGCGGGCTGGGGTCTCAACGACGCAGACTGGTAAGCGCATGCAGCCTTAAGTAGTTCTTTTTAGGTTTCGAAACCCCGGTCGCTGATCAGAGGCTCGCGCATTGCTTCTTCTACCGCGGGTGCGGTGCAGGTTAGTGTGCCTATCCTTGAGCCCTTTTCTGCAATTTTGGCGATGTAATAATGTCATTGATTCGACAGAATAATTTGCAAAGTAGGTAGTTATTGAGTAATTAGCTGCGTGGTAATCTCGAATTCGCTTTAAATCGTTGGTAGGTTTTCTCCGAGCACGAAGGCATCCGGCATTTTTCCAAATACCGGGTCTCAGGTACTATGCGTATCCAAGGTAAGCATGACTTTAGTTTCAAACTTTATTCAATCACCGGTAAGGGTCCTGTCCGTCTTGACGTCATCTCCACAATTCCTTAAATATTATTTTCTCCCGCACAATATTCAGAGTGGACAAATCAAACGTTACACCGCGGCTGGGCATCCGGGCTTTTATGGTCACCGACAAACCCAGCGTTTTGTACGCATGAGTCATCCGTCTTTCAATCAAAAAACACCAAGCCCAATTCAGAATGGTATGTAATCCACGCAATGGCGCCCTGCACGTGATTTGATCGGAACGGCTTCCGGCTCCGCCGTGGCTCCACTTAAGTCCCATTAGGCGCACAGTTAGACCCTCAACTACCCTCTTTGAAACTGACGGTGCCCTATCTCCAAGAAGGTTTTGTCGCCTACGTCCGGAGATACTCCCTTCCGAAGTCCCCATGGCTTCTGAATTTCGCCCTCTTCGGCCCGCGCCGCCCCCTTCCACATCACAACCTCATCACGACTTGGATCAGCCATCGACGAGAAGGACCCGGACAGTTCGTAAGAATCTAGTCAATGCCGCCTGCGATGCTTGCAGAAAGCGGAAGACGAAGGTGACCAACCTGCGGCGCGACTAACCATCGGATTCATGGGAAGCTGACTAGGGGTGCGAACAGTGCGACGGAGAGCGGCCACTTTGCGGCCAATGCCGGAAACGACTGAGCGAATGTGCTTTTGAGACGATCGATTCCGAGCAGACGCGAGCTCAAGCCACGAAATTGAAACTCGAGCAGTTAACGTCCGACTTGAATAACGCTACCCAGATCCTAGACCACTTGAGAATGGGCTCCGATGAAGAAGTCGCACACATCATCGCGCGATTGAGGACGAACGAGACGACTGCATCGATTGCGACATCCCTCGATCCAGATCTACAAGCATACATCTCAACCGATAATGCCCATACGGGAGCAGATTCCCTGACAATGGTACCTGACAGCTCCAACTCATACCTCGCTATGCAAAATTACGGTACAGGTGTGTCTTAGCGCTCTTTCTTTATCCCTTTCGAAGATTCCGTAACCTCCAAACGGTCTGGAATGCTGAGCGACCATTTGTGAATTAGGCCCCAACAACGACCGCACTATCCACGGCGCCGCGCAGTCCTTTGAGCCCTTTCAAAGTGGAGGAGACAACAGATTCACGTACACAGGCTTCCCAGAGCCCAATAACTACCCTTCTTCGTTGGCCGCTAATACATGGTCGTGGCATCCGGTTTCCGATTTCCCTAGTTCAGCTTTTGTTCGTGGTGGGAATGACGGAAGAAACGACGGGGACCTTGATCGACATTCGCAAGCAACACAGCACATACAACATAATACAAACTTCCAATCTTCTCCAAGCTACATCAGCAGCTTCGAAAGTATTCCCATAGATTCGGTGCTCGCAACTGGTTTCCCAGGAGTGTACCAGCAGTACCAGCTACTGAGTTCCTCTAGTATGCGCCACTACAGTATCCTGTTACTCCGTGTGCCTAAGAACTCCGTTCTCCCTGAGTGTATCTCTAACTCCGTGAGGCGGCTCTGAAAATCATTTCAAACAGCATGCCGGGACCAGCTGTGCTTGAATCTGGGGATAATGTGGGTATCCAACGCCTCTTGAGTGATCAAACGCCAAGCCGTATCGTGTATGAGTTCACGAAGAGTATTCCGTGATTTAATGTCTTCGTGGAGATTTCTTTCATGCCACAGGTCAGCAGGCTTTCCGTGGAACTGACATAGAACAGCGTGCAATACAAGCCAGGTTTGGCTCTTCGGATCACTATGCCGAGGAAGACCAATGTGAGGCTCCCATGCCCTCCTTGCTTTGGTGAATTACACCTCTCCCCCTTGCGCCCTCTGCCACTCTTTTCGTCGTCTTGTCAATGTTTCAGGACCCGGTCCGTTCCACAAGGATGTCGATGGTACAAACACCGGAGATGGTCAAGCAGTGAACGATCCCCCACTCACCAGGTGGTGATCCGATGACCCACAGTGCGCATCTTCCGCAATGACCCCCTCTGATGATTTTCCCGTCCCCACAGTCCTCCGACGAACCAATGCCTTTCCACCTTGCCTCCTGTCCCCACTCTTGTTGTACACACATTCGCCTCCACTTTTCCTACGAGAGCAATCCTTACTCCCACCTTTTTCTTCCGATTGCTTCTACACCATTCACCCCCGGGTACATACATGCGTTGTGGAATAAGTAGGGCCTGGAGACGCACGCATTTCTCGACACTGGAGGTGGATGGTGGGAATCAAGGGCACTGAGGTTGACTGTCATTTGTTCTCATTGGTTGTGCCGTAAGAGCGAGGTGGTGCCGCTCTGAGGATCATCTTTCCTTGCTTCTGAAAGATGGCTTCTACTATTATGTCTGGCTTTTGGTACGCATGACAGGCTTGCATTATCACAATGGCATGATGTACCTTTGGTAAGGATGATGCTCATCACCGTTCTATTTAATAAGCTTTTGTTAGTCAGCCTGAGAAAAAGCTATTACTATAGCCTCATTTTTTCAACCGTTTCTGTCGAAAGAATTATTGTCGTGATGACAATGACCGACTTTATTCAACGGAGTTTCAGTCTGCTTCCTGACTGGTATTACTATATTAGCTTCATATACACCTCCTTTGCATGCCACTTATATCGTTATTTCCGTAGAATGAAAATGGTGGTAAACAAGGTGCGCTTCATTTATAAGCCTCGAACATTTCCTAGTAGGTGAGATATTACTTTCGACTCTGATAAAATCCGTAAATTTTCTCTGCTACGAAGCTTTTTAAAGGTGAATTGAATACTAGTATAATATTTTAGGGAGTTTGTTCTACGTGTCAGGTTCAACCTTATTATGCTATTTACTTGTAGCCTTAGCTTGAGACCTTTCTGTATTGTTCTAGTGTGTTTTGTATTGAAAAGCGTTTTCTCTGTGTGTAGTATCTCTTAGAATAACAGTTCGCCTAATCTTGATAACGCATCCTAAACCCTGTCCTATAGAATGTTATTTAAGAAAGACGATATACGTGGATATTGGAAATTAATAGCGCGAAAAAGCGTGAATACTAATTTTCTCGAAGAGGCACAACTTAAGACCAGACAAGAAAATTTTCTACTTGAGGATGGCAATGAGAAACCAATAACAAATATCTGTAATCACTACAGGACAATGTCGAAAAAATCATCGGTCCGGTGGTCTGCATTGTTCTCCAAAGGCGATGGGGAGTGATGTCTGGCAGTGCTCCCATTTGCATCCTCCTCGGTTGGGACAAACGTGGAAAAAAATATATCGGAAGGGAAAATCACGTCGGGTGACGACTGGAATGCCGAGGAGTCTGGACTTCTCTCTGTACGCACGGAAGCTGGATACTCCGACACAATATCGGTGAGTATCGAATCAGGAATGAACCGATCCAGACCATCACTCACGATCTGAGTGATCTGGGGTATGGGATCTTCAAGATTAAAAGGGAAAAGCTCGGACGAAACATCCTTGAGGCGCTGGGCCACAAACTCAGGGAGATCGCGCTTCACTGCGGTCAATGTATCTTTCATCAGATCCTCCGTGCCAATGGTTTTGCAAACTATGGTGTGTTAGTATTGCTATTGGGCAGATATTTAAGCACAACTTACATGCATTAGGGATCGCTTCGTCAGGAAAAAGAATCGAGTAAATTTCCCGCCACTTCTCCTCAGCTTTGTTGGAACCTGACTTGCTTGTCCTCTTCTTGCTCTTCAGCACCTTCTCCTGGTCGCGTGTGATGCCTTCGATGTGGGTTTCCGTATCCACCAGACATGGACTGCGCGCTCTTGAATGCTCTCTGAGGTCCGCTTCACTTTTGAATGATTCTAAGCATCTGGGACACAAGTTTTCCGGCATCATGTGTTGTCTGTATAGATGCTCTCTGCTGGGTTTAGTCTCAAACTTGAATCAATTGGACGCTAATCACGTGACTTACTTGAGCCTTGCGATGCTACTGAAACCCGGATACACACATGAGGGTCGTGTCGTTGTGGGCTTTCTTTTGAAGAAAGGGCAGGCTAATCTTTTTCTTTCGTCCGGGGCTTCACCAATTTCTGATTCCTTGTCGGTTTCGACCCTCTTTCGCTTGTTGTTCCGAGGAAGAGGTGACTGCATGAGCCCCGCTCGAGAGGATGCCTCCCGCATCAGCGGGGCAGAAGAGGAAGCGTCGCTCATGGTGTGGTTACCGTTGCGTCTAGTAGCGTGCCTTTCGGCGGTGGTGCTGAAATGGACAGTCCGCTGTTAGTCACGGCGCAGGGCCGTATGTAGTGTGTTGCGCAAGCGCTGCTTACCCTGCAATACGCAGGTGCGGCTTGTAACCTCGCGAAACGCCAAGGTCACACGTCGCACACACAAGACTACACGGATCAAGGGAGACGAGATAGCTCTACTTTCAAGATTTTTGATTACGAGAGGAGCCACTGTGCATTCTGTTCCTGAACAGGCTCCGCATTGTGCCGCATTTTATCAAAAGCAATTGAAAATCCAAAGTATTGCCCCCTCTATCACGTCGACCAATGATCCTTCATTCAGTCTCGTGATATAGCCCTGCTTGAGATCAGAAATCAGAGCGGAGCATGCGCAGACCTTTGAACATCGTTGGGTAAGAACGTCTGCGAAATGAGGTACGTCGTCCAATCTCTATTTATTAACGACAGCCTGAACGGTCCATTCTGGTTCGAATCACGTGCTCCTTGCGGTGGAAAGAACCTTGAAGGTGAATTGTCAATTTAATTGGTCGGAATTTGGAAAGCAACTCGGTGGGTATCTCCGCATTAAAACAGTCTAGCCCCAAAACACTTTGCCGACATGCATTAATGTGCATATCTCACACCATCTCAACCCTGCCATGCGCTTTATTACCATTCTCCGTCCTCTGAATTATCCTCTGTGTACTCTCCGTGCTCTTGCTCCGTAGCTCGTGGACGCTTTCCACCCTATAGGTGCTCGTGATGACGATGTCATCCCCGTCCACAACTTCGGGCCACTGCGTTTCAGTATCTTCTCTGTTCGCTTTACTTGCTTTCGAGACCGTCACTCCCCTATCAACGGAGTCCAGTGGCAAGCTATTCCCTCGGCTGCGGCCCCGGCCGGCGTGCGACCGGCCTCGAGAGGTGAAGAACTTGTTCCAGAAGGAGAGGGCGGATCGATCGCTCCCATATCCGAGCATCTTTGGCACGTATTGTTTGGCAAGAGGCTTGAGCGTGACGATGGATTGGCACATGATACCGACCATTATCTCAATGGATCTGGCAAGTGAAGAGACAGTAATCAGTCAGAAGACGCCTGAAAAACATAGAGACGAGAGACACTTACGACCAGTTGCAAACTTTGGCTTGCTCAAGCGTGAAGTCGACCTTTCCAGGTAGCCTCTGGATGATGACAAGACGCACGATACTGGCGACGACGACGCTGCGGATGGAGTTAGCTTCAATGCTGATTTCCCGTGTCCCGTCAGCCTTACAAAGAACCGCCAGCCAGCACCAGTCCGACAATCACACGCTGTCCGACTGGGAGTTGCAAGTGATGGATCATGGGAATAGGCTACTTCGATTAGCATCTCTTGTTTTGTCTTGTGAGAGGTTGCCTTGCCATTAATATGATGATTGTATCAGTTACGATATTTGCGATTGCCTGCGCAAGAGCCAGTGTTGCAATGCAATCTGCCTTTGTTGGATCTGTAGGCTTGCATCCTGCGGTAGTCTACAAGAGGTCAGCTGAGAAAAGACTGAGTGGCTTCGGGGCGACGGACAATGAAGGTAGTCGCCAGAGTGTAACCTAGGATGATGAGGAGGAGAACATATATGCCAAGCCGGAAGAACTTGTCCGGGTTGACGTGGCGATATCTGTTTATGTGTTAGCTGTTGTCGGCACAACTTGGTGAAGGATGAAGCATACGTGAGTAAGATGGACAACTTTGAGAGCATAGGGGCCCAACTGCATAGAAAGTAGGTGAGCATATTTGTTCGGTGAGTTGGAATGTCAGGAATGGTACCAGTATGTAGTGACGACTGGTATGCTCCACTATGACCTGGTTAGTACGGACAATGGAACTTGGGATAGGGATTTTTACTTCAGCATATTTGACCACTTGTGCGAGGCTGACATTCCACAGATGATCGCCGAAACCATATTGCATCCCTAAAGCTGTCAGCACGATTCTCTGAGCAATTGAGGGAGGAAGAGCAAAGCCTACATTGTACACAGCAGATGATGAAGCCGATACCCATGAGCTGTTGTTTTATTCTTAGCTTGCGCGAAGCGGTTGTGGAGACAGCATAATTACCAATGCGGCTACCACTGCATCTACATGAAGTCAGCCTGAGTTTAAATACACATTCTGATTAACTTACAATCATCCAATCCGACGTGCTTCACTATCACTGCGCGGGTCCACATCCTCAAAGCCACGGCGATGGTGGCGCCGGCTGCGACACCGCTGGAGATGATGATGAAGTCCCTCTGTACCGAAGTCATGGGCCCATCAAGGTTAGAGGTCTCGCCTGGCGGGGCCGGCATGGCGGGAGTGTTTTCCATGTCCATGTCAGCGGTGATGGGCCTCGCCTCCGGAAATCTCTCGACTGAAAAAAGAGCGGAAGATGGCGGAGCGAAAGTGCACGAGTGCAAGAGGAAAAGGAAAAATGAGGGCAGGGCAAAGCCCTCCGGACCAAGCACATGAAAGGGGACGCGGACTATAGGCCTTACCGAATCGTCTGAAAATATCCGATCGGCCATGACACGACGTCGAGCAACGTTTGGGAGCCTCCCTTTGAAACGGCCATCACCAAGGGGGCTAATCCGGCCCGCTGGACAGGATTCATGGCCCTGCCTAGGACGCGTACATGGGCCTCTGAAGTGGCGGGATCCGAGTCAGAGGTACTGCCCAGACGGGCGTGCGGCATCTCGCCTAAAAAAGCGCTACTTGACTCTTGAATCCTACTATTGAGGAGCGCGCTATATTTTCCCCTGTCGCACGACCGTTTGAACGGGTTTTCTTGCAGCGGTGCGGGCCGAAACTAAGTGTAAACAGAGGTGAAGATCAAAGAAGATCTTTGATTGGTCAGTTGTCTGCTGCAGCCAACGAGTCAAGCAAACGCAGGCCCACGCCATTCCACTCGGCACCGATACTGCCAAAATGCAAAACAAGGGATGCAATTGGCTCCGGCATCCTACCCAGCAGTGTGGCGCCCAGGATTCCGCGGCTCGAATAATCCCGCATCTGGCAATTCAAATGCAGATTAGACGCCTAGCCCCCACGAGGCGAGCGGCACAGCTATAGGGCGCGCGGCCCCAGGTCCCGACACGGGCTCGAATGTCTCAGCACATCCCCCTTCGAGGCGTTCGGAATCCCGGGACCAGAACTTCCCGGGCCGCGCTCGTATGCCTTGATAAGAAGCCGAACCGACAAAGCGTTCCCGCCCTGAATCGGCATTTCAAACAGATACCTATTATTTTTCTTTTCTCTCGGCCCCAAGGAAGGACAAGACATGGGCGCCGGTTTGCTCGCGCTCGTCGCGACTGCGAGCGTCTCGGGCGTGTTCGCGCACCAGCTGTTCTTTCGCCGTGTCGACGTCGATAACCATCCGTTCCTCCTGCTCGCCGCATCATTTGCGCTGTATTTGGCGCTGGCGGCATTTCTGCAGGCTCAGTACGCCCAGTATACCTCGATACTCGCTTCTCATGGCGTGGCTTTCCTCCTCATGTCATCCTTTGTGACGTCGATATGGGCCAGCATGTTGACATACCGAGCGTTCTTCCACCCGCTAAGCAAATTTCCTGGGCCATTTTCGGCTCGTTTGTCCAAGTTCTGGGCTGTTAGGCAGGCACTCCAAAGCGGGTTGAAATGGTACAAGGTGGACGCCGCGCTGCATGAGAAGTATGGTGACTATGTCCGCACTGGTATGCTATTATCCAGCATGATCGAATATGGTGCCGAGAATTAATCTCAGAACATTGCAGGTCCTCGGGAGCTTTCTATTCGTGATCCCAAAGCGCTGAACCCCATTTTGGGATTCACGTCAAAGACGTTGAAAGGCCCATTCTACGACGGCATGGAAGATTCTGTAAGCACTACTCGGGACAAAAAGCTCCACAAGTCAAGGCGTAAGCTCTGGGACACCTCCATGAAGCAATGTAAGCAGCCACCTTCTCACATAACTGTTTCAGCGTACTGACTCCTGTATCAGTGCTCTCCACGTACACTCCCCAGCTCGAGCAATTCACCGACATCTTGCTTGAGCGCATCAGCAAGAATGTTGGCAAACCGGTTCCTATCAACGACCTGGCGATGCACTACAGCTACGACGTCATGACGCAGCTTGCCTTTGGCGAGCCCGGCGGCTTCGTGGATGGAAGCGCCGACGACGTGGCTACCGATATGCTCGAAGGAATGCAGAAGGGTGTGGATGCTATTGGAATTCTCTGCCAAATGCCTTGGGTCCTCGGTATCTTGATGGCCCTGGCAACGGTGATCCCCACGCCGATGAGCACGTTCAATGGATGGGCAGCGAAGTCATTGGAGCGCAGAATGAAGGTACGTATTTTTCTCTGCAACATGCAGAAGGAATGGAAAAAGGGGGAACAGCAAAACTGAATGTATTGCGGTACAGATGAAGAACCCGAAGCCCGACCTGATTGGCCACCTCATCGCAGAGACGGCACCCGACGATAAGAAGGGCCAGCACATGCTCTTCACAGACTCCCGCGTCATCGTTAGCGCCGGAAGGTCAGCCCCCTCCCTCTTCCTCTAGAAAGCATTGAAACTCAGCGCAAGCTCCACAGCGACACAACCGCCACCGCAATCACCGAGATCCTCATCATGCTCGCCCTACACCCCGCCTACGTCGCCGAACTCCGCGCTGAGATGGACCCCGTCTTCGCGACCGACGGCGCCTACTCGTGCCAGAAGACGTACCCGGTTCTAGACTCGCTGATCAACGAGACGCTACGGCTGTACCCGCCGGTGCTGTTCGGCTCGCCACGCGTGACGCCACCGGGCGGCCTCAAGATCGGCGACGTCTTCGTGCCCGAGGACACGGTCGTGTACGTGCCGGGGTGGCAGCTGCACCACGACGCGCGCAACTTCCCGCAGCCCGACGAGTTCATCCCGGAGCGGTGGACGACGAGGCCGGAGCTGCTGGTGAATAGGAGCGCGTTTATTCCTTTTTTGCTTGGTGAGTGTCTTTTGTTTTTCTTCCTTCCTTCCTGCCTTCCTTCGTTCCTTCCCTCCTTCCTTCCTTCGTTCGTTCCTTCTTCCTTCCTCCCTTTCATCTTCCTTTCTTTCTCAAATGGTATCTTTTCTAGTTTTATTGTTCCTTAATCTGCTTTTCCGTTTGAGCTTCAAAGCGTGACCTGGCTGACTTACCCCTTTTTCTGCAGGCGAAAACAATTGCCCTGGAAAACCCCTCGCCATGATGGAGATCCGCTCTGTCATCGCGAGGACCATCCACGACTACGATGTCAGCTTGCCCGAAGGACAATCGCTGACAGAGAAGGGCTTTTTCGACGGCGTCAAGGATCATTTTATTGCCGGTGTGCCGAAGCAAAACCTCGTTTTCACCAAGAGAGTCAGGTAGGGTAATCGAGGCTAATGGGATCGGATGAGGATCTTGAGATGGGAGTGGAGAGGTTTCTCAATTCTAAATCGTGGTTGGGCAGATTTTCGCCTCGGCTTGCCTGAAGCGATACGCGAGGCATGCTCAAGACACTAAAACTGCACAGTGCAGATACACCAAAACTGCGCAGTGCAAAGACACTAAAGCTACACAGTGCAAAGATAACTTAAGGAGTATGCTCCACATAGAGCCTAGGCAACAGTCCGTCCTTCATTTTGATTGTATATAATAAACAAGACATTGTTAGATCGATTGAAAGTAACAAAGTATCGACACACTCCGTATCCAATGGCCAACCACGAGCATCATGTCCTGCAAATTCCAGAGCTCTTGGAGCTCATCCTGGCCCAGCTTCCAATGAGAGATCTCCTCCTCGCGCAACGCGTATGCCGGCGCTTCAACAACCTCATCCAAACCTCAATCGTCCTCCAACAAGCCCTCTTCTTCCGTCCGCTCCCCAAACCCGCCACTCCAGAGCCAACAAATAGACCCAAGCGCCCGACCTGGCCCCCGTTCGAGCCCTCATTCTCGCTCCCCTTCCCGGTCTCTCTCCCCTTCCCGCCGCCCATCACCAATATTCCCGCGACGGCCACCGGATCACGAAAGCAGCAGCAGCAGAAGAACCCCTTCCTCTCCGAATCCGCAGGGCAGAACCCGCTCCTCGTCGCCGCCTTCCCGCCGTGGTTCAGCCGCAACATGTCAGATCTGAGCTACACGACGGACCAGTGCCACTTCTCGCGCTTCAAAGACCTGCCGCTGGCCGCCGGCGGCGCGGCGCGGCGCGACGCCTTCTTGCGGCCCGAGGCGTCGTGGCGCCTCATGATGGTGACGCAGCCGCCCATTTCCGTCATGTCCGTCGTACGCATCACCGTCCACACGCGGATGACGACGTACGAGGAGGTCGAGGTGAGGTTTCCCGCCCCGATCGGGCTTACCATGGGCGTGCTGTACGACCTCACCTGCCAGCTGGTGCTGTATCAGAATGGTGGCGAGTTCCGGGTGCAGTGGAGTAAGGATGGGGGACATGTCTCGCTTATTGTGATGCGGACGGCGTCTGGGGTGGTTGGAAAAGAGTACATGAACTATATTAGCCGCGCGTATGAGGGGGTGTCGTTGGATTGGCCGTCGTAGGATTGGATTTTTGAGGGGGAAGAGGACGGCTTGTAAGAGCCGGTTATTGTACATATAATCAGTCTTTATGACCATGAAGATGTAGAAGCCGCCATTTTATTGGTAAATGCTGAATGTTTAGATAGAAAGTTGCTGATTTCAGCCAGTGGCCGCCGAAGAGTCTACGTAAGGAATATGGAAGCAGTGGAATATGAGTCCAGGGAGCGACTTGTGGACTTCACCTGGGCACGCCTTTCCCGAGCCATGGTATAAAGGCAGTTCGAATGGATAACGAGCATTTCTGTGCAAATTTAGGCAATGTAAGTTCAGGGGTACTCGCTGCAGAAGAGAAATAGGTGATGAAACAATTCATGAAATTGATTCTGGATGTATATTTGGTATGGTAGAATTGTTGCACTGCACCAAAGCGACCGCAAGAGTATAATGGAGCTGTGAAGGAATAAATAGTAGGATCTGTGTTTGCAGCCTCAGGCATCTTCCAGCAAGATCGCCAAAATCGAATCATTGCATGAAAGCCAATGTATTAGTGGATCACACTTTAACTTCTCCAGGATACTAGATATTCTCATCGATGTTACTTTCTTAGTAGTGTTGCCCTGCTCTCGAGAAGAAAAGGTTTTGATCTGGTTGTGAAATGCGTTCTCACGATTTGCGCAATTGCGCAAATTATGCTATCAATACCCCTGCCTGAGAAGTACCGGGGCGTCTCCTTAAGTTTTTAATTGGCTGAGCGTGCTTACGTGTTGCAGCTCATACCCCGGTCCATACGCCAGCAAATCAGGGCAACCGAGGTCGTGAAAACATGCGAAAGATTTAAACCAGGCAGCAGCCTTTCGCTTCTGCTTTGCAGCACCGCCAACTCATCTTGTCTCAATAGACCAGCATCAGATACACAGCTTGCACCCAGTAATTTTCCACTCTTTCTTTCAAGTCTACGTGCTCTTTCGATAGGTATCAATGTCCCTGAACATTCATAAACGCTTCAAGGCGTTGGTCTCCGAGAGCCGAAAACGAAATCAAATGAGAGTTCCCGCCCCAGATCCCCCGCCACCATCCATTGAGAGTTTAAGAACAATTGTCGAAGCTGGCCATGCACCAACTCGTGTAAGGACTGACTTTCGTGACTATTTCAATTATTTCTTACTGACCACATTACAAGATCTGCGCACACTGCGGGGAAACCTTTTGTGACGAAATTGAGTGGAAGGTGTGGATACTCCCCGATTAACTGACACAGTAATCTCATCGGAATAGGAACATCACACACACTGTCCTGATAGCAAAAAACCGATCGAACGCTTTGCATGCCTCCAAAACGGATTTAGTGCCCCATGCCCAAGCGAAGATGATCCAAAGGTATGAAGAGCAAGCCCAACATTAGAGCAACCCCGCAATGGCCTGCGCTCACAGGGAAATGTTTTAGGCACACACCCAACGCCCACATGAAGAAGCGATCCGGCCTGTCTCCAGAGCGTCCCATATGAATAACTCAGGGCTCAGATCATCTCAAGATGCCGTGCCGAACTACTCGCTCCCAACTCGATGTAAGACGAAGCCGAAAAGAAATGCTAAAGTCTGTAACGAAGATCTTCAGGTTTGTTTCACTCAACTAATGGGTAGAATCATTTTAACTCGTGTGTCCCCTCATAGGCCAATACCAAACTCAAAGGGGGGCATACGCGAAATGATTCAAGCACCCCAGGGAGAACCACGGAGTACGGCTTGACACCAGACGAAAAACAGCATTCAGAAAAGCCAACGTCGCGATCATCCAGTACCGAGACTACCTGTAGCTCTCAACATGCCATTCTTCAGCAAGAAAAGCTCGGACAGACTGAATATCACTCCGACCTTCTTCACGCACCGTTGGGAGATCATTCGATGCACAATGAGCTGCTTGAGCCGATCGTTACCGACTTCATCAGTGAAATGCTTGATACAGCCATGTCATCTTTTGAGATGGGCTTTTCTCGAACTTTCGATACCTACACTGAAGCTGAATCTGACCTGGAAAGTAACGGATTCGAGGACTACGAGGGAGATACTGAGCAACGACCCGCAAGTAGATCCGTAGATGCAGCTTCGAGAATTTGTATCCAGCCGCATTTCCTGGACACAGACGAGAAAAGCATACGAACGACATCATCCAACACATCTTCTGAACTGTCCACGAGGATCAGTTCATCAGGATCTGGGAGCTCAAGCCGGGCCCCAAGTTCTAGCGGAGAAAAGAAAGGCAAAGGTCCATGCAGGGCTTCATGTGAGGATCCAAAGAAACGAAGGCGAAGAGTCTCGTCGTTTAATAGTGGAAACGACCAAGAGGATGGTAGAGAAAGCGACGAAGATGAGCATGTAGACCGACGGAAGCTCCCAGATTCATGCACCAACGGAAAGAACTTAGCCTGCCCATTCTATCAACGACGTCCACAACCGCATCCAAAATCCACGGCTTGTATCCACCCAGGCTTCAAGACAATAGCACGTTTGAAGTATGTTTGTCCTTGTTTCAGCTCATACATCAGCTTTTCATGCTAAAAGTTCACCAGAGAGCATCTCTATCGCCAGCATTATCGAATATCATGCCTACGTTGCGGGCAGAATTTCGAAGAAGAGGACGAGCTGAAGATTCACTCAAAAGCGAAGGTTGCATGCGAGAGTACCGACGAAGAACCGAGCGAAGAATACATGACGACTCAGCAGAGAGATCAAATTCGAAGTAAGAAGCGAAAGGTCGGGCAAGATACGCCTGAAAAAAAGTGGGAGAGCATCTACCAGCTTTTGTTTCCACACGACATGCCACCAATACCGTCCCCATGTAGGTTCGGCGAGATTCAGGCCTTCCTATGGTCATGGTGGATAAATGATTATTCAGACTGACGCTATTCGTAGACTGTGAGCCTACTGTCCCGCGTCCGACTTCTTCCTCTTCATCAAACATGGCAGATTTCCAGGATTTCTACTCTCAGCAGCTACGCTACCTGCTGATGGAAAAATTCCAATCAGACCTGCGCACTTTAGAGCCAGTTGTGCAAGCACGATTGAAGAACAGCATGGATGAGATCTTGCGTGAAGCACCCGCCCAGATCCACAGACAGTGGGAAGAACAACACCACACATTGGCTTCATCTAGTAGTCAACAGAGCAACCATACGGGTCTCGATTACTCAAAATCTGCAAGCAACAATCAAGCAGCAATTGATGCTGCCACCACGCAAGCTCAACCCACAGAGCCTGGGCAGATTGAAGAGCCCGATCTTGGTGCACCGACAGTAGAAGGCGGGGCCCAAGGTACGATTGCTATTCCAGGTACCAGCGAGCATCCCAATGATTTTTCCGAAAGCCACAACGAAACACCGGATATCTGGGGCTCTGAGGGGTTCAACAAACCACTCGTGTGTCATGCAAGTACCGTGGCTATGAGCGCCGATTTGGACCCTGAACAACAGGCACAAATTTTCTCTCAGATTTCCGAAGATCCCTTCGCTCCACTTGATACTACTCTGCTGATGGATTGGGATAATTCGTTCTTTGAATCTCTAAACTTCTGTACTGATACGGATACGGCAACCATGGACACATCCGCTTCGCAACTACCCGGACGCAGGAGTGACTCACCATTGGAACCTCTCCTCCAGAAAAGGTCAGACAAGGACGAATACCCCCAAAATGGCTCTTACTTCCACTGTGAAGGTCCGGTGACTATGGTAAATGCAGAGATCGACGAACTTACCAGTGATATATGGGACCTGGACAGCAGCACAGCACAGCACACTGCGGATCACCATGATCTCTACCCCATATCCTTAGGCGAGGCAGAAGTTCATCAGACAAGAGACTGCAATGGGAACGTGGAACAATCAGACCTATCCATGACTGGGTTTCTTGAAGAACACGAGGACGGTAGCTTTTTACCTCCATTATGTCTGCAACCGAACCCAACCGTTTCAGGGCCGAATGAATCTTGAAATATCCAAAGTCTCGAGTGGATTCCTATGAGAAAGATCTCTATTATTCCTTCATGAAATTTCCCTTTAGCTTAGACGTACAAAAAAGTTATTCATTTGATCACTCACAGACAAATTCAGTCTCAGTCCCCTCATGCAAAGCACACATCACTCTTGCACATAGAATCTACGCTTTAAGGTAGTCTACAATCTGCCAAAGAAGGCTCAAAAGTTATTCTATAAGAGTATTAAGACTCAACGCGAAGCTGATGGCATCCGCCAGTGACATTACCAATCCTCACGAATGCACCCATCACTTCCCCGTCCCCCACCTCCACCCCATCCAAAAACACCTTTTCATCTCGCGCATCTCCCCCAAACAACGGCACATAAACCGTCCCCACCAACCCCTCCGGCGTCTCGATCCTCGCCTCCCACACCACGCCACCCTGCTCCGCCTCCGCCCCCTCCTCCGCCCCCTCCTCCACAACCCACCACTCAACCCCCCACCACCCCCTCACAGTCCTAAACCCGCCCTTGACCTCACCAACCCCACTCCCCACCACCTTCGGCCAAACCACCCACTCGCCCTCCTCTTCCCCCTCGACATCCACCCCCCTCACCGCCCTCACGCCCACCACCTCCGCCATAAGCGCATAAACCGGCCCCGTCGCAAACGTATGCGCATGGCTGATGAACCGCGGCGCGTCGCCGTAAAACCCGTACGCGAGGCTGCCGTCCACACTGCTATACCCTTCGACGAGCGTCGCGTTGCTGAAGGCGCGCAGCATGTAGCCCCACTGCGTGCGCAGCAGCCGCATCGCCGGGCCTGCCCCGCCGGCGCCTCCGCCTCGCGGTTGCTCGGCGGCGGCTTTGAATTGCGCGAGCAGCTCGTGCGAGGAGACGAAGGGCGAGACGGCGCCGGGGAGTTCGGGGGCGGGGGCGCCGTAAGGGGTTAGGCGGGAGGAGAGGGCGGCGGCGATGGCGGGGATGGTGGGGTTGTTGTTGTTGTTCGTGTCGTTGGTGGTGGGTATGGCAGTGGCGTCGGGGTCGGGGTCGACTAGGTCGAAGAGGATGGCGAAGGCGTTGCCGTCTTGCGGGTGCAGGCTGGTGGTGGTCGTGTTGTCGCGGTAGAGGGAGGCGGCGGCGTCCCAGAGGTGGGTGTTGAAGGCGGCTTTGACGCGGGCGGCGGTGGCGAGCCAGCGGCGTGGGGCAGCGGTGGTGTTGGTGGAGTTCGACAGGAGGGTGGAGAAGTGGGCGGCGCGCGTGAGGGCGTGGTGGTACAGGGCGTTGAGGGCGGCGTTGGTGCCGCCAACGCCGTCGCGGCCCCAGTCCGAGGGCTTGGTGCCGTTGAAGAGGCCGGTCGCCGGGTCGATGTATTGGTAGGTGGCTTCGAGAGCGCGGACGACCTGGGCCCAGCGTTGGTGGGCGAAAGGGAAGTCGTCGGTGATGAGGACGTAGTCGATGAAGTTGATGATCGTCCATAGGTTGTACGTGTCGGAGCTCCAGGCCTCGAATCCGGCTGGGCCCAATCAGTAAGTTGTGTTTACATCGTGGATTGGAAGGCTTACCAAGATCACCGTACTCGGCAAAGAAGTCCCCAAATGGAGAACCGGCGTAGGGAAAGTATCCGGATACGGGGTCCTGCAGAACCATGACCGCGATCAGGAGATTCTTCAAAGCCCGGAGATTGTCATAGTTCTGCGACACCAAAGCGCTTCTCAATGACACACTCATGTCAGCTGGCCACGGATTTCTGTCCCTCTTGGCTCCCTCTCCCATAACCACATCCTTCGGGTCGACTCCCCGCACCACCGCATCTTCCGCCCATCCACCACCAGTGACGGTGTAATTGTGATTAACCAACGAGTCAGCGCGAATCTGACACAGCTGTAGTGTATATACACCGGCATGCCAGATACGGTTGAGCAGAACATCATCGCTCCAGAAATAGCCAGTGTATTCGCCGAGTTTGCTGTCGTCCTTGATGTTTGGCTGCGGCGTGAAGTAGACGTGTTGGAATTGGAATTCCACGCTTGTCGAACCATCTGCTTTTGGGCCGAGCGAAAAGGCCAGGTAGCGGAATCCTCCGCGTCCCCATTTGCGGGGCATTGAGAAATTCCCGGGCCGCATAGGGATGTACACGGCGCCGTCCGGGACAGTAAAATAGGTCGACCAGTCCGACTCCGGGCCAATGAAGGCAGCAGACTCACTGTATGAGACACCGAGGCCTTGGCAAGATGAATTGCATTCTAACGACGGTAGACCGTACGTCTGGCAAACATCACCCTTGCATGCTGAGCGCCGGAAATGCAAATGAGGGATCCCGGCCGTCTCGCGCCCAAAGTCGAGCGTGATGGAGGCATTGGGGCCGCTCAGTGAGTATACATCAGCCGCACGGTAAGATTGGCCTGGTACCGCACCAGTCACCTTCCCAGAAGTCTGCCAAATAGACACGGGCTCAATGATGCGGGATGCGGGAGACAGAATGTATTCCTCGCCAGGCACCGCGGCCGAGAGCAGAGGGAAGAGCGCGGCCACCGTGAGATGCATGGTCGTATGATACTATGTCTGGAATTTCTCTCTGGGAAGGTGCTTTTCTTGTACATCAAATGAGCTTCACCGCCAATGAGGCCATTGTGGGACTGTAGTCATGGTGCGGGGTTCGCGCTAAGCCGACATCGGAAGCTGAGACGGGTACAGTAGCTGCATTAAGCATTTCCAAGCGCCCGTGGATCATTGCGGCCGGAGACCGGCTTCGGTAGATCCTAGCGACGAAAATGATAGATAGGATATGCAAGGGCACACCCTGAAGAAAGTCAAACCTGATGCACGTACAATTGGGTAGACGGAACGAACCGGGGACACCAAAGGATTCCGCCGGTAGCTTGTACCTTTTATTGTGTCTATAACTTTCAAATTAATGGTCCACTCGACGAATGACTCTCTAGACCACCACACCACCCCGTTTTTGCAAGAAGTGGAACCAGAGCATAGGGATATATTTGGATGAAATGTCAAGCATTTTGCGCAAAGGCTTTCAAAGACGCTCATGCAAGGGTGTTTTCGCCAATGGGGGAACGCTTCTGCACGTATGCCCCTGATTCCGATTGGCCAGGCGTTCCATCCCCTCATTTTTATGCGCCAATTAATTTGCGAGAGGGAGCTGAGTAAGGCTGGCGACACGTCACAAGCCGAGGCTGTCTGCTCTGCCGAATCTTCAGCTGGTTATATCTTGCCTCGTCACCAGACCAACATCAGCTGCGCATCCTACACTAAGGCTCTTCGGGCTTGGACGCCGCGCTCAGTCAGTCCCGACAGGCATGGCCATACACAGTGCCCGCAGTATACTTGCTCCCAAGAGCGCAACGACACATGTCGGAGGGATAGAGGTTAGCTTCATTGACAAGCGCGCGCCCATCTGGAAACCAAAACGCGATTCTTACCAAAAGATAAGACGTCATGTATGAACCAATGCCTCAGAATTATGGTGACATTTTCAGTTCTGATCATCTTCGAAGAGATGCGAGTTTTGCCAGGACACTTTCATTCACAATAACAGCCGTACTGTAAGAAACACCTCTTCATAGTACTTCCGGATAGCTGATGAGGGCAGAGACATATTCGCGAGCGGCATAACCCTGATGGAAAGAAACCCAAGTTCACTTGCCCTGAGGAAGGATGCTCCGCGGCGTACGCTAGGATTGGTAATTTAGAGGTACTTGGTCAAGATCTTACCTGTAGCCTACATATGCTAAATCAAAGAACGTATCAGAAACACGTCAGGGAGAGACACGAGGAACAGGCGGAGAAAGTCAAGATCTGGCAAGAGCAACACCAACCATTTGCTCCCCCATATGGAGGTGGAACCGACCACGAAGAAGGCCATGCCTCACCATCCGAGAGCGATGGCCAATTGCCCACGTCTGACACTGACCCAACTGCTCCCTCCACGAACTCTTGGTTGGACGAGCAATCCCAGCCTTCGCCAATTGAACAACCTGTTTCTTTGGACGAAGTACCTACCATGGATCCCAGCACATTTGTTCCTAGTGGGCTCATTAACCCAAATCTTGAAAGCTTCCCCGGGCTGCCACTCCATAATCTAAGTACAATGATTCCGGAGGCCGGAGACTCTCTACAATCATCCGAATATGCCCCCCTTCCTCTTGATCCACTATGTATGCAGCAATGGAGCTACTCGTCGTCTGGATTCTCGAATTCTTTTCCCGATTATCCAGCTTTAGATACAGATATAGCGGCCACATTCGACAGCCAGATTGCAAATGGAGACAACATCGTAGCACCTCCCTTTCCGATTAATCGGGCGGAAGAGATCGCGTTCCAGGATATCATGCTAGATCATCAAGTTTTGAATGCAATGGGAATCGCGGAAGAATCCAGTGACCGAGCAATTGGAAGTTTCGAGGGATATGGTGAAAGTGGCTTATTCTGATTTCTATCACTACTGTGTGCAATTTCATGTTCGCATGGCTAATAAACCCTTTCCTGCAACGTCTCCGGGTTCTAAGCAATGCTTAGAATGCAGACTTAATGGGAAAGAGGGGAAGAAAGTCCATGCTCTTCTGGGGATGTTTTGTTTTCGGGGATGTGTATGACCGAGCGACTGCTTCTACAACAATCTGTCAACTCAGCTTAGATCATCCCCATTTCATTCTCAATGATGAACTGCTTTTACGGCCGTGAATATGTTGAATGGTCACAACGCCAAGGTGAACCACTCAGCCATTAAAGACTGTGTTTCATACTTGGCTTGCTCCGCAAGGCAATTAATTATCGATCGTTGGAATGTGAGTTGAATATCTCAGTGATGCTGGATATGCTGAGGGTCCGTTGTGGATCATCTTTGTCCTGATGGAAATAAAACAGGAATAACAGGGTTTGGAAGCGCGCTACTCGTAGGACGGAAAACTGGGGCGGTGTTGTAGCAAGTATGATGCATATTGTGCGAAATCAATAATCACATACCGGAATATCAGCACTACAACTGTGTGTCACCAACTGGGGTCCTCCACTCACCTTTGAATAAACGAAACAGGCGAGCTGACACCAACACAGCTAAAACTCACTGGACACCTGCCTGCATTATAGTGGATATCGAATGCGTATTGTTTCTCATATAGCTTTTATTTCATTTTCCGGGTATCCCAAATCCTCCCCACCGTCTCATCCAACACACACTTACCAAGCCCTCCTCCTGCCAAACACCCTCAACCTCTTGACACCACCATCAGGAATAATGACCAGCTTGACGTGCGTGTACTGCTTGACCGCAACATCCTTCAAATCCGCCGCCTCAAACTCATGCTCCTCATCGGGCCTCGCGGCCGTCGGCTCCAAAATCTCGACCCACTTCGAGTCGTCGTGGCCGGGGTCGCTGTTGCCAAAGTCGCCCGCGAAAATCTGAAACTCCTTGGGGAAGTTGCCGCGGAAATGCGCCGTGTCGACGACCACACGATCAATCTCGCCGGGGGTGCCGAGGCGGACGATGACCCAGTCGATGTGCTCGCCGCGCGTGCGCTTCGTCTCCCAGCCGTCGCCCATGTCGACGCCGCGGCCCGGCAGCAGCAGGTTGTCCTTGGTGCCGAAGTGCTGGTCGGAGCAGGAGACGGCCACGCCGCCGTTCTTCGCCGCGGCGAGGTCGAAGACGTCGTCGGCGCCCTCAGGGAAGACGGGGACGGGCACGCCGAACGCGCGGAAGCGCGCGATGCCGCCGTCGGGGAACATCTGCAGGCGGACGTGGGTGTACGGCTTCTCGGTCTCCTTCTCGAGCTTCCAGGCCTGGCGGCAGCTAGGGCCGCACTCCTGCTTAGGCAGGATCGTCTCCCAGCCGCCGAAGTCGGGGTCTTTCACCATCTCGTCGGCCTCCTCGTTGGAGCCGGCGAAGAAGGCCTGCACGGCGATCTCGGGAGCGTGGTTGCCGCTGAAGTGCGCCGTGTCGACCTCGAAGCCGCGGAACTTGCCCGACGCCACGCCCAGCTTGATGACGACCCAGTCGAACTCGTTGGGGTTGTGCCGGCGTGTCTCCCAGCCATCATACCATGCGCCCGCGTGCGTGAAGACGCCGACCTTGCGGATGGGCGCGGTGGGGGTCGTCAGGTTCTCGGCGGCTGCGAACCATTCGTCGGAGACGGCGAGGATTTCCGAGCCGAGGGGCTTGGAGATGAGGTCTGCAAGAGCGCGGGTTTTGTTAGGTCATTGTGACGTCGAGGGGGGAACGGGACAGAGAAGAGGAGAACGAGGAGAGCGGAGGAGAGGGGGCTATGCGGGGCACGAGAAGACGGGATGTAGGGAGAAAGGACACGAGATGGGGATGGAAAAACGCACCAATGCTGTTACCGGAGAAGACCTTGTCAAGCTCCTCATGGGCAACTTTCTGGATCGGATCGCTCGAAAAGCCGAACATCGTGGAATAGTCTTAGATGGCAAATGCGAATAAACAAAGAATATTGTTCGTTTGTGGGGGTCACCCGGCGCAAAAATTATGCTTGGTAGAGAAAGGAAGATAGAGTCGAAACGAAAAACGGCAGAAGATAGGGAACCGGTGGGAATTAATATATAAAGACACTCTAGAAGAGAAAAAAGGGTCCCGGGCAAAGTGGCCCAGGCTTTCCGATGGCGGGGCAGCAGCTAAGGCGCTCAACTCCCCTCGCTACTGGGCCGTTCCTTCACCGCTCGGCCCCCGCCGACACGCGCCGGGCAAAACTGAACAGCCCGCGCCCAGTGCCAGAGACTGCCTCTCGGCTCGTTTGTGCCGTGCGGTCAGCTCGTAGGGCAAAAGGAAGAGACGGCAAGAGCACGCCGCACGGACATGACGTGACCGGTACGGGCTGATTGTGCGGTGTCGAGCTGGCAGGCAGTGTGCGTCGCTCTTAAACACGACTTTTTTTGGCCTGCGCGCCAGCACATGACGCGCCAAGAGGCCCGCGCACGTTATCCACGCTCGATCCAATCGAGTAATACTTACTCCACGGCCCCGGATAAGACTGCGCCTTGCAAGCCCTGCGCCTCCCCGCCAGACCGTAGCCCGCAGGTCCCGTGTGGATCCTCACCAGGCAGCCAGTCGGCGGACTGCTCTTCGGGCCGTGAGGTAGATAACGATACCATCATTATTGCCCTCATCCTTCCGAGAGCGGCGAAGACTAGCACTAACGACCATCCCGTCTATCCCGGGTGACTCGTACATATTCCGAACGGTGCCGTACGAAAACAGACGATGCGTGTATTTCCAACTCCAACCCCCAACCAAACCCGAAAGCTCTGTTGCTGTTGCCTGCCCTGTCCGCATCCGTCAAATAATGGCCGCTCCCCGCAGTCCCCGACTGACACTAACGCCGTTCTATGGAATCTAGACAACCCCGTAAACCCTAGGAGAAACACGAAACCATTAGCGGCGCTCCACTGCACGGAGAACTGCAAACGCATACCAGGGAAGATGCGCAATTATGTCGTCGCAGTAGTATATACCAAAAAGGAGAGGGAAGTATAAACCAAACCAAATCCAAAGCTGTGTACACGCTAGAGAAATTGCATGTTCAGGTACCTTTTGCAGATGAAGAAACATGTGATGCCGAACATGATCAAGAAGGCCGTGATGGCCCAAAACCAATAAAGATTCTCCACCTCCTGGCCGGGCACTTGGACGTTCATGCCCCACATTCCCGTGATGATGTTCATTGGCAGGACGATCGTGCCCAGCACTGTCAGCTTGCCGAGCACATCGTTGGTCTGCTCCGCACGTTCGTTCATCCGGATGTTGATCTGCGCAAGGTAGTTGCCGTGCGCACGTGAAAGGAGGCTGTCACCGTTAGTCGTCTCCCTCGAACCAGACCTTCCACGAACTCACCTCTCGTAGTGGCTCAGGTTGCCAGTCATCGTAACGATGTGGTCCTGGATGTCGCCCAGATACAATCCGATCTCCGTCTTGGGTGCAACCTCCCACTGCTCGTTGCATCGTTTGGCGAATCCCTTGATGACATCGGCCTTGTTGCCGAGCAGCCTGTACAGCGCCATCACCTTCTTTCTCGTCTCTCCGACTCTCCGAAGCATGTTACCGCCCGAGTCACCCGCTGTCCCGTCGCCATGCTCCGACTGCTTTTCGTCTGCGAAATCTCGTAACATCCTCTTCAACTTGTTGCTGTCCACTCCACCTTCGGTCGCCTGTCCTGATGTATGCATCCGAAGTATGTGATCATCAATGTCATCCACCTCGTCTTCGATGCTCTGGATCAGCGGTGCGTAGACGTCAGTGATATCGTCAATAATCGCATAGGCGATCCAATCGGAACTCAGAATCAAATAATCGCGCAGCTGACGGATGCGACGCCGGACATTGGCCATGTGAGGAGTCATGGAAAAGTGAATCTGGTACACGTCAGTGCCATGCATTACATGTCGCCGTGAAAACGCCTAGTGGGATACTTACGCTGATGACACCTTCCCTGAAGACAATGAAGTAGATGTTCACCGGCTCCAGGTAGTCGTCGCTATTGGTGTCCTGTTCGAATGTACGATAATTCACAAAGTAATAGTTGTGGAATAGCTCGACCTTTTCGCGTTGCTCTTGCATCATCACGTCCTCGTGCGTTAAAGGATGGATGCCAAACGCTCGGGTCAGAACCTTCATCTCAGCTTCCGTGGGAGACAACACATCAAGCCAGAACACCGGCCTTGCGCCATAGCGTTTCTCCTTCGTCTTTTTCGGCGTGCCAAACTGTGTTGGTGTACCTTCCCCGGTGGTCTCGCCTGATGAATTGTTTCTCGGGTTGCTGATCCGTGAGGTTTGCCTTGACATGTCCAGTGACCCGGGGTTTGGCGATGTACCAAGCCTGCTCCCAAATCCATTGGCATGGCTGGGAACATCGTCCTCGTCTTCGCTATCGTCAGAGAGAATAGGAGGCTCGGGGATGAAGAGGTCCCGGAATGTTTGGCCCTCTTGCAAAAGCTCTGACAGGGTGTGGCTGTGCAGAGTGCTCTGGAATTCCTCGTTGAAATATGTGAATCTGAAGGGCGCATCGTCGTCCTCGCGGTGCCATGCTCTCTTCTGCGGGCGAAGCCTTCCATCTACAAAGAGGGGCTCGCTAACCTTGCGCGCTCGGATCCCCTCAATAGTGCGTTGCTCCTTTTCCTGCGCGGCCCACTCCTCAAGCGATGACAGGTTCGGCCACGGCTTCTTTCTCCTCCTGCGGGTGCGAGTGGGACCTTCGGTCGGGTGAATATATTCTTCGCGGCCAATATCAGACATCAAATCCTGCGGGAAACACACATCCCGCTCGGCCGGGTGCTCGTCAAGGCGGCTGGACACGTTCCGGGGCGATCCCGGCGCTGAGCCGTGGGCACTGCGCACAGCACTCTCATCGTTAATCTCGATCAGCACATCGCGCGAAAGCGGGCCTGGCTCGCGCTCTGAACTGCGTCGCTCGCGGTCGATTTCGCCAGTGAGCATGACATCGTCAAATCCCATGTCCGACTCCAACCGAGGGCTGCCAGGCACCGAGGGCGGGTTGTTGACGTCGTAGTCATCTTGTTTCGGCAGCTGGATCGTGCCCGGTCGAGACCCTGTCCGCCTGCGTCTGCTGGAGTGGGACGAGGCGCTCGACCTGCGGCGGACGCGATCGGCGAAACGGATGGCAGGGGAGCCGATAGACGACAGCCCCCCGTAGCCCCCAAATCGCGGGCTATCCCTTTTGATGGACCCCATCAAGGGTGTCTGATCGTCCGCGCTGTCCTCGTCCTCCATTCCTGCCCTTTCTGTTCGCGACAGCTTTGTGCGAGATCCTTCGGACCGTTTGGTTGTAGGAAAAGGGAAGGCGGTGGATGGACGGTGGCTTGGCGAGGATCGGTTGTAAGGCTGGTTCGAGCGTGGGCTGTAGAATCCGCTTTGCATGATGCTGTGGCGGCGGGTTTGAAGAGGGCCTTGATCTCTGCATTATACCGTTAGCTATCATGAGAGAGCGGTTGTGGGAAGAAGTCAGATCGTGATGCGTGGTCGTACCGGTGATCGAGGAGTGCCTCGCTCTCCAGACTGGTGTTGCTGGCCTTGTTGCGCAGCCGATAGAAGCTGCTCCGTACAGCCTCTTCGCTCGTCACATCCGCGAGACTGGGGCGCTCGGTGCCCATGGCATCCGACGGCACATCGGTATGGTCTTCGGATGGTGGTGCGGCGAACGACTGACGTCTCCTCCTCTTCTTGCCGCCGCGATGCTTCCGTTTCTTCGCGGTCCCGGTCGGCGTCCGTGAGGAGTCAGAGGCGGTCGGCTGAGCCATGACTGAGCTAATTGAGGGTTGAGCCGGCGCAGCGCTACCGCGAGGCGCCGTGGGAGCGGTGGAGGATTCGCCGGGGTAGTCGCGCGACGCCATTGCTGGTGGGCGCGAACGCGGGGACGGCGAGGCGACAGGTCGGAATGTTGAGGTGGCTAGAGATGCAGCATGCCAGCAGCCAACAGGCAGTGAATTAAGGGATGAGGAGTTGGGGATCAGGGTGCGCAGAGTGGTGGATGAAGAGAGCCGCCAGCTGCAGGTCAGCGAACGCACCCCGGCACGGGTTGACGTAGTTGGAACCGGCTACTGGCTGGCCCGAGCGACTCGACGATCGCCGCGATTCGCACTCCAGACTCGACACCCCGGCCAATCGTGCACGATGCAGAGTTTTCCGGCGACAAAGAATGCCCGCGCGCGCGACGATGCAAGGAGGTTGCTGCTCTTTGACCGTGTCTCAGCCCGGCCAGGCTGCTGATTTTTCAGCCCGTGTGCTCCGTTGCCGTGTCGGTCCAGAATGATGCACTCCACTTCGGTCCTCTGTGCTCTAGCTGGATCAGGGCTAAAGTGCCAGCTCAGACCAGGCAAGATTTGCACCATCCGCGGTGGACTCGCCGTTGACGCTGCGGAGACCGGACGCGAGTCACGTCATTGGACCGCAATCCAGACTAGCATACCAACAAAGTTGTGGAAATCTCGATTTGCTCTATCGTCTTTGTCGTCTATCAAGTTGCCATGGCTGCACGACAGGTTACGTGCGGAATGCCATTTCCATCCGGATCGATGTTGTTTCCGTGCCGCACGGCGGCTAAGCTGCCATTCTGGGGGCCACCCGCCGAAAAACACTGGAGAGAGGCCCAAACCGTCATGTTGGGACCTCGGCCGATTCCTGGAGCAGCGGCCTTCTCTCTCCCGCCTCTACCTCTTCTCGCGGCACACTAGGGCGCATGGTAAGCTGACGAATACATCCGACTGCGGAGACAAGCCTGCGCATGCACTTACGGGACAGCCACAAAGCCAATGAAGGCAAGCATGTAGAAGCATCCGAGGAAAGCAAGGATCCACTCGAAAATACCCGCAAGTCGCCAGTGTTCGGTGTACATGAGGCCAACAAAAGTGAGGCCCATTACCACCTCCAGGAAGACGATGAAGGCGCTGAATGCGCAGCTGTTGGATGATTCAGCATTTTCCGTCAAGGTCTCATCAGCGGAGGACTTACTAGAATTTCAATTGCCTGAACTTGGATGGCTTGACGGTCTGGTCGAAGTATACTATCGTCGTGGTGAGAGCGGAAAGCGCCAAACCAGAGAAGCAGATCAACAGCAGAATGTGATGCTCCTGGTGGTACCGGTAAGTATCCATGATACCCAGTAGGACGAGGCCTGCACCAGCCACCACACCGGAGATCATGGCCACCACCGAAAGGCACTTTCTATGCCACAGATCGTCGATTCCATACATGCGGTGGTCTAGAGAGGAAAGTTAGCTGATGCGCATATCGTGCATGAATCTAACATTTTCTGTTGAATGCCACTTCCACATGCTCATCTGAAGCCGCTACCGAAAAAAGAGACTGACCATAGCGCGCAAAATGCACAGAGCAGACGGTACCGATAAAGGCAAATGCGGTGATTGTGGAGCCAATGAGAAAGAAGGGCTTGAGCATAAACGCGGCAATGTCTGAGATGAAGCTAGCGGCACCTATGAGATTTCGATACTCACAAACAGGCACCAGGAACTTACGCGACATCCGGATTACTCTGCCCTGGGTAGGTCGGGCAATGCCGAATTATCCATGTCATAAGTAGAACAAAAAGCGTGGTGAACCAGGCAACGCCGGAAATCAGAGGCAACAGCCAAAGCCGATGGAGAGGGAAAAGGACAGCCATGCTCGCCCAACACACGCCCGGCGAGGCTGAGGCGGCGGAAATTTTTTAGGGGGAAAGAGACAGGTTGCGCGTTGTGGGTGATACAGCTGTTTAAGGGGACCGCAGAGAGCCCACGAGAACAAGGCGTGGACGGTCAGATGAACAAACGACGATCGATTGCCGATGCAGGCGCCCGCATCGCCCGATGGTAAAGGTTTGGTCACCGCCTGGATGCAAAGCTGGACTGCAATGATCACTGGGTTCATCTACAATGCTACGAGACACAGTTGTGAAGTAGCTACAGTGGCTCCCGCCGCCGCAGCTTCATGTGAAAGTACCGTGGATGCGGAAATGGATTGTCGATGGATCGCACGTCCCAATCAAATCTGATGACGCAAGACGCCGCGGCCACCCCCGATGTCCCGCACCGACAGGGATTTTGCACGTCCCAGCCCACTCACCCTTCCCTGACGACTATCACCACCACTACTCGCGCCGATGGGCTTCCCGGTGGGATGAACAATAAGCAGCCTCCTTTCCTTTCGACACGGATGCTTCGTGACAATTTTCGCCGCACACGATGACCTCGGCGCCGGAAGCCGATGGAATTTCCGCGCGGACACTGACTGAGAGCGCGTCGCCGCGTTGATTGGTAATCCGCGATGGCATAATAGCGGACGAGCACCACGACGCATTTCCGCGCTTCCGTATTGCCTTCGCTGAAGCTTCTCGAGTCTCGGAGTCTTCATATACGCCTGCTAACCTCACGCAAACACTGACACCGCCTCACCCAAGCTTCACACACCACCTCCGCAGCAATCGTGGCTTTCCGGCGCGCAATGACGCATTTCAACATCGACATCGTCTCCGACACGGTGTGTCCGTGGTGCTACGTGGGCAAGAAACGCCTCGAGCGCGCCATCGCCCAGCACAAGGAGACCCATCCCTCCGACACTTTCTCCACGACCTGGCACCCGTACGTCTTTTCCTCCCCTCCCCTTCGAACAAACATTGCCGTAAGCTGACACTTTCCCCCCTCCTTCCTTCCGCAGATTCTACCTCGACCCCACCGCCCCCGTCCCCGGCGAAGACAAGCAGGCCCGCTACGCCCGCCGCTTCGGCGCCGAGCGCATAGCGATGATGCAGACGCGCCTGGCGCAAATCGGCACCGCTGAAGGCATCGCCTTCAAATTCGGCGGCCGCATAGGCAACACGCGCGACTCGCACCGGCTCATCCAGCTGGGCAAGACGAAGTCGCCGGCGCTGCAGACGCGCGTCGTCGAGGAGCTGTTCGCCGCGTACTTCGAGAACGAGCGCGACATTACGGATAAGAATGTGCTGAAGGAGGCTGGTGTGCGCGCAGGGTTGGAAGCTGAGGAAGTGGAGAGGTGGTTGGAGGAGGGGAAGGGTGGAAAGGAGGTGGATGAGGAGGTGATGGGAGCGCAGAGGAGGTTTATTTCCGGGGTTCCGCATTACACGGTGAATAAGAAGTGGGAGGTTGGTGGTGCAGAGGACGCGGCGGCGTTTTTGGAGGTGTTTGAGGAGGTGAAGAGGGCGGAGAAATAAAGAACGATACTTCAGGGCGGGCAATTGGGAAGAGGGAGAGGAAGATAAGAGAGAAGAAATAATGACGTGAATTCATTAAGGTATATTCATCCAATCCGTCTACTCCATAAGTCATTATCATCACCAAAATCCATCCCCCGATGCACGTGGCATTCTTCCTTCATTTAGGCTCTTTAAGCCGCAGCCTTCTCCCGCCCGTTTCCATTCGACCCCGGAGAGGTGCTCTTCACCCTCTCCTTCAGCAGCCCCCTTTGTCTCAGGTCGTCCACTCTCTTGCGCTCCTTGGTTTCTTCATGCTTCAGATAGACTCGCCACCACGCCAAGAAAAGCAGCATGCCTACAGAATACGAGACTTTGGTGTCAGCCTGTTAAAAACCGGACCTTGCGCTCTCGAAGCTGTTTCAAACGTACCCAAGATCATGGCCCCGATTCCACCGAACATCACGCCTATCTCATGGCCGATCGATGGAGGGGGAATGTAGACAATACCCTCCGCGCCACCGCCACCGCCGCCAGCGCGCTTGAAGAGGCTGCCGATATTCCGGACGTCCATATTGCCGATGTTGTATGTACTGGAGGAAGCCTTGAGGGTATTCACCACAGTTGGGTCCGGGGATTGCCGTCTTTCCGACAACAGAGAGATAAGGCTGATCAGACAGAAAACGCCTTATCAGGTTCTAAGGGGGATGGAGTAGGTCGGCGATAGACGATGTAGAGCCGCAACGGTCGAGACGATCCAGTCCAACGGATGACCAAAGCCGGAAACCCGCCTCCGCAACGTGCAAGAGTCGAGGGTGAGAGAAGAGTTCGTTTCGAAACAAGCTCCCTCTGGGCGGCGCTCTAGCAGTCTTGTACTTGTCTGCGCCTCCCCCGGCGGCCCCACCGTCATCAAGCTCTCGATCATACGCGTCCGTCGCACATCAGAGGAGGGAAAAAGAGCAGGGCGGGCGCGGCACAGGGCTCTTGGCTGACGTGGGTGACGAGACGGACGGACCCAAGAGTCTTGGAGAGCCCGTGGCCTGACGCCCAAGCCTCGCCTATGACACGCTACGGGTACTTGTCGTGCGTCGTCTGGGCTCGGCGGGAGGCTCGGCGGAGGTCTCGGCGGGCGGGGGCGGGAGCCTGTGGGCACTCTTGGCCCATCTTTCGTTGCGGGATTTCCCCAGATCAGCCTTGTCATCATCGTTCTGTACGGAGGAGTTGGCCTTGGGGCGCAGTGCTCGGCAACGCTGCGGGAATGGAATGCTTGTTGCCTGGAGCGCCTTGCCTTTCTTGATTTGCCTTTTCCAAGATGCAGGGCTGACGCTGGGTTGGCACGTTGGCATCGAAAGACACGCGTACCGGCGCTGGGGAGCGGATTCGTCTTTTCTATATTTACTGCAGATGCGCTTCTCGCTGGCTGTGCATTTCGATTCCTGCATTATTTTCGTGCGTCCCCGTCGACTGGCGCTCGTGTAACCAGCCTCCAGGTTATCGTCAGCCCCTTGCTGCCACGAGGTGCGCATCAAGTCCCACGCTGCACCACTTGTTGTTCTTCGCCGCTGCAGCAGTAGTCGAACGGTTTTCCCACTCCAAATGTCGCGAACGACATGGCACTCTTACTGTGTGGAAACTTGAAGCAGACCTCGAGACGTAGAGGCAGGTTTCATAGAGGTGCCCAGATAAACTTCTAACTGCCACTGTGATGGGAAGAGAGCGACGATTCCCCTGCCAGAAAAGGGAGAGTCACATGATATGTAACTAAGTAGAAGAACTTGTCCTAGCTTCGGATGCTGCAAGCAAACCAACCGACCGGATAGCGCACGCGACCGAGCGGGCCGCTCTGAGCAGATTCAGGCTTATTAATATCCGCTTAGCATACTTGCTCACCAATGCGAGATCATTCCGGAGTCCTCTCTTCCCGAGGCGACGCGATGGCCATGTGGTGTTGGTAAGAACAGCGAGGGCGCGCAGTGGCGGTGGAAGAATTCCGCGGTTGTGCGGCTGACAAACCGCAGCGTCGAATCGTGGCCGATGCGCGAGACCGAGCGAGCAAGCGGAAGGCGCCATTACCCGACGCGTTTGCATCACATTAGCAAGACATCACTCGAGCGGAAGAAGGTTCACAGAGCAAAAGCTATATAGGACAGTCGGTTGGCTAGGGTCGTGCCGTTAGCTGCATTTTTACTTCAACTCGACCAAACTTCAAGCCATCGTCACTTGTGAGACCTATGTCGGACCCTAGTCTCTATAGCTACCCTTCACCCCTCGAGGGTTGGGAGAACCTGCCTCCTCTGCCAGAGTAAGTAAAATACTTCCATCTTATTTCCTATTATTCTTCAGCTGGGTCATTGCGACAAATCTACGACTCCGTACAAGGTATATGCAGAAGGAGCGGGGTAAAATGTTGCCTCTAAACTCGCCTTTATACGGCTTAGAAGCGGCAACGAGATATACTTCATCTTCACCGAAACCAACTCCTTCAACCCCTTTTCATTCTCTCTTCCATCAATTTCCCAAATAACCCGCAGCTAACATCTCCCGCAGAGATCGCGCCGAGGACGGCAAATCCTTCATCAACCCGCCCTCGGTCCGGGGCAAATCGGACGCCTACACCGCCTTCCCGTCGCCCATCGCCAACGACCGGCGCGGCGGCTTCGACGTGCACGTCTACTTCCTGCAGAGCGACCCGTTCCAGACACAGTTCGCGACGGAGCTGTGGGAGCGCGTGCGGCGCGAGTTCCCGGAGCTGCGCATCTACAAGCTGTGGGACCGGCCCATCGGCCCGCACTACACGGGCATGTTCGAGGTCAACCTGTTCACCCCGGAGCAGTTTGGCGCCTTCATCCCCTGGCTCGTCATCAACCGCGGCCCGCTGTCCGCGCTGCTGCATCCGAATACGGGTGACGATGTCAGGGATCATTCGCAGCGGGCGACGTGGTTGGGGGAGCAGTTGCCGCTGAATTTGAGGTTGTTGAGGAAGGTGATTGAGCAACAGAAGGAGCAGGCGAAGGTGTAAATGGAGAGTATGAAAGGAGGGGAGTGTTAGGATAAAGGTGATGGGTTGGGTGGAAAGGGTTTGGGGGGAATTAGGACAGGAGTAATATCGGCTTCTGGAACGCCTTCTATTTTTTTTTTTGAGGGAATTTGACCAGAAGATAAGCTACGATCTATTTTTTGCGTAAGAATGAAGTAACTAGCCATTGAGGCAAGTGCTATAAGAAATAAAATGGCCGGAGCCCTGAAAGAACCGTAGGCGCTTGTGGTGATACAGATTCTCTCTACCGCTAAGGTTCCATGGATGTAGTCCGAAATTTTCAAAGGAGTTTGTGATAATACTCAATGAGACGCAAGTTCATACTGAACTCTTTTCACGGTTCTTGGGTCACGCATCCTTCATGACGACGTCTTCTCCCTTCTTGACGCCGTTCTCCCCTAGCACCTCTTGCGGACGGGCCATCCATCCGAACAGCATCCAAAGGCCTTTTGTAGCCTCGATACGGTCCTCCGTGTTGAAGAAGTCATACCAACGGGAACGGCGAAGTACCGGCCGACACCAGTCCTCATCAGCCGGAAGCGGGGATGGCAGCTCACCTGTCTCAATCCATGAGACGTATGCTGGGTGGACGCGCAGATGGAGCAGAGCCATGTGCGTGTTTACCGAAGAGACGCTGAAAACCTACAAGGAGTTTAACAATCCGGCTCAATCATAATTCGCGCACTTCAGGCGTGCGGAGGCTGAAGCAAAAAACAACTCACATCGTCCCATTCCGAGCTCCTGTCCTTCCCGATGGCCTCGTACTCGACCTTGGGATCCCAGTACCCGATGCCAGGCTTGATCTCCGCCCAGATCTCGGCGGCCGTCTTCTTCTTCGTCGGCCTCCTGCCACTACGACTGGGCCTCTCCTCCTTGTCAGATTTAGGCGCAGATTCGCCGCTGTCTTCACCACGAGCCTCGCCGACCTCGCCACCTTTGCCACCTCCCCACCTGGGAACGGTGGTCCACCACTTACCCTCGCCGGGCTTCTGCTCGGTGCGGCCCTCGCGAGTGCGTTCCTGAGCGATATACAGCAACGATCCGATCTCACGCATAATGTCCAGCAACGCCTCGTGCTGGCTATCTCCACTGCTGCCGGGCACCTTACCATTGCCGCCGAAGTCAACGTAGTCGGCGACGCGCATGCCGGCGGCGGGTCCGTGGACGAAGCCCTGACGCGCCTTCATGCGGTCGGTGCTGCTGCGCCAGACGGCGGCGCTGACACGAACGGGCACGCGCAGGTTGCGGATCTGCAGGGCCGGCGGCCGGCGGTGCGGCGCGATGTTCATCCCGAAGCACCACGCCACGGGCTCGACGAAGGAGCGCACCGTGTCGACGCGGTAACCGTCCGGCATGCCGCTGCCCGTGCCGATGCGGAGGCCCTTGTACGTGCCGGCGGGCCTGTTGCTGCTGCCGCCGCCGTTGTTAGGCGCGCTGGGCGCCGGCCTGGTGGCTTCTAGCTTGGCTGGCGTGGTGGCTGGGCGTTGGGCAAGGTTGATGGGCTGAGACTGGTCCGAGGCCGCAGTGGTGGTGTTGCTGCTGGGCTCAGTTCCGGAGGAGGCGGATGGCGCGGTCTTGGCCTTCTTACGGGCTACGGACTCATCTATGTGCGTAGCCTCGAGCCGCGCTGCCTCCTTAGACTCAACGGCGTCTGACGTCTTGTCTCCGGAGGTCTCGGCCGCATCGGCGGCCTCGGTCTGGCTGGGCTCCTCTGCGTGTTTGGGAGGGATGTACTCGTCCAGACTAGTGTCCCAGTAGTAGGCCATGTTGTCGAGGCCCTCCCAGAACTTTCGATAGTGGGCCAGACGTGGCGGCTTCTTCTCCTTGTTCTGGGGAGTACGCGTCAGAGCGGAGAAAGCGTCATGATTGTCGAGCAGTAGCTCCCTGAGGCGTATGGCAAAATCCTCCCGACCAGGATAGGGCCTGCCATTGCTCAAGAGGCGCTTTGGGCCTTCCGCTTGCTGCACTGGAGCCTGAACAGGGGCACCATCGGGCGGAAGTTCTGTCCAATCCTGAGGGACTGCGTACGAGGTGACCCCGGGCAAAATAGCGAGCAAGTCCTCGATGCTGGTCTCGGGCTCTAGGGAGATGTTTAAACCGAGGAACTGGTCAACGGTGATATCAGAGGGCTTCTTGATCCGTGCGAAGTGCTGCAACAGGGCCGGAGGATCGCCGTCCTTCGCCCATGCTACGGGCTTGTGGGCCGGGGGCTGGAAGTTTGGAAACTTCACAGGCGTGGGCAGCTCAGGCGGGGCCCGCTCCTGCGTCGAATCGTGTCTTCCAGCCAGGAGAGAGCCTGCTACGCGTTACTACGGGCCAAGCAAAGGCTGCGTCACGTGAGAAAGTGAAGCAGCGTGAGACGCAGCAGATCGAGTCAATTCGCAGCAATTGGCGACGGTGAGTGGTCGGGGAGCACAGAATGGGCGCCGCCTTGAAACCGCCAGAGGTAGTAACAGCGAGTCAGGGCTGCGGACGGGCGAGCGGGAGGGCAGGGCGCGGGCTGGCGGGCTGGAGTGACGCATAGGGCACGAATGGGGCAGACGGGCGTCGGAGAGGTTGATGGGTGATGTGTGTGGTGCTGGAGGGGCGTCGCACGTTGTTCGGCGGCGTTGAGGTGGTGCGGGAGGAGCGCCGGCTGGTGGCGCACAGGCGCGCAACGGCGGCCGGCGGGATCAAAGGAAAGCACTAGACTTACTGCTGCCACCGAATGCAAACATCTTAGGAGTTGAGGACGGGACTTGGAGGTTTCATGCGAAACGAAGCCCACATTGCCGCGACGGACGCGAGGAGATGCGGCGTAGCGTGGACAGCTCGACGTCGGCTGATTAGCCGGATGGGTCAGCGTTGCGGCGCGTCTGCAGGTGGGTCGGCCGCCCAAACAGGATGTAGCTTAGCTGTGTCCTTTTGGCACTAGCCAGGCACCGCAGCCTAGCCCGGCGCCAATCCTCGCTCCCCCAGCTCCAACCACCCCGCCGGCCCGCCGCCGCAACCGAGCACTGCAGGCGCGACAACGCCCCGCTGCCCTCGACCCGCGCGCCAGCCGTGCAGCACCTCAAACACCACGGCGATCTTGCGTGCACGCCCGCCACAGATCGGCCAAGCTGGCGAGCCCGTCGCGGCGCATCTGAGACGGTGAGCGTCCGCGCGGCGGCTGCGACCAGGGCCGTTGCCCAAACGGGCACGCGATGAAACGCCGCAAGCTTCACCTGCCCCTTCGCAACCGCCCGCCACCTGCCGGCCATGCACCATCCGGCCCGCCCACACCCCAACCCTCGTTTCTGCTGATCGCGCACTGGCGCCGCCCGTTGCGTTTGCGCCCCAGCCTATATTCACTCTCGGCCCCGACCTCCATTTTGCCAGCCTTTTCTCGCCGGCCATGCGGCTGCCCTGAACTGTTGCCTGCCTCGCATGCCGCAAGCCTCGCGACGTTGACGTTGAGCGTCGACGCGCATTGAATGGATGGCTGAGCCGCCGAGCACCATCACCACCGTCAACGGGCGCCGGTGCACCCGCGTCCGCCGCACCACCACCCTGCTGGCTGGAAATGTAGCTCTCCGCCGCCTCGAGTGCCACCCCGGACACGGCTGACTTGCTGCAGACCTCATCGACCTCTCCCGCCACTTCCACCGCCGCCGCGCCAGGTACGCAAACCACCGCGGCGCCAGCGACGACGGTTCCTCCGCTGTCGTCGACCGAGGCCGCTTCTCCTGTCCCAGCTCCCTCGTCATCTGCACCGACCCAGCCGGAGGCATCTCAGGGTCTCTCGTCTGAGCCTGCCACGTCTGCGCCTGCCCAGTCTTCGCTCGTTTCTGCAGGGCCTTCGCAGCCCTCTTCAATCAGTTCGCCGTCGACAATATTTGCTGTAGTTACGACGGCGACTGGATCAGTTGCCTTCACTTCTTCTTCTTCTGATGCCTCTTCCTCGTTTGCAAGTTCTACTGTTTTGAACACACTTCCTTCTAGCATTATACCCGTCACAACCACCGCACAGAGCGGAAGTTCTGACACTTTGACTGCAGTTGTCTCAGTCGTCTCTGCATCTACTTTTATTGTTTCGCAACCGACTACAGCTTCCGACTCTACTTCTTCTCTGACCGGCGGAACCGAAGGTTCCGGGTTCGAAGGCTCTGGCACCTCGTCACATGATGATCACTCGTCCGGCCATCACAGCAATCATGGTCTCTCCCCAGGTGCTATCGCTGGTATTGTCCTTGGCGTCGTTTTTGGCATCGCCGCTATTGTTGCTCTGATTCTATTCTGTCTCAAGAGGAGAAAAGAGAGAAGAGAGGGGCTAGATGAGAAGAGTGCAGGACAAGGGGGGTTGGCTGGACCTCCGCCTCGCTCAGGGCTCGCCGCCAAATGGGCCGCCCTTACGGCAGGACTTGCCGCCAAGGCGGGACTTAAGCCGTCTGGTACTGACGGCATGGCTAGACGGGCTCCGGAATCGCCTGCGTTTGAACCGGTCGCACGGTCTTCGTACAGCTCTGCAGGCTCTGCAGGCTCGACGCGCCATCTGCGCTCCACGAGCGCCCCAGCGCAACCACCCGCCGGTCGCTTTGCAGCGTTCAAGCAGAAGTTCCAAAAGCCACAAACGTTCGTCCCGGAACGAAGGGGCCGAGCAGTGTCTACTGACAGTATCCCATCATTCTATTCTCCGACTCCTCCTCAACTAGAGGACCTCCCTGAGTCTCTCAACCCCTTCAGAGATCCGGTGCCTTCATCATACCGCGTCACCAACCCCGACAGAGCAAGTCTTTCTCCCAAGGTTCAAACACCACAGTCAGCACTACTCGGCGGTAACCTAAACGACATACGAAGCCCCCTGACACCAGGCATGGCGAACTGGCGCGAGCCAACACCACAGTTTGGCTTCCCAGCAAGTATCGAACCGCAAAACCCGTTCCTGGATCCTCGGGAGACCCAAAAGCGGATTTCTGCCAGCACCATCTCTGTTGCCCGGAGGAATAGTATGGGCCTTCCGCCTATAGCCCGAGTTGCCTCTCACGCCCGCAGCCAAAGCGGTAACCCAAGAGCTCTGTCACAGGCTCGCTCATCATGGTACTCCGAAGATTCGGGATATGTTTCACCATCCCACCCTTCAGCGCACGTCCTACCCCTTCGTCCTCCCAGGAGCAATCCATTCGCCGACAGGTATGCATCCGACGTGGCTGCTGGCCCGCAGCCGGAAACAGATGCCGCAAGCACAGATTCGGCAAGCATCTATATCCTTCCAGCTTCCCGGAATGCCAGCGTGGATTCTGGAAGGGGTCCGCCGCCAGGACCCATTCCGCTGCCAAGTGCCCGCAGTTCCTCACTCATGGTACAGTCCCAAGAGCCTCTGGCAACAACTTCAACCGCTCGCTCTTCTTGGCTCAGTCCACATGGCAGCCCGGCAATCTCGTATGGCTCAAGTGGACGCAGCAGTCCGGCCAGTGGTCGCAGTGGCAAACGGAGAACCACAGCGAGCCGCGCAACACGAGGCAAAAGTGATCCGTTTGATCTTGACCGGCCTGAGATACTAGCAATAGCATCCAACTACGATTCTGGAAAGACTCCTCCCATGCCTCGGCACAGCAATGGCTCAGACTGGTGGAAGGAAATTGTTGATGAGGGTACTGGAAGTGGCAGTGACTACGACAGCCCCAACAGACGTGCCAACGCCTACGGGTTAGCACGCTGAGTATTACGCTAATCAGCCTCTCTGGAGACGGCATGCGGATAAGATATTTAACGGCCTGAAGTATACATCAATTAGTGTTTTGTGTTAGCATTTGGTATTAGAAACCGGACCTACTGCATTGACTGCGGGATGGGGAAAATGGGAGCATAGCTGCATCATGTTTCAACGAATTTTCTTCTTCGTCGCTCTCTTCTTCATTGTTTGATTTTACATTTTGGGACTGACCATGATCGGTGCCTTTCAGGGTTCTTTGTATCATTTTTTCACCAAAAAGCATTTTCCCATCAGCTCTTCTGATAGCATAGCTCAGAATGGCACAACGGGCTGGACTGCATAGCGGCGGAGGAAGTCAATCCGACAAGTGGCGAAGCAGCAATTTGAAGAGATACCACATAGCTTCCGTTCTAGCTTGAAAGAGCGGCAATAGCATAGTTTGTTCATGCATTTACAAAAATTGCTACTGCTGACCAAAGACGTTGGCATCCACATCGTTGTCTGAGCGCAGCCCTAATCAGAATACTACGCTCAGGTCAGAAGTTCATGTCAGCCGACATTTATCTCGTCCCCCACCTTCCACCGACACTGTTGCGACGGCGACGATACCGTTACGGAAAGTGATGTAATTCCCGTCAGGGATTCGCTCGGCGAGACACGAATAGTTGATCCAGGCACTTGGCTCCCTTGATGGGGATCGGCGCATTATAAGAGGGGAATGATATGCACGAATTAGTACCAAGCGCTCGGGAAAGGGTCAGACGTTGGCGTCGTTTCCGTTGCGGGTGTTGCGCGTGATACACCCACTCGCATTCAGCCTTTTTTCCAATTGGCCCGGTCGGTGTGATTGGGGAGGCCGATCATCGCAATATTGCTATACGAGCCCTATCCGAGCGAGGCCGTACGGTGTATCATGCGGACGCTAATGGTGACTGAGTGTGGTGGGGGTAATAGGGAAAAAAGTGTATGTATGCTATAGGGTCCATGCACGCTCGCGCCGCCGCTCGTGCACACACAAAGCCTTTTGCTTATGTAGCGCCGACCCACAACAGCAGATAACACGCTGCTGAAGTGAGGCAATGCGTCACTTGTGCGTCGTATCTGAGGAGCGAGCGAACGTCACATCAGGGACCGAGATGGGCGATAAGGTTAAATGCGAGCTGCTGCTATTTGTGTTAGGGCTGGGCTGGATCGTTTGGTGTGGCGTGAAAGGTGGGTGCGGATTGGGTGATGTGCGCAGGGAGGTTTGGTCGTGAGGCAGTGCAAATTCTGCAGGTACAAAGGAGAAAAAAGTAAGTTGGAGATGGCAAAGTTGCCTTTTCTGTTTAAAGGAGCGGCGGAGAAGCGGGGATGGCTGTCTGCGTGGCTGTTCGGTCATGTATGTATCCAGAACAAGCATTTCGCCTTTCCTTTATTTCGTAGATACTCATCTCAAGGTGAATTGAAGGTGGAATGACGACTGTGGTGTGAAAGCTTTTCTATTTCTGTCAATTCCAATACTGTGTAGGCAGCCACCTGGTGGGGAATATGGATCGCTGCCTGCGGCGTTTTCCGACCTGGTGGCTAAGCGCCAGATTTAATTTTCGTGTGCTCCCACAATATTGTATAAGATAGCCAAACTGATCTTCCATGTCGTCTTGATCTTCTACAAATCCTCTATCCTGAGGCCCTTTGCTAATCACACTGACAGCCACTTGCAGGAGTCCTCTGTAGAGGTATTCTACGTACCAAGAGATCCATGGAATAGGAGAATGGCGCGGAACGAACAGTGCGTGTGCGGCTCTGTGTGTGGGTTCTAGAATGGTGGGGGCGAAAACGTCGTCATTGAGTCCTTGTCAAAAGGGATGTGTCCACAAACTAAATCCCACGATTTTCTGGCATCCGACATCTCTCTCGCAGTAACCTTCCTTGTTCCTCTTTCTCTGCTCACGCCTCGGAATCTCTTGAATCATGCAATCCCGTCATTTTGCAGACATCAAACCATGGACCGGCATTAAACTACACCTTCCCTCGATAAGCAGGCGCCGATCTTCTGCAACAACGTTGACCTACTCTGGACAAGAACAAACCTATGCGGATGAATGCCAGCATTGTAAGGAGCTGCAAGAGCAAGGGAGGATCCGGTTTTTGTTAAAACCATCCGAGAAAGAGCTATCCCTGCAAGACCTCTGTCGCTTACGTTTTCATGCTGTTCCTTCTCGGGACCCCGCAGTCTTTCGTGACTGGAACGATTCACATGCAGTATGCTCATTCTGCAGTCATTTACATGTAAAAGCTTGGCTGGGAAGGAGTCCCGACATGACAATATATCTGGATCCTTTTCGGGAGATCTTGGCCAGACAAGAAACCTGTGGATTCTGTTCGCTGATCGCAAAAATCGTCACACGTCATAAGGGATTTCTGGGGCGTCGAGACATTGACAACACTCGATCTCAGATTGTGCTGCGTACAGCCAACTTCGGTCAGCGCACACACAGCTTTGGACGCGTTCTCTTTACCGGCCAGCTTCCGTTAGTCGAACTGGGAACGAGCGCGACACCTTCCTCCTCATCCAGCGATACATGGTCCCTGAGTATAATAACATCCATCGAGGCGATCAATTGGTACCGATCAGTTGATATTTGTACACTTTATGGCACGGTCTTGGGTCCTCACCAAAAGCGGAAGCTTCTTGTGGAGGCGGAATCTTTCGTCCCCGAGCTCATAAATTGGGAGGATATCCGAACTCAGTTGGAAGAAACCGATCATCCGGAGCCTTTAATTCCTCAGCCGGCGGGGTTCCGACTGATTGACGTGGAAGCATGCAACGTCGTTGCAGCACCGACTCTTTGCGAATACGTTGCGTTAAGCTACGTTTGGGGAAAAGCGCGGATGGGTGTGAAGCCGTTTCACTTGTCCCTGGGCAATATTCGAGCTCTGCAAAGACCAAACAGTCTCAATAATCCTCGAGTTCCTGCTACCATCACGGACGCCATGATAGCTTGCCGCGGACTCGGGAAACGCTATCTGTGGGTCGACCGTTTCTGCATACCGCAAGATGAATACGACAACCCTACCAAACATATCCAAATTGAATCCATGGATCGCATATACAGCCACGCCTTCGTTACCCTGGTAGCCCTGGAAGGCGAAGATTCCAACCACGGTCTCGCTGGTGTTTCTACCTTAAAGCGCGATGTGGCGTACAGGACGCAATTTTCAGGATGCGAGATTTCGGAAAAGTTCACGCCCATGGATTTCGGAAAGCGAGTTGAAGAATCTTGTTGGAATAGTCGCGGATGGACGATGCAAGAAGCAATGCTTTCTTCTAGGCTCCTCTTCTTCACTCAAGATGGAGTTGTCGGTGAATCGTCTAAGGGCAGATTCTTCGAGCAGGGACTTGAAGCAAAAGTAGTGACCCCTGTCACCGGAGCTCCAAATTTCTGGGCGCACGAAGATCAACAAATCTCACTCTCCAACGCCGTTAATCAGATGTCGAAAAGACAGTTTGGAAGGGAGTCCGATATTCTTGATGCTTTTTCTGGAATCCTAAAGGCACAATTCGGAGAGCACCGATTCGGCCTACCCCTGGAAGGATTTGAAGATGCTTTGTGTTGGATGGCATGCACTCCGTGGCAATGCAGAGCTTCCACAGAGGAATATGTGTTTCCGAGCTGGTCCTGGGCCTCGGTTCCCGGTGAAGTCAGGATGTTAAATGCTGCATTATTTTCCGTGGCATTGTTTGGATTCCTCGAAACCGGACAGACAGGCACGCCGTGCCTTTACCATTTCCGACCAAGGGATCGCAACTTCCTCGATGATGGAGAAGCAGTTTTAGCAGCAACGACTGCATGGCAAACGAGCTGCTTACAAGCGCCACTGAATGACTTCCTACAACCTACCAAAAATCCACGGCTGTTCAGGAGCTTTGTGTCGGAGTTCAAGCAAAGATGGCCATCGTATAGACATCTCTGGGAGCATATTCACGGTATCAAACAGGACGATTGGCGGCCACGGAACTTTCTTGATAAATTTTCACCCCTTCAAATCCAACATGCTGCGGAACCTGGCCGGCTTCTTGTGTTCACTCAGATGACCGTACTATCTCTTGCGTCATTACCACTTCCCTATCTCCAGTCATTCGCCGGTCACTTTCTCATTTCCGACGGAGAACATCCAATTGGTGAAGTTTGCTTAGACACAAAGCAGATTGTAAAGGAACTACGAAACAGAATCATACCGGACTATACGAGACATTCTACGCGATCGGTTAGAGATACAAGGAAGATTGTCTTTATTGCCATTTCTATCGTGGACAGAGAAGGTATAACGAATTGGGAAATAGGAAAGGCCTCGGACAGTGATTTCGCCATTCCAATCAACCAATTCATCTTTGAGGATGACTTTCGTCCGCGCACAGATTTGTTCATGATAGTCATGGCAATAGAGACAAAGGCGGGGATTTCACGTCGGCTAGGAATAGGTGCTATTCCGCTGGAAAAGTGGTTGAAATTGCCGCGTATTTTCAAGGGGTTTATTCTAGAATAACAAGCTGAAAAAATAGCTACCCAAAAAAAAAAAAAAAAAACATCACGATGCTCTTGCAACAAGTGTGTCTATGTACTTGGAAAAAAAAACACTGGAAAATTGTCGAGGGGATTCCGAAGGGAATTCGACTGATAACACTGTCGTTCAATAATAAAAGCTTGCTGAAGGATTCCTCCACATGACGCGGCTGCGGGGTTTGTTGGCCCCCAGAGTGGGGTCCGTTACTGACAGCAGCATGCAAAAAGTTTTCAGCCCGCCCGTACATTCTCAAAAGCTGAATACAAACGCCGCATTGCCGCTCAGACTATTCTCTTAGCCCATTAATACAAGTATGGATCATCTACCCCGCCCGTATGGAAAGGCCTGCACTCTTCCGAAAATACCTTACTTCTGCTTCGAGGAGTATGACCGTGGCGACTTCCTGTCTTATCCAGAGCGCACCGGATGGACCATGGATGAACTGCTCAGCTTCGAGTTGTGGACGGAACTGGACGATGAGGACGATGATGAGGACAAAGACGAGGATGGGGATGAAGATAAGCGCACTTTCGAGGATGTCTTGGATCTCTTGCAGACTTGGCTATTCTTTGGCTCACTTCATCTTATTTTTCAGGAGCACATCAAGTTTGAAGACTTCATCATGGAAGATCCGGATGAAGGAACTTGCATACATACCAAAAATCTCCTTAAAATAGCAGAAGAGTACAAGAAGTCCGGATACAAAGGAGGCAAAAACCCAGAGAAACTCCAAGACATTTTGTCTTGTCTGGCCACGGCATACAAGGTCTATAACGTCGCTGTTCTTGCTAGTACCCTGGATCCGTATTTCTTACTCTCGATCGGTTTCCTCCTCGACTTTCTCGCCTCATACTCCCGGATTCTCTACGCAGGAGACGACACGCTCACGCAATTGGACGATGACACGAAAGTGTTATCCTTTAAAACCCCTTTAGTCCCTGCAGAGGATGAGACGGAAGGATTTGCCAACGAGGACGGTGAAGTACCGTTCTTGGTATCAGAGATGATTCTGGCAGGCTGGTGCCCGCATCTCGTCAATTCGCTTCACGAAAAGACCTCCAACAAGACCATGTATCTCGCCAGTCTACTCGACCCACCGGATCCGACCAAGAACCATACCACTTGCACACGGGCCAAGTGCCTTGCGTATCAAATGAACAAAGGAACTTACGTTCACAAACACGTGCGAGAGGGTTGCACTTGCGAGGAGCTCACCATCGATTCAGACCAGCTTTGCCGCATTCTTCAGGACGGTTCTTTTCCGGTAGTGAAGCCAATGGATCCGAGGAGAAGCTCTACTAGTCTGGAGCTTGAGGCCTATTCCTCAAACACCGAGTATGTTGCCATCTCACATGTGTGGTCCGATGGCATGGGGAATCCCAAAAGAAATGCGGTGGCAAAATGCCAAATGGAAAGGATCTTCAACTCGATCAAGGAACTTCCCGGGTGCACCAGTCAAACCCCTATTTGGCTTGACACGCTCTGTTGCCCGGTGGCACCAAAAGACGTCAAACGCCTGGCAATTGCCAGAATGCGAGACACATACGACCTGGCCGCTTCAGTCCTGGTGCTAGACAAGCAGCTACAAGGGCTTCCGCATTCACAGCTGAGTCCTGTTGAGCAGGTTGTCAGGATCTGGTGTTCTGGCTGGACCGGTCGGTTGTGGACATGGCAGGAGGGTTTTCTGGCAGACCGCTTGTATTTCCAGTTCAACGACGGGATCTTCGACGTCAACACGCTCCAGACGCATTACCTGACGGGAACTCGCTACGACCTCTATTCCACGCGCGATTCTGCAATGCTCATGACCATGATCCGGGGAAGCCTCTCGAAGACGCCTGAAAAAGATCCGACTCGACTGCGGCTAGACGGCGTTGTGGATGGACTGCAGGGGCGAAGCACGAGTGTGCCTGATGACGAAGGCCTCTGTCTCGGTGCTCTCATGGGCTGCGATGTGCTGAAAATTCTTGATGCGAAGCCGTTGCCACTCATGTGCGGGTTTTGGCAGCAGTGCCCTGTCATACCGCGTGAAATATTGTTCTGGAAAGGGCCGCGTCTGAGCCAGCCAGGTTTCCGCTGGGCTCCAATCACATTGACAAACCATGGAGGAAGGCAACTTGATCCCAGCCCTATAACGGCGTCCGAGAAAACTGGAACGGTTGTTCCTTCCGGATTGCTCATCCGGGCACCTGCGATTCTTCTTGGAGATGTCTTGGATCAACCACTCTGCAGAGATTTTTACGTTGTTGATCATAATGGAGAATCCATCTGGAGAGCTAAGCAAGATTGCGATGCCGAAGAAAGACCTGCCCTTGAAGATAAAGCGGAGAGGTACATCAAGGTAGCATTGCTACTGCACGAAAGAGTCACGGAACGGTCGCGGACAGCTGTTACCTACGGCACGCTTGTTTATGTATACGCGGAGAAAGATGGGATGTTGTTCGCAAGGAGGGGAGGGACTGCACTTGTAATGCTCCAGAAGCACCCTAACAGGGTGATGCAAGGTGTGGGAGATCTTTGGAAAGATCTCCTGAAGCTTGAGATTTCTTCCGGGGAAGACGTCAAGTACCGTGGGCGAAACCTTGTGTACCATGGAGAATATAAGGAGATCGAAGGCCAAGATCTTCCAGAACAGCAGCAGTGGGTCATTGACTGAAAACCAGCCTGCTTCATTCTCCAGAAATCCTTTCAAACCCTAGTTATCATACCAAGTGTGACAGCATTCCAACAAGTGTGATATTTCGATTTAAAACTCAGATTGCTATCAATGCTTCGTGATTTGAAATTATTTAAGCAGTGAAAGCCATACTTGAGTATATTAGGCAATGTTTGCCATATTGAATTAATTGGGGCGGGTGAATAGACGCCCGTTAACTTCACCACCGTCCAATCGTTGGAGCCCCTTCGGGATGTCTTCAAATGGGATCTCGATCAGATTTGGTCGGAGATGACCGGTAGAGAGCAAGTTCAAAACCTCCTGGAGGTCTTCTTTTGACGCGCCAATCGAGGCCTTCAGTGTGATGCTCCGTGTAACAAAGGATGTTGTTCGGATTTCGACGCTGGTGGCCCCCAGTCCGACAAGCACAACAGTGCCGCCGTTCTTGACAGAGGAGATTGCGGACTGAACAGTTGATGTGACTCCGACAAAGTCGATGATGATATCGAACTTGACATCGGCAAACTCCTTTAGCGTTGCCGCGCACGCACTGGCACCGCAGCGCTTTGCCTCTTCGAACTTTGCCATATTGAGATCAATGCCGTAGACCTTTGCTCCCCGCAGAGCAGCGATCGTGACCGCGTTCATACCAAGGCCTCCGATTCCGAGTATTGCCACGGTGCTCGATTGGTCCGCTCCAGCTGTTGCCGCTACCGCATGATACGCCGTTGCGATCGAGTCCGTCGCTACCGCAGCCTGCTCGAAGGAAACGTTGTCCGGAATCTTGACCAGGAATTCAAGGTGTCCCAGAACAAATTGGCCATATCCTCCGTCGTACCCCAGCCCGATTGCGGTTTCCCACGAAGCTTTCTCGACTGGGTGCGATGGTATGGCAACAGCAACGCGGTCACCTACTTGAACGGTTGATGGCCCCGGTCCGAGCTTCACGATGGTTCCGGAAACTTCGTGGCCCAAAGTAATTGGGCGTTTTGCGATCCAACTATGCCCTCGTCCTTGGATGATGTGTACGTCTGAGTGACAGAGGCCGGCGGCTTGTACTTTGATGAGAGCTTGGCCGTGTTTGGGTTCTGGAATAGGGATTTCTTCAAGCCGAACTCCTGTTTCAGGATCTTCGTACCGGAATGCTTTCATGTTGGGATGGCCGAATTTGGAAACCTCGGGCTGCTGTCCTTGAAAGAGGAAACAAATGTCACAAGCGCCGAATGAAGAGGGCTTATTACCATGTTTATATCCCAAACGCGGGGTCGGAAGCCGGATCGAGTTCTATCCTGGTCAGGGTCTCCGCACGGAATGATCTGTGATCTTCGCGATCTGCGGGTGGTTGTTGTAGCCGGTGCGTTCCGGTCAATCCAACCACGGCTATCGGCTAACGGGCCCCGGCTATCGTACTGGCCATACTTGCATACCCGACATGTTGCTAAACTCCGTGTATAAAGTTACTCTACTTTGTTTTACTAAGAAAATGCTCTATTCTAAAACACGACTTGTGAACGGAGTTAAGAGGAGCCCTAGTCTTAATGACCGGACATCCGGCAAGAAGTAACCCGGACTACTAACACTAAGTGAAATATATATATACACCATCGTAGCCATTCTTCTCAACAAGTAAAAGACAACCCAACACCGAAAAATACCCAGCAAAAATGCCCCGCGGAACCCTCTCCCTCACCGGCACCACCGCCGCCATCCCCATCTTCTCCCCGCCCTACACCAACACAACCCACAAATTCTCCGACATCTCCATCGCCGCCATCTCCTACCGCGTCTCCCACGCCAGCGTGCAGCACCTAGTCCCAGACGTGCTCGAGCTCGAGCCGGAGCCGCTCGTCACGACGCTCTTCGTCCGGTACGGCATGAGCACGGTGGGCAGCTACAACGAGTTCGTGCACCAGGTCGAAGTCACGTACGAAGGGGAGAAATACAACTACAGCCTCGTGCTGATCCTGGACAACGAGGCCGCCATCTTCGCGGGGCGCGAGGCCTTCGGCTTCCCCAAGGTCTTCGGCCGCACCGACATCCGCGAATCCACCGGCGGCCGCGCCGTCGTCGGCCACGTCGAGCGGCCGGTGGGCGAGCGGATTGTGGATTTCGAGTTCTTGCCCGAGGAATTGCTGAAAGGAACAGAGCCGCAGGCGCCGAAGAGGCGGACGCTGAATCTCCGTGTCGTGCCGTCTGCGGATCCGGCGAAGCCGCCGGCTGTGAAGGAGTTCGTGCCTGTGTATATGGATATGGAGTTCAAGGATGTGTGGGTGGGGAAGGGCAATGTTTCTTTCTTGAAAAAGTCTGCGATCAACCCGTGGGCCAATATGAACATCCTTCGGTATGAGGGCGCCTCTTATGCCACGGGAGGCACGGCGGTCCTGCAAAATCCAACGGAAGCTTTTCCGCTTTAAAATGCCAATGTCATCTGGTTCACAAATAAGAAAATCAGTAGGTAAAAATAAAGTTTGTTTCATACCGGATAGTTGTTGACCTTGGGCAGAATGCGGGGTTCCGATTTTGACTCAATCCTTTTCTGTATGTTCGTTCAGGTTATCCAGGCACAGCACAACAGCGTCACCTGCTTGCACGTCAACATCCGCACACTTGATCATTCGAAAGAGTAGTAGATTTGCGTGACCATCTCCCTTGCCATTCTCCATCATCCTCCACATGGGACTCCGGTCAGCCTACTGTACATGCACGGACAAAACCAAGGGTCCATGCGAATCTGGGTGGAGAGAGTCCTCTCATCATCCACTTGGTCCAATCTCTTCTCTTTCCAAACCTCATCGCACATGTATGCGTTTCCACGTGCCAACCCTCCTCTTCCCACATCTACACACTTGAAAAAAGTACCACGAAACATGTACAAGATAGAATGAAATAAATGGAAAAGAAATTCAAACACCTTGACGCCTGAACCCGCTCCCTTATTAAAGGAATTTTTGTTGCCTCGCTCAAAGAAGAAGAATAAATCAAGAGAAAAAAAGACAAAAAAGCCGGTAGATGCCAACAAAATTACAGGCAGCTCACTACCGCATATGTACTGTACAGAAGAGTCGAGATGACACAGACGACCACCGCTCGCTCGTTGGGGGGCAAACACCATGCCAGTGACACGCTCGCTTGACAATGGAGAACAAAACTCCCAGGATGTACTGTGAACGCCAGAAGGATCGGAGCAGGATGTCCCAAAAGACCAAGAAACGCCGGGGGGAGGTGTGAGCGCACGCAGTGTAGCAGCAAACATGTCGCCACTTGTCCGCAAAGCACGCAGCAACAACGCCGCGCCAACTGTGAGCATCAGATAATACAACATTCGACCGTTGCGCCGGAGCCGTCCGGAGAGGGGGGGTATAAAAACAGAACGCGCGACGAGCAGCACTGAACAATCGAAAGGAAAAGGCTCCACGGAAAAGTGCTGTTAGTGGCTCAGCATCCTACGATCGATCCACCTGCGCGTCAAGTCAGTAAAACAGACAAAACAGATCGAGGCACGCTCCTTGCCATTATACGTACTCGTTGTGACCCGGACTGGCACTCTCCTCCCGCTTCACCGGAGAGTCAGGTATCTTGACGCAATCCACCTGGCTCTCCTCCGAGAGGCCCAGCCACTCGGCGTCCGTATCCGTCATCTCCTCGTCGCCGTGGAGCTTCTTGTCGAAGTCGTCGTACTTCTGCCGCCTCTTCCGAGCACGCCGTGCGTTGGTGGTACCGCGGAGTTCATCCTCATCGTCGTCGCTGCTCGGTCCGCGTTCATCCCCCATGTCATCCGGCTCGGTGTCGGAAAACCGCTCATCCGGGTCGGGTAGGGACTCGGCAGTAAATGGGCTGCGAGGTGTGGCGTAGGCATCACTAGCCTTTGCTGTAGCCGCAGCCTGTTGAACAGCTCTGGGCACGATCCCGAAGCTGCCCTCACGCCCTTCGAGGTAGGGGGTACGAGGCTGGGTACGAGGTTCGACGGAGGCATCGGGCGTAAAACCATTTCCGAAAGCCTTGTAAGGATGGTGAGTGACTCTCTGATCGCCACCAGCGGAGTCAGCATCGCTGTTGCCAGAGGAACCATCGGTCGGCGAGCGGCTTGTGCGGCGCCGCTTCTTGCCATTGCTCTGAGATACGAAATTTGCCCTTGGCGAGAATATGTAGGGTGGAACATCGTCGCGTTCGAATGAGGTCGCAGCGCGACGCTTTGGTGGAGGTCTTATTACTTGCGTTGTCGGTGCCGATGATGTGCGGTTGAGTTTACGGGGTGGTCGCGGGGTTGCATCCGATTGTGGAGTGCCAGGTCCTCTTTGATCCGAATATAGACCTACTGGCTCAGAATTTGATTGGAACTCTAGAGCATTTCGGACGGGCAGGGAGGTTGAGGAGCTGAAAGAGGAATTGAGAGATAAAGAATTGTCGAAAGAACCGGACTCGGAGCATGGATCCAGGGGATCGAGTTTGGAGTCCCACTCCCACCAGGTCTCTTCATAATCCGCGTCTGGATCCTGCGCATCTTCAGCCGCAGACGAGTAGAGATCAACACGTGGTAGACTTTTGATGTCCCTCCATGTGGCACCCTTATCCGGAGCAATGGCCTGCATGTAAGCGCAACTGCCAGTGACATAGAGGCGCTTCTTCCCGTGTATGTGGTGGATTACATCGGAGCAGAGAAATTCGGCGTTCCACAGCATTGGGCTTATCAACTCCGAGGGAGGGAGGAACAGAAGTTGCTTATCTTTCTGGATCTTTCGAAGGGGGATGACAGGCGCTCTCATTCCATAAAATTGCAGATGGTCCTCATCAATCAGAGAAGAATCCCCAGCAACCCTCAAGATTTCCTCGCCAAAAGTATCCTGGATGGTGTTGAAAATGTGGCGGGCTCCTGGCTCAGTGATGGTTACGTTCTTGATGAAGCCCCTGCTCTTGAGACGATACCAGATTTTGCTTCGTGGACCACATGCTTTGGGGAAAAGAAGGTCGTATTCCAAGCCGTCGTGATCAGAGTCTTCATCATCACTGGAGTCCCTGTACTTGATTCGAAGAGGAGAGCCGGAACTGGAACGGAAACCTTCAGAATTTTGAGATATCCTCTCGAACTCCCTTTGAGTGTACCAAATGCCCTGAAGATCTCTGCTCCAGGGCAAAAGAACAACCTCGATATCCCAAGGATATGCGGTGGATGGAACCGAATACTCAAGAGTTTGGAGACGTTGCTCAATATTGTTGAATTTCCTTTCAGTCCTCAGCTGTCCAACGACTTCCGCTAAGATGGTTTTCGAGCAATCGGGGGAATCGCTGGAACGCGGACGGTTCTCGTCATTGCGGGCAGTAATGGATGTCTGCAAGCTATCCTGGCCATGTTCGAGCTCGACAAGACGATGCTCAGCCTCAAGAAGTCGCCCTTCTATCAGTTCAAACTTGTCGATTACCTCCTCGGCCGGGACGTGTTGAAAAGATGCATTTTCTAACATCCAGAGGCGGTCAGACATGTTTTGAATGGTGGTAGAAATATTTGGTTGTGCTGCGAGATGCCTCTTCAGGGTAAGCAGCTGAGGTGCAAGCTTGCGAAGGGCCGAAGGAACGCTCATTGGAACAGAAGCAATAGAGTTCGGCTGGGTGTCGGGTATTCCATCACCTGCATGTCTTGAACTGAATTGCGAAGTGTTTGGTTGGGTTGGAGATAGCACGAGTCCGTCTCCTTCATTAGCACCCGGGCCCGCATTATCGATAGACGTCATCTCTCGAATAACATCATCGATCAGAGAAGTTGTTTCCTGGAGGTGGCGATCGTAGGCTTGGACATCAGGTGTGTCGGTCACGCTAGCCAGATCCGTGATACTCTGCGCGCCGTCTTCTGCCTTCACAAAAGTGGGCGGACCGTTCGTCTGAGTTGCAGCGCGGCGAGATTGCAGGACATGATCGAGGAAAGCGCGGCTTGGACTATGACGGGGACGATCACTCTCCGTATCGACCGAATAGCGGATTGTGGAGGCTAATTGTGATTGTTCCCTCGCTTGTTCCAGTGTCTTGTGCCATTCTCTCAGAGCATCTGTCTCCGACGCACGCATTCGATCGAAACGGTCGGTGGTTGATTGCATCGACATGTTGAGCCCTGGGTGCTGCTGGGGCGGCTGAATACTCGCAGCGCCACGGAGCTCGCTGGAGTTTAATTGGCAGATGGATGGGACGCTTGGGAAGCCGGAGATGTGGAGACCTGAGCTGTCCTTCCGACTCGCATTGGCCGGGCCGTCGTTCACAGTAGCGACATGCTGCATTGCATGGTCTCCATCTTCCGCGGTCGTATCCCCAGATAGACTGCGTGTGAACCGCCCTCTCCTCCTGGGTGTGTGTTGTATGTCATGGATCGTGTGGTCGAGTCGAGTGCGTTCTACGTACACGCCGTCGCCAACCTGGATGAGGTCTACGGGGGTATCGGATGGGCGATGGATGGATTGCTGGTGCGAGCTGGAGGCAGCATTGTCGGGGGCGTCGTGGAAGCAGGCGTGGTGGCCGCAGATGCACCACGGGTATTCGAAGTCTCCATCACCACCATCCTCCGGCCGGTGATGGTTTCGCCAGAAGCGCTTGCAGCTGCAGGTCGGGGCGTTGGGACCGAAGAGGGCGTGGTCGCGGGAATTGCACGAACCGAAGGGCAGCGAGGAAGGCGAGTGTGGAGGGCGCGACTGCCTGGCTCGTGAAGGAGTCGGAGCTCGCGAAGCTTGGGCGAACGCCGCCATGGGCAGCTACAGATGCATCCCAAGCTTGGAGGTGTGCGAACTTTAACATTGATACATAGCGCGAGGCCCCGCTGGTTTATGAGGCAGACGCGTTAGCCTGGCGCGGATGGTGCCATGCGGGTCGCAATGCCGCGCAGAGGAATTCTACGACGTACTCGTGAGGATGCGTGAAAAGCTACAAATGCCGATGCGCACGCAAAATGTAGCGAAGGGCGACGGCGGCACCGAGGGCGTCGCGCGCGAGCAAAGCGGACTGCGTGATGCAGGAGGGCTGCGGGTGCAGTGTGCGAAGTTTGAGAGGGTGGGACGCGTGCGTGGAGGGGAGGCGGTTGATAAGAGTCGGCGGGCGCGGTGCACGAGGGTGAGAGCTCACGGATCGCAACGGCCGGCTCGTCTCTGAGGCTCCATCTGCCATCCCGCTGAGCGATCCCGGTCGGCTGGGCCCACTCGCTGTCTGTCATTGGCTGACGCAGTGACACTTTGGATCGTGGGGATGCCTCCCGTGTCCGGACCGGGTCCGAGCGTTGCAGCTCGCAAGAAAATGCGTTTCACCTGCACGTCGCCCGCCTGGTGCGTTATCTCGCGGTAAATCTGCCGACTTGCTTGCTTTTCAAGAGGCCGCCCAAGCTGAAGAACAGGCAGCTGTTCACCCGCCTCTAAGGGGCGACGTGAACGTGCCGGGATGCCAGCTCTAATGATCTGTCGCAAGCAAGGTTATCGGTCGGCATGCAGCCCTTCCACCACCCCTGTCAACCCCAGCCAATGGACTGCTGCCAGCCGGCTACACACATCTACCGCTTGTCCAAAAGTCGCGCATTCATCGACGCGACGGCCTGCCTCCACACCGCCAGCTGCATATGTTGTGCCCGTCCCCACGTCGAACGGCTGAGCAGCGTACGCGCCTGTGTCAACCTTGGACGCGACTGCCAGCTGATTTCCAAGATAGGAAATCAGCTGCACGTACTGAGACGCCGATAGCTGTCTAATGAGGAAAGCAATGACTCTACGCTGCTCTAAGCACCACTTTAAGACACTGTGCCGCGAGGCCGCTTCGTCACACGTGGCCAAGCAGTGACGCCTGGGTAGTCTCATTGGATCGGGTCCATGTGAAAGAATATTGTTGCCTAACCGTGTAAATCGCAATCGAGCGTTTGCTCAACAGGCGCGTCTCAAAACTAAGGCTCGTTGGATAAGGGCGTAGCATAACATAATATACTTAATTACGCAACGAAAAAGATTCTACTTACCAGCCAAGTAACGCTATTTGTTTCCTACTAAGACTACGTACTAACGCCATGTATACTCGTACATCGGTCGGTGTTAAATTTGAAGATGGCGTTGGCGGCTTTCGACTTGGCGGCTGCGGCGGTGGAGAGGCCATCTAACTCTACAGCATTCTTCTTGTTCTTCGGCATTTTGAGGGTCGGAGACTGACCTACAGAGTCCGGGGAGCTGTATCGCAATCGTGCTAGTAGCGGCGAAGCAAAGCCTCCGAGATTGTTGCTCCAAACCGAGGGTCTGCTTATCGATAAGCAACGGCTGTTCGGGATAACTTCGGCCAAAGCACGACGCGCTCTTAAGACTGGCCCTTGCATGACGCGCTCACTCCGCGTCTTCCCGTCCGAACTTCATCTCGCTTCTAAAGCTGGCAATCCACTAGTTGTTTCTCGCGCTACTCGGTTGCAAACTCAACTGACCTTGATCCTCGCAACTCGCTGCGCCATTGGACCCCTCACTCTGGCAATGGCGAATGAATCCTCAAATCTATCTTCTCCACCAGCTGAAACGGAACTGACGACGGCTACTTCAGTTGTGAAGGCTGAGGCCTCAACGCAACTAAGAGGCAAGAAGCGACAATCCGAGCCCGTTGCTCCCGAGGCCAAGCGCACGAAAAGAGCTTCGCGAGGAGCTAAGCCGAGCTACGCTGAAGATAGTGAAGAAGAGCAAAGGGAAGAAGTCATTCAAACTACGCCAAAGAAGAGCAAGAAAGCAGTCAAGACAGAAGCCGAGGAAAAGCAGAACGGTGAAAACGGGACTACTACCAAAAAGGCTCCACGCAAGCGCAAGACCAAGGAAGAGAAAGACGCGGAAATGGCGCCATTGGCAGCAAGGACAGTGGCCTCAAAGCTGTTCGTCGGTGCTCATGTCAGCGCAGCGGGAGGCGTACAAAACGCGGTGACAAACTCAGTACACATTGGGTAAGACGCTTACAAGAGCAAACGTATCGGCATATCTAACAACATCACAGTGGCAATGCCTTTGCATTATTCTTGAAGTCACAACGCAAGTGGGCCAACCCGGCTATCACTTCCGAGGCCATCACCATGTTTAAACACCAGTGCGACCACCATAAGTACGAGAGCAACAAGCATGTCGTCCCCCACGGCTCGTACCTTGTCAACCTCGCGCACACGGACGAAGCAAGAGCAAAGCAAGCCTACGACTCCTTCGCCGACGACCTCTCGCGCTGCAACAAGCTCGGCATCCAGCTCTACAACTTCCACCCGGGCAACGCCGCCAGCTCGACGCGCGACGAAGCCCTGAAGCAGCTCGCCTCGCAGCTCAACCGCGCGCACAAAGACTCCTCCACCGGCACCGTCCTGACCCTGCTCGAGACGATGGCTGTGTTCGACGGCAACACGATCGGCGGCACCTTCGAGGAGCTGGCCGCCGTCATCGCCCTCATCGACGACAAGTCGCGCGTCGGCGTCTGCCTCGACACGTGCCACGTCTTCGCCGCCGGCTACGACCTGCGCACCCCCGACGCCTACAACGAGACCATCGACAAGTTCGACAAAGTCATCGGCCTGCCCTACCTCAAGGCCTTCCACATCAACGACTCCAAGGCTCCGCTCGGATCGGGCCGCGATCTCCACGCCAACATCGGCACCGGGTTCCTCGGCCTGCGCGCGTTCCACAACATCATGAATGATCCCCGTATGCAGGGCCTGCCCATGGTGCTCGAGACGCCGATTGATAGCCCTGACCCGAAGGACCCGAAGAAGACGGTTGACGATAAGGGGATTTGGGCGCGGGAGATCAAGCTGCTGGAGAGCCTGGTGGGGATGGATGTCGAGAGCGAGGAGTTCAAGAAGCTGGATAGTGAGCTTCAGGAGCGCGGGAAGAGCGAGAGGGAGAGGGTGCAGGACCAGGTGGATCGGAGGGAGGAGAAGAAGAAGGCGAAGGAGGATAAGGGGGCTGGGAAGAAGAGGAAGGGTCCGGCGACAGTGAAGGACATGTTTGCGAAGGCGAAGACGAAGAAGGCGAAGAAGGATGAGAGCTCGGGAGAGGGCAGCGGTGAGGAGTCATCATAGGTCTTTTCAGGACATAAAAGCGGGCTGCAGTTTGAATTACTTATCAATCATGGGGACGAATAACTCCCGCACGGAAGGTCAAAAGCCGTACACACCATCAGGCCAAAATGCTGGCGGCATTCTAGATATAGTTACAGGAGTGGGTACTATAGTATTTGATATCCGTCCATTCAAAAATGAGTTCTGACGACATGCAAGATCGTGACGCCGGTGAAATGTACTAAACATGGCTAAGAGCGTATGCACTAAGAAGTCAAGAGAAAGAGGATAATGGTGTAGAGAAAGTGTAAGGATAACGTTCTACCGATATATGTATTCTCCTTCTACATTGTCCTCAACGGTCATGAATCAAGCCAAATGGATTTCACAATCAACCTCACTCGGATCCTGGTTCTCATACGCTTCCCCATGCATCAACCCATCAACGAAGATATCCCCAACAAGTGCGTAAATTTGACCAACCGAGCGGATAACGAATAGCCGGTCAGCACCTTGAAGAGCTACGATAGCATCCCCCTCCTGGACAGTGTGCACAGCATTGCAAAAGCGCCCCGCACGAGTAAGGCCAAGACAGCGTCGACTTTGCTTAGCGTACCAATGCATTCTTCCAGTAGAAATGTCTTCTTCTGTAGTCATATCATTACCTGATTGGAACTCAGAACGCACAATGGACGGGATATACGCCCTGAGCTTTGCCATAATACGATTGCACCGTTCAAGCAGCTCCTCAGGAATGGTTGCAGAGCCTTTTCCAGATTCGACTAGCAAACGCACCCTGTGTTGAAGGTAGAAAAGGAACTGAGAAGCCATGGCTTCATGTTCGGTGACTCGAGCATCGAGAGGCGGTGCCCAAGGATCCTCGGCAGTGATGGTGCGAAAAAGGGTGATGATACGCTCGATCGAGCACTCTTCAGGTAGAAGATGCATGAGGTTGGAAAGACTCTCGACCCCTGATGTATTGTCTGATTTCTCAAGGGACCAGGCAATTGTTGCATGTGGGGCAGACACGAAGTCTATTACTCGTCCTTTGACCGCAAGAATTTTGTTTTCCAAGTGGAATTGCACTGGCTTGAATTCTTCTGGGTGCGGCTCGTACAGATTTGAAGTTAGAATCTCGGCAGAGTCTTCATCCGCAGGCCTGTCGATTGTGAGACACCAGGAAGGTAGAGTTGAGTTCAGCCGACGCCAAGAGACAGCATAGGATAGGACTTCTAGGCTATCCGCCCTCTGAAGAAAGTGAACTGAGAGTTGCTTCGATAGCGCGTCATGTGTATTGTCGGGTGAGTAGTTCGGTTCGAGACCCAGTGTCTGGGTGTCCAAGGAGATAGCAAGAATGGCGTACACTCGGTCTCGGACATCTTCGCACAGGAGTGGCCGGTACCACTCAAGATTGTGAAGCAATGCTGACCAGGTGTAGCTAGTTCCAGGTTCTAGCCGGGCATATCTATCCCACCATATGCCGTACAGGGTTCTTTCAACTTCTTCAGCAGGTACTGGGCTTTCGCAGGAATTCTGTTGGCTTGTGTTGAAAAGCTGCCAAGGGAGGTGGTAGGCTCCAAATAGGATAGGTATGACAGCAATTGCGTTCCAATCTATTAGTCGGTGCCCACGAAGCATTACGATCTCTTTGTTCAGTAGCTGCTCCTGTACGATCCACAGCCGCTGATTCCATTCGCCGTAAGCAACATGGATCAACCATTTCCAGCCTTGAGTGTGGTATCGCTTTGAGATTTCGTTCTCAGTGTACGATTCGTTGTATTCCAGATGCAGATCCGACGGAAGTCGTTCGAATCGTATGCTTCCATCAAACATCCCGTCTCGAATTGCTTGAATACTACCTGCTTCGTACACTCGATGCCAGGTATCATCCGGAATATCTCCAGTAATTCTCTTCAGCAATCGCATTCCCTGGTCCTCTTCCGCCTCTTCCCATCCAGGTCCAAGGTAGGTAATGACTCGCCTTGCTTGCGTGTATATCTGACTCATCTTTGCAACCTGATGGCTCTTCTCCTTCCCGTCTTGCTGATCGATGCAAATTTGATCGATCCAGAAAACCTTGTGGTTCAATTCTTCGGCGTCTCGCAGATCACACATAGCATCGCCCAAGTTCTTTGTCAAAGGGATCCATCCGATTGCTCTTCCAAGATCATCAAGAACAATGGCCTCCTTGAACTGGTCTGGCCTCCCCCACACATATGAAAGTGCCTGGAAACTGCCGCTCGACGCCGGAACGTGACGAATGCGGATTTCGATCCGTGTCTTGGCTCTACCAAGCTCAAGCACGCGGATCTCATCATCAGACTCGTTCAAAGGTTGATACTCGTAACGAGGAAGGTCCATGGCTCGTGGCTGAGTTCAAAGGCTGATGGGTCTTAAAAAAGAAGACGTTGAGCGCAATGCCGTGTGCGCGTAGTCCGCTCAATGCGGTGCGCAACAGCTGACTGGCAGAAGCTAACAGCGGTACGATTGGGGTATGTGAAAGTGATTGTTTAGATGTGGTGCAGATTGTGGGCGAGTAGCTTTTTATATACATGCGTGGCTGAAACACGGGACAAATACTGTGTGACTCGGGATCATCAGGCCGCATTTCATCTTCCCGACATAGAGTTTATCCCCTGTTTAGTGAACGCTCCCTTCTAACTTGACTATTATCTCCAAGCCTCTTGATAGTCGGCACTTCGGCTTGTACCAAGTTGATTAGAGCCGTGGCAGCGTCTATTCAGCTTTTGAAAAGCTCAGAAAGTATACGAGAGCTGCGAAGTTGGGTAGCAGCAATCGGCCCCCACTTTGGGGGCCAACAAGCCATGGAATCCTTCCGCAAGCCTGTTTTCCCCCAGGAAAACTATCACGAAAACAGTCTAGAGTTTGGTTTCGCAGTAGCTTTCGCAAGATGCCGTAGAATGAATGCTAGGAAATACTGCAGCACTCACTGCTCCTCATAGAAATTGAACATATCTGGTAATCTGATTTGTCTTACCTGTAAGTTGACGTGGTAACGCCGACGCTATCAGCAGCTCTTAACGGAGCTAGAGAGCGGCAATCAATTAATTTATTCCACCGATGTGGTACAGTTTCAGAAATGTATGAGCACGCCGCGCACAAGGTCTTCATATTGTATGATCTCGGGCATTCGAAACACGCAAATACAGGCTATTCAATAGCTTTTCAGTGTATCTACCTGCAAGATCTACTGTTCTTGACTTTAGAACTGCTTGCAGCCGAGATATACCATTTTCAGCTACCGCTCCGGTCCCGCGATTTACAGTGAGATAGCTCTGCAGAAACGTTAACAATCCCCTATGTATCTAAGGCTTTTTATAGGAAGACCATGATGAGTTTCAGTCATGATATGTGTTATTCAAGACTGTTCGCGTGCTCGACGCTTGCTAACCCTTTGTAAGTCTTGGTAATGAGCCTGGATTTTGAGGGCGCCCATTCAAGTAACAAATGCTGACGCCCGTGGCTTGCTTGGCTCGCATGCGGGGAAGTCGTTCCCAACAGCCGACTCAGTGACCTATGCCAGGTATGCCCGCCTATTTAATATCGAAGAAACCCACTGTGACGGTCAACAGGCGCGATCGCTTAACGGCTTGCTCCCCCCGTCTCACCAAGGAAAGTGCGTGTATCGCACTAGAATAGCCAAAGTGAATCTTACTTTGTTTCCCCCCCTTTCACTGAAGTTCCAGCCCACAAGATCAATCCACCTCAAAAATGTCCCACAAAACCGAAACATCTCGACCCCGCCCCACCGCCCTCGAAATCGATCCCTCCTCCCCGGGCACCATCGTCCGCGCCGCCATGCTCCTCGAGTCCTGCTTCAACATCTTCCTCGCGCACGGCATGTTCTTCCACCCGCACGACACCTCCGTCCAGCTCTTCTTTGACGGCGCCACCACTGCTGCTTCCCCTTCCGTCGCCGACGCAGCCCTTGTCTCCCTCCTCATGCAATGGATCGGCACCTGGACTGTCGCCACGACCGTGCCACTCCTCCTCGCGCTACCTAATCGCCCCGGCGCCATCGAGAAGCGCGTCACCGCGTACACGGCGCTGGGAACGATGGAGGCGCTGTTTGTGCCGTTCCTGGTCTACCATGCGCGGGCGGAGGGCGGCGGGGCTGCGGGTTTGAGCTGGGAGAAGGTGTTTGGTGGACTGGTTGTGCCGATGGTGGGGGCGCTCACGTTCAGGTTGTGGGTGTTGTTTGTTAAGCCGGGGTGGATGGGAAGGTATAGGGTTGTAGGAGGGTCGGCGGGTAAGGAGGGCTGATGGTGATTGGCTATAGAGGTTGGTTATCTCGGCACTTGGTTGGATGGTGGTTTTGGCATGTAGAACGGCTAAGAATGGTGCCACTCGCTATGTTTGACCAAAGCTCTCATGGTCGGATTTCATAGCCTTAATGTGATTAGTGCGGGGCGACGTTCATAAGCACGGCTGAAAAGGGATAAGTTAAATTTCGTGAGGGTGACTTCCCCTGCAAGGCAGAAAAATACGTGTCCCTAGCCTTTCCGGTCGAAAACATGGTACATCAATCAAGCGACGCCTAGATCTGCTTGAAGTGGATGAGAGCAAATTGTACCAAAATATTCATGCCCGGAAAAAGCGGCAGGAGTATGTTGACTGATCAGAATTTGAGTTCCCTTTCTTACGAAACGGTACATTGGATCCTGGCAAGTGTATGCAGTAAGACTGCAGCTGGACTGAGGCGGCAGCGATTGGTTCGCCACCGCGGCTGAAATGAGGCTTTCTTTCATTGTCGTCTTGATTCCACGCCGCTTTTTACTCTGCCTTCCACACATTTCGTTCTGAACCGTACTCACTAGCTACGGACTACGGTGTCCGTGAACACCGACTCATTCGTTAGTCTTCATATGACACAGGCTCGGTCTCTTAGATCTCGCGTCGAATGGCCTTGATGCTCTTACCCCTTCGATCTGGCGATCGTCGAGCCACTGAGATGGTTCATCGTGACGTTGAGCGTGCCATATCAAGCGTCATCCCGCAATTTGAATGGGCAGATGATCCGGCAACTTACCCAAATATCCATGATGCAACCGTCGCAGAAGTATCGCGGATTTTTGGGTTCAACGGCGATGATGACGGCAGCAGAAGACCACGTATCTACATCCTGCTGCACCTTCTTCATCTAACACACTATCACCCTGCTTTTTCTGGACACTCCGATGATCACCTGCCATATCTTGACTGGACGTTACCTGAAAATTTTGATGGCAACAAAGCCCGCCGGGATTTCTTGAAATGGCAAAACCTAGTTACGTCAGAAGAAAGTCAACTCTACGGACCCAAAGTGAAATCACACATGGAATTCAAGGACGAAACTGGCTGTCGACTAGTTTCAGTCAAAGTCCTCGGACACGGAGCTTGGGGTGTCGTCGACAGTGTTGAAGGAGAAATAAGCAGAAGGGTCTTTGCAAGAAAAAGATTCTTCCGCAAAGGGAGAAACCAAGATGCGAGACGCACATTGGCATCCTTTGAAAAGGAGCTACAAGCTTTGAAGCGTCTGCGCCATCATCATCTCGTTGTTTATGTTGGAAGCTACACGGACCCAACCGATACATCGCTCATGATGCTTCCCGTAGCGGAATGCGATCTATCCACCTGGTTACAACAACAGTCGGACATTGCTGCAATACAGCGGTTCTTTGGGTGCCTTGCTTCTGTGCTAGCATTTTTGCACCGGCAAAAAGTAAGATATAAGGATATAAAACCTTCCAATATCCTTGTGCACGACAAACAAGTTCTTCTCTCTGACTTTGGTTCTTCTTTGGATTGGGAGGAGAGGGAAAAGAGCAGTACATCAGGAAATGCAGAGGCTGGTACCAGAGTATATGCCGCTCCTGAAGCGTTTGACCACGAGGTAAAAACAGATGTGCACCTTTCTTGTGAAAGAGCTAAGAGCTAATTAACTTATCTAGCGTCGGGGTTCCTCTTCAGACATTTTCAGTCTTGGTTGCGTTTTTCTGGAGCTAGCTACTGTATTATGTGGCTATCGTTACGATGACCTCTATCAACATCTGAAGGAGAATGGAACAGGCGTAGTTCTCTATGGGGACAATGAGGATGGTATAAGGTCATGGGTTGAAGAGCTCAAGAAGCCCCAAAGGGCTGTGGTCGAGTTGGAACTCCTTGGGATCGTCCTTCGCATGCTGAGCACTAATAGGAAGGAACGCCCTAGTGCCTTGAGACTTTCCGAGGATATCATGAGCCTGGGAGAAGAGCTCGCTTGCAACCAATGTCTTGTCGACAAAGCTTTACAGGATCTCGAAACTCATCATATTCATGTTAGGGAGCCGAAGCTACGAGGCCCCGCACTCCGCGAAGCAGCACGACAAGGCCACACTACTGTTTTCCAATCATTGCTCACAATTACCGAAGATTCGCAGGTTGTGGCCAATGGGGCTACTGCACTCAAGAATGCCGTCAAATTCAACAATTTGCCAATCGCCGAGATCTATTTGAGTCGCTGCCGAAGAAGGAGCTTGAGCCCGGATACACGCCTTGCATTTCAGCAGGCAGCCGCAACGGGCAATGAACACGGCGTGAACTTACTTCTGCAATTCGGGGCAGATGCAAACGCCACACGAGAATCTGACCCGGGATGGCGCAGTCCGCTTTACATGGCGGCATCTTGGGGCCACGATCAAATCGTGCAGATGATGATTAGCCACGGAGTCGATTTGAATCGAAAAGAACAACGCGACGAGAAGACCGTGTTGCATGCCGCTGTACGGGGACCTTTGGACACACGGGTCCTCAAACTAATACTTGCGCATAATCCGGAACTTGACGCCGCTGATGTTGAAGGGACTACTCCTTTGATGGAGGCACTGAAACTTCGTGGATATCCGGACTTCTTGAAGATACTTCTCAAGGCAGGTGCAGATCCGAATATGCCAGACAAGGAAGGACACTCCCCGGTGAGTCGAGCGTACAGAGATGGAAGGTATGATGTTGTCAGAGCCTTAGTATTTGCAGGTGCAGATCCCTGGATAGAGAAGAACTCCTTTGGCACCACACCTTTCCGACAAGCGGCTTTACATCCAAATAAACGGATGTTGAGACTCTTAGCGGAGAGGGTTGGTTTGTACCAAGGCAGTTGGCTCCATAGAACGATCGTAAGCGCCATCTGCTCTCGGGCCGCCTGTGTAGGGAACTTGAGATATGCCCCAGACGTTGAACCATTGCTCAGATTCGCTTCAGCTAATGGTGACCTTATAGCGGTTCGACTTTGTTGGGCCTGTGGGATTAACATGGGGGCAAAAGACGTGAATCAAGAGACAGCATTGTTCGCAGCAATACGCAATAAGAGGAATGAAATTGCGTCATTTCTGATCCAAAAAGGCTGCGAAGCGGAGGGAAAGAACAGCGAAGGGGTTACTCCACTTATACTTGCCGCTTCTATGAACTGCACAAAGATCGCCAAAGAGTTGATTGACCGGAGAGTTCATTTGGACGCACAGGACGATATTGGACGTACGGCCCTTTCCATGGCAGCGGATGGGGGAAACACGGAAATTGTTGAACTTCTTCTTAATGCTGGAGCCAAATCGAACACGAGACGATGGATAGCACTTTCGCTCAGGGCGTCAAATTAGATGTATATTTCTAAAGTAAATAGGACACGATGATATCTGACTTCGTGTGTTGTGCCAGTTTGCCATAATATGCGGCTCTGAGAATGTCATTGTCCGCATCGAGTGTCAATCTAATAAAACTTTTATAAAGGGAAGGAGCAATTTATCCACGTTACTGTTCATATCAGTCACGTGTCATCACCATCCTGTTTCTACCGTGCTGACGACGTGCATATGCATAACGTAGAGATAGCAACGATCATTCGCCCCCTCACCAAAGAGCGTGATGGCGGGGTAACATTGCACCAATCACAGTACCACACGTTTATAGTAGTTACGGATGCCGAGAGGCGGGCAGCCGACCATTAAATATTGCTCTTGTCCGTGGGTCTAGGGACAAGCGATTAAAGACCTTCTTCGCCAGCCTGGCTTCCCTACAATGGAGAACGCCCTCGAACCACGGCACCATGTGTCTAGAAAGAAAATCAAGACACAGCAGTATCAAGACGATCTGGAAACCTACCAGCATTTACCTTTGGGAGATAGCGAAATCAGACTTTTGGATGTGGAGCCTGCAGCAGACGAAAGCGATATTGTCAAGGCTACTCTGAGAACGGTGTCCTTTGCCGAAGATGTAACGCCCAGGTACAATGCAGTGTCTTACTGCTGGGGCCACCGACACAGAACTGAGAAGATTCTCCTCCGATGCGCAAGCGGAGACTGGAAAGATTTCCGCGTCAGCCACAACCTTCACAGTCTTCTCCAACACCTCCGCCTCCCGGATCGATCTACCACTCTATGGATCGATGCTATCTGTATCGACCAAAAGAATGACAAAGAGAAGGAGACTCAGATCGTCAAGATGGCGCAAATCTACCGGAAGGCGGAAGAGGTGTGTATCTGGCTGGGCAAGTACATCGGCGGGGGATCCATACCTGGACGGAGAGAATTTGAAATCAGCAAAGCCACCATTGAGTTCATCGGCGAGGTTTCAAAGCAGGGGAAGGAGATGGTCATGCAGAATCACTCATCCGGATGGCGTGAATTCATCCTCCTCATGAGAGTGCCCTGGTTCTCTCGTCGTTGGGTTCTACAAGAGCTCGCCTTCGCCCGCAACCCGATGATATACTGTGGCAAAGAGAAGCTCCCATGGGAGACATTCAAAAGCGCTGTCAAGGTGTTTACCAATCACTTTGATGCGGTCCTAGAGATTACCTGGCCGGCAAAAGAGTGGTGGGATGAGCAGTTGCCCGGTTACCACCCCGACCGTTCAGAAGTCGAATGGGCGAATTCTGTTGAGGTAATTCGATTGGTAGCTTTTATGGAAAACGCATTTGAGAAGAACACCCAATTTCCGGTATTCACCTTGGAGGCGCTCGTCGCGAGCATGGCCGTTTTCGAGACATCCGATCCTCGGGACGTAATTTACGCACTACTTAGCGTAGCGAAGGATCGCCTGGTTGAGCCGGACTATACTGCAAACGTTTTCCAGATCTATGCGAAATTTGTGGAGAAAGTCATCAGCACATCTGGGTCACTGGACATCATATGCCGGCGGTGGGCTGCCAATGATTGTGGATGGGATTTTGAAGAGGTGCTTGTTCTGAGCCCCGACGATGCCATAAAGCAGGAGCCTGTCAAGCTTTCCTCGTGGATGCGACAAACGGATGGCTCCGTTTTCAATTACAGCAAGTACCGATTCAGTAAGCGACGGCGCTGCAATCCGGAACCTCTCGTCGGCATGCCCGGTAGAAGCTCCTACGCTGCATGTGCTAATAGAAAGGTGGACATTCGCATGGGTGGGCTGAGAAGACTGCTCACGTCACACGTAACAACAAAAAACGAAGTCCGCCGTCTTCAAGCCAAAGGGGGCGGAGGGGGGCATATACCTCCCCACCATGTATTTCCGGGCGGTGGCCGGTATCAGCGGGGAGCAGAAATGTTGCAACAACGCGTCACATTGTTCTACACGTTGTACGCCAAAGGTGTAGTCATCGGCACTGTCTCTTCTGGAGACCGACGGAGTGCGTTTATCCAGAGTGTTGGCGACTCGTTCGCGCAGGACCCAACTTCTGCGACGGTTCCAGAAAAGCTGTGGCGGACCCTCGTTGGTGACCGAGCACTTGGTGGAGGCCCGGCGCCAGAATGGTATGGTGATGTTTGTCTTCGCTTGGTGGAGATATTCGATCGCGACCCGAATCTCATCTTCCTCGTGAACACGCAGAACAACCATTTGGAAAAGTTCTGGCCCGCTGATTCACACCGTTACCCAAAGGCTATGCTTGAGTTTTGTAAGCGCGTCGAGGCGGTAGTGTATAATAAAACGGCTTTCGATGGCGATGCTATCGATGGTAATCAGGAGAAATTGTTTGGAATCGGCCCCAGAGAGACGGAGGCTGATGACAAAGTCTGTATCTTGTTTGGTTGCAGTGTGCCGGTCATTCTACGCCCGACCGAAGACGGGGATGGGAATGAGTGTTTTAGATGCCTCGGGGAGGCTTTTGTGTACAACATGATGAATGGGGAGGCACTGGAGGGTTTAACGGATGATCAAGTCAAAGAGTTCGCAATTGTCTAGGTGGATTTGGTGGGTCCATGTAGTAGAAAAAGCAGATTGGACGGAAAACAACGTAAGATCTTCGTTGCCACGCTCCATTGCTTGTTCTTTGCTTTTTACTCAAGACGCACTTACCACGGTACCGCCTCGGGCCATTTTTGTAAGTGGCCCACTTGTTCTTTCGAAGCTTTTACTAGCGTGTGTGATTGCATTCCTGTTTCATCTATATTCCTTGTACCGCACGGCTTGCTTCCTTTGTGCAACACCCTTACATGACCAGTCACATACCTGCGTAGCAAACGGCCACGCATGCTTTACCACCTTTAAAAAAAGTGAAGATTCAATTGTCCTTGAGAAAACTTTCACTGTACTTTCCCTCCATTGCTTCACTTCAACCGCAGTTCATCTCATTATCATGGACGACAGCAACAACACCCAGGCCACCGCCACCACGTGCGCCCGCTGCGGTAAATCACCAGACGACCTCAAACGCTGCGCCAAGTGCCAATCCGCGCGCTACTGCAACCGCGACTGACAAAAAGCCGACTGGAAGACGCACAAGAAAGTCTGCGCCTCGCTTGCCGCCGCCGCCTCCAACGGCGCTTCCACCAGCACCTCCAAGAACCTCGACGTCCCCATCCCCAACCCCTTCACCCGCCTCACCCAACGCACCTGGCTGCACGACCGCTCCGAGCGCGACACGTACAAGCTCCTCATCGACGCCTACCGCCTGCGCATGGAAGACGACTACAACTTCACCGGCGACGTCGACGCGGACAGCGTCATGGGCGGCGCGCCCGACAGAGCCCGCGGCTTCGCGCGCTCTTCCTGCAGCGCCTGCAGCGCGTCGCGCCGGACCTGCTGCCCGCGTGGTGGAATGCCGAGAAGAAGGAGGAGTGCAAGCGGGTGGGTGTGCGTGGCGGCAGCGGGGTGTGGGAGAGCCTGAGCGCGGCGCCGGAGAAGGCGGATTTCATTGAGCATTATGGCGATTCGCGCATGCCGATGCAGTTGCGGATGTTTGCGGAGGCGGTGTATGGGAGTGGGCCGGGGGGTCAGGATGGGAAGGTTATGATGTAGATGATGGCGAGGTCGGAGGGCGGTGGTGGCGGTGGGGTGGGTATGAGTACGATTGATATGAGTAGCTTGATGGGTGGTTTGGGAGGACGTCGCTGAGATGCAAACAGTCTGAGGGGTGTCTGCCTCTCAGTGGCTTCAGGGAAAAAAAAAAGTCCTACGGGGTAGAGTCAGTAATCTTCGGAGCTCGGATTTCGAATGGACCCAATATGGACTGACAGATTGAATCTTGACAATTACGCCAGGATGGTTGTCTTTAGTGTAGGGTTTGATAAGAACCACTCTTTCAGGTACACGAGTCCTATACCAATCCTTTCCGCAATGTTTTCATGAGTCCTGATCATCATGACAATGAGAGTCGGTGGCAATCTAACGGACCCAGGATCAGATTTCAGATCATTGTGGGGACCAAAATCCAGCTGATCCGTTGTGTCGTCTGCCCGAAACTCGGTCCACCAAGAGTCGAAGACTTCAATATCGTAGTTCGTGATAGCAATGGCAAGAAACTCTGCAGAGAAGAAACCTTGCTTTTCCAGAGTCTCTTCCACCACGGTGGCGTGAATTTGATGCAGTTCCATTGTGCCCACACAGCGATCATCCATCGACTTAATCACAAAACATGAACGGAAATCCTGCTCTTCGGGACCATAATCTCTCTTGAGAAAGAACCTGCAAGATTGCGTTTGCACCACCAGACGACCCGGTTGTAGTGCGGCTTGGATCTGTTCGGCAGAGAGGTCTTTCGTAAATCCAGGATACTCCTCATCTTTGTCGTCAGATATTCCACGACTTTCCTTCCAGAAGCTCTCATAAGTAGGCCACCTTGCGAAAAGGGTATCCTGAACATCCGACCACGTCTGGCACGCGGTAAGCACAGGCGGGACTTTTTCGGTGAAGTATCCCTTTATCCACGCAATAGCTAAGCAGACGCATATATTGGCCCAATCGTCTTCCCAACGCACCGTAGGGAATCCGGGTGAACGGGATACATGACGACCCACGATGTTGAAACCTCTCGAAGAATTGGGCTTTGGAATAGCCCAAGTAGCCAATGGGCCACGTAGCACTGGCCAGTCGTGGAAGAAAGGTTTTGCATACTCGGAATCCACTTGCCCAATGACGGAGGCCCATGACCACGTTGGAAATGCTTCTGGCGTGTTTTCTCTCCGTCTGCCAGGTCCAGACAGGTGCCAAAGAATTGCCTCATCGATATGTTCCGTGGGAAGGCCGAAATAGTGAGCAGACGGAAACGAGTCATTCAGGAAGCCGGTAAAAGCTTCAAGGATGTCGGACTCGTAGCTTAATTTTCGCGTACAGTAGGCAGACACAGCATGCCAGTATATCATCGCCAGGGCGTGGTCTCGAACAGTCAAGCGAGATTCTTCTTGGTGAATGAGGTTTTGATGGCGATCGACGATGTAGATGCCGTAATGGGTGAAATGCACCAACGTGTGTGATAAAACGCCCTCTTGAAAGGTCCACCCACGTTTGTGCCATGGGCTCGCTTCTTCTACAAACCCCCATGTTTCACTCGGGAACGTTTGCTGGAAGCAAATGTCATCCACCACGACTTGCTGGGCAGCAACGCGAGGCCGAGAAGACATCCCGGGTAGACCGTAGGCTGCACTTGGACCCACAGTAGCGACGATGGTAAACTTTGCCGAAGCGTAAATGTCTGCCATTCGGTTAATCTGACTGTGCTTTGAATCATCGTCCTGCAAGATACAGAAGCGATCAACCCAAAGAAATTGGATGTCAAGAAGCCGGCATGCTTCCATTGCATCCCTGATTGTAGCGGGAACGGCGTCATTGAGAAGGCTGCCCGTGCATCTGAGGCGTGAGATATTTCCCGTTCCTGCGGTTGACCAACCTTGATTGGCTTGCGGTTCACCCCACACATAGCTCAATGCAGTGTATGCAGGTGCTGGTGGTGCATCTGTAAGGCAGCCTCTGTTGACGTCGATGAGCATGAATCCTTTTGGAATTGGATCTAGCGGTTTGATGGAGGAACCCAAGTCGTATTGATGCTTCAGATGAGATCGGACAAAATCCCAATCAACCATTTCCATCATGGGGTTCTGGAAAACCAACCCGCTTCGCGAATTATCTTGGTCAGGAAGGTTGACTTCCATGTATGCCCACTCGGTTCGGGAATTAATGAAGTTGCTCACAATTTGAACCAGAGTGGCCTGGTTCGATTTCGTCGCGGCGTTTTCAAAAGAGAGCCACACGTTTCTTTTCTCCTGGTTTCCGGATGTTGCACTCTTCGCATCGCCGTAAAGTCTCCACTTGTTTGAAACTAACGCTCTACCTATGGCGCGACACCACGAGCAGTTCTCGACCGAAGAGAGCTCCTCTGGCCCTCTAGTGATCTGGAAGTACAACTTTCTAAGCGTGGATGAATCTGAGGGGTCACATTCGTAAAGGCTCTCTCGCATACAGCGGACGAGGTGTGGCAGCCTCAGATGGTTGCACGCGGAGCACAAGGGATCACTGCGCAGAGGCTCGGATGTTGGATTTTGGCAATCGGAGCACGGCTCATGAAACAGCTTCGACCAGATTTCGTGATCCGGCGGTACCAACTCCAAAGGGTCCCCCGACCTACCTTCAGCCCATAGTATTGGGCATAGGGTACAGGCGCCCTTGGCGCCATTGTCTCCCATCGCCATTTCTGGCGAGAGTCTTGGGAGCTGGCTTTGTCCTGTTCCATTGGAGAGCCCATGGATAGATGGCGCTGAGTGGTCGGCGTCTGGGTTCCTCGGAATTGGGTCTGCAGTTCGCACGAGTGTTGCGTAGTCTTGTCGAAACATTCTGGGATAATGTGCTTACGGCTGCCTTCGGAAATGACTGAAGTAACCTGTTGTACTTGAAAATTTTTTTCTGCGATTGAGGATAAGCATGTGGGGTGACTTTCTGATGGGGGCCAATCTGCTGATTAACATGTTCGGTATACCTGGGCGAGAAGTCGTCGGGTAGCTACCCAGTTCGCCTTGCATACTCGCTAACCAGGGTTTAGTTGGCGCTGAACTACATGCCCTGAGCTGTTCCTCTTGCAAGGCATACTTAGTGAATTTCAGAATGAATAAATTTGGCCATACCCCGCAGTGCACGAGGAAGCTTCCAGTGCTCTTGACCGGTGTCTACGGAAGGCAACAGTAGGCGCACAATTTGAGTTTATAATGCTGTTTTATCCCTGTATTATTTCCTCAGACTTAGAAGGGAAAAAAGGAGGAAAAAAACTTCAGCCATACTGCAAAAAGAAAAAAAAAACTTAGCTTGCTGATAGAAATCAGGGTTATGATTTAATTTGCGAGCATTAGTCATCTCGTTGAGCCCGTTGCTGGGTAGTCAGTAGGAGGACATGGGCATACCGCCGGACAAAAGCTAGACACGCATCCGAAAGAATATCAATGTTTTGCTAATGAGCGTACGAGTTTTTTTTGTCTGACTGAATAAGTTGGCTGATGCACTCCTATTTGGAAGGCGCAAAGCCCTTTATGCAGTCTGACTCGAAATTCCAAAAATTGAACACATGTATTGGCTGGGTGTGCGTGCATGTGAAGAGGCCCTAGCACCGCACATCCCAATCTAGACATCCTTTCGCCTTAATGCGACCATGCGGCGGCGACGCATCCGGTTGCGACGCCCTGTTTCAGAGCTGCACAGTCGCGGAGGTGCACGGAACAGGTATACCTCGGGTGGCTGACAAAAAAGCAACACCCCGGATCGCTGTCCGCAAAAGCCATGCCGCCAAACTCTCGGTGTGTAGCCGCCCGAATTTTCGCAACTCTCGCGGTTTTGCATCCGTGCAATCCGTAGCAGCTCGTGTCCTAATCAAAGCTTATCAGCGCAAGCTACGAGGTACGCGATACGCCTAGGGGCAGAGCATGGACCGCTTGGGCGACAAGTTGACGAGGCGAGCCTAGGGGATTGGCCAGAAACGAATTTCTCTGGGCGAACGGAGGGTTCACGTGGGGTCTCGGACTCCAAGGTACACAGTCCTGGGGATTCAGGCAGGCACACTGACGTGGCGCGGTGAAGAAGGGATGACGTGGGTCTGCCCCAGGGTGGCGGGGACCCGTGTTTCGCGCTAAGAGTTGAGAGTGCAACACCACGCCAAGAATCCCGAAGATCGATTCTCTCGTGCGGGCGAACGGGCCGATGGTTGGTTGCGAGTGCTCTTGTCCCAGGGGCCGGCGGCCTGACTAAAACAGACGGGGCTGAGCACGTTTGGTCTGACCTTTTCGCTAGCCGATCCCAATGTGGAGCAGAGACACTCAACACACTTCACCGTCTCGAGCCTGAGTAAGACATAACCCACAATCTTCGTAAAGCCAAAGCTAAGTTGGGGATTGGTGGTTGTTGACGTCGTGCAACTGAGTACGTCGCGCCGAGGACGTGGCATGGCGATACGCCAAAACAAAGCGGAGGCTTGGCTAAAGCTTGAAAGCGTAATCTTTGAGGATCATACCCAATTTAGAGTTGGAGACCCACCCAACGCAGTTCTGTGCGCTACCGTCTGCCAATCATTGATACGACATTTGGCCGAATTTGATGCACAGCCTCGCCCTGGCGCGTTTCCTGATCCAGGGGAATGGTGATCCAGCGCGTGCATGCGCACTGACTGGGCCCTAGTTTCAGTGCTCTTGCACCATTCTGGCCACTGAATACTGAGAGGTCTGCTACACCTGCTTCCAGGCTGACGACTAACCGCTTGCTGACGAGCATCCTCTCTTTTTCGCCCAACTTATCTCCCACATTCGACGCTCTTTATTATCCATCATTTCAGACCTCATTTGCTATCTCATTTGCTATCTCATTTAGTCCCTCATTCCTTCCTTATCTCGCTGGCCGAGATTTCCCTTTTAATCTTCACCCCATTCGCTCCTTTCAAAATGCCTCAACTCGAGCTTAGTCAGCTCAACATCGTTCTTTCCGTCACTGGCGCGTTCTTGGTGCTTTATGGTATTATTTCTTCAAAGATCAAGTATTCTTGGTATCTCGGAGAAGCTCTCCCAGCAACCGTCATAGGAATCATTCTTGGTCCGACCGCCTCAAAATTCGTAGATTCTGCAACTTGGGGAGAGGCCAATGAAGACACCCTACATGAGATCACTTATGTGAGTCCTCTTCCACAGCGACGATACGAATTACCCAAGTTGACAGAAGTTTAGGGAGTTAGTAGAGTCGTTATTGGAATCCAGCTCGTCATCGTGGGGTTTCAGCTCCCTGCGAAGTACCCGCTCATTCGTTGGAAAGAATTCGCCTTCGGGGCAGCGCCCGTCCTGACCATCATGTGGCTCTCCACCTCTGTCTGCGTATACGTACTCATTCCAAAGGTCACATGGGTATGTTGCATTCAAGCAGATGTTGTATGAAGCCATGGCTAACCAGTCCAGCTTGGCTCATTGGTCATCAGCTCATGCGTTGCTTGCAACGATTCCGTCCTGTCCCAAGCCATCGCCAAAGGACCTTTTGCCGACAAATACGTCCCTAGACGCATTAGAGACAGTGTCTCCGCCGAGGCTGGAGCCAACGATCTCTTTCAGTTTCCCATGCTGATGCTCGCAACATTCCTTATCAGACATGCAGCCGCTCCGGGTGCTGGTGCGGCGAACACGGAGGAGATCAGCATTATCTCGGGTGCGGACGATGTCGGGAGGATTGGGGGTGGCATTGGCGTAGCTCTCAGGATGTGGGTTTTGGAGACGTGGTTGTACACTGTGCTTCTTAGCATCGCGTACGGGGCGGTGGTCGGGTATCTGAGTTGCCTGGCTATCAAGTTTGCACTTCGCAGGTAAGCAGGCAATGTCCCCTCACTCACTAATAGAAGCAAGCTGACATCAGATAGGAAGTGGATCGACTCGGAGAACCTATTCTTGTTCCCCACAGCCATTGCCGTAAGTATATTTCCCTGCTTCCGCCGGTGCTTTTAACTGACACAGTCCAAGCTCTTCGTCCTCGGCACCGCCGGCGCTATCGACACAGAGGATCTTCTTGCCTGCTTCGCCGCTGGCATTGCACTCAACTGGAATGGCATTTACCAGGAAGAGTGCGACAACAGACACGATGGAGTCAACCCGACCATTTGTTCTCTCCTTAACTATGGAGGCTTCCTCTACATTGGCACCGTCATGCCATGGAAGGAATTCAACGGCTCGGAAATAACCGGTATCACCTGGGGGAGGCTCTTCGCCCTGGGATTCCTCATCTTACTGTTACGCAGAATCCCTGCCAACATGCTCACATATAAGCTGCTCCCGAGCGCCTCTACGAATGCCAAGGAAGCGCTGTTCACTAGCTATTTCGCTCCGATATAAGTACCCCCTTATACCACTGTATCAACTTACAACTGACCTCGTTGCACAGGCATCAGCGGCATCTTCTTTGCGGAGCACACCCGTCATCTATTCCCTGAGCTTGGGGAAGGTGACGCCGAAGAAACCAGCCTTATCGCCGCTCTTGGTCCTAGTAAGTCAATACTACACTACGCTTATACTAGACACGGGATATGCTGACACCCAGCAGCTGTGTACTGGCTGGTGCTTTTTTCCATCGTCGTTCACGGCGTTTCGGTCCCGCTCCTCGATTTCATCTATAGAAAATTGGGTGTATCGACAATCCCCCACGAAGACACCCTTCCCCTATCACGGACCCCTTCTCTACCCCGCTACAGCGAGTCTCCAGGAAGTCGAGAGGCAACGGTTGTGGTTGAAGACAAGCAAGTCGGGAAGTCCTCGTTCGAGACTGTCTCACTCGAGAAGGTCTCATGGGAGGATTCGTGGAGCGCGGACCGTAAATCATCGTTTGATGATGACAAAAAGAGCTTAGATGTTTCGGACTTTAAGGCAGAGATGAAGGAATTTGTTTGACGGAGTAAAAATTGTTGTTCGGCGTTCTTTTAACCGGTTGGTTTGCTATGATGGAGGGAGCGATGGGCGGGGTGGTTTGTTCTACCCCGACACTCTTCAGGCGTACAGGTTGGCCAGCGTTCATGTTCAAAATTTGGGTTTGGCGCCGTTTGGGAGTTTTTTTTTTTTTTTTTTGCTCGGGCGCAGTGAGAAGCAATGAGATGATAGGCGGTTGCACTTCAAACCCCCAAATTGGACAGTGCCCTGCATGCCAGCTGGATCGGTGACCACGTGTCGTATGATCCGACACCTCTTCGTGATATTCATAAGGGAAGGCGTTTTAATCGGCGATGCTCATTCAGTGCTTATACCACGTCTGCTTCGGTTTCCTGGGCCTGGTCCGCTGATTGTCATCTTACCTATGCTGCTAATTACAATCGCTTCGCTCGTGGAAGCAAGAACCGCTTCGGCGAAGGCTAGCTTGAGTTTGAGCTTCTTCTTCCCCACAGCCGGGGATTGTGGGGCAATACGAATCGAGTGGAAACGCCCGCGATCAAAGTCAATGCCGACTGAACCACGGTCGAATTCTCGTCTTCGCCCTGCTCCGCATCGACCAACACCGTGTATGACCCGATTCACCACTATGACGGCAGGGATAAGCCTTGTATGAATTTTGACGATGACGATAGGTGTTTCGTTGATCATTATCCTGATCGCACGCTGACCGCAGCACTCGGCCCGGGATACTAAACCGGCGTGCATCGGATCATCGGCACGAATGGCCCAAGCTATAATTATACTGTGACGCTTCAATGTACATATTTGACCACACGTGCCACGTGCACAGCGTCGTTCGATGATTTCAATGCGTATAGCAATGCGAACCCTTTTTCTACACTGCGGTAAGGCCATGTCACGTCTAATTCGTCTATCGTAAAAAGGAACATTAAAATCCAGAAGACAAAATAAACCATTGTCACTTGACATTGCCATTTTACAATCTCAAATGAGAACTACCTCCTCAAGCAGATGCTCATTCCAATCTTCTCCCTTCATCAGACCTTGGACAAAAGCAGGTCCAATGACAATATATTTGGACAATTCTTCTTGAGCATCTCGAAAAACCATGGGAACAGGGACACCAGGAACAAGAACCACCACATCACCATCAACCATGCTATCTGGGCCGGAGCCTATATATCCACGCGAAGAGATAAAAAGATTCCGTTTCGCGCTGGAGAGCCTCTCGCAACAGTTCGTGAAATATCGAGAAATCACGAGGTCTGATTTCAGCGCTTCGACTGCGTGATGGGCGAAACCCCTGGCGGTGAAATTCGTGGGCTCTCTAGCGTCTGCTAGGAGGTTCATCATTGTGCAATACCATTCGTTGAAGCTTATGGTGATCGGCGGTATCGTTATCTGTCCCTCGAGGACATGGAGGACTGCTTTTGATAATGATTCATAAGCCGGAGTACAAGGCGTTCGCATCCGTAAATGGAAAAACCACAGTAGGAGTTTTGAGATATTCTCGCGCTGTAGTTGAGGAGCTAAGTCGAGGTCCTCCGCCCCTTCTGTGGAACTGAAAACTCCAGAGCAAGAGAATACAGTACCATGCCGTTGGATTGTTGCTCTCAAAAGTAGCCCATCAACTGTTGCCATCGCCTTCGTGTCTGTTGATGTCGCGCTATAGCGATTGGTCCCATTATAGTATCCTATGTCCAGCCAAGACGTGCTGCAATCATGAAACACGGGGACCCAAGTAGGTGCGTGCTCCAACCGCGGGTCTCTCTTCGTCTTGGCATCCATGAGAAGGCGTATGAATCCGGCATTCCATGCAATGAGGTCAGAAAAAAGCTCTCTAAAAACACCGTCGAGCGATTTCTCATAGTTTGGCGTCGATAAAGATGCCCCGAAGCTTCTGAGAATCCCATACATGGCGTAGGATTTGTCTTTGGGATCAGAGGCAATCCGCTGTCGAACTTCCTGCATGAAAAGATCGATTGTCCGGATTCGTTGTGTTATTGATGATCGAACCTTGCGAGAATCTCCATCGTACGGGTAAATCTTGTTGTTCTTCGATGTTATTCGAGTGTTGTCAGAATGTCTTCCAATGGCCAAAACAAGACAATACAAGAACAATGAACCAAACGGAATAATGGGACGCCATTTGTTAAACGTGACTGGCCCCACCATCGTTACATTTGATTTTTCTTCTGTTGGGTCTTGCGTTCGGTCCCTACTCGGCAGCGCAATAATAGCTGTGCATAAGACCATGGAAAGCATACAAAAAGCAGCAACTCAGATATCCCATTTCTCCACTTCCAACCATTTTGGCCAGGAAAAACGTTTCTTGAACATCCTCTGGAAGTCAGATGGTGAGTATCGCTTCTTGCGACCATTCCATTCCCCGGCTCTCCCGAAGTTAAACCAGAGGTTGAGTAGTAGGCACCATCCGTAAACACTCTGTGATAATGTTTGCCGTATATCCATGGACAAATCCAGCTGCTGCATCTGTTGCGTGTAATTTAGGCCACGAACAAATGCACCCCAAGAGATTGATTTATCCCCACAAACAACTACTATGTCTCCAGCCAGGAGAAGCTCTTGAAGCGTCCACACTCGCTGAGACCATTTTCGATGATGTGAGGCCAAGAGGTCTTCCAAGCATTCCGCGTCATATATGCTCATAAGTCGCTGGCTCGGAGAGAAAAATGCAGAAGAGCATCTGTATTTGGTGAATATGATTTGCCACCCTGCCATTATCAACTGATGTGCACCGGTGAAGGGATTTGCAGGTCAACTGCTTGAAGATATCTTACCCCGGATTGCACTGAGATGAGTCATCACCCAAATAGTCTTCAAGTATCTTAGCCAACCGACCATCCAGGTCCACATGCCCTCGTTGCGATAAAGAAATCGCTCCAGTATGTCCAGATCTCTGTCATACGTCGCAGCCTTGGAAAGAATATCCATTGCCTTGTCTGATCGTGTATTTCCTTCTCCGAGCCAGACATATACCGGGCTCGCCCAGGTAAATATCTGTTCCATTAGTGGGATCTGTGTACTCTTCTCCTCGTTGTCTTGCTGGTTGATGCAAATAGAATCAATCCAGATTGTCATTGCACCGAACTGCTGGCGGAGGTGGACCAGTGCGCTATGACAGTTTTTGGTGAGATTCAGCTTCCAAACCGTGCCTCTGTTTCTGGTGGTACTTATTGCGAGAGTGTGATCCAGTGATTTTTCATCGCCCCAAACGTAGGAGAGTGCCGCAAATTTAGGGCTGTCAGTTAGTTTGACAATCCGCAAGGTACCAGCGAGAGGAACACCGCATGTAGCGGGGCTTTCAGTGCTAGCGGAAGCCCAGCGAGAGTCTGGAGGTAGCGGGAATAGATCTAACACGCGAATAAGACCAGATCCTGCTAGCACTGGAAGGCTGGAGTAGAGTTGATATGGTGTAGGACAACACCCCGGGCTGACTTGAACGATGTGGTCGGAATTCATGTTGGACGTTGGACGTCGCCGTTGTGACAAGTTCAACAGATTTTGGATCTCGAGGAAAATTGGGATACTCCGGAGCCCGAAGTAAGACACGAGAAATGCCTATTATTCTGAGATAAAAGTCATCACGTGGGGTGAGATTTTGAGCCCTATGTCTGCACGTGGATATTATTTCCCACAGTCAGCGCAAAATCTTTTGGGTTTCACTTTCACTTTTTGTAACACAAGGTGGTCGACTGCTTAAGACAAGAAAATTGACAGATCCGATCTATTTTTCGCGAGATCACGATCATTTTACTTTTGTAATTAGAAGGCCATATTAAATGTGCTCCCTCTTTAACGCAGTATTTTTAACAGTGCGCGAAATTCAGCCTTGCTCCCCACATTTACCTTTTCCCGCGGCAGACTATGAGGCTTAATCTCTGATGAGGTATTTTTGCGGAGGGCGAACGTAACGTGAATCGACGATGTTGTGTGACAGAAGCCGGTGGATTTATAAGAGGAGCGAGGTCTAGAGCATTCGATCCGTTACACGGCATTTTCGTAGCGATTCCGTTCATGTAATCAGGCTCCAACCGGGACATTCATCTATCTTCTATCCCGACAGATGTACACCACAGGCTGCGTTAGTGTGATTTCACCCCCGCCTTCTCAACAACACGCACGCCTGATTTCCCTCACCATCACCTTCTCGTCTCCCTTCAAATGGTGAGCATGAACGCCGCCAATAAAATTCCGCTGTCGTTCTTCGAAGATGACACGATTGAGGCAGCGTTGTCGTCGGCCCCATCGACGCCGGGCGATACGGTCGTGCGCCTCAAGCTCGGTCGGCTTAGCGCCCACTCCAAAGAGCAGCTGGTGAAGGCTCTTCTTCCATTCGACAGGCCGCCAGCATTGTCAAGGCCGCTTTGAACGTGCATAGAGTTGGCCTCGTCACTACATCTGACGATGAAGTCCGCCTCATACCCTTCCATGGCCTCTCCGCCGAATGGAAGCTGACAGCCGATCTCGATGAAGAGTACCATATTTCGTATCCGGGCTACATCTCATCCAAAAACGGCCCCAAATCTTCCAACGCCACGCTCGACGAGATCCAGCGCCAGATTACGGGCGGAAACATCCCAGCGACGGACTTCACTTACCTTGGTAGCGCAAACGACGACGCGGCCAACAGCGTCTTCGCCAAGATCATCTGCGGCGAGCTGGAGCAGTGGCGTGTGTGGGAGAGCGCGTCACACGTTGCATTCCTCACGCCGTTCGGCAACACGCCTGGCTTCACCGTGCTCGTCCCGCGCAAGCCGCTCGGCAGCGACATCCTCGCCATGGCCGAGCCAGACCTGCGCGAGCTCACGGCTGCCATCTGGGATGTCTCGCACCTCCTGCAGAGCTCTCCCGCCCTTGGGGCGTCGCGGGTCGGCCTCATCTTCGAGGGAATGGAGATCGATTACGCGCACGCGAAGCTCATTCCAATCCTTGACAAAGACCTCGGCAACCCTGAGCAACATGTTCCGGAGGCTATATTTACCGACGTGTACACGGGATCCATTTCGTCTAAGCCCGGTCCACCTGCGGATCTCGATGCGCTCCAAGAGCTCCAGGTCAGGCTTTTACGTGCTGCAGAGACGCAGAAGTCGTGACTGCTGCGGGGGAGCTCGGGAATCTGCAAGGATTCGGAGTCCGATGTGTCTTGTACTTAACCCCTGCATTGCCATAGCATTTTTGAATTTCGACCTTTCAGCATTATCTCTGCAAACATGGCGAACTCAGGCCCGTCCCTTTCCGTTCACGTCAAAATCACTATCGATCCTTCTGATACTGAGGCATTCCTCAAAGCCCTGCAACCCACCTACGAAGCTGTCACCGCAGAACCCCTCAACACCTTCTTCGAGGTATACCAGGATGCACGAACACCTGGAGTCTTCAAGCTGGTGGAGAACTGGGATGCGAGCGTCGAGTACATGAGGACGGTGAGTAGTCGGACCTGATGTTTCATCGTCTCGGCCGCCGTTGGAGCAGCTCAACTGTCCGAGGAACATACTGTAAGAGCAGAACACGTGCTGATGTGCGCATGGACAGGTCCAAGAGAAAAAGGAATATTACAAGGAGTACTTCGAGATCACCAAGCCGATGTACAAAAAGCCACTTGAGCTCGAAATTTACACCAGAATGCCGGGTAATGAGTGGGTCAGCGTGAGGAAGGATGCTTATCCGGACAGGGAATAGGGCTTGGGAGAGAAACCAGATTGGCATGCTCGCATCTCAGCTTGAGCAAATTTAGCTGGAGGAAAGAAGAAAGCCATGTGTCTCTCTTCAGGATTTCTGCTAGTAGTTATCATGATCCAGACTTGCGTTTACTACGCTTTGCAGTTGACTGACTTGTATTGCGCTGGAAGGCACTACTGTAGAAAGAAGTCACAGCGATGATTGATTTAGTGTGACAAGATAATTTGAGAAGCAGCGTTGACAATATAGGTCTTCTTGAAACAGACTTCCGGTCTAGCCATTCGCATTATTCTAGTGGTGTTGGGTATCCCTCGCGCCGTCCTCTTCATTAAAGTGAACCTTGGTATCCGCGAAGACTTGGTCATAATCATACTCAAACCACCTGATGTCCGGACAGAGACCGGCGAACTTCCAGACACTGTCAACTTTCTTATACCACATGGTTGCCCCACCGTGCGAGTGGCCCTTGACCGCAACCGTCTTGCGCGACTCGTCGGTGTACTTCTGATGCGGCACGCGGACCTGGTGGCGGCCGGTGATCTCCGTCTCGGAAACCTGTTGCCATCTGGACGCGCCGATGAAATGCTGCGTCTTCAGCAGAGGATTCCCGAGGAACTTCGGATCCGAGGCCATTGCGATGAACTGATCGGCTGGCATGTCTTCCCATATCTTGTCGAGGAAAGAGCGGTAATCGACCTGGATGACATTAACAACGTACCGAACGAGAGGTGGGCCGGATATACTTGCCCTCAAAGTCGGTGCTACGCATTTGCGGAGACGGTCCCAGTCCTGGCCCCCATGTCAGCCTTCGTAAGGTTCTATCAAGGGAGGTGGCAGTTACCTTGGTGTCATAGCTCTCTGCCCATTCAAACAAGGCAGCTGAGCAACCAGCCACATCTGTTTTGACATCAGCCTAACAGGGCACTAGAGGATTCCCAGAATTATTATTTACCTTCGTAGGCAGGAATATCAGCCATAATTATGTCTCGGTATGATGCCACGCAGAAAGAGTTGGGCTCGGAAAAGAAAAGCACGACCGGCGAAACAGCGGTATGGTGTGTACAACCATCGGATAGATTTATATGTTGCGTTTACTCCCTAAATTCGGAAGTGTTATTGTCCTCGGGCAGGAGCTGCGTTCGGGGCATTGGCTCCCGACTTCGGTGTGGATGCTTGGGGGCCGATCGGGGTCCGGATATTCGGGATGCGGCATCGCGCCTTTCCTTGTAAGCGTTTCGATCATGTACGCCGCCGGTGAACTAAACACCAAGAGTGATATGCAAGATTCGGTCATCAGCTTATTTTGGAGGTTCTAGCTTCTGTTACTCATTATTTTCGCAACGAAATCCTTAGCCGGGGTGCAATACATAAACCTTCGATGCCCAACCAATTCTCCGAGTCTTGATTTCGTCATTTACTGCTGCAAGAAAAAGGCCCTTTTGCCAACAACCCACTCAGTATATCCTCTTCTATCACCACCATGGGCTCCGTTGAGACTACCCCGTACTTGCCATTCCGCCTCGATGGGAAGGTCGCACTTGTCACCGGCTCCGGTCGTGGCATTGGTGCTGCCATGGCGACGGAGCTTGGCAGAGCCGGCGCAAAGGTTGTGGTCAACTACGCCAAATCGAGGGGCCCGGCGGAAAAAGTGGTGGAAGAGATCAAGAGTTTCGGCTCCGACGCCGTTGCCATCCAGGCCGACGTGAGCCAAGTCAAGGAGACTGTCCGGCTTTTCCAGGAGGCCGTCCAACACTACGGCCACCTCGACATTGTCTGCTCAAATGCCGGCGTTGTGTCGTTTGGTCATCTCGAGGATGTCACTGAGGTACGTTGCACCAGTGGAAAGTAGAGAACAGCAATTAACGCCGGCGCAACAGGAAGAGTTTGACCGTGTCTTTACGATCAACACGCGTGGTCAGTTCTTCGTGGCTCGTGAAGCATACAAGAATCTCAGCGAGGGTGGACGCATCATCCTTATGAGCTCCAACACCGCCAGAGATTATGCCGTTCCGAAGCACGCTGTGTATTCGGGGTCAAAGGGTGCCATTGACTCTTTCGTGCGGATCCTGGCCCTGGACTGCGGAAAGAAGAAGATCACTGTCAACGCCGTAGCGCCTGGAGGCACTGTGACAGATATGTTCTACGCAGTCGCCAAGCACTACATTCCGAACAGCGACGGCTTTTCTGATGAGAAGCTGAAGGACGTGAGTAATGAGATGCTTGTCAGAATGGTCCAGCAGACGCTTACTGAAACAGATGGCTGCTCATGCCTCGCCCCTCATTCGCAACGGATACCCGACTGACGTCGCCCGCGTCGTGATTTTCCTGGCCAGCAAGGAGGGTGAATGGGTTAATGGAAAGGTGATTGGCGTTGATGGCGGTGCTGCTTAGAATTACATTTGAAGGTGGACCGGGGGGATTTCCACTTGAACATAGCCCATATTCATGAAAGGATGTATTGGAGACAACATCACAGAAATACTATTGTTATGCATAAACTACATTCTCCTCATGTATGTCCATGAATACTTCAGTGACACTCGACTTGGATGTCTGAGGATATGCTATGCTACCTAACACGCTAGCAAAAATGTTGTCCAAAGTATATTAAAGACTGCGCCCATCCAATATTCAAATGCATTATGATGTTGACTCTAGTTTTCGGGTCACTACTTGTATCTCTTCCGGTGAGAAAACACTTCATGTCTGAACGTAAGCATTTGTGTCATCGAAACTACCAAAAACCAACTGAAATCCTGAAATTCTGAAATTGAATTGCATAAGCCCGGTATCGGGAAATGCGTAAATTGGGTTGTGGTGTCAAGTCGGCCTCTCCGGACCGAAAACCGCCTGTAGCTTAGAAACGGATGAACAAACGCTGGCGCCGAGAATGTTTCCCTTTCGTCACGTCGGTGCCCGAGTATCGGGATCCGGGACTGGGGTTGTATCTGAGGTGAGAACTAGGTGGTAATGATGAGGCTCTTTCGGTAAGCACTATGGATGCATTTGATGTTACATCGGACTCCGAATGACCAGTAATCTCCTTACACAGGGCGAACGACGGCAATCACAACTGGCTTACCATTATTCTGTCTGTTTCAGTCCGCGAAAGTGCCAACGTAAGCCTTCGTATGACGAATACGTTCATGTTAAACAATTTCATGAAAGTACCCAGTTCAGCCCTAAATGATGTCTTCCATCACAATCAATTTGAGCCATGGGATAATCAGATGTAAATAAACGCCTTGAATTGTAATCTAATGTACGCAAATCTATAGAATGGGCGAGTCATGGGGAAAAAGGACAGGAGTTGCGGCGACGGATGAAATTGCTTTCAAACACTTATACTTGAAACCACTTCTTCTCTCCCCCTCTCAGCTCAAACGCAACTCTGCCGTCTCCCGCCAGCTTCCGCAACACTTCTTCAATGAATGGTTCCAACGCAAGCTTCCTCACTTCTTCATCCAACTCATTGCCGTGCATCAAGGTAACAAGGTCTTTGACAGTCATACTGCTTGCCTTGGCGCGTCCCCTGCCCTTGTGCTCGGCTTTGAACTTCTCCAGCGTCTGCAGGACCTGCTTCTCGCGCCGAGTCTTCTGTGCCAACTCTGCCGAAATCTTCGCAGGTAGGTCATGAATGACGTCGCCATGAGCTGGATAGCCTGTGGCGCAATTGTGCGACTGCATCGCGTGCAGGGATGACATGTAGATGCCGAGCTCTTCCACTGCACTGGTGCCATGACCCAATATGTTGTCTCCAGTAAACATGGCGTTCTCTTCTTCAAGGATAAAGCACATGTGGTCGTGCGAGTGGCCAGGGCTGTGCACCGCCCTGATGGTGGCTCCCTCGACGCGAAATATCTGGCCATCCTCGATGGGCTGCTGAGTTTTTGCAGGCGAGTTCTTGTATATTCCTGTGGAAAGGTGAGGATAGAGCCGAAGGAGGTCCGGTACCCCGCCGGTATGGTCGCCGTGCCAGTGGGTGAGGAACACGTGGGACAGCGAGATGGACGAGGCGCTCAGCGTGGTAGATAGCAGATCGGCCCACTCGGGGATTCCTTGCCCGGTGTCGATAATGAGCCTGTAGTCGCCAGTGCCGACAATGTAGGTGTTCGTTCCTTGAAGAGTGAACTTTTGCAATATCATTAGCGGAGTGAATGCAAAAGAACAGCATCTATTACCTTTCCCGCATTTTGCCCGAGCACACGCAGCACTCGCGGGCTGAGCTGCTCTACATCCTCAAGCTTTGGAAGCCTCTTTAGCTGTGTCTCGAGATAGTCCTCAAAGGCACAAGCATTGAGTGCCTTGTTGATTTGTTGGTACCCTCCTTTGCTCATTGCGGAACGCTCCGGAAGGCTCAGGAAATGGCCCTGCGAAGAGGGCCTGGGGGTCCGGATGATTATGATATATTGCAAACGGGCTACACAGCCTCTCGGCATTTGTTTCTGACATTCCCGAACCGCTGCCTGGATATTCGGACTCCTATACAACGCCACGGAAAGCCCGCTCGCCGAACACGACGTCTACCGATAGCGAGTGGCGTTAGGATTCCCGACCTTGATCCACTCCTTTCATAAACAGAAAGCCTTAGGCAGCAATGTTTACTTGAACACATAATAAGAAGGTATATATATGTTGTTTCCGAAACGTTGCCAAAGTTTGTGTGCGGTTGATAGCGGCGGAGCTCAAAGAAGGGTTTGGTAAAGCTTTCTATTGGCCAACCCTGACTATTTTGATTCCAGCACTACAATAGCTACAAAGATGCCGATCTATACACCCCCTTCCGATTCTCAAGACGAGCCTCAAGAAATGAGACTGGTCTATTTCAGCAACGAATTCCCGCACGATGACCTACAAGATCTCCTTCGCCGGTTGTACAACCTCAGCAAAGACAAACGGCATCCGGTCTTGGCAAGATTCATCACTGAAGCCACTTCGGCCATCAGGGATGAAGTACGGGAGTTGCCAACCTCGCTCAGAGAGCTGATTCCCCCTTTCAAAACCGTTTTGGACCTTGCCGACCATCCCGAGCTTCGAAAAGGCCCTCTTTGCGGATCAATCGACGGCGTTCTACTTTGTGTTGTAGAGCTAGCGACAATTATCAGGTATGCCATCCTCTGTCATCTCTGTTTAACATCTATGGCTTACACTTGCGAAGGTACTACGAGAATTCTCCAAACGAATTCGATCTCCACTCCGGGCACACATACCTCGCTGGTCTGGGCATAGGACTTCTGGCCACCGCTGCCGTCTCGCTGGCACACACCCTGGCCGAGCTACCTCTCGTGGGTGCCGAGGTCGTGCGTGTTGCCTTCCGGCTCGGCGTCGTCGTGCATGAGGTGTCACAAAACCTGGAACCCCGCGACCTGTCCGGCTCGCTGGACGCATGGGCTTCGGTAGTTCCCGGAGTCAAGGCAGAGGATGTTCAGGCAGAACTTGACGCAGTCCAAGCTCGAGAGGTTGGTGTACTCCAGATGTCAGACGACCACAGCTGTTCCCATGACTGACGAATGTAACAGAATATCCCCGAGCCCAGCAAGATCTTCATCAGCGCACTGAATCAGACTTCAGTGACTGTGAGCGGGCCGCCATCAAGATTGAAGCATCTCTTCCGTGCGTCGGAGTTCTTCCGCGGTCACAAGGTCGTCACCTTGCCCGTTTTCGGGGGTCTGTGCCATGCGAAGCATATCTACAACCGTCAGCACGTGCATGAGGTCATTGACGTGAGCTCGCTTGACGAGCTGGATGCGAAGTATGCCCCGGCACTTCCCGTGTTCTCAACTTCGACAGGGAGTCAGTACACGGCAACGACTGCCAAAGATCTGTTCGAGCAGATCATCTGGGAGATCATGACTCAGCAAATCCAATGGGATAACGTTATCCAAGGAGTGGTTGACCAGGCCAACAGTATCGCAGCTTCCAGCTGCCAGGTGCTCGTCTTCCGTAACTCACTCCCGGTCCATGACCTGCTAGCCTCGCTCAATTCCAACCTCGATCCTTTTGAGGCAGTCACGGAAGAACTGATTCCGTGGGTCAAAAAGAGCTTTCCGGGAGAAGGAACGCCGAGAGGAACAGCCCAGTCCAAGATCGCAATCGTCGGGATGTCTTGCCGACTGCCTGGCGGAGCAACAAACACAGAGAAGTTCTGGGAGCTCCTGGACCAGGGTCTGGATGTGCATAGAAAAATTCCCGCGGACCGGTTCGACGTCGAGTCGCACCACGACCCCGCTGGAAAGAGGATGAACACCAGTCTTACTCCGTATGGCTGTTTTATTGATGAGCCTGGGTTGTTCGACGCACCATTTTTCAACATGTCTCCCCGCGAAGCGGAGCAGACGGACCCGATGCAGCGCCTAGCGTTGGTCACTGCGTATGAGGCCCTTGAGAGGGCAGGCTACGTCGCAAACCGTACGCCGGCCACAAACCTGCACCGCATCGGAACATTCTACGGACAGGCAAGCGATGACTACCGTGAGGTCAACACAGCTCAGGAGATCGGCACATACTTCATTCCGGGCGGATGTCGTGCTTTTGGCCCGGGGCGTATCAATTACTTCTTCAAATTCTCGGGGCCGAGTTTTAGCTGCGACACGGCGTGCTCTTCCAGCTTGGCAACAATTCAGGTACAGTACTCCGGCCAACAAAGAGAAGAGATTTTCACTGACAGCACTATCTATGCAGGCTGCCTGCACGTCGCTCTGGAACGGCGACACGGACATGGTAGTGGCTGGCGGCATGAACATCCTCACAAACTCGGACGCCTTTGCTGGACTCAGCAAGGGACATTTCCTCTCAAAGACGCCCAATGCGTGCAAGACGTGGGATAGCGAGGCTGATGGATACTGTCGAGCCGATGGTGTTGGTTCTATCGTCATGAAGCGTCTCGAGGACGCGGAAGCGGACAATGACAACATCCTCGGCGTCATCCTCGGGGCTGCTACTAACCACTCAGCCGAAGCCGTCTCCATCACTCATCCTCATGCCGGCGCACAGTCATACCTCTACAGGCAAATGATGAGCTCAGCAGGTGTCGATCCCCTCGACGTCAGTTTTGTGGAAATGCACGGCACGGGTACGCAAGCCGGTGATACGGTTGAGATCAAGTCCATCACCGATGTGTTTGCCCCAACAACGAGGCGCCGCAACTCCTCACAGCCACTGTATATCGGAGCAGTTAAATCAAACGTCGGCCACGGTGAGGCTGTGGCTGGAGTGACGGCTCTCCTGAAGGTGCTGCTCATGTACCAGAAGAACGCGATCCCGCCACATGTCGGAATCAAGAACAGCCTCAACCCCGGATTCCCCAAGGACTTGGATGCAAGGAATCTTCGCATTCCTTATGAAAAGCAGGCTTGGCCTCGCGTGGAGGGGAAGAGACGCATTGCTGTTGTGAACAACTTCAGCGCTGCGGGCGGCAACACGACTGTCGCCATTGAGGAACCACCTGTACCCAAGGCTGATGGTCCTCTTGACCCTCGCACGAACCATGTGATTGCCGTATCAGCGAAGAGCAAAGCGTCTCTCCGAGGCAACCTGGAACGCCTCATTGCGTATCTCGACGCTAATCCGGACGTGTCATTGGCGAATCTCTCGTACTCGACGACTGCCCGACGATACCACCACAACCATCGTGTGGCAATTGCGGCGTCTGATGTTGCGCAGGCGAAGAAGAAGCTCTCATCTCATCTCGCAACAGTCGATACGCACAAGCCTGTTCCAACCACTGGCCCGCCTCAGATCGCGTTCGCCTTCACTGGCCAGGGATCCTCTCACAAGTCCATGAACCTCGAGCTGTTCCATTCCTCGCCGTATTTCAGATCCCAGATCCTCCACCTGGATGCTTTGGCTCAGAGCCAAGGCTTCCCATCTTTCGTGCCAGCCGTTGACGGGAGCCACGCCAAGGACCACGCACACTCTCCTACCATCACGCAGCTTGCTCTCGTTGCCGTTGAGATCGCACTCGCCAAATACTGGGTGTCTTTGGGCGTGAAGCCAAGTGTTGTCGTTGGGCATAGCCTGGGCGAGTATGCCGCCCTTCATGTGGCTGGCGTGCTCTCCGCCGCTGATGCGCTGTTCCTCGTCGGCCGCAGAGCCCAGCTACTCGAGGAGAAGTGCCAAGTCGGTAGCCACAAGATGCTGGCGGTGCGTGCCTCGCTTGCCGACATTGAGAAGAGTGCTGCCGGGCTCACGTACGAAGTCGCCTGCATCAACGGGCCGAAGGAAACGGTGCTGAGCGGATCAAAGGAGCAGATGGAGGCTATCACCCAGCCACTGCAATCGGCCGGTCACAAGTGCTACAGCCTCGACGTCGCATTCGCCTTCCACTCGAAGCAGACGGATCCGATCCTCGACGAGTTCGAGGAGCTTGCGAAGAGCAGCGTCCTTTTCCAGGCTCCAAATCTGCCCGTCGTCTCGCCTTTGTTGAGCAAGGTCGTCTTCGACGAGAAGACTATCAACGCCAACTACGTACGGAGGGCCACACGGGAGACGGTCAACTTCCTCGACGCTTTGGAGATGGCACAGAACATCTCCACGGTGGACGAAGACACCGTCTGGGTCGAAATCGGCCCTCATCCTGTCTGCATGGGCTTCGTCAAAGCCACGCTTCCATCCGTCCACGCCGCTGTTCCATCGTTCCGCAGAGACGAAGAAAACTGGGACACGATCGCTCAGAGCCTCAGCGTCCTACACCCTGCCGGAGTGCCGATTGACTGGAGCGAATTCCACCGTCCTTTCGAAAAGGGACTCCGCCTCCTCGACCTGCCTACGTATGCCTGGAACGACAAGAACTACTGGCTCATGTACAATGGAGACTGGGCTCTCACCAAGGGCAACACTTTCTACGACGCTGAAAAGGGGTCCAAGGTGGCTCCGGCCTTGCCCTCAAGCCTGAGGACCTCGACTGTCCAGCAAATCGTCGAGGAAGTGTATACCGGAACGGCAGGAACAGTGACAATGCGCTCAGACTTGATGCAGCCAGACTTTCTGGCTGCTGCCAACGGCCATAGGATGAACGGGTGCGGTGTGGTAACATCTGTAAGTTTTGCCGAAGTGATGGCTGCTCGCGACGACACTAACGGGCTGCACAGTCTATCCACGCGGACATCTCCTACACCCTCGGAGAATACCTCTACAAGAAGTTCTACCCAGGCGCCAAGGAAGTCAATATGAACATCGCCAACCTCGAAGTCCTCCAAGGCCTCGTCGCGCAAAAGAACACCAAAACGCCGCAAGTCATCCAAGTCTCCGCCTCAACCTCCGACATCACCTCGGGCGTCGTCTCCCTCAAATGGCAGCACGTCCACCCCGACGGCACCGTCTCCGACCCCTTCGCCAGCGCCACCATCCACTACGGCGACGCCTCCACGTGGCTCGCCTCCTGGATCCCCAGTGCGCACCTCATCCAAGGCCGCATCGACGCGCTGGAGCAGCTGGCCAACGCCGGCGTCGCCAACCGCTTCTCGCACAACATGGCGTACCTGCTCTTCGGCACCAACCTCGTCGACTACGCGCCCAAGTACCGCGGCATGCAGTCGGTCGTGCTGCACGGCCTCGAGGCCTTCGCCGACGTGACGCTCACGACGGAAAAAGGCGGGAGCTGGACCGTGCCGCCGTATTTTATTGATAGCGTCGCGCACCTCGCCGGCTTCGTCATGAACGTGTCGGATGCGATTGACACGAAGGCGAATTACTGCGTCACGCCGGGATGGGGCTCGATGCGCTTCGCCCGCCCGCTTGAGGCTGGCGCCCGGTATCGCTCGTACGTCAAGATGATCCCGACGGCCGAGGACCCGAGTGTCTTCCTCGGCGACGTGTATGTCCTGCAGGATGCTGTTGTTGTTGGCATGGTTGGTGGCATCAAGTTCCGCCGCTACCCGCGCATTTTGCTTAACCGCTTCTTCTCCGCGCCGGACGACACGGCGGCCTCGGCTTCGCAGTCGCATGCCGCCCCTCCGCCGCCGCCGGCGACGACGACGGCAAAGCCAGCGGTCGTAGTGCACGAGTACCCGACCATCGCCCCGGCCGCGAACCCGGGCCCGCCCCTGAAGGCGACGGCCACCGCAACCACGACAGCTGTACCCGTTCCCACTGCTGCCGCCGCCGTCGAGCCGCCGGCGTCTAACAGCATCGCATCGAAGGCGACGGTGCTGATCGCGCGGGAGGCCGGCCTGGACGTGGCGGAGCTGACCGACGACGCCAGCTTCGCGAACCTGGGCGTCGACAGCCTGATGAGCCTGGTCATCGCCGAGAAGTTCCGCGAGGAGCTGGGCGTGACGGTCAGCGGGAGCCTGTTCCTCGAGTACCCGACGCTGGGCGATTTGAGGAGTTGGTTGGTGGAGTACTACAATTAAATTGTGATTTTTTTTTCTTTTATTGATAAGACGGAGGAGTTTGTGTTTGGTTTGATTTCTTCTTGATTCTGTTTCACCTTTTTCGTATTTACGCTATAGAATAAAGAAAGACGCAATGTCATTAGAATGGATGCTACAGGTTCATGGTGAATTCTCGTGACTATGCTACGATCTATAAGAATTGAGTAGAGGCCCCTTTTTATTGTTTTATTAGTGCCAGCTAAAGCCACTTATATTCATTTATAGAAACCTCTTCGTTGTACTGTCTATACCCCTCTCTAGAGTCTAGCATAATTATCATCACAGTGCACTTGAACGGTGGGCACCCATTGTTCAGCTGCGAGAAGCCATGGCACTTTCGTCAATCTCTCCAAAGCATTTCTGCACGGGCTTACAGAAGAGTCAGACAGTTCATCCCGATTTGATCGGCAAAGAAGAGAACCCGGCGTCCGATGCCCGCTGTCGGGGTTGTGCAGACGTAATCTTCCGAACCGGAGGTAGGATTGGCTTCATCCTTCACTCTTCTAGTGCCCGCACGTTCAGTAAACATCACATATCCTACGCGCCCAACTTTTAATGACCTACCGGATCTACCTCTTCACATCACTATCAGGTTATTGAAACCGCAGGAACCATGGCAGTTTCCTCAAACACGTCCGAACCGCCCGAACTGAATGGTCCAGCGGACGGCAAAATTCTTTGCCTTACCATCTGCGGTTACCGAAAACCTGGCATGAGCGAAGAAGACTACAGACATCATATGACAAAAATCTCAGCGCCGATGACGCAGGATCTCATGGTGAAATATGGAGTCATACGGTGGACACAGGTACGAGTTCCCTGAAAGAGCCAATTAACCTACTTTCCGTAAATTCTGCACTCTCCGTACACCATAATTTCAGTATGAGAAAAAGAAATTGTGTACTCTTCGCTGCATATTTACTGCCTTAAGTATTTGATGTATGTGTGCTGATTGAATGGGAAATGCAAGATACACAACACAAGCTCCACTCGTGCCCTGATGGGCCAGCTTTTCGATTCGCAGATGGCCAACGTTGCCGATTTTGACTGCTTCAGTCAGGTGCTGTTCAGGAACCTGGAGGACTACAAGAGGATGAAAGAAGACCCTTGGTACAAGGAACATTTGGTGGGCGACCATGAGAAGTTCGCAGACACGAAGAGAAGCATGTGAGTATTCTTCTATTGGATCAATGTGTTTGGATTGAAGGCCTGTCTGTGGTATCAGAATATCATAGATCGAGGGAAACTAAAGTGAGGCTTTGCTAATCACTGTATGGTAGGATGACCATTGGATGGATCGAGCAGTTTATAGACAACGGAACAGTAGTCAATGGAATTCAAGGATGATTGTACCTTATTGGCTGGTACATCTCAGAGGACTCGGAAAAAATCGAAGGTAGCTCTCAGATTACTCAGTAGACTCTACGACCGCTCATTCAATCTATTCCTTTCAAGAACACACATGTCCTGATGAAATTTCGTCGAGGGCCATGGATGGTTTCCTGTGTTGCTATTGTTCTACTTACACTATTCTGGTGTCAAGAAGCTCTCGAGACTATCTCGTTCCGCCATAGCCTTTACCGAAATTCAGCAGGTAAGTGCGCGAGCCAATGAGAAAATGGCCAGGGAGCGGAACGCGACGTCGGGGATGCGAAACAACGGAGAGCGAACTCATAGACATCCGGCCCGCATCTTCTACCAATCATGGCGTGACCGGAGCTGAGACCAATGTCAATCAGGCATTTGCAGCTCTCCCGAATTGAGTACTTTCTTCCATTTTATCTCATAAGATAACTGTGTCGTGTTCTTTCTTCCATCCATCCTTGCAAGACTAGCACACACATTTCGTTGCAATCATGGCTCCCAAGTCTCGGCCCACAACAGGTTATCAAGCCACTGCCGTAATTACCGGCTCTTTCTTATCTGGTCAGTAGCAATCTGTACGGATGTCGGATATGCACTAACCATCGTAACTGCCCCAGGCGCCATGATGGGCCTTTCCTTGATGGCGGTTCCAGTACTCCTTGACACGACAACCGAACCAGCTCAGCTGTTCCATCAATGGACCCGCATGTACCACTACGGCCATCAAGCACTACCCACGATGGCCATCGCTACTTTCGCCCTTTACGGATATACAGCGCTCAGCAAACGCACTGCTAAGAAAGCGTGGGGTGTGTTTGCTGCCGCTGGCCTGACGACGGTGAGCATCCTGCCGTTCACTTGGATCGTCATGGTGCCGACGAACAACACTTTGTTTCGTTTGGAGGCGGAGAGCCAGACGGCTCCAGTAGCAAGCTGGGAGGAGGCACGCGCACTCGTGATCAAATGGAGCTGCATGCATCTTGTGCGGTCTCTACTTCCGCTCGCAGGAGCTATACTGGGTTCAATGGGGATTTTCGAGAAGCTTGTGTTTTGATGCAAGCAGGTTGTGGTTCAACAGCATCTGTCAAGACAAATGAATTTGCCTGTAACTAGCGAAGAGGGTTCTCAAATGATGCTTATCCGGGTTAGGAAAGCGAAGAGATGTAGCTTGTGGATGCAACTCGCACCAGTGACCCAGCGAAGATGCCAATTGTAGTTAGCTCAATCCATCGCAGACCGTTACCTGCCGAATCCGGAAGACATCTGTTTTCTGCTTTCAGCCCCCACCTCAGGCTCCTCATGTATTGTGCGAGCAAAAGTCAGCCCGAACTCCGATTTGGCGTGGCGCAGCAGCATCGTTTCCCGACCTTTCGCTTACTCTCACTCCATCCTCGGAATCCGAGTCTCAGGCCCGACGTCACCGATATCCACCCAACAAAAAGAAAAATGGCCCGAGCCCCGAAGTCGCAGCCTCCGGTCAACCCGCTGCTCGCCTTTGTTCTCGCCGTCCTTCAAGCCATGTGAATAGAGGCAGAGTTACGTGAGGGAAAAAGTTGATCCATGTTCGGAGCTAAATACTTGTCACCCATTATGGTTTGTCGGCTCGCGGTCATGCTTTGACGCTCATTGGTCAAATCTCATCGCAGTGTTCACTACCACTAAAAAAGTAGTCTTTTCTATACATCACCACCGGGTCTTTGGGATCTAGGGCTTTTTAGAGTAGTAAATCTAGAATGGCCTTATCGGTGAATTTCACCGTTCAAGAAAATTTCGCAACAAACGGGTCAGCTTGGTGCTATATATCGGGGGTGACGTGCCAATTTCGGCATCACCCCGTAGGTGAATAAACAGCCATTGTGCTATATTCTCTGCAGAGCTAGACGTTCTCCACTGTGCAACAACAATGCCTTCTGCACTTTCGATGCTGTCACTTTTGTTCTACGGACTGCCCTCCATTCTTGTTGCCTTTCTATTTCGGAAAATCAAGCAGAAAGAGCGTGGCAAACCCAATGATGAAAGTTTCGCAGAAGTAGACGGAGGGCCTTTAGCCAACCAAACGTCCGTCTTCCTGCATATCGAGCAAGGCCTGCGAAAGAGCCCACACAAAGCGGCCGTCATTTGCATGCACCAATCTCCAGACAGCCTCTCTGGTCTGATACCATCTGATGGCCAATTCACGCAGAAGCAAGGCGGGCCCCGGCACGAATGTCTGGTCTTCACCTACAACGAGCTACACCGCGCATCACTGAAGCTCGCCGCCGGCCTCGCGGCTCACGGCGTACGGCCAAACACCACCATGCTGATGTTGATTCCGAACGGCGGCGAGTACTGCCTGCTTCTCTGGACATGCATCGTCATGCGCCTCACATTCGTCTGCCTCGACCCATCAACCCTGGCCGCGTCCGACCCCGCCGAGCTGCGCGATGTCATGGAATCAACCAAGCCATCCATCGTCGTCGTCCCAGACGCAGCTGGCGCCAAGACCATGGACACGCTCCTCGCCTCACTCGGCAATGACCACGCCCTCCGCATATCCCTGACCGAACGCCCCGTTTCCGGTAGCTGGACGTCCCTGCCCGAGCTGGCCGCCGACGCCACCAGTGACCCACCCGACGAACAGCAACTTCTGGATGCGGCCAGGAATGACGATGAAGACCGCATTCACTCCATCATGTTCACATCGGGGACGTCAGGCCGATCGAAAGGCTGCCCCTTGCGCGTTGGTGGCATGACGCACGTGCTGCACTCGCAATCTTGGTTGATCAACAAAGATAATTGCGCGTCCGCACTGCAGCAAGCGCACAACTCGCGCGGCATCGCTCCGGCCCAGACGCTGCAGACGTGGCGGGCGGGTGGTGCGGTAGTCATGACGGGCCGCGGCTTCGCGGCCGACGACATGGTGGATGCGATTCGCGAGCACGGGGTCACTTTCGTCGTGCTCACGCCTGCGATGGTGCACGCCCTGGCACCGCTTCTCAGCGCTCACGCATTTGAGGTGACATCCGTCCGGACGGTGCAGGTGGGCGGGGATGCGGTCACGAAAGATATTCTGACGAAGTGCGCCGCCTTGTTCCCTAAGGCCGAGGTGTGCGTCAATCACGGGATGACCGAGGGAGGGGCGTGCTTCAGGTGGCCGTTCTTCGGGACTCCGACGGCCGAGATACCCTACTTTGGGGAGATATGCCCGGTGGGTGTCGTTGCGCGTGGAGCAGTTGTGCGGGTCTGGGACGCGGAGAGGGAGTGCGTGGCAAGGAGAGGCCGGCCGGGCGAGCTTCATCTGCACTGCAGCAGTATTATCCGGCATTACCTGGGTGGAGTGTCTGAGTCTTCATTCTATGAGGATGACCGAGGTCGTTGGTTCAACACCGGTGATGTTGCTCTCATGGATGACGGCGGCTTGGTGTTCATCCTCGGGCGGAAGAAGGATATGATCAAAAGCAACGGCATTGCCATTATGCCTGCCGCGCTGGAGAGCTCGATTGAGCAGTTTACAGGCGCACAGGTTAGTCATACTCTGAGTTCCCGTCTTGGTGTGCAGCAAGACTCTTCCTTATTGCTAACATGGATATTTCTTTCAAGACATCAGTGATTGGTATATCCCACCCGGTACTGGGGCAGGTTCCCTTTGCCGTACTCAGTAGTCTCAACGAAAAAACGCAAGAAGAGATAAAGAGTTACATAATGCGTACGCTTGGCAAGGACTATGCTCTTGGTGGCCTGGCTACACTGGAGGAGGTCGGGCTTAGCGAGTTTACGGTCAACGCTACTCACAAGATCGTTAGGTCTGAAGTCGAAAAGGCGGTTCAGAGAACTTACGCCAAAGCCTAAGCTGTACATGAGGTTTCAGCTTAAGCCAGTGAAACTCCATACTTACAGCAGAGCCAATGAGGAGTAGAGCAACAAGAAGGAGGCCTTGCGGTGTTTTAGGTATATACAGAATTACAGTCAACTTGTTTTACATGTTCCTGGAGTTCTATGGCACACGAGATTTACTTTAAACACCACGTAGTTTAACGAAATGAGCCATTTGCCTTACACGCGAGTAAAGTCAATATTGCAAATACCAGTGTAGCTGAGCAGAAATTTCCCACTCCAGATCAAACGCATCCTTATTCCAGCTTCGGAACCTGGGCCCAAGCCTTGTCCATACCAGCCATGACCACCCACTTAGCTTGTGCAGGGAGATCCAAAGTCGTGTCATACGCCATCCTCGCAATCTTCAACCACATATCCCCACTCACCGGGAAGGCACCCGCACCCTCACCCTGCTCAAACGGCCTCGACACCTCCTCCCCATGCCTCAGCGCGCGCACAAACTTCGCCACATGTCCATCATCATGCTGCTCATTGACAGCACCGAAGAGCGAAGCCCAGTCCATCCCCACACTTAGACCCCCCTCATACCCCACCACCCTCTCCACACTCAACTCCGGCAGCCCGCACACCGCATACCACACCAGATCCAGCCTGCCCTTCCACTCGACCAGCCGCACGCGGCTCGCGACGTCTATCCACGGCTGCCCCGCCAGCACGGCCACGAAGATGGAGCTGGTGACGCAGTGCATGAAGAAGAAGTCGACCTTCGCCGCCTTGCCCGCCCGCTGCGCCGCGCCGGCCAGGTACGCGCAGAAGCTCATCATCTCCGCCGTGCGCCGTTCCAGCGTCTCGGCAGTGACGCGGAAACGTGCCGCCAGCGACGTCAGTTCCGGCCCGGCCTGCTTCAGCATCGCCTGCATCTTCTTCGTGCCGATCAGGCCCTCGGTGCGGCCGGCGCGGCGGACGGCGTCGTTGGCTGCGAAGTCGCCCAAGATTTCGACCAGCGATCTGTCCGCATCGATCGACGCGACGTCCGAATCCTGCGCGCGCTGCTCAGCGGTGCGAAAGAAGTAGTCGGTGTCGAACGAGTCGTGCGCGGCGGCCTGCGCGAGGGCCTCGGCGACGATGCTGGGCTGCGCGAACTCGACGCCCAGCCCCAGGTGGATGATGGGGTGGTAGGCGCCGTCGAACATGAGGGCCAGCAGCGCTTCCGCAATCTTACTACCGCTGAAGACGTATTCGTTGACGACCGCCCGCCACCCCTTCTGCTCGATCTGCTGCTCGAAGTAGACGAGGAAATTGGTGTAGTGCGCGATCTGCCCGATTCGGGCGTGGAAGTAGTCGGGGTCTTGCATTTTGAGGACGACGTCGGCGTCGAGGGCCGGCAGGGGCCGTTGGGTGGGCAGGTCGTCGTCGAAGGCCGTCCGTAGCTCGGCGGGGCTGGCGCCGAGGGCGAGCCGGGTGAGGAGGTTGTGGGCGAGGTGGTTGTGGCCGTTCATGTCGCGGAAGAAGATGTGCAGCTCGTCGTGGTTTTTCTGGAGGAGCTGGTCTGTGATGGCGAGGGATTCGGGCGGTGCGGCGGCGCCGCGCATGATGCCCAGGTGGTCTGGGGATAGGCGGACCTGTGAGGCTGCCGTGATGGTCTTGGTAGTTGTTGACATGGTTGATATTGCTTGTGCTTCTCTCACGAATCAATATGTGTTTGTTATGTGGATAATATGTTTTATCACTACCAATGATCAAGCTATATACAATCATGAACGTCTCAGAGTTGTGGTTTCGGGCAATGGAATCTCCGTTTGCTTAGCTTAGATACAATCCGATTGGCCGTCGGTCTCCGAATCAGGAGACATTAATCGGGTGAGAAACATGTGAGAGCCCACATGTAGCCTCTCAGATGCGCCCGACAAGACCGCTCCTCTAGTGCTAGTCATTGACCTGATGTCACTGGGACATGTAACCTCTGTTGAAGCCTTTGGCTCCTGTTCGCTTCTGTATCCCGAATTATCCGAGAATTGGTTGACATTAAGTTCGTTGGATAGTACGAGAGTGGAAGTTTTGGGACCACAGTTGAACATCAAAAGGGGGAGTATGATCTCTTGTTACTAATAAGGCGAGACACATGGAGAAAAATACACATTCACTTCTCATCGATATCGGTCTGACTCAATCGTTCAGTGACGCATGATTCTGCCTTGTTCAATAGTATTTTATCAGCGTTGCCATCGTGAAAGTGTTCTGTCCATTAATGCGAGCCTCCCCGCATTCTCCTCAGAAACGAAATTTTGTTCAAACCGCAAAATGTCAAAATGTGAGTAGTTTCATTGGCTACTGTAATATGTCTATTGCATGCTGGAAGTAGAAGTGACTACAGAGCCATGGCACGTAGCCACCAAAGACTTATGAGTACTGTGGTGCTGATATCAGACGGCATGATCCCCCACACTGCATTTGACTTCTTCAGGAAGGTCCCGTGGATGGCAGATAAGGATGCAGCCACGGAAAAAAGTGCCTCAACAGGCCAACAGTGATGCACAACGGTGTCCCCCGCGGGAACTGCGCGCCTCCGCCCGTGTTAACGACGCCCACATTCCTCATATCGTAGAGGCCGTCCGGATCATCCGCCGCCTCAATCATGGCCGCAGCCAAGTCGAGGTACGAGATGAACGACTCCTGCTCGTCGAAGCTGAGCTTGTGGCCCCGCTGCTTGTCGACCGACAAGCCGCCGGGCTTGATGAAGATGGTCGACACCCAGTCCTGCTGCGCGCGCAGAATCTCCTCCGTCTGCCGCAGGTCCTCGTACACGTGCGAGGCCGCCGTCTTCATGATCGGCTTGAACCACGCCGGCATGTTGCGGTTGAGATGGTCGTCGAGCGTCGCCGACGACAGCAGGACGAGCTTCGGCAGCGGCGTGGCGCCCGGGCCCTCGGACGCTTCTCTGATCTTCTCCAGCGCGCGGATGACCGTCAGGGCCGAGTCTTGGGAGAGGCGGCAGCCCGGGACGTTGTCGTTCGTTGTTACGGTCAGGAAGACGGCCTTTGTGCCTCGGATGCAGTCGGCGAGCAAGTCGACGTCGTCGATGCTCCCTTCAAAAATCTTGACTCTTTTGTTGTCCGCGACATTGGGGAGTATCCGTATGAGCTTTGTCCTGTTGCGACAGTAGGCGTGGACCCTCGCGTCTGGAGACTGGAGGAGATTTTGAATTAACGAGTTTCCAGTATTGCCAGTGGCACCGAGGACGGCGTAGGTAGCCATTTCCTTGCCTCTGAGGTGTGTGAGAGAGGAGCAGGAAGGCGGAAGAGATGAAGGTGGGTTTGCAAGTACCTCTGCGAAGGCAGAGTCACGGAAGAACTTTAAAGTTAGCAATTTACTGTAAACCTGTCTGCAATTTGTGTGCGATAGCCATGGTTGCTTGTAGTGGTTGCAGACGATTCCCGAACTTCGTGAAAAGTCTCGGAATTCGGGCCACTAATCATTGGTTTAGTCCCCGAGCCTTGTCACACGCAGGCTCATTGCAGCATAATCGGCGCAATACATCATCCGGCGGCCTCCGATGAAACAGCATTCAATCAGCGAGCCCGTGAATGCCAAGAACGTAGCAGTGATGCCATAGCTCCTCTGAGTCAAGGTATGTTGGCATCTTAACATCACCTTTGCCCACCCCTGCATTATCTTTACGTATGCCGTTTGATGTCTGTAAGCAATGTAGATCCATACAAAGGGCTGCTTTTATATATTGATTTGACACGATGTACAAACAAGATTTAGAGGAGTTCGAAGGTACTGATAGAGCTTTTCTAAAAGTTTGCGGAGAAGGCTATACTTTTACGCTGTGAAGTCCACTGAATTCACCAGTTCCAGCTCAACGTTGACACGAATTGCTACCGATACGAAGTCATAGACCAACACCGTCCTCCTCAACGATATCCCGCGCTGCCCTATTCGCAACGGCGTACACGTGAGCCTGAATGGCACAGGTCGGCGGACGAGGGATAGCTGGAGAGCCTATGACTCGAATGCCATTGAGACCCTTGATCCTCCAGTTGCTGTCGAGGACGGTGCCGAGTGCCACGGTACCGAGGGCATGATGCCACGACTGTGAGCTCTGTTGGATGGCCTTCCAGACGTCCTCGTCGCTTGTAACATCCTTACCCGGGTAGATCTCGTCCACGATGAACGAGCTAAGAGCCTTGGACTGCATTATCTCTCGGAGCTGTTTGTATCCGTACGTGATGGCTGCCTTGTCTCCCGCCGAGCCGAAATAGTTAGAATGGATGACGGGATCGTCCCGGTAATCGGAAGAGTCTATGGTGACGAAGCCTGTGGCTTCGGGCTGGACCACGGCGGCGAATGCGGCCAGGATGCTGACGTTCGGCGCCGGTTGCAAGAAAGGCGTGCTGGCGTACTCGTAGATGACGTGGGGGCGGTCTTTCGGGACTTCCAGGTGGAAGGAGCTGTTGACGGCTTCGAACACCGAGTCCGGTAGTCGCAGCGCCCCGAACACGTCTCCGTTGTTTCTTCCAAGCGGCCCGGACCCGTTGGCGTATTCGGCTTGCGCCACCGCCGCTCCGGTGGCGTTCTCGGACCATTGCCACGCGGTCTCGACACCTTCGACCGTTTGGTACTCCATGACGGCATAGTGGTGATCGTACAGGTTGGACCCAATCTCAGGGATGTTGGCAACAACGGGAATGTCAAGCGCCGAGAGGGTGTCCTCGGGGCCAACCCCGGACAGCATGAGTAGTTGAGGGGAGTTAATAGCGCCTGCGGCTACGATGATTTCTTGTGCTTCGATGACATGTACTTCGTTGGTTTGAGTATCTGTGTAGGTGACGTTCGTCGCAGTGGTCCCCGTGAAGCCGATCCGCTGGACCCAGGCATCGTGAATGACCCGGAAATTTGGCCTCCCCGCCATCTGATAGCCGTATGCATTGACGGCGTAATCCCTCGTGCGGTTGGAGACGCGAATTGTCTCCAGGCCGAGACTAACGCCAATGCCATGGCCAGATACCATATCCGTCTCATCCAGATCGAGTGTTGATTTCAGGGCGTTCGCGAAAGGCACATCGAACGAGACCAGTTCCTGGCCGCGGCTCACCTCCAACGGCCCGTCGCCAAACGCGTTGGGGTCCAGGACTTGTTCATAGTTTTCAGCCGGGTCAGACGTGTAATGAGTGGTTTCCTTAAAGTCCTCAAGCAAAGACTCCCATGCCAGGCCAGGGTTGCCAGAGAGCTCCGCCCATTCGTCGAAGACAGAGGCCGAGCCGCGGCAGTAGAGCATGGCATTGACGCCACTACCACCACCAAGAATGCGTCCTTGCCAGAGATTTGGAGTCAAGCCTCCAAGATTGGGCTCCGGCTGAGTCGAGTAATTCCAAAACCATTGCTGGGATGAGAAGAACCTCGCTGGGGCTGCATATTTCGTTAGCGAGTTCACAGAGCCTTTTGACGTGTGACTCACTGGTAACTAAAGGATTGGTGCTCTCATCTGGACCGGCTTCCAAAAGAGTGACGGCAATCTTGGGATTCCTGGTCAGCCTCTCTGCAACCACATAGCCTGCCGGTCCAGCGCCGACAATCACGTAGTCAACGGGCTTCGTCAAGTTCGTTGGGGCTGCAGAAACAACTGCCGTCAAGGCCATCAGACCTTGCAGCAATATTGAGCTGCGTGCCATTGCTTGATGACCGGGAAATCGGACTTTCAATGAAGTTTTGGTGTTGAAGTTTTCAGGAAGTGTATGACGAGAAATTGAGACATGAACACCTCGGCATTTATACACTGTCTATTTCATTGGCGGTCGCCGTGAAGAGAGAGTGAGGATATTGGTACGCCACACTGACGAGAAAGCGCCGAGATGAGGTGACTGAATGGGTCCATGGATTGTGGAAGGAAGGTATCGGAAGCCGATTCGCCGCCATTGACATGGCGTCAGCTCCTTACCGAAAAGCGTGTTGGTTGTCAGCTTTGATTAAAACATAACAGATTTGTGGAACAACACCAACAAACTTTCATGAAAGAATATCAGCTGAGATTAAAATAGCAATCAATTGAAAATTTCTAAAGTCTTGACTTGTGTCTGGTTGACTTCGGCGGTGACAGCGTAAACATCTACCAAGGATAAACGCCCGTGTTATGCAAGAGCTTTCCAGCCTCATCATCTCTTTTGCCCTCCAAAACATCAATCAAGGGCATGACAGCCTCCGAAGCAGGCTTGGCGCCGAACTCGGCCTTGTTGTGAGGGCCCAGGTTCGACTGAGTGAAGCCTGGATCGTAGGCGAAGACTTTGATTCCAGCCGACTGGAACTCATAGACCTGGCAGGCGGTGACCATGTGAAGGGCGGCTTTGCTTGCTCGGTACTGCACCGCTTGCACGTTGTAAATGGGTGAAGAAGTGTCCAGACGACGAGCAATGGAGCCGGCCCCGCTCGAAATGTTGACGATTCTCGCCGGCGAAGCAGTTGATTTGCGGAGGAGCTCGGCGAAGGCAGTGGTCAAGACAGCCGGGCCAGTCGCATTGGTGTCAAAAGCATCGCGCATCTGCTGGCGAAGTGGGGGCTGCATCGCCGACACGGCGGCGTTGTTGACCAGTATATCGAGCTTGCCATGGGCGCGCTCAACCGAGGTGACCGCACGCTCGATGGTGTCGTCTTTGGTCACGTCAATCTCGAGTAATTCAGCCGAACCAGGCAGACTGCGAGACTGTAGGTCCTTCACGGCTGCGGCTCCTTTTTCCGGAGACCTTGCCCCAACAAGGACGTGGTACGAGGCGCTCCGTGCCATCAGCTGAGCGGCTAGCTCGAAGCCGATGCCGCTGGTCGCTTTGGAGCTCAGGTCAGCAACAGGTGCAAAATAGGGAAGTAGGCAACCTACCGCCGGTGACTAGAACCAGTGTCTTTGCCGTAGCAGCCATTTTCTGCTCGTGTTTGCGAAATGCATGTGTTATTTCTCCGCGATTCGTCTTAAATGTGTAAGCATATCGCCTTTAGTAAGCACAACCGGCTTTAACGGGCGGAGATGGTGAGCTATCCCAGAAGAGACACGTTTGAAACATTGCTGAAGCTCAAGTGATCGTGGGTGGGCCCGGAATACGCGATGAGGGTGGGGGCCGGCGCCAACACTGAAGGCTGCGGCGCAGCGGGGAAGACGTCGATCATGCAGGCAGCAAAGTGAGCGATTTCCATTCTTGGCACGGCTTAGCCTGACAGTACCGCTCCATCGGAATTTCGGGGCGCTGGTGGCGGCGAATACGGGGGGAGATGCATCGGAGAGCGAATGTCGGGAGGTAGTACGTAAGTAAGCAGATTGATAGTACCTGCACCCGTGGATCGCAGCCACGGTGCATCATCCGTCGGAATTGACACACTATCTCCGGCCCGAGCCGCCCACCACCTACCACTAGCGGAGGTAATTGCTCTTGCTCAATTGTCAAGCCTCAGGCATTGTAAACCACCGCCTTTGTCACTTTATCTTCACGCCACTTCCCAGGCTCTGTTTCCCCACGAAACCCCAGATCAGACTCCTCAGATTCAAAATTTCTCTTTCATACAACTAAAATCGCAACCATGGCTGGCATGCCCCCTCCCCCGATCAAGAGCCTGCTTGGCAGGCACCGTCTTCTTGCACCCGCTGCTTCTGTTCGCGTCAGCCCAATTTCCCTGGGAGGAATGAGTATGTTACCCTACCCGTAGGTTCGTGCAGACGGCATAGATTGACAATGCTGAAGGCTTGGGAAATGCGTGGGCGCCGTTCATGGGCGAATGCACAAAGGAAACGGCCTTTGAGTTGCTTGATGCCTATTATGACCTTGGCGGTAACTTCATTGACACTGCCAATGCCTACCAGGGAGGCCAGAGCGAGGAGTGGATTGGAGAGTGGATTGAGAAGACGGGCCGCCGCTCAGAGCTGGTTGTTGCCACCAAGTACACTCTGAATCCCCGCGCGGGTCAGCCTGTGCAGCAGAGCAACTTCGGCGGAAACGGCACGAAGAGCCTGCACACTTCCATCCACGACAGCCTGAAGAGGCTGCGCACCGACTACGTTGATCTGGTGACACGCAATCCTCCCCAGCCGTCGGATTCAAGAACTGACTTGCCCTCAGTACTACGTCCATGCCTGGGACTTTTCCACTAGCATTCCCGAGCTGATGCAGTCACTCAACACCTTGGTCTCTCAAGGCAAGGTCCTGTACCTCGGCATCAGCGACACTCCGGCCTGGATTGTCGCAAAGGCCAACGCGTATGCCCGCGAGCACGGTCTTCGTCCCTTCTCCGTGTACCAGGGCCGGTTCTCCGCGCAGTCGCGTGACTTGGAACGTGACATCATCCCCATGTGCCGCGATGAGGGCATGGCTATCCATGCCTGGGGCGTCCTGGGAAGCGGTGTGTTGACATAATTCCTACCATCACCCCCGAGTCACCATGCTGACAGCACCACGCAGGCTACTTCAAGTCCCCCGGAGAGAAGCCCAAGGAAGGAGGCCGCAACACGCCCCACATGGTACTCGGCCGCGAAGAGCAGGTCTCCGCCGTTCTGGACAAGGTGGCCAAGCGCCGCAACGTCCCCGTGACTTCGGTCGCCCTTGCCTACGCGCTGCAGAAGGTAAGTTGTAAATCTTCACCGCATTGCTCCGTCCGTCAACTGATTAGATATATTCAGACCCCTTATCTGTTCCCCATTGTCGGTGGCCGCAAGGTCGCTCATCTCAAGACGAATGTCGAGGCCCTCAGCCTGGAGCTGACCCCCGAGGATGTTGCCGACATTGAGAAGGGCTACGATTTTGATCTTGGCTTCCCGCACAACTTCCTGAACCTGGCTGGCTATGCTCCGCAGGGGCCCCAGGATGTCAGTTTCCTCGGCTCCATGGGTCACTTTGACCACGTCTCCCCTCCTACGGCCATCAAGCCGCACGGAAGTGAGCAGAAGACTGCTTTCAAGGCTTAGACAACCACTGTGTACTACGATTAGCATAAAGTCTATAGTGATATGAAACTCTTTCTCCTTGGACTATACTGGCGAGTTTTAAGGTGATAATATGACGCGTTGGCTTTTTGAACTTGTGCAACACGTCCATCATTGTTTGCTCACATTATTTAGAAAATCAACCGTGAATTTGAATTATACGAGCTCTTGGGACTATTTGTCCTATTCGTAGGGGAGCGTACACATATCCTCGGTTCGTAATGGTGCACTATGGTGGACTGTATCGACCAAGCGATGTTGAGATACAAGGCTCAAACTCATTGTTCACGGAACCACAGCACAGACTTATCCACATAAGTGTCCTGGAGTCAGGATATGGCAACAGCTATGCTCGAAGATCTCGGAAAGCGAGGTCGCCAAATCAACAAGACGGCCATAACAGATTGGCTGTCGCAGACCGCCGAATGGCATGGGGCGCCCATCCATGCAGGTGGCCTGGTCACTTCGGTAAGCGCCAATCCCGAAAGCGTCATCGGACAGCTAAACGCACTTTAGACCGTCCAGTGGGTATTCGGAATGGATGAACCGGGATTCGTATTACAAATCCACATGCATTTCGTTCTCCCTGCCGGACCTGAGGCATGTCACGCTTGTGTGTACATACATGCACTTGATCAATGCCATCAATCCACGGTTGTTAAAATTTTCCCAACGGCATAGGTGCCAAAGCTCACCACCTGTCCAACGAGGCCGTGAGTTGCATCATGTCGCACTCCAGCATAGTCGAGAAGCATGCCTTGGAGGAGACTCCGATCGACCAGTCTTCAACAACCCAGTCTTCAAAACCCCCATCCTCCCAAAATCTCTTCAACAGTCAGTCGACAATACAACAATCTCCCGAGAAGGCGGCACCTCCTCCGAATACCACACTCAAAGAGGAATCCGACAATGTTGATAACGACGGCGATTATCCCACCGGCGTCCGCCTTCTGACCGTGATTGCTGCGCTCATCCTGGCGATGCTCCTCGCAGTCATGGACATGACCATCTTGGCCACGGCAATCCCCCACATCACAGACCAGTTCCACAGTCTGGACGATGTCGGGTGGTATGCATCCGCCTTTTTCATGACGGTGGCTTCCTCACAGTCCACCTGGGGAAAGGCATACAAATACTTCGATCTCAAAACCGTGTTTCTCATCACCATTGCTCTTTTCGAGTTGGGAAGCTTGATTTGCGGTATGTTCTCCGACGACAGGATCTTCACAGCTAACGAAGTTACAGGCGTGGCACAGAACAGCGTCACGTTGATTGCAGGCCGCGCAGTTACTGGCTATGGAGCTGCCGGCGTTCTGGCGGGCTGCTACACGATTGTAGCTTTTGCTGTTCGGCCCGAGCAACGACCTGCTTTCACCGGTGTGCTGGCCGCGACTTACGGGGTAGGCTCCAGTATCGCACCAGTGATCGGTGGAGCGTTGGCAGATAAGGTTTCATGGAGATGGTGGTACGTGTAAACCAGGTTTGTGCGGCTACATTTGAGCATAACTCACCCTCCACAGTTTTTACATCAATCTTCCCATCGGTGGTGTGTCTGTCGCCATAATTCTCCTTACCTTCAAGACTCCACCACTCTCGCGAAATGAAAAGGACATCGGTGCTCCATGGTCCGAGAAGCTAAAACAAATGGACCTAATCGGAACGTTTACCATAATGGCAGCAGTCATCTGCCTCCTCCTCGCCTTGCAGTGGGGCGGAGTCTCAAAGAGTTGGAGCTCAGCCGACGTCATTGGCACACTTGTAGGGTTTGGTCTCATCTCAGGCGCTTTCGTCATCCTTGAATACCTCCAGGGAAACCGTGCGCTCTTGGTACCGCACATTCTCAAAAAGCGTGTTGTCTACGTCGGCTGCCTGGTCAGTTTTTTGTAAGTCACAAAAGAGTTCCTTCTCCATTCAGATCTCTGACCTTATCAGGCTGGGCGGTGGTGAGTTTACTATGATCTACTACATCCCAATCTATTTCCAATCTATTCTCGGTGTCTCGGCACAAGAGAGTGGCGTTCGAAATCTTGCTTTCATCATAGCCGTTAGTACGTAACCCACCAACTCTCCCCGCTGAGGCACTTCACTCACAACGGCAACCAGCAATATTCACGGTCGTGTCGGGTGCAGCCATTACTGCCACCGGCTACTTCACCCCTTTCATCGTGCTCGGCGCGTCCATGACAACTGTCGGCTCTGGTCTCATGTACACCTTTTCCGAGAGCTCGCCGTCCAGCGAATGGATTGGCTATCAAGTTCTTGCCGGCATCGGCATAGGGCTGTGCTTTCAAGCACCCATCATGGCCATCCAAGCTCTCGCTGATCCCGAAGACGTCTCGGCCAGCACTGCCATGGTGCTCTTCTTCCAGACCATGGGGGGCGCCTTCATGGTTTCCGGCGCGCAATCTGCATTCACGAACACATTGGTGAAGAATCTGGCCACACACGCACCGGGCGTAGATGTGCAGGCAGTCATCGAGGCCGGCGCAACGAATCTGAGGGAGACGTTCAGCGGCGATGAATTGGCGGGTATTTTGACCAGTTACATGGCTGGTTTGAAGGTTGCTTTTGCGATAGTCATTGCGTTGACTGGTGGCGCCACCGTTGCCAGCCTGGCGATGCCGTGGACTTCTGTTAAGAGTAGGCCTACAGTGGCTCCTTTGTAAGAGCAGGCTGGAAGGTAGTTGTTAGTCACAAATTTGATGCTGGCGTCCGTTTGCCATTCAGATTAAAAAAAAATAAACAACATAAGGCTGGTGGTTTTACAAGTGTTGAGACCGTTTGACGCTAATTTGCCTCCATGATTGTAACCGTCTGTCATAAGTGTACGCTAGAACAACTTTGTACACCACTCAGCCATGTGCTATCCCATGCCATGGCACCTCAAGCAACAATACCAGAAGCCCTAAAGTTCCCCACGACGGCTTCGGTTTCGCATTCTGAACCCCAGTCCGGATCCTGCCTTTGGTCCCACTCCAGCGTTCGCGACATGAGCTGACTCGCATTCGCAAGCAACGCCAGCTCATCGCATTGACTCCGGGCTGTCGTGCCAAATCGGGCAGGTCGAGACAAGCTTCGTGGAGCACCATGCATGTATGGTACAAGCCCTGGCTGACCAGGATCAGGTTATTGGCCGAGGCCGACGTTTTTTTGGGGGCCAATTGTAGTGCTGTTTTTGGACCCCAACCCCGATATGTAGTGCTTGTTTCCCGATACCCGAGCCCCGATTTATGTCCCGAGCCGTGCTGCATATCCCGTCGGATGTAGACAACTGTCGGACGTCGGGCTTCGCTTTTAGCCAGGGTCGTGATGGAGCAGACTGCGCCGTATGAGTCTTCATCCGTTGAAAGCATCCATGAAAATCGTCCGTACGAGAGGGCAAATGAAGGCAGCCCGTTGGCTTCTCTCATTTCTGTTTTGGGTGTCTGTGAACACATTCCTGAGGTACGCCATTTGTTTCCAATCGAGTTGGTCTGTTGGCATAACGCTCTGAATGTGGCTATTTCGAATAGACGACCAATCGCAAAACATATAGTTGAATCGTGGTTTTACATGTTTTATCAGTGTTGAATACCGCATGCAGTGCATAAACAATCAACGTCTCATTACTGTTCAGATTTCGAGATTGATTTGCGGTTGAAGAGCACAATCGTTAATGATAGATGAAACTACTTCTATTTGAAGAGGGCCCGAGATACAGATGGTATGTAACTATCAAAGGTGATGACCCTTGAATCCAGGCAAAACAGCCTCTACGACAGCATGCTTCGGACCGTCTTCATTGAGCCAGACCTTCCGCATAGACAGACCCGCCGACTCAAGCAGCCGCCTCCAGTCCGACTCCGAACGCTCCATACCGCCCAAGCTCATCATGTTCAAGTCTTGCATTGCCAAGTCCCTCGGGCAGTTGATATCCGGCAGAACCATGTCAGCAATCAGGACCCGGGAGTACTCATTCATGGCCTCCTTCGTGTTCACGAGAATCTGACGGGACTTCTCATTGGTCCAACAGTGGAATATACGCCGGAAGTAATAGATTCGGGCACCTAATGTCTGTCAGCAACACTCCATCTCGCACCAACGAGGCTCTCTGCTCACCTGAGACCGGTTGCTTATCGAAGAACGACAACGGACACGTCTCGATGAACTCGGGCACGCCCTTCGCCTCGGCATCCTTGATCACGCCGGGTAGATCCTGCAACACGAAGCGCCCCTTCAGCAGCGGCCAATCTTCGCGGATCGTCTCCAGAGACTGGCCCCTCCCGCCGCCAACGTCCACAATGGCAACTTCGTCTTCCTTGCACGGATCCAGCTCCAGGACGTCGCCGAATGGAAATGCGTTCGCGCGGCGGCCGATCTTGCCAACTCTCATTCCCGTGTTAAACGACTTCATGCGCTCAGGATGGGCGGCAAGGTACTCCCAGTACCCGAGGTCGGTGCTGAGGGCCAGCTGAAAGGGGCCGTGGTAGTAGTCGCCAGCGGTTTTCCAGCCGTTGGACTCGCCAAAAGCGGGTATGGCCAGGACACCTTGGCCGGTGAAATCGTACATCTGTGCCGAGAGTGCGCGGTTGTCGGGGGAGAGATACACGCGGGACAGAGCGCTATGGGCGTAGGTGCTCGTCTTGGGAGAGGTGAAGAAATGCGTGCTGGCGCAAGCTCGGAGAACGCGGTCTGTAAGTGTGAGCTCTGAGTATAATGTTGAAACAGCTTTGTTTTCTCCAAGATGCTCATACCGACAAGTTCTGGGTTGATGTTCAAGCGCGAAGCCAGGTCTTCTGCGCTGATTGCACTGCCGTCAAGAGGGACTTCATCGAGAACTCCCATGGAAAGGACGCTGCGAACAGCCGCATTGTGCGCAATCTGGAGGTAGTGGTCAGCTTTCGGAGAATAGTGTGGGGCGTAAGTGTAATAACCTGGCTAGCAATGTGATACATGTTTTCATCAGGATCTCTCGTGGCTATGGCCAGTTGCTCTGCCGCACTGACTAAAGCATCTTGGACTGGTTTTTGCGGTGTCTTGCCATCCTCAAACTCTTTTGAGAGAGTGGCTATCTGCCGGCTCAGCTTCAAAATAGCGTCAACGTCAGTGGGCATGATGGGATGGAAAGGTGATTATCCGCCGCTACGTCGATTCTGGTGGCATTTGGGCCATTCAAAAAGTGCTGCACACATATATACAGCCCCTATTACCATCGGGAACCGAACTTATTGGGTCAAATCAGAGTGGAGGCCCCAGAAGGTAAGTGCTATTCCGAACCTCGGAAGATGCATCCCCGGCGCGGTGATCCTTCATTCATGGCCGAGAGCGCGGTTCGGGACTCCGACTGGCTTTCATGTTGATGTAAAGAAGTGCTTTGCTGAATTCATTTTCCCTTTCGTTCACCCGCATTTCCATATAGCACCTTGCTAATGGTAATGCATGAACTGTCTCAAACTTGATTTTAAGCTTCAAGATCAGCTCAAATCCTTTTTCTCTCAGGGTGCTTCTTGTTCCTCAAGTCTCCAAAACAATTCAACATGTTTTCCTTCGTTGTTCAGAAACCTCAACTTCCGCTATGGTTGGACTTTGGCCTTTCAATATGGTCAATGCTTTCTGGCAGCAGTAAAGAGACCCAAGACTGCGTGCACTCACCCCAGAGCAGACACTGCTGGCGTGATGGGTTCGATATCAACACCGATTATGAGGCTAAGATACCGTCAGGGAAGCTCGTGGAGGTAAGATCTCCCAACTACAGCTGGCTCCAGACAACGCCATTGACTGCCGTAGTACGATTTCACCGTTTCGGAAGCAGTCCTTGCTCCAGACGGATACTTGACGAATGTCACCCTGGTAAATGGGATGTTTCCCGGCCCAACCCTGGAAGCCGAATGGGGAGATACTATCAGTACGTTTTCATGTGACAGTGTTCTGGGATAGACGCTGACATTCCTGACCAGGGATAACGATCCACAACAATCTCACAAACCACAACGGCACATCCATACATTGGCATGGGATTCGCCAATTCGAGACCAACTGGCTCGATGGTGTTCCTGGAGTAACTCAATGCCCGTCAAAGGTAATACGGCTGGCTATTTCGTGGAAAGAATTAGTGGAGCTAACTGAATTCAGCCTGGAGACTCGCAAGTTGTTGAATTCCGAGCAATGCAATACGGGACCGCATGGTATCATTCCCACTACAGCCTACAGTGTGAGTATCAACCAGAGCGCCCTTGAATGACTCTTGTGCTAACTGTGCTTAGACACAAACGGTGTTCTCGGTATTTTCTATCTCCATTTAACATGGGTTACGACCTGTGGGCTGACACCGTTGCAGGACCTATTCACATCAAGGGACCCTCAAGTATGAACTACGACGTGGATCTTGGTCCACTGTTGATCAGTGATTGGTACCACCACGACGCCTTCGGTCTATTCCATTACGAGATCGCTTCGCCGCATGCGCCGCTTCCCGTCACAACTATCTTGAATGGTAAAGGAGTCTTTGACTGCGATCCAGCCAGCGATGCTCGCTGTACGGGAGAGCACCAACGACACGAGATAGTGTTCGAAAAGGGAAAAAGATACAAGATTGGGCTCATCAACACCGGCAGCCTGCTGACATACAAGTTTTGGATCGATGGCCACAATTTCACGGTCGTACAGACGGATTTCGTCCCGATCAAGCCATATGTCACAGATGTGCTGATCGTTGGGATAGGTAGGTTTAATGCTCACAAAGAATTGGCAGTAGACTGACTCTTTCCCAGCTCAACGATACGAGATCATCATCGAAGCGAACGCCACTTTCATATATGGTTCCAACTTTTGGATCCACGCAACATACTGTGACGACGATGACATGTTGGACTCGAGGGTTGGCATAATCCGCTACGACGGCAGCGATGATCATGATCCGCACACGCCGCCCAAGAGTGAGCAACACCCCGGATACGGCTGTCGGGATCCGGCTCCAGAAAACCTTGTCCCAATTGTCGAGAGGGAGGTAGGAAAGAGAGTGAACGGGCTCAGTCCTGCCGACTACCTCAGAATCGGCCTGCAGGGCTGGCCCAACATCTCGGATACAGATTCACTCGTACACAAATGGACACTCACCAATAGAACCCAGTACATCGATTGGAGAGAACCAACGATCAAAGCTCTCACTTCGGACGCTGGAGCTCAGTTTGAGAATGAGACATGCCCGATATACCTGGACTACGAGACTGGCGAATGGGTGTACTTTGTCATCGAGAACAACTACACGCTGAGCGACGCCAACACGCCTCGCACCATCCCTCGCTCGGTCCACCCCATCCACCTACACGGGCATGACTTTGTCATCCTCGCTCAGGGTGATGGCATATTCGACCCCATTGACGTGGTGCCGAACCTTCACAACCCAACCAGAAGGGATGTCGTCAATTGTCCGATTGGCGGCTACGTGTGGATCGCATTCCAGATCAACAATCCTGGAGCGTGGCTGATGCATTGCCATATCGCGTGGCATGCCAGTGCTGGCCTCTCATTGCAGTTTATTGAGCAACCTGGCCGGATCAAGGGGTTGATGGAACAGGCAGGAGCCTTGCCTGAGCTTACTGATAGGTGCGAAGATTGGACTGAACACTACAATACTGTAAACATACCAAAGGGGGCGTTGCAGGATGATTCAGGCATTTAACTTGTATCGAATTTGTAGCTAAATACATTCAAACATGAGCTGCTTGCTTAGCTAGCCAACAAATGCGCAATAGAGTTTTGTTTTTCTTTCTTGAATGCTAACAAAAAGTGTCCCTCTTTTATGTTTGACTTGAGAAGTTAAGCCGAACCCAATATATAGTCACAAAAACCACCCATTTGCTTTCTCATTGCTGTAAGCTGAGGAACTTGGCGTTGTTGAACGGCACTGAGGAGAAGCCCAACCATGTTTTCGAACATTTACGGCTAGTCGTAGGCTAGGAATCATGAGAGAATCGTAAGTGAATCGGGAATTAACATAGCCTCTCCAGCTTCGTGAAGTGATCCGGCCGGTGCAAATCTCCCTGGGACGAGTTTGGTCCTGCAAGACAAAGGAACAGAAATGGTGGAGGTGACGTGACAATCGCCTTACCAACTCCGACAAGTCTTTCCCAAACAGGATATAATCGGCATCCGAGAGATTGAATTTGACGTGCGAGTGTCGGCAGCCATCCTCTGAATGCGCAGGGTCCACGGACCTGCAGCTGGCCCACGTGGCGTTGCGATGGAATTGCCGGCGCATGGTAGCATAGATTGACCTGCCACAGTCCAACCATTCGGGGTCTACAGACAAAGCCATTCGAATAACTTACCTGTGCCATCGGGGTTACCACAAAAATAAATTCAATAAAGGATCAATCCTTTGGGGGCTGGAGCCTCTCTTTCCTGGCATTGCCGAGCATTTCGGAAATGACGTACGGAAGCCGGCACCATTTACCATGAATCTATATAGCATCATTGATGTGTGTTTTGGAACTTTACAGCAGCCTCTGGCCAGTTGCACAGCATCTTCGTCAGACCGGACACCATGCAAGGAAGCATGATTCTACTCCAGAGCCTCGTGGCTATCGCAGCGGCATCTCCGTTAGCGGCAGCACTTAACACAAGCATCGACTACATCATTGTTGGCGGCGGCCCAGCAGGCTTTGTCCTTGCGGAGCAGCTTTCCCGCGATCCTACCAAGCAAGTGGTCCTTCTTGAGGCTGGCCCCGATGGCATCAACTCCAGCTTGGTCAATAGTAAGGGTACCCGCAGAAAAGCCCCTTCAGTGCTACGCTGACGTGCAGTAGCGCCTGCCTACTACCCCCTGATCACGGAGTACTATTGGAACTACACGGCACAGCCAGACCCCAACCTTGGAGGAAGAACACCCGGTATAGCGCAGGGTCGCGTGTTTGGGGGCGGCACGGCTGTCAATGGCATGGCCTACTGCCGCGGAGCGGCCTCCGTGTTTGATGAGTGGGCAGCTCTATCTGGAAACCCAGGGTTAGCGTGGGAGTCACTCCTGGAGGACTTCAAGGCCACCAGCCATTATGCCGACCAACCAGCCGATTACACTCAGTTCTCGAACATCTCCGGGTATGGAGACGGACCTTTGGAGGTCAGCCAGACTAGCGGCTTGACTGGTTTTGACCTGCCATTTGCACAGGCGGTTGAATCCACGCTTGGCCTACAGGAGATCGACATGACGGACGGGACTGGCATCGGTTTCGATCAGGGACTGTCCTCGATCAACGCCATCTCGCGGACCCGATCATACGCCCGCACCACCTTCGGCACCATCATCGAGCGCGAGCGGCCCAACGTCCAGCTGATCCACAGCGCCTGGGTCACGCAAATCGGCTTCTCCGGCCAGACGGCCGTGAACGTCACTTTCCTCAACAGCACCGACGACACCACCCACACCCTCGCCGCGAAAGAGATCATCGTCAGCGGCGGCGCAATCAACACGCCGAAGCTGCTCATGCTCTCGGGCATCGGTCCCGCGTCGCACCTGTCATCGCTCGGAATCCCGGTCGTCGCCGACATCCCCGAGGTGGGGGCCAACCTGCGCGACCACGCGTTCGCCGTCGTCGAGCTCGAGGTGACGGGCGCGGTGGCGTCGTTCTGGCAGTGGTCGGAGAACGCCACGGCGGGCGCCATCGCGCAGGAGGAGTACGCCACCAACAGATCGGGTCCGCTGGGCTGGGGCAACGGCTACGCGTACGCCGCGTTTCGGTTGCCGGATTCGGTGTGGGACGGCGTCGTTGACAACGGCAGCCACTACACAGCCCTTCCCGAGGATCGTCCGCACGTCCTCATCGAGTATAGCACCGTGCCGTTCATGGTGACGCCGAACGTCAGTGTTGTGACGGCGTGGGCGAGCCTCGTGCAGCCGGAGGCCGCAGGCAGTGTGGCGCTGCAGTCGTCAGACTTCCGGGACGACCCGCTCATCAACCTCAATTACTATGGCTCTGATGCTGACAAGGCGGCCATCGTGGCAGGGTACAAGAAGCTTCGTGAAGTCCTGAGTGCAGATGAGTTGAAGCCTCTGATCATTCGGGAGTTTTATCCGGGAGCAAACACGACGACGGACGAGGATATTTGGGCTGCGATCCAGCAGGAGAGCTTTTCGTTCCGTCATCCAGTGGGGAGCGTGGCGGTTGGGAAGGCTCTCGATAGCAACTGGCGAGTCAAGGGCCTGAAAGGCATTCGGGTGGTTGATTCGAGCACGTTTCCTACTCCGCCCACTTGCCACCCGCAGGCGGATGTGTATGCTCTTGCGCACCGAGCCGCACAAGATATCCGAGATGCCGATGCTACCTCGGGAGGCTACTAGGTTGCATTGACGGGGGATGATGGAATCGGGTTGCTGGTCTGAGTCCAAGCTTCATCCTGCACCACGCTTTTCATTTCTATACTTGGAATTGTAGGGCAGTATATTTCCGGTTCGGCTAGTTCGAAAAGCAAACAACTCAAACACCACATGATATTTACTCTATTTCGCAAAAATTGACTATTGTTTCCTACCCCTGCTGCTCTTCTGACCCATAGATGGGCTTTCAATCGGACTCGGCGCATGCTTTGGGCTGCATTGTGCGCTTTTGGAGTGGATTAATCGCTTGCTATTGGCTAACGCGCATTATGCATTTTCCACATTGAGACAAAGCGCCGGGAAAGCTCGAGGATTGTTCCTTTTTCAGTATCACGCTATGACGACCCGTGGTAGCGTCATTTTACGCCACAATTGGTGGAAGAAACAGCCGCGAACACTGAGGGTAATACATTGCGAGGAGCGGCCAAAAGAGCGGCCGATGATGCGAGTGTACTACGTATACGGTGGGGGGGGACGGTTGGCTACCCACAGCCACCCGGCGTTCCGTCCCGCAGTGTGGCACAGTAACGGGCAAATCATAGGCTAAAATGCAAGCGGATCATGCAGGGGCCCCACGCCAGCCGGCTAATGATACTGCGTGCAGCAACGGCACACCAGGCCCGACGATGCGGGGCTATCAGCTCTGGAAGAAACAGAGTTTCAGCCGTAGTACAGGCGAACAAAATGCACGCTTTCCTCCGGTGGCTGCCAGGCAGCAGCCAACAACTCCTAAGACAAGGGGAGGCCTGGCCCATCCTTGCCCCCACTTTTGCCAATAGCTTGCGTTATCATCGTTTCTATTAACTTCACGTCTCATTAGCCCTATACTTCGAGTCGTAAGCGACGCTGGCTGTGTTGGTTGCGACGATAGCATTGCCCTGTCTAGGTTAAGAAAAGAAAAAAGCTCTATGCTACATAGAGGATTTCAAAGCCCCATCCCATACTCGAACCTACTACGCCGCGCGCACGGATCTCACTAGCCCGCTGCGCGCCTGTATATCGGTCAGCAACCGTTCGTCGGATTCGTAATTGACGAAATGCATCAATTACGAATGCATCCGCCCCCCTCCGCAGCCCTCATCATCATCACTCCTGCCGCAGCATGTCTACAATCCCTGTCGACAGGTCCCGGAGGCGCTTACGGAGGTCCACCTCGAACTGATCCAGCATGGTCGTGGGGAAAGCGAATGCTCCTCCGTGTCCGTCCGTACCGGCGCCATCCGCGTGCTGCTGCTGCTGCGCCCTCCCACCATTCCGCTGCCTGAGCCCCTTGAGCCGATGCGACAATGCGTTGATCAGCCGCTGCACGCGGTGAAGCTCGCTCAGGACCGTCTGGGCTGCGATGCGGCGGTGGTCGTCCTCACCATCACTACTGCCACCTACAACAACAGCTCCCGGACCCTTGAGAAGCCCCTCCATGTGATGGTGTTTCTGCAGGCTCCGGCTTTCGTCCGAACGAGCTTCCCTGCGCGCGGCCGCGGCATACCAGCCGAGGACCTTCAGCACGATGAGAGACATGATGGAGAGGAGGTAGCCATCTTCCGAGCACGTGCATTCCAGCATGCTGCTGATTGCTTCAATCGTCCGCTCGTTCTCACGTACCACCGCCTCTAGCGTGGGGAATTGGTCTGCGCTATCTTCTTTCTCGCTGCCGTGGGACTCTGACCTTGAGCAGGACATGGAAGGGTTTGGAAACAGCTGTTTGAAGAGGCTGAGTGCTCGTATCAAGCAGCAACATGGAGATTCCGAGAGGAATTCGTTGTGGCTTGTGGAGCGCTGAGAAGCTGGAGGAGTCTGAGGTTTGAACGCAGTGTCAAGGTCGGGAATGACTTCGTCTACTGCCGAAAAAGCGTCATCCTGCAGGAGAAGAGACGTTCCATTCTGGTCAAGCAAGCTGGTGATGTCTTGAGCGCTGGGGTGGCAGTCTGTTCCATTGGCAGTGTCTGATGTGTCGAAGAAGGAGATTGGTGAAGCGAAGAAGTCATCGATTTGGCTGATCAAGGTTCCTGGCGTTGACGATGCAGTAGAACCTGCCGAGAGAAGGTCCGGCAGGATATCTGGATAAGTGGATTCGTGCTGAAGGAAAGAGAGCTGGATGGCGTCCGGTGATGCAAGGGAGTCCGCCGTTGAGATGGACCAGGGTAACGTTGATGCTGTGTGAGGAACGTTCGTGGCATTGGTGCCTCGTCGACCGCCCAGCTTCCGGCCTGCTCGTTTGGTTGCGAAATATTCGCACTTCATGCCACGTTTTGCGCACCGGGCACATACTGGTTTTTCCTTGCTGCATTTCAGCTTGGAAGTTGCGCAACCATCGCAGCTGTCCCGCAGCTTGGGGCCGGCCGCACCCGTCGACCGCCGCCTTGGTGACACGTCCGAAGATTGTGTTTCCGCCATGTCGGACGATTGTGGGTATTGATGTAGTATACGAAGTGAGTTGAGAGAATACCGCAGGTACAATTAGACTGGAACTCCAAAGAGGTTAGGGATGGACACTGGATGTATAAAACGAACGCTAGCCGACCGGCTCGGCGGAACGTCGCGCGGCCGCGGTGGGGTGCCTGGGGCTACCGGTGCTGACTTGATTGGAAGCTTGCTACTTCGGTTAAGCCCTAATGTGGAAGGAGGTCATGAAAGTCCCAGGAATAGGTCAGATTTCGATGCTGTAGCCTGCGCTCCAATCCTTCTCTGCGAGCATATTCCCACTTTTTCAGCTTCCCGTGGGGCAGTGCCAATTACACGAAATACACCTTTGACGTCTATAAGCTAATACATCATCCATTAGCAAACGCGCCTTCTTTGCCACCCGCAACAGCCCCGCAGACTTGTTATAATAGCATATAATAACATGAAAACCTCATGCGGCTCCAGTGACATATCTTGTGCCGCCCTTATCTCTGTAACCACTTAGCATAGCTCTCGACCACACACGGAAATGGTTCCGGAGGCTGACGCGGTACCACCCACTTTCCTTACCCCTTGCTTGAATGCTTGCATAAAGTGGACCCTGAATCCTTCAGGAGTGCTAAATAGTAATCACCAACCCCGTGGCTGGACCAAGCAACAAAGCCCTTCGTGATAGAGGATCTGTGTGGCTGTCCTAAAGATCCGATTGGCATCTTCCGTGGGATTTGGTCAGCTTGTGCGATCTGGAGGGCCTAATTCAGAGCAAAACGAGACCAATCCACAGAACGGGGTAAAACATTCGAAGAGCTCTTTGCCACAGTCGGGGACTTGGCAACAGTTACAAGCCTTCTGCCCCACCTCAGCTTATTTCCGATTGCGTGCCACACGCGCTACATCCTTTTACCGTGCCTCAGCCTATCTCCGGGCAAGTGCGACACGCACTCCAATCCTCCACCACAACCCACCAATCCCGTTACCACAATTCGGAACAGCTTGGAAACACAGGCACTGTCATGATTACGTCGAGTTCAAAACGTTACATACGGCTGGCTTAGGTGCGGTACATCGAGGCCGGCAGCAATTTTGCCGACTTCTCGGCTAACCACCTGCATGCTCAGCCGCAGAACTGGACCCTGCCTAGACCTTGCGTTATGCTTGTATTGTTCTTGCCGAGATCCTGAAGGATTTTGAGCTCTCTTCCGTATCGCTTTCGTATTTTCGAGTCGGCCTCGGCAAGGGAAACAAGCACACTTGAGCCCTCTATCCCACCGGATAAAGCGTGTAAGCAGGTACCGAACGCGAACACGGACATAAAAAGCAACGACAAAAGTGTATCTGTTGACATCTCTAATCTCAGCAAAAAGGGAAAATTGAGCCTGGATTCCCCATTGCATATCACCATCGTACCCACAGAAGGACATTTCGGACGATCTTAAGCATACACACCCCCGCTATGAATGGCTTGGCCCAACTTCAAACCAGCAGTAGCGAGCTCACTGCCGCTGTCCAAGTACTGGTAAATCACTATCAGAACACTAACGGTTCTACAAGTGACGAAATATCACAACCACTTGTCTCCTCTGATAACCCCAGTGACGTCATTTCGGCACAGCGTTCTATTCTAGCAGCAATATCCAGGATTCAAACATTGCTTAGCGGGCCAGTTGATTTCGTTCAGCAGCTTGCCGGTCAGGTGCGCTCCTCCATCAATGCCTGAGTACGCCGAACTGACTGGGTCTCTACAGAATCAGATTCTTGCTTGTATGCAATGGTTTGGGGACTTCCAGGTTCTTGCTTGCATACCTCTCACAGGCAGCGTGCCTCTCCGGGATGTGTCTGAGCTGGCGGGAGTCCCGGAAGCGCAGCTTTCTCGAATTGTGCGGATGACGGCTGCGGCCGGATTTCTCCATGAGCCTCAGGCGGGCCACGTTGCACACACTGCCTTGTCAGCGCAGTTCGTCGTCAAGCCGTCGTACCTAGACGCAGCCATGTTTCTCGCTGAAACGGCAGCACCTTCAGCATTGAAAATGCCAGCAGCCACTCAGCGCTTTGGCAACTCACATCAGGCCACCGACAGTGCTTACAACCTGGCATTCAACACCGATACTACCTTTACCAGCAGTTGTGAGCAGCGGAAGAAGCTGCAGCGACAATGGTCAGCTTACCTCCGCTATGGTACAGACCAATGGGAGGACGGTGGATGCCAGGTTTTGAAGTCGTTTGATCCGCTTCGCCTCGCCAGGGTTTCTGTAGTAGAGGTAAGCTTTCCCGTTGAATCACTTGTTTTCAGCTCGATACAGTGACTAACCATCTTCGGCCTGAAATAATAGGTGGGTGCGACGTCAACCGAAACAGCTGCTGCCCTTCTGAACATCAACTCGACACTTCACTTGACCATACAAGTATGCCCGGGCAAAGCCTCAACAAACGGCTCCAGCGTGCTTGATGAGCGGTACCTGATCAACCCCCGCATCTCGATACAGCAACGACTCCCCGGAACCCCCCAAACGGTCCGCGATGCATCCGTCTACATTCTGCATCTCCCCTCAGCCCTGTGCAACATGGCGTCCAATGCGCGAGCTGCGCACATCGCGGCTGAGATAAGCGCGCACGTGGACGTGCTGCGCGCAAACACCTCCGCAGCCCTTCTCGTCCTCACTTCCCATCTGATCCCGGATCCTGGCACTGTCGACCCGGGCGTTGAGTCAGCGGCACGGCGGCGCGACCTCTCCCTCTTCCAACTGATGAACGATTGCGAGATGGAAATGTCCGAGTTCACCAACATGCTGAATGGCAGCAGTGATAGCGTGGGCCGGTTGGTTGTGGTGAATACGCTTCGTTCATCAAGTGGTGCGCCGGTTGCGTTGGAGTTGCGATACCGATTGTACACTGGTTAGGTTTATAGTTTTGTTGAATCGACATGCTATACGCGCTACCGAACTTTCCCATGTCACAATCGGGAGAGTTGGGGATCGGCGGAGCGACGGCGCGGGCCGCTGCAGGGCCACTTTCACTCAGATTCTTCGGCCTTGTTGCGGCCATTCATTCACTGGCTGTGAAAAAAAAACTCCCCCTTCCCTCCCACATCGTGCAGCGTGTCCACGGCTCATCTTATGGCCCCCAGCCCTCGACCCTGCATCCAGGCGACGCTCGGCCAGCACTGCGGCCTGGATGTGTGCGCGTTTGATGGCCTCCGGCTTCTCCGCATGGCGCGTCCGTTCCACCTACAGTAACTTCATCGCCTCGCTGCGTCACCGATCCAGCGCGCCACGCTCCCCCGCATCGCCTGCCACCGCCGGCGAGGCTGCCATGATGCGCCTCAAGTGGCAGTGCGGCCGCTGCGGGGGCTGAGCCACGTCGAGAACGATGTGGTGGCCGTAGCTCCTGCACGCGATGCGCTGTTTGTGCAGACCCCGATGATCTGCCTTGATGACAATCATGGTGTATACCCCCAGGTCGAAGACGGGGTAGATGCGGGGTTGGGGGATCCCCTTGGCAGCCTTGCAGGTTTTTTTTTTTTTTTTCACTGTCTGACGGTTGACACGAGTACATGTTCACCAGTTGCACATATCGCTGGTCATCTGTCAAAAATACGAAGGCCACCAGCCGGCGCTGGAAATAGTGCGGCATCTTACTTTTTCTAGTTCTCGCATTGCATTTAGCACTAAACCACCTCGGTTCTTAGAGGCACTAGCGACTAACAAGATGCTATGTATCACCGCTCACCGACCATGGCTCGAATCATTCGAGGCTGCCAGTTCGTTCCTGGCACAGCAGCACGCGACGAGGGAGACGAGCATGTCTATGATCTAGAGCCTGCACTAGAGTCATACTGCGTTCACGAATATGGAATCTTTCCTCCTTCAGTCTAAATGGTGGACTCAGACTGAAGCTACAGCAGTATTCAATGTGCTGCTTGAAGAGAGTAACAGACATGTTGGAAATCAAGCCGTGCATAAGCAGAGAAACTTTCAGAAGGTGCAAAGTAAGCAAAAGCCAGGTCTACAAAAGACTGCTTGACAGGTAAAATACAATCACAATGCGATCTTTTCAACTAGACAAACGAAAATGTGCATTTCGAGCTGCTGCGCAGACAGGATGAAGGCAAATGTCGAATTGCAAAAACCTTTGTCTTCTCGGCCTGTCATTAGAGTCCTCATCGTTGTGAGTATTCTCACGCTGGGAATCCGCCGACTTCCCTGCTGTAGACTGAGGTGGTGTTGTTCCGAGGTATTTTTCCATGCAACTCTTTGGCCGTGCTTCTGGCCAAGTCATCGTCAACTGACCGACCCGTTTCTTAGCCATTCCATGTTTGGTGGGCTCCGATGCAAGCGAGGCGCAATGACCAGACAGTCAATCGGTGAGCGTAGCTCGCTTGAGTCGCGAGCGATCAGATGCCTCTCCAGGAAATTTTCTGGAAACCCGGTTGGCGGTACCTGCATTAGACTGAGCTGCATGATCCTTGCTCTCGGATTTTAAGCCGCTGTCAAAGGTTTCGAAACACGTCCAATTGCCTGTTGTTCTGCGGTTCTCGCGCGCAAGATTAGTTCTTTGGTGGAAAAATGCACGCAAATCCGTGGGGTGCCCCGCATTCACGGGCCTCCGCTATCCTGGATTGAGCGGCGCTTCTCCGCAGTCTTGTCAGGTACCCTCCAAAACCCCCGGCAAATTCGGGCATCCTCGTCCCGAACTACAAGCGAGCCAGTGGCCAAGCCATATAATATCATGAGCTCTGACGTCAAAACCAGGATTTATACGAGACGACTTTAACCGACCGAGAGTGGCCCAGAACAATGGCATTCTCGGCGCGCAGTATATGAATGAGGGCATGCCGCGGTTGATGCAGGAGGATTAGCGATCCAGCGGGACGGGAACAATGGTCTCCCAAAACTCCAAGATGTTGCGGCTGCTCACGGCGAGCTCCGCGCTCCTGCCCCTCCTCTGCCAGATCCCGGCCACGACTGCGCAAGAATGGCCCGTTCAAGACAGCGGCTACACCGACGCCGTCCAATGGGATCACTACAGCTTCATCGTCAACGGCAAGCGCGTCTACGTCTTCGGTGGCGAGATGCACCCGTTCCGCTTGCCCGTCCCCGAGCTCTGGAAGGACATTGTGCAGAAGACCAAGGCGCTGGGCTTCAACACCTTCTCCTTCTACACCAACTGGTTCTTCCACAACCCGCACCCCAACCAGACCGACTTCGAGCACGCCGCCCACGACATCAGCCGCCTGCTGGAATACGCCAAGGAGGCCGGCCTCTTCGTCGCCGTGCGCCCTGGCCCGTACGTCAATGCTGAGTTGAACGCTGGTGGATTCCCGCTGTGGGCCACGACGGGCGCTTACGGCGAGCTGCGGGACGACAATTCCTCGTACACGGCGGCCTGGACTCCGTACCAGGACGAGATTGCGAAGATTGTGGCACCCTACCAGATCCACAAGAACGGTACCGTCATCAGCTACCAGCTGGAGAACGAGTACGGCGAGCAGTGGCTCAACTCGGCCACCAAGACTCCCAATGAGGCGGCCGTCAAGTACATGGAGGAGCTGAACGCCAATGCTCGCAGGAACGGAATCGACGTTCCTACCACGCACAACAGCCCCAACTTGAGAGATTTCTCGTGGTCGACAGATCAGGATACTGTGGGCGCTGGTGGCAACGTCGACGTGCTCGGCCTGGATAACTACCCGCTCTGCTGGTCCTGCGACCAGTCGGAGTGTACCGGCGTTTCCAACGACTACAACCTCGTCGAGTACTACAGCTGGTTCCAGCAGAACACTCCCAACCAGCCATCCCTGATGCCTGAGTTCCAGGGTGGCCGCTACAACCCGCTCGACGGAGACGCTGGCCAGTGCTTGGAGCCCATGGGCCCCGAGTTCCGCAACCTCTTCTACCGCCACAACATCGACCAGAAGGTGACTGCCATGATTCTCTACACCCTCTTCGGCGGTACCAACTGGGGCTGGATGGCCGCTCCTTTCATCGGCACCAGCTACGACTACGCCGCCCCCATTGCCGAGGACCGCACCCTGAGGGACAGCTGGTACGAGACCAAGAGTTTGGCCTTGTTCACCAGGGTTGCCGAGGACCTCCGCGAGGCCGACCGTGTTGGTAACAGCACTACCTACACGACCAATGACGAGGTCATCTCGACCGAGCTTCGCAACAAGGGTACCGGAGGCGCCTTCTACATCGCCCGCCACGCCGACTCTGTCACCGGCAAGCCCGTTTCTTTCAAGCTGCACGTTGACACTTCGGTTGGCAACTTCACCATCCCGCAGAAGGACGGCGAGATCGAGCTCAATGCTCGCGAGGCCAAGATTGTTCCCACCGACTTCCGCTTTTCTGGCCAGAAGCTGCTCTACTCGACGGCCGAGGTTTTCACCTACGTCGAGCTGGACGGCAAGCCCACCGTCGCTCTCTGGGTGCCCAACGGCGAGGGCGGCGAGTTCCTCCTCGAGGGCTCGGCCAACATTTCCGCAACGGCCGTCCCCAGCGACAGCGTCAAGTTCCACCAGAGCGAGCACGGCCTGATCGTCAACTTCGCCAACCAGACGGGCACCACCGTCGTCGACACGGACGCGGCGCGCTTCCTCATCCTGGACCGCGACTCGGCCTGGAAGACGTTCGCGCCCGTCCTCACGCCCGACCCGCACGCCCCCGTCAACGAGACGATCCTCGTTTCGGGCCCGCACCTCGTCCGCGAAGCCACCATCGTCGGCGACACCGTCTACCTGTACGGCGACACCATCGCCGACACGACCCTCGACGTCTTCGCGCCGGCCGCCGTCACATCCATCTACTGGAACGACGAGGCGCTCCGCACCGTCGCCACCTCCCACTGCAGCATCACCGCCGCCGTCGCCGGGCCCATGTCCTTCACCCTCCCGCCCCTCTCCAACCTGACCTGGAAGTCCGCGTCCTCGCTCCCCGAAATCGCACCCAACTACACCCTCTCCCCGAAGGTCTGGAAGCTCGCCGACGAGGACACGACGCCCTCGCAATTCACCGACGCCACCAAGCCGTACCTCTACATCGACGCGCTCGGCTTCCACGTCGGCCACCACCTGTACCGCGGCACCTTCACCGGCTCCCCGTCCGCCGTCTTCCTCGCCCTCCAGGGCGGCACCGGCTTCGGCTGGAGCGCCTACCTGAACGGCCGCTTCCTGCACGCCGAACCCGGCTCGTCGGAGCTCGAAGCCACCAACGCCACCATCGCTCTCCCCGCGAACTCTACCCTCCCCGGCGAAAACGTGTTGACGATCCTGATGGACAACAGCGGCCACGAGCAGCGCGCCGAGGCGCTCGAGATCCGCGGCATCACCAACGCGACCCTCATCGGCGGCCAGTTCGACACCTGGCACGTCGCCGGCACCGCCGGCGAGGCCGAAGGCAAGACGCTCGACCCCGTCCGCGGCGTGTACAACGAGGGCGGCCTGCTCGGCGAGCGGCTGGGGTGGCACCTGCCGGGCTTCGACGATTCGGCCTGGAGCGCCGCCTCGTCCCCGGCGTCCGGCTTCACCGGCGCGGACGTGCGGTTTTACCGGACGAAGGTCGCGCTCGACGTGCCGGCCGGACACGATGCCGCGGTGCACTTTACGATGGGCGTGCCGGAGGGGGCGAGTGAGGATGTCAGGGCGTTGTTGTTTGTGAATGGATACCAGTTTGGGCGGTTCAGGCCGGCGGTTAGCACGGCGACGGATTTCCCGGTTCCGCCGGGGGTGCTGGATTTTGCGGGCGAGAATGAGGTCGTGTTGGCGGTGTGGGCGCAGAGTGAGGAGGGGGCGAAGGTCGAGCTCGGGTGGGAGGTGCAGGGTTTCGTGAGGAGTGGGTTGGATACGAGGTTTGAGGGGGCGTATTTGAGGCCGGGGTGGAGTGAGGAGAGATTGGAGTATGCTTAAACGTTGTATGTTAAAGGGAGCTAGTTGGCTGGAAGTAATGTGTTCGTATGATACGATAAAAATCGATGATTGATATCCATGACCTTACTACAGCCGTTGTTACCCGAAATCACAACAAAAAATCATTACTGAAAGGAGTATGGCAACTATATAATCGTAAGGGTGTGATCATCGCAATTGCGAGAAGCCCAACTTTGGCCATCTTCACCCGGGAGTGATTGGAAGATACCAGCGCGGCAATACTCGTTCTTAATCCCGTCAATCAGAATTAGAACAAGTCCAGAAATAGCAGAGCAGGTTTCTTCTTCTTGCGCTTCTTTGCCTGCTGTTGACATTGTTCCATTAAGGCAAAATCCATCTCTGACAACAAGCAACACCAGATTTCGAGACATGATCCGGAGCGCATGAGCTTGGTCATTGACAAGCCCGCTCTTAGAACATTCATTCGAATCCATGGCGAGATCAAATTTCTGGCCATGCAACATTATTTTCCCTAGAAGCGTCTTCTCCTTGGATGAAACTTCGTTGGAGATATCTTCAGGAAGCTTGCAGATTTGGCCGCGGATTTTGATGAAGCCGTCAAGAACTCTACCAAAAGGATTTATTCCGTCCGGGGTAGTTCCAGCATCAAGGACCTCGAGATAAGGCCTCGTTTTGCGCATCAATGCATGGTCGCTAATCTCTGCGTTCTTCGCACGAGCAAGCCAACTCCATGACGGAGCTATGTAAGGCGCCTCTGTTTCTCCCGGGAGAATGATGGATCCTTCAAAGTCACTTGCGTACCAAAGAAGTCCAACGTGCAAATCCGATCGCCATAGTCCAGCCAAATATTGGCTTCCAGTCATCTCAGCAATGACCTTCGCTAGCGGTGATATTGCTGGGAGCCGGTCTTGGAATCGCGACAGTTCCCGACAGGAGTATTCCAGAAATTGTGCGTACCAGATTGAAAAATCATTTTTGCCGGGGTAGACAGCTTGCTCCTCAATCAACGACCGCAAATTGTGTTCTTCTGCGTCTTTCATAGAATTGTTTAATTCAGATGCGTAGAACTTCCTGCAGCTCCAATAGATTGTATTTTTGCCGAAGTAGACACGCCGTTTTGAGAAGATTCCCTCACAGAATGTCCAACCACGGGTTCCCCATTTGCTTTCAGCCACATCGTCGTAAAAAAGGACAGGCTCAGGTGCAAAATGGCTACCAAGGCGGTAGGTCCCGGGAATGCTGCGGTCGTCTGAAGGCTGAAAATCTACTCCAACTGTAGAATCATTTGTGGGGATGCGATCCAAAAATCCGTCATTACATGAAGAAGCAGCTGCTGGAATAATGGTGATGTAGGCATGTTCGTAATATTGCGCCATTTTGGGTGATTCGTTCTCCCAATCAATCTTATCGTCTTGAATAATACACAGAGAATCAATCCAGATATACTGTATATTCATGCTGCGACAAACGATGATGGCGTGTTGGTAGTTCTTGGGAAGAATCTGGAAAGGAATACCACGGAGCATTGAACTAAAGTTTCCGGTTGTTGTCTTGAAAGGAGGTTGGTGGACAGCCGGGTCGCCCCAGCAATGGCTCAGAACTGCGTAACTCAACGGTCGGCTCAAGGTGCCTTGTGATCTTCCGCTGGTGGGTACCAGCAAACAGTCTTCCCATTTCCCGTTGATGCTGCCGACATATAATAGTCTTGTCGGTAGACTGGCATTTTCCGTCTCCTGCTCGCAACACTCCTGGCATTGTTTAATCCACCCCTGTACCAGCTCGCAGACTTGCGGCAAGAGCAATTTCTTTCCCTCCGCCAGCAATCCCTGGTATCTCGGACATTGAGATGCTCGTAGATCCTGTTCAACTGGAGCTAAGACAGCTAATCTTGGGAATAGTGAAGATCTGTCTGAGATCACATCACCAGGATTCGCTTTTACTTTGAATTCGAGATGCTGTTCAAAAGCACGGCCTTGACGGCCAGAAGAAAAGTCCACGTTGAGGCTCTGCAACTCTCTTATCCAGCGATACAGCAGTTCTTTTATTCTAACTCTTTCGAATTCGTCTAGATGTTGCCAGTTCTCTCGAAAAAGCTCTCTCAATGTCATTCGCAAAAGCCAGCAAAATCGCCAGCCGGCATCTGCTCCCACAGAGATTGACAGCAGGTTTAGGAATATATCAGTACTCCAGTAAGTGAGCCGCAAGTCTGAGTTGATAGACTTGAATTGTACTCCACTGCAATGAGAGGTTTCCGAGTGGCCATCCATCTTATCGCTGAATACTTTGCGCTGGCTTAGCGCACAAAGATGACCGTTCATTACGCCGCTCAACTGCTGCAAATACCGGTGACTAGAGTCGCTACTCACAGAGCTCTTCGAAGCTGGTAGCCCTTGTTGTTGAATGATGCTTCCGGAAATGAAGGGTTCGGGATGATGGGATAGACGGATGGAGGGCGAGCTGCGCTCCGGTTCTGGGCGGCTATTCGGAATCGTCTCTTCCAGATCTCTTTTCAAAGACTTCTCATCGAAGGTTCTGTGAGGGTGTCTCTTCGTCATTTGTGATTGATAGAGGCTGCGGGAGTTGAAGATGTGGTTGTCAAGGCTGATGAAAATTGTCTGGTGACGTTCGGATAAGCCTCCCTCTCCTTGCCTCACGTGATAGCCATAAGCCTTACACAGAAAAAGCTCATCTAGAATTGTGTCTTTTCTTTTGAAGAGCTCAGAGTTAATCCTTTCAAGTCCGCCGCATCGCCAAAACCCTTGGGTATCACTGCGCCAACACCGCAGGCGCGCATGCCGATCGGTTTAATGATACTGAAAGTCCATGAGGAGCTTAGCTGTAGTATATCTAAGTCTTCTGCTGGCTCCATGGCTCTTTTTTTAGGCCACTTTGTTTTTTAAAGAAAAATTGCAAAGGTTGAAAATCAAAACATGCCACCACCAGTACGTTTCAAGACGTTTCCCAACGCCATGCAGATAGCTTGATTGGAAGCTCCGTAGATGGTCTAGCGTAACTCCTCTCTCATCTTTTGTACCACACTGTAATCTGTTAGAGGGAGTAATCTAACGAGTTTGATCAAGCCATGCAGCCTTTTGAAACAGCGTGCGTGTTCCGCTAACACCGAGACATTTCCTGATCTTGGGAGACAGTGAGCAACTTCAGAATACCAACAAAGACTTGAAGCCTTTGATACACTATACTGAGCATTGATGTGTGAATTATCAGCTTATGGAACCGTCGGAATTCATATCGCGTCCAACAAGGCACAGCGAAGGCGCACAAAATTGTTACTGAAGAGTAACACAAAGTAAATGCTGTGTATTTATACTATGCCGTTGTCTCTGGAGTAACATACGATTTTCCATGTGTTAGTGTTCACATGAGTGGATTCACTACAATCGCTACTGTACCAATACTGTATTGAACGTTCTACGTTTGAAATATGTCTAGAAGACTTAAGCCCAAACCGTGCTAGTCTTATTTTGTATCTCAGTGACTGATGTACTGAGCGATGATTGCACACATATCGAGTCAAACTCTGGGGTTCATCATACCCGAGAAGCCTTAGCGCTCGGTGAGTCAAGTTGGTCAACACTGGTCTTACCGTACACCAGGATTGAAGGAACCCGCCCATGAGGCAATATCCCTCTCTGCAGCTGTTACTCTGCTTTTCATTGTTCAAAATTGGTATTATTCCGGGGCCAAATGGACTTGTGTCTTCCCAAGGATGGGTTAAAGCTTGTAGCACCTCTTCATTGAACTGCTGTGTGGCACCCAAATGAAGGCAGGATTGAAGCCGGGCGTCTTCCCGATGTACCGAGACCTATCAAACAAGAGGGGGGATATCGGAAAGGAGCCGGTGCGTCAGAGATCCCCGGGCTCTACCGCGGTTGATCCGTTCTACATCCTTGCTAGACCCAGTTTTGTAAAACAAACGCTGACGCTACCAATCTCAAGATGGAACTGACAGCATGGACAAATTAGTATTCATCGACCTGACCTCTTTCTTCCACAACCGTCTTCGTCACCTTGTTTCTGTCACTGAAGACCGAATACACCTTCCAACATGGTTCAGTTTGAGGGCAACTGACCCCTGACGGTGGATCGTTCGTAGCGAGCGTACCCTAACAGTTCATATTGTGGAAACAGCGACACGGGTTTGTTCTGTTCCTTCCCTCTCCTGAGATGTTTGCTAATCTGCCTAGACTAGCCGAACTTGATGAGATCCTCGACTTGATTCCTAGCCACACAGAGCTGAAAGTCCCCCAAACGACACCGACGTTCACATTCGGGCTTTCTTCTCTGCCATCATGACTCCAGCGAAGGTCCACGAATAGGTGACAACACCTATCTTCTCAGAAACCGTTGGATTCTGGCAGACAATACTGAATCATGGATCCTCGGAGAGCAACATTCGCGGGCGTAAACGAAACATATCGCTGGGGTTCATCTTTCTCCCCAAGAACAACGTTTGATACTACGTCAACGGTTTACATTTGGATGAAAAGTTCAGAGGCCATTGAAGATCCATCTAGTCAACAGTAGTCGCTTGACGAATCAAATGTGTTGTGTTCGCCGACACACCGATACCGCTTTTCCACGCACGCACGCACGCCAAGACCACGACAGGACACTTTCCAACCGATAACACCGGATATACACCTTCCGCCAACCCATAGCTGTCGCAATATATCCTCTGACAGTCACAATGCAAAAGTCGTAAGATGGACAATCAGGCTCTGTGTCTCACCTGTGGCGTGCCAGCTGACACCTGACCTCTGGCAGCCTGTAATGCGGAGCAAGCACAAGAAAAACAAAGCGCTCTTCGCTCAAGTCGGCTGCCAAGATCCAGCAAATGTGAGCAGTCAGAAAAAGTCGGTGTGATCTGCTGCGACGATCCATCAGCCGTACGATGCCCGATCCACACTGGCATCTACCATCCGCAGGCCAGAGGCCCAGAATCATAGGAACAGATTTCCTTATGAAAATCAATCGCTCCGAGTGATTTTGAACAGCAACTATTAAAGAAAGACTTATCCGTTCTCAACACCTCAAAGCACCCATGTGAGTCTACCTGACAGTAGGTAGCACAGGGTGCACAAGAAAAGATTTTTTCCGTGGGGAATGATGTTGCATACAGCCCCCTCATTTCCTGCGATCGTTCCAGCCTTGATCTCTGTTGATCTCCGCGCATGCATGCAGGCGATCAAATGCAGGAGCCCCGATGCAGCACTCCCAGCCCGGTCGGCCCTAATTAAAAAAAAAAGAAAAAGCGAGACAACGGAAACAAACAAGAAAAAACAAGCAACTATGGCTCAGGCCATCGCCATCGCGATTTAACACCCAGCCTATTGAATGGTTCTAATAAGCGCTGGTCTCCAATCCAGTGCGTTGATTGGGAACTCCTATCCGGCTGATTCTGTTGTCCAATATCTATGGCCGAGCAATTAAAAATACATAGTGTGGGCGATAGCTCTACACGACTGTCTATGGAACTCGTGGCCGCCTGTCGGCGTAAGCTACCCTTGTGGCCTCGCGGTAGATGAACCTGTTGTTACTCTCTTCCCAGGTAAACACTTTTTTTGAGGCTCTGTTGCTGCTAGCCTTATTATGGAGGTCTTAGCGGCATCATTATGACGTAACAGGCAATTGACCTTGCACCTGTTGCCGCCGGTACAACCTGGCACAGGATCGACCGAATTGCCCGCTCCTTTGACCTATCTCTGGCACCGGCCACCCGCATACTTTGTACAATGGGTGATAACAAAACGGGCAAGACTTTCCATACATGAAACACCACACGCACTTGAGTGGATTCTTTGTATACATTATCACATTCCATTTCAGCTGATTGGCAGTCGTAATGGACACAAATCACATTGACAGTGATGGCAAAAGGGAATGCCAGAACCATACTCCTCAAGTGGTAATAAGGCTAGTCTTTGAGTCAAGCTGTGGCTGGATAGATCATCACATTGCAAAATTCGGCCTCCTGGGTATGGTCTTGATGTTATCTCTTAGTGAAGGTCGACCACGAGTGCAAAATGTTCGATATAAAAATGCTACTGGCAATGTCTGTTGTAGGTCTGAGTATAATGATTCTATCGCTAACTAATATATCTCTTTATGACTTCTTGCATGATACTGGAGATTGGAGCCAGGCGAAAAGGCTCAAGAGTGCTCGAGAACCAAGTCACTCCTCCGGGTGGCGATCGGTTGAGGCACAGTCAGAACCTTCCAACTGCCTAATGAAACGCTGCAACTCCCTGACCCTGGTCTTCCTGTCCTCTTGATCCTTGTGGTACTTTTCAACGTGTTTTTGTAGAGCATCCGAGCGACGATATTCCTTTCCACACCTTGTTCCATCTAGAAGAGGAAGGACACATAGGATAGGGTGCGTATTCTGGCAGCTGTGGAACACGTGACGGAGAAGGTTCTTCCTCATCGTGAATGCTTTTTGGCATACATCGCAGTGGAAAGGGCGCTGATCCGAACTTGAGATGGCAGAGTCGGTTACGAGCGGTTGGGGGTCGGAGGCCATGTCAAAGAGCTTGACGAGTGTCTTTGTTTCTCCTTTGGAGCTTCGATACTGCATACTGTTAGAATGGATCTGTATATCGATGGTCATACCAACATAAGTTGTTCCCTTTGGCTTGTAACAGGGTTTGATTCTAGATAGACTAGACTTCCACGTAAGAAATTCAGTTTTTAGAAACTTACAGATCTTGAAAATGGCATATATACTTACAGAAACTGCGGTATAGTAGAATTGTAGAGGTTCAGGCAGGTGGTGAGTGTCACTTCAAGAAATGAAACAACTAAGATGTTGAAACCCTTTCACCCGGTTTATGACACTCAGTTCACTTGCATTTTATAATGCCCAAGACTGTTTATATCATTGCTCGCCAAGTATGCCCGAAGGAGCTGAAAGCGCTCACCAACGACGGAATCGAAACTAGAATGTATCAGAAGCATGCAACAACGGAACCATGATCCCTTGGATTGGATGCATTGTGAGCTCCCGCGCCATTCTCCAATAAATTAGTTCAACTCAATGTTACCCCTGCAGAGTGAGATCCGATCACTTTGCATTGTATTTATAATGTGGCGGCAAAGTTTCAAAACACTGAAGGAGTCTTGCCGCACCGAACCCCGGCTCCCGCACATTGTTACGGGCACGGCATTTCGCCAGCCACATTGGTCTTTAGGGACACTCGCAATAAGCTGCATATCCACTCATTGGTATAGATCGTCCCTGCCTTGTTAGATCTGGTCATTCGGGTTTCGGCTCGTCCCAGCAACAGAAATTTTGATTTGCCACATACAATTCCCCTTCCATCACTCATAGTAATGACATAGAACCGCACCTTTGATTCATCTGTCCAGGATGAGAGCTTAGAGTTCAAAATGAATGTTCAGACATACTCAGTGGCAGGATTCAAACAAGTGTTCAAGCGCGGGGATTTCTCCATCTACACATATATAGGTTGTAGGTACGGCCCTCACACATTGAGTGAATACCTGCTAAAGATGGAGACTGGGCATAGTTGAGGCTCATCTTTTGATACACGCTAGTGACCGTTGGCCCGCGGGTGGCACATATCTGTCGTGCAACTGATGTTGTGAGACACGATAACGCCGTTGATCTGCATGTAATTTTACCTGCGTGATCAAGTATGATTGCTGACTGCATATAGGGCGCTGTCCATTCTGCTTTCTTGATACACCGTCCGAGACACACGCGTCGACTTTGGAGACTTATGAAAAGAGAATGTAAGGCTTGCAAGTACTGGAAAGTTTGCAGAAAAGGTGCTTTCATTGTATCGCGGGCGGCGACCAGGTCGTCACCGAATATATCCCAACGCTACAATACGGAAGTATGAGGTTCCACAGGAGGATTTGCCCAATGATGTCAGCAATCCCTGTCGTTTATATATGCACATACGCGCCTCCAAGGGCTCCTCCGGTGTGTCCGGAAAGCTGCAGACTGTGCGACCGCACGCAGGGCTGGGATGTGCCTTCTCATGCACACCGCTCTAAGGCCAAATTTGTCCTCTATGTAAGGTCACTACAGCGAAACTGACGGGAGCCTAGCAGGGGTCGGGATCAAGCTCCCTCGGGAATCAGTGTTGGAATTGTAACAGTGTGCGCTAACGCTATTAATTAGCCCGGATTTCTCAGCCACCTCTACAACAGTTTCCGCTCATGCTACCATAGATATATCAACGTTGAAATAGCCTCTGTTTCACCCTGGACCATGAAAGCCTCCGCTGATGCTACACATCATACGCGCGCCTGCGCTAAAGCACCCTGGCACCTGGATGGCTCTTCCAGCCTGTCGGTAGCCAGTGGTTAGGTTCTCGGCTGGAGGGACGGCGTTCTTACACTATTATGCTTCGATTCCCAAATTGCCACCACCTTTGACTTCTGCCGCAAGTCACCTTTTATGCGTCCCTGTTCCAAGAACCGATGTGGTTAAGCATGCCTATCCCTACTACGTAATGCCCGCTTCTACCCTGGCGGAAGCTCCCACATTTAAAACTTTACAATCGCCTCTCAATTGATAGATAGCGTGAATTTTATTTTTTCTCATATCACAGGTATCGTTCAGAAGTGTATGCAGAACTTTTTCACTGCATATTTCTGTCCGAACGATAGCTTCAAATACTCATACATATTATTTTGCGGAGAAGGAGCTGAGCTATAGTCATGCTTGAGGTCTTACTATTATCCACGCTAGCCTTCAGCTGCGATACACTCCCTGTACTGGGGAGCTGAGCATGTGTAGCGGGAATAACAAGCTGCGCAAGGTACGCCTTCCAATCATTGTCACTACCTCGCCATCAGGACACGTGGAAAAAGCCACTCTCTTGGCATATAAATCCCGCAATATCGGAGTTGCGCACCCTTATCGCGTGCTGATCTGCATGTGGAATAGTAGGTCTTAAGGCAAGACTTTAAAAGGCCTCTACAGCTTTCGATCTACAGAAATATTCTTGACCCACATCACCTACCAATTCTTCTGACTTATTGTAGACTTGCCTATGTCTCCGGTCCTCACACGAGCTCTTTTGTCTGGTGCATCGGCTTTTACAAAGAGCCGCATCTACCTTTTTATCGCTACCACAATCCTGCTTTTCCCCAATCCTGCACACACTACACCTTTACATCACATCCCTGTTGCGGCTTTAGAAGGAAATGTCAACAGGACCAGTTCTGATGCTAGCCTTTGGATCAACCTCGGCGTGGCGATCGCTCTGGTGCTTCTTGGCGGTATCTTCGCTGGCTTGACTATCGCGTACGTCGTCCCCACGCAAAACAATCCCTCAAAGTTTCGTTCTTTACTTCAGCATTGACTTTATTTATTAGGCTGATGGGCCAGGACGAAATCTTTCTCCAGGTTCTCGCCGTCTCGGGCAATGCAGAGGAGCAGAAAAATGCCGCACTCGTCCTTCGGCTGCTTCAGAAAGGCAAGCATTGGGTGTTGGTAACTCTCCTGCTCAGCAACGTGATCACGAATGAGACGTTGCCTATCGTTCTCGACCGCTCGCTTGGCGGAGGAATTGGTGCCGTCGTCAGCAGCACAGTGCTAATCGGTAGGCGTTGTCCCGACGCGTGCGCGATTTATCAACACCATGCTAACACGAAAATCCCGCAACAGTCATTTTCGGCGAGATCCTTCCCCAGTCCGTCTGCGTCAGATACGGGCTCCCTATCGGCGCATGGATGGCACCCCTCGTCTTGATGCTCATGTGGATACTGTGCCCGGTCGCCTGGCCCACCGCCAAGCTGCTGGACTACCTCCTTGGCGAAGATCAAGGAACTGTGTATAAGAGGGCCGGTCTCAAGGCGCTGGTCACGCTGCACAAGTCGCTTGGCATTGCTGAAGATCGCCTGAATCAGGACGAGGTCACCATCATTGGCGCCGTGTTGGACCTGAAGGACAAGCCTGTCGGAAGCATCATGACGCCGATAGACGAGGTGTTCACCATGTCTGCTGACGCTACCCTGGACGAGGACACGGTGAATTCCATACTCTCTGCTGGCTACTCCCGGATTCCTATACACAGTTCCGACAATGCCCGTGACTTCGTTGGCATGTTGCTGGTCAAGTTGTTAATCACTTATGATCCAGAAGATTGTAAGCGTGTGAGTGATTTTACGCTTGCGACTTTACCCGAAACCCGTCCTGAAACCAGCTGTCTTGATATCATCAATTTCTTCCAAGAAGGAAAGTCGCATATGGTTGTGGTTTCAAATTTTCCTGGAGAGGCTTTCGGCACGTTGGGCGTTGTCACCCTGGAAGATGTGGTTGAGGAGCTGATTGGAGAGTATGTATCCAGGCACCCCACACGGACGCGTTGCATGCTGACATTATATCTACAGAGAAATCATTGATGAAGCGGACATCCGCCGCGGAAACGGCAATTGGAGAAAGCCTCTCCCTGTCGAAGTTGACAGTGACCTCGAGCGGAAAAAGGAGCCGCGCATCAAGTTCGGCCCTTCCAATGCTGCCAGCGATCCGAAATCAACGCGTATCAGCACTGTGAAGATCAAGCGCAGCGCAGGCTCCATGCTTGAAGCTGCTGTCGCAAGCGATCAGCGTGGGTGCAGAACTCCTTTACTTGGCAATGAGCATGGTCAAAGGGCTCGCCCAATTCCAATTCCGCCGCCCTCTACTATTCTTGAGAAGGCAATTGCCCGTTCAGGATCGTTATCGGAAAGTGTGCGAGAGGTGGACGGTGTCAAGAAAGTTGTGCTAGACGTCTTGAATGGCTGAGGAAGTATGTGCTGATGGCACGAATTTACGCCCGACTTTTGTACTTAAATAGTCTGGAAACTCTCAAGATATGTATTCAAGATAAAATTCACATATGTGTATCTACGGAAACCGAAAAGTTATGAAAGCGTAAAAAAGGGAAAATCCACATGAGGTGGAATTCATGTAGGGAATAACGGCGAAGCCAAATTCCACAATACTCTTCCCTACGCGTGAACCTCACTAGGCTACAACAAAAGATGCAGAAGACGTAGCCGTCTGGCCTTCCTCTAGAGGTCCATCTCGACCAGCCTTAGAAACCTCGTAATCGACTTAATGAGACAGTATGCGGCATGTGCCAAATATATGCTGGATTCCAGCAACCTTGAACTCCCCTTAATGAAGCTGCGTGTCAATCGGTTCCAAATCTTGTTGCTCCCAAATGGACTTCTCGACTCGGCCAACACCCTCTCGAACGACGTGGCCACCTTCCCATTTCACCCACAAGACGTTGTAGAATTCGTATATGCCCTCGCTTTTGTGCACATCTTCCCAATAAAGATCTGCGAAAGAGCTCCTGGGTTCATCCTTGTCGGGGTCCTGTCCAACCCTGCCTCTTGACACAGCGACGAGCTCACATGGTTCACTGAACGGAGCATTCTGGCTGTGAACGTGCAGAAATAGAACCCCAGCCCACCTTGCTCCGCTGTCAGCAAGAAGTACCATTGTTTTTGGTACCTCTTTAAACGTACAAGGCACCATAGTAAAAAACGCCCGATGAGTGCGCAATCGGAGATATGGCGGCCATATCTTTTGTTCTCCTTCGCGTGGAAGATCCGCAGTCGTTGGAAGTGGGTACCGGAATGGAACTTCTGGATTGAACTTACTCGAATAGGATGGGCTCTGCTCTATGATATTGCGTGTCCATCTTTTGGGGACTGGAGCCAGCCTTTCTCCCCGTGCTCTCCAAACGTGGTAGTCGTTTTGAACTCTTCGCTCCTGGCTGGGTTGCGACCCCAGATGGATCCAGTCCACAAGAGGATCGACTCTGAAGTGCCTCATAGTTTCTCGAGAAGGATGCGATGTTCTGACATAATCGCTGATTGGATTTCCAGGGGTCGCAATGACCGTTCCGTGCCAGCCCAGCCAAGACCAACTTGGAAGGCAGTACCCATTGTCCGCACTTGGTTTGACTCGTCTGGTGACTCCGTCTGCTGACCACCATAAGAGTGTTAAGTCGAAGAAGAATTCGGGTAGACCGTAGAGAAACCCTCCTGGAAACGATCGTTCTACCACTTTCTCAACACCGCTGAACGCCACGTGTGCGTCCTCTTCAAATGACAAATCCCTCCAGTTGTAATTCCGAATAAGGTTTTCCCAAGAACGTAGGTTCGGCCATTTCAAAAAGGGCAAGTCGAAATACTCGAGTGGATCACTATCCTCCAGATCTCCACACTTCTGCTCGCTCCAGAATGATGCTTGACAAGCCCAAAAGACTGTCCCATTCGCAAAGACCAACCTTCTACGAGATAGGCGGAGCTCTTGATAGGTCCACCCTCTGGTAAAATATTTAGATCCGAGGCCGTGATCAGCTGCGACCACAAGGGGGCATTGCGGGAGATCGACCGTTTGTGGAATAGTCGTCCGTGGTTGTCCCACGCCTTGAAGTCCGTAATAAGCATCGTTTCCGTCTGTAGCTATGATGGTACAACGTGCGTTCGCAAAGACAGCATCCATTTGACTGATCATGGCATGCTTGGCTGGATCGTCTTGGATGATGCAAAATCGATCTACCCAAAGGTAACGCTCGTCAAGCCCACGAACAAGACTAATCGAGTCCTGGATGGTCTGTGGGATCAAGGGTTCGAAGTCGTTCGAAGTAAAAGCGTCCTTCTGTTTCAAGCGGTCCAAATTCGACATCTTGGTTTCGAAGATGTCCGGGACGGAGCCCCAGACGTATGACAGGGCAAAGTATCGCGTCGCGCCCGGACGTTGTACCAAGCAGCCTTGTTTGGTGTCAATGAGGAGGAGCTCCTTCAATGGGTCGACTGTTTTCCAACTCGGATGATGATGGCATTGGCCGGAATGCCGTTCATCGCAGATGTCAAGCCACTTCCGGAGCCTTTGCAGGTCAACATATGGGCTGTCAAGCTTCGAAAGATCGTGCGTTTGTTTTCCCACGGTGCCCATAAAGCTGACTCCCTCAGAGTGACGTCTGCCGTCGGATTGAGCATCCCAATAGACCCACAATTCGAACATGCGGGATTGTCTGCGAACCAGTAGTTGTAGACCTGCGTTTGTGTGTTTGTTGATGCTTGCTTTGTCGTAGATATCCATGATCTGCCGACAGGGTGGACATGCTCCACTTCTATGTCGGACTTCCTCGACTGAGCCTAGGTCGAAGGTGGTGTCATCATTGCCTTCATTGAGTGACCTCGATGCGAGATTGCACACTTTGCAGGACATGATGGGAAACTTGGACGGTGAGTTGGCTGGAAAGATGGGACGTGATGGAAGACAGAATCAAAGTGCAGAGGGAATGATGCGTATGATATTATATAATCTATTCCAAGTTATGATGGACGAGGCTGAACAAGAAGCGAATGATATTTGACCACGTTGGACTACTTAGATCGAGATTAAAATCCATCCTGCAAAGCTGAGGGGTAACGCCTCATTTCAATCCTCCCCGGTGCCGAACTTCCGTCTGACGCCTCAGAGCATGACACGCGCATCAAAGCAAATACGTATATGTCCACTAATTGTCGCCCAACTCTGAAACTTAGCAACAGAATGGCTCTAAATGAGGAGTCAGGTCAACCATGTTTCAGAACTCTCAGCACCGCCAAGTAGTTAGCCTAATTAGGAAATCCAGAAGTGGTTTAGCGTAGCCTGTTCCTCATACAACGTAGCTCACCGTGTAGGCCCTCAGAAGGAAAAATCCATTGAGTTCAAACAAGCCATGCATCATTACTATGTTTGAAGTCGAGAGCGTTCAGTAAATAGGCCAATGTGGAATATTGTACAAAAGGGGCTTAGCGTGTATTTCGGTTTGTGTAAATAGTCTTCTCCTCATCGCAACCCTCAGAGGGACAATCCATGAGTTCAAACATACTAGGGGCGAACGCAAACAAAGTTTTGGAACGCTCGCAGTCACATTCCATCTCAAATACCTACGATTATTTCCCTAAGCGAAAAGGTCCGCGGTCTATCTCCCCGGCCGGCGCGATCCACCGGTACGTCCGCTAGCACGTGATGGTATTCGACTTACGGTGTTCGATTGGTGCAAACCTTGATAAGTAAGAAATATCTTACTAATATCTTGATGAAGAATACGCTAAGCCTAAGGCGCTGGTGGTGGACGTGCCGATGGATCGCGCCGGCCGAGGAGATAACCGCATACCCGTCGTAATTTATAAATTGATTTTGGTATATCTGTGCATATCATCCTCCGCGGAATATAGATCGCTTCCCGCCAGGCTGTTGAAATGCAACAACCATGTCCCAAGCCGCATTAACTTTTGCAAAGCTTATTGTGCATTAGAGTTACTGGAGGATGCTGCAAAGCTGCAACCGTGCTTACATCGCATCAGTCAACCCCACAGCTGGCGTATCCCGCCCAATCACAGAAAGCTTGAGAGGAAACCTTCTTACGAGAAGTCACGTGAGTCGGAATTCCAGTACGGAGTAGTGCTGAATTGAACACGTAATTGGCCTACCACACTCAGCAGAGAACCGCGTTATCGCTGCACAGACTTGACAAGCCAAGCATACTTATCTTTCCCCGCATGCTTGTACTTTGAGTACGCCCTACGCTGCTACCATGTTGTGGTGGTTTAAAACCCCCTCCAACGGGCTGCAAAGGCATGCTACACAAATCATCCTTCCATCTACATCATCGTCATTTACCTAAAAGAAATTCAGTTCCCATTAAGCATCTTCCTCCCATTCCTGAGTTGCCTTATTCTTTCCGTGGCGGTGAATAGAACCCCGCAATGGCCGCGACTTCAACCGCGACGTCCAGCGTTGCCAACCTGCCGGATTCGAACAAGTCGAGCAAGATCGAACTGAAGAGCTTTGGCAATGACGATGGCGACCAGCGGCACTACGCATCCGATGCCGGCGAAGCTGGTGTCGGGCCATCGGAAAGCCATCGTCTGTCGATGATCGACCAATCGCACAGCGCCGGTGGACCTGACCTGGCACCGCCCGAGTCGGTATCAGAGCGAAACGAGTCTCAATTACCGCCCGTCGACAGTGGGAAAGATGCGTACATGTTTCTGGCAGCATGTTTCGCTCTTGACGCTTTGGTGTGGGGTAAGGGAAACAAACTCCGCAGCGGAGTTCGGCAGCGCTGACTTACTCCGACTCATGCAGGGTTCGCCTTGACGTTTGGTGTGTTCCAGGACTATTACAGTACGCACGAGCCATTCATTGGTGAAAAGAACGTCGCGGTCATCGGAACCATGGCAATGGTATGGAAAGAGATGTCGTAATTTTCTGTTTTGCTCATCAGCTAATTGCTGCCATGGCAGGGGATCATGTACCTGGATATGCCCATCGTTTTCGCCATACTGCAGTCATTCCCCCGCTTCAAGAGATACTCGACGACAATTGGCCTCGTCGTCATGTGCCTGAGCCTTTCACTCAGCAGCTTTGCCCGTACGACGATGCAACTGATTCTCTCCCAGGGAATTGGCTACGCTCTTGGCGGCAGCTTCGCGTATTCGCCGACCATCCTGTACATGGATGAGTGGTTTGTGAAAAGGAAGGGCCTGGCTTTTGGCATCATGTGGGTAAGTAGCATCACTACATACCCCTTTACCATCCCATACTAAAGCCGCCTTCCAGGCCGGCGCCGGCCTCTCGGGCGTCATCCTCCCCATCACGATGCAATGGCTCCTCAACACCTACGGCTTCTCCACAACCCTCCGCATCTGGAGCCTCGCCTGCTTCATCCTCACCGCGCCCTTCACCTTCTACGTGAAGCCGCGCATCCCCCTCTCGCAAGCCCCCTACGTGCGCACCTTCAACCTTCGCTTCCTCTACCGCGCGCCCTTCACCCTCCTCCAAGCCGGCAACATCCTCGAATCCCTCGGCTTCTTCCTGCCCAACATCTACCTCCCCACGTACGCGCGCGCCGTCGTCGGCACCACCTCGCTCCTCGCCTCTCTAACCATCGTGCTCTACAACGTCGCGTCCGTCTTCGGCTGCGTGCTGATGGGCTTCATCGTCGACCGGCTGCCCGTCACGACGTGCATCCTCATCTCAACCGTCGGCGCGACGCTCGGCGTCTTCGTGCTGTGGGGCGCCGCCCTCAACCTGCCGCTGCTGTACGTCTTCTGCGTCGTCTACGGCCTGTTCGCGGGGAGCTTCACGAGCACCTGGCCGGGGATCATGCGCGACGTGACGGTCAAGATGCGCGGCGCCGTCGACCCCGGCATGGTCTTCGCGTGCCTGGCGGCGGGGAGGGGGATTGGGAATGTTGTGTCCGGGCCGTTGAGTGAGGCGTTGGTGGGGAAGGGCGCGGAGTGGCACGCGGAATGGGCGTATGGGACGGGGTTTGGCCCGCTGATCGTGTTTACCGGCGTGAGCGCGGCGCTGGGTGGGCTGAGTTGTGTGGGCCGCGTGGTGCCGAACTGGCTTTAGCTCGGCACTGTCGGCATGGACTTGAAAATTGTATCGCGTGAACAAAAAAGAGTCAAACTTGACTTAAATTGAACGAATATAGAGACTGACAAAAGTTGGAGGAGTTTGGGTTATGGTATGGAGTCAAACGGCTAAGACTTGATACTTAGGAAATAGATTGTAAAATTGATTTTGTGTAAAGTCATTTACGGGAAACCCACCTTAAGTTTAGGCTACCCTTGTGTTAGGGCTAAGAGGCTGAGATTTCTTTATTGGGCAATTGCTGTAAGCAGCAATTTAGACGACTTACTAGCTCCGGTGCGAATAGATCAAGCACTTTAATCCCCACACAGAGTCTCGCACAGAAGGAGCATACCCTCCGGCAGTCTGCTTATCTTCAACAGCCACTAACAAGGCAGGACAGTAACAGTCAGCAGGTTTGCAATTAGTAGCACGGCCGGGCCGAGTTACGTGAGTAGCCTGCATATGCAGTGGTCAGACTAAGCATTAGCGGAAGGATGAGCTTTCAGATCGGGAGGAAATGTCGTAGGGCGACTGGGAGAGGCGACAGATGATTGGTCGCAGGGGGGTTAGGGAGTGGGATCGGAGATGATCTTGAATACAATATGGGACCGGGATCCGGACACCATCTTCCTGGAATCAGCTGCAGGAACCTCCTGCAACGGAAGGTAAGCGCAGACATCATACAGGGGGTATTGCAGCCAATCCCTAATGTTAGTTCGTTTTTTTGCACATATCATTAGTAGTGAAGCTGTCGTCCGGGCGATAGCTTCAACTGCCCGCATGAGTCCAATAATTCCTCACAAATATTATAAAAATCATTCATCGTGGAGAGCCGCAGTTATTTCCTGTTGCAAGGCCCTGCTATTCACATTCCCAGTTTTATTTTTTTGAAAGAAACAAGAAAAACCAAATCGGCGATAGCCCTCGGTTGCAAGATAGGGCTGAAAGCGTATAAGCTTTATCCAAAAGTGGATACGCGGAAGAAGATCCGGAACGGACATACCCTCCTATCGTGTGGTGGGCGATTTCCTTTTCCAGATTTACCCTAAACATCCGGTCCGTCTTAACATCTGAATCTTCGAATGTCTCCACTTCGTACGACAACACCTGCGCTGGCTGTCAGCAAAATGTGGAACGACGAAAGACTTCATTTATCTCCGGCGGCTAGAAGTCTCTTTCGCGATGTGAAGGATTCGATGGAACCACTTTTCCCAGTTTGGCCCCCAATACCAGGGTAAAGTGACCCATTCAACACCCTGGATGGAGATTCTTGGCGTCAGCAGCAGGTTCTATCACTCAAGCTGCGTAAGCGATGTTGTCATCGAAAGATGGCCCGTTGGGAAATAAAAGCATAACGCGGAACTGTCGAGTCGAAGTATCAACCGCAACTCCAAGTCAGACTCCAGCGCACCATGGGCAAAGAAACTTTTTGCATCCGCCCTCTGGGCTATGAAAATGGTCCAGAAACAGAAGTCTTCCAGATGAGCGACTTTGACTACCTTGCTCCTCCCTTTTACACGATGCTGAGCCTCTGCTACGAACTGGAAGAACACCAAAACCGCGAGACTGTTGTGCAGAATCTGAAAGAGGGTTTGCAGATCACAGTTGATCAATACAGGATTGTTGCTGCAACGATACATACGGATCCTACCACTGGGAAGCTGTCAGCTGTGAGGAAAAGAGATGGAGGCGTCAACTTCACCGTCAATATGATGGACGAGGCGGATGGTTTTCCGGACTTTGAGACACTCAACCAGGCAGATTTCACGTTCGAGAAGATGGACGTCAACAAACTATTCCCCGAGGAGATTTCCAAACGCATCTCCAACATTTTCCAGGACACTTCGGACCCGCCAGCCGTGGTTGCGCAGGCCAACTTCATCCGCGGCGGACTCATTCTATGCCTTGCCTCTCACCACCGCATATCTGACGGTTAGTTATTTGACTCATCGAAATGCTTCATTAAACTAACGATGAGGTACACAGGCACGGGAACCAATCACCTCGTTGCTCATTGGGCCGCAAATTCGCGGGCTTTGACCACTAAAACGACACTTCCCGCCTTCAACACTTCACGCCTCGATCGTAGTCCCCTGTGCTTCCGTGGCCTGCAGGCATCTGAAAAGCGCATGGCCGAGCTGAAACAGCAAATTGGCTGGGTCCATCATGCAGGGAAAGGAGACAACCCACCGCCATCTACAGAGCCCATTTCTCTCATTACGCTGCACTATTCAAAGACCCAGCTGGCCTCCCTCAAAGCAGACGCATCCCCCACTCAGCAGGACAGCCACGGTCGAAGGGATTCAGCTCAGTCTGACTCCAAGAATCCCGAAAAGTCGAGTCCTGCAGAAGATCTCCAGGCCGGTGGTCCAAACACAGATACTGACGTTGCAGTCCCATGGGTCTCCACGTACGACGCCATCGTTGCAACCATCTGGCGTGCCGTGACACGCGCACGTATGCCGGTGTTCCAGTCCCTTCCCACCGGAGTGCCCACCACATCATCCCAACTGCACGCCGTCAACCTCCGCAGCGTCGCAGGCGTGCCGGAAAACTACTACGGCAACGCCATGGCTCTGCCAACCCAAACAGTTCCCATTAGCACCCTGACATCCCTTCCGGTCTCCTCCGCCTTCTCCGACCCGAACCTCGCAGCAGTGGCAGCCTCCATCAGAGCCGGCATTACGCGCTGCTCGACCCGGGAGATCGTGGACGCAACGGCCGAGTGGATCGAGGGCACGCAGAACAAGAACTTGATCACGCTGCCCAACCTCATCGGAACAGGGCTCTACGGCACCAGCTGGCGCTCGATGACGTACTACAAAACCGCCGACTTTGGGTTTGGGCTTCCGAACCGCGTTCGCCGCCCGCCCATTGTTGCGGACGGGATCTTTTTCGTATACCCGCAGCGGCCGGCTGAGTGTGGCGCACGGCCGGACGAAGGCATTGATGCGGTTCTTGGACTGGCAAAGAGCACAGCTGAGAGATTTTTGAAGGATGAGGAACTGCTGCGGTATGCTAGGGTGGTTGAAGGATGAACGGTCAAGGGGTCTGTTTCTGTGGATTTTCTCATTTGGTTTGATCCAATTTCTTATCATTTACGCCACCTCTGAATCACTTGCCTGCTAGTCGTTGACCGACAGCACATCAGAGTGACACGAGAGAAGTAGAACATAGCTAAATACAATTGCATAGTAAAACAATAAACTCTGGATCATGCTTCCATTACAGGTATTTACAATGCCAAAGGCTGCCGTCCTGAGCCAGACCTAGCCTTCCCTGCTGGATTTGTCGCAATACGTACTTCAGTGTGATCGAGAAACTCGTTCAATGCACGTGAGACGCCATCAGTGGTGAATAGAATTTTGGTAGTCGGCTTGCGCTTATCCCTCACCCAATCGCACAGGACTTTCAAAAGGCTCCTCAAACGGCCCGCAGTACTGCTATGGTCCAGTATCTCGACGCCATGGATAACGATCACCAGGATCGAATGATCCGTCGCGGGCAAAAGGTCTCTTAAGAGTTCCATCGCTTGAGACCAGGTACCCAATGTACCATCAAGCTCTTTGAATCTGTCTTCTCCAAAGGCCACCGTACCAGTTGATGGATTCGAAGGTAACAGTTCGATGAGTTGTCGGATGAGTGCGTACGCCAGTGCAGTCAGCTCCACGGTTTCTCTTGTCCTCCAGTCTTCTTGTGGTGCCTCGTGAGGCAATATGCAAGTGTAGGACACAACCGGAAGTCCGGCTTCCCGGGCAAGAGAAGCATACTTTCCGGATATGCGAGAAAGTGTGTCATCCTGTAGGACACGATCTGTGCCACAAATGTGAAGGATGCGATGCTCGGTTGACACGGCCCACGGTTGAAGGCTCACAGAAATGTCTGAAGGAACGTAAAAGGACGCAGGGAAGTCGAGATACTGCTGGACCTTGTCGCGGTCGAAGAAATCCTCGAGACGAGCCGAGGAAAGCAGCACCAGCTCTCTTGTAGAGACGGCTTCAACTCTTTCTTCTTCCTTATCGGATGAGGTATTCTGGTGAGATGTTGACGAAGACGTGATGAAGGATGAGACATCTAATGAAATACTTTATCAGCATGCAGATCGAGCCAAAATGTGGATATGCTCACCATCCTCTTCCGAAACGACAGTGGCTGCGCTTCCCACAGGAAGATTTTGAACCCTTCCTTCCAGTATTTCTGACATAGCGTCTCCAGTGTATCGTGTGCGGACGCCTGTCCAAACAATGGCAAGAATATCCTGTTGTTTGCCCGTGTTCTCGAGCGATTTCCTCTGCTCTGCATCCATGAGCTCCTTGAAGTCTTGATAGCGATATCTCATTGATTCTCGCGCTCTCCTGTCTCTTGCTTCCAAAGTCATCATGAAGCTTATCTTGTCGTCAAGACTTTCGTTGTAGAGCCGAGACAGACGTGCATCGGTATGGGCCTGTAAGCTGATGTCACGGCGGATGAAGTCCGAGTCCTGTCTGATTTGCCTTAGCTGTGTTTCAAAGAACTCCGCCAGATTCTCATTGAAGCTCCTCAAGAGTCTTTGAGACCACCGCTGAGTGTACCACTCCACCACGTGAGTCAGGAGCGTGAAAATCCGTCCATACATCCTCCACGTCAAGCTTTTCGTGGAAGGCGCTTCGAAAATTCTGATCTCTCTCTCAACGGCGGCGACGATGTTGTTAATCTCCAAAAGCGCTCTCGGCAACGTCTCAACAATGTTTGTGTAGTTGGCAGATGCCTATCGCTGATTAGCTTGGCATTCGACCGCAAGGGCCGGCTGGACGGAGTATGAATCAATCAATCAATCAAGCACAGGCAACATACCTTTACCACCGTGGTTAGACCACCACAAAGCACTGACGCATAGTCATTGCTTGATGGAAGCATCTCTAGGACCGCAGAATGGCTGTCAATAGTGTTGCAGATACTTCTCAGGTACTCGGCACCTCGCCTGAACTTGCTGTTGTCCCTTTTCTGTTCCCAACTTGCCTGAACCCTTTCAATTGTCGCTTTCACATCTTGCCATGACGATATTTTTACTGCAAGAGTATTTTTCTGGTCTTTTGAGACGGTCTGGCCAAAGCTCTCGAGAGCTGCCTCGAGTGCATGCCTCGAGTGTTTCAGATTCAGGCGCTCCTCATCGCTATATAAACGAGGTGGTTAGTAACTCGCATTGCTCGAAACAGAGTACTTTATTACCTTGACGAGCGTTGATAGTTGTAGATTTTTTCTATTTGCGCTCTCCGTTTGCTGTCCCTTGCTTCCAGCGTTTCCGTGAGGCATCTCTCCAACTCATGGTCGTCCTGAGAACCGCTCTCTTGGAGTTTGTCCCGCACCTGTTCGGAAAACCGCCGCACAAGCTCCTTCGGCTCAAATTCTGGGTCCATAGTGGTTGGAAAAGGAGGATACCCGTTATTTGTCCGGCCAGCAGTCGGAGCGGGGCTCGTCTACTCTCTTAGCATCGTGACAAGGCTAAGGCGTGGACGGCTAATCCGTTCCACATTAGCTTGACAACGCTGGCTATCACTTTGTGGCCACCAATCATTCATGGACTGAAGTGCGTGAATGCGCATAAGCAAAGCCTCCACGAATCGCACATAGGCAACAATATGCAGGTAGCCGAGAAGATTAGCCGGTGGCAATGGTCAGCAACCTCAGCCTTGCGCCATCACGCTATGAACACAATTGGCGACATTTAATTCGATCTCACATGCATTTCCACATATGCAAGACTTTATTGATTATGTGTGATTCCTGCATGTCTTACAGCTGCAGGACGCAGAACCGGCGTCACAACGTTAAAGCCAGCAAATAGCATCCAGCTCACAATCCGACGGCGGGGTCCGATTGGAAGCAACGCAGGTGATCAACGTCCATGCAACTTCTATAATATCAAGATAGGAGTGATATCCAGCCGAAGGCTGCTGACATGGCGCAAGCAAATCTTCATGTGGCATAGCCAAACTTCCAAATGATCCACAATTTAGCGTCTAATACGCTATACGAAACATAAAATCCCTCAAAGAGGGCCTTGAGTCTACTGTGAGATATTTTACTAGCACACATCTTGTGCACACCTTTGTTGCAGACATTGTTCGAGCGTTTTCCCTGGCGACCTTTCCCGAGATGTCGGATGAAGAATCATCAACTGGACCTTCTATCAGGCCAGAAGCTCGCTTTCCACAGCCTGAAATTTATTCGACCTGCCGGGATGCCCAAGGGATTTCCTCAATTTCGCACAGAGTCGAGTATCTGAATGAGGTCTCCGGAGAAACCGTCTACAGTCGGAAAGTCGACGTCCCCGTATCGATATTGGAGGACTCCGCGGCTGACCCGATAGCGATGACAGCAGTCGATGTGCGACTGACATGGCTTACTCATGGAGCAGCAGCATTGGATATTGAGTCAAGCGATGAGAGAAGGACTGAACTTCGCGTTGAAGAGGTGTCAGAACAGGCACTTCCACGGGCCATAGAAGATGTAGAGGCACACTATGGAACCGCTTCTGCAGAAAGCATCCTCCTCAAAAGTCATCAACCTAAGCACGCGATGGCTTCGACGCACGCAAGCAATCAGAAGGCCTCAAACCGCAGGCCAGAGCAAGCTGAGAATTGCAAACAAACGAAGCTCCCTCCTTTCTCACGGGAAGCCCTGTCTTACATCGAAATCACCTCACCGGCAGTCTTGGAGGCACTTCGAAGTGTGGTAGACTATTACCCGGAATACGACCTCCGAACAAAACGTCTTAATATATACTGGCCGTATGCGATTTTGACGCATTTTCGGGATGCTCTAATGAGATACCGAGACCTGTTCCCTTCCGAAAGCTGTGACGCAACTGATGCTTCCTGCTCCAACAGATTAGCTTACAAGCACATCGGCCTCGTGCAGGACTTTGTCCAAGAGAAAGTTGGCGATCTTGTCGCGATGGAGAAGGAGCGGCACAAGCGGGGATACGCAACGTTCGAGATGCTATGGCTCCTGTACGAACCCGGAACCGACGTCTACGTTGACTTCCTCGTGATTGGCGACTGGCAGCCCTATGTCTTGAAGAGTATCGAATACACCGGATTGAACGACACGATCACGACACTCAAAGTGCATTACTGGAACATGAGCGCCAACTCCGAGTACATTGGACCTTCCGAGTGGAATCAGGATATTCCTTCTTTTTCTGGGGAGAAAAAAATTGCTTCCCTCGTTGTCTATCCTTGCAAGTCTTTTGAGATGAACAGCGAGGGTAAAAATGCCGAGGAAGTCAAAGAGTATTTCACGGAAAGGGGAAAGATGTTCCTTCAATTGAGAAAGAAGAAGTGCTGGTGGTTTGACGGGTACGAAGGATTATATCCCCGCCGACCAGTGAGTAACTGCTACAACATCATGATGAGGCGCAATTAACACTGGAGAAGGTCACAGACTATGTCATGACTGACCCACAGCAGTTCTTTTGGGACGGTAGCAATAATAAAGACACCTTAGCGCGTCGCTTTGAGGTCAACGACTTCGGACCGCCCACTAGCTGCTGTGCTCGATGTAAAGACATGATCACAGAGCAGAGGAAAAAGTTCAGATTCGCTGGCTATTCAAAAATTGCCGCTCAGACTGCCAATGAACTCACCCCACATCAGTATTTTCTATGCGATCGCATGGCCGAGGCATTTGTGTTCGGCTTGAGAGAATGGCGTAGGCCTCAACTTGCTCACTCAAACTTCTCACAGACAGCTGATCTCTTGACAGGATTTCTCGAGGTCTCGGGATTCAAAGAAGCTCGCTTTGACACAAAGGTGCTCGACACGCTCGTATTGGATGATCACATCAAGAAAATGATTCAAAGTCTAACTGAAAAACACATTGTTGGTCTCAAGGCGGATTGGGAAGGAGAGCAAGTCTTAGGCAAAAGGTCACCTGGGGTAGAGTCGAAGAAGAGTGCTGGGTCGAGCACCTGGTCGGCTGATTACGTGAAAGGGAAAGGAGAGGGGTTGATATTCCTCTTGCATGGCAAACCAGGCGTTGGGAAAACTTACACTGCCGGTCAGTATCCCTTCCCTTTTAAGAAGACTGTACTGAGTCATCTCTCGGAAGAATGCATATCAACTCATTTCAAGCGACCACTTCTCAACCTCACTGCGACCGATCTCGGAACTGAGCCACACGTCATCGAACAACACCTTGCTAAATGGTTCAAACTAGCGGCCAGATGGAATGCTGTGCTACTCATCGATGAAGCCGACATTTACATGGAGCACAGATCTGTCCAAGACATAGCCCGCAACAGCTTAGTGGCAGGATTCCTTCGCGCACTGGAGTACTTCAAGGGTGTGCTTTTCCTTACAACTAATCGTGTAGGACATTTCGATGAAGCATTCATCTCCCGGATAAACATGACGATCTACTATAGACCCTTCAACGAGCAGCAGCGTCGTGAGCTCTGGGAGTCTTACTTCAGGAAGCTGCAAAAGGAAAGAGAAGACAGGATGAGGATACACCTCAATACCCGAGACTATGTGGAAGAGTCAGAGGACCTGCGAAAGTTGGAATGGAATGGCCGAGAGATAAAGAATGGTAAGTCTACGTAGTGGTATATGAGGAGCACCACTGACATCGAGAAGCCTTCCAGATCGCTGTTACTCTCGCTGAGGCAGAAGGCGACAAGGATGAGAGGGGCCGGGTGATCATCAAACCAGACCACATCAAGGCTACGGTGGAGATGTCCAAGACGTTCAAGGAGTATTTGAATGAGTTGTATGCGAAGAACGAGGATGACCGAGCTGCTATTCGGGGGAACCGGTACGATGCTTTCGGAAAAGGGCCAACCAATGAGACAGCGTACCATTAAACTGTTATCTCCACCTTCAGTCTGAGATTTTGCTGTAATCTCTCATTTGGTTAATGATAGTGCCTTTCAAACTCTCATATGCCCTTTCAAGTTCTCATGACACCCCCGGACCGTTATCAGATAAATTGCAAATTGAATTACTGGATACTTAGGGTTGAAATCATCACCACTTTAACGAATCCATGGTATGACTGAAGATCTCTTTAGATGAAAAATTATGAATAAAATCTAATTAAAGTCGGTAGTCGACAGAAAACAAGATCATACATCATATAAAGTCGGACTATACATCTATCCTCGAAGAATTGTTTCAGAAAAGTTCTCCTCGCCAAGCCAGAGCCTCCCGTAGCAACATCTCCTCTGGAGTATCGAAGGCTCAATCATGATAAATGTACGGTCGATTAACATTGGAAGCATCTGCAGTATGGACAGCGACGTGGTCCGCATGGTTAGTGAATTTCCTAATAGTATTACTCCGGAGAAGCGCAGACGAGGATTTCTACCTTGGCGTGGACGTAAGATTAGGAACCAGGGCGTGAGTAGTGACAACCAGCCTCTGATCCGCCCGCGGTAGAGGCAGTCGCAAATGGGAATGACAAGGAAGAGAACAACACCAACAAGGCTGACGATCGCCTCATTGCTCAAGGGTCGCTCTGTTGCTTGACTGAGCGGAGGCATTTCTCTGGATTGAGAATTAAATTGGCTTTTTCCCCCACCCTCGAATCCTGTGATATGAGCCTTCTATACTGTGCAGGTGGATGTCTGCAGTATATGTTATATGGGAGAAATGGAGCTCAGCCTCCAGGCAGATGCTGACGGTCGATCTCGACCCCCTGCCAGCTTCCTCATGCGGACACCGCAATTCCCAGAGAGGAAAGGCCGCCAGCGTCGCCAGCCTCTGCGCCAAACCATGTGTGTGATTGGGTGATGTTGTCGCTGCAGCTTCACCTTGCATCGTCGTGATGAAATTTGTAGATGTCAACTTCTCCAAGGGATGCTCACTTTCGCCTCTCTGATCATGATCTATCTAAACCCCTTTTATAGTGATATCGCGCCGGTGTATGGTCTGGTTTATCTTCTTACGTGAATCGGCCTCCAATGGCCAGCTGTGTAACAAAACAATATATCACGTGATGGCGACAATAGTAGAGCGTTCCAAGGGAATAGTCTTGTACACAGCTGGGACAAAGTGCTTCAACTTTTGTGTTAATTTTAAAAACAAAAATAGGTGTACAGCCGAGTGTCTCTCTCGCCGATAAATTTTCAATCATGATGCAGCCAAATGTATAGTCAATTTATAATTGAGAAAGAAGACCTGCATTCGCAATTCTCGGCTACGTTACGATCTGAGATTGCCGAAATGCAGAATTCTATTTGGACGATATCATTGGTCACACAAAGTCATCTCCCAAGAATCTTACAAGCATCATTTTCCCTCTTTGATTCGAGATATTCATGATCCTTTCTAAGTGTACTTTTTTCTACTAAATGCACTAACTTCTATAATAACGAGAAAAACTCATTCGATACTTGCCATATTTTGGGTGTGGCTTTCAGTGGCTGTTTTTACACCATCTATTTGAAGGGTTTATATTATGACTAGACTTACTGACTGATCGATGACCGCCCTTGAAGAAGTGTGCTTGCTATTAGCCGGGGCACTACCCCATTAACCTTTCGTAGAAGTAATCGTGCCTACATTTCAAAGATTGTATTGCTTCGTTGACAGCAGAATGACGATTTACGTCTTGATTTTTCGAATCAGCCTTGCACAGTGAGTCAAATGACAATCTAGCAATTATCATGGCTACATTGCGCGACTTTCGCTAGTGACAGCTCATCTGATTGTTCTATCTTTATATCCTCACCCGTTCGCTGGTACCTGCATGAACTCTCCGGCTCGGTCCCGTGTGGTCGACGACCGCAGACACGAGAGTCGGCTGCACGATATCACAAGCGGGACATAGAAGTGACATTACCCCCAGCAGATATAACCAATCAGCTGATAATGGTGGTGCGGTTGAAAGCCGGATACGGCACAAGACCTTCCCGATCAGGCAAAGTGGTTGCCGGTACCCCAGACAGCTCTCCACACTATACGAGCGGGTTAATAGAAACTACCCTATTTGAAGCACCATCGCCAAGAACAAACCCAGACAACACCTACCTCGACGTGGAAATGCCGTCCGACAGAGTCTCATGAGCCTTCGTGTTCGCGATTGCAACACTGCGGAAACTCTACGTTAAATACTTCAGCATGGACGCGGTCTTTAGAACAGCATGCTGTGATAGCAGCAGTCTCTCTTTCAGTCACTCGTTCCAGTGCTCTGTCCTCGTGAGCAATGCAATCCACGCTCGCTCTCCTCCTGGGGGCGTTGGCCCTGACCAACGCGCAACCTACCCAGCGCGCTCAAGCAGCGGAGCCCTCACACGTCCCCAACGCCTACTTCGTGCACCTGCGCAACACCACCGCCGATGGCGGACGAGCAGACCCGAAAGCAGCCTTCCACCGCAAGTGCGCTGAGAAAGCCGTAGCCTACAATGTGCGCTACGAGTTCAACGACTCGGACCTCTTCTACGGCCTCTCCGTCAGCCTATCCAACGACTCCGCCGTCGACGCACTCAAGTCCATCCCCGAAGTCACGCACGTCTCCCCCGTGCGCTGGATCCCCCGCCCGGAGCTCGACACCACCTTCGCCGACAACAGCGCCGCGGCCTTCGAATCCAACCTCCACCACGCCGTCCGCTCGGCGGCCAGCCATCATGCCAAGCGAGCCACCTCGGCCGACGCGGCAGCAGTCGACTTCAACTCCGCGCACCGCCTCACCGGCGTCGACGAAGCCCACGCCGCCGGCGTCCGCGGGGCGGGCGTCAAAATCGCCATCGTCGACAGCGGCGTCGACCACCGGCACCCGGCGCTGGGCGGCTGCTTCGGGTCCGGCTGCAAGTTCAGCTTCGGCTACGACCTGGTCGGCGACGCCTACGACGGCTACGATCCGTCCAAGATCGCGCCGAAGCCAGATCCACTAACGACATGCCTGGGCGGCTTCCACGGCACGCATGTGTCCGGAATCGTCGGCATGGACGCGACGGAGACAAACGACACGCTGTTCTCCAGCCTCGTCGGCGTCGCGCCCGAGGCCGAGCTGGGCATGTATCGCGTGTTTGGCTGCACGGGGGGTGCGCACGAGGACGTCATCGTGGCCGCCATGCAGCGCGCGGCGGACGATGGCCCGCATCTCATCAGCATGTCGCTGGGCGGCTACGCGGCCTGGGGCGGCGACCCGTCCAGCCCGTACCTCGAGCTCGTGGCGGGCCTCAAGCGGCGCGGTATCGCTGTTGTCGCTGCTGCGGGCAATAACGGCGAGTCCGGCCCCTTCTGGCTGAGCGACCCGGCCATCATGCCCGATGCCCTGGCGGTTGCGTCTGTCGAGAACAGCGAGTTCCCGACGTACGAGCTGAGGGACGACGGGGGCGAGAGCCATCGGTATGGCGCCTTGTATCCGTTCCCGAGCGGTAACTACACGGCCGTGGTTGCTGGCGATGGCTCGGCGCAGTCGGAGTTCGGTTGCTTCAGTGAGAACTACGAGGCTCTTGCTGCGAACTTGACGGGTGACATCTCCAACTACGTCGTGGTTGTGAAGCGAGGCTGGTGTCCCGTGACTGTCAGCCAGCAGCAAGCCGTCGCGAACGGCTTCACCAAGATCCTGACGTTCCCTGATCCGGACAGCGACAACATCTTCATCCAGGGCTACGGCGTTCCGGTCGTGGCTGTCGTTGGCAACGGGACCATCGTGTCCATCGGGTCTACCACTGATTCCACGATTTACGACGCCATCAAGACGAATGGCGAGGTGAAGCTGTCGTTTACGGATAAGACCCCGGTCTTGGAAGAGCAATTTCTAGGAGGGCAGATGAACAACTTCAGTAGCGTTGGTAAGACAGACTTACACCTTCTTGAAGACTGAAGACTGACATGGACTCTTGCAGGTCCATCCTGGGACTTCGCCCTGAAGCCGCAAATCGCCGCTCCGGGCGGCAACATCATCTCGACCTACCCGCTCGGCGGCGGCGGCTGGGCCGTCGCCAGCGGCACCTCCATGGCGGCGCCCTACCTATCCGGCGTCTACGCGCTGGTCAAGTCGCAGCACCCCGACCTCTCCATCGACGAGATCTTCGACATCCTCAAGACGACGGCGAAGCCGCTGCTGGCGGCGGGCCGCGAGGACTACTCGCCCACGCCACAGCAAGGCGCGGGCCTGGTCTCGGCCGCGGACGCCGTGTTCCACCAGACGACGGTCTCGCCGAGCCAGTTCGAGCTGGGCGGCACGGAGAAGCTCGCGACGGTCGACACGACCATCACGCTGCGCAACCCGACGGCCGAGGACGTGACGTACGAGCTCGGCCACACGGCGGCCAACGGCATGGCCTTCTACCCGTACGGCAACAGCGCGCCGGACAACCTGGGCTGGAGCGACGGGCGGTACATCAACCTGGCGCCTCTCCCCTTCGCCGCCTCGATCAAATTCCCCTCGTCGACCAGCGTCACCGTCCCCGCCGGCGGCTCCGCCTCCGTCGCCTTCACCGTCTCTCCACCCACCGGCCTCGACCCGAAGGAGATCCCCATCTACTCCGGCTTCATAACCGCGACATCGAGCCTCAACGAGACGCTATCGATCCCGTACGTCGGCGCGCCGTACGACTACGCCACAACCCCGCTCATCGGCCTGGACCCGCCGACGCCGGGCATCCACGACGCGAACCGGTCCGTGTTCGCGGCGCCGCAGGTGTACCAGTACGGCAGCAAGCTGGCGCAGGGGGCGCACCAGGCCTACAACTTCTACGACGACGACACGCCCGTGTTCCGCTACTCGCTGCTGCAGCCGACGCGGTGGACGCGGGTCGACGTCGTCGACGCCGCGACGGACTTCGTGCCGACGTGGTACGGCTACGATCCCACGCAGGCGGTGACGAATTACACGCGCACGAGCATGACGCCAAATGGGACGGTGGCGGGCGTCGAGGTGTTGGGGAATATTTACTTGTTCAGTGGCGATACGCCGTTGACGCAGTTGTCGTTGCAGTGGAGTTTCCCGTTGAGGGATGTGACGGGGACGACGTATGTGGGGTTGAAGAAGGGCGGGTACAGGCTGCTGGTGCAGTGGTTGAGGTTTGGTGGGGATGAGGAGAAGAGGGAGGATTGGGAGAGTTGGATGAGCGGGATCATTGAGTCGACGAGGGATGCGTATGAGGGTCCGGTGAATGGGACTGTGGTGTGAAGAGAAGAGACGATATGTTTGACGGATGTTCTGGGGAAGCCTGGTGGGGACGTAACCTCGGATATGCTTCCTCAATCTTTCTTTGTAATTCTGAACCGTCGTAGAGGTACAACAGACCCAATTGAGCTCCAGTCGATTCGCCTTTTCGTTCGGAGAGTCCAAATACTTCCCGAGTCCCTCTGGCTTGACGGATTCCAGTGACAGTGGTTGATGACTATCAAACCATAATCGCCGCCGGCCGGCTCCGCAGAAAGTGACGTTGAAACTGCAATAAGCTTATCGTCGTGACGTGCAGGCTTTAACCACAAAGGGAAAAGTCAGCCAGTGGCAGAGAACGGATATTGCTTTGCAGCCACCATGAGTTTCAAGAGCGGAAGAGGCCGAATATAGACTCAAGTCCGGCAGTTTTCCATCTTCTGGGTGCGGTCGCGGTAGTATCGGTTCCAGGGAACCAGTCCCGTGAAGTAACAAGGGATGGATGCGCTTCGGCGATTGACCAGGCTGTGCTTGAAGTTGGTATTAGCAAACAAGCGGGAACCTGGGCCGCAATCCACCCAGATATGAGGCGCGATGATTCTCGTATCCGGATGAAAAGGATTTCCGACAAAGATAGATACTCGGAGAATAATGGACCAGAATGATCTGCACCCATGAGTCGGCAAGGTAGCTCGTAAGCGAAGCGGTAAGGAAGACTGCATTTCGCAGCTTCTCCATGCGGCAAGAAATAGGCGAACACCCCAGGAGAGCCTGAAGCATACTGTTGCAAGGAAAGAAGGAGGATAGGAGTTCGCCGACGTGCAAATTGGATTATCCCTTGCGTGTAAGCAGCGACCGTGGAAATAAAAACACCGTGGCGAGCGTCCGCATCTGCCCGAACGGGCAATCTGTCCGCTGCCGCCAATGCCGTGATCGCGAATCAGCGGCGACCGGGTCGAGAAGTGGCAGTACGAATAAAAGTACTCTTGGCCATCGCCAAGGCTCGCACATTCGATGCCAAGTTCCAGCCTATCGAGGGTGCAGCGGCAGCGAATGATAAGGCCCCGTGCGTATCTCGTGCAGCTCCTGTGGTTGCAGTACCCCGCAACCGCGATTCTGCTTCTCCGGTCTCGGGTTCGACGACTTCTCCGAGTCACCATCCCTCGGCCGGGTCCCGTTCCTGCCATTTGCCAAGCAGCGCCAATCCGGCCCACCGCTCGCTTGCTCGCCTGTCCAGAGATCTGATTGACGGCCTGCTGGTCCAACTTTCTTCTTTGGTTTGGAGGAGCCAGGTTCGGCCCGCTGACTGGCAGATAGTGGGTAAGGTTATTTCTTGCGCGCGCCTTGGCGTTCTGAATCACCTTCCACTTCCATCATCGTTAAGGGTCCTGCTACGCGCCTTGTGTCCCACGTGCTGTAAGGAAGCACCCACGCGTGCTCTTATCATTGGTGCGGGAGAGCGCATATTGTTGTACACGATGAAACGAGCGGAGGCCACCGATGGACCCCAGCGAGATGAACCTCATGGCCCAGTGTTTATAAACGCGAGGATGATGGCCTAACTTCAATTGCGTCGTGGTTCACCTCCAGCTTTCCAGTGCATCCAAATCGCAGATCCCGGACAATGAAGTTCTTCGTCGCCGTCAGCGCGCTTCTGAGCGCCGCTCCTCTGCTCACCCAGGCCCTTCCTGCCCCGGCTCCCGTGCCTACGCCGCCTGGCATTCCGTCGCTCTCGACTGCTCAGAGCCAGCTTGCCGGCCTGACTGTTGCTGCCAAGGGCTCTTCCACTGGCTACAGCCGTGATGTAAGCGCCTCGGTCCTGTTGGTTGTCGTATTTGCTGACAAAAGAAAATAGGAATTCAACCATTGGATCACCATCTCGGGGTTCGTACATTCCATGTCAGCGTCCTGAAATCATCAATTCCTGACTTTGAGCAGCACCTGCAACACGCGCGAGACTGTGCTGAAGCGTGACGGAACCAACGTCGTCACCAGCAGCGCTTGCGCTGCCACCAGCGGTACCTGGTACAGCCCGTATGACGGCGCTACTTGGACCGCCGCTTCTGATGTCGACATCGACCACATGGTGCCTCTCTCGGAGGCCTGGAAGGTGAGCATTCGGGAATTACTGTACTCATGAACTGTGGCTGACGTGTGGCCAAGTCTGGTGCCTCTTCCTGGACTGCTGCCAGGCGCGAGGACTTCGCGAACGACCTCGACAACCCCCAGCTGTGGGCCGTCACCGACAACGTGAACCAATCCAAGGGCGACAAGTCTCCTGACGCGTGGAAGCCTCCGCTTGGTGAGTAGTCCCTTCGTCCAACATCAGAGGCTGTGAGACTGATTGAGCTATAGCTTCGTTCTACTGCGTCTACGCCAGGTCCTGGATCAAGGTGAAGTCTGTGTATAGCCTGACGATTACTTCGGCGGAGAAGAGTGCCTTGCAGGACATGTTGGACACTTGCTAAAGGACAAGCGTCGCCAATGAAAGTTTATTACTCCAGTTTTGCGAGACGTGTTGGGGTTGAAAAGGTCCATTGTTTGTTCGCGTTTGAGTCCGTAAAAAATTGGCATGCGCTCGACGAATTGATATTGACGAAAGATCGAAACTTGCAATGTTCAATGCTTCATGAACTGAATCGTTCAACTGCCTGGAGTGAGAGAAGGTTCTGCAGCATGACCGAAGTTCATGCATATCTTTTTCATGAAACGATGCAATCCAGTATCGCAATTGATGCAAGCGCTACTGAGTGCAAACTGTCTCGAGGCTTTTTGAATCAAGCGACTGGCCTGGGCAGCTTCTGCTGACAAGGAATGCTCTGATGAGAACAGCGAGCGGAATCGCTCCTGTTATGGCATCACACAATGCTGCCCTAATCACCTTGCATAGGCGTCGAACTGAGGCTGAGACATCGGAAAGCAATGACGACCGGCTCGCGGCCCGTAAGAACGGGCAAATTGATGATGTGTCATGAGATGTTGCGTTGCGCGTTGTTGGCGGAGGCGGAGGAGACACTGGTGCGGCGAACGGGCCAAGCGATCGAGGGGCCGATAAGATAGGCCAGAATTTCGACTCATCCCACCGAGATGACTGTTCGCCCGCCGACAATCTAATAAACACGGTCGCCCTCTCGTTGCGCTCTGCCTCCAATTGCACCACAACCTCTTTTCGCGCACCCTGCCCCTCCAAGATGGCTACCATCTACATCGACGAGGACATCGGCAAAGACGAGCCCACCCAGCAGGGCACCCAGGAATCGCCCTTCAAGACGCTTCAATTCGCGTACCTCCAGCGCCCCGCCGAGGCCTCATACCTGACCCGCAAGTCCCAGAGCGAGGACGAGGCCGCGAAGGAATGGAAGCCCGTCGCTAAGGCCGGCCTGAAGAAGGCAGTCAACTACTACGAGCAGCAGAAGAAGAAGGCTGCCCGCGAGCAGGAACTCACCGCCCAGCGTGCAAAGGAAGAGGCAGAGCGCGCAAAGGTTCTGGAGGAGGCCAAGAAGGTCGTCATTGAGGAAGACACCAGCCTGCCCCAGGCCATCAAGATCAAGCTGGACGAGACGGGCGACCACATCAAGCTGCGCAGCGGCCAGGACTCCGAGAACAAGGGTACTCGTGTGAAGGTGCTTGGCCGCGTGCACCGCGAGCGCAAGCAGAAGGATGTCCTCTTCATTACGCTGAGGGACGGCTACGGCTTCATGCAGGTCGTCATCGCCGGCAAGCTGGCGAAGACTTACGACGCCCTGACCTTGACCCGCGAGACCTCCATGGAGATCTACGGCGAGATGTTCGAGGTCCCGGCCGGCGCTCACGCTCCCCTCAACCGCGAGCTTCACGCCGACTTCTACAGGATTCCCAAGGAGTGGAAGGCTGCTGGCGGTGAAGACGCCATCACCAACAGGGTTCAGGCTAAGGCTGATCCCAGCACGCTGCTGGACCTGCGCCACCTCACTCTTCGCGGTGAGGTCGCTTCCTCGGTCATGTTGGTCCGCGATGCCATCGAGTACGCTTTCCACACCGCATACAAGGAGACCAGGATCCGCAAGGTCAGCCCTCCTGCTCTGGTGCAGACGCAGGTCGAGGGTGGCGCAACGCTTTTCAAATTCGACTACTACGGCCAGGATGCCTTCCTTACCCAGTCTTCTCAGCTGTACCTCGAGACCGTGCTGCCGTCCATGGGCGATGTCTACTGTATCGAGAAGTCCTTCCGTGCGGAGAAGTCCCTCACCAGACGCCACTTGTCCGAGTACACGCACATCGAGGCCGAGCTGGACTTCATCACCTTTGATGATCTCCTGACTCACCTTGAGCACATCATCTGCCGTGTCCTCGAGCTTACCATGGCTGACCCGGTCATCGCTGGCTACATCAAGAACCTCAACCCCGACTTCAAGATGCCTGAGAGGCCGTTCATGCGTATGAAGTACTCCGACGCCATCCAATGGCTGGTCGAGCACGAAATCCCCAACGAGGAGGGCGAGCCTCACAAGTTCGGTGACGACATTGCGGAAGCTGCCGAGCGTAGGATGACGGACATCATCAACAGGCCCATCTTCCTGACTCACTTCCCGGTCGAGATCAAGGCCTTCTACATGCAGAGGGATAAGGAGGATCCCCGCGTGACCGAGAGCGTCGACTGCCTGATGCCTGGCGTCGGCGAGATCGTGGGTGGATCGATGAGGTTGGATGACCACGACGCGCTCATGGCGGCCTTCAAGCGCGAGGGTCTCAACCCTGAGCCGTACTACTGGTACACCGACCAGCGGAAGTAAGTGACAAATAGACTGACACCCCGGTTATAGGGTACGTTCGCTAACAAATAACTCAGGTATGGCAGCTCGCCCCACGGTGGCTATGGCCTGGGTTTGGAGCGTTTCCTGGCGTGGCTTTGCAAGCAGCACACCGTCAGGGACTGCTGCCTGTACCCGCGCTACATGGGTCGCTGCACGCCGTAAGCACTTTAGTGGCGTTCTTGCTGAGGCGCGGGAGTTGCTGTCGTGGGTTGCATTAACTATTCCATTTTGCGGGCGGGTGCCTAGAGAGTGCCGCGAGCACCATCTTCTTTTTTTCGTTTCAGGTCTTCAAAAAGACGACAAGCATCCGCATAGCCTAAAGATAGAGCAAGATCAAGAAAGCTTGGCGTCGCGCTCTGTCGCGTGGCGTGCTAACCGCATGCTAAAGCTCCACCTGCAGGCTCCACTGTGAAGCGGCACAACAGCGCCAGGGCGCATCATTTTTAGCAGGCGCCCATCTTTGCAGGGCGTGCAAGCGAATTCTTAAACGCTGCGCACGAGGAATGCTGCGCCGCGGCAAGGGTGGCTGCTAGAAAGCACCGCAACGCGGTGAAAGATGTGGGTGTTCGTTTCCGGCACCCAGGGAGCCGAGCTTCACGGTCACGTGCCGCAGCGCCCACCAGGGCTATTAAAGGAAAGCGCGCCCCGCTCAGCAGAACGTGGAATTGGAGGTTGCGGCTCTTTGACTGGCGCAACGCGACCAAAGCACCACCACCTCAGTTGTCAGTCCACGTCCGACGCGTCCGCACGCCCACCCGTTCCCCCAATTGCAGTCGCTTGCTCCACCACCCTGCCGTTCCGGCCCACGCACCCAGTCGCAGCTGGTCCATCCTTCCGCAGCCCACCGGCCCAAGCTCCCAGAGCTTCGCGTGTCCGCCAAGCAAAGCAGGATCGCCGCTGCCGCATGCGCCTGCACACCGCGCGCCCACCCCGACACCACCTCCATCCGCCCACCCACCCCCGCAAGCCGCTCCTCGCTGAGCATGTGAGGCGCAATGCGGTTCAACTCCCCGAGAAACCTTCACTACCCCATCACCGTCACGAAGCTTCTGCAGCAACAGGATGACAAGGTGAAGAGGTTCGCGAAGCTCTTCTCATACTACTATACAACTTCTGTGACGGAAGTTGATGAGTTCGGCCAGGAAAATGAGGTCGAGAAGAAGTTCCCGGCCGACTTCCAAGCCGAGAAGGAAGGCACCCTGAGGACCTGGTTTATCAGGGAGGGAGACGTCATCGAGCGCGAGGGGTAAGTGGCGCGCGCGGTCTTCCCGCCGGTCCGGATCCGTCGCCCTTTGCTGATATCAAACAGAGTCAAGCTATTCGAGCTCAATGAAGAGTGTTCACACGAAGTCCAATGGGGCGGAATGTGCGTCAACTGCGGGAAGAATATGGACGAGTAAGTCATGCCGGCCGCCCCCCCAAGTTTTTTTTTTCCTGACAGCAAGACCACAGAGTAAGTTTCAACACAACGATGCGCGATATCGACCGTGCTACTGTCGTCCGAGCCCATGGCAGCACCGCCCTCAAGATCAGCGAAGATGTCGCCATTCGCGCCGAGGAGGAAGCCAAACGCCGCCTCCTGTCCAGTAAGAAGCTCTCCCTCGTCGTCGATCTGGATCAGACCATCATCCACGCGACGGTGGATCCGACCGTAGCCGAATGGCAGAAGGATCCGGATAACCCGAACTACGATGCGGTCAAGGATGTTCAATCCTTCCAGCTCCTTGATAATGGACCGGGCGGGAGAGGATGTTGGTACTACATCAAGTTGAGACCGGGCTTGCGAGAATTTTTGGAGAACATCTCAAAGATCTATGAGCTGCACATTTACACGATGGGAACACGGGCCTACGCGCAGAATATCGCGAAGATTGTTGACCCCAATCGCAAGATTTTCGGCGATAGGATTCTCAGTCGAGACGAGAGCGGTAGCCTGACGGTCAAAACGCTACACCGAATCTTTCCTGTGGACACCAAGATGGTCGTTATCATCGATGACAGAGGTGACGTCTGGAACTGGCACAGTAACCTGATCAAGGTGACACCTTATGACTTTTTCGTGGGCATTGGCGACATCAACAGCAGCTTTCTCCCCAAGCGACATGACATTGCCCCAGCGGACCCACCGCCGCCGTATACCCCGCCACAAGACGAAGCAGAAGGTGCGAAGGGGGGTGCGACAGAGGGCTCAACGGCCGAAGAGAAGCTCTCACATCTCAAAATTCAGATGCCCCCCAAGCCCAATAGTGAAACAACTTCGCTAGAGGAACAGCTCGTTGCCATGAGCGGGGGTGACAACCCTGAGCTGCTTAAGGAACAAACGGATGAGCAGAACGAGACGATCGCGACGCAGATGGAAGACAAGCCGCTGTTGCGTAGGCAGGAAATTCTCGACAAGGCGGATCAAGAAGCCGCAGAAAAGGAGGAGAACCGCGAGAATGGTGATGAAACGCCTAGTGATGCTCACAGACGCCATAACCTTCTTCACGATGACGATGAGGAGCTCGCACATCTGGAAGCCAACCTGCGGTCCGTTCATCAACGCTTCTACGAGCGATACGAAAGGAACCGATCTGGCGCCCAGGGCGGAAGACTGGCGCAGCTCAAAGGGGAAAAGAGCCCGAAGAAACGGCCGATTGACGACTTGGAGATAGTGCCAGACGTCGCTTTAATCATGCCTGACATGAAACGGAGCGTTCTCAAGGGTGTCTCAATCGTATTCTCCGGAGTGGTTCCGCTGGGGACCAACATTCAAAAGTGAGTATTGCAGTACCTTGGTAGCTCCGGGCCGCATCCTAACGCGTCTGCAGTTCCGAGTATGCCGTCTGGGCAAAGAGCTTTGGCGCAAAGGTGTCCGAAGTCATCAACCGAAAAACCACGCACGTAGTCGCAGCGAGGAATCGGCGAACACAAAAAGTCCGGCAAGCAGCGCGACACCCTCAGATCAAGATCGTGACTGTGGACTGGCTCAAGGAATGTTTCGTCAAGTGGCAACGTGCGCCGGAAGGGCCCCACATCATCCATGTGGAGCCTGATGAGCGCGGCCCGCACGCCTCGCAGGGTTCCCCATTCGACGAGCTCGATGAGGGTACCGTGATGTCTTCATCCGAAGAGGATGCCATGAATGCGGAAACCGACCTTGATGAGCTTGGGGAAGACGATACGGGTAGCGATGACGATGAACTGGATGAAATGATGCCCACTTCCCCCGTCGACGAACAGAACCTCAGGCTGGATGATACAGACCGCGAAGAGCTCGAGAAGGAACTCGCAGAATTCCTCGACGAGAGCGACACGGACGGCGAAGCAGGCGACAAGTCTGACGGTTTCGAGTCAGATGCCAGCGTCCGCAGCGAGACGTCGGTGAAGACGTTGCACAAGAAAAGAAAACGGAACGCCGAGTCCACCGACAACTCGGAAACCAGCGACAGCGACTCTAACATGACGGACGACGGGACGGTCAGCGTGGCGGGGTCCAAGCTCCAGCGGCGGAAGAAGCGGGCGCTAGAGCGGGTGACCAGTTTGACCAACGTCGCAATCGTCGAGCACTCATCCGGCCTCCCGAGTCCAGACACGACGGGCCCGGAGGAAGGGCAAGGTGAAGAGGACGCAAGCAAATTAAACCAGGCGGAGGCCGACGAAGACGACGATGCACTGGAAGCGGAGCTGCTAGCAGAGTTCGAAAAGGATGACGACGAAGAGGAAACTGAAAACTGAGGGCGGTCGTCTTTCTTTGTTGCGAGCAGGCGACATTTCGAAAGGGGTGCACAGCTGCATTGGGGCGGGTTTGTCCGCATCTTATAGGTCTGTCTCTACATAGCGGGGCTCTCTTTATTCTGTACGACACAGCGACGACTGCTCTCGATCACTCACAGCCTGCATAGCGCGGAGTTCAGGGATCTTGAAGACTGGAGTTTGGCGGAATTGGGATTGACAAGGGTATGGCGGGCGGGCGGATCAGTGCTTTGACGCACCTCACATCGGCGACCTGCATGGAAGGTGCGCTTTGACTAGCTGGCGGCGCGCCATGTAGAGTAGCTCAATCCCTTTGATGAAAAACTAGCTTCGGCGATGCGTGCTGGCTGGCCTCGTGAGGAGTGAGCTGTCGCTGCATCAGAGCTTGCCTAGTGGGCGTCACGGGCCATGGGGAGGCATCGGAGGGTGGCTGAGGAGATGATGGCAGGGCTGGACAGGGCGACGCCAACGATTGCCGGGACAAGCGCAGCGGACGCCTTCCCCCTTGAGATGCGCCGTTTTGATTTTCGCGCCCAACTGTGCGCCACAGTCTGAGTCATGCAGCAGGATTAGCAGCGAGCAGATTGCTCCAGGCGGTATGCACGCCGAGGCAGGCTGGCCAACTCCAGGGCAAAATGGTCTGACTTTCTCCACGGCAGCCACAATCGTATGTTGCTGGTCGACACGAGCCTGCGCAGGCACGCGTCGGCTCTGCCAAGGCCTGGGCCTGGGGTTTTCCGTCATCGAGCCCGTTTCACTTGCGGATAAAATAATCGTCAGATTCGCGCACCTCAAGCTGCGGCCTGCTTCTGTACTTTTCCTTTCTTTTTCTCGTCTGCTTCTTTGGTGCTGCTGCTGCTGCTGTGCGTCCGCTGCCTGCTACCCGCCGCCGCCTCCACTTACCACCGGCATCCCGCCTGCGCGTCACTCCCACTCTTTCTTGATTTTTCTTCCAAGTCGTCCTTTCCTTTGCACCACCGATTGTGCGAGCCAAGATGTTGACCAAGGCGACTGGTCTCTCGATTGAGATATGGGCGATGATAGTCGACTATGTGAGTCCAACCACGAAAAAGCAGCCACTGGCTTGCAGACCCCGCACGCGACCCATGCCCATTCTTGGCTGCGCACCCATGACGATGGAGTAGTCTCGCTGACGCATTGTCCGCCACCGCGACAGGTTCTCCGGCCTACGGACCTCAAGAGCTTGTCCCTCACGTGCAAGCAGCTGCACCAGATCGCGGTGCGCAATTTGTACCGCGAGGTGACTCTGAACGTCGGCAGCACGGCTGACCTCAATCTGGGCGCTTTCCTCAACCCCCGCAACATCGGGCTGAACTACATCCGCCGCCTGCACATCTACCTTGCCGAGGTCGAGGACAAGCGCAACCAGCTGCAGCAGGCCCACTTTGCTGTGCGCATGATCCTGGAGTTCCTGCCTGAAAACATTCTCGAGCGGTTTTCTTGGCACCCATGGCAGCCGTTCTCTGCGGACAACCTACTGCTGCTGTACCGCAAGCAGCGCCATATGACATGGCTGGAGGGCATCTCGCTCGACAAGAACATCCTGGACCAGCTGGAGCACTCGTCGGATTTGGAGGGCATCGCTGAGCACACCCGCACCCTGGGCCTGTATCCCGATAGCGGAGAGGTGCTGGATCTGTGCAACATCCTGCTGCGGAAGAACAAGAAGGTCGACAAGCTCATCGTCAATGCCAGCTTCCATCCCGCTGTGAGCTCGTTCTCGCCTCGTGAGCTGCACGATTCGAGCACCGGGCCTGGTTTGATCACCTCGAGGCTGTTTGGACACATGATTCCCCTGGAGCACTGTAAGCCTCTAGCCCTCACCGAGCTTACGCTGCAGAAGGTGCATCTGCGGTACTCGGCGGAGACGTGGTGCCGTGCCATCAAATTCTCCACGCTCAAGAAACTTGCTATTTTCGACTGCCCTGGAGCATGCACTCTGTTCGCCGAGCTGAGCAAGCCAACTAAGCTGCCGCAGAACCTCGAGACGCTGGAGTTCAAGCACGAGGACAACCGCGAGAGCGACGCGCTGCACGCTCTGGACAACTTCCTATGCCTCGTCACCGGACTCAAGGCCATCACCATCGACATCAGCAACGTCAAGGAGCTGCCCGCCGCCGCAGGCATCAGCAGACACGGCAAGACGCTGAAGCTGCTCAACGTGCACGCCAACGCGGCGGACCTGCTGGAGGACGAGTACGTGTACAGCCCGCTGGACTTTGAGAGCATCTGCAGGGAATGCTCGGAGCTGGAGCAGATGTCGGTCGGTTTCCCGGCGACCAGCATCGTCTCGGACAAGACGGACAGCTTCGCCGCCTTCGAGGTAAGAGAGCCAAGTCCCCAAAAACCCCCCATTAAAAAGCCAAGTCTCGGCGTTCATGCCGCCTGACCCGCCTAACCCCACACCTATTGCAAATCCTATGGAGCCATTATGACTGACCGGTGAAAAAAAAATCCAGAACGCTCTCAACTACCTCCCCAAGCTCGTCTCTCTCAACATCACCACGTGGCCCAAGAACAACAACAGCCTCGGCTCCCTCCCACGCAACATCTACGCCCTCCTCGTCCAAAACGTCGCCCAATCCATCCTGTATTCCCACAACCCGCACCCCGTCTCTTCCGACGCCCACAGCGACACCGACTCCGTCATCACCGCCGTCGACCACCATCACCATCATCACCACGACCACCACCACCATCACCGCTCCCCCCGCCACTCCCACCTCAACCTCATCGCCTTCGGCAGCACCGACGCCGCCACCGCGCACGCCGCCGCGCTCCTCGACGACAGCCGCACGCAGCTCGTCTTCGTCAAGGGCCGCCAGCTGGGGCCGTTCGGCGAGGAGGCGCCGCTGGCCGTCGGTGTGAAGGGCAGGCTCAGGGAGTACGTCGAGCCGCGCAGCGAGGTGCTGGATTTCGGGCTCGCGCGCGCGCGGAAGATGCCGAGCGGGGGTGAGGATTTGGGGGTCGGGATGGGGGTGGGGTGGTTGGCGAATTGAGGGGGTGGGTCGGAAGAGGGGGTTAGAGGGGTGAGAAGAGGGGGAGGGGGGAAAGGGGGGGAGATTGTCTGAGTGGGAAGGGGAAGTATATTCTGTTTGCTCCTTTTTTTTCTTTTTCGTTTTTTTTCCTCTGGCTTCTAAAAGTGCATTGGCTGGCGCTGAGGGGACATCTTTGCCCTTTCAACTCTCTTGCGGCATCTTTTTTGGCATGGGGGGACGGATCTCGGCGCGCTTTGTTTTACACGTTTTTTTGTAAGCCGGTGTTTGTCTTTCAGGATTTGGGTCGGAGTTATGCGGGATGATATCCCTGATTTGATGGCTGTAACTCGGGTCTCCGCATTGACTAGGAAGATGTGAATGTTAACCGGTTGGTAAAGAACTGTAGCTGTATGTGGGGGGCTGGTCAGAAGCCAAGAAGTGCAGTTAGTTCAGCGGGTAAGCTGACAGCAAAATATGACATCAAGTGATTGTATTTTACGTTAGTAAAATGCAGCACCTAGGATACGAGCGCGTTTAATCTTTTTGACTTTGTGATGATCATGTGCGACATAACAATAGAATAGCACACGCGTCAATATTCTTTAGCGACTGACTGAGAGGTTTACCTCGGCGACGATAGAGCCAAAGGCGGTGAGTGTGTGAGAGGTTAGTCAGCAAAAAGTTTGGATTCTGCCGCCGCGGCGCGCTCGGCCTTCGTGTTTCTCACAAAAATTCCGGGAGGGCAGGACACCGTAACTACGTTACGCTACACAACGCGCGCAAGCGCAATTCACTCTTTCGCACAGTACGACGCGCCTCTGACTACACAATTTCGAATCGCGCACAAGAAGAAAACCCACCATGGCCGCTGCAAAGCTCGACACCTCTCTCCCGACGCTGCTGTCGAACCTGACAGCATCGCTCACCTCTGCCGCCGAGCCGGTACCTTCTCCCGCCGCGGACGATGACACATCAGACTCGCTCCAGCCCAAGGACGGCATTTCGCTGCTGGATGTCAAGAACGAGCTGCTGCTGTCGTACCTGCAGAACCTGGTCTTCCTGATCCTGCTGAAGCTGCGGAACAATGAGAAGACGGGCAACAAAAAGCAACAAGATGGGGGAGAGAGCACTGAGGATGTCGTCAAGAAATTGTGTGAGCTCCGGCTGTACCTAGAGAAGGGCGCGCGGCCGCTCGAGGGCAAGCTTAAGTACCAGATCGACAAGGTGGTGCGGGCGGCAGACGATGCAGCGAGGGCAGAGGAGGCGCTGAAGAAGGCCGGCACGCCTGCGGGCAAGAAGAACAAGAAGAAGGCAGAGAAGGCAAACAGCGACGATGAGAGCGAAGAAGACGATGAGGACGCCAGCGGCAGCGACGAAGACGAGGACGACGAAGACGCCTCCGACATCGACGAGCTCGCCTACCGCCCCAACCCTCTCGCCTTCGCCCGCGGCAGCAACGCCGCAGCCGACACAGACAAGAAGAGCAAGAAGAAGGACGAACCCAGCGACGGCATCTACCGGCCCCCGCGCATCACCGCGACCGCGATGCCAGAAGACCTCCCACGCTACGGCGGCCGCGACGACCGCGACCGCGGGCCCCGCCGCGCCGCCGCCATCGACGACTTCGTCGACGAGCACCTGTCGACGGCACCCATCGCACAGCCCAGCATCGGCTCCAACGTCGTCGACGGCGGCCGCCGCGTCAAGTCGGCGCGCGAGCGCGCGGACGAGGAGGAGCGCCGCGTGTACGAGGAGACGAATTTCGTCCGCCTGCCAAAGGTCGGCAAGAAGGAGCGCGCGAAGAACGCGGGGCGCAACCGCAACGCCTTCGGCGGCGAGGAGTGGCGCGAGCTCGGCGCCGGCGTCGACCGCATCGACCGCTTGACGCGCAGGGGCGAGCGCACCAGCACCAAGAGCGCCCTCGAGAAGAGCAGGAAGAGGGCCGTCGACGACGGGCCCAGGGCGAGCGGTGCAGAGGCCGGTGCTATGTTTGCGAAGCGGAGGAAGGTGGCGCAGAGGAGGAGGTAGAGATTGCGGTTCTAGGTGCGCTAGTTTGGACTGCTTCGGGGTCTGTGATGGAGCGGTTTCCGTGGCATTTATTGGCGTTGGCTGGTCATGGGATGCAATCGATGGGGATCGGTCAAAAAAAAAAGTTGCTGTAGAGATGGGATACCCCCAGAAATCTATTTTGTCTCTTCCTTTCCAATTCTCGTCAAAAGTGAAGTCAGACAGTGAAGATGTTCTTGATATTGATTTTCAGGCGAATACGAGCAGTCCCACGGGCACTTGCATGCTGCACGCCGGCTGTGGCTGCTTACCAAGCATGAGCTTAATGCTGGTGCACCAGTCCATGAATGTTTGCTCTCAGGTACTCATGCAATCTGCCAGGGACAAGGCTGTGCTTCGTTATCCTGTTGGCCGCTGTGGTGCATATGAAGCTATTCTTACTACCGGTTTTTATTGCGTTTCTAGCTCTTTGATACAGTCAAAGAATACACAGCTTTTATATATTCACCTCTACCCTTAATAATTTATTGCACATAGCTTGGGGAAAAAAAAAAGAGAAATAATATAGACGGTGCCGCACACAACAGAATTGGAGCAGTTATTTTAAACTTTTATCTCACTAATACCTTATTCTCCGGCCATCTCTTCTTTGATTTAAAGACTTATGGCATGGGCGTTAAACTTTGATATGAAGTAAACATAATCCAAGTTACTGTATGACTCGTTCAGACGAGAAGGGTAACTGGGAACTAAATCCACCGTAGAACGTTCCTAGAATATTCGAAGCGCCTTGCTTAATCTTCTGCGACCGCTAGTGGCACAGAAGACATTCCATTCAACTATCTTTGAGTAACCACCTCACGACACGTGACAGTGCGTTATCTATACCACCGACGAATACATTCCTGCGCTGCAAGGCAACATACCTTCTTATCAGGACAACAGAGTGAAATGGGTCAACGAGAGTGATTGTCTCCATGAAGAGCAAGGACAATACGAAGGGGTTGTCATTGTTGAGGATCAAGATAAAGACGGTCCATGTTTCAACACATTTTCATTCATTTTACTATCTCTCCGCTAGGCACGTGTTCCCGTTGCCTCATTCCCTTGTCCTGCTACATAGAGCAGACAGAAAAGCTGAACGAACGTTTCCTCCAAAGCCAAAAGAGAAAGCTATGAGCGTTCCGTGGAATTCGTGTTGAAAGAACCCCCTCCCAAACGCCGACGCTTTTGTATTATATTGGTGGAAACCAAACGAAAAAACCAAGGTTGCGAAGAAAGCTCTTCTTTTCTCTCTTATTCGTCTGCAATACTATGCAGCTCTTGCGCATATTGCAGCGTTACACTTCTAGAGAGTCTATGTTGAATACTGTTGACAGGTGGTATCTTGCCCAAAAACCCAAGAAAGATTTTTCTCTTTTTAGATGATCCCTGACGCCGTTTTGTTTGTTGAAAAGATAACATCAGTCGTTACCGCGTTTCGTTGACAAGACGTTGAGTCGTCAACTTAAAATGTTCATTGCAAAAGAAGCCGGAAGGAAAATTAAGCTTTTGGCTCATGCAGTTAGAACTTGAGCTCCTTGGGCTGCTCCCAGGTGAAGGTCTGGTCGGTGAAGTGACCGTTCTTGGCGGTGCGGTTGTAGATGGGGTTGGTAAGGTTGAGCTCCTTGACGATGACACCGGGCCTCATGTCGAAGTTGTTGCGGATGATCTCGACGAGCTCATCCGAGGTCTTGTCAGAGGTGCCGTAGGTCTCAACGAACAGGGAGAGGGGCTCAGCGACACCAATGGCGTACGAGAGCTGGACGAGGGCACGGCGGGCGAGGCCGGCCTTGAGGAGGGACTTGGCGATCCAGCGGGCCAGGTAGGCGGCCGAGCGGTCGACCTTGGAGTAGTCCTTGCCGGAGAAGGCACCACCACCGTGGGCACCCCAGCCACCGTAGGTGTCGACGATGATCTTACGGCCAGTCAGACCGGCGTCACCCTGGGGACCACCGATGATGAAGAGGCCAGAGGGCTGGATCTGTGGAGGGGTCAGCGGGAAATCCCAACAAAATGCGCTTTCTGTTGAAACTTACGTGGTAGACGGTCTTGTCATCGAGAAGGTGAGCGGGAATGACCTTCTTGATGATCTTCTCCTTGATCTCCTTGCGGAGCTCCTCGGTGGTGATGTCCTCGGAGTGCTGAGCGGAGACGACAACGGTGTCGACGCGCTTGGGGATAACGGCACCGCCGTCGTGCTCGTACTCGACGGTGACCTGGGTCTTGGTGTCGGGACGGAGCCAGGGAAGCTCGCCGCTGTTGCGGGCCTCCTTCATGGCGGAGTTGAGCTTGTGCGACAGAAGGACAGTGAGGGGAAGCATCTCGGGGGTCTCGTCGGTGGCATAACCGAACATGATACCCTGGTCACCAGCGCCGAGCTGCTCAAGAGCCTGCTCGTAGTGGAGACCCTGAGCGATATCGGGGGACTGCTGCTCAATGGCGACAAGGACGTTGCAGGTCTTGTAGTCAAAACCCTTGGCGGAGTCATCGTAGCCGATGTCCTTGATGGCGCCACGGATGATCTTCTGGTAGTCGAGGTGGGCCTTGGTGGTAATCTCACCGAAGACCATGATCATACCAGTCTTGGTGGCGGTCTCGCAGGCAACCTTGGAGAGCGGGTCCTCGGCAAGGCAGGCATCGAGAATGGCGTCCGAAACCTGGTCGCTGCAGCACTGTCAGAACGAGCGCGTTTCTGCGCGGAGCAGCGGAGTCATACGCAATCTTGTCGGGGTGACCCTCACCGACCGACTCGGAGGTGAAGAGGAAGGTGCCCTTGGGGGCAGTGCCATTGGGAACGGAGACCATCGTGGCGGCTAGAAAAGGCTCTGGGCGCGAGGGCGAGAGAGCGAGAGGAGAGGAGGGCGGAAGTGGACGTGGAGAAGAAGAGGATGAAGAGAGAAGGTGGGTGGAGGAGGGGAAAAAGAGACAATGGCTCTGGGAAAAGACGCTAAGCCGACCTTTAATTGCCGGGCGCAAAGCACCTCATCCCGCCATTTTTTCGCTCACCGCCTGCCGCTCCGGTGCCTTTCTGCCGCACGTGCCGCCGCTCGGAGCTTCCGCTCGGTCGCAAGCGGCGCGAAAAAGTCGCCGGCCGTCAGCTCGGTCGCCGCATGTGAGCGCCTTCGATCAAAACTCCCCGCATCGCGACGCCATGAGCAAGTTCGGCACTCTGGTCATGGGCCCGGCCGGCGCCGGCAAGAGCACCTTCTGCTCCGCCCTCATCCAGCACCTGCGCACCGTCAAGCGCTCGTGCTTCTACATCAACCTCGACCCCGCCGCCGACGACTTTGCGTACGAGCCCGATGTCGACATCAAGGACCTGATCAGCCTCGAGGATGTCATGGAGGAGATGGGCCTCGGCCCCAACGGCGGCCTCATCTACTGTTTCGAGTTCCTGCTGGAGAACATGGACTTCCTGACCGAGCCGTTGGAGGAGGTGACGGAAGAGTACCTGATCATCATCGACATGCCGGGCCAGATTGAGCTGTACACGCACGTCCCCATCCTCCCCGCTCTCGTCAAGCACCTCACGCGGGGCTCGCTGAACATCAATCTGTGCGCCGCCTACCTGCTCGAGGCAACCTTCGTCATCGACCGCGCCAAGTTCTTCGCCGGCACCCTCTCGGCCATGAGCGCGATGCTCATGCTGGAAATGCCGCACATCAACATCCTGAGCAAGATGGACTTGGTCAAGGACCAGGTGGCCAAACGCGAGCTGAAGCGCTTCATCACGCCAGACGCCGGCCTGATGGACGACGACCCGGCCCACAAGCTGGAGTTCGAGAGCGACGGTGGTGACCCATCTGCGACCAAGAGCGTCATGACGGGCTCCTCGTTCAACAGGCTGAACAAGGCGGTGGCGCAACTTATCGACGACTTCAGCATGGTTTCTTTCCTCAAGCTCAACGTGCAGGATGAGGACAGCGTGAACGCAATCCTCAGCTACATCGATGACGCCATACAGTACCATGAAGCGCAAGAGCCGCACGAGCCAATGGACGAGGCCGACGCGGGCATGGACGACGATTGAATTGGTCCGAGGAAATGCATGGTTGGGAGTTCTGGATGAAGTTTAAGAGTCGGGCATAGCAATGGCGTTTCTGGATACCAAGAAGAGGAATGAGGGTCGATTTGAAAAGGTTATATGGACGAACTAATGGAGACACCGGACGCAGTTCCGTATCGTCAGTTGCCCACTTGCATCACCACGTAACTCGATGGCGTCTTCAGTCTAATTGTATCCTTCCGCCAACGGAAATCGCCAGTGTGGGTGACACAACCTCTTAAGCCAGCACATGATGGCTGGGAGGATTCTTGTAGTCTGCAAGACTACATACTAACTTGTCGAGCTTTTGCCGAAGTCGAATCGTTGAGACCGAAGTTCTCCGCGCTGCCGAAGCATCCGCTGCAGCCTCAATGCGGAGACATCATTTCTTGCCATTTCCGGCAGCACTGTCACGGCCTGACCACAGTAGCGGGTGTAGAAACTGCACTTCCGTCCTGATTCGTGAATCGAACAGTAAGCCGGTGGCTGTGGCATTCCTCAATGTGGGTTCGGCTATTCAAGTTCGTGCGACCAGTCCATACATTGGCGTATCTGGGTCCAGGTCTGTACAGAGGCGATCTTCGCGTAACAAGTCACGGTGCGCAACCTTGCATGGTGGACCAAATTTGGTTCGGGATGACGAAAGGAGGCTGCTGAACTGCCACCTGGCGATCACAGCAGGATGACTTTTGGCAGTACCTTTCCGAACTCCTTCACAACCAACCTATTTGGATCCCATGCATGACGTCAAATCCGTACGTCTTACGTCTCAATGCCATGTGAGAAAAGGTGGTTTCACTTCTCGGGCAACTTCCGATAATTTGCACCGATGTGGGGAGAATGCGCAGAAGAAACGCCGGTAATCTCATGCAGGTACGCCGTGCCAGAAGCAGCAACGCTAAGCAGCCATCTGAGACCAATCGACGTTTCCAAACGAATCAAAACCCCAGGCCACGCTCGGGCGCAGGTACGGTTGTTCGAAGCGCGGGGTAGCACACCACATCTTTTATCCGTCAATCTTAATCAACCCCAAACAATTGAGGATCGTCCTCACCTGGCCAAGCTTTTCCTCGATAAGTCGCACGCTATAACCACGAATAAGTCACGTTTTCGCAGATTAATTACCCTTGCCGGATTACGAGCCCGCTGGCTCCGGCGGCTCATCTCACTGCTTTTACCGTCTCTCGCTCGCCTCTCAGGTGGTGTCACGCTCCGCTGACTTGGCGACCCATACAATCCACGATTCAGTCCTAGTCCGTTTTTCCACAATCAGCCAGCATACCACGGACCCGCTTGTTTCATGCTCTGACCCGCTGCCATTGGATCGGTTGTGCTTTTGCATGTAAACATGGCTCTATCCGGGTTTCCCGGCTGTCAAATGCTCCACTGCAGGCAAGTCCGTGCCAAGTGTGGACATCTTCCCAGCCCACAGGCTAAGACTAACAGTCCCCGAATGAGCCGCAGCCCCTTTGAAGTTTCTGGATTGAGCTTTGAAACTGGATGGCGGTGCCATTGTAACGGGCGCTGAGCACGTTAGCGACGGAAAGTCGGTCCAGTTCTCCGGCCGCCGCCATGGAGCCATGCTCGCCCTGTGCATATGCCATACAATATAAAACAGAGCCTCCCGCTTGCTCTATCTTACTCCGCAAGCGCCTTCCAACAAAGCCAATTCTCAGGGACAGATTTACCTTCGTCGTTCTTTCTCGCCACAATGAAGCAAGCTGCAGCGCTCGCCCTCGCGGCCGTGCTGCCGTCCGTGTATGCTGCACCGGCTGCTACCTCGTCGACAGCAGCAACCGTGACCGCAGCTGCTGCCACCGACAACCCGCTTGCCGGCTACAGCTTTTACGCCAATGCCTACTACGCGTCTGAGGTCAGCGTGGCTGCTGCATCCCTCAGCTCCGCGGGCAGCACTGCCTTGGCTGCTCAGGCTACCAAGGTCGCCGAAGTCCCCAGCTTCTACTGGCTGTAAGTTACCGATCTCAGGTGCGATCAAGTTGTGTAACAATAAGCTTACTCCCGCTTCAGCGACACCCGTGCCAAGATCCCCATGATCGACGACTTCGCGAAGGACGTGCAGACCAAGAACGCGGCTGGCGCAAAGCTGACCCTGCCCCTGGTTGTCTACGATCTTCCGGACCGTGACTGCGCTGCCGCTGCTTCCAACGGAGAGCTGGCCATCGCCGACGATGGTGTCAACATCTACAAGACCGAGTACATTGACGAGATCGTCAAGAAGGTCAAGGCCTACCCCGATGTGTTCTTCACGTTGGTCATTGGTATGTTTAGCTTGCAAAACTCAATTTGCATTAACCATGCTCACATCCATTTTCAGAGCCCGATTCGCTCGCCAACCTGGTGACCAACCTGAACGTGGCAAAGTGCGCCAACGCTGCGGATGCGTACAAGGAGAGCGTCACCTACGCCATCAAGCAGCTCAACCTCGACAACGTTGCCATGTACCTGGATGCCGGACACGCCGGCTGGCTCGGCTGGCCTGCCAACCAGCAGCCGACAGCTGACCTGTTCAACCAGCTGTACAAGGACGCGGGTAGCCCGAAGGCGGTGCGCGGCCTCGCGACGAACGTGTCCAACTACAACGCGTGGAGCATCGCCACGTGCCCTTCGTACACACAGGGCAGCACCATCTGCGACGAGAAGCGCTTCATTAACGCTCTCGGCCCGCTTCTCGATGCCGGCATCGCCCACTTCATCGTCGACCAGGGCCGCTCCGGCAAGCAGCCCACCGCTCAGGAGCAGTGGGGCGACTGGTGCAACGTCAAGGACACCGGTTTCGGCATGCGCCCGACCACCGAGACCGACGACGCGCTGCTTGATGCCATCGTCTGGGTCAAGCCTGGTGGAGAGGCCGACGGCACCTCGGACACGTCGGCTGAGCGCTACGACACGCACTGCGGTGCCAACAGCGCGCTCAAGCCCGCTCCTGAGGCCGGTACCTGGTTCCAGGCCTACTTCGTCCAGCTTCTTCAGAACGCCAACCCGGCTTTTTCTTAAATGCCAACTTGGCTTTCTAAATGAGTCGCGAAGTCCAACCGCCGTCAGGGGGGATTGGTTATGAGGAGGGCAGCTCTCCGATCTTTACGACATTCTTCATGTGAATACCTTTGCAATATCTGTCCATACTTTTTGAAAAATGAACTTCTCCCTCGCTGAATCATTGTTTGTCCATGACTCAATTGGTGTTTGTGATGTCTCCACTGATAAACATGATGCATTTGGGATTTCTTCTAGAAGACATTTCTGCTAGCATCCGGTGCTATCCGATGCCGAGATGTTTGAAACTGCCATGGTGAATAGCGAAACAACTACGAGTCGTGCCCCAACATCCGTAAAAATCTCCGTCGTAACATTTTAGAGCACTGAATCACAATGGTTCGACGCATTTTACAGATGCGGCAAAGCGGATGCTCGGCGGGGCTCGTTCTTGCTTCGCGTGGAACACACCTCCTCAACCTCCGTGCCCCATCACCCACACCTTCTCCACAAGCTGCGGGCCATCTGTCGACATTGCTCGCATAACACGGGCTCGATCGTGTCAATAGCAAATAGCCACGTTCTCACTGCCGCCACCGTCCCACCTGCCGGCTCAGCAGCGCCTATCTCCCCGCAGCCGGGAGCAGATCGTGGCGTGGTTTTTAATCAACCCGAGGCGGATCTCCAGCCCCTGCGGACCGCGATGCCGACGACGGCCGCCCCCTGCATGCCCATCCAATAACAGCGGCTAAACTCCCACCAATGCTTGGGCAATTATGCTTAAAAAAAACTTATGCAGGGATGTTGTGGACGGCGACGCTCCGTGTGCACCCTGCGTCGTTCATGTCTCAATCGGCCATTTTTTTTGTTTCGAAGACGCATTGTTCGCAGTTTATGCGCCATTTGCCTCGTGGCTGGCCTGTGCTCTACTTTTCTTTGCATTTACCGGACATGCCGGCCCTGAGTTGCCGCTCAGATATAGCGGGTACGCAGCTTCCGTTAGGCTGATATCCGGCTTCACGGCGTTGTCGGGAAGGGAGGCGCTGCAAAACAGATTCGAAATGCTGTGCAATCTACGCCAAGGTTGTCGTAATATCTTGCTTGATCAAAGCTTCTGTTGTTTGCTGGCTGGCTTGGCTGGAACTATAAGATGTCTTGACCGCCGCCGGGATCTCCTATTTTTTGTACCTCATCCAGGGCTTTTCGCTACTTTATATCTGTCTTTTTCTAGTAGTACCCGCCTCTCACTCTCTACTTACCTTCATCTTTGATCTTCCTGGCAAGATATCCATTTTCCCTTCAACCATGTTTGGTCAAACCCTTCTCGCTGCCGCGACTCTCGCGGGCTCCGCCGCTGCCGGCACGGTGCTCTGGGATGGACGGTTCAATGAGTTCAATTCGTCGGAAGACCTCAACAACTGGTCATGGGCGAACCAGGTAAGCTATCCTGCCCTATCATTGTGCAAGTTTTCCAGTTACTCACTCACCAATTCCCCATCAGGTCGGCCCCTACCAATACTACATCCACGGCAGCGGCGACGTGACCGACTACGTCAACCTGTCCCCCGACTACAAGAACCCAGCCGACACCGTCTCTGAGCAAGGCGTGCGCATCACCATCGACTCGACCGCCAAGTGGAACAGCGACATGTGGCGCACGGAGCTGATCCCGCAGACGACGGCCGCCATCAACAGCGGCAAGGTGTTCTACCACTTCAGCATCAAGCGCACCGACACCAACGCACCCTCGACGACGCACGAGCACCAGGTCAACTTCTTCGAGTCGCACTTCACCGAGCTCAAGTACGGCTGGATCAGCGGCGCCGCCGGCGACAGCAACCCCAACCTGCAGTGGATGGTCGGCGGCACCGGCAAGTGGGAGGTCGAGTTCGCGCCCGACGTCTGGCACAACGTCGCGTACGAGATCGACTTTAGTGCGTCGACGGTTGGTTTTTGGCACAGCACGGGCGAGGAGGACCTCGTGCAGACGGTCGCGCCCGTCGCGGCGAGCACGAGCAGCAACGGCGCTGATTGGCACCTCGGCGTGCTGCGTCTGCCGCGTAGCGGGTACGACACCGATGCTGCGGAGGATTGGTACTTCAGCGGCGTGTACGTCGAGAGCGGCGACATTACGAAGAGCGTGGCTGGTCCTGGTAAGTATTTTGAATCCTCTTCCATCTAGCGCGTGGAGTGCCATCTGCCTCGTTCAGGAGGGTTTCGGTGTACACAACAGCTGACGTGACAATGCAACAGCTTAGTTTCTCCATGATTACCACTGTCTCTATGACTCCTGGGTCCCTTCGACTACGCTTAAGGCGGCTCCCTCTACGGCAGCCCTAGCGGGAAGGGTAGCGAAACCGTATGCATAGCTTGGTGGACCGAATGGACAGGGGCGATGGCTTACGATAGGATACGCTTGTGCGAAGCTCAATGTCTACTACTCATAACGGATTTGAGTAAGGGTGTTCAGCTTTGTGAGAGCAGTTGTTCAGTTCTTGTTGATACTTCTTACGTCTGAAAATGTCAGTACATACATACACACAAGATGATGATGATAACCTGGCGTGCCTTGTCATATTCCTTGTCCTGGTCGCCTTACAATTTCATGATAACTCTTGCATCTTTTCCAAATTTCATAGCTAAGGGAAAGGAGGAAAGAAAGCCAGCTATTCCGTGGCAGAAACCTGACTTCCTGTCACTGAACTAACCTCAACAGGAAAATGGCAAAACGGATGAAACACATGCCAGGGCCGTCTTCTTCCAGGCAAAGAAGAAAGAATTTCAGATATTTGTGCATGACTGTATGTCTAGCTTACCTCTACTCACGCTATTTCTCTGAATGTCTAGTCGTTAACACCTCTGTCTAGGAGTCTAGGCCAGCATCGTACAAATTGAAGTACTTCAGCATCACACCGAACCACTAATAAGTCGACGGGAACCCGCTCAACCGCCCACCATCCGTAACCTGCACAGCGCCGTTCAGGTAGGACCCGCCCTTACCCACCATGTAGAGGATCAAGCCCGCAATATCGTCAAACGACCCCTTCCTCCCCGCCGGGACCTGGCTGACCGGATACTCCTGATCATACTCGCCCGTCATGGCGCTCGGATACACTGTGTTCGTGACAGCCAATCAGCACGCCGCTCAACCCAAACGCTCAACCCGCCTCCAGGAAAAGGAAGAACAACTCACCACCCGGCGCAATGACATTACTCCTAATCCCCCACGGCACCAACAGCGTCGACAGCACCTTCCCCACATGCACCGCCGCCGCCTTACTCGCGCTATAGGCCACGCCAGACGTAACATGCCTATTGAAACCCGCAATACTCGCCACCGTCACGATCTGCGCGAGCCTCAGGTCCCCCTCGTCTACCCCTTCCTTCTCGCCATGCACCTCTTTCCTCCACTCCCGCCTCCTCGTCTCCCCCGCCGCCACGCGACCAGCCTGCCACCCGCGCCGCGCATTCCCCCGATCAAGCAGGTGCAAAAAGGTCGCGCTGACCAGCGCCACGCTCGCGGTATTCGTGCGCAGCGTGTCGACCCAGTCCGGGTCGCTCTCGTCGAAGCCGGTCAGCAGGATCTGCTGCAGCTCTTCCACCGTCTGCGCTTCGAGCGCCGGCTTGTTCGGCGGGCCGATCTTGCCGGCGTTGTTGATCAGGACGTCGAGGTAGCCGGCGTCGCGCTCGACGTGCTGCGCGGCGGCGGCGACGGACGCGGGCGAGTTGATGTCTGTCGGGAGCGGGATGACGGTGCCGTCGGCGACGGAGGGCGACGAGTTGAGGGTTTGGGCTGCGGAGGAGAGGACGTCGGCGCGGCGGCCGAGGAGGTAGACGCGCTTGGCGCCGGTTTTGGCGATGGCCGAGGCCATTGCGAGGCCGATGCCTATGCGGCGGTGGTGGGAAGGTTAGTGAGTGCTGTGGGAAGAGGAAGGGGGGAGGGGGGGTTTGGATGGGTAAGAAGAGTGTGGGTGGATGGGTGTATTGCGTACCGCTTCCGCCGCCGGTGATGGCGACGACGAGGCCTTTGGCGCTCAGAATGTTATTAGGGTCGACGGGGGTGTTGGGGTCCATGGCTGGTTTGTTCTGGCTTCTGATCGCTGAAGTGCTGGTTGTCAATTGATGATGATAGCAAAACTGCGGGAAGCTGGGAAAGCTCAAAGATGGGACTGAAGTTTATAAAAGGCTAATTTTATGACTCAGATGAAGATGACTACGGGAGCAATGACTGATACCGCCATCCTGCCGTCTCTTCCCCTCACGTCGGCCGGATTTAAGGTGGGGGGTGATGGCAATTGTGCTATCAATCACGTCACGGTTCAAGCTTGCGTTAGCGGTTTCGGGCCGCGGGCTGGCGTCTGCTTCTTCACCGAACGCCAATCAGCCCCTCCCCCACCTACTGCATTCGATTAGCTCCCCGCGGAAATCTCAGGCCCTCGGACTGCGGAGCTTTGCGCTTTGTCAGCCGAGGTAGCTCAGCGTATCTGATCTTTACCTGGAGAATTTAGCATTTATATCACACCACTGCCTGAACTTTCAAGCTTCTGTCAGACCTTTCTGCTGGAATGAAGGTATGGGATGTTCCGGTTGATGAACGCTGGAATTTCATACGTCTATCCGACTCTTTACGCGGGTATCTCGAGTAACTCCCTCAGAATTTCTTCTGCCTTCTTCGCCTCCACCCTGCCTTCATCTCCTCGTCGGACTGTCTGTCCCACGAGAAACATGAGTTTACCCGTCTGGCCCTTCTCTTTAATCGCTGTAATCGTCTCTGGATTATCGTCGAGTACGCCTTGTACTAGCGATAGATACTCGTCTCTTGTCATAGGAACCAACAAAAGGTTCTCTTTTTCGATGATACGCTCGACAGGCCTCTCATCGCCGTAGAAAACTTTTGATAGGAGTTGCTTTGAGGTCGGACCTGTAATTTGACGGCGCAGCAAGTGTAGGATGATGGAAGCAAGCTGCTCGGCTGGGACGATGTCCTCGGACCAAGCAATGTCTGCGCTAGTCATCAAGCCACCGAGTTCCATGAGTAGCCTTGCGTCTATTAGCTTGAGGCCAAAGTCTGCTGAAGTCCTCATACGTACCAATTGCCAGCAGCTTTGCCCAACTTCAAGGAAGCCTGCTCTTCTGGCGTCGTCTGTTCGTTCAGGATCTTGACGACGTCGAAATAGTAATCGAGCCTATCACCCGTATCCAACCCAACCAGGGTCTTTGCATCCTTCATGCTCAAGCCGTACTTCGGATCCATGAGCATCTGGACAGTCTCATCCGGCAAAGCAGGCAGGGTATCTCGAAGATGCTGGACGAGATCCTACAACGGCGTCAGCAACCACCCCCCCCCAAAGCCCACCAAAAAAGAATAGCTCTCACCTCGCCAACCACCACGGGCCCCAAATCCGGATCAGGCATGTACCGATAATCCACCTCGCCCTCCTTCCCCCTCAACTTCCTCGTCTCCGTACTCCCCAGCGTCCACCCCCTCGTCTCGCCCTCAACAACACCACCCGCCTCCAGCACAGCAATCTGCCTATCCCTCTCCGCCACGATCGCATCCTCGACCGCCTTAAAGCTGCTCAAATTCTTAATCTCCGTCCGCTGCCCCAAGCCCGTCACACCATAGTATTCCCCATCACCAGCCGACGCGCCATCCCGCCGGCGCACGCTGACGTTGACGTCGGCGCGCAGGCCGCCGACCTCCATTCCGGCCGTGACGGCGCCGACGCCCTTGAGCACCTGCTGGATCTTGCGCACGCAGGCGGCGGCCGTGGCCGGGTGGTGGATTTGTGGGAGTGTGATGATTTCGACGAGCGGGTGCGAGACGCGGTTGAAGTCGAGCAGGTGCGTCGACGGCGGCTGCGCGATGGTTTTGGCTGTGTCTTGTTCCATTTGGATTTGTTTGATGCCGATTGTGATAGAGGCGCCGTCGCGCGGGTCGATGCCGTCGTGGGCGTGGAGCGTGATTTGGCCGTCGCGGGCGAAGGGCTCTGTGTGGGGGGGATTGGGAGGTTAGCGTGTCGATGCGTTGTGAATGGGTGCGAGGAGGGCATACCATAGTACTGGGTGATCTGGTAGCCCTGCGGCTGGTCCTGGTAGAAGTAGTGCTTCCGGTCGAAGCTGCTCTTGGGCTGGATGTCGCATCCTAGCGCGATAGCGGCGCGCAGGGCCGGGATCAGCGTTTCGCGTTGGAAGTGCGGCTGAGTGCCCGGGAATGCGACATCGAATAGGGCGGCGTGGGTGTTGGGTGCGTCGGCGGTCGAGGTCGCGGCGCTGGAGAACAGCTTGCGAGCTGTGTTGAGCTCGGCGTGGATCTCGATGCCCACCGTCAACTCCCACTTCTCTAGAAGCGGATCCACTGCCTTGGCCTTGCCCTGATTGTTATTCTTGTTCTTTTGGCCCTTCTTCCGCCGCTCTTCGTCCTTGAGCTGCTTCCTGAAGGGCACGACGTCATCGTGGAGGCGTGCGGCGGCGTGGAGGTAGCGAGCGGCGGGCTGGAGCGCGATTGGGCGGGCGCGGGGCGATTGGTGGAGGCTACGCAGGCATGATTGGCATATGTATGGCTTCCGTCGGAGGGCGGCTTCGAGAAGGCTTCGTGAGCGCGTGGGAAGCATGGTTGCGGAGCTGCCATGTTGATAGCGTGGGAGTGTTTTTGCTCCTGCGCGCCGGCCCGAGCGCAGGGTCCTTCCCCGGAGATCCTACCCTACGATTCATCACGCTTTTATCGTTGCAGACGTCTAAAAATTCAGATTTCTGAGATAGAGATACTTGGCGGGATTTAATACTCTATTACACAGAGGATTGTAGTTCTTATCTCTTTATAGCAACTTCGCATAGCGTCTTAGGACCGTGATGCACTATATTAGGCCATACGTCCGTAGACCATTGTAGATGTTGCCAACCAACCGTATCATCTTCAAGCATGCAGTGCATGAGCAACAAACAAATTCACGCTAGCCTTCAGCTGCGGTGACCCCTGCAAGTGCCTGTATTCACCCCTGTTCAGCGAGATGCAGCTACTCACGTGCTTTACAAGGTTCAGCCGCACCTCGTCAGTCCAAGGCTGCACTGCACACCGAAGGCCTCCATCTCGAGTAACATGAAGTTCGACTATGGCTCCGAACACCAGAAGTTCGACCCGCAAAAGGAAGGCGCCCGAGGACTCGCAAGCCAACACCAGATCTGTTCCGCGCGCTCGCCGTCAGCTTAGAGCTCCCCGCACGGAGATCTGGAGTATCAATTCTTACCACGAAAGCACAAGAAGTGCATCTGATCTGCCGAGAGTGCCGGAAGCGAATGTCTACCTTAGTTGGTTCTCCTAATCATGCTTACAGAGAAGCATCGCTTGCATCTTATCTGACTTGGATTGGGCTCCAGAAACTTCGTCCGAAACCGATGCGGGCGTCCGCAGACAAGATACCACACCTCCGCAAGGACCTCTGTTACACGCTCGAGTACGACAACCGACGGATAAAACCTTCAGGCTCAGAGGAATCCCAAAGGAATGGGATAAAGCCGAGATCCAACGGCGCTTCAAGGAGAAACTGAGCCTCGGAGACAATACAGCAGTTGTGGTCCGTTCCTTATCCAAAAACCCATATCGCCATGAAGAACTAGTTGCGACCATCGAGTTCCCAAGCAATGCCTTAACCGGTCTCGGTCACAGTGTAAAATCAGAATGGCTCATAATGGTGGAGGGACACGAGCTGCTGCTCGACACCCACTTCTTTGGAATGACGCCTTTACATGCTGCGGATGATTCGAGCTGTGATGTCGAGTAAGAATGCTAGCCTTTGATAGTATCTAATAGGTGTGTACTAATTATATTTATAGTATCATTGCTCTTTCAGGCCTCAACGGTCATGCTTTCGGCTCTTTCAAGAGCAAGACCAATGAGCCAACCTACATGTGGCTTCGGGACAGCCTCCCGTCCGACATTCGACATGCCAGAATTTTCATTTATGGTTACGATACTCAAATGATCAACAGCGACTCTTTTCAAAATATAGGCGATCTTGGCCAACAGCTAAAAAGTGAGCTTATACTCTTGAGAACATTGACCGTAGGTGGTCTTCACCCGATAGATGCGCAATGCTCTTACAAGTACTAGGAATCATCAGTTGATCAAAAATTGATCCTGATCGGTCATTCACTCGGCGGTATCATTATAAAATCTGTATGTCGGAGCTGCATTCTCCCATCATTTTGATAGCTGATGCCAAGCAGGCCATCAATAAGATGTCCAACGGTGTAGAAAATGACCAGAAACTCGCAAAGTCAATTTACAGCGTCTTGTTCTTTGGGGTACCCAATCAAGGTATGGACATTGGATCACTTATCCCGATGGTTGGCAGTGGCCCCAATCAGGAGCTTCTTCGATCCCTCGGAATGGAATCTGAGGTTTTGCACAATCTGTCACAAAACTTCCAAACCAATTTCAATTCCCCATACTCAATGGTGTTCTCATTTTACGAGACCAAACAGTCTCCTACTGCGAAAAAGGCACGTGCTCATTCTGTAAAATCACTGATTGGAATACTGATTCGGATCCAGGTCGAAGGAAATTGGACTATGTCCGGCCCCTCTACGGTCCTGGTTGACCGTAGGTCTGCTACCAACGGTCGTCACTGGGAACAGGATGACCGTTATCTTTATCCCGTAAATTGTACGCATTCGGAAATGGTGAAATTTGACAGCAAGCACGATGCAGTATATGCCCAAGTACTGCACTACCTTAAACTATCCAAAGAACGCTCCAAGAGTTAGTAGACATGTTTGACAAATCAGTTTGTCATCATTACTAACCCACAAGCTTCTAGTGGAGCCTCCGGTTCTTTCGGAAGATGAACAAGGTAAGTCGGATGTAGTGCACATCCGACGATATCGCTGATCGCCGCGATAGACTGCTTGAAGTCGTTATCCTTTCCCGAGCAAGAACTGCGAATGAGCCAAATACACACTGCTAAGGACACTTGCAACTGGCTAATTCAACACCCAATTTACCAAACTTGGATTGACAAACCTATGGATCTTTTGTGGATCGAAGGAGCCCCAGGTGTCGGCAAGTCAGTATTGATGAAGCACATCCTGCAGACTCTGAAGACCTCATCAAACAGCCGCCATCTTCTCTTGTCCTTTTTCATCCATGGCGAAGGTTTGGAGTTGCAGAGGTCGAAGCTAGGGCTTCTGCGTGCCATCCTGCACCAAGTCTTATACCAAAAGCAAGCTCTCTTTTCCCTTGTTCTTCCGAAATACATCGAAAGATGTCAAACAATGCAGTCTTGGCAGTGGTCTGAAGAAGAGTTGCAGACACTTCTCGAAAGATGCCTGGAATCGGCTTCCCAGTCCACGTGTGTCACCCTTCTCGTGGATGCTCTCGACGAACTCGGTGAGGATGTCGCACTAGATGTTGTGGAATATTTCCAAAATCTGGTTGATCTACCGAGAAAAAATGCCTTGAACCTACGGATATGCTTTTCTTGTCGACATTATCCTACCATTTCGTTCAATCACGGGCACCGTATTTGTGTTGAGAAGGAGAATTCGGATGATATCCACCGTGCTGTCGGATCAATACTCAAGGGTGTCACTGACTCCACTATCGCATCTCTGATCACGAAGAATGCCAATGGGGTATTTCAATGGGCAGTATTGGTCTGTTCTGAAGCTCGAAAACTGTCAAGACAGAAGAAAACGCCCGCGCACATCCGTCAGAAAATCCAAGATCTACCCAAGGGCCTGCACCAGCTCTATTCTGGATTACTGGAAAATGCACCTCAGACTACCCTCCGGTTTTTCCAATGGCTTTGCTTTGCAAACTGTAGTCTGGATGCGATCGCACTACGTAAAGCCCTTGCTGTGAGCATCGAGCGGTCATGCAGCACTTTACATCAGTATGAAGAGAATCTAGGCTTTGAGGACTCCGAGGAAGGAGTCTCTTCGATGGTCAAAGAGCTTTCTAGAGGCCTTGCCAAGGTGACCAGACAATCGTCAAAACTGCATGTCGGCTTCATCCATCAGTCTATCCGGGACTTCTTAATGAATGGGGGATTTGAATGCCTCGAAAGGTCTTTATCAGTCAACCAGGAAGGAATCTCGAATGCTCACTTGTCAGAAGCATGTCTCAAGTTCTTAGCAACTCTGGAATGGCCAAAAGATCTCAATTATTGCGAGAATCGGACGGATCGCGCCCTACAGATGAACAATTTTGCCGCATACGCCTTCTATAATTGGGCACTCCACGCAGCTCGAGCGGAGGAACTGAACTACTTTCCTCAATTTTTGCTCCGCTATCTCGATAAACCACCGAAATATTCTGACCGAGAATTTGACGACGTTCCTCAAGATCGGCCAAGCAGTTGTGACACAATAGATACCAGCCACCTATACCGGGACACCTACAGACACAGTCCTCCTCGAACTACAACCTTCATACACCTCCTGTCACAAAACAACCTCAAACTCACGCTAAGGCATCTCATTGATCGAGGTGACATGCTAGATGAAAGGGATGGCAACGGACGCACGCCTCTCTCCATTGCCATTATTGAGCAAAGGTCAAACGTGACAAAGCTCTTTCTTGAGACTGGTCGGGTCAACCTCGATTCTCAAGACAAATACGGGAGGACCCCACTCTCATACGCCGCTCAGAGTGGCTCTTCAGAGGAAGTCATATTTTTTCTCGCTTCTCCTAAGGTCAATCCAAATTGCCAAGACAAACACGGGAGGACTCCGCTCTTGTACGCCATCACGAGCGGCTGCGCCCAAAACTTTAAAGCTTCCTTAGAGAAAGTCAAAGCTTTTATTGCTTCTCCTAAGGTCACCCTCGATTGCCAGGATAGCAATGGGAGGGCTCCGCTCTCATATGCCGCTGAGTATGGGTGGTTGGAGGAAGTTCAAGCTCTTCTTGCGTCTCCTAGAGTCCATTCAAGTCGTCTTGACGACACTGGTCGACCTCCCCTCTCTTACGCTCTTAAGTCTCAGAAGTCACACGTAGTGAACGCTCTTTTAGGATCTTCTCCATGCAACCTAAATCACCAGGACTATCTTGGACGGACCCCACTCTCGTATGCCGCCGAAAGTGGATTGTTGGAGGCCGTCGAAAAGCTTATCTCGTCATCTAACGTCGACCCAAACCTCCCTGATAATGAAGGATGGACTCCTCTACTCTACGCTGTCAAATGCGGACACTTAGAGATAGTGAAAGCTCTCATAGCACTTTCTCAAGTCAACGTAAATCATCAAGCGCGTATGGGGACTACTCCTCTTCTGTGCGCTCTTACCTACATGAGACTGGAGATAACCAACACCCTTTTAAAATCACCCAACATTAATATCAACGCTGCAGATTCCCTGGGGATGACACCTCTCTCCCAGGCAGCTCACCTTGGGTGGTTGCAAACTGTTGAAACACTCATTGGGTTTTTTGAGGTTAATTTGAACTTGCAAGACCATTTCGGAGAAACTGCCTTTGGATACGCTCGTAGGGAAGGCCATGAACAAGTTATGGCGACTCTCTTGGGAAATGGCATGTGCGAAGTCACAAAAGCAGAGGATCTTCGATATTTGCTAGTCTCGTCCACTTGTAGGGAAACTGCCCGATCGCGATGGAAGCAAGAGAGAGATAGAAGAGAGAGAGAAAATGCATTTAAGAGAAAGAGGGAAAGCATTCAGAGAAAGAGAGAAAGCATAGATAGAGAGAGAACACGGGAGAGAGAAGGGGGATGAAGAGAGCACCTTGGTTACCTCGGCCTAACAGAACTTATTGAAGGCATTGGACCTTATCTACTACGCGAAACTGGCGTAGGCCTCTTTGAGGGCAAACCGACACTGGAATGGGACCACCTGTGGTTTATTCTAGCATGGTCGATTTTAGATGTGTGCGCAGATGCCAGCTCTGTGTTCAATCAAACTAATCGCTTCCTAGAGCCTAGAACAGATCTCATCGAAAATTACCTTTTCGCCGCTCACTAAGCTGTGCTGGAGCGCTCGTCCAATAGCCAAGGCCCTCACGGAACTTTCAAGTGAGACACGCAAGGGGGTATTTTCCAAGCAGCATTCGGTGAACTCCCTGACCTCTGTGATAAAGGCGTCTCTAAAGCGTTCAAACGCATACTGTGGAAGCTCACGTCTGGATCCCAGCTTGTCATGGACCTCGACATGGTTTTTCTGCCCTTGCATGTTGACCCTCACAGCGCCCTTTTGGCAAATGATCTCGGTGGTGTCTTCCTGTCCAGCTGCCATCATCCTCGTGCAAAACAGGTTCGCAATCCTGCCATCGTAGAACTCGATTATCGCTATCGCGTTGTCACGGTCGTTGATGGTCTCGAGGCCTGGGTGGACGGCAGTGACTCCGATCGCGTGCAAGCTTTTGATCTTGCTCTTTTCCTCGAGGAACCAGAGCATGAGGTCAATGTCGTGGATGGAGCAATCAAGGAATATGCCGCCGCTAGTCTTCGCGTAGTTGACGAAAACGCCCGACGTGTCGAGCAGGTCTGCAGTCTGGGATCGGAATACGACCGGGCGGCCGTAGTCGCCGCTGACCACCTTCTCGTATGCCTCCCGATAGGAGGCATCGAACCGACGCGAGAAGGCACACATGACCTTCTGATTCGGGTGGGTTCGGAGAGACCGCTTGTAAGCATCAACTACGGATTGTGCCTGGTGGAGGATAAGTTAGTTGGAATGCCTCTCAATCGGGTCGAACACTACTTAGCTCGGCCACATCGATGCTCAGTGGCTTCTCGCATAGGACGTGGTAACCTTTCTCAATCGCACTGAGGGTTTGCGTCGCATGGACAGCAGTGGCGCTGGCGATGACGATGGTCTGGAGATCTTCTTTGGCAAGCATCTCGTCGTAGTCTCGGTAGACACGGACGCCGTCCAGCTGGTCCATCGCCCATTTGCATTCGTTCTGATCGGGGCTGCTGACTGCCACCACCTCCGCCCGATGTGTCAAAGTATGGAGGTTGAGGGCATGGCGCTTCCCTGGTTCTCGTCAGACAAGATGTTTCATTGAAGTTGTGGTTAATGAAGCGTACCCATACGGCCAAGGCCAGCAATCCCAATTCGAAGCTTCTGGACAGTCATTTGCGGAGATAGGTGAGCAAGGTGCGGATAGTGGCAGAGACACCAATCGTTCACTGACAAAGAGATTTATTTATGCGCTTTGAAGCACTGCATCTGAAGAGGGAGCACATGTTTGCATGTCTCGGTTGTCTGTTGCTGTGCATGCGGGAATTTTGTGGCGGCGGAGGCAATCCCACCGAGTATCCACCCCACCCCGCATCGCTTCAAACATGCCTCTCAATCCAAGTTTCCCGAGGTTGAAAATCAATCCCCTGGGGCTATCTGGCTCCGAGTCTGTGTAGGAAAGTTGCACGCGTGCCCGAATGGCCGGCAGGTGTGGCGTCCTGATAATCTCGGGCGCCAAATTCCGCGGGTGGAGCTGTCCCCGCCCCAATATGAGAAGGCATGAGGCCATCGCTCATTGGCGTGACATGATTCCTGACCGAGACAATTGTGGTTCTAGCTCCGGGCTTGAACTGCTTCTCTTTGGCATTTGTGGGGATGTATACCCCGCATTTATCAAAAGGCCAAAGACAAGCCACCATCGTCGCCGAAAGACGGCCCGTGGGGCCCATGGCGGCACTTGACGGCCCGTATCAATCCAAGTTGTGTATTACATCCACAAAGACGAAAAAGAGACTGACTTCCTATCGAAATTCAGTGAAAGCAACTTATTTACTGGGAGAAAGAATTGAGTAGAAGATATCTCGATTCTGAAAGACGCTGCAAGCTTGGCATCAATACCTTTGAGAGTCAGGGATCACACGTCACGTTGCAAGTAGACCAAATCTTCACTAAACTCTGAAATGTCGATTTCACACCTCGTATGAATGAAAAGTTGGATGTTTATGGGCGGAGTAGATCTATGGAAGACCTCGAAGGCGCTTGCTTCTTTTCTTGATTCGTAAAACTGCTGGACGCTATGCTGGAGGGACTTCTATCTAGGTTTTGGAAGGAGTTCACATTTGGAAATAGGGAAACTATGTCAAAGTCATGCATGTTCATAGTTTGAAGCCTCTATATTCACCATATTCTCGAAGCTACAATGCAGACCTTAACGCCATGAACTCGAAGCCGACGTCCAAAACTTCGACAATGTTGCCCCAAGGATCGGAAAAGTAGAGGCACACGATTTCACCCTTCCCAGATGGGTCCACCGTCCTTCCAATTTGCTTTCCTCCCTCAGCTATGACCTTGGCCGCCAGCTCTTCCGGATGCGGATCAGTGACGCAGACATGGAAGAAGCCGCTCTTCTGGTAATCGAAAGCCTTCGCCTCCTGGAACCTCGGATTGATGAATTCAAATATCTCGAATCCGACGCCGTTTCCGGTGACCATCTTTGCGAGCTTGACCTCTTGTAGCTCTTTGGGATAGATTCCGAATATGGGGTCATTCGGATTTTCGGAACGCTTGATGTGGCAGATCTTGCCCAACAGCTGGAACCCGAGGACCCTCGAATACCAATCCACGGTTGCTTCAGCATTTGGAGCTGATACTCCGATGTGGTTGAATACGCGATTGTATGTCCTCTGATGGCTTGGTGAGACGATACCGGCCAGTTGTTGGGGGAGGCAAGGCCAAACTTACCCTGCTCTGGGCCATTTTGATGGATGATAACAATGTGTTTCAGGATTTGTATATTCTCAGGACGAGGAAAGTTGAAAGATACAGAACCTGTCTATATCCCTCTGCGAAGGGATATTTATGAGTGACCTCAGAGTGACCCAGCGAGAGTCACGTGCATTGCTCGTCATCTTTCGGCGAGACACGGCCTTCGGCAAGACACGGCGCTGAGATTGAAACTGAGGTCCACGCTGCTGCAAGGATCACACAAAGTGGGTTCTCGTCCGAACAATGAGTAGAATCCATGAATTACTGACGGCGAATCAGGTGGGTTTCCGTTAGCGTTGACGAGGTTTATATTACAAGAGCCAATGGGAAGCAATCCAGCACCGTTTAGCGTCGGCTATAACCTACTTGCTGACGATTTCCTGATGGCCCTGCGCTGGATTGCATCAGAAATTCGGGAATGCATCTCCGAGAATGCAATGTCTCACACATCCCCACACAGAATTACGACACTAGTCGTCTGAGTGGTTTTACTACATAGGCCATATTACTCGCCAAAGGTACTAGCGTACGAAAGCATGGCATTCCCCCGCGCCCCGGATTGACATACCCCAGATTCCCCGCATTTGTCGGCCTGAAGAGGGAAGCAAGGACCGGGGAGTACGCTTTGTCTGCTTTGTTGAGCAGTAGATAGAGGAGAATGACAGAGTATAGATTGATTACCTCACCCACTTTTGTGCTACCTAAACATCCTCCTTATTGATTGCATCTTAAGCAACTTTTCCAGGGCAAAATTCGGCACGTGCAATCAGTGTCTAATCCACTTGAGCGGCCTTGCTGACTGACACAGTGTTCTTCGACATGATGCAGGGCAACGCCTTGAGATACAGCATCACCGCCGCCTGTGGGTCCGGCTTCTTACTCTTTGGCTACGACCAAGGCGTCTTCGGCGGTCTGCTCAGCAACAAGGCTTTCCTCGAAACATTCAACAACCCCAGCGCCACGATCCAGGGCCAGATTGTTGCCACGTATGATATCGGCTGCATCATGGGCACACTGCTCTCCATCTTCGTTGGCGACAAACTCGGTCGAAGACGTTGCATCTTCCTTGGCTGTATTATTCTCATCATCGGTGGCATCCTACAAGCTGCTTCCTACTCCCTTGCACCCATGATTGTCGGGCGCATCGTCGCTGGCGTCGGCAACGGCATGAACACCATCGCTATCTCTATCTGGCAGTTTGAGACGGCTAAGGCGCACGAACGCGGCAAGCTGATCGTCCTCCAACTCGTCACAAACATCTTCGGCATCGTCATCACGAACGTAAGCATACACAACCTCCAGAAAAGAGACACGAGCTGACCCAAGTCTCCCAGTGGATGAACTACGGCTTCACATACATCTCGCACAGCCCCATCAGCTGGCGCTTCCCCCTCGCCTTCCAATGCTTCTTCGCCCTCATCACCATCGCCGCCGTCACCATCGCCCCCGAGTCCCCCCGCTGGCTCGTCATGCGCGACCGCATCGACGAAGCCCGCGCCATCCTCGCGCGCCTCTCCGCCTTATCACCGTCCGACCCCAGCGTCGTCGACGAGATCCAATACCTCGTCGCCACCGTGCACCACGAGTCCTCAGTCCAGCACTCCGTCTCTTTCAAGGAAATATTCAGCTCAGGCGAGCAAATGACATTCCGCCGCCTCCTCCTCGGCGCTGGCACGCCCTTCTTCCAGCAGCTGGGCGGTGTCAACGTCATCGCGTACTACCTGCCGGTGGTGCTAGTGCGGTCGTTCGGCATGAGCGACCGGATGGCGCTGATACTCTCCGCCGTCGACGCCATGTCGCTCATGTTCTGGGGCGCCGTCGCGGTGCTGCTGATCGACCGCGTCGGGCGGCGCAGGCTGATGATGTGGGGGGTGGGCGCGAGCGGCGTGTGTTTCGCTGTCGTCGCCGTCGGATTGCGGTATGGCGGGCCCGGTAGTTCGAACAGGGGCATGTCGATCCTCGCTGTCGTGTTTATCTTCTTGTATTACGTGTTCTACGGCATGTCGATGCTGTCTATTCCGTACATGTATCCGGCGGAGATATCGTCGCAGCGGATGCGGAATATCGGGACGTCGATTGCTACGGCGGTGAACTGGACGTTTGTTTATGTTGTTGTTGTCGTTACGCCGACTGCGATTGAGAATATCGGGTGGAAGTATTATCTCATTTATGCCGTTTTCAATGTTTGTTTCGTTCCCGTCATTTACCGCTGGTATGTTGAGACCGCCAATCTGTCTCTGGAGCAGGTCGACCGTCTCTTCCAGATCAAACATGAAGGGGGCAAAAGCATAAGCCGGGCAGAGGCAACTAGGCTGGCTCGCATGGAGTCCCAAGAGGTGTTAGAAGAAAAGATACGTGGAGCGGAGCATACCGAATTTGCCCAGACTGTGGAAAAGAAATAAAACATCAAGCACAAGCTGGATAATTTCTGGTTAGCTACTGTAACCCCCCGACCTCACATAACATCTTCCGTACTCTCTACATTTGTCCGAATAAGTCCCTGGGCATGTCAAATGGAAAACCAGAAACAATCCAGTCCAGGCCCATCTCCATGTCAATCAGGTTGGTGACACCATGAGTCCCAGCAGGTCACCGCCGCGGGACTTGACCTTCGACTTCCAAATCATTCAAACCCCCAATCAGGGCTGGCAGCAAGCGCAGGCGGAAGCGGCTTATCAAGCAATCAGGCAAGCAGCTTGCAAGTGGCCTTCAAAGGACCCCCTTGATTAAGTTTCAAGCTTAAGCGCTTGTCAAACATAAATATATTATACTCCTGCCTTACTAGGTTTGCCTCTTACTATAAGTGGTATTATCGGAACTTCGGCGCCACGGAGGTCCTTATACAGACTGGCTTTGGTCTATCTCCAGAAGAATACCAACCAGATCGGTTCTCGCCAGCGATGCGCTGGCATCCGACCCCATTAAGACGAGAACAGACCCCGATCCCGCGCCCGCGCCCGCTACAAAAAAAAGAAGAAGAAGACAAAGAGAGCAAAGTGCTCATCAGGTAGTAGTGACGCAAGCATCGATGACGCGGATGTCGAAAAGACTGTTTTGATTCCGCGTGGTATTGAGGTTCCAAGACACTCTGCAACAACCGCATACGACTTTCTGAGCACACACTTTCAAACTGGAGATATTCCAAAATCAAAGAAGAAAGCCTTCTATGAAGAAGCATAGAGAGTCGATGGAAATTCTTAGGTATGTTGTCTAACCACGCCATAATGAACCTCAACACTTAGGTTCATTACAGTTCTCTTTTGCCCTAAAGGCAGCCTGCATGAACCAGCGTGGCGCAGTGGGTAAGGCTGAGCCCTACGCAGGAGTGTATCTCGTTCACCCAGTTGACAAGAATACCAACGTCATCTTCTACCTTAAGCTCACCGAAACCCAGACGGTGTACCCTGCTACCTAGCCACTGTCTAGACTTGTCGATCTTGGGTTCTGCAATCCAAATTTCGAATAGCGGGCCAGTAATAACTAGGCCATAGTGTCGTACCGCTTCATCGTCTGCTGCGGTCCAAGATATATTCTTGCGTGTTTGTAAGACGTTGAATCGAAGCCTCCATCGATTGGCTGGATCGGCTCTTCGTCACGTCGTTCGGCCATAAACTGGTTTGTTTTGTAGTGATCCTGAGTCCACGATCTCCTGGGGTCTGGGGAATTGAACACACTTAGTGGGTGAAGATATCGAGGCGCTTGCTAAAAGGGGTTCAAGCATACTAAATAATCCGTAGATGAATAGTAGCACAGACTGGGAAGGTTTCTCAATACTGGCATAACATGTTGTGGGTAGTTGAAGCTATCCGGACGTGTATGTAGAATTTTTAATTCCACATTTTCGTCCGGATAGCATCAACTACACATGAGATGAGCGAAAAATAAATTCACGCTAGCCATTGGTTGTGAGAGGAGACTGTAGACGTTTGAATGGGTTGCCTCAAGATGAATCGTTTTTGATTAAGAACATTGGGTCACATATATACATCGAACAGTCTTTGAAACACCACTCCATCAATTTACAAGGTCCGTATGACATTAAACGTTTTTAGTAGGTGCCGAAGCGCTGGTTCAGGACGGTCGTAGCGTTGCCGACCTGCGAGCAGACGAAGTCGTTCTGGCCGTTGCCGCCAGCGTGGCAGTAAGTCGGGACAGAAACGGTACCGTTGACAACGGAGCTGGAAAGACCCTTGTTAGCGACTTGAACTTCCTCATACTCAGGATCTCGATCTCTACTTACTTCATGCCGACCTCGCGGGTAATGGTCAAGTCCCACTTGCCAGATTCAGCGCCCTCCTGGATCTGGAAATAGTAGTTGTAGGCGCTGCCCTCGCACTCGGTCATGCGGGGGTAGGTGAGGGAGGCCGGGTCGGTCTGCGAGCACTTGGCGCCGGCGGGGGTGATGTCGAAGGATGCGGCCTGGATGCCGTTGTTCTTGCGCACCGAGAGGTTCTCGATGGCGACCGAGTTGGGGTCCGCGGTGACGGTGGTGAGGATGGGGCCGGCGGCGGCGAGGCCGGCGAGAGCGAGGACGAAAGTGGGCTGCATTTTGATGGGAGGTGGGTTGGTATGAAGCGAGTGTGTTGTGGCTTGATGGATGTGAATTGATTGCTGGATGCTGAGTTGAAGACGAATGTATGTGGTGGTACTTATATATCGTGGTGGCGTTGACTTGGCATCAGGCGCGAAGCCCCTAACTGATGCATGCGCGATGGGGTAACCAAGTCACAGCAGTAGCGATACGAGGGCTATGAAGTGGCAGCGGCTCGAGCGTCAGCTGCTTGAGTAGCGGACGTAGCAGTATAAGTGTGCGTTTTTCCGCTCATGGTCGCCGTGTGGCAGTGCGACAGTGGTGCAATTGACGAATGGAAAACAGCAGCGCTGTGGGCACAGATCGTAGGCCTCCGCGTTCACCGACATAAGGGGATGAAACAGGGCTGCATGCCCTACCGTAGGGCTTTCGGCAATTTCGCCGCGTCATGATGTCATGTACCTTAAGATAGTAGCGCATGTAGGCGGTGCAATCGACCTATTCCCGTCCCAGGAAAAATCAGCACCTATTCGTATTTTGTAAGAAAAACGCCCGAAGATCCGACCGGATGAAGTAAGGGGTACAAAACAAGCCTCGGCCATGACATCGTGCATCGAATGGATAATTTTGAACGTCAAGAACCTTCAAATTGACTGTCACTTTAGAGGACTTGAAGGCAAAGGCTGAGAAACTAGAACGGACCACACTATTTCCCCTGGTTTTCCCTCAATCCAGAGTCCTTTCCTATTAGGCCCTCTATTTTCTAGAAGATATTGATCGCGACCCGTCGGTCTCCGGCGCCATTGCCGAGCCGTAACCCCGACCGCCGAGCTTACCATTTACGGTAATAATCGCGCTGTTTCCCCACCATAAGTGATGTCTGAGCGCTGCTAAGAACAACGAAGCATATGACAGTCGCGATATTCTGTGACCCCTTGCGTTCTATTTATTTCAACAAGTACACTGCGCTTCGCGTTGATGGATATAACACGGAACAAAGAATATAGGAAACATGCTCAGAGCTTTCTGCCCATTATTGGGAGACTTGGATGTTATTTTAAGCAGAATGGGAGACTGGGCAAATTACCAAACCCAACTATTGCCGGCCAAACCCATCTCTTGAACCGTGCAGGTTAACCTTCTCTTTTACAAAACATTGTAATAGATATCTATAGGCTTAGCCATTGATAGTAGTAAGAAAGCACTTAGAGTTTAATTTCGTTGAAGTTCTGCTGCGGTTAAAAGATGGTAGATTTTGGTGAAGAAGTTGGGTTTTACCGACGAATGTTGGATTTGGCCGGCGATGGTTGGTTGTCCCATTTAGAATTGCAGAGTCCTCTAAAAATATGTGTACCGGGAAAAACTTTGAATAGAGGCGAGAATGAATACAAGCAGTCTGTCCGGCGCGCTGTATATTTGTGGGGTCGATGCTTATGACTCAATTGCACCGATCACACATCTTCCTGTCTATTTTTCTCCGTCATGTAGCTTTCTTCTTCCAAATCACACATTCATTATCCTCTCTCAATGTATGTTTCGTCTCCCGTAACTGTAGTGTTGAAGCTCTCAGCGCGAGTCTTGTAGCTGAGCATCCTGCGCTGTTTCATTCAACTCTATGAATTGTTGATCGGCATCCTCCTTTAAAAGGCCAGGTGCATTCCCTGCTGCATGTCTTCTACCGGCCATTAATCAACTTTTGATCCTTCAGGATCAATTATTGGGTCTCGCGTGATAATGCTACAATGCGCATGACTCACATGTCGAGAAGCGTACCGAGGTGTCGTGAGTCACCGAATGAAAAGCAATGGTGTGGAAGCTTATAACTTAGCTTACCACCTACAGAGAGCTTTAAGCTCAAAGTGAACGACTACTCTTCAAAGACAACTGCTTGTAACGGTCTCCGAGATGGACTACAACACACCAGAATCCGTGGCCGCTTTAGGCGAAATTGAGTATGCTTTAGATGGAATCGTAAAGCACATTTAAGTACCTGATTGCTGACGCGGCATCAGTCCACAGCTAGTTGAAGTCAGCAATGAAACACCATCTTCTCCCAAGTGTCCTAAAAAAAAAGATTAACACAAACACCCAAAGATCCTCAAAGCCATGAACCTCCCCAGCGGCAAAGCCTTGATCGACATGTTCATCACCAAAACCGCCACCAAAAAAGCCAACTGGACCCCGACCCCGGACACCCCGACCGAGCACACGATCCTCATCCCCATGCGCGACGGCCACCTCAACCCGGCCCGCATGCACCAACCTCCTCCTGCTTCATCCGCCACCCCCAGTCCCCTCGTCGTCTTCATCCACGGCGGCGGCTTCTGCGCCGGCGACCACGAACAATTCAGCCCCATCGCCCGCACCCTCACGCGCCTCTTCGGCGCCACCGTCGCCACCATCTCGCACCGGCTAGCGCCCTCGCACGCCTTTCCGACGGCTCCGCTCGACGTGCTCGACGCTGTGCGGTGGCTAGCGACGCACGCGCGCGATGACACGCGCATCAATGCGGATCCGCACAACGCCGGCTTCGTCATCGCGGGCGTGTCGTCGGGGGCGTCGCTGGCCGGGGTGGTGGCGCAGAAGCTGTTGGACGAAGGCGGCGGAGACGAGGCGGCACTGCCCGCCGTGACGGGGGTGTGGATGCAGATGCCCGGGTTCCTGGACCCGGCGATCGTGCCGGCGCGGTGGAAGCATCTGCATTTCTCGCGGGAGCAGAATCGCGACGCGCCGGTGATTAATGGCGAGGCGATGGCGTACCTGGATGAGTTGTATGCGCCGGATGTGCGGTCGGATCTGTTTTCGCCGGTGAATGCGGAGGGGTTTGGGAGGAAGGAGAAGAAGTTGCCGCCGCATTATATCATGGTGTGTGGGATGGATCCGGCTAGGGATGATGGGTTGATTTATGAGAAGATGTTGAGGGAGGTGGGGGTGGAGACGAGGATTGATGTGTTTCCTGGGATTCCGCATGGGCCTGTCATTTTTGCTGGGACGGAGCTGCCGGCTGCGAAAGAGGAAGTCGTAAATGGGATCCATGCTTTTGGGTGGATGTTTGGAAAGCAAGTGAGTGAAAAGAAAATTCAGAAGGCTCTCTGAATTCTACGCGAGAATGTGTTGGTCATCAGTAGGTAGATGTTCTGCTTCAAAGAGATCTGTCTCCACATTACTGCGTTCGTTGCAGTGAATCTGTGTTATACTTTTTGAGCAAACATATACACTAGGTCTGGGCTTTACCTCCAGCCCGTGCGGCCAAAAGATTATAGCATCGACAGCAGTACCCACTACCATGCTCCCTTATCGCGGATATAATGATTTCCGCCTCGAAAGTCAAAGCGTTATTTAATTCGGCTATCTTTAGTAGCTGATAAGGCTTTAACACATACCGAAATAAATATGCTCTAGTAATCAGCTACGGTCGAATAAAAAGAGTTTACTGATATAAAGCAAAACACACTAGCTGTATTACTGCTGCATTGTAAATTTTCCGGAGACCAGAACTGTAATTTGACACGAGTGATTGTCAGTCGATATAAACCAGCGAAAACCTTCCTATATAACAGTAAAATGCATATTTTGATAAAGTTAATAATGACCCTAAACTACCCGATGCTGCCTTTGAAAGCACTCTAAGCGGAAATAGAGCTTTCTCTGAATATCTCAGAAATACTATTAGCCAGCGTCTTCAATTCGAATAAGACAATATTACAATGCACCGACAGCACTGGCCTAGATATTACTTGGTGGGGTAGAAAGAAATATTGGCCAGGGTGTTAACCACTTTACCCCTATTCCTTATACCCCTCGCTTTTCTAGTAATTCAATCAGTCCATCATGGAGTTCCAACCGCGCACGCAATTGACTACACAAAAAAGAATCATGCGCGATCGCGATCGGACGAACGATTGGCTACCCTGTAAGATGGTAGCAAACCTCGGAGGCGGCTTCTTATTTTTCTTTTTTGGTTAGCTGACCAAGCCATAACGTGAGTGCGTGAGTGCGTGAGTGCTTGAGTGTTACGGTATGAAATGCAACAAGTATGAGATACCTGGAGGCTACACACAATACTTGGACGTGATTTCTTTTAGGGCTTTCTCCCACCTTTCGCAAATGACTGGCCCGAGAGATACAAGCCACCATCAGTGCTGCATCGTAGATGGACAAAAAGTTGGCGTTTAGTGGTAGGTATCACAGCCCCAAGCTCTTTGGCGCTGCAGAAGAGACGTCAACGTGGTCCAATCGTATGCGTCAGCTCTGCATGTCGTGAGATTTCAGCTGCGCCACGTGAAAATATTTTGGCGACGTTCTGTCTCATTGTTGCGTCCTCATTTGAGAGGGAGCAATGAAAATGCAAGACACAGACTTTGTGAGGGCTCGTATGCGTGCGCACAAATGAATCGTAGACACAAACGCCGGCTAAGAATATCGTAGCCTTGATGGCTTGTGTTTGACTCATCGGGATCTGCTGGCAGTCGGTAATTCTTGCGTCAGTAGGCTGACCCTATCGAGGCGAATCACCTTGATGATTGCAGAAGCCTGCATACACCGTGTGAGACCTTCTGCTTCTGTTGCAAGACTCAGGAAGGCAGTGCTGGCCCGCGCAAGTTAATTACTTTGCCGAGTCCCTGGAACTCGTAGCACGCTCTTCGACTCCAACCTTCCTCACAGAACGACAATTTGCGCTTGTCGAACAGAACATCACTCCACACTTCCGAAATCATTTCCAAAATGGAATGGGTCTCCAGCACCGTCAATCTCTTCTATCTCGCGCTCGATTGCTTGGAACATATTCAGATCGCCCGAGAGTTCAATCATGACTTCGCGAAGCATCAGATCAAGCTCGATATCATCCAAATTCGTCTTTCGCGCTTGGGAGAAGTAACCGAGCTTGAAGGCAAAATCAAGAACGGCCAGAACAACAACAATCCCACAAGTCCTCTAGAGAGGGCGGTGAAAAAAGTCCTTGAAGATATCCGAGACTTACTCGACTCGTTCCAGGAGGAACACCAAAAAATCAAACCCGAGGGCATTGCGCCCGAAGCTGTGCACAGTGCTGATGAGATGAATGATCGTCACAAGCGTATACGAGAAAGTCTTCGGCACTGGGTCATGAAGAGAAAATCCCAAGCGATTCAGACTGGCCACCGCATTCAGTGGGTCTTCTACAAAAAAACTACCTTCGACAAGTTCGTCACCGACATCTCCGACCTTCTTGACAAGCTGGAGAAGCTCTTCCCCGAGAACATAAGGAACAAACTCCAAGATCTCAGTAGGAAGCAATGCGAAGACATCAGCAAGGCAAACCTTGAGACTCTCTCAACGTATATCGACAGATGCGATCCATGGCTAAAGACTGCCGTGGAAGAGAGGCTCAAGAGTGACCAAGCTGCAGGAGTCAACATCAACCAGTCTCACAACACGGGTACAACGACAGGAATCCACAATGGCGACATGATTGGTTTCAACAATGGACCAGGGAGTTTGACCAATAACATCGGACGTGAGAATCGCTGATCGCTCGCTTTCAAGGTGCTGGTTAGCTGTTGGGAACACTTGATGTGGGCCATTCCTGTTGCTGGAGGGTTACTTTCATTTTCGGTCATGTATGCTGTCATATAAAAACATCTGCTGTGTCTACAAATCAAAGCAATTCTCTCTTTAGAGTTGCGCGAATTTGATCTTGGATGTGGATGTCCGGTTTCTAGAGGCCATACCCGAGGGTGGCGGTGGCGGGGATCTACGCTGCCTACTCGAGGTACTGTGTAGGCAACAGAGTACGTACGTCGAACGCAAGGCTGTGTAACTACACATTCTAGTGGCGCGTTTCCGGAAGAAGTGAGGCGAGATAACAATGGCAATGCTGAAACATTTTTCGCCGATCGTTCCATGCTTTCATCGTTTTACGCGCGGCTTGCGCGCGGCTTGCATGTCTCGGAACGAAATATGTGAGAACACAGAGGTTCCAATATTTCAGTCGTACAACCGTATTCAGAGGGGCTTTTCTTCAGAAGGCTCGATTGCAAGGATGATGTGACTGTCATATCTTGTGAGAAGTCAGAACCAGACTTTGCCGTCTCCACATTCCACGGGCTTCTGTTACACAGAAAAGCACTCCAAGGCTGACCGTCTAGTGTACTTTTTCTCTACATTTATAGTCTTCTAGTCAATTCTAGTCAATAATAGAAGCCCCGAGAACAGCCTAATAGCTACGCGGATTCTGGTTGTCTTGCGCTATCAGTTTCCGTTTCTCCGAGCTTGATGGCCGAGATTGCCCACATCCGTCGCCGCCGCGACCGCGACTCTGGACTAGGACCTGGCGCCTAGGAAAGCATATGTAGATACCACCCAAACGTCGATCGTGGGACAAGAGGGCTCAGAATCAATAAGATCGCCAAAGCGTTACCCGATTGAAAATAGGAAAAGAAGACGAAATGAAGCTGTACGAACAAACAAGGCGTACATGCAGGTGACACAGCATGATGTAGTAAGCTTCGTATGCAAATGTCAGCTTCAACATATTTCTTCTTGCAACAAAAGCCAATGAATTGTGAAAAACAAAAGCGAGCAACAACAATCATACCTGATCACATGCATTCAGTTGGGTCAGCCTCACGGCCTTCAGACTAACCGTCGGATCAAGGCGTCCAATGTATATAGATTACGGCATGAATAGGATGAATAAATTCCGCTGGATTGGCCTGCCAAGTCCGGGACAAGACCTACTGTACTTCAGGAAATACGGATCGTGACGTAGTGACTGTCATCGAGTTTGTAACTCGTCATCTCAATCGTTCAAGTGGACGATAATTTGATTTGAATGATTCTATCACGTTGCATGTATTTCAACTTATGTGACAGGTCCAGCAAAATGTTTCCCGAGGAGTTCTGTATAGCTGCGTATGGATCGTTCGAATGTGCCTTTTCTTATTTGGAGGCAAGGATGTGATAATATGATAATTTCATACCTTCATGCATAAATCTAAAATAGGAAAACTCAACACAACTTCACTATTGCCCTCCATCCCTCTTCCCTGGGGTTTCCCCAGCTGCCCATCGGAATTATCGTCCAATGAAAGGTTCAAAAGCGAGAAAATTATTCAACGATCCATTGCGATGGTAACCTGTCTCACCTCTCGTATCTGGTACACTGAATGACCTTTCTTACCTTTGGTTTGTTTTCCTACTCCGAAAGACATACGGCTGACACGTAGCAGTAGCATACTCCGTGCCCTGTTTCTGGGCGCTTACATTTGTAAGATCCACTGCCAAGTCCGCTTTACCTTGAATTTGCATGTGGATCGCCATGATTCAATTGTTTCTTAAGAGTCATTTACAGTAAGCTCATAGCCGAGAGTGCGGTATATAATCACGCCGGTCCCAACGAAGGTGAGTGCATAGCCCCCCAGCTTCCACCCAATGCCCGGAGTTCGACACGAGTCTTGATGTTTTTATAGCGAAGGCTCAACTGTAAGCAGCTAGAATGGTTGAACGCCGTGACGACATCTCGGTCACACAGCAATACAACCACGGCGTGAGCATCGGTGTTCAATATGGAGCTACTCGTAAGACTATCTTATCTATATTCTGATAATGTTCGTCTTAGTGTTAATCGATACGTCGCAGACATTCATGGATCCAATTCTGACCGCTCCTTTGAGAAGCTCGCTGAAGAATCTCACAGACGACTGCAGGGCAACCGAAAGCTGGTCCAGGGAACGTGCGACTGGTTGCTTGTGAGAAGAGAATTCAAAAACTGGATTGATGACGAAAACAGATGCTCTGTTCTCTGGATTCATGGCCACTGTATGTTTACTTAGGTCCGACCTTGTGTATATATAGATATTGACTCTATAATAGTCGGATGCGGAAAGTCAACCTTGATGTAAGTATATTTTTCTATTATTTTGTATCTAGACATTGGGCTTTGTTCATATGCGTTCCGGCTTTGAGAGGGGAAGTAGACTAATCATAACACTGGAGCAGATCGCGAGTCATCGACCATATTAAGACACTCGGAAAAGGAGAGAAGCATCTGCTGTACTTTTACAACGACATCTCGAGCGATCGGCAAAGAACCCTGGAGCATCTGGTCTTGACCTTTCGGGAGCAAGCATTTCCAACGAAAACGGAAGATAGACCATGCGCTGGTGAAGGAAATGAAGAATATCCCTATCGGGATATTAAGAAAGAGCTCGTCGAGCTATTGGCAAGAACCGAGAGGCCTCTGTACATCATCATTGATGCCTTGGATAAATTCGACGACAGCGATCGGTTTGCACTACTCAATATGCTCAATTCTCTCTTCGAGTCATTCAAAGGTTCCCGGCTGTCTGTGCTCATCAGTTCCCGCGGACGCGAGGGCCTTGAGATGGTGCATGCAGCCGAGACGCTTCCGATCAGGGTCGAGGCAAGCGACAATGGCAAAGACATTCAGACATACCTGGAAACCAAGCTCACACTTGGCCTTCTTCCCCGCTCAAAAATGGATCAGAAAGAGAGGGAAGAGTTGAAGCAGCATGTGTTGGAAAGGCTAACTGCAACCGCGGCAGAGATGTAAGTCGAATTTTGTTTCAGTTTATCGAATGGTTGCTAAATTGTAGCTACTATATAGGTTTCTTTGGGCAGATTTGCAAGTCAAAAACATCTGCTCGAACACGACGAAAGCTGGTGTGCTCGAAATTTTGAACAGAATTACCGGGCCGGACATGATGGGCACATACCGAGACATTGCCCAAGGTTTCGAGCCAGAAGACAGGCATATTTCACGACAGAACAACGCAAGTGTCAGGACTGAGTGGGTCCATAGTAGGCCAGAAATGGCTGAACCAGACAGGAGAATCGCTAGGCGAACCACAGCACTGCTAGCACACGCGACACGCCCAATCACGCAAAGAGCCTTGTTAGTAGCTCTTGCCCTCGAGGTGGAAGACGGAAGGCCTCGTGAGGATCTTCTCCAAGAGCTAGGTCGTGATCCAACGATCATCGTCAACGTATGCAAATACTTGGTGGAAGTTGACGAAGAGCTCGGCATTGTCCGGTTTTGTCATGCGTCAGTTTACGAATTTTTCAAAACCTATCAGCCAAGCATAACCTATGCTCGGGTCGCCGAGCTTAGCCTATCGCATCTATGCTCGTCAGACTATTCGAAAGAGCCATTCAAGGACGTTTCTTGGCCGAACCCTGGCCCCCTGGAGACCTTCATGGAGGAGCATCCATTTCTGGAGTTTGCTTCCTGCCACTGGGCTCATAGTGCGAGAAACAGCGCTCAAGTCCAGACGACTCAAGACCAGCTTCTGCGCTTCTGCAGCCTTCGCTTCAACATGTGCCTGTCATTTCAAGTATATTTGCTTGTCTTACGGAAACCAATGAGAATAAACATACGCCCCAAATACATTCTCAGTTTCTTTGGCCTAATCGATTCTATCGACACGCTGCCCAGCCGGTTTTCGGATCCACAGGAGTGTGACGATGATGGCTTGACGACAATCCATTGGGCTCTTAGAAGCGAAGACGACCCAAAGAGAACTGCAGAAGTTGTTAAGAAATTGATCGAACGTGGAAGCAAAATCAACTCAAAGGATGCTGCAGGACGTACCCCTCTTTATTACGCCTCTCGATATGGGAAAACGGATGTGGTTACCCTCCTCCTCGATAAAAAGGCCGAAGTGGACATTCAGAGTGCAGAGTATGGAACAGCACTGATCGCCGCTTCGCAGAAGCATCACCATTCCATCATCATGGAGCTCATACAAAGCGGAGCAGACCCCAGGATTCAAAGCCCTTTTGGTAGCGCATTGCAAGCCGTGTCCTCGATTGGATGTCAAGGTTGTGTCAACACTATCCTTCAGAAGCTTGACCAATACGACCCTCCCTTCGACACAGACGGAGGCCCTTTTGGCACAGCCCTTCATGCTGCCGCGTATAACGGGCACCCTGAGATCGTCGATCTGCTTCTTTGGAAGAATTATGATGTTCATAAAACGAACAAAACGTACGGGACCGCCCTTACAGCAGCAGCGGCAGGATGCTACGAAGCCAGGGATCCGGCTCCCTTTCGAAGAATTATCCTCAGACTCATTGAACGTGGAGTCTCTGTCAACGATCCAAATGGATTGGAAGGACCAGCCCTCCGTGCTGCAGCAACATACGGCCACACAGAACTTGTCCAGCTACTGTTGGACAAAGGGGCGAAGGTTTGCTTGGCAAAGGGCCCAATGGGAACTGCATATCAAGCCGCACGTAACGGGGGTTATAGAGAAATCATGGAACTCCTGTCAAAGCATGACCAAAACGCTGCGTCCGAAGATGTGGATGATGACGAACCCGAATGGCCTCTGCTGCGAGCTTCTTGGATGGGATTGTTCAAGTTCGCTTTGGCGATGAGCAATATGTCCTTTATCGAGCGTCTGATCCAAAGTTGTGAGAGGGTGTTTGAGCGAGCCATTGATCGGGAGGACAATCGGGTGCTCGAAGGAATGGTTGTCGTGGGCGAACTGGCTTTCGAGGCTGTGATATCTCTAATCACAAAAGACCTTGCTCCAGAAGCGCACAAACCGAGGGACAATGAACCAAAAGCAGGAAGAACCATCACAAAAGTGTACACTGGGGCTTTCCAAAAGCTAGCAGAACTGTTGGCTTTCTTGTTTGGTTTCACACTTTTACTTTTCGGTTGCACAATGTCTACTTACGGAGAGGAAAGAACGACCGTGCGAGATGAGTCTTCTATTACGTGGAAAGAATCTCCATTCGATCAGGAGAGTCTGGAAGGATATTCTGCCGATGTTTTGGACCGACTGACAAAGGCTGCGGTGTCGATCTTGGATCGCGCTCTTCTACACAACACAAGGGACAACAATGCGAAAGCAGTTAAGACGATCGCTTCTGCATGGATAAATGCCTTGAATAAGCTTAGGTCACGCCATGACTTTGGCAAGAAAATGTTGGAGATAATTCTGCAGAAGCGAACTTGCGAGCTCAAAGGACACTTGACCAACAAGGAATGGGACCCTGAAAAACGATTTGATGAAGCTAAGAGACTGGCAGAAGTTGGTGTAGAGCTCCTGTTTACAGCCATTGAGAGGGGACCAAAATTCACACCTCTGGCCACCAGTCTCTCTACTCTTTGGGTTTCGGCGGTCAATGAAGTTGAATACCTCGGTCACCAGGGTACACAGTACGTTTGGCAGTTGATCGGCGTATTTGAGAGAAAGTTCAGAGACGCAGTAGAGTCAAAAAGTCGGCCGAATGTTCGGATATTCGCAGAGGCTGGCATAGAAATTTTGAAGATGGCAGCCTTGTGTCCCAACAAGAGCTTGATGGATAAGCTTGTTGAGGTATGGGTAAAGGTGTGGAGAGAGGTGATCGAAAAAGGGATGAAAGAGGAGACAGACCACGTGCTTGAACGTAGGCTGCAAGAGTATCAGGATTGCATCGAAAACGGAACGCACGACGAAGCTCTCGGTATTGCTGTTGCGGGAATAGGGCTTCTTCGCGCTGCAATCTTGCAGAAAGACCATGAAGTGGCACAAGACCTCTCGAGTACAATCGAAGTGGGATTTCAATGGTCTATGAACCATGCCGACATGGCTTTGTCGCCTAGGACAGTCAGAACGAAAGAAGATGATTTCGAAGATGCCATCGAAATCCCTCAACTACGGAAACGAAAGGAAGGAATGGACTTGGGAGGCATCTTCGATGCCTTCTCTAGCATGTTCCTCGCAGCAGAAGGACACAGCTGCCTTGACCGCCTGCACTCTCTAGCTTCGACTATTCTGAACGGCTTCAGAACTGATCCAATAGTGGGCTCAGGGACGTTATCGACTATGATCAGCAATCGTATAGATGACATTCGCGAAACCTTACCCGAGGAAAAGCAAAACCTGGAACTAATGAAAGCATCTACTATGATGTTTTTCCTCATTCATGTTGCGTTACGCAATAGTATGACTGAGCCTAAGGTCCCCCCAGCACTTAGAGATATAGCTGTTCAGCTGTGGAGTGCAACAACGAGCAGAGAGAACTCTGTGCAGTATGCAGAGGTCACCGAGTATCTGGAATCGGAGCAAAGGTACTGTGGCAACGCTGAGAGTAGAATTTCACTTAGCTAATATCTATTCGTCAGGAAGCGAAATGACTGAGTAAACGTTCTTTTATATTGAGTTTCGTATGTACAAAGGTTTTCTATTGATTGGAAGATGCAATTTTAGTACCAATCTCTGGGTTTAAGGAGTTCTGGGACTCGGTCACGTGCAGTCATTAGCTCTGGGTTTATACACAACCGTCTCTGATTTGAAAAAAATCGTATTCATTTTTCTGGCTGTGAGAACCGTCAACTCAGACGTGCCTCAGAATTTATGCAAACCTCCGAGTCGTGTTTTACTAACCAATTCTACCACCTACGAGAACTTCTGACGCATGGGAGTTGTCGAAAACCGTGAAATGATTTGTTTTTTCCGACATCAGTGTAGAAGGCAAGTACGAAATCAACGTTGTAAATCAAGACCTGACGGACGAACTGTGCGTAGAATTGGACCGGCGAAGTCTGTGGCCCACGGCGGCAGGTCGGGATGGCGTCCAGCTGCTCCGTGCGCGGGAGCTTATGGCTACGCGCCAAGTTGATGCGAGCTCTTACTGTGAATATTGTATGTAAGTAAAAAAGTGTTTTCCCAGGCAGTCAAATACTCACCATCCGCACCTTTTGTCGCCAGTGCGGTCAGCGCCATGCCCAGGATAGAGCTATTCCAGGTAGAAAGAGGACGTACACCATCAATAATCTACATTATGCGACCACATAGCTCAAGGTAGAGCAGTAAAATGATATCTATTTCGCAACCTACAGTCGCCCATGATCACCAACGGAGCTAGCAAAGAGCGAGCGTCTGTACGACACCCCCTCTCCACCCTCAATCTCACGCCCTATACACCCCCGCCAACTCCCCCCGCTCCGGCGGCCCCTCCCCCTCCACCTCCCCAACCCCAACCCACCCATCATCCACACTTCCCCCAGCACCACCAACCAACCTCATCTGCGGCAACGCCTCCCACTTCACCGCCACGCCGCCTCCGCCCTCCTGCCCACGCTTGGCCAACTTCTCGCCATTCCGGCTCACAAGCTCGAACTTCAGATCCGCGGGCTCGATCAGGATGTGCATCTGGAACTCAGCCAACCAATACTCCCTATCAGCTCCGCCGAGGCAGAACAGGCGGTGGTACCAGCGGGCGGTGTTGTGCAGGACCATGTCGGCGTGCATGAGGGTGGACTCGATGGTGCAGAGCTTGGTGACGCCGTTCGAGCTGAGGCTGGCGCGGCGGCTGTCCCGTTTTGAGCGTTGTTGTTGTTGGTCTTGCTTGAAGCTGCGCGGGAGGTTGGCTGGAGGGAGCAGAGACATGACGATTTGCGTGCGCCAGGGCTTGAGTTCGGTGCCGGCGGGTCGCTTGAGACGGTAGGGGTGGCGGATGCCGCGGGAGACGTCGATGGGGTCGCCCTGAGAGGAGTTTGTGTGAGTCAAGGCGTCCGTTCTATTTCGTTCTCTTGGACGGGGAGAAGGAGGGGGGAGGCTCTTGGGGTGTTGTGGTATTTGCCTTCTTTTACCTTCTTGACGACCCAGTGAATCTGCCCATCAACCCATTTCTTCTTGTCATATTCGTCGACGGAGACGTCTTCGCCGGCATGGCGGCGCGGGTCGTACTTCTCGCGGCAGAGGATGCCGTAGCTGGCGCGGCAGCGGCGGGACGTGTACATCGGGATCTCGGAAGTGATCTCCTGGACGCGGTTCATGACCAGGCCATGGCATACGGCGAGCTGGCTGTGAAATGGAGGGCTTCATTAGTCAATGATTTAATCTGGTTAAATTGGGGACATACGGTTCCGGCGCAAGGAGAATTTGGAGATCGTCGACGTTGTCGAAGAGGTGTTCGGCTTCGAGCTGGTAGCGGTCTCGCAGGCGCCGTCGCAGATAAGGAGAGCTGCCAAGCCCCCCAGAGACAATTATGTAGGACTGGTGAGATTAGCGCGGCTGCTTCGGATCCTGCCATGTGATGAACTCAACTACAACTTCCTGGGAATGGGTGTGTTGGAGTTTTTCCAGTTGGCGGTCGATGATGCGGAGGATCTTTTCAATCTGCTCATCGAAGAGATGTTGTAGTTCTTCTCTGTATCGCTGTCAGCTCAAACGGGTGATAATGAAAGCAAGGAATTTGCTCACTTCAGAATGATCATACGTGAATTTCGTATCCTCGATCCCGGAAAGTCGTGGCCAGGTTCCATGCCCGGTATGGGTAGTGGGATTTCATCCATCTCAGAAGCCTCGGAGCCGAAATCACATTTGAAGCTTTCAAAGCGCCCTCGAATCATCTGTTCAGCAATTTCTTGCGGTTTGCCCTGCAAATGGTGTTTAACAAGCTCGAGTCGTTGTTGAATGATGATTGACATCTTCCAGTCAATCAAAGCTGAGCCGACAGCCATGCCCTCGACATAAGAGAGCGGGGTGAGTTCGGTGCGCGGAGCGTCAGATGTGATCTTCAACACGTTGACGTCCGTGGTTCCGCCACCAGCATCACAGACAAGTATCACATCGTCCCGCTTGTAATGCTGGCTTGCAGCATACACAGCAGCAGCCTCGGCCTCGGTCAAGGAGATGTTGACTCTTTGGTTATGGCTCTCGCTAAAACCGGCCTCTTTGAGGATGCGCTTGACATGTGCAATCATTGCTGGATTCTTCCAGGTGGTGGGGACACTGAAGACGAATTCGACCTTGCACTGTTTCCAGCGTGCAACGCGTCCGTCGAAGTAGTCCTGGATGAAGATGTACATTCGACGCATGTAGTGCCAGAACCAAGTCTGGGCGTCATGCGGCGACGGAGCTGACTCGTGGCCATCTTGGTAGTCGGGGTCAATATGGAGCTTGAAGTACTCTTCAATTTGGACGTCTCGGGTATGCTTCCCATTGTTTCGTATCTCTTCGCACTGAAATCCCCAGCCAAGCGAGGCACCGGTGCGTCGATCAAATGCGATGGCTGTTTGGACTTTGTTCGTGAGCTCCGCGCTGAGCTTGCCGGGCCATTGTTGAATGGTTATCGGTTTAGTCCACTCTGGAGCTTTTGAGTAAGCAATTCCTGCAACACATGGAATCAGTTCAACCCGCTACCTTTTTCGGTGAAGCAAACCTGTGAAGGTCATCCCAAAATCGATAGCGACCACGGCGTCCGGCTTCCAAGATGTGTACGCCATGGCAACACATGAGCTGCAGTATTACTGGTAATGGGCTACAGGAAGCCTTGCAGGGGGCGTGAAGATATGAAAGATGATCGATTGCAGCACAATGGTCGGGGTGCGGCACCAGGCTCTGCAAAACGACAATCTTGAGGCTGAACCCCGCATTTAGACAAGGCTTCGATGCAAGAGTTTCAAGGTCAGGTGTTAATGGGTCTAGGCTCATGCCAATCCAGATGACTGCGGCAAGCATTCCATAGCTGCTGCAGATAAGCCGCCATCACAAGGCTGTGGGAATTATTCAAGTGCCCCCCTGTGGATCAACGAAGAGGCGGTTCTGTTTTTCTGCGCCGGCCGACGGTCAAATCAGCTATTTTGAGATCAGGGTATATCAAGTGGTGTTCGACTGCGTCGGGGAGATGCCCTCCCACTAACCTCGGATTCTTCGACATTGGCGGTTCTCGTGAACCTCAACGGGAATAAGCCGGACAGACCAGCGACGAGCAGCAACATCAGCAGCCATGGCAGCGACAGACCTGAGCAGAACGTTTACTTCTTCGACGACGCGAGACTCGACGACTGGCAGTGGAGAGACAACATCGCCGACGACAGCAATAGCACCAACATCGACAGGGGCTACGACGGCCGGCAGTGTGGAGCCAAGCTCAAGGCCCAGCTCAGGACAGACGAACTCGGGAATCTCGGGCGGGGCAGTGGCAGGAGCGGTGATTGGAACAGCGATCGGGGTCGCGCTGCTGACATTCGCGCTGACCTTCTGGCTGATGCAGCGCGGAGTCAGGAAGAAAGGGCTGCAGCGACAAAAGCGGCGGAGCAGCGAGATGAGCGACTACTATGTGAAGAGAAGCATGACCAACGCGTCGGGCGAGCGGCGGCGCGGGGGATGGCAGGAGCACCTGCCGCAGTCATTGGACGACGATACGGTGCGGAGACGCGTCAAGACGGTGCTGGACCAGGCTGCGGTGCATGTCGAGAACAACTTCGGCGACATCAGCAAGGCTGAGGAGGAGGAGCGGGAGAGCGACGCGTTGGCCGCCTTCCAAACGCCGCACCTGCCCGCCCCGCTGGCGCGTCTCATCGGCCAATCACGCCGCCCCACGCTGCTGATTAAGCACGTGCTGGCCTACCACCTCGTCGCGTCGCCCGACCTCCTCCTGCCGCCCACCATGACCGAGCTGCCGCGCGTTGTCGACCACCGCCCCGACAGACCGCGCGCTGCATCTCAGGCTCTGTCTCACTGGCGCCGTCTGACCGCTTACCTGTATCCCGCCCCGGCGGCGGACCCAGCCTTTCTGGCGCATCGCAACGACTGCATCGAGGATCAGGTCGATCGCTTCTTGGGCGCATTCCAGCCCTGGCTTTCGTCCAACCCCGCTGCCGACCGCCGCCAAAACCTCATCGCCATCTTCCACGCTGCAGCTGACGTTGCCTACATGCTGTTCTCCCAGCCTTCAGCCATTGAGTACGATTGGGCGGCCCGACCCGATGGCGCCTTGGTCAGCCTTCCCGGCCTACACAAGCTCACCGATGAGAGCGGTTCTCCATTGCCGTACGCCCACGTGCTGCTGCAGCCCGTCGTCGTGAGCTCTTTTTAGCCCTAATTTTCACACCCCGCCAATCGTCTTCATTCCGTCTTGCTCAATTGGGATTTTGGTTGCCTTATGTATAACTTGCTGACCACTCGGGCATGCCTTGATTTCCTTAATCGTCTGCTTAGCTTCCGGGGAGAATTGTTCTAGGCCATGGGGTAGTCCTCTGTCCTTCATCTTTCCATTCAAACAGGGTCATCTTGAGGCTATCTGCTTCTCACGAACGAGGGTATTGGTTGAGACTAGATACACCGAATCCTGAAACGCCGCATCATCGACAAGTCTGATGCAAAAAATCACAGCTCGATCTCTTGAAAGCTAGCTCTGTGAGTGAGCCATATCTGTCCACGCGACCTACCACCAATCCGCCTGCGGGGTGCCGCCGGATTTCCAGAAGTCGAATCAGGATCCGGAGTTCGCGCCCTTCCTGCAGAGTGTGTTTGGTGCTGCGGTTGACCAATGGCCTCAGATCCAGGCTGCCACCGTGGCTGCTCACGCCAGTCCACCTGCAGCCCGGACATGTCTGGCCCATCAGCAAGCACTGCAGGCGTCACCTCAATCACTGGTGTGCTTTCGGTCGCTTGTCGCATCTCCGCGGCACTCTCGATGCCTAGTTCAACCGGCTCCTCTTTGAAGATTACCGAATGCCGTTTGCTATTCAGGAATTGACTGTCCTCGTACGACGGCGGCGGATACTTTGGCTCAGGTTGCACCTCGTGCTTTGGGTATGTTGGAACCGAGCCGCGGTTGCAGAGGATTCCCATGACCGTGCAGAGACCGTAATAAGCAAATTGAAGTCGACTTAGGCTGGCGGTGATCTTTGGCAAATCTCTCAGGACGAACAAGCCTCGTGTAGCCACGGTAACGTTCCCGTTGTGTATATGCATGTCGGCGCGAGCGGGCTCAACCAGCAGGGCAAGATTGGCGACCGCCTTCTCGGCGTGGCTCAGCTCCGTGTCAATCATGTCTTTCTCCAGCGTGCTGAGCAGCTGCGATTTCTGCCGCCGGAGCCTCCGCGTGTGCTGAAGCATTTTCTTCATCCCGTTGCTGATTTCGAGCACGTCCTTGGCCTGTTTCTCAACATCGCGGAGTTCGAAGATGCGCCTTGAGACGTTGATGGAAGAGTTGATGAGAAACCCGATGGTTCCCACCGTGCTAAACAGAGACAAAGTGTGTGGATCCATCTTGGCTGGATGGAAACGAAGGGAACGGAAAGTGTTTGCATCCAGCCCTCCACCGATGAACGTCTAGAACAAATATTCTGCTGATGAGGACGCCCACAGACAGCATGCTACATGAGCACTGCAGCTTGAAATTCAAATCACACGTTTTAATCACATGGTGCAGTGGAAAAGCCTTCTCCAAACGGAGGCTTACATGTGCCATGATTACGACGCCCTTGGCATTAAGAGCTAAGATGGGGCACACCCTTTTGACCAACATGGAGCACATCACAACCGCGTATCACAGTTGCAGGCCAGACGTTCTAGCCTTTCCAGACTGCCGACCCCCTCATTCTTTCGGCAGGCTCTCGACCAGCAAATGCCGCAGCAACGCATTCCATCGACCAGCCATGCAGGTCAGCAGCCACAGTACATTGAGATAATCTCAAAAAGCAAAGCCTCGTGGGGTGGTGAGGCTGAAAATGGCCCCCTTGCAAACATGGCACTTCCTTTCTGCTCATCGTTCTGACTGCAATGCTCTCATATTTATGGCCGCTGATCTGACTTGAGCCTCTTCGGCTAGTGGCTTATGGAGCTCTTCCTTGACAATAGACATCAGTATGCTTCAGGTAATTACCACGCTCTACGCATTCTCAATTCTTCCAATCATTACAGCACTTGCTCTCGTCGCGCCCACTCAACGCTCCGATGACCACCTGATCAATGGCTGGACACCAAAGCCCACCCGCGGCCCCAAGATCGAGATCCGCGCAAACGGCTTAGTCCTCCGTCAAGACTCAACGACGAATACCTGCGGTTACTACATCGCTTCCACAGACTTACTATTCGCATGTCCCAGCCGCTCAGAATGCGCGTATTCATCCAGCTGGATGGGATGCTGCCGCTTCCAGGGCACCTCGACCTCGTCGTGCTTCTTGCACAGTAGCTGCTTCGACTCCACAGCCGCAGGTCGCTGTACCGGTGACTGCACCGACAATTCCTTCAACCTCGTCTGGTAAGCAAACACCGCCCCACCACCACCACCCGACGAAACGCTGACATAGCCATGAATGAAGCACCGACTCCGACACGCCGTACTGCTACACCAACGTCGTCTTCGGCAGCGACGCGCAGGACACGAAGTCGTACTCGTACTTCGACTGCCGCTCCTCGCAGGCCCTCTCCGTTGTCTACCCCATGGACAAGGCGGCGCCCACGACCACCGGCGCCAGCTCATCGTCATCCGAGGCAGCCTCCTCGACCTCCTCGTCTTCGTCTGCAGAACCCACGTCATCGTCAGAGCCGCCGCCACCTCCGCCTGCCTCGACAACTTCCGCAGCAGCACCGCCCCCGCCGCCCCCGCCTGGCTCTACGTCGTCGTCGGCTGCGGTGGCTCCGCCTCCGGCCTCCTCCTCCTCTTCCTCCTCTGCTGCGCAGCCTGTACCGCCGACTGGCACCACCGGTGCGTCCACCGCCGGCGCTACGCAGTCCGGTGGCGGCGCCACACGCTCTGGTGGTAATGATGGTAGCGGTGGGGGTGGCAGCAGCGCCACTCCATCGAGCGCCGGCGCAGAAGAGAACAGCGGCGGCGGCAGCGGTGGTGGCGGCAACCATACCGGCGCGATAGCGGGCGGCGTCGTCGGCGGCGTGGCGGGCTTGGCGGTGCTCGTGGCGGGGCTGGCGGTTGCGTTGAGGTTTTGGAGGAAGAGGAGTCAGGCGGAGAAGGAGGAGGGGGAGGAGGGGGGTGTGGTGAGGGAGATAGCGGTGCAGTGAATGGGGGATGGGGGAGGGAGAAGGGGTGGGGTACGGGTTTCGAGGATCGCTGGTTTGGGAGGGGAGGTTTGAACGTACCTTAGTAATCCCGTTCGTTGATAGGTTGAAGAGCTGGGGGAGTTCTTCGCGCTGCGAATAATCTTAGTCAGAATCTAAATCAGACCGATGTGGTATGTTAATGTGACTTCTTGAGGGATGGCTCCGGTGAATTTGACGAACACTCCCACGTCACGATTCGTAAAATTGAGACCATTGTGACAGGTGCTTCCGTCTACCGTGCAAATTGTGACAAATGGCTGTTTACTGTTGATATATGCGAGACAACAGCTGACTCCTTCTTCCGATCCAGAATGTCGTCTTGGATAAAGCATAGCGTCTCGAGACGTTTACAGAGTTGTGTTTATCGGATCTTAAATGGAAAGGATCTATAAAACTATCCTACAGGCTAATGGTATCCCACAGCGATGCACTATAAAAAAATAAAAGAAAATCCTGTTATATTCTAACAAGCCTCGTCTCTCCCTCTTCACTCCACGTCAACTTCGCCCCTATCCCCCTTGCCCTCCTTTCCATCTCCGGCCTCTTGTTAACCCTCCCCTCGTAAATCGCACGCCGCTCCTCCTCCTTCCACTCCCCAGCTAACTCATTGTGGAAAATATACGGCAACAACCCAGATTTCCACAGCGGCACGGAATGACGTCTGCTAACGAGCAGCGTCGCCACCAGAAACGCCGCGCTAAGCAGGACCAGCGCAATCGGCAGCGCCAGCCAGGCCCACTGCACCGATATGAACGTCTCGGGCCGCAACACCACGCCTTCGACGACCGTGGCGTTCGGGCCGGTGCGGATCAGGTTGGTCAGGCTGTCCGTCATGTTGCCCATCAGCGCGGCGACATCGACGCCGTAGGCAAAGGCCGATGCGACCGTGAGTTGGTCCTGGTTGACGAAGGTGAAGTTGAGCATGCGGCGGACGAACGAGCGGATGATTTCGTGGTCGCCGACGGAGACGTCGAATCTGTTGGAGTCGAAGGGCGGGAGGGTGGACGGGAGGGAGTCGGCTGCTGCGGGGGTGATTGCGAAAGAGGGGAGCTCGTGGCCGCCGGGACCGTAGAGGTCACTGTGGTTGTAGCCCTTTGGCGGTGTTCGGAATGGGATGGGGTCAATGGAGAGAGGTTGTACGTCGCCGTCGGTCTGTCGGTCTGTTTAGAAGCAATCGTTCTGTAAGACATGGAAACGTTGGGTGGCTTACTACTGTGGGATTACGGTATAATTTGGCGCACCACTCTATCAGGCACTCAGTCGCTTCCCATGTACCAGGATCTGGCCCGGACTGAGACATCTGCACGATGCTAGCACGAGCAAGTTCCGGAAATGGTGCCCATGAGTCAAGCTTCCCGCCGTGAGTAACATTGCTGCTGACTAGGTTCGTTGAGTCGGCCATTATCGTATGTGGATCATCGGCACGGAAGGCCTGCGGGCCGAGGCGCGCTCCGCTAGGCGTGGTGAAATATGCATCGGATGTCCCGTCCCCCTCTGTGTCAGATTGCGTGACAATGTCTAGTTTCGTGGACTTGGTAACATTGACACATGTGCTGCATACGCCCATAGAGTAAAAGTCGTCCCAAGTGCAGTTTCCGGACTGGCAGACAAAATCGAAGTGGGAGCCGCCATTGAATATCCCGCTTAAGAATGCGCCCTGAATATCGGCACGAGGCGCAGTTACTACGAAGGATGGTGTAAACGGAGATTCACATGTATAAAGTAATGCGTTAACTCACAGATCGAGTAGTTGTTGTTAGACGACCATGCACTTATGCCAGAATAATACATGTTTGAGGCCAGCATCGTTGAATTTGTCCCAGATCGAGCAACGTTGCGTGTATCGAAAGTGATAATTTGCTGTGCAAACGGGCCCATGGCCAATGCCGCAACGGTGAGGAAGCAGCCCAAACAGGAGACCATCGAGCGTGCTCCGATTTTCCAGAAGAAAACGAGCGCGCCCCAAGGCCCCCGGCTGGCGCTGTCAAAGGTTTCGAGCTCAGAGAGAGAGCGTCTTTTTAACCAAAAGTAAGTCCATTTCAATTGATTGAGTCCTTCTGCCACCGGCAGTAGCATCGATGTTTTGGCAGTTGTGACCAGGGTGGAGATAATGGTACCAGGCCCCAAGATGAAAGTCCAGTCAGACAACGCCGTCTGATCAATGCTAACTCCGAGAATAATGATGGCCATCACGGAGGCAATGCTGACAACGGCGCTCGAGATCTCCCAGAACCACCAGTCCTCATAGCGTCTCTTGGCAGCTTCCTTCGCGGAAGTCTGGCTCCGATTCTCACTCTCTGTTACGAGCGGAATCTCCGTGGAGTTGGTGTCTTCGCCGCTGGCCCTTCGGAGGTGCCCAAGGCTTTTGTAACTCATTTGAGGGAGCTTCGGTGTCAATGAGATGTTCGCATTTGGTATCTCGAGGAGATTGGCAGCTGAGATAAGAGACGAAGTTCTCTGCGAGTCCATCTTAGCGTGGGGGCCATATGCGAAACGAATCTAGTGCCGTCTCGTATCCTGCATCCATCAGACTACTTTGACTTCTTTTGTGACTTTCTTGGCTAAACAAGCATAGGTTATTGGTTGAGCCACACCGGTGGCTTGTCAATGAAACACAACGGCTATGTTGCTAGGCAGCAGGAACTATAAACACGTCACGCGGCCGGTCTCATGATTTTTCTACTTCGACACTATCAATATATTTATTTCTCAGTATTCATTTGCTCCACTGTGTACTGTAGCAACTCCGTACTTAGCTTAGCCATTTGAGGAGGGTATATAGCCACCACCCGCTTGTAAGCCACCCACTCAGTCCTTGTGCCACTCATTCAGTGCAGACAATACCATTCATGTCCATCACCAATTACGACATAATTTAATGCGATTCTACAGACTGTAAAGAAACAAGTAGGGTGAAGAAGGAAAGGAAACAAGGAAGAAAATCTGCTTCGGAATCTATTCGCGTGATACTCTTGCAAAGCCTCCCTCTTGTGTCATCGCCCGCTGACTGTTAATCAGGACCAAATTTTCTTCATCTGAAGTATCTTCATCTGAGGCCGGCCACCCAGACTTCTCCCCAGGGAGCCAGTCAGATAGCGGCTTATCCTTCAGCTTTCGTGGAGAATGCAGTTCCGCATGATCGTCTCGCTCCAGTGGTAGGTCGCGCTTCAATGTATGATGCAGCAACCTTTCGTACCAGTCACTCAAAAAGCGCGGTACTTTCCTGGTCCGGCTGGTTTCCTCAGACTCAGAACAGAACGGTTGAAGAACCTTGACTAGGGCCTTGACCAGAGAGTGTGTCATCCCGTTCAAAGCTTCCGCGAGGAAATTAACATTGAACGCGAACAATATGAACGGAATCGACACTGCGAGCGATATGCCGACTGAGTACGAGGTTAGCAGATGCAGCTCCGAGCCGTGGATATACATACACAACAGTTCAGATAGGAATACCAGAGACCATTCGGTGCTCCCGTCGTCTGATTTCGGAAACGCGGATATATTCAATGCGAAGAACGCCGCCATGAACGATAAGGGAAGCTTTGGTTCTGTCAATAACTGAATATTATTTCCATCGATTCGTTACTCACAAAGATGATGGTCACAACGGTAAACACCATGAGAGTCTGTTTTAATTATCAGTAGTCGTAGTTCTGAGCGCCCGAGACACAAGAAGAAATGCTTACGCTGCCTTGTTTGGCGGTCTCTTCTGCTCCCTCCCGAGATGAGATAGCTTCCCATACATTGGCTTGCTTTTGCTTCAAGTCTAGCAAATTCGCAAGCTGAAAAGATGGTCAGACAGTTTCATCCTTGAGGCGCAAATTACTTACTGCTTTTTGAACAGATAATCCGTGAGACTCCATCGAAGTGAAGTTGCGTTCAACCTCTTGCAACGTGTTTGCAGCATGCTTCACTGTGGTGTTTGCATGTGGAAAGGAACAGCTTCGTGCGCCTTCCAGAACTTTAAATTGATCTTCAAGTACAGACTTGACCATTTTGATCTCGTCCAGAATGTCTTTTACTTCTTTGAGAAGCTTAGATTCCCTTTGTATGTCAAGAAGCTTTTCGAGGAGCTTCTTCCTGTGCTCGCGATAATGCTTATTCTTTTTGTTTAGAGAATACAGCAATTTCGTCCTTCGGAAAAACTTTCTGAAGAGCTGCGTCTCTGTTTCTTCCTAGTGGAGTGTTAGTAATTGTGCACATATGAATGGGTGCATCTATAGGTGTGAGTTGATGGGAGACGTACCGCATGACCTAAAGCGCTTTCGAACATGTCCAAGAATTGGATAGATTCGAATTTCTGGTGGCGATCGAGGGTTTTGCAGCATAGCGTGAGAATTCTGGAGACAAGGTCTTCGCTCTTGAATATTGAACGCCGACATCTTTCTGTGAGGACGGCTCGCTGGATATCGTCGACTGGCTTAGATTCACGATGAGCGCCTTTGCGTCCCGGAAAGCTCGATATGATTGTGTCGGGCTCTTGATCATTTTCTCCTTTGATCAACCAAAGCCATAGTTGATCGACCATCAAGATGTTGTGATGCCTATCATAAGCTTGCTTTCGGGCCTCACGTGAGACAACCTGGCTTGCATCTCTGTAGCGCGTGTCTTCCAACATGTAGTAGTATGACTGATCGAGAGTAATGAAGTATCGGTCGTTAGAATAGCATCTAGAATCAGAAATGGAGGCGAATTGGCCAATGTCCCATCGTTCTTCAACTTACCGGCGGGGTTGCAATCGGAGAGGGCTCGTTTGGCTCTTGTGGTCGTCAGTCATATAGCCACCGATAGCGGATATATTTTCAGGATTCTGAATCTTCTAATAGTTAGCTTCTGTCCTTCACCTACCCCATGGATAATCGTCTTACGTTTTCCTCAAAATCGGTCTCGCTTATGCTGGGGTCACAGGAAGGCCGTTGGTTTCGGTATCGGATGAGGTTCTCGAGACTGAATTGACTCGTGCTTTCTTCATAGCTCATATAAGGCATCTGCGTTCGTTAGACCTTGTAAGTTAGAGTTTGCTCTCGTGACGAACCAAGATTGCCCAAGCTCTTCGGCGTTCATTTTCCTGTCTCCGTTTTAGAGTTGACAGTTCGACCCATTCTGGATGCATACAGCGCTGAAATAGTAGTAGTTAGCTAATGTTGTTCACAAATACGAGAGAACGCGCAAGAAAAAAAAGTTTCGAGGGGGGCCTTACTCCATGAGGGAGATTGCTCCTCCTGTAGGAAGATGGCCAAGGCCAAAAAGGGTATTCCAATTTCGCGAACAAATCCTTGATAACTTAGAGCTTTGTATACAAACAAGGAATCAGAAACTCTTACATGAACCCATGCCATCTTTGAAGCTGTTAGCCTGACAACCATACTACGTAATGGCAAAGGAACACCTTACATTATTCATTGGGATATGGTACCAGCGGCATACTGGCCTCTCTCTGTTCTCTGGTCGGTGTAAATGCTCAAACATTCTTTCAACACCTTGGTCAGTGTAGATGAGATCAGAGACCTTTGTGTAAAGAGGGACATGGAAGTCTTTGACCTGGCCGGCTCGATCTGCCGTGAAGATTTCTGTCACAACCATGGAAGTTCTCTCGCATGCTCTGTTTGCGTCTTCTGTTGCAGGAAACCCCTTAACAAGATGGTCTGGCTCGGAAGGAATTTGAACGGGTCGGTTGAGCCTCTCTCTTGTGTCCTCGTTGGATATATCAAGTGGAGATTTACCCTTCGAGTCTTTGAGGTAGGGACTCGCTCCAGCCTCGAGAAGTCTCTCAATCATATCCATCGAACTGGGGTTTCCTGTGGCACATGAATGCAGAGCTGTTCTTCCTGACCGGTCTTGTCCATTCACGTCCACCTTACCCGAGTCCAAAAGCTTAGTCAATGCGCTGGAGTATCCTCGTTCCGCGGCAATACGTAACAACGTTTGACCTCCGTCATACTCGGTGTTGAGGTCATTAGCTGCTTCAATTAGCGTTTGAATTTTGCCCGTGTCGGGAAATTCCGCCGCAGCCGCCTCCTCGAATTGTCGGCGAAGGACCGCATCTGACAAGATCTGAACCAGCCGCTGGAACCTCTTATCGTGGGGCCCCTGGAACTTTGCGATGTTTTGCAAGTCGAAGTCTGTGCCGATATAGGTGACACATTCTGCATCTGTTTCGGAGGTTGTATGGAATGACTCTTCCAGGAAGACGACAGTCGAAATTCTCCTCTCTGCTGTCGTTTTGAAAAACTCTTTCCACTTCTCCGGACGAGATGATGGAGCTGCGTTTCTGAAGACTTCCGACGATCGAGGGATGTGCAGAATTTGCGAAGCCCATTTGGCGAGGTTGTCGAACCCCCTAAGGGGCGGTCCGAATAGTACGATCGCGGCAGTCGAAGAAGCCATTTGCTCCCACTCCCAGTGAAAGGGGCTGTCTGAGAAGTCGCCAAATAGTATCTTCTCGATGAGTATTGTGCCATAGCCATGGCTGATAAATACGATAGGCTTCTCCTGGCGGCCATTCGAACTTCTCTGGGCTAATATATTTTCGAGAATTTCTGCTGCCAGAGAGTCAAAGTCGACTGGTCCAAAGGGCTGAGGGATCCCGAACCCAACAACATGCGCACCAGGAAAATGACTGGGAAGCATATGACTATCTGACAGCCAATTGATCGTTTTGTCGCTGTTTGTTGATTGATCCGCACCATTGCTGTGGAATTTCCGGAATGCACTGGACTGTTGTTAGCGATTCCGGTTTAGCTTTGGTGAGCTAAGTCCATACGTATGCTGTGACCCTTTAGAATCAGAGCTGAAAGACCCTGTTCTGAGCGTATCTTCCGTGGGCTTCGTTCTTATAGAATTACCATTGTAGCAAAACGCGGACGCGGCCGTGGCATTGTCACTGCTTTCGCACACATAAATGGCAACCACGTCGACAAAGCTATCGAGGTATTTATGATTAGGTTCGCGGAAAACAATTTCGCGCAGGGATGCATTTGGAGTGCTCGGACGCGACGGGAAATGTCCATGGAATGTAAGCCTATCTCGAAAGGACATATGTTAGCATACTAGACACGCGGAGTTGGAGTGTCTGAGCTCTCTACGAACCTATGGTTGAGAAGAGAGTGTCTCCTTTCCTTGCCGTTACTACCATGGTGGACAGAAAATGGTGCTCTGAGATGACTTGTGTTCAATAGCAGTTCACTAATAGTGGTGAGTTTCTTACCTCGGTGACCAAGCGAAAGGCTTGGATCTTCGCTTGTCGGTACGGATGAAGCCGCTTTCACCTAGGTCGACAGGGCGATGACTGTCGCCCGAAACTCTGTGATTTGTTGCTGGTAAAGACCGTTGGCGGTCTTCACCAGTTACTGATGTATCGGTAACAGCGAGTTGTCCATTTCCAGATCCAGATCTTTCGGCAGATGAGACGGCTGGGGTTTTCGGCGTGGTTTCAGTGTGCGAACGCTGAAGAGGCTTTCGAGGGTCCATGGCAACTGATGAACGCGATTTGCTCCTGCGAGTAAGCTATGGGCAGAAGATGTTGAAAAGACAGACAACGCAGAAGTGGGAATGTTTGTTTCTCCAATATGGACTGGTTACATCACTGTCGCATGGAAACCATTCTCAGCTCTGATATTGTGCCCTTAAAACGGAGCTGCAAAGTTTCACATGGACCACAGTGCCCTCATCATTGTTCTCCCTGTTCAAGAATTTTCCGAGTGTGGAGGAGGCTAACGCAAAAATCATAGTGTCAAGTGAATCTGTATGACGTTGAGCTGCCGGTTTCAGCTGCACAGCTGGGCAGAAATCGCGCATCCATGTGAGAAGTCAGCCATCCGAAAACGGAGGCATCTTACCTTAAGTTGACGACACACCGGCAAGCAATTAAATCATCAATCCTAGCAACGTTATGAATGATTTATTTCGGCCTTAAACCGTAAACTGGTGTAAATCTCTATATCACTCGGGAAATTGCGCGGAAGTGATGCTTGGCTGAAACTGTTGACAGTATAGTAACAGTATTGACACATATACTTGGCGCAGACACCAGGCTCCGGACGATGACATAACTGCGGTATTTTGGCGAAGATTAATACCTAAATTCACGCAAAGACTTTGGTCGTCTACGAACCCGGTACCCAGAGAGTGGACACAGAGTACTCAGGCCCAGCCCACAAGCCCGGTGACCAATTTGTTCGGGGCCTGGATTTCGGCCTTCCTCGCTTTCAGCTCATCGACATCCCAGTTGCTCCATAGGTACTTTCCTTTCAAGAACTCGCCCTCAGGACTGGCCAACCACACCAGGAAATGGGACGCGAGCTCAACTGTTCCAGACCGCATCAGCACACATCCAAAAGGGCAGAACAATGGAAAACGTTCAGAACTCACGATCATCCAAAGGCAGATCAATCTCCTCCAACTTCGATTTGGTCAGCATATCCGTCTTGATGCAGCCCGGGTGAATATTGTGGAACCGCAACTGCGGATTCTCCGCCTGCAGCGTCTCGATAAAGCGACACGTCCCGATCTTCGACGGTGCATACGACGAAAACCCCGGCAGCACCGGCGTGATCATGCACGCCGCAGCCGAGATATTCAAAAACACGGCGCCGGGGCCGGAGGCCGCGGCCAGGAAGTGCCGCGCGACGAGGTACACGCCCTTGACGTTGACCTCCCACCCACGCCACCAATCCGCCGTCACCGCCGCATCCGCTGCGGCATCACCGCTCGCCGCCTTCACGGGCTCGACTTCCGACAGGTACCCCGAGTTTGCGACCAGCACGTCGACGCCGCGCGGGGCGATTTCCTTGACGCGGGCGAAGGCGGCGGCGACGTCGGCTTCGCGCGTCACGTCGCAGGATATCGTGGTGATGGTCGTGCCCGGGTGAGCGGCGCGCGTGCGGGCCGCGACGGCGTCGAGGTGGCCGGCGCGGCGGCCGATGGTGATGATGTGGGCGGCGCCGGCGGTGGCGAAGGCCTCGACGAAGCCGGCGCCCAGGCCGCTGCCGCCGCCGGTGATGAAGATGGTTTTGTTGGCAGCGGAGAGCTCGGGGCGGGTGGGCGAGATGGCCGGGTAGGGCGTGTGGTGGAAGGTTTTGGTGTAGTCGGTTTCCCAGACGTCCGTCATGATGGTTGGTTGGTGGGTTGGTTGATGGATGGGATTGAGGCGAGAACTGGAGCGGGGGGGATGTTCACGGCAGACGGAGGAGCATGTTAAATAGCCATTGTGTCTCCAGATTGTGTGTGACTTAGGCAGAAATGTATCTGCAGGTGAGCCGGGGCGTAGACTATTCTGAGATGTACGGCCCTATCAGCCCTACACGAGCATTCAAACAGCGAATGGGGTGACGTCCCCTTATAGCATCCCGGCAGGTATCTTATTAACAAGAAGCGCTATTGCCGAGATATTACGGAGAATAATATTTCGTACCTCCTTCCAAGAACGGCACAGGGTGGATGAATAAGGGAATGATAGGCCACGGCAGGGTTTTTGGCGTTGTGGATCTCTCATGACGGGCCCGCTGTTCATGCGGGGCTGGCAGGAAGGTCTGACTTCCCGAGAGAGTTTAGCGAATTAGGGCAAGTAGCCGTTCCAACGTAAGCGGCCAAGCGACCAAAAACCTTATCCACTTTTTAGCTACCGCCTTAGTCCGATGTTAGACGTTCTGCTACTTTGACTCTTCCTCAGTCGTTCGATTGATAGGCGGTTGCGTCGTCGGGTTTCTTGCGGGTGGCGCTAGTGCTGCACGTGCTCTTCCGTCATCTCCCCCGGCCGTTTCTACCCTGGCCGCTTCCTCATGGCCTTTATCACCACATCTCGGCGTCATGCCTGTCGCCCCCAGACGATCCAGTGTGCGGCGCTCCAATGTGACCGCCTGCGCCCGTTGCAAGGCCCGAAAACAACGATGCGACCAAAATCTTCCAGCATGCGCCAATTGCGAGCGCGCCGGCGTTGACTGCGTCGGCCACGATCTTGACGGTTCTGTGGTTCCGCGAAGGTGCCCTCTCAAACTCGCTTTTGAATGACCCCCCGTTGACTTGAACAAGCTATCTAAAGAGCCTGGAAGATCGCGTGGCACACCTGGAGCAGGAGCTTCAACAGTACCGTCAGCAAACCCCCACTCTGCCAACCCATTCGGACCTTGGCAGTCTTGAGCATGTGCTTGCCCAGGCCAGCTTTGTCTCACTCCACCCCTCAACCTTTCCAAGTCCCCGTTACATGGGAACAGCCTGTGGACTACCACTGCTTCGCCTACTTCTGCTCAACCTTGGCTCCGCATCGCGCTTTGGCCATGTCGCCAGCCAGGATCCGGCACCCTCGTCCATCATGGACCTGCTGCCGCACGAAGTCGCCGTACAGCTGCCCGCCGAAGACGTCTCGCACCGCCTGATTGACGTCTATTTTGAGCACTGCGACTTCTTCTCTCCCATACTGTATCGAGCCGACGTCTTGCGTATGCTGGCCACTGCAACTGACGATGATCAAGTCAAAGAGCGGTACAAGCTCTTCATGGTTCTGGCCATCGCTATTCAGCTGCTGAACCGAACAGATGCATCCATTCCTGCTGCCAGAGCTGACGCTTATTTCTCGGCTGCCTCGCGTATCCTCCTTGCCAATCCCGCTGACCTCCTTGCTGGCGACCTGCAACACTTAGAAAACTTACTCCTCCTGATTCAATATTCATCCTTCTCTTCGACGCCATCTGGAACCTGGCATATTATTGGCCTGACAACAAGACTGGCCGTGGATTTGGGGCTCCATGATGAGCCCCCAGCTCACCTCTCACTTGATCCGCTGTCGCTGGACCGAAGGAAAAGGCTCTTCTGGGCTACATACACCTTCGAAAGGAATCTGTGCGCCATCCTCGGCCGCCCGGTATCCATTCCAGACGAAGCCATCTTCGTATCACTTCCTGCCAATGTGGATGATGAGTATATCACCGAGGACGGAATCCTACAGCAGTCTGGTCCTTCGCGGAAAGCACTAGCCTTGCAGCTTGTAAGGTATCGACAACTCGAGTCCGAAATCATGCAAGTCCTCCATCAAAAGCCTCCACTTTCTTCAACACCCTTCGATCACCATCTTTGGCGGAACGACATGCGTCAGAGGCTATATGATTGGCGTGCTGCTGTTCCTCCTCATCAGTCACCCTCTCAACTGGCGCCAATGGAAATCTTTGATGGCTGCCTTTACAATTCTCTTCTTCAACTATATTCTCCCTCTCGACACTTACCTACCATCTCCAGCGATGACATTGTCTTCCTTGCCGAGTGCGCCCAAAAGAGCATCGAGGCCTACCGCTACTCCTTCCGGGATGGAAAGCTGCGCTTCTACTGGCGTACCGTTCACAACCTCTTCCGTTCTGGCGTTTCTCTCATCTACTGCCTGAAAAACTGGCCCGGCGATCAAGGAAGCGTCAATACTGAAACGATGAATGCTTCTGTTAACTCCTGCTCTGCTGTTCTCTGGGGCATGGTTGAACGTTACCCTGCAGGCAAACCTTGCCGAGACACTTTCGAATCCCTCTGCCAATCACTCCGGGACCCTGGTGCCGATCAGTCCTCCTGTCCCCAATCTCAGACTTACTCATGTAACGATGCATTAGACTTTACAGTGACCCCTCAGGCGGCCCCCGAAAATGCTTCAGGTCTGGCATCTGACGACTTTTTGCTACAAAACTTCAACACGTATGATTTATTCTCCTGGACCGGGTAGCTGTACTAGTGTCGGGCGCCGACGCAATATATTTCACACATTCTACCAGGTGCGGATGTGGTCGGCATCAATGACCGGAAAGCAATAAATTTAAAGTATTTACAAATCTTTCAGAGGGTCCGGGGGCGCCGGGTCATTCTTCAGACTCTTTTGGAACTCTGTCCTCATCTTCATTATCGGCTGTATCACCCACGTGTTGTAGGCAAGGATATCAGACTCTTCCTTCGGGTCACGAATGACGTTGAACAGATACGGAGATTCCAGTTTACCCGAGGATTGATTCACCTTTGGCTCCCACACCAGATGCAGCTTCCAATGCCTCCACTTGACGGCTCGCAGCTCGTCTTTGATGTAGAAGAGGAAGCCTTCCCTTTGGGACTTCTCCGACCCCGGATTCTGGAAGAACTTCGTCTGATCGATTCCGTCGATGGGCCTATCACCGGGCTTTTCAACACCGGCCATGGCCAATATGGTGGTAAACAGGTCCGTGACATGCACCATCTCGTTGGACACGACGTTCTCCGGCACTTTGCCGGGCCATCTGATAATGAATGGCACACGTAAGCTACCTTCCATAGCTGTGTGGTACGTTCCCGTCCAAGGCCCCGCAGTGCCACGATACGGCGGGCGGAACTCGGGCCCGTTGTCCGACGCGAAGATGACGACCGTGTTCTCCCGCACGCCCAAGTCGTCGATGTGGTCGAGGATCTGGCCCACGCGGTAGTCCATCTCGGCCATGGAGTCCGCAAACTCGCCGTTTCCAGTCTTCCCGGCAAAGTCCAGATGCGGCAGCGTCGGGAAGTGCAGGTGGACGAGCGGGTGGTACAGGAAGAACGGCTTCTCCGCCTTCACTTGTCTCGACAACCAATCCTTGCTCCTCTCGACCAGCATCTCATCAATCAACCTCCTCTTCTCCAAATCGTACACGCACACGTTCTCCGACGCCTCCCCCGCCACGCCCTTCATGATATACGGCAGCTCCGCCACCTCGGCATCGAACCCCAGCGCCGACGTGAACTGGCTCTCGTCCGTCGTCCGCGGTATCCCAAACCATTCATCAAACCCGCGATCCGACGGGTACCGCCCAGGCACGTCGCCGAGGTGCCACTTGCCGTGGTGCGCCGTCGCGTAGCCGCCGCCCGGCGCGTCCTTCAGGCACTCCGCCAGCGTGCGCTCCCACGGCGTCAGGCCCTGAGGGAAGCCGGCCGGGACGGACTGCCGGCACCCCGTCCGGATCGGGTGCCGCCCCGTCATCAATGCCGAGCGGGTGGGCACGCAGTCGCTCTCGACGTTGAAGTTGTGCAGGAGGAGGCCGGTCGTGGCGAAGGCGTCGATGCGGGGCGTGGGTGCCCCGCGCAGGGCGCCGCCGCCGTAGCAGCCTAGCTCGCCCCAGCCGAGGTTGTCGGCGAGGATGAGGACGATGTTTGGGCGGGTGGGGTCGCGGGACATGGTTGGTGGTGGTGGTGGTGGTTGAGGCGCTTCGTTCGGTGGAGGGAGGAGGATTGGGGGTGGGATGACGACAATCGTCGGAGGGAGAGAGAGATGAGAAACGCGTTCTACCGCAGCAGCAATTCCCCGCCGTACGTCCCTCTTAAAAGTTGCTGCTCAAAGCTTCGAAAAGAGAGCAAGTGCGGCTCCGGGACTTATTATCGCGGCCGATGTCTCCGGTTTCGGGCCGGTCGCTCACCTCCGTCGCTCACCTCCGCATTGATCGGCACCCCCGCATGTTCACTCTGCACCGCGAGCCTGGCGACCTCCGAAGCGCCACGCGGTGGCCCCGTATCTTGGACCGAAGATATCGAATAGACGGCGATAACGTTCTCGCACGCCATGAGATAGGCCGGTTGCGTGATAAGAGACATATGTTGAGCCTGAAGGCCCTTGGGTTTTTCGACGATGCCCCAATTGCTTGCTCGCCCAACTTCATCACAACGAAGATGTCGGAGCTCAAGGACCATTCAACTTCTGCTACTGAGATGGGGGAGAAGCAGATCATATCTCAACCGCCTGCTTCGGAACGCGATGAGGAATCGGTATCTTGGACGGCTGAGGAGGAGAGGAAGGTCCTGCGGAAGTGAGTTTACGAAAACGCAGAGAGTGAAGGAATTTTCATGCTCACACTTCGCGTTTACAGGCTCGATTTCTTCCTAATGCCATTGCTTGTCCTCGGCTTCTTCGTCCTCCAGCTTGACCGCAGCAACATCTCCAACGCCCTGACAGACACATTGACGGAGGATCTCGGCATCACCTCCAACGATGTGAATCTGGGCAACCAATTGATGCTTGCGGGCATCATCATCTTTGAGCTGCCTTCCAACATTCTGCTCCAGAAAGTCGGCGCTCCTATCTGGCTCACTGCGCAGATGGGCATCTGGGGCACCATCGCCCTGACCCAGGCTTGGTGTACGAACATCCACTCCTTTTACGCCACACGGTTTCTGCTAGGCGCATTCGAAGGCGGTTACGTCCCAGGTGGCCAGTACATGCTCTCCCTGTTCTACACCCGGAAGGAGCTCGCGCTCAGGACGGCAATTTTTTACTTTGGGAATTACTTTGCCACTGCAACAGGCTCTTTGATAGCAGCTGGTGTCCTTAGCCTTGCCGGGTCGAACGGCCTTTCGGGATGGCAGTGGCTTTTCATCGGTAAGTCCAGCCTTGAACTCTCGAGCACCACTTCTTCTTCTTCTAACACGGATCCGTCACCAGTCGAAGGAATTATCACCCTCGGCGTCTTCCTCATCTTCATCCTCTTCCTCCCCCGCAGCCCCACCCACACCCGCCCCATCCACAACCTCTGGGACCCCTTCACCCCCCACGACCGCACCATCCTCACCGCCCGCCTGGCTTCTTCCAACACCACCACCGACAAAGCGCCCCTCAGCTGGACGCACATCCGCGCCGCCCTCCTCGACCCCCTCCTCTGGCTCCACCTCTTCCTCAACATGGCCAGCCTGGCCCCCAAAGGCGGCCTGCAGCTCTACGGGCCCTCCGTCATCAAAGCCCTCGGCTTCACCAAGACGAAGGCCAACGCCCTCAACTCCGTCTCCAGCTTCCTCGTCGTCGTCTTCTCCTTCGCCATCTCCTACGCCTCCGACGCCACCAAGCTGCGCGGGCCGTGGTGCATCGTCGCCTTCGCCTGGTCCATCGCCTTCGCCGGCGCGCTGTACGGGTTGCCGCTCAGCGCCGGGAAGTGGACGCGGTATTGGGTTTTTACGTTTCTGGGAAGCGGGAATGCGTTGGCGCAGGGGCTGAACGATGCGTGGTTGAGCGTTAATGCGGGGACGCCGCAGAAGAGGAGTGTGGGGCTGGCGTTTGTCGTTATCGGGAGTAATTTGGGGGGCTTGGCTGGGCAGCAGATGTTTCGGGAGGAGGATAAGCCGAGGTATCGGAGGGCGTTTTTGGCGATACTAGGGTTGTATGTCGCGTCGATTGTTATTACGTGTGCGGTTATGGCGAGTTATTGGTGGGTTAATAGGAGGATTGAGGAGGGGGGTGAGGGGCAGGAGGGTGAAGGCGGTGGTGAGGGTGGTGAGGGGAGGAGGGTTCGGTGTCAGCTTTAGATGGTTGGTGTGGGTTTGTTGTGAGGTTTTAGAAGGAGGGGATATGTGGCGATGACGAAATGTATGTCATAGAATTGTGCGTTATCCCTCAGTACATCGCATTGCCCAAAGATTTCCCTGAATCCGCCGGTGTAAATTAACGAGAGTCATAACGCTATGCAACACTTCCACTCGGAGGAAACGAGGCCGTTACCAAAAGCGAAAGGACAAACAAAAGAGGATGAAGCAAACATCAGCAGTGACAGTCTCGCAGCACACAGCCTGCCTTCAATCTCAGCTTGCTCTTCCACCTGCTCCTGTCTCCTCTCCGCCTTCAATTCGACCGAAACTGCCCTCCTCAACGCTTGTTTCCTCATTTGTCCCCGCTCTCCGGTAGCCCATACCTATCACGGCATTTTTTCCGAAGATGTTGCGCTTGTTTGATGGTACGTAGAGCTGATTCGCTCGTTTAAATGCAGGAGGAATCGTGCCCCTCAGCTGATGCCAAGTCTGAAGCCGACTGTCAGAGCCCCGCATTAAAGCAGAGGCTGTCCCGCCTACAAAAAGAAACTCTCATCTCTCAGTTTGCTGACTGCATCGGACGCCCAAAATACCATCTACCTATGATATCCCTTCCAAGTCAAAACACCTTGAGTCATCAGTAAACATTGACACACCGCCATGGAGCTCCGCTGCGAGTTCTGTGACTCTAACGCAACGAAGAACAGTGACCAACCATGTATCCTGGACAAAGACCCTTACGAGATCTTCCACAGCGATTGCGACACATGTAACTACGAAAGTGGCCGTCCTGGCCAGCTTTGTCCTTTCTGTCAACACTTACGCCTAAGACATTTGTCTTTTTGCGATCTTGGAGATCTTGGAGGACTTGGAGGACGTTTGGGCGAGATAAGAGTCAGTTTTGGCAATTTTGCCACATTTTCCCCGAAAATGGGATGCAAGTTCTGTCACTTTATCTTGGAAGCCATCCGATCATACAAATCGCGCCGGCGAAGACAGCACGGGGAAGTCTCGACATCTTCGAAGATCGAGTTACGGTTTTTCAAGAGGAGCGACAAGGCAAAACCGTCAGCGCAGCTAACTCTTGGGGACCGCGACACCGGCTTTGGATCCAGAACTCGCAGCTTCATCAATATATATTCTCTAGATCTTACCCCAATATCACCATCGCGATCGATTCATCAGCTCGCTCCGGATTCTGTTCGGGGCACTTCGAAAGCTTTTGACAAGCCCGCAACTTTGAACAACTTGGCACAGGATTTTGCAAATTGGAATAGAATTTCGCAATGGACTAGAGAGGGTTTCCAAGAATATGCAGAATTTGATCAGATGGAATCATCCTCTTCAGCACCAACTATCAGCCATCCTGGTATTTTTTCCACGGATTTCAGGGTCATTGATGTCCAAAAGAGATGCTTAGTTCGTGGCATGCCAGATGCCGGATTTGTGGCTCTCAGCTACATCTGGGGCCCGAAACCAAATTCGGATATGTGGAAGACAACGAAGACTTCAGTGGAAGGACTCGAAAGAGAAGGCGGTATCACGCGTTCAAAAACCCCAAAGACGATCGAAGATGCGATGTTTATCTGTGATAAACTTGGCCAGCGCTATCTCTGGGCTGATCGACTTTGCATTATACAAGATGATTACGAGACAAAAAAGTGTCATATCAAATCCATGCACAGCATATTCGCTTCAGCAAACTTCACCATCGCTGTGCTCGATGGCACTGTTGACAGTGGAATTCCGGGAGTAGGGTTTCCGCGGCACAATCGACGGAAGCATCACGAGATGAGTGGTATTGCTTTCATCACTGAGTTGCCTTCTGCACGAACAATCATCAACGCTTCCACTTGGGCAACACGGGGTTGGACATACCAGGAGGCCGTTTTGTCCAAACACATCCTGTATTTTTCGGATGTTCAAGCCTTTCATGAAGACAAACACGGTATTCACACCGAAGATGGCTTTGGTCCTCATAGTGCACATTTAGGTACTCCACTCAGGCCATCAGCTCTTAAAACATTCTGGATTTGGAAACACCGTCTTTATGCATACACAATGCGGAAACTCACCAATGGCTCTGATATATATGACGCGTTTTCCGGTATTTCCTCCCTTTTGTATGGTAGTGCCGACGAAAACATCCTTTACGGCTTACCGTGTCCCGTCTTTGACATGGCCATGTTATGGTACCCCGCACGAAGTACAAGCTGCAAGACGGGTACGATAGCTCGAAATCCAAAAGCGGAAGGATATCCTACGTGGTCGTGGGGGTCGATCACCGGGCCTATCTGCTACAGCGAGTCCAGTAAATGGGTTGGTAATTTAGTTCGATGGACAGCCAATTCGAAAAAGCCTGGAATTAAGGGGGCGAATACTCTCCGGTATTTAGGAGTCTCGGTCAATGAGTTCGAGGCTAGTAATGCGAAAAACTCTATGCCTATTTGTCTAGCGATTGCGTGGAGTTTTGGATGTATCGAGGTTGATTGGCCATTCAAGCCTCTTTCCGAAAGCACATTCAAGGAGATGGAATTCAATTTTTGGACTCTTATCGGCCAATCAGACTCGCTGATCCCAAAAGTATACGAATTTTTGCCCGCGCCTGCAAAGAAGCCTCCGGAGCTGAGAGAACCTTACGACGAAATTCCTGAGCGCTTGGCAACTCGTGCTCAAACAGCCATCTTCAAAGTCAAATCGCACGAAGAGTCTGGCCACAAACATAAAGGAGGCCGCAGTCTCGACATCCTGGACGGCAAGGGCAAATGTGTCGGCATTCTTGATTCAGAAGACCCTTCCGTTCAAAGCGGCCTCAAGTGGTCTCCGGAAGGCAGAGCGGAGATTGAATGTATGGGTATTTCTTTGGAAGGACGCTGGAACATTGACTGTTTAGTGCCTGGTCCGTTGAAGCCAAAACAGAAGGCAACAAAATTCCCAGAACTCAATCTGACGTTCCGCGACAAATCGGGCCGGTTTTTAGGGGGCTCTTACGTCAGTGATATCAATGTTCCAGTGGTAAGCGTCATGGCCATCCGTTGGCAGGGGCCATATGCATATCGAGTGTCACTTGGCTGGATTCTACTTTCGAAATGGGTTGAGACTGAGAGGAACTTCAAAGATATCACATTAAGATAACTGCTAGATACGGTTGGCCTACGAAAATGACAATCAGAAATTGAATGGGCATGAAGTCCACTATAGAAAGTGAGACTGAATAGCGAGCCTTACTGATAAGTTGATGGAGTTGAATGGGTCGGGATGTTTCAATGCAGTCTAATACTAATATTTGCTGCTGGTAATAGTTTTACGCAAGATTTCCCAAAGAATCATCTCTATCATTCGATATTCCGCCTGATCTCAGTATCCCATTCAAACCATGTCAGTACATGTTCAAAGTAATCTCCGTTCGGGTAACCGCCTCTTGAAGATAAGGTATATAGGAGTAAGTTACACAGACTTTCGAGAAATAAAAGGGGTTAGCGAAGTTGCAGTGTTTGGACCCTCCCTCAATCCAAGTGAGCACTCTTCTCCCTCCTTCGCGCCTTCAACATCGATGGCGACTCAAGCACGTAGAAGTCTGTAATCCACTTTCCCCGCGGCTTCTCTCCCATAGGTTCAAAATCGTAATTCAGCACCAAATGCGCAAACAGCAACTTCAGCTCATGCGCGGAGAAGAAGCGACCAGGACTGCCCATGAACCATCAGCACACGACTTAACCCACATCACAAGAAACCACAAGCACAGGAGAAAAGTACTCACCAAGCATGCTTCCCATGCCCAAACCCCAAAAACGTATCCGTCGTATTCACCAACCCCTCCTCCGCCTTCCCCACAAACCGCTCCGGCACAAACTCCCGCGGCCTCTCATAAAACCTCTCATCCCCATGCACCCCCACCGTCGCGGCCCCCACCTTCGTCCCGCGCGGCAAAAACGTGCCATCCGGCAACCGCACACCACCCTCCGCCACGACCTCGCGCTCCACGCCACGCGCCTTGAACGGCGACACGCGCATGCTCTCGCGGATGACGCTATCCAGCAGCGCCAGCCGCCCCACCGCGACCCTGCTCCACGCACCGCCCGCATCGTGCAGCACCTGCGCCGCCTCTTTGCGCAGCGCCGCCCACAGCTCCGGCCCGGCGGCGAGAATGTCGGCGAAGGCCGCGACGGCGGTCAGGACGGACGTGTGCACGCCGACGAAGTTGAGCGCGAGCAGGCGGCTGGCCAGGTTGCGCGGGTCGTGGTCGCGCGCCAGGTCCGGCGAGCGCGCGGCGCAGCGCGCCATCAGCTGCACGATGTCTGGGTTGCGCGTCTCCTCGTGCAGGTGGCCTTCTGCCCGGGCCTGCTCGGCGGCGGCCAGGCGCGCGGTTATGGTCGGCAGCATGTGCGCTTCGTAGCGGGCGATGAGGCGGCGGATGGGGCGGGCGAGGAGCGGCGCGAAGAGCGGCTTGAGGAGGGTCGGGCAGAGGGCGTCGATGAGGCCGGCGGTGACGGGCAGCTGCCGCGTGAAGGAGCCGACGATGTCGGTGTAGTCGGCGGAGCGGGCGAGGGTCTTGCCGGCGAAGGCGCGGTTGGTGACGGCGAGGAGGATGGCGAAGATGGAGGCGTGGAGGGGCGCGGTGTGGTATTCGCCAGGGACGGAGCCGAAGGCGAGGCCGGTGCGGTAGTCGATTTCGTCGAGCATGTCGTCGGTCATGGCGTCGAGGTTCATCTTGTTGAGCGCTTCGACGTGGAAGGGCCGGTGGAAGTCCCAGGCGCGCGGCGCCGTGTAGTCGAAGCGCAGGTCGTCGATCAGCACTTTGTGGATGGAGAAGACGCTGTCGGGTTGGTTGACCATCCATTGGACGTGCTCTGGCGGGATGATGACCTCGGGCTTCCAGGTGATCTGTGTGGCCAAGAAGGGCTTTCCGAGTTTGCTGTACTGCTGTGTGTTAGTGTGGTGTGGGCGTTGGAGACTGGAAGTGATGAATTACTTTACTGTAGCCTTCCAGCACGTTGTCATAACCCTTCCACCACTCCCGGACTTGGCCTCTGGCTCTCGAGAACCATTCGCCCTCACTTACTCCCACCCACGGTATATTTTCGGGTAGAATCCTCTGAAACTTCGACAGGTGCCGGTGAAGAAGGTAGACCGTGGTCGCGAAGAGCAGGGAAAATGTGAGCAGGCTTTTTCCCGAGATCAAACTAGCGTATTGGCTCTCCATGGCTGCAGTGGTCGTGAAGTCACAGCGGATGTGAAGTGAGACGAAATGATAGATGATAAGAGGTGATCTTGGGATAAAGAAAGTCTTGGCAGTAGGATGATTTATCCGCCCATTGTGACAAAGGCTACGTTTTCGCAGTGTGGAAATAAAGAAAGGACTGCAAGCAGGTGACGTGACTCTTTGACGGGCGTGTATAATATTAAGATTTAGGAATTTGCGAGACCGCCACGTGGATGACCCAAAGATAAACAGCCTTGATGTTTGCCTGTGCACAAGTTGTTGTGGTCGTATGGTAAAGTCTTGTACGACTTACCGTACAGTGAACTTGTCTTCTCATGACTCGCCACAAATTGACAAAAGCTTGCATCAAATTCATCGCCGGCGACATCGGCATAAGATCTGTTTCTGAGTTGAACGTTGAATCAGTGAGAAATGCTAAAGTGATTCCAGTATAAGCATATTCGTTTTAGTATTGGCGCGGCTGTAGTGCCAAAATGCTTGCTTCCTTGAGACATGCCATCGCCAGAGGTAGAAACTGAACTAATGAAAGTTAGCAAACGGTTTTTAGATGGTTAGATGCCTCAGGCAAATTTTCAAACGAGGTGAGCACTTGCAAGTGAAAACGTGACGAAAAAAGATTATTACAGCAAACAGACGCACTACCACCTCACATATCTAGTCAGCGCAGAACCATCACATGGCATCTCCTATCTGTGGTAGAAGGAATCAGACGGCAGCTGCAGCCAAGCGACGAAGAGGTACCGTCAATTAAGCACTGGCTTACACGCGTTCGGGCTAACCGCTTACGGCTTGGCTATAGCCTTACGTCCTTTGACGCGCCGCAGCCCTTAAACTCAACTTAGTAATTCTGCACAATATTAAGCGCGCCGCCTCGCTAAGCGTTACAAAGCTGCCCTGTATACGTCATGCTCACTTCTGTCTCAGCGCCCCCGCTTGGGGTCGAACTTCCAAAGCTTAAGAGTTATGAGTGCACGTCGGGGGAAAATAATGTAATTGAAAAGGGTGAAGAACAACACCATGGAATCCACACTCACCTTCGTGCTCCTGCTATTGGCAATCGCATTGCGAGCCGCAGCCCAGGCCCAGGCACCCGCCACCCCGGGCTCGGGAGCGCCCATATCGTCGCGAGACCGGATCTACACGGGCGACCAATCGTCCAACACCATCACGGTCATCGATCCCTCAACGCTCTCGGTCCTAGGCACCATCTCGCTGGGCTCGCAGCGGCTATCGGACGTGATAGGCCCGCAATACATCCGGGGCGTCAACTCGCACGGGCTGGGGTTTTCACGCGACGGGCAGTACATCGTGTCGACGAGCGTGACGAGCAACACGGTGACGGTGATCCGCACGCGCGACAACGCCATCGTCAGCCAGACCTACACCGACCGACAGGCGCACGAGGCCTTCTTCGCATCCGACAACCGCACCGTGTGGGTCGGCACGCGGGGCGTCGACCACATCACGCTCGTCGACGGCATCGAGGGCGGCGTGATAGACACGATCCCGTCGTGGGGTGGGCCGAGCAAAGGCAAGGACACAACACCTCCTCCACCCAGGCACAAAAACCGCAAACCCCCACGGCTAACCACCACCAACAGTCCTCTTCAGCCCCGACGGCCAAACCGCCTACGTCAACCACATCCGCTCGCCCTCCATCCACGTCCTCTCCGTCGCGACCCGCGCCACCCTCGCCAACATCACCGGCCTCGCGCACCCTTTCTCATCCGACATGATGCTGTCAGCCGACGGCGCGCGCCTGTGGGCCGCGCACAAGCTGGCTGGCGTCGTCTCCGTCATCTCGACTTCATCCCTCCGCGTCGTCGCCGTGCTCGACACGGGCGCCGAGACGAACCATCCGAACTTTGCGTCTGTCAGTACTAACGGAAGCACGACAACGTACGGCTTCGTGACCGTCGCGGCGCGGGACGCGACGCGCGTCTACGTGCAGCCGGACCCAGAAGCGGCGCCGCGGTGGGTGCGGGATGTGAAGAGTAGTGGCGTCGAGCCGCATGGCTTGTGGCCGAGCGCGGATAATGCGCGCATGTACGTCGTTAACGAGCATAGCGATACGGTGGATGAGATTGACTTGACGCGCGGGGAGGACGGGTTCGAGGTGGTAAGGACGGTGGGGGTGGGGCAGGAGGGGCAGGCGCTGGTGTATGTGTCGAATGCGGTGCCTGAGGGTGGCGAAGGCGGGAAGGAGAATCTGGGGACGCAGGGGCTGGTGGGTGGTGGGTCGGCGGTGCTGAATCAGGTCGTGGAGGTCGATGGTGGTAGTGGGGATAATTCGTCGTCGCCGTCGGCGCTGGTGACGGTCAGGCCCGCGGTCGGGTTGGACATGTTCCAGGTCATTGGCCGCAATTTGCGGCTGAACGCTACGTACGAGGTCAGCGCTGCGTGTGGGGGATGTGGTGGCGTGCGCATTCCGTTGCTGGACTTCGTGGCTTCGATGCCCATTCCCGGCCAGGCTGGCTGCGCAACGGCGCCGCAGGTGCTGGGCTTCTTCAAGTTCGACGGCGTGTATGACGTGGATAGCTTGCAGGTTCGTGAAAAGTGAGGCTGGCCTTTGGGGGGCGAGGCCCTTTGGTCTTGGCCAACGTAATAGCTGAATGCGGGTGTTGGCGGTCGTTGGGTTTGAGTTGGTGTGGGTTAATCTCTCTTATCCCACGGTTTCGCTGGGTGTGTGCGGCGTGCGCGAATTCTGATTGGTCAGCGTGCTTTGGTCGTGGCTTCCGGGTACATATCTCAGTCCCATAAAAGTATTATGACAGCACTAGGTAGAACTTTGATGCAGCTGCTGTAGCGAGTGATTTGTACAAGAAATGGCGCGGCTTTATCCGTGACAGCGCGTAATACCACGTGGGCTGGCCAGATCCACTTCCATCAACCTTTGTCTGGTAACAGCCCCCACGCCTTCCACCCCATAAAATCGCAAAGCGGGAGCTTATTTCTAGGAATGAACTTTATTCGCGGTCGAAGCTATTCTGACTTGCATGAGAAGCCGTAATATTCTTATCTTTTTCAGTAAAGGGAAACAATTGTCGACGGAATTGCAAATCGGGCTCGGCAAACATATCAGCCCTCGAACATGTCACAAACAAAGGCCGATTACCGAGACCAACAGAAGTCACCTCCTGAGTCTACCAAGCGATCGTATTGGATCCTCAACTGTGTCGTGCGACATCCTTATCAACAGGTGGTTAGCATGGCATCCATGGAGACTCGGAGATTAATCACATACCCCATCGAGATTACAGCTGAGGGCCCTACTTTGCTGGTGGTGCCAAGCAAAGACACGTTAAGAGATGACTGGTCCATGGCATCGACGATCAACCGAACGTCGTAAGCCGACGTTATAGTTCAACCATGGTTCTGTAGCAGTGTGGTGCCGGCAGGGCGGGAGATATTCAGGAGGATCCAATACCAACTTGGGTACGAGTCTCAAGTGCCGATAAATAGTTCTGAAACGGCACAAGGCCCTGTGAGAGACATATTTTAATAAAGTGGATGATGGAGACGGACGATGATGGTTTATTCAAAGAACGTTTTTCCATTTCTTCATGCACTTGTGGAAATTTTTAACAAGTAAGCCACCAGCATGAATACTGGACGTGCTTGTTTCTCATTGAGCAGGCGGAACATCATGTGAACGTGTAGTACACGGGGAACGATGGAAAAACAAAGCACCCCACAGCTTTGTAATGCTCGTACGAGAGTTGTTTGCAAGCCGCAAAAGCCCGCCAAGGCAGGCACCCGTGTCTCTCAAATATTGGCGATCCAGCGAAACAACATGGCTGGGATCCGTAGAGTCTCCATAGAGGTCAGTCTTGACAATGATGCTGCATCATATGATCATCACCTTTTCCAGGCATCTGTACAGACTGCGCCGGTCTAGTTCCGAAAATATTTCCTAAAAAACAAACTGCATCGCTTAAAGACGTCGATGCAAAGCCTCAAAGCGACCATAGAGCCGGCGCTCCTTCGGGTCAGATTGGCGGCGTCGAGCTGGCTTGGGGGCCAGAATTAGCATGGGCCGGACCATTCGCGGATGCTAAAAACAGCAGCCAAGGAAGCCAACTAGCCATCCCGCTGCCCGACGCCGATCCTGCTGCCTGCGGCTTTTGAGGCTCATCCCGTCCGCCACGCATCCAATCGAAAAGGTCGTCTGTAGCGGCTGAGGGCTGTGGCTTTGAAATCGACACGTTGTTGTAACACCCGATTGGCGGCAATCCGCATCACTAATTTCGCTATATGCGGAGGAGGCAGAGACTTTGTGCCGCCTCCCGTGGATCGACTAGTGGTGCCGCTTAAGCGCTCGTGGACGGGACGGATGTGGAGAGGCAAGCAGCCAAGCCCCCGACGCTGCTGGCTGCAGCGAATCGCACGCGAGCCGACGGTGTTGGCATGAACGCCGCTTTTCACGTTGTTGTTGTCCGCCCGCCTGCTCAAGACAACACAAAATGCTGCAAAGAAGAAGCTGTACAGCGACCCGATGTAACGCCCATTCGACTGCAGCTGAATTCCGTTCCTGCCCTATGGATCTTCTAGTTGTGTGTATTGCAGTTTGTTCAATGGTCGAAATGCAACAACAAGACTCTGCGCCCCAATCGAGGCTTGACCGGTCCGTGCGGCTGTGCTGGGATCCACTGGGCTTATGCTCCGCCCAATTTCAGGCCATGCGGTGAGAACGCCTCAACATAGCCTTGTCAGCTGCTAGGATTTCAGGAACAGGAAAGTACAGGAGCGACAATATTAAAGATGGCGGCATCCTGTCTACTGTCACGGAAATCATCACTTCCCGATCCATAACCATCCGCCACAATGGTCGCAACATCAGGACTTACTTGGAGCGTGTTGCTCTTGGCTGCTTCGACAGTCACCGAAGCGTTGAATCTTCACCACATTAAGACCGACAACAGTGGTGGACAGGGTTCCAGAGGTGAGTACCTGATTGGTCAGTTCCACATTACCTCTGCTAATAGGATGCAAGGCCACCTCCGGGACAGAGGAATTCTACCTCCTCGTCAGCTAAACACGTCCGATCCCCTTTTGGACCAATGGGTCTCGTTGCCTCTTGACCATTCTGGCGAGGATGAGAGGATGTTCGACAACCGCTACTGGATCTCGACATCGGACTACGAGGGCGCCGGCCACCCCATCTTCATCTATGACAACGGAGAAGGTGCGGGCTATGGCGGCATTCTGGAAGACACGTGGTTCCAAGCCATGGTCCAAAAGTTCGGCGGCATCGGCATCTCGTGGGAGCACCGTTACTACGGAGAGTCGGTCCCGGTCAGGATCGACAACGAGACTGACCCTGAGGACATGAAGTTCCTTACCGTCGAGCAAGCTCTCGCCGACGTCGCCGCCTTCGCCTCCAACTTCAGCCACCCGGACTACGCCGACATTGATCTGACGCCCACGTCGACCCCCTGGATCTTCGTCGGTGGCTCGTACCCGGGCATCCGCGCCGCTCTGATGCGCCAGCTCTACCCTGACATCATCTTCGCGTCGTACGCCTCGTCTGCTCCCGTCGAGGCCCGCGTCAACATGTCCTCGTACTACGACCCGATCTGGGACGGCATGCACAGATACGGCTACGGCGGCTGCGTGCGCGACGTTCAGGCCGCCATCCACCACATCGACGACCTGCTCGAGACCGAAGAGGGCGCGGCCAAGGTCAAGAAGCTGTTCCTGGGCCGCAACGCCGAGAAGAACACGAACGGCGACTTCGCCCGCGCCCTCTCCATTATCTGGAACAGCTGGCAGAACTATGGCGCCACCAGCTACATCGACACCTTCTGCACCTACCTCGAGACCCGCAACACGACCAACGGCACCACCCTCTACGCCGACGCCGACGAGGGCTGGGCCCCCACCATGGGCGCCGCCTGGGTCGTCAAGCACTGGGCCGAGTGGCCCTACTTCGCCCCCCTGGCCAGCTACGACTGCGAGGGCAACGCCAACATCATCACTGCCGCCCCGTCCGCCAACAGCTCCTACTCCAACGACGAGAATGATGACGACGACAGCACCACCGACGACGACGCTCCCGCCTGCCAGCTGACGCAGGTGACGGACGACCCGGACTCGATCAGCTGGACGTGGCAGTACTGCACGCAGTGGGGCTACCTGATGCCCGCCAACGTCGGCCCGCGCCAGATCGTGTCCAAGTTCGACACGCTCGACTTCGAGATGAGCGTGTGCCGCGCCCAGTTCCCCAACGCCGGCGACCTCATCCCCGAGTGGCCCGACGTCGAGTCGCTGAACGCGCTCACTGACGGCTGGAACATGCGCCCCAGCAACACCTTCTGGACCGGCGGCGAGTTCGACCCGTGGAGGACCCTGAGCCCCCTGGCCGACGAGGGCGAGGACGCGCCTATGCCTTACATGACCCAGGAGGTGCCCGAGTGCGGCGTCAGCACCAGTGTCGACGAGATCTTCGGCTACATCCTGCCCGATGCCCAGCATTGCTACGACCTTGATGACACTCTCCCGGCTTACAAGGCCCAGAAGTACTTCACTGACGCCCTGACCAAGTGGCTGAAGTGCTTCGATGGCGGCCAGCACTACTAAGCAGAGTGCAGCGTGTGTATTTGTTTAGAATGTAAATAATGAATTTCACGATATCATGATATCAATATTGACTCTTATCAACTTCGGCAAACTTGATTAGTGATCTGCACTTAAAGCACAGTGATTATATTGTTTACGCTTGCACAAAAGCTTTTACAGAGCACATGCTCACTATCTACAGGGTTATTGATTCGCCGTGGCTCTATTGGAAGATCTCGTCACGCCCATGCCGGGGGTATGAGTCAAGCCCGGGCCGCAACCTTATCGCAGGCACCAATTGTGTTCAAGCAGCGAGTAGCATTAATAGCCTTAAACAGTTGTGAAAATTAGGTATACCTATACACTAGGCAACAGTACATCTTGCGAGCACATAAGGCTGCGTGTCACTTCGTACGAACCTTAAAAGCTCTTCGTACCACTTCAGCGCTTATACCCCGGCAGCCCTCACAAGCGCCGACAACGCAAGCGATGCGATCCACTCACGCTCTATTTTAACTGACCGTATCTTTCTCCCAGACGATTTTTCCCATCGCGCGCACCCTCCGTCACTGCCCGCTGCTGCCTGGGAGCGCTTCCCTTTCGCATCCCCCCCGGTGCCTGAACCCATCCGACGGTTCACCCTACTCCACGTCCACGCCCACGGCCCCAACATTCCAAGCTCCTCCAACATGGCTCCACCCCTGCAACCCACCCCCGTCGACGCCAACCCGACCGCCGATCTCCCTCACCTCTCCACCACCACCATGGACGACCTCATCCCCATCCGCCCAGACACGCCCCCCACCATAGACTCCGACGGCCTCATCTCCTCCGCCCCCGACACCCCCCCGCTCAGCAAAACCGCCCACAAACAAACCCACTGGCCCGACCCGCTCATCATCGCGCCGACAGCCCCACACACGCACACCCTCATCCTCCTCCACGGCCGCGGCGGCAACGCCAAAGAATTCGGCCCCTTCCTCCTCTTCGCCACGCCCACCTCCTCCGAGCTCTGCCTGCCCGCCCTCTTTCCCGGCGTCAAATGGGTGTTCCCCACCGCTAAAAAACGGCGCGCGGCGCTGTTCAAGCGCATGCCGATTAGCCAGTGGTTCGACAACTGGTCGCTAGAGTACCCGGAGGACAGGCAGGAACTGCAGTATGAGGGGATTGCGGAGACGAGTGCGTTTGTGGCGGGGTTGATTGCGGAGGAGGTGAAGGAGTTGCGGGGCAGGGCGGGGAGGGTGGTGTTGGGGGGGTTGAGTCAGGGGTGTGCGGTTGGGTTGCATGTGTATTTGAATTGGAAGGGGGAGGGGGAGTTGGCGGGGCAGGCGTTGGGCGGGTTTGTGGGGATGAGTGGGTGGTTGCCGTTTGCGACGGCGTTGGATCCGAAGAGTGAGGAAGAGGTTGGTGATGATGATCCGTTTTGTACGTCTGACGGAGAGGGCGAGGAGAAGAAGGTGAAGAAGACGGCGGATGATGGGCGGACGCAGCTTGAGAAGATTCAGTTGCGGGCGGCGAATACGGCGCGTGATATTGCGTCGATGCCGCCGCTGTCGGGTGAGGGGGATGATGTGCCGGCGTTCCCGCGTACGCCTGTCTTCTTGGGGCATGGGAGGAATGATCCGAAGGTTTTGGTGGAGCTGGCGGAACGCGCAAGGGATGTGCTCGAATCTCTGGGCTGCAAGGTGCAGTGGCGCGATTACGATAGTGGGCATTGGTACAAGGTGCCGGATGAGATCGACGACATTGTCAATTTCTTGACTGAAGATGTCGGCATTGGACGGGATGAGGATTAATAGGACGAGTCGTTGCCTCTGAAGGAGATATGCGATTAACCCTCACTCTACAATCACAGAGAAAGAATAAGAGGGGCAAGAAGAGGGAGCTTTGCTTTTATTTGGTCTTTAAGCATATCCGTCCCACTCCCTAAATTTATACCCATACTGAAATCTGTAAAGATTTGGCTTATAAAGGGTTTTCTAAAATGTTATGTTGAGTCGCTGCGCACATCTATAGCGCAGACGCGTGTATCAATTAGCTGTATAGAACTAAATAAGGAGAAAATCTATCCAGATAGATAAACTTTCACTCTTGGTCAGGTAAAGTGTGATGGCGTGAGACAGTAATAAGTAGGAGCCGGAATAGCGACATTTGCGCTCATCGATCCAGATTAGATCAAATCAGAGGATATATATAGGATGGGGTACCGAGTTTACAAAAGGCATTCCAGAAGAAATACACGAGAGTTGGTGGGAATGATCCAGACCTATCACTGATCTTCGCCTTTCCTCAGTGAGCTAGTGACTCAAACTTTCTCTTGAGCCCCCATATATCCACCTCCGTCAATAACTCGCCCGGTGTTTTCGTCCGTAATAAAAGTCCACCCCCAAAGTGATACCTGTTTGTACGACATACCAGGCTCATCTTGACTGTGATTGTAGCCAAAGGTCCCTAGATCCAAAACAGCGGTATCGGTAGATAGAGTCGTGAAAAACTCTTGGCGATCATCGAAGACATCCCACATGTTTTGCACCTCCGATGGGTCTGGGTTATTGCCGAAATCAATACCAACAAACTCCTTGAGGCTTTCTTCCGCCTGTGCTTCGTAATACCCCAATTCTGACATTTTTTCCAGGCTAATTATGGGCGTGGAACCCATTTTCAAATGCATTATGCGGCTCTCGCATCCCGAGATGATGCGCTGTGTTGCACAGATTTTCTGCCAAAACTGGTGTAAGTGCGGGTCCCAGTCAGGTCTGGGGTGATCTGAGCCATCATAACTGCCCACAAACAGTCTGAGGGTCGCGTGCATGTTGTTCTGGAAGGCGCATTCGAAAAGCGCACAACCGTTGTCGAAGTCCAATTCCGCGGTGGGCAGCATGATACCTGATCGATGAAATTCACAGATAGTAGCCCAAGCTCTACATCTAACAGCACAACTCCAACCACGCTCAAGCAACTTCTTCGTAGAGCTTGGGAGAGCCTCAAATGGCTGTCCTGCGGTCCATCCGTTTCGTCTTTTATCATGTTCCCCATCAATGTGGTACTCCAGCAGAGCAGCACAGATGGGTGCATTGTTCCGCAGCGTTGAAAGTTCCAAAGGTGTGTGCCCTTCTTCATCCGTCCGATTCGGTTCAGCGCCAGCCTCGATGATCATTTTCGTCAGATCGAACATTCTTGAATAGTGTCCTTTTCTGTTTTCACTGGCATCCCAATGAATGCCAGCCAACACATGTAATGGGCTGCCCTCTGATCCATTCATCCGGCCTTCGAGCAAACCGGAGCGAAGTAGAAATGTCGCCCACTCAACGTCCTGGCTCATTAAAGCTCGCTGTAGAAGTTCTAATGGCCGGATGCGGTCTTTACAGAGGAGCTTTGTGGCAAGCGATTGCCAGTCTCCAATACGAGGTCGCTGTACAGAAAGCTCCACCACGGTAGTCCCACTTCTGTCCTCCACATTCACATCCGCACCCGCGTCTATGAGAAGGTAAGCGCAATTTCTGCTCTGTGGCCTAAGGACAGCAACCTGTAGTGCTGTCCAACCGGCGACGAAAGCTGTGGTCGATTGTCGCATATTCTTGCTCAGGTGAGGAAACGACCCGGGAACAGGAAGCTCGCATGCAGGCCATGGGCAGCGTCGATCAATTTCAAGGCAATCCGCTCGAAGTAATTCTCGGACGGAGTCCTCAAAGCCGTGATAAACTGCCATGTGCAGGCAGGACCAGGAGCAAGGAAGAGGTTCAGAGACCGGAGCTCCAGAAGAAACCAGAATACGAACATTCCCAGATCGCTCATGTTCGATCGCGTTGGCCAATGCTTCAATAAGTTCCAAATCCGCTGATAATGGACTTTTTCTAGCCATGTCCAGGATATGTGACAATGGCTCGGGGTTGGGATACGCACTGGCCAATTCCAGGAGTGATTGATACCTCGGAGTCTTTCCTGAACTTACAAGTTGGTCGAGCATTTCCTTGAAATCTTCTTCTCGATCGAGCATAATTGCCAGATGCAATGGTGAGATACCGTATTCATTCTCGATGTCTGCAGAGGCACCAAGTGCGAGAAAAACCGACATATCTACCGTCGTTGAGAAGCCGCAGGACACCGCAAAATGCAAGGGAGTGTCTCCCCGACCAGATTTTGCTGCCAAATCAGCGCCTTTCTGAATGAACCACTCAAAAATGTTGGCATTGCCATTTTGGATCACAGTATTGATGGGAAGACTGCCTTGAAAAGTCTCTTCTGCGCAATCAATATGAGCGCCTGCATCGAGACAAGCCTGCAGAATTCTCAGAGAATCATCGATGTCCAAAACGCCAGAACATGCCCGGCTTGTGCAGTGCAGCAAAAGCTTGTTAAAAATGCTTCTTCTATACCTTGACTCAAGTATCTCATCCCTCACGGTTTCAAAAACGGCGGGAAGAGCCTTGAAATCTCCAGAATGGATGATCCGTAGACACAGGGCGGCTACGATCTTTGCTTGATTGAAGCTCGATACATAGTCATCAGTGCTGGGTGCCAGATCGACATCAGAAGTCCATTGCTCCTCAGTTATGCGAGAGTAAAGACTGAGTGGATTCCAGCGTGTCTGTGGCAAGTCGTTTGAGAATGCAATTCCACCAGAGTCGGAGAGGAAAATGGGGCCTTCAAATCGTAAGAGAGGCTCAAAGTGATGCAGCAACAACAGTGCTGTCCTCCCTGCTGCCTCCGCTATTTTGTTGCTATGGAAGAAGACTCTCTCGCTATAAGTAGCTTCTGAGAACGCAATCGTTGAGTGCTCGTAGAGACGAAGGAGATAGGAGGCTTTCTCACTAGCGCTCTTGGCGGACGGTGCTTGTTCCAGATGTTCTACGAAGAGGCGAAGGATATCTGCCAAGTGGTACTTGCACGCAATGTACCAAGCTGAGCCTTCAGGCGAGTATGAGTAGGTTCCCGCACAAGGATCAGCTCCAATACGAAGAAGTGCTCGAACAGCGGTAACTGAGGCAACTGAGGCGGCAAATGCGAGAGGCGTCCCGGAGAGTGTAACAGGGAATTGCGGGTCAACCAGAATGTACGAGCTTGTCAGGGCATCCCGGTAAGCAGCCCAGGTGTTGATTTTGGAAATGAGTAGCTGTACCATTTCCTCAATATCTCCTTCCGGGAACATGAATATCCAATGCAATGGACAGGCGCCCCATCCGTCTCTTTCCTTTCCATTAAGATCGATGCTCTGGAGCAAGCGTACCTCTTGAGTGTTTCCCGATCGGCATGCAAATTGGAACTTGGCTTTATTGACGTAATATGTTCCGTCACCGAAAGTATGCTCGTAGAGCTCCACAGGCCCGGGATTGGCTGTAACAACGGTTCCGTCACGATGGAGAGTATCGGAGTCGTTCATCACGAAACTCGTCCGCACCAGCCTTTTGAAGCAATCAGTAGACGAAGTGGTTGCTGTGTTGTACCGACAATTCTCGAAGAAAGGCAAGAAACATTCGGCAGGCTTTGATCCTTTCGAAGCACTGACCGAAAGCCAATGCAAGGCTTCGTTAGGCTCTATTTCACAACCAAATCCAGAAATGCAGGCAATTCCCGCTTGAAATGCTGCTTTTGATGTTGTGGTGTTGTTGCCAGGGGTCGAAGCAACTCTCTTGCTATCGCTTAGGATCCTTTGCTTCACTTCGTGTGGTAAGTTCCGCAGCTTACGGAAAACCTTCGATTGGATAGTCAGTTCAATTGCTTCTGCTCAGTAGAACGCTCTTAATTACCTCAAACGACCCTAAACCCTCTTCCAAGGGTTCAAGAAGAGCTACGGAAACCTCAGGAGCATTCAGTTGTGTTGCAGAGCTCAGAGAAAAGGGCAGAAATGCTATATCCGCTATGCGTTCCTCTGGACAAGCACACAGGGATAGGCGGAACATCTTCATTAGCTTTTCTGCTGTTCTGGGTGAGAGCTCTGAAGCCACCAAGTCATTCGCTTCTTCGCAAGCCAATCTTGCAAATGTAGACGCAGCGGTTTCCAGCTCGGCAACTAGCGTGGAAGTTGAAAACTGGCTGGACGCTTGGGCCGACATAAATCCCGAAGTTGTCACTAGAGTATTGGATGAGCGAAGTGACGAGGCGGTCGACGTGACAACTCTTTGTATCTCCGGATGAGTGTAAAACTCTCGCCCGTCTCGCAGAGCTTCCCAGCAAAGTAGCCCGAAAGACCATATGTCGCACTTGCGGAAATCCAGGCCTTTTTCGAGTCTGTCATCGGTAGCAGAGACTTCTGGAGCATTGTAAACTAAAGTGCCCCCGTACCGTTCCCATCCGGCAACATCTTCGTTACCGGGTATCAGGTGAAGAGCATGCCCGAAATCCGATACGCATGCTTTGATGCGATGAGATCGGACCTGAGAATCGACGGCGGTTTTTCTGATGGCGGTCTCGGAATGCCATGGAATAGCAAGGATATTATCCAGCTTCATGTCCCCGTGGGCGATGCCGCAATTGTGCAACGCTTGTAGTCCTTCCAGGACATCGCGGCAAAGAACAAGCTTTTCGTGAATTGATACTTCATGCTGTCGCAGGAACTGCCGTAACGAGCCAGCACCAGCATATTCAGTTATCAGAAATGGGATAAAGCCGCTGCTGAAAGTGTCCCAGCCGTAGCCGATGATGTTCAGTACGTTCTCGTGGCTCGAAAGCCATGACATTATCTACGGAAATACGCCCATGGGCTATGTCAGTTAATAATACCAAATTTCCCAGAACATGATTCTGAAAAACATCCGATACATCGGAGATAACATGGGCGACGCAGGGAATAGGGCGGCGGAGTTTCAGTCTCAATTGGATGATTTACCTCCACATCCCGTAGCACGCACGCAACCTGACGCTCAAATTCCTCAAAGTTTGTAGCGGCAGATGGTAGTTTCACCTGCTTTACGGCAAAAAGTTGTCCGGATCCCTTGTGCCTGTTGCACGACACCTTGTATGATACTCCTTCGCCAACATACTTGATGTGGTCAAGGTCTACGCCCCGAAAGTATTGAAGGTCGAATCTTTGTATCGTTTGCAAAAGATCTTGGAGTGAGCGTATCCGTTTCCGAGCGGGCTGAGAGAACCCTCCGACGCTAGACAGGAAGGTCCGAATGCTGTTGCGTAGGGTAGGCTATTTTCTTTTCAGCAATGAAGCCGGTCGCTCTGGAAGAAAAAATAAACCCCTTACATCGAGGGAGATGCCTTCGAAGAGTGCCATCGGTTGCTACGTACGTTGTTGTATACATCGCATGAGCGGGGTTGACGAGGCTGAGGAGCCTGGTATGACATCGCATATCACGTATCAGCTGGCCAGACGCATTTGCAACATTTTATTGGCTCGGAAAACGAGACAACAAAAGAAGAACAGGCCCCACGGCGGAACCCCGCACACGAGGCTCTTTCACTCGTGAAGACATTCAATAGCCCGCCTGGCCTTCAAAAGCTTGTGCCACCTTAACTTCTACCGTAACAAACTCCAAGGACTCTATTGTGTTGCTAATCTGTTGGACATGACAGACCCAACAAGCATTGCAGGTCTTGCATTAGCATCATGTGATGCCTTGCTTAAGCTCGGTGAGCGAACTGCACAGCTAATACATGACGTGCGATCATTCAACGAAGTACGAGCAGCTCTCTACGTCTCTACATAGCTGACATGGTTTGTTTTATAGGATGCAGGCCGGCTACAGTCGAAAGTCCGGAATGAGAATACTCGCACTACCCTTCTTCGGCATGTACTTTTCGAATCTTCTCCGGTCTATGGCGGGCTTAGCCTGTTCGAAAGATTCGGGGAAGATGCACAGGATGAGATCCGCGTGTCTCTAGACAGGCTTGTGTATGTCCTTGAGGAAGCGCAGCATCTACTAGAGCAGCACCGCCGTCCTTCGATTTCTTCTGAGAGTACTACTCCGACAAGCTCTCTTCTGGATGTCTCCATCAAGAGTCCATCCATAAGCTCAAGAAGCCCATCGCCGTCGTCTCCATGGAGAAGCCTACCAAAGACTTCGCTGATGCTCCTTCGCTGGTCGCTGCATGACAAGAAACGAGCGGAAGAAATCTTGTGCGACTTTACCACACTGAATGGAGATGTTCACGAGAAGATTAAGCTTCTCTGCTTAGCCTCAGACCTAGGCCTCAACCTCCAGCACAGGATCGAACACTTCCAAAGACTCCAGAGTGATGAGAATTCGATAAAGCTCGGTTTCAACACCGATGCAACACTACGGCTCGCAGCTCCAGATCTTCAAGCCACTTCAGATGCCTTGGAATTGAGCAGTTCTTGGGAAGAATCTCTGAGGATTGCACCACCTGCCCGAGGAGGCTTCGGTCTGATCGAACACGAAGGCATCAAGTATTTGCTTGAGCACCGACCATGCGATCTTGATGAAAGGACGAGACTTCGGCTTGAAGAGTTGGCTAGACTACTGGCCCAACCAAAAGAAGTTTCATTCTGCATGCCGCATTGCATTGGTTGGAGAAAGATACCAGATGTTCCGCAAGTGGGGTTCGTATTTGATATCCCACCCGGAGCATCCCCGCACCCGACCAGCTTGTTTCGCCTCCTGCACACTAGAGACGTGAGACTATCCCTTGGGCAGCGCTTTCGCCTATCTGTCGCTCTCTCCCGGTGTATATCGCAGCTGCAGATGGTGAAATGGGTTCACGAAAGTTTCCGCAGCGAAAACATACTCTTCTTTCCGCAGACGAACCAGGTTCAAGAGCCCAGATACGATTACGGCAAACCTCTTGTGCTAGGTTTCGAATCAAGTAGACCGGAAGTGGACTTCTCATCCGGATTTGCCGACAATTGTCTCGAAAGAGATGTCTATCGGCATCCAGAACGCCAGGGAAGACCCGGCAAAATGTTCAACAAGACTCATGACATATACGCACTTGGTAAGTATATTCCAGTCCTTCTATGACATGTGCTAATTGCTATGGAGGCGTTGTGCTTCTGGAAATTGGCCTTTGGCAGCGCGCCATCACCCTCGAGAGGAACAATTTCGCCACTGCGCGAGACCCGTACGTTATCAAAGCTCAGCTTTTAAAGCAAGCAGAACGGCGTCTTGGAGACAAGATGGGAGACAAGTACCGGGATGTAGTTATCAAATGCCTGACTGCAGGGTTCGGAGTAAAAGACGACACTAAAGAGGATCTAAAGCTACAGCAGGCATTCCGTGTGCAGGTTCTTGACGTGTTGGAGAGGGCCGCGGGAAACGTTTGAATGCTTAACAGCTGTGTGAAATATCCTGCATTTTCTAAGGTCAAATGGCTACAGGATGCTTGGGTGTCCACAAATCATCATCACTATTTTCTTTCTTTTAGTTTTTCGAGTTCTTTAAAAATACTACTGGTCGAATCTATGATTAAGGTATATTCTCCTCATTAGAAATCTCCTAATAGCTGACAAAATTAAACCGTGCTAGAGCTGCTACTCTGCTGTCTCTCCCCCAACGTAACGCCTATAGACTGTCTCTCACCGTAATTAGCCACCTGGGTGTCATTTGATGAATTATGATCGCATTCCTGGCGAATCGCACGCACTAAATGCTGTATGAAACAGTTTCAATTTTCCTAAAGCTTGCATTGAGTAGTACGCACACCCCTACAATATCTAGCCTGATCTGCCTTTAGATCTAGACTTAATCCTACGTTCAAATTTCTGCCACTCTATTGTCTTTCTCTGAGCGGAATACAGACGGATGATCATCTACTATACCAAGACTACTAAGCAGCATTTGATGGATTACTGTTGTATGCCTCATGAGATCCATGCGTCCGTTCCTGAATCCACCCGGACAGGTTCACCAAGTGCTGCCACAACCAAGCAACTGGTGAGCGGAACCCCCAGTTCCAGCTTGCTGTTATCGCGCCCGCCAATTTTTGGGCATTCACCAAGACGAGTATAGTCACACCCAAAGCGGCAGCAGATGTGAACGCCATGCCATGCCAAACCATGGCCTTTGGCATGTCATCATTCATGCTGAAGATCCCAGCGGCGAATCCCAGAGGTAGGAAGATGACTGTGACTGTGGTGAAGTAGGCGTTCAGATCATCTCGCATGTATTGAAGTCGACTTTCAAGGGAATTCTTCAGAGTCTGCACGTTCGTTCTGCAACGCTGCAGGCGGAGTATCTTCCGTTCGTTGGAAGCCAGAAGTTTGGAGATGGTTCCTCGGTATTTTCGTTCATTGTTTCGGGTCCAGCGAGGTTTCTCGAGATATCTTTCTTTCTCCCGTTGATTCCATTCTGAGATTTTCTCCAAGTTCTCGGTGATGTCATCTTCGACGACTTCGAGGATCTGCTGAAAGATTTGCCACTGTTTGTTGACGGCAAAGTACGCAATAGAGTTAGTCTTGCACAAAGACACGGCATCCGATAGCGCACTGGACTGTGCCTCATCTCCTGGGTCCGCATTGGGAGATCTCCTTTGCTCTATTATCCGTGCTTCATCTTTGCCTAGAACCTGCTTTTTTGTTTCAAGAATGATATCGCTCGTCCCTGCGATGATCTCTTCTAACATATGATCAAATAGCAGAAGCTCAAGGACTTTGCGCTGCCTCCACGGCTCTTTGGCCCGTTCGCTCTTCGATATTGCGTGTCGTGGCGCTAGCAGCTCGAGCAGGTTGGTGTGAGCTTCTTCGGATATTTGGTTGTCTTTCACGAAATGGCATGTCCAGTACCGATTGAAAAAGTCACCGACAAGTCGGAAACTCAAGCTTTCTTGGCGGATCGCCTTGGATATTCCGGGAAATTGTACCGTCCTCTCATCCTTGATCGTTTTGAGATTTTTTGATGGGTCGAAAAGCAGATAGTAAGACAAATGGAGCTCTGTCTCCCACCTGTTCAGCGCGGCTGTCGTGTCATCCAGAAAGTATTTTTCGAAAGTCATGTGTCTTCCGATGAATGACTCCATGTTGTCGCTCTCCTGCGGAGGAGATATGAGATTCGACAAATCTCGTATCTCTCTGTCAATTCTGGAAAGCATGATGAATCTCCTCTTGGCAGTTTCTGCTGTCCGCGATTTTCCAACAAGTGCACCCATCCCACCATTTTTCAGACTCTCCAGGACTTGCCCTGCTGTTGGAAGTGTTGTAGCTGCTTGACTCATCCGCTTCGACTTAGGGATATCAACAACAAAGGAAAACCCTGTTTCAGGTCCGTACGTGGATGGCTTGAAGCCATCAGGAGCCTGTGGGGTAAAGTCTAGGAAGTCCGGATAATTATACAGCCATTCCTCCTCGATATCGACAATGCTTTTTTGATCCACGAGGTTGTTGAAAGGAGCTGTTTTTCTCAAGTTTGCCTTCTGCATACTATTCCGCTCTTGGTGTTGGTGCGCAGTTCTTCCGTCCTTTCCGCTATCCGTATTTGGAACGACCGAAGAAATCGTCGAGTCATCTCTTTTAGGATCGGAAGGCATCTGAATTTCGGGGTCGTTCTCGTTCCCAGGGTTGCTTTCACCGTAAGTGAAAAGTACGTATGGAATTTCAAACATTGCTTGAAGATGTGAACTACTCTTTCTTTGATCCATCTTGTGAATGGGGTCCTTGTTCGAGTTGAGCAAGACGGGAAACAAGCCATTTGGTGATGTACTCTGTAACAGAACGTCCATTGCGGTAGCAAACATGTCGGGCGAAGTCCTGTGATTGATTCGGAGCCCTTTCTGAGACATGATGATGGCAAGCGTGTATCGGAGTGTTTTGGTCCAAGAACTGTCGCTGTTTTCCTCATGGTCTTGCTGAGACTGCACTGTAGCATCCCAGATGTCGGTTATTTTGTTGGATTCTGAGGTTGAAAAGAATCCCGGTGCCGAATCCATCGCGTAGAACAGTGATGTGTCTTTGTTGTGAAACATGAACCTATTCTCCAAGGAACTTCGGCCCACGGCCAGCATACTTCGCTTCGATTCGACTTTATCCAAAGTCGATTTCTTTGAATAAGGGCTTTCTGTTGTGAATCTCGCCAAAATGTTTCTTCGAAACTCTCCGGATTCCCAATCTCTTGCAGAGCCAAGACAATGTGGTGCTAATTGTGGCTGCAGATTTTCGACACATCTCAACGCACGCCAGATCCAGGCATGATCCGCCAAGCGGAAATTGTTCACGCCTCCATCAGTGAATCTAGGGACAGCGCGGCTGTCTCGTTTGTCAGATTTCTTCAGCGCCTCCAACCAGCATCCCACGTAGATGGATATTTTGAAGGACGGGCATGAAGGTGGGTTGGTCTCCGAGAGCGGTGGCTGAAATTCTCCCAATTTGAGTATATGGAAAGGAGCGTCAAATACGAGTCCATGATTGGAATTTCCTGGGTTGGCCCAACTCTTTGGTACTCCCCCTGCAGCTGAGAAAAATTGCTGAAATGGACTCTTTTGATTACTATGTTAGCCTATCTATCACATCTTGGTAGAGAAAATGTCAACTTACTGTATGTTTCATGGCGAATGGGAAATTTCCACCCAGTCTGTGCCCTACATTGACTACCCATTCCAAATGGCGTAAACATGTGCTTCGAATCCGATTAGACAGAAGATTGCAAGACGTCTCAACTTTCTTGCACACTGAGCACTCTTCGGCCTGTTTCTCGCGTGGACATTGATGTTGATGCAAGGAAGGGGGTTTCTTTCGTTCTTTCTCCAGGAACGTAAGAATCGACAGTAAGAATTTGAATGCGAAACTATTTAGCGTCAGTTGAACCCTAATTACCTCTTTGAAAGAACTCACAAACTAGATTGGGTGTCAATGGTATGTCCATAAAGATCTCCGCATGTCAATACGAGTGATCCTTCGTTAATTCCTTCATCTTCATCCCCGCCCCTGTGAGACAAGTCCTGCCTTGGAGTACGGCTGCTTTCAGATACCCGACTGGTCCTTGCAGTTGCGTCATTCTCGTCCGAGAGCTGTTCGCAATTTGCTCCAGGAATTGAACAAACCGAAAGAATGTGCTCGAGGTTTCGGCTGATGGTGAAGTTCAGATGTGGCTCAGACAAATACCGAATTGGCGTAAAGCACGTTTCTCTTAGTGCTTGCTGCATGTGATAGAGATCTTTGGCAGACAGCATACCGACTCCCCAAGGATTGGACCGTTCCAGATGTTGTATTCTGTAAAGTACAGCGATTTCAAGTCGGTTGAGTCCCGCTGCCTTTTTATGATCGAATTCGATATAGTAACGGTCACTGTCGTCTTGACGCTTCAGGACCTTCTGAGGAATTCCGTTGACAAATGGTGTCACCACAAGACCTATATGAGGGTCGGGTATCGGAGGGCGGTACTTGCGTCCAGACTGAGACTCCGAGTGAGTCGCCAAGTTTTGACAATCGCCCCGGGCTCCGAGAACTTCTGCTTCATCTAAATCTTGCCGTGTGGTCGATGATACTATTTCGCCAGATTCACCCATGATTATGATGAGCCCGTACTCGTGCGGCCCGGGTTGCACGAATGGGTTCGCCGGGTCTTTGCTTTTGGGTACGAACTCAGTCCCGACCGGAAGAAGACCCCGGATGACAAATTTGTCCTCGATTCCCAATCTACTAGAGGCAAAATCTTGAGGTAATATCAAGGAATTTTTGCGTAGTGGTTCGAAAACATAAGTTTGTAAGACCATGCCATTGTGGCAGGAATATTGAAGAGATGCTCGGTAATTGTCGGTCGTATAGTCAAGACGTGGCCAACGATTATGCAGGAAACGTACAGCAGGCGGTTCTTGTAGAGGCGGAAGCAGTCTCAATGGTAGCTGGAGCCCAATGAACTGATCCCGGATTGTGACCAAATCCCATAAATCGGAACTGCGGCCGAAAAGGGTGGTGGGTTTAGCAATTCTCCAAGGCTGGGCGCAGAAAAACCCAGAGCTACCCCACCCGAGAAAACGACTGATTTGTGCGATTTGGCCGTATGCGTTGATGCTTGCTGTGGTGCCGTTGTCGCCAAAAGATGTCAATGTGCGACGATCTCGAGGCTTTTCATCTGCTTCTTCCGGAATTCCGATGAACTCATTCTCCGTAAAGTCTTGTTGATCATTGCTTCGGTGTGCTAAAGTTACAGTTGGTTAGGAGTCTTGAATCCCAAGGCTCAAGGTCAAGGTGCTCACGTCTAAGCAAACTCTGAAATTCCTCGCTGGTCTCTTCTGGGGTGTATCAAATTTAGGTCTACGAGCTGGAGGTATGGTGCTCTCCCGAAATGTAAGGTGTGATGTCATCCCAGATTAGTGTCGCTTTGAACCAAGGCCGTGAAAGTCGGACAGCACACTTGTTAAATAAACGGCAACCTTGACCAGCAAATTTTCGCCAATCGAGCGATCATCTTTAATTTTTGATCACTTGCATAATCAGTCAACAAGGCTATATAAAATATTGAACGCCTTGCGCCGCTTTATGCGAGGCTTTGGCGCATGACCTGTTTGTGCAGTGGTTCTACAGCGGCATGTTATCACATCAATCAGCGCCTCTCAGCTGTAACATAAAGCATGGGGGCCATGTTCCGGGGCAGACTTCATTGTCCTTTTTCGTGTAGAGCAATTATGGCCGCTTCACCTCCGATTCCGATAAGTACGCGGATGCAGCTCCTTGCTAAATCCCTCGCCGTTTGCAGGATGCAAGCCACCATAAAGGACTGCAGATTCCGTGAGTGGGTAATTTCTTGGAAAACCATGATCACAACTCTTTTTCCCGCGAGGAAGAGGCGTTCCACAGCGTACCGCGTCAGGCGGCTGAACTCACAATTGCACAAAGCCCCGCTCACAATATGACTTCCCGAGCTTGGCAGCCTGGTCCAAATATGCATCAATCAACTTCCGGAACACATTTCGACTTTTTGTGGTTGGACCGACAATACGATTCCGCAGATTGCAAGAAGTGATACCTGAAAATTTAAAATTATCTGAATGTTATGTGTACAGCATGCTTGCTCAACACAACCGAACTAGAGACCGAAACTATGGTAATACACAGCTGAGAAGGATTCGTCGGTTGCAGATCTCACTACCCACCTCGTCAGCTATTCAGCCTTCTCCAACCCCCCACTTCAAGAAAGAAGAACCCTGCACTCATGCGCCTGCGGGTTGATAATGAAGAAGTACACCGGGCGCATGCTCTCATCCGTCGTGCTAGGCGCCAGCCTCGCCTTCGGGTAGCGCCAGAAGAAGGTCGCGACGGCGCACCTCAGCTCCATCTCGGCAATGTGCTGACCGATGCACACCCTCGCGCCGCCACCGAAGGGGTTGTACGCGGCCTTTGCCTCATCTGACATGCCGCCTTCTTTCAGCCAGCGAGTGGCGTCGAACCTGGCACAAACAGTCAGTCAGCCTTGCCCAAAGCAGGAGGGGTCGTTCTCTCGTGGTGTGCAAAACACTTACTCATCAGGCCTATCCCAAATGCCCGGATGCCGATGCAGCGACCACGACTGCGTCGACAGCACCGCCGTATCCGGAATGTACATGCCTCCCACCGTCGCGCCGCCAGGCGGCGTCTTCCTGGGCAGACTCCCCGGCGCGGCGCCATACAAACGCAGCGTCTCGTGAATGATGGCATTCAGCAGCGGCAGCTGCTCGAGGCGGTCGGAGGCGAAGCGGGCGTCGACACCACCACAGCTCTCCTTCTCTTGGCGCAGCTCGTCCAGCAGGGCGGCGTGCAGCTGGGGGCGGGCCAGCACGCACCAGACGAGGAAGGTGAGGGTGACGGCGGTGGTGTCGGAGCCGGCGATGATGAAGCTGCGGGCCTCGCGCGTGAGGACCATGTCGGACAGGTTGCAGCTGCCGCCGGTGCCCTCCTTCTCGGCCTCGGCGAAGATGCTGGTGAAGATGTTGCCCACGCCCGCGCTGCCCGTCTTGCGGCTGTTGTCGACCGTCTTGGCTGCCCAGTCGAGCGTGCTCTGCTGCGCCGAGAAGAGCTTGCGGAGGGCCGGGAGGGGGATGTATTTGAGGATGGGCATCTCGGCGCCGATGCCGGCCGCTTTGGCGTTGGCTTCTAGGGCGACGATGTAGTCGTTTTTCTGGGTGTTGGTGTGTGTATCAGCATCGCTTCATTTCCTTTCTGTCCCAACCCCCCCATCATTGATGAAAAAAAAAAACAGTTGCAAAGAAACTCACCTTTCCGACGTGCAGATTGTCGAAGCTCTCTCCAAACGTAATCTTCGAACTGACATCCGACGCCATCAGCACCCACCACTTCATCACATCGACCTCGCCCCTCGCATCCGCGCCCGCATCATCGCTCATCCTCTCCACCGCCAGCTCGATCTTCTCCCTGATCTCGTCCTCCCAGTGCTTCCTGATCTCCGTCTTGCTGAACGCCCTGGCGTACACCTTGCGGCGCTGCCCGTGCGGCCGGGGGTCCAGCATGGCGAACAGCGCGCAGTCCTCATCATTCGCTTCCATGTATCCCGTGAACTTGCGGTACCAGCCGGCCTTGCGGAACCCGCGGCCGTGCCGGTGCACCTCGCGGAAGAGCTCGGGGTTGTTGAAGGCGATCTCGCCCGGCGCGATGCGCACCACGTCGCCGTAGTGTCGGTGGAGGTCGTCGATGAAGTAGTTGCGCCGCCCCTTCATCGTCGCCCATTTGAGCGGCAGGTTGGTGAAGCGCGTGTACCAGGGCCCCGGGATCTTGCGGAGCGGGCCGGTGAGCCCCTTGATGAGGACCTAGTGTTTTTGGACATTGTAAGCTTTGGCTGTGTTTCCTTCCTCTCTCAAAGTCATCATCCCTGATGGACTGGTCATGACGTACCTGCAGGACCCAGGCGCTACAGGCGAACAGCAGCGCTAGAAAAACACGGGTAATCATTTTGAAAGATGTCGATTAGCAACCCGTCAATAACGTGCTACTAAAGATAGGTAGGATTTCAACTCTTGCCGTTTCGAAGGAACAGACGGCCTGCGCCATATCTCCTTATATATGAGTTGGGCTTCCCCGCACCCTGCGTTGTAACGACCCTCGTTCCCAATCGATCGGTGCCTCCAACCACCGATCTGTCGGACATAAGTAGTGTTGCAGGTTCGGTCTATTCCCCTGGTGATGTGCATAGTCGGTCATTCAAGCATTGGCGCTCGGCGCTCGCGCAATTTTAGGTCCCGACATACGGAGAGGTCCCGACATGCGGAGCGGTCCCGCGACCGTACACCCCCTATGAAATATGTAATCGAACATTCGAATACCCGCTGTGACCATCCGCCCCTCATGGACGTCAGAGTACGTGTTGTCGAGCGTTAGGTGCGTGTTTTTTTGTACGTACCAAGGGATGTTTCAGAGCGTAATAACATAAGCACGCCCTATCTGTGTTACCCGTTGAGCTCATGTATCTTTTAAATGTTAAACAATTCTTACTATGTCTTGTATAATAGCAATCATCTATTGCGAAGCTGCGGCGACATTTTGCTTTGAATTAGGGTTAGACTATTGTATGCATAATTTCCCTAACAACCTTAATACACCCGATCACCTCTGTTAGCTTTCCAGTACGCCTCTCCGAAAGTTTGACAACGTCTATCTGAATTCGAACGTTCGATCACGTACTGTCGAACGCCAGGGGGCAACGGACGGACCTAGGGTGGCGTCGGCCTCCGGAAGTGCCGAATCGTCCGGCCCGCACGCACCTATGAGTATATGCGGCCTCCTATTGGACGAGGAAGTACGTGCCCTTCTACCCAAAACAGTGGGGCAACTGTATTGGACGTTTCCAACCCGTTAGACAACATCTTCTTGTCGCTAAAAAGCGACGGGCGAAGATCTCCCTCGGCCGAAATGCACTTGCGTCTCCAAACTGCAAAGCGCTCACCGATACTTCCTTACCCCGCTTCCGCGCGTAAGTGCTGCTGCATAGCATGGCGGGTGGATGACGGGAGCTTATTGCAAACTCGCCACCGTATCCTTGAAAGACTAGAGATATCTCTTTCGTCACCGCGTGGTCATACGGCAAGGTTTATTCATCTGCGACCTCGGCGTAGCAGCTGCCGGTATCATTTCGGAGCCAGGTGGTGGTGGTGGGCAGTCAATGACACGGTTGGATGAAACTCGTCTACATCTTTTCTTTTGGTCTCCCTTTTTGATCTCGTGAGCGAGAAGCGCCCCTCTTTGCCCCACCACCCCAATGACTTTCTTTTTTTTTACTCCCTCTTTTCATGCGTTCATGCGTTTAACAGGCCCTTTTTTGCTATGTACACGTCTTTCTGGGCTTGACTTCCTGCTGACCACGACTACTATAACACAAAACCAAGGAAAAACCACCCATATTGCAGGAAGATGGCGGCTAGAGTATAGTACAAATGACGCGCCTGTCTCTACCTCTTTTACACATGGCCCACCAACAGGTCTTTAGTGAAAGGGCGAAATTGTACACAATCCTTCCCAACTTCCGCAAATGGCAAATACATGGAGCAAGAGACAAACTCCACGCAAAACACGTACCCCCACGGCAGACGGGAGACCGCCGTGGAATGTAGACAACTGAATGCACAATACCGTCTCCGTCATGGAAAAACTCGCACACCCCACACATGAAACCAAGCTCTTTACCATGAATCATAACTGCCAAACATAAAAGAAAAAAACGACACACACGACGGAGAAATTGGGGGGTATCACAAACTTTCCCAACACGCATCATCACCTCACCTCTCTCTCCCCTTCCCTCTAGCCGACTGCTCCCCAGACGTCCTACCATCTCCGCCCTCCGACCTTCTCCCCAACCCCGACGATCTCGACGTCTTCCCATCCACCACCTCTTCCGCATCCCCGCTCGCCCTGCGACCACCACCACCACCCTTAACCAAGCTCTTCAAACTCCTCCTCCCCTCACCCGCATCCGCCGCATTACTCCACCTCACCACGCCATCCGCATCGTCCGCATAGGCGCCCGTCAGCCACCGCCCCATGTACGTGTCCCACCTGCGCGGGTCCTCATGCGCCGCCCGCTCGCGCGCGCGGCGCTGGCGGACCAGCTTCTCGGCCGCCTGTCGCACTTTCACCATCGGCGGCGCGTACGTGTCGTACTTGTGGTCGAAGGGGCGGTGCAGGTACGCCGCCGTCGCCTCTTCCATGCGCGTCAGCGTCCGGCCGCCGGGGACGGGCTTCGGCTGTTTCTTCTTTTTCTTGCCGTCTTGAGCTGCAGTGTCGTTGTTTTGCTTTGGCTGTTGCTGCTGCTTTTGCTGTTGTTGTTCTGGCTGCTTCTGTTGCTGCTGATCTTTTTGGCTATTGGACACGGTGTTGCTGTTGGTGACAAGGCTGTCGGACGACAACGAGGGAAGTGTGCCGGAGGAAGTTATGTCTGCGTCGTCGTTGAGCCTGGTGGTAGGGATCTGGAAATCCAGACGCCTCCGGTCTGTTCCCGTATCCTCCCGCGGCACATGCTGGTCACGAAGCACGGCGGCCGTGCAGCTGGAGAGGATAGCTGGCGCAGAGGAGGACGCGATGTTGTTCTTGTTGGATGGGGCAGGTGTTGCCACGGCCACGGCCGTCGCTGTCGCTGCGGCGGCAGCAAAAGCCCCAGGACCACCCCAGACTCCGTTCTCCCAGTTATCCAGCTTCATCTTCTCCAGCCCCTTGTCGACATTGAGCCGCTTATACCAAGTGTTCTCGCCCTTGGCAATGCGCACCATGGCGCGGTGCTGCTCCTCACCCTCGGTGTATTTGATCAGCACATTCTTAAACACGGCAAACTTCTCTGCCATTTTCTTCATCATTTTGCTCGTGCCAAAGGGCCCCGGCCACGCGCTTGCGAATCCGTCCGCGCTCTCGTCCGGCCGCCCAGTGCCGATGGACAGCAGCAGCGCTGGGTCGCGGTGTTCGCCGTACAGCGACACAAACTCGGACCACGCCGCACCCGCCGGATTGTTCTCGCGAATCCCGCCGTCCTTGAAGCCCATGATCTCGCCGCGGATATCTGCCTCCAGGATCTTGAAGTAAAAGGGTGCTGCTGACGTGGCCCGCGTGACTTCCCAGATTTTGAGCTTGTCTGCACCTTCGTTGTAGAGGGTGATGTAGTTAGGGACGTTGATATAGCGATGGTCGTAGGTGCGGAGCAGGTGCGCCTCATTCACTCTCTCGTTGTGGGTAGCGGTGAGGCATATTCTGTAATACATGTTAGATTATCTGTAAAGGAGAAACATCACTCCCTGTATGAGTAGCTGAGCCATTGTCCAGACGTGAACGTGGACTTAACAGCCCTACATTCACGTCCGGACGATAGCTTTTACTACCCACATGTAATGTTTTTCGCGAAGAAGTTTCGGGTGGACGTACGAGTGGCAGATTTGCTCTCCAGGCCGTAATACCAGAGAACTAACGGGGTCTTCCTCCTCTTCGACATTCCAAGGGAACCAGTCGTTACCATCGCAAGTACCGTTAGGGTGTGTCTTGCAATGGCGCTTCACGATCTCCTTGACGGCTTCTTCCAGGGGCTTGTGCCGATATTTTGTCGTCAGAGGCACTACGCTTCGTCTTGTACCAAAGAGGTCATTGCCAACCTGTTCGACCTTAGTTTCCATGGATCTTGAATGCGGCGCGCAAAATCACGTACCTGTCGGTAGAGCTCCAAACATTGCGGTACGCTCATGCGTAACCTTCCGAGCATTGTTGCTATCAGGCCTCCGGTACTTGTTCCGTACATGAAGTCGAAGTAGTGCGCGGGTAACAGCTCGTCCTCGTTGAATGTACGCGGTTCAAACGGTGGTGTGGAGGTGCCGTCTTTCCGCCGGGTCGCCGCTTCTGCTGCCTCTTCCATTTCAAGCTTGCGCTCCCATTGTGCGATTTCGTGCATGAGCTGTTGGACCATCAAGAGGCTCGAGTAGCCGCGAATACCGCCGCCGTCTGCAAAAAGTCATTGTCAGCCACAGTTGAAGCGCATGTCCGGACGCGGATGTGAATTTTCAAAAATTTACAAATACGTCCAGACCTGGGGCTCAGCTACCCACGTAAGTCGGTTGAGTAGGACGAACGAATGAGCTGCCGCGTGGACATTTGGCGAACTCAAGCTCGAACCTCATGCAACCCGCACATGTGCGCACGTACCTAGCGTAAGTATCGCAGGATCCCACGGATCTTTCACCGTCCGCGCCCATTCGCTGCCATTTGAGTAGTCGTCATCTGCGGAGGCGAATGTCCGTACGGTTCGAACGCTGCGAGGTCGTTGGGGAGTGCCGGTCGTGTCGACCCTCAGCGCCGCCATGGCGTTGAACGATCGGCACGCAGTTCACTGGCTGTCGCGCTCAGGCCAGCTGGATTTGCAGTTGTTGTCTGTCGGGGAGGCGATTCAGCAGCGGGAAGCTCAGAGAGCTAGTCCAGCGGAGATTAGGATAGGAACGCGGGAGAGAAAAAAGGGTCCTGGCGGGCGATTCAGCGACGGGAAGCTCGCTAATCTTGGAGAGCTAGGCTCCAGCAAAAATCAGGACAGGAACGCGGCAGAGGAACAAGGCTCGCTGCGGCGCTAACGGAGCTCTCGCCAATTTCCCGGGGGTGAGAAGACGTAAGCTCTCGAAACAGCAGGCGCTCGGGAAAGCGGTAGATATACCGGCGGGCGAGAGCTTTGGGCGATCCAGATGGTTTCTGGGTGAACGACAAGGCGACGGGACACGGACTGCTGTGGGGGTGGGACGTCTCTTAGTCTTATTAAACAGCGGGCCCCCGATCCGCATGATGCACGCTCTGGGGGTTGCTGCAGGCCCCTTGGAGCGGATGTGGCTGCGAAAATCTACTATTTTCGATCAAGTGGCCGCGACTTTTACGGGCCGTGGAACACGAGAGGCCATGAGTACCTGGCCATCAGCTCAAGTGCGTCATAGCCAAAGAGATTTGCGCGGACGGCCTGCGGGATTAAGGGTGGCGCCGGGCTCGGAGCCGGGCCGTTGATGGAAGCAGCGAGAGCATCGTGATCAAACCGTTTGATGGGGTTCTTACGCAAACCGGCGTGGTGGTTAGCTACTCGAGCTTTTTGCTCCTTCGCACTGGTTGTTTGCGCGCCCATCATGCGTGCCGACGCATTTTGCTTTGCAGAGGTGTGGGCGCTGGTCAGCAGCGCGTGATGCACGGCCATTGGCTAGCGTGCAGATCTTCAGAATCAAAAGACTGCCGGGTCAGCAGGCTCTGGGGCGTGTGGCGTCGCGGCCGGAGGATAATGTCGGGACGGAATCAGGATGGGGATCCCGCGGCACACCGTGCGACTGCAGGCACCTCGCCACTGGCTGCGGGCAGAAGCGAGGCTGGCAGGTGCAGTCTGGGGCGATCCTGCCAACGCTGAGCCACCACGCGCAAGGCGCAGCCCAACCCAGCTCTACAAACAAGTCTGCCCACCTCTTACTCACCGCCCAGCAACTTCCAGAACCTGCCTGTTCCTGTCACTCCACAAGCCCAACACTTTTCGTTCTCTAGTCATTAAAAGCGCCCTGCTGCCTGCCGCCCTTCACTTACCGCTCAACCCGCCCTACGTCACCACGGCGCCATCCAACGCAAAACCGCAAACTCCACGCTCCACCGGCCCCGCAATGTCGCGGACGTGGAACACCGATTCTACCAGCTCCACTAGGAGCGCCGAGAAATTCGGCCTCGATGATAAGGACAACTCCAGCATCTTGGTCTACAAATATCGTACCGGCCTGGATCTCTCGTCGCAGGAAGACCTGTGCAAGGCACTGGACAAAGGTACGTCGCACCAAGCTTCGCCACAATTCGAAAACACAGACACTCATCGCTTCGCACCATTTAAAAGATCCCACCCTGCGCGTTACTCGCAAGCACATTCCGCGCGGCGACAGCAGAGTCGAAGTGAAGCGCGAAGACCTCTGGAACGACGAGGAGAAGAGCACCTACTCGGACTATCCTAACAGCAAGTCCGGCTTGGCCAGCGTCTGCCTGCCGCGCAGCATCTGGTTTAAGCGCATGCTCTTCAACCAGTTCCAGGACCTCTACATCGTCTCGCCCGAGACCACGCCCACCAGCTCGCTGAACGGCTCGCCCGAGTCGTCGCAGTGCTCGCCCAGCAGCACCTGGAACCATCGCCCCGACCACGACGGTCAGCATAATCAGCAACCGCAGGAGCAACATCAGGACCACAATCCAGATGACCACTAGCGTCGCGATGCCTAATGAAGCACGCGCGAGGTTACAGAGTTGCGCTGGGCGACTGGCTTCTCGCTAGCTCTGCAAACGGCCGCAAAAAAAGATAAAGGCATATTTATGAGACACATCGTGACTCAGACCTTGTCCTTTGTGGGCGCTAGTACATACAAAGACGCGGTCGTCCAGTCACATGGCTCCCTGGGCCTGGACCTCACCAACGCGGTGCTGCTGCAAGGCTGACCCAACTTTTCCGTTGCTTTCCGATTCGATCCTATACCCCCTATACGCTTTCTTTTCTTTTGCGTGTGATTCAGCGAGGGCGTTCTTCCTGGCTACGAAGACTTAAATAGGCGTTCCAATTTTGGCTATTGGATGGCAGATAATCATGACACATCACGCACAGCTATTTCATTTGTAAGACGCCAGCATGGTGCTGGAATCTAGACATAGGTCACATGAACTGTGCAACATTTCGTTTCAAAATAGTCAGTGATGTGCAACATTACCAGCCACGCGAGGAACACCTTGCTGCCAGCGCTTCGAGCACTGACAACCTGCACGTATATCCCAGCATGGTATATCCCCACACCTCGGCCATGCGGACCGGGCGCGGCGGACTTCACATATCAGGCACAACTTCCTCATTTGTGCAGTGCCCACGTGGTACACGTTCATGATCGTTACCTATCACCACCCCATATCACTGTCTATCGTCACATCCTGCCCACCCCTACAAGATCCCTTGCCTGCCCGTACCAATAGCGTCCTGGACATTAGATAGCCCCCGCTGACAAAAGAAAAAAAAAAGGAAATGAGCCATCCAGTCCCCACTCATACACCCTTTAACCCTTTCAAGGCTTCACGTCACCCTTGATTAGGTCCCGCAGCAGCGTCAGGCCTTCCACCGCGAACTTGAGCATGTTTGCCTCCCTGTCGCCATCCAGCCCCGTGTCGACCTCCCTCGTCACCGTGCCGGCCGCCGAGGTGACTGCAAGTGCGACGTAGCCACTACAGTCAGTTAGTATTGGTTTCTTTTTTTTTTTTTCCAAAGTCCAAGCTGGTTTCCACATAACATCCTCGGCGGAACCACAGCTATCTCAAGTAATAGAAGAGGAAAAGCACGCAAAACGCACTCCTAAATAAGGAAATAGAGGGAGTAGAAGCGAGAAAAAACAATGAGGATGGGAGAAGAGGGCTAGAGCTTACGGCGTCCTGTTCTTCGTCTCGCCGCCGGTGGGGCCGGCGGTGCCGCTCTCGCAGACGGTGTAGGTGGTGGTGAGGGTGCCGCGCACGTGCTCGGCCAAGCCCTTGACGATCTCGGGCGTCGGGCCGGCGTAGTTCCTGAGGTTCTCTTCGGTCCAGCCGCCGTAGGCGACGCGCGATTCGAGGGTGTAGAGCTATAGAATTTGGTGAGCGGGGAAGAAAGTTTAGTTTAGGTTTGGGTTTTCGATTTGGATTTGTTTGAGCGGGGGGATCGTGGTGGTGATGAGTATGGAAGGAATGAGGAGGATCAAAACAGGGCATTGTTTCGTGACGTTTTCTTGAGTTTGAATAGTAAGAGAACACGCAAAGACGCGCGCATACCTGAAGACCGCCCTTGAAGATTGAACTCGCACCAGGCGTGGCTAGGATGGCGGCCGAGGTCAAACCTCCCGCAGCCTTGTCCAGAATCAGTAAGATAACGCAGTTTGAACTCTGCCGGCGGAACCCATACCGTCTCAACAACGGAAAGCGTCTCTCCCCTCTCCTTCAGCAACTCTGCGACTTCCTTCGAAACGGCCTTCAATTCCGGGGGCGGGAACATGATTGCAACGGCTGTGTAGGATGTGTAGGATGCAGCGATGAGACAACGGCGGGCCGATTAGCGAAGATTGGCAGACGCGATAAGCGGGCAACTCAAAGACGAGAGAGAGAGGAAAAAGCAAAAGAGCAAAGAAGGGGGATCGCGAGGCGGTGCAAGTTGTTTTAAATGGGGCTGGTGAACCATACGAAGGTTTTATTGAAGATTTAAGGATTCTACATAACCCCGAGATCTCACATCTCACACACCACTGCCACGCGCCGCCCTCACTTCCCGCTGACGCAAACGCCCCTCCCCGCGCCCGCCGCACGGGTGCCCTTAGTCAAGGAGAGACCTCCGTCCACGGCAATCCTCGAAACAGCTTAAATCACGGAGCGCCGCCAGCGCCACAAACGCCATTAGCGCGGCTCCCAGGCCCTGAGTATCGTACGTTTTTTTCGACCGCTTCCCATATGAAGAGCCCGAAAAGCTAGGGGCGCCGCTGATAGCCAGCCATGTTTACCTGAAGGCGTTCATGGTCGGTTTCGGCGCCGCGCGCTTGTCGCGGATGAGGATGCCGCTTCGCTTTCTTTCCGAGCCCGCTGATAAATTGATGGGGATGGCGTTGGGCGATTATTCTATGTTTAATAATGCGGCGGCGGAAGTAACAGAAGCCCTCGCCTCGTTCGGCGCGAACGAGCCTAAAATCCTGGCCTTGCTGGGGAAGCCAGCGATTCATGTGCCTTGCATTGCGGAGTAAGAGAAAAAAAAAAGGGAAAAAAGAGAAAACGGAAAAGAGACGTCTCAAGGCGAAGGCGAACCGTGCAGTTTAAGGCAAACAGCTACCAGCGCACGATGGATGAGAGACAGCGGAAGCGGCTTCATCAGGCGCGCTACCTTTCGGCCTCAAGGCAACGACCCCCCCCGTCGGCAAATGCACGGAGAAACCCTTCAAGTAACCCCCTCGTGCCCCTCCCCTTCATCGCTGTCCTCTGTCGGAAGTGCGACCGAGTAGGCTAAACCGCGGTGTTGATCGTCGCTCGCGGATGTTTCCTGCGAATGACGTATTGTAAGCTCGGAGGGGCAGGCGGGGGAGACTGCAAAGGGCACAGAGATAGCATCATGCAGCTGTCGCCTCCCTGCAGGCCGGCAGGCAGCTGGGCTGCAGCGCCACCAACACAAGGACGCATGCAATACCGCCAAATCCCAGCCCGCAGCAATATTGCACAACGTTCGCAAAACGTTCCGATTTTCCCACGAAATCTTAATGTTCGCTGAGAAGGAACAAAAAATGCCTATCATTATAGCGAAATGGTCACTGATAGGTCGCCGATTTGCTCAACTATCCGAATTCAAGCGAAAGGAAAACACCAAAAATATAAAATAAAAAATGGCGCTGTGCATCACAAGCCTCACCGCCGATTATACCTAGAGCGACCGCCCCGATTCTGGCGTGATACGTGCATCTGTTACATTCGATGATCCCATCTCCGGAGCGCGCTCCAGCACATTGGCGAGGATCGAAAAGAGAGACAGCAGCTGCCAGCCAGTCCATTGACCCATTGGGCCAACCCCTCCCTCTTGCGCGCGCGCGCGCGCGCGTAAATCCAATTCCCCGCTGCAGCTATCATTGATCACGCGAGATCGGGGAAAGAAGGGTGCACAGAATCAAATCTACGAAAGGTGTCTGAGCTGATCGTGCATGAAGAGAAGGGTGGAGCGAGGGGGGAGAGGCACAGTAAATGTAGGCGAACTGCTCCCCCTGCCGGACCAACAGTTTTAAAATAGCGCCGAGTTTCTAAAAGAGGTACGAGCCGACCCGACACACGAAGCGGGGATGCAAACCGGGCACGACCATTCGTTTACATTATCTCAAATAAGGTTCAGATATCAGGGCTTCCAGGGCTGAGTGGGGAGGCGCGCGAGAAAGCGGACATCAGCTGACAACAGGAAAAGTAGGCGCTCAGCCCGATTCTCATGCCTCGGTGTTCGAGGGAACCCAAGATGCATCCTGCACTCCTATAGGCAATAATCATCGCTGCAATTCTGCTAAAGAGAGGTTCCTATTAGTCCGCAATACGCGCCCCGACGTCGACATAGGGCAATAATGATGCTACTGCACGCACTACACTTGAACGAGCAAAGATGATTCATCCCATCTCTTCTGTCCAGGCGAAACCTTGGAAGAGACAGAGAGACGGTGTAGATCAACGTTGAAGCATTGGTTCAGAGCGAGTGAATCTGAAGGCACTTATCAAGATTGTTTTCAACTATTGATTCATCTTCGGAAAGTAGCCTGGTAATCGGGTCAGTCCAGCACTTTATATGGACCGGAGCGTCTGCCACCGACATTTGCTTTTCCCTTCTCTTACGACTGGGATGGTGGAGCTTCATCCTTGCAAGTCATGGGTATCGGATCTTGACGCGACGCTTCCTACATCACTCGTTGATCTGAAGCTCTATTCCCGGATCAAATATGGACATATCACTGTCGTATTCGATTGTTATGCATGATTGGCTGTCACTAGGGCAAGGCTACGGAGGCAGTGCAAGCGTAATCAAGGAAACGGGGCTTACGGAAGGCAGACCCACGAACTCGGGATCGAACAAGGAGAATGTGCATCACGTGCGGTCTATTAAAAGATGAACAGCGAAGAAACCATGAGAGAGAGAGGTAGGAAATGAAGAAAGTCGTCCCGTGCAATGTCTCTGAATTTGAATCTCGCATGCAAACTGGAAGAAGCCCTGAATTCCTAATACTCCCGTTTCGTCAAAAAGGCCGGATATGCATCATGAAGTGTCGACTCGACCCAAACAAAGAGGAGAGAAGGAGACATGAGTTGTGAGTGATTTTGGGGAGCACTCCTTCGATAAGCGCTAGCAGGCCGTTCCTGGCGGAGTTATAGACTTCTTATCCATGCCATCACCCTAAACCTCCCAAGCAAGCAAGCCGTGAAGAAAGAAAACCGAGGACACCTAAAGCCATGCAGGAGAGTCGGCTAGATGGCGTACTTTCGAGTCCACTCGCGGGCCGTCGCCTCGTACCTGGCGCGGTCGGTCTTGTACACGTGTGCGATCTCCGGGACCAGCGGGTCGTCGGGGTTAGGGTCTGTGAGCATCGAGCAGATGGAGAGCAGAACTGGATGCGACGTCAGCAGATGGGCGGCGCATGGCCGGGATGAAATCACGTACCCTTCGAGATGGTCAAAGCCGGGCTCCACTGGTCCCTCAGGATGTCCAAGCAGATGCTGCCGTTGGAGTTGATGTTGGGGTGGTAGATGCGGGTGGTGAAGTTGACCTTCGGGGGCTTGAAGGGATAGTCGGTGGGGAAGTGAATAGCAAGGAAGAAGACGCCGCCGGAGTAAGGAGAGTCACCCTGCGGTTCCATAGTCAGCAACAGATCTGGTGGATGTGGCTTCAAGAGACGGCGCGTTTGAGGCTCGGCCCCTTGGCGTCGCCTCCGGCCGCCAGGAGTAGGGAGCAACTTACGGGGCCCATGATAGTCGCTTGCCAGTGGAACTGTTGTCACAAACTAGTCAGCCTTGTGGTTCTCGATGCGGTTCGAGACGGTGAGGACGGCTCGCATCGCCGCTGCAGCCGCGGGCTCGGGTTGGGGGTCGGGCAGGTGAGGCGGGAGCAAAGCGTACCAGGTCATCGCCGATGGGGCCGGCAGAGCACGAGGAGGGAGGATCACTGCGAGATATCTGTCAACACGGGTCCGGGCGATGGAGTCTGGGGGCTGGCGGCTGGTGTTGGTCGCTGGGAGCCCCGCACCCGCAAAGTTGTCATGCGAGCGCGGCGGCTTTGAGCGCGAGGGAGAATACGTACCGGCCGAGGTCAGTGAGTTCCTTGTTAATGCGCTTGAGAGCCATGGTGTGCGGTGTGTGGTGTTGTGGACGAGCCGGGTGAGTCGGTCGGGTGCGTGTTGTAAGTTGGGTGGGCGATGGGTTGAAGATTGCAGCGTAAAGGGAAGTGGGCTGTGGCACGGCAATATAATCCTGGGTTAGCGCCTGGGAGCGTGGCTGCTGCCCGAACGTGGCCGGCAGTGACGTATCGCCGAAAACTCGATCCCCGACCTCGACTTGAGACGGCAGACCCAAGGGCTGACACTTACAGCGACGCGAGGAAGACCGACGGCCCAGCGGGAGGCAAAGTGGCAGGTGTAGGAGGGGGCGGCGGCGCGGCAAGAGCCCACGGCGATGGACTTTTTATGCAGCCCAGCGGCCGGCGGCGAGGACGCCGCAGCACACGGCCAGAGCAAGCAGGCGCACGAAACCGGAAGAAGCGCCCTCAGCCTCATGCACCTCACGTCTATTGAGTCACCAACGCCGCCCTGGCAAACGCACCTCGCGCGCGAAGAGGCATGTCACGTGCTACGTCCTGAAGAATTCCCGCCCAGCAGTACGTACCTGCGTCAACCACTGTTTCTCCGCCACCTGCAGCCTTACACTGCGACGCGTCCAACCTCCTGAGAGCCCGCTCCCCCGGCCCTTGTCTGCTTGCCTACGTCCCAGGGTACCTGCCGTGGCGCAACGTTGCTCTCTCTGCCACCGGAGCCTGGAAGCCTGTATCAGCTGCCTCGGTCACGACCTGCAGCACCATGCGCGTTTGTCATCTCCTTGCAGCCACGCGGCCGAGGAGGGGCAGCCCGCAGTCTCGGCGACCGCATCGCGGTTCCCTCGAGCTTTGTTTTCTCTGTGTGACCTACTCGCTCGGGCGGCCGTCGCCAGTTGATCTTCCTGGTCTCTCGCAAAAGCACGCGTGAGAAAAGGAACAACCGGGACCTTTCCGAAACGGCGAACGGCTGAAGCTTTCTCTTATGCTACTTGAAACCTCACACTGTTTGAGCATTGCAGATACGAACTCGACTCGGCCAACCGCGGGCGTTGGCATCCGTCAACCGCACAGCTACCGAGACATTTTCAAGTTTTGCGCTGTTTTGCTCGGCTATGTACCCACTTTCTGATCTGAGGGCGCTATTGCGTGGCTGTAACACAGGCAGCGCCCGTGGCTTATCCTCTTCCCCGGAAAAGCAATGGGATTCCCAATCTACACGAAGGCTTGGACGCCGGTGATGGCCCGTCCAAGAATGAGGGCTGGGGGGGTATCAATGTCAGTGGATGCTCGTCTATATCCGCCGTACAGGCAACTCACCGTGAATGTCGCTCTGGCCCTCGTACGTCTGTGTCACGAAAAGGTTCGCAACATGGCGGCCGATGTGGTACTCGTCGCTGACGGCGTTGCCACCGAAGATCTCTTGCAATCTAGCGTCATGTCAGCAGATCGACTCTGGACAAAAGGGGTCGAGCCGGCATACATCCTAGCGTTGACGAGAGCCCGGTCACAGTTCTGTCTCTTGATCATGGAGATCATCTCCGGTGTTGCCTTGCCCTCATCCTTGAGGCGACCGACCTGAGCAGAAGCCAAAATGCCGTACGCCGCATCGGTGGTGGCGTCGGCGAGCTTCTTCTGCACCAGCTGGTACTTGGCGAGCGGGTTGCCCTTGAACTGTTTTCTCTCAAGCGCATACGTCCGGGCTCTCTCAATGCAGTCTTCCAGCGCGCCCATGGTCCCCCAGGCAATTCCGTATCTCGCCGAGTTGAGGCAGCTAAACGGACCCTTCAATCCCTCGATGTCGGGGAACATGTTGGCTTCGGGGACAGGGCATTCATCGAGCTGAATCATGCCGGTGATTGACGCCCTCAAGCCATTCTTGTTGCTAATCTTAGGCGTCTCCAGGGTGCCGGGAGGGCATTGAGAGCGCTCAACCAGGAATCCACGGATCTTACCCGTGCTTTCCAGCTTAGCCCAGACGAGCATCACGTCAGAAATAGGAGAATTGGTGATCCACGTTTTGGCGCCGGAGATCGAGAAATATCCCTTCTTGGTAGGGTGTGGCTTGGCCGTGGTCTCCATGGAGCCAGGGTCGGAGCCATGGTTGGGCTCTGTCAGACCGAAACATCCCAGGATCTTGCCCTTGGCCATGCCCGGCAAGAACTTGTCCTTCTGCTCCTGTGTTCCAAACTCCTCGATGCCGCCCATAACGAGCGAGCTCTGCACCGACATGCCGGATCTGTATCCCGAGTCCACGCGTTCGACGGCGCGGGTAATGAGACCCGACGCGACGCTGCTGACGCCGGCACATCCGTAACCCTGTATGGTCGCCCCCAACAGGCCAAGCTCGCCCATCTCCTCCAGGATCTTCTTGTCGTAGTCTTCGTTGCGGTAGGCCTCTGTTCCGCAATCAGCACACCGTCTGCCAAAACCTCGGGTCAATGCAGACCTAGCACGCGGGGCAGCATGCGCTCTTGGCAATACGACTCGGCCGTCTCAGCTATAGCGAGCTCCTCGTCCGTAAACAGATTGCTGGCACCCAATGGGTCCTTGTAATCGAAGCCGTGAAGCTGGCGACGGGCGAGCGGCGCAGCGCGCGCAGAGGCGCTCAATTGCCTTGCGGCATGACGGGCGACGGGTCTGAACATGGCGCAATCACACGATCAAAGAAAAACGGGTAGCGAGCAGGAAGAGGAGAGCAAAGAGGCAGCTCTTTGCTAATATGTAATGAGGGCCGACACGGCGATGATATGGCGGGTCGGCAACCCCACACCAATCAGGCGTGTGCAGCCGACTCCGCGCCGAGGCTCGCGGCGCAGGGACATCTTGTCGTAGGGCGGCCTCGGAATCGGCAGGCGTCCGCGAGCGCAACGCGCGGGAATACTTCGCAGGGCTGTCGGGAACACACGCCTGCCTTTCCCGTCGCTTGTGCTGCAAGAGAAAGGATGTCTCGCGGCGGCCTGGCCCGCTCGATCCCAGGGCGCGATCAGGCCGAGCACATCAGACCTCATGCACGGCACGGGCTGATACGGGCCGAGCAACGACCGTGACGTAGGGCTGGCGCGACAAACCGCGCTAGCCCCGAAACGCGCGTTGAACGAGCGAGACGCGCTTTCTGCCTAGCAGGCGTCATCCTCGCGACGTCGCCCGCGCAACTCTCTCACCACGCCCATTGTCCGCCACACAACGCCGTTTCGCAGAGCCCGTCGCCTCCGACAAGCCGCAAAGATGGGTATCAAAAACCTCTTCCCGATCATCAACGACAATTGCCCCGGCGCAGTCAAGACGGGCGAGATCAAGAACCAGTTCGGCCGCAAAGTCGCCATCGATGCGTCCATGAGCATCTACAGCTTCCTGATCGCCGTGCGCTCCGACGGCCAGCAGCTCATGAACGAGACGGGCGAGACCACCTCTCACATCATGGGCATGTTCTACCGCACGCTGCGCATGGTCGACAACGGCATCAAGCCGCTCTACGTCTTCGACGGCGCCCCGCCCAAGCTCAAGTCGGGCGAGCTCGCCAAGCGCTTCCAGCGCAAGTCCGAGGCCCAAGAAGCCCACGAGGAGGCCAAGGAGACCGGCACCGCTGAGGAAGTCGAAAAGTTCTCGAGGCGCACCGTCCGCGTCACCCGCGAGCACAACGCCGAGTGCCAGCGCCTGCTGAAGCTCATGGGCATTCCATACATCATTGCTCCCACTGAGGCTGAGGCTCAGTGCGCGGTGCTGGCGAGGGCAGGCAAGGTGTACGCCGCCGCGTCGGAGGATATGGATACGCTCACCTTCAATTCGCCCGTGTTGCTGCGTCACCTCACCTTCAGCGAGCAGCGCAAGGAGCCCATCCAGGAGATACATTTGGACAAGGTGCTGGAGGGACTAGAGATGGATAGGGAGCAGGTATGAGATTTCTTCCGCAGAATCGGCGTTGATTCATCCTGACCTGTCACAGTTCATCGATCTTTGCATTCTCCTCGGATGCGACTACCTCGACCCCATCAAGGGCGTTGGCCCAAGCACCGCCCTGAAGCTTATTCGCGACCACAAAAACCTCGAGGGTGTCGTCAAGTTCTTCGAGAGCAGCAGCAAGTACACCTTGCCTGAGGATTGGCCCTACAAGGACGCTCGTCTCCTCTTCCTCGAGCCTGACGTCCGTTCAGCGGACGACCCCGAGTGCGAGTTCAAGTGGGAGGCGCCAGATATCGATGGTCTGATCAAGTTCCTGGTCGAGGAGAAGGGTTTCAACGAGGATCGCGTGCGCAGCGGTGCGGCACGCCTGCAGAAGAACCTCAAGTCGGCGCAACAGAGTCGTCTGGAGGGCTTCTTCAAGCCGGTGCCCAAAACGGCCGAGGAGCAGGCCAGCCTCAAGAGGAAGAAGGAAAAGGAGCTAGAGGAGAAGAAGAAGAAGCAGAAGCTGGCCGCCAAGGAGAAGAAGGAGGCCAAGGCTAAGCCGAGGGGTACTGCATGAGGGCGGAGCGGATAATCTCGAGCGCACAGACTCCGTCACGGAGATATCGGCATGAAGCAAAAAAAAAGGCGTTGGTGGCATTATCACGGGTTTCTTTGCTTGGGTGGCTTTGAGCTGGGTATTCGGCGTCGATATAGCGTGAATAGGCAGAGGCCTTTCTTTCGTCCACATAGATCCTTAGAAAGGGTCCGAATAACAGTGGCTAGGACAGATTCATGAATGAACACGGAATGAAAACATTCTTCGTGGAACTATTTCCAACTTCACCTTATTTCTTTCATGAGTCGAAGTCGAGAATGATAACTCATGTCATTTTCTGGGTAAGTTTGCTGTTCGCCAGTCAGGCAATCTGTCGCACATGGTAGAATTAGGGACTACAACACTTCAACTACATGATACACACCCCATGGTTTGATTGTTTACTCAATCTGTTAATTGTTAATTTTGAATGTAATAGAAAGACACGCAAACTAAATACATGTACTAGATATTTCTTTCTCTAATCATTTGCTCTGTTCTCTACTAAGCTATGCACAGGTACTATACGCACGGAGATGGGGAATCGTGAAGAACTGAGTAAAACGTTGTTTTAGAAAATGGCAATTACACGTGCAAGGGGAAACTTTGGGTCGTAGCTACTGGTCGGATCACCGAGCATCCAACGCCGTATACCCGATTGCTATCACAAGAGAAATCCTATTTAGCTCAACATTTATTGCCTATAAGCTACTTGCACTTCCTACTACAAGACTCAGTCAAGTGTCCTAAGGAGTAGTCCCCACCCAGCGCAGCTAAAGCGCATTCCCACCTACACAAAAGAAGAGATGCAACACCCTCGCCCCAAGTACTACTTCGTCCGCTCACGGCCAGACAGTCAGAGACACCAACACCAGCGCAACACCAACAGCACCAGCCCCAGCAGCAACGGGGGCGGGAACAGAGTCAGCTTCCAACTCACGCCCACGCTCCGCGTCGACCGCAGGCGCTCGCGCGATATGACGCCACCACCGTCAAGCCGCCGCCGCCACCACCACACATCTTCCCACCGCCATCGTGATCATGGTGACAGCGGCGGCCATCCAGCAGCACATCATGGAGACCCGCGCCGTCATTACTGCCGACCGGCCTTTGTCACCGCAGCTAAGGAGTTGCTCGAGGCGCTAGACGCAGCGCATACGGTGTGCATAGGACTGCTAGATGCGCACAAGAAAGATACGGAGTCGTTGAGGCAGTTTGCGGGGCGGAGGGTGTTGGATGTGGTTTGGTGTGCGAGGGTGGGTGAGGTGGGTGGTGTTGATGGTGAGGATGATAAGAAAGGAGAGTCAGAGAGGCAGAAGTTAGGTGGTGTTCTGGAAAAGGTGGAGAAGGCGTTGGCGGGAGTGGCGAGGGCAAAGATTTGGGAGATTGGAGAGGATGGCGGTAATGTGGAGGAGGAGAGGTTGGTGGAAAAGGTCAAGGATTCGAGGGAGATTTTCCCGGGCTTGGTGGATATGGCGTTGCGGGAGGTGAGAGGGATGAGAGACTTGGTTGCAGAGATGGTGCTGTTGGAAGCAATGCTGGAGAGCGTGCTGAAGAAACAGAGCGAGACTACTGCAAGCCAACGACAATTGGAGTAGGGTGGTAAGAAGTAGCGAAAGTTAAGCGGTACCAGCCCGCTCAAGTTATCTTCAGCGCCGTCCACATACCTAGTCTAACTACCGCTAAGGCCTGGCCAATCTGTAGATCGTGGTCAGTCGCTATGTACCAAGTCATTCTGATGTTGACTCACCAAATGTCGTCCTCTCCTTGTTCCGCCTCAAAACTTTGACTTCATCGCCAACGGCCAAGTGCTTTCCTGCGTCATTAGAGCCCGGGAAACCATACCTACCAAAGACAGGGCTCCACTTGGATCCGACATCGACTCTACGGTCTTTTTGGAGCTTCTTCAACACCTCTCCCGTTGGTCCTTTACCTGGCTTTCCAGTGGCATAGTCAATGTTGATGCTAGAGCAGCGAACACAGTTGTGCGTGAGGGTCACGGTGGCATCCCCGATCTGGAGCTCGGCCCAAAAGTCCTCTTCCCACGGCTCATCAGCTCCCTCGATGACGATGTTAGGCCGGAACTTGGTCACATCCATGTCGACTCCATCAGGTAAGCGATCGGATACGTTGTTCAGGGAAGACTGGGACACAACGAGGTAGGCGGCACAGTCCTGGAAGGTGACGGTATCCTTTTCTTCGGAGCCGACCAGCGGGAGGTTGCTCGCGATGGAAGATAGCCACGACTTCGGCTGCTGTTCGTTGGGAGAACGCGACATCAGCACTTGGCGCCTGTTGTCGCCAAGGTAGACCAGCTTGACCGTGTAACCCAAGCAGGCCGAGAACCAGTCGTTGTACGGGGAACCCATGTCAAAGGCTTTTGTAGGGCTCTGGTGCATTACGACCTCGACTTCCGGCAGCCCGGCTTGGTCGGGCTGCAGCGGGATTTCTAGCGAGTCGGGTTTCTTCCCTGAGTCGGAGGGCGGACGGAAATCGACTTTGATGCTGCCCTTCTCATCGGCGCCGTCTGGGTAGATGATGGTGGGATGGAAGAGGGTCAGCTCGGGGAAGTAGACGGTGTGCATGTTCTTGAAGCTGCCGTCGTCCTGGACCTTGAGCAGCATGAAGCGACGGTCATACTGGAAGCCATTCTTGGTGATGGTGGTTGACGGGGTTGGCGTGGGCAGCAGCGCCTTGATAGGGTACGTATACAGCTGTAGACGCAGTGTCAGAGTGGGGTGCATGTCTCACACGCCTAGGTAACGTACTTGGCCGATCTTCAATGGCATTGTGGCGACACGCTGACAAAAGCAAAGGGCGAATTTGGATTTCAGAAGGTTGAACAGCAGCAGAGAGGCGACCGAGGCCAGAGGGCGGACAGAAGGCCCGGTAGCTACGCGCTGGCACGTCGTGAGTCGCCGACGCTCGCCATGCGGGGTTCGCACATCGCAGGTATCGATAGGCGGCGATGATGACAAGCCTACTCCCAACTAAGCTTACAAACGCGCGAACAGCAACCGCCGCAGGCCCGCCGGGCTTGGCGGCGACGGGCACTCCGAGCGGTTCAGAGGCGTTGGGAGCAGGGCTTTCGACGGTGAGTGAATGATGGGAGCTTGGCTGTGGCTGCAGCCCTTGTGCAGAGGGCGCGTGGTGGTCTTGCGCTGCACGCGAGGTCCATGTCACAGCAGTCCGCCACACCAGGACCTGTTTTGAGGCGCCCAAACGAGCAAGCGACCTTCGACGCAGGCTTCGGGAAGGTCGCGCGCCGACACAGCGTGGCCCAAAGGGCGGATGAACCTGTTGATCGTAGGCGTCGCCGGTCGAATCAGCGGTGAGAGCGCGCTCAAGCTCGGAGGCGAGGGCGCGACTAGGTGTGGCTGAGTCCTGAGATCAGAGCACGGGCCGCTGTGTTTTAACGAATGAGGGTGCAGTGACGTCGTATTTCGTAGCCCGTGTGGCCTTGCCCGGCTGCAGCGAGCCGTTGGGCGCGCGCGGCACCATCTACGCCCGCTGCAAAGACTCACACACAGCCCTCGCGCCGATACAGGCACCAAAGCCCACCCTTATACCTGTCCGCGCCCCCCAGTGCTTTTCGCATCTGCATCTCTGCCGCACTTGCATCGCTCCTGCACCACACCACCAAACCCGGCCCCCGCGCCTCCTCCGCCCACCCCGCGACCACCCGTCCAGGCCCCCAAGTCCCAGGTCGTCGGCGGCAGCACCATGCCGGAACCTATCGAACACCTCTCGGTCGTCGAGTCGACCGGCTTGCGCCGGAAAGACACCACGAAAGGCCCGCCGCTGCGCATCCTGTCGCTAGGTCAGTCGCACGCCCCGTAGCTTGCGTAATGTGCGCCGTACTGACTTTTCCATCGCAGATGGCGGCGGTGTCCGCGGTTACTCCATGTTGATCCTGCTGCAAGAGCTCATGCACCGCACATATGTCGAAATCCACGGCAAGGCCCCCAAGCGTCACGAAATCCCGAAGCCATGCGAACACTTCGACCTCATCGCCGGCACCGGTACCGGCGGCTTGATCGCCATCATGCTCGGCCGCCTGAGGCTGGACCTCGAGACCTGCAAGGATGTCTACGTCCGCATGACCAAGCGCGTTTTCGAGACCGACAAGACCATTGCCGGCATTCCCTACAGGCACACCCTTTTCAAGGCCTCGAAGCTCGAGGAAGCCATTCGCGAGTGTGTGCGCGAGCACACCATAAATGAGGCTGAAGGCAAAGACGACACTAACGCCTCCGACATCGATCTTCACTCTACTCTCAGCCCTAGAAGCAGCGTCCACGGCCGCCCGCAGCGGAGTCTCAGCACTTCTAGCCGATACAGTCAGATCGGCATGACTCCCATCAACATGCGCGGCCCGTATGCCGCCATGCGCTGGGGCAACCCCAACGCCCTGCTCTACGACAGCAGGGAAAACCGCACTAAGACGTAAGTGTATAATGATTTATAATTTTGTCGAGCATCAGCTGACCTTCGCGCAGTGCTGTCACCGCTGTCTACAAGGGAACCCCCAAGGGTGGCAAAGCCCAACTGCTGAGGTCGTACGACTCCCGCTCGGAACCCGCTCCTGAATTCGAATGCACCATCTGGCAGGCCGGCCGTGCAACCTCCGCCACCGGTCTTGCCTTCAAGCCCATCCAGATCGGCCACTCGGTCTTTATCGACGAAGGCGCCGGAAAATACAACCCCGCCCCCCAGATTCTGGACGAGGCTGTCCGCAGCGAATGGCCCGGAAGAGAAGTCGGCGTGTTTATCAGCATCGGCACCGGAAAGCGGCCCAATGGAACTGCCAACCAGCAGCACCTCTGGTGGGAAGGCTTCATCAGCGGCGGTATGGGAGATTTTGCGGAGGCTCGGAGACGATTGATTGCGAAGATCGAGGGTTGCGAAGACACTCACCAGTACATGCTCAGGGAGCACCTGGCCAAGCGCGGAGTCAACCAGGAAAACTACTACCGTCTCAATGTCGAAGTCGGCGTCGGAGAGTTCGGCATGAACGAGTGGAATCGTCTTGCCGACATCAGCACCAACACCCGCCGATACCTCGCAAGGGATGAAGTTCAAAGTATGAACCTGGATGCCGCCGCTAAGCTCGGACGCATCCACAGAGCAAAGGTCCGATGGGAGAGAGCCCAAAATGCCGGAGTAACCGAATACACGGCCGAATCGAAGTGGGACCGGCCTCTTCCCCCTGCTCCAGGAGGCGATGTCTACACCCCGCCCTCGAACCCAATGGCCGTCGAGCTGCCAGCCGAAGACGTCGTGCTGCCCGTGAAGACCCCACAGACTCCTCAGTCGAACGATTTCCTTTCCCCTTCATCTCCGCGCATCGGAGGATTCAACCGCCTCCCATCCATTGACGGCAGCGACAAGTACGCCGTCATTTCTTCCGACGAATACCCTCAGCCGGTCGACCCGGAGGAGGAGCGCCGCCGCAACTCGGGCGAGATCTACTTGCCCTACCGTAGTTCTAACGGATCCCTCAACCCCCCGCCAAGCACCCCGAGGCGCAGCGGTGAGGAAGCACGGCCCGCGACAGCGACCACCGAGGGCTCCATGCCGCACTCGCCTCCTCCGCTTCCACCAAAAACACCTCTTCCCTACCCGGAAGACAACGCTATTCCGGTGAGCCCATCCGGCAGGCCCATGAGTCCAAACGGCAGGCCAATGAGCCCCAACGGCCGACCGATGAGTCCCACGCACGGGAGACCGATCGGCCCGCTTCCGTACCCGGATCTCGACGGACCTCCTCCCATGGTGAACATGGCCAGGAAGCCCGAGATTGGCAGATAAATTTGCTTGTCTATATCTGGGTTTCGGTTTTCCATTTTTCGTCTACTCTTGATACCCCGTCCCCGACCTTCGCTCACGCGGTTTTCTTCTTCTCGAGTTCCTCCTCAGTACCCAATTGGAAAGTGGGGAAACGGAGCGATTTTTTTGTACTGTGGATTTAATCTTTTCCTTCTTCTCCTTGCGTAACTGCAATATTCCCCCGAGGACTTTGCGCGGTCCGCTCGTCTTTTCTTTTTCCTTTTTTTTCTTTTGCATTTGATATCAAGCTTTATAGCATGATGACGGCCGATCGAAGAAAGGATGATTATGGATTAGCATAAACTCAACTACTTGATAGTTGAAACGGAGGAAAATATAACGGTAAAGGAATTCGGCTGCATTGGGAAATGGTGGGATGATCAACGGGATGGGGGGAATTTTAAACGGTTACAGTAGGGGAATTTCTACCCCATGAAGGTTAATCCTGTTGGAATTGAGAACCACAACACACATATCAAACATATCTTAACCTCTAATATTGTGCATGAAAGATGGCGTCTGCGCCTGCGTGATTACATGAACTTTAATCTTCACGGATTCGTAGATTGCTTGAGCAAGGCTGATGGATGCTTTCTCAAAGCATGGTGATCGAACTTAACGGACGTTGCCCGTTTCTCGAACCCCTTGCAGAGCGTGCAGCCAGCACAACTAACGGGAGCACCGGGCTACCATGTACCTGCATTAGCGCATGCCTGCGGCCCCTACGAGCCGAGCCGCGAGCTTCCATAGTTCCCTGTCGAGGCCAATAGTGGTGAATAGCGGGGGCTTGTAACACGGGATGACTGTGCCCATGTAGATGGCGATTTGATAGGCCAAGCCCGCAGTGTCTGCTGTTTTGAGAGGTTCATAGGCATCTAATAAAGAAACGAGAAAAAAAAAACACGCTAGTCGCTAGTCGAGAGAGGATACTGCAGCTCTTTTGGTGGAAGAATGGGTATGATACGGTTCATTCCGTTGGTAAAAGGGTCTTCACATTCCTCTTTTACGTCTTTTCAGGAATGTTATACCCTACCTACGTCGATTCTTGGTAAATTTTGGAGTTTATATCCACGTCCGGATATGATTAACGGGAAATTATAGCCAAGGCTAGAGCTCGAAGAATAGAAGGGCTTTTAAATAAGAGATGACGTCTTATAAACTTCTTATCTGAGGCACAACATGCATGAGTACTTTAAATTATTGTCCTGGATTGAATGTATAGCTGTCAACTCTACATTTACGTCCGGATCGTAGCTTTAACTACCCATTACGTGAGCGAGAAAAAAAAAATAACGCTGCTCTTCGACCGCGATACCTTTCATTACATTTTATATCACTATGATTGTAGCTTTCAAACTAGCTTTTATTCCTTTTTTTTTTTTTAGAAAATATGATTATGTATCATACCTACATGTGTATGCAATGCATTTGCCAAGTCGATAGCGGACGGTCATGAGTTGAGATTTTTACGTACTGTACATCTTCCCTTCCTGCCAAAACACCAAACCAACCAGTATCGCCTCCATTTTTCCCTCGAGCTGCAAACAGATGTGCATTGCGGCTTGCTCTCCAAACTCTCCGGCACTACTAACATTATATCACATCTCCCTACAAAGTGGCTTCCCCTGCGCAGCACGTTGCGGCGTCTCATGCGGTTGTTCCAGGTGTTGGATCTTATGGTAGATCTTAAATCGGGGGGTACGCGTAGGCGGGATTTTGCTTAGAGATAATCTTCTCCCATGGTAGGCGTAACTAATTGAGATAGAAATGCGCCACTGGTCCAGAACGCGTAGTGTGAAATCGGGGCTCAGATGGACATATATACCTTGATCTTTGACAAGATACGGACCAGCACCTGGCTGGCAGCATAAGCTGGCCAAGTCGATGTGACCCCAAGGCCGCTCTTTGCTCGGTTTTGACAGGGGTGATGATACACTGCTTGGCCGCAGAGTCGTCGTTCTCCCAAAGTAGCCACGTTGGATACGCATTCGTGATCCTTCCAACGTCCCGATATCGCCGCGCAGGACTCAATCCCACTACCGAATACCTATTGGCGTTGCGGATTCAACCAGGCGCTACTCGGACTCTTCTCTTCGCTGATTTCGATAGCCCCCGTGGGCGGATGTCTCAAGACGGCAACACCTCCCGGCTGCATCGACGCGAATATCGTCGCGCCGAACCAATCAGTCGCCTCTTCCACGACCTGATTTGGGAGAAAAAGGAGGGGTTAATGGTCAGCACAGTCCTTTTTTCGATTTCCCCCAACCTACTATACTTCCCCTCCGCCGTTGAAAGCGGGCAATGACATAGCAAAAGGCGAGCCCACCTTGTCAACAAACGTGGTCGAGGTATTATTACGTCCGTATTCGCTCATCTCGGTGACTGAGCCTCCACCATCCACTTCGAAACAACTCCTCCCCGAAGCCGCCATGTCGTATGCCAATTTCGCCGAGGCATCCACGGCGAACATCTGCCCGGAACCCATGGAGCCCATGTTGGGTGGTACGTCGCTGTAGCCGATGAGACCGGCGGGGTGCGTCATGGAGAAGTTCCGTGATTGGAGGTTCGGTGTGTCGCCGTGCATGAGCTTGTGTCGCTTGGCAATTCCGAGCATCTGAGCGTGTGATAGTCCAAACTCTTTTCCAATGTGTAGAAGGCGGCCCTGTAGCCATTCGCGCTGCTGTTCCGGGATACACTCGACGTTCGCGGCAACGAAGACGTGCCAAACAAGGAGGAAGCCGCCAAGCGCTTCGGCAGCTGGATCGTGGGTCAGTATTATTCAAGTACGTGGAGGAATGAGGGGGTACTCACACTCTCGGTCTTGACCAATCTCCCTAGCGCGAGGCTGGAGGTCATAATTGATGTGGAAAGGGACGCTGGCGCATAAATCGTCGATTAGGCCTTGGGTGATGAAATGGGTATTGGCAAGCATTGCCTTGACCGAGAGGTCGGTGGAATCAGGCGAGATGACTGAGCAGCAAGCCATGATGATAGAGAGAGTGAAGATACGGGTGACACGATAGTCGTTCCAGATGTGAGAGGTCCAGACGTCTACGTAGGCGTGTACTGGACCGACCCAGCGGTCAGCAGTATAGACGTCTTCTGGTACCTCGTTCTGATATGCGACGGTCCTATGGGCCCATTGGTCTGACAATGACGAAGCCCACTGGTTCAGAGCAACATCGACTTCTCTAGCCGCAGCTATCAAAGACCATGCCTCCTCTTTTTTGTCGTCCTTGACTTTGTTGTTCATCAGTGCACGGACCCGAGATCGAAGCGCTGGGAGGCCCATGGATATGACGGTGAGACGATTTGCAGGGTTTTCTTCTTGGATAGCCCAGCCAGGAATGCCTGGAAATTCCTCGACTGGCCTGCACCGTTGCATGGAGTTTGTCAACTATCACGTGTCAGCGCGTGGTTGTAGGCAGTATTGAAGGGTTTCCAGTACCATCAATGCCCGTACAGCTTGGAATAGCTTTCGCGAGGACTCAGACTCCAGTTGCTTCGGACCACGGAGTTTGGCTAATGTGACGGCACCGTCGATATGGTGTGCCCATGCGCTGATGGACTCATTGGTTGCGTGCATTGCCTAGGCAAGGATCAGTCAATGCTACTCGGGAAAAGACGAATATGCATTACACAGTTTTTGAAATCTTCAACGTATGTTGCAGCAGCAACTTGCAGAAGGCGTTTTTTGTGGTTTTGAAATACCTCGTATAGAACAAACAGCATGATTGTGAGCAATGTCTCGTCGGACCTGGCTTGAACCGGGTCCTGGAGTGCCTTCTGCGCCTTTTGTAGCGCTTTCCCATAGAATGATGCGGATTCTTGCAAAAGGTGTGACCGGCCAGGGTAGTTTCCGAGAACTGCAAGGGATACAGCATGGGTCGCAAGGTGGAAAGTAGATTCAGCGGGCGTCGAATTGTAATAGGGCACGATAAGTTCGAAAAATCCTCGAGCAGTCTCGTCGTGCTGGGGAAGGAGAACGAAGTTGCGGAAGAAGAAGGCAGTTGCCTGGTTTTCTATGGAGAACGAAAGACCTTGAGGGAGTGCGAATCCGCGCAAAGCGAACAGAGCATTTATCAAAGTTCTATCAGTGGGGACCCTACGGGATTGCGTAGGCGGATATGTGGTCTGCTTCACGATGGGGAGCGGTGATTGGTCGTCAGTTGGAGATTCTTGGGGAGTGTCATCACTACAAGAATGTCAGCATTGCTGCTATCGAGAGGGTCTGAGCTCGTTGGTAGGCGTCACGGCGGAGCGTGTTGATTGAAGAGCGAGCCAAGCGCTACTAGCGGTGGTGCCTCATGATTCCACGCAGATCCAAGATGGGTAGGCGTACCTGGGGGATGAGGTCGAATTGGACGGGCTCGGCTTCTGCTTGGAGGCGGCCCGCTTGGTCCTGCGAGCCACAGCGGCATTCTCGTTTCGAAAGATGAGGTCGAATTCGTCAGGGAAGCCAGGGCAAGTTCTGCCCGACTTTTTGCAGTTGCCGCACGATGGACGGGCTTCGTCACACTACAAACGAATCAGTAGGAGTGGGGAAAAAGCGGGGGGTCAGGTGGTGCATTACTCTTATTCGACGCGTCTTGCAAGTTTGGCAACCACGACTCGGTTTTCCGGTATAGACCATGGTCACGAATTGGGGAACGGATGCGAGCTCGCAAGGATCACCGAATGGGGCAAGACCGGAGGAAGAGGCACGGCACCCAGGAACATGCCTCAGCCGCCGTGGCGCGAGGTATATAAGTGAGGGCCGTCGTGCGGCGTCAGGGGAAGCTGCGGACCCGTAAGATCAAAGCTTGCTGCCTAAGGAAGTGGTGCCGCGAGGGAGTTGTGCAGTCGGGCAGTCGGTGGTGGGAGATTCCGGTAACAACCCTGGCGGCTTGGCCAAGAGAAAGTTCAAACGGCGCTGACGATGCCCAAAGAAGCAGAAGTCGAAGGCTATGACGGACGGTAGAAGGACAGCTGCGCCTCAGGACGGAGGTGAGCAGCTGATGACTCGGCAGTGGAAAATGGCAATCCTTGCCAGCGATCAGCACGCGGGCTGGAGGTTCCCGAGGACGGCGCAGCGGCAGGCGGAGTTCTGACGGGCGGATACACCGAGGCCGCGCCCGAGGTGCTGAGAAGGTGGTCAAGGGCGTGAGAGGGCTCGCAAGCATGACCACATTAGGTGCAAGCGAGCCGAGCCAGCCACTCGGCCCTCGCAGTTGGCGACTCCGGGAGCAACCGGCAACAACCGTCAGCAGCCACCGAACTGCCTCCCTCGTGGACTCTTAACCAGCACCAGCACGTCCTATCGAAATCCAGCGTCTCGAAGCTAGATGTTTCCGCGAACGTCACTGTGGGCTGATCCACCGCCTTGGGAGCCGCGCAACGCTGCAGATCGTCGGTCTCTACCGTCGGTGCTATCGGACTTTCCGATCTCCATGCAGAGCTGTGCAACCCGTAGCGAGCGATCATCCGCCATCCGCGGCGGCGCATCGTTAGCCCGTCGGGACATCAATTCGCTGCGCACTTGAGACAGCGTGTTGCCGGCGCAAAAGCAACTTACGGCCGACTGCGAGCCACTCAGATCCCTTAGTTACCGAGCTGCTGCAGCTCCAGCACCAGCGCTACCGAGCACCCGCCATACGAGTACGGTTAATACGCAGAGCCGTTGATCTTTGCCAGAATACGCGTATCACTTCTCATTGGCGCCTGATTGATAATGGTAGGAAGACGCCTCCGCCGGGAAGCCGATCCTCCGCGCTGCACAAAGGTAAAAGAAGTGAGACTCGATCATTCCCGAGCAGGACTCAAACGCCGGAGAATTGTGGCGCGGATACCACAGGCAAGCCACAGCCGGTCCCCATTTAGTGTCCGGACAACGTGGGTGGTCGGACCGATCGTCGTTCTCTGCAAGTTGATGCCTTCAGCTGGAATGGTGTCGTGTTGCAAAGCGCTATCGACGGCCACGCTCAGGCCCGTTCTTCCGGAGATATGCCCGGCGGTGTGCTGAGCTGAATCACAAGCAAAATGGCGCTGCAGCCGGTTCCGCGCCATTAGATATCATGGTGTCTTTTTTTGCATCTCCTTTCTCGCAAATTCCTTAGCATGCGGCTGCGTCCCAATTTGTAAAAATAGACGACAGATCATACGAGTGTGCTAGCCTCGGCATCACACATGTTACCGACTCCTTAGCTGTGCCATCGTTCATGATGAGTGATAATGACTCGTTTGATGAAGCTTGCCATTGCGGTGATAAGAATAGTCCACCGGGAATGAGGAGCGGTGATCGAGTTCGGCTGCAGGGCTGCACGTGCGGCTCAAGTGGCGTCCGAGTGCAGGATGCGCAGGTCCAATGCGTGGCGTAACGAATGGCAGCACTCGAGAGTGCATATAGCGGATGTGGTGGTTGTAGGTTCGGGCGCTTGTCGTGGGCGCAGGCATTTCAAAGCTGCTTTGAACCGGCGGCGCGTGATTGGCTGGCGGGGCGACGGGCGGGATGCCAAGGCTGGTGTCGAGGACGTCAAAGTAGATTGCGCTTAACCACCACATCCACCCACCCCCGCAACCATGGCCTCGAAGCTCAGCCCATTCGCTCTGCGATCGAGCCTCCGCGCCGTGCGGAGGGCCCGCCAGCCTCAATGGCGCGCCTTCACCACCACCCCGGCCCGACGGAGCGATGCTCTCGCCGTCGTACGTCCTCTCCCGCACATCCACCAGCTACCGCCACCGCCAATGCCATCGCGCTGACCATCTCGCCCAATCCAGCACAGAGACACGCCCGAGAACAACCCGTCGATACCCTTCAAGTTCAACGAGCAGAATGAGAAGCTCATCCAGGAGGTTCTCGCCCGCTACCCCAGCCAGTACAAGAAGGCCGCCGTCATGCCGCTGCTCGACCTGGGCCAGCGCCAGCACGGCTTCACCAGCATCAGCGTCATGAACGAGGTCGCCCGCCTTCTCGAGATGCCCCCCATGCGCGTCTACGAGGTCGCCACCTTCTACACCATGTACAACCGCGACCCCGTCGGCCGTTTCCACGTCCAGTGCTGCACCACGGTACGTCGGATCCCCCGCAACAGACCGCCACGGCCCCTCAGAAGTGTGGGATAGAGCAATTGGAATACTGACGGGTCACTGGCAGACGCCCTGCATGCTCCGCAACAGCGACAGCATCATGAAGGCCATCGAGGAGGAGCTAGGCATCACGCACGGCCACACGACCAAGGACGGCCTCTTCACCTTCACCGAGGTCGAGTGCCTGGGCGCCTGCGCCAACGCCCCCATGGTCCAGATCAACGACGACTTTTACGAGGACCTGACGGCCGAGACGACCAAGTCGCTGCTCAAGGCCCTGCGCGAGGCCGCAAAGGCCACGGGCGCCTCGTCGGGCGGCGGCGCCGCCGACGCCACCAGCACCATCCACATCACCGGCGCCGAGGACGCCCGCCTCCAGACCCCCAGCGAGGGCAAGGGCCGCACCTACACCGCCAACGGCGTCAAGATCCCCGCTCCCGGCCCCCTCAGCGGCAGGGATACCTGCGAGCCCGCACGGGGCTTGACTTCGCTGACCAGCGAGCCGTGGGGTGTCGAGAAGTTCAGGACCGATGGTGTGCTTGACTAAAGAAAGCGTTTGTGTATATTTATGTAGGTATTAAGGATTTCCATTGCCATTCTGATTGCATGGATTGGCTTTGCGTTCTTAACCCTGTGATTTGTGAAATGGCGCATCAATTTTGACTCCGTATTGATTTTCTCGCCATTTTTCTTGACATGGAGACATACAGATGGGTGTTTGAGTCGTGGGCTAGCGCGAGGCTTAGCAGGGCCTTAGAACAGAGGATAGGTGTCCTTCCAGAAGAAATCATCCCTCACAATTTTTGTAGAAAATGAGACCCGACTTGGGGAGGCAAATGAAGTTATCGTCTGGACTTAAATGCATAATTGTTAGTTCAAAATGTACGCCTGGGCAATCGCTCCAATGGCACGGACTTATTAGACGGGCGTCTGATACATGTAAAATTGAATACATGCCGGCCTTCTACTGCAGGATTCTTGTGTATATGCTAGATTTGTTCCAATTCTCCCGCACTTCGGATGTTTTGGCCAAACTTTGCATCACAATGCACTGACCGCTTCACCATGGACTGAAGAAAAAGTATAAGGCCAGTTGTCGCGCTGCAGAACAGGCAATGCTCCCAAATTTGAGATTCACGCTTCTGTTTGCATGGGTAGTTTTCATTGCTATCTAATCCTTTGACCGGGTCACGATATTTGCCCGCTCGCAGGGATGGTCGATTGACTGCCTATCTCGCAGTCTCGCTTTTTTTCTTTTTCCCTCTGGGAGAAAAAGATCCGATGCCCTGATTACCTGACGCACCAAGTGGAAGACCCTTCCTAAGAAACCTTTTGACTCTCTCTTGATGTTAAGAATATAAAGTCTTTTATGCTCATGACCATGACACGTACCATAGGATTTGTAAGCTGACCAATTTGGTGAATGTTGAGTAAGATTGTGCCAATTTATGTCAGCCATCAAATGAGGGTATTCGTCTGATGCAGTATTTTTCGTCTTTTGGGCAGCGGTCGAGTGACCGTGCCTTGTGGTGCATCAGCCATCTTCTTCTTCTTATCCTCCTCCTCAAACTCCTCATCATACTGCATCGTGTGGTTTCTGATAAGACACCAATCATGGAAGGTGACGGCTGTGTTGTTGTGCCTACGCTCCCAGTCCAGATATCCTTGAAACTCCCGGCGATCGCTCTCCCTGACTGGCTGATATTCGTTTTCTCCGTCTGCATTAGCTGGTCTGGCTACTTGTGACTCCCAGTGACCGCCATCCTCAACTGGCTCCTCTGGGGATTCCTGCTCAGCATTGGATTGTTTGGCTGCTTGCGAAGAGGCCTGGCTTGGAGCGGCTGTGGCTGAGGTCTTGAAATTTTTATGCAAATAGTCCCAGATTGCCACATCCCCCTTCTCCGCGCGGAATTTTGATCCAGAAGCTGATGGTCCTGCGTATTTCTTCTCGAGCCATTCCGCCACCGATTTCCAAATTCGATGCTGCTTAGCAGAAGTGACGACTAATCGAAACTCGCCACTTGAGATCTCGAGTCCCCGGTCGGGGGTTTCCAAGAATTCCCCAAAGAATTGAGAAACCCTCTGAACACGCCGTGTGAATATATCTGTTATCGGCGCCCGAGCAGACGGCTGAGCTGGAGCAGGGACATGCTGTTGCTGTGTATGGGAGCTAGGGCGTGTCGAAGGTGAGGTCATGGGAGCAGGTGACGTCACTGGTCCTCCTCCAGCTATGTTGGGGTTGTCCAGGGCGGACGCCAATGGATTGACTGGCGGTATGATCTGCTCACTTCAGCATGGCGTATCATGGAAATTGCTGGTAATGTAGACTCACCAGGTCGCTAAGTACACGCGCTGCCTGTGGGTTGGATATGGATGGTGCTGCGTCCTCAAGCTTGACAGCCATGTCCCTTGCATTGCCTGGCTCAGGCGGATGAGTCGGAGACCCAATGCTGAGCTCCTCCTCTTCCATTTCGACCTTCATGGATCTTTGATGGACGTTGTCAAGGTGGTGAGCAAACAGACAAAAGGTCGAAATGTGTCGGAGTGTGGGTAGGAAGGCTGGTGGAGTGACGGTGGGCGAGATTTTATACCTGAGGATTGGCATGCACGACTTTGAAATGAAGCATCTGACGTAAATGGCAATTACCACATGTCACAAGCGTGCAGGACCCTTAACTAGTCCATATACTGTAAACGGAAGCCACCAAGGGTCCAAGAGCTCAACGATTAAAGCTTATGGCCTCACATTGCAACTCCTCTTCATCTATCTTCACCCTCCTTTTTCCTTCCCCTTCCTCCACTTTTCTTTTCTCGTCACACACTTAATTGTACAGTTCCTCCATTTGCTCTTCCCTGGAGACCTTCAATTACTCACTTCTCAAGACCTCGCTGCACTTGCGCCTCACCTCTACGCCCTTGTCTATCGTAGCTCCCGCGTTGTCCTCGCCGCAACACGAATGGACCAGCCTCAGTATTAACACCTCAAAATTCACGCTCCCTTCAGAGCGAAGCGAAGAAAATGCCTGCAACGATAAAACCAGCGGCGAGGCATAGGAGTATTGCGTGCTTGTTGCAGGGATCGCAGCGAGAAAAGGAGGTCCAGCCAGGTTACATCTCCATTGTCGCAATACAATTATTTCTCTCATGTGCTACCTATCACCATGCCTATAAGTCTCCTGTTGTCTCTTTCGTATCACATCTATCGACTTACCTATCACCTCTTGCCATATCTCCCCCGGCTGGAACCAATATTATCACTGTCCCTCTTCCCCTTAGGTTGAGACAGAACCGCGTTCGCTTAATATAATCCATGATTTTATCACTAGTGTATTCTTCTACAAGCTACCTACCCAGTAGATAGCAAAAGCCAACGCGTGGTGGTAGACTCGCTCAACAGACAGTGAAATTATGCACACGATACATCCACTTAGAAGATGATGGATCTCGACATATACCAGAAAACAAATCATTCGCGTGATTAGTAAAAGAGTAAATGTACGTCCTTAGTAGATACGAAAATTTCTTAGTGGACAGCTTCAGAGCTAATCTTGTAGAAGAGGTTCGAGAGTCGTGTGGTGGGTGAGCAGGGGGGCGAGCAGGGGGGCGAGCAGATTAGCGTTCAGAAGCTATTCCGAGGCAGACTCGCGACTCCAGCTGCTAGTTTCCCAACAATGGTTGTTTTGTATCTCATTCTTAAGTACCGGCGAAGTTTTAATTGCAGGCGGGTTAGAAACGAAGCAGCGACTTCTCTATATGGAAAAAAGCTACCCACACATCGTATAAACCATCGCGCCGAGTAACCCAAACACAAGTGCATCATCCCCAGTCAACATTCAGATAGCGATGCACTACATAATAGCGAACCTCTACTAGACTACCTTCTCCAATACACATGCGTCTCCAAGAGCGGTCCACTCATACCTGGTGGCACTTCTAAGTACACCTGTAGAATTCCAGACCTTCATCTGTGTTCGAAGATTGACTTCAATCACCAATGCAAACACAGAGCACTGTCTCCCGCCGAGCACACATGGAGAAGTATTATGATTCGTAGCACCCTAGGCTAGGGGTAGGCGTGCTGATCTGGGTGGGAATCAGGGGATTGAAGCGAGGTTTTGCGCAACTGAAGGCTACTAAAGGATAGTTCGAGCGTCTGTGTTCGACTTTACGGATCATGCTTTGTGTTCAAGGCGGAAATGTTATAACGAACCACTACAGTACATTCAGAGTGAGCACGGTAGGACACTTGGCTTTCAGATGAGTCGTAGCACCATAAGCGCTTTGTGTATGTCACTGTCAACACAGCTCCATGAACAGGAACAACAAGGCATTGCTCACCATCCTACACCTCTTCTACAACGGTCTCTAGAGCACATACGTTTGGATGGCATCCCACATGTTTCCACCGAGCTCAAGTCTGGATCCGATGAGGTGTGTAGGATGCCTTACCACCGCTTCTCCTGAGTATCACACCACTGACAGGGAACGTCCTAGATGTCTCAGGGGAGAGGTCGACGTACCGTGCGCGTTCGAGCAAGTTGGAAGCAGTAAAGAAACCGTAAGCGCCGACGAGGTGAATGGAAGGCCACCAGAATCTCGACAAGTCCAAACAATGGTGCTGATGCTGATCTTTCTTAGGGAAACCCTCACGGTGCGTGCGTACTTTCAATGCCAGCAGTTCAGCGCAAGGCCTTAGTGGTCTCGACGAAGAGACGCACGGGTGATTATGCATAAACCGTAACAGTTAAGCTAGAGCCAGCCCGACAAGAGTTTCCTCTATAGAAGGCAAAGTATTGCCAAGCTCTCCTACCTGCGTAGATCAAACAGTGCTACATTCCATGAGGATACCCTTGCCGAAACGCGGCCAGCGGCTGATCGAGTGTCACGATTGATCCACGAGCGGGCTGGGAATTTCCGCCAGTCAATGTCAACACCGGCGGACAGTGCATAGCTGAAACGCGGACTTGGGGAATCGGAGCTCGGAGGGAAGCTGGACTCGGAGGCCAGGCAGGGCGGAGATCACACAAACGCCGAGGTCAGCCATTTGTGGCCTATAGACGCCACGAGCATCCGTGCGCGGGCGGCTCCTTTTTGCGTTTACGCACTTGCTATCTCCTTCCTTCTTGAACGGCCGATCTTACGTGGACATGCGACGCGTGCTGGGTACGTAAGCTGGCGAACTCCGTACCCGCTCCATACCCACAGAGGAGTCGCAGGATTGTCCTCGCTTGCAGCACAGTGCTCTCGGCACTTTCTGACTCGTTTGAGGTCAGCCTTGTCGGCAGTTGTGTGCGGAGGGTATGCGGAGGGACGCTGGGTGAGTTCAGAGTGTGGATGTTACTTGGCTGAAGAAATCCACGGCAGGTTTTCTGGTTTTCGGGGACGGAATTGACGCGGCCGAGATCCGCCTTTCCATCCAACCAGCGACGGGAAGGAATTCCCGATAACCAGAAACCAGCATCCGCAGCTATGTGGTTCCATAGATTCTGGAGAACACTATCGCTACTTTCTACTTCCCCTATATCCAAAAGTAGCGGCTCACTCGACAGCTGTTCGACCATATACTCATCAGGACGGACATACCGCGGCAATCTCGCCACCCCCGGCCAATCACAGCGGCCAGATCTCCGCTGCCGTAATCGCCGCCGTTCCCCGCAACCTCGGCTCATCTCACTCCACCCCAGATACGCGCGAGTTTAGAGGGTGGGCAGGTCTGGCGATTATAGCGCGAGGGCGAAAGCCAAGCTGCCGAGCGAACCACCTTTAACTCGACGACCGACGAAGAAGCCCTCACCGCTTCCCCTTCTTCCTCTGACGTGAACCCTTACCTATCGCCTTTCCCTCCCCCCAACGCACGCCATCGCGAACCATCCTCACAGTCCACTGCGCGCGCACGCAACGACAATCGGATCCCCCCCCTATTACCGCACCACCCACCACCCACCCACGGACTCCCGACGTGGTACAAAACAATACGAAGCTCAGCTATCCACACTCCGTCCCCTCGACCTACCTCTCTCTATACATATCCCTCCCTATCTCGGCCGAAGACCACCAACCACCAACAAAAATGTCAGAGACGTTCAGCACCAAGGACGTGGCCTCGCACAACACGGTCGAGAACGGGCTGTACATCATCATCGACGGGTCCGTGTACAGCCTGGCGTCGTTCGTCGACGAGCACCCGGGCGGCGCCAAGATCCTCAAGCGCGTCGGCGGCAAGGATGCCAGCAAGCAGTTCTGGAAGGTATGTGCGGTTGCCTGCGTCCTCTGTTTCCCTTTTCCAGCCAGTCTTACATACATCGTACATCTTCCTTTTTTTCCACTGCCCTTACTGCCCCACTGCCCGCTCTTCCCGCATGCTGCAAGCTGCAGCAGCCCGCCCGCGCGCGCGCTTTCCCTGCCCTTTCGGCCCTGAGTGCATGTCCGTGCCGTGCGGTCGGGTGAGATAAGAGAGAGCAAAAAAAGGGTCGGCCGAGAAAGGGAAGAGTGCGCGCGGGCTGGCTGGCTGCATGCGGGTACCTCTTTGCAATACGAGCCAGCACGGCGCGCCAGATTTTATTTTTGGGACCGCGCGCCAGGCCTTGCCGCTGTTGCTCCGGAGAATTAAAGTAGGGGCGGGCGGGCGGCGGGGGCGGGAAACCAAAGAATGCCCTAACCCACTGTTTTACTCTTATCCCCCCAAAAAAAGAAAGGGACCGATCTTTTTGCTGACTCGAAAATCTTTTTTCTTATTTTCGTGTGACAGTACCACAATGAGGGCGTCCTGAAGAAGTATGCGCCTAAGCTCAAGGTTGGCGAAGTCAAGGAGGAGGCTAAGCTATGATTGGGGGCTTCGACGAGACAAGAGAATCTTGCGCCCAGGGCCCGGGCGGGCGGCCTCCCTGGCACGTTTTTATCTTTTTTACCAACGAAATGTCTTTTTTGCCTTATTTTAGTTTCCCTTTTTCCTTTCTAGAGGATGATGAGGCGACGAGGGGGCGGTGGTGGTGTGTCCGGACACGTATGTATGTACATGTACATTCGCCCGTATGACTGGGGGGGAGCATCGCGCATGAAGACCGAGTAGAGACAAAGACAGAGAGAGAGAGAAAGATCTTTTCCAATCCACCCTGAAAGATCTGCCTGCCGGCCTTGCCCCCGCCGTACGAATTAAGGCAGCCCGTGAACTCTTGTCATTATTCATCCATCCAACATATAGTGTGCAGATCTTATCGACCCTGTCCTTCCTTTGCTCCGCATAAAGCATGTTCATGCGCATGCTGATTATCCCACACATGCCTTTTTTTAGCCGCCGCCCGCCGCCACCCCCGACAAACCTTCTTCGCAATAAGAATTGCGGGAATATACGTCATGGGCCCGCTTCGACCTGCGTCGGCGAGCCCGGATTACCCCGGACCCCTCCCCCTTGGGGGCAGCGTGGGAATCCGAGCCGTGAGCCGTGTGAACTGACTCAGAACTAACGCTGCCTAAATCGAAGGCAACTCTTTTGCGCAACCCCAAGATGATGCTTACTTGGTCGTACCTACGTACGTGGTGGGACATGAACCAACAGGCAACAGCAATTGTCCGATCTCTTGTTTTACTACCTGCTCGAAAACGCAATTGTAGTCACCAAGCCAAGGCACACAGTCTGAATTTTTATTTCTTTTTTGTTTTCATTTGGCCGTCTGTGTTACGCTGTACGTTCCAGTATGTCCTCTATGAACAGAGAGGATGGACGGCCTTATTTCTGACCATAGGGTGTACCTAGTAAAGGTGAAGGGGAAGCCCCTCCGGACAAACGCTCCGCTGTGCAGACCAAAAGACAAGAAATATAGGAGCGCAAAGACATCAATGTGCCACCCAGTCTTGTGCAGACAAAGGAAAAACAGTCAAATCCCATGTTGCAACCCATACCACGCCGTTTCCGTGCAGGAAAAAAAAACAATTGGAAAACGGGGGTTGTCCCAGAACGCCGTACCGAATGCAACCGTTGTCCCCGAGACATGCAAATAGCGAAAGTGAACAAGGAAAACAGGAAAAAGGAAAGGCATGAAAAACTCAAACGAAACAACGCCGTGCCGATTTCGATTACGCTTGCTGACGCCAGAAACCCCGACATTTGCAAAGAAAAATTTTTTGCCCTGGAGAGTGAATGAGAAGATCCACAATCGACCGAACAGGGATGTGTGAAGAACCGACTTCTGACCCTAAGGGTGCAACATCGTGAAACGCAACGGAGACGCCATACTCTTCAGCCTTCATCTGACCATGAAAGCCTTGTCAAGACTCCTTAGGGCTTTCGAGTCCTCGCCGTACCCGGAATTCCGATCCTTGACGTGCTGCAGTGCGCTGTTAGGGCTGCGACTTCCGTGACGGCTGGTTGCACTTGCGTCACTCTTGTTCTCCGGCGCATCAGCCGTGCCATTGACAAGCGCGTGAATGCTTGGGAATGTCTTGGCTGGGGCCGGTGCACTGCCATTCGTCTCAGGAGCAGCTGACTGCGGCTGCGCCTCGGTCGAAGTGGGTCGCGGAGGATCGGCTTGGCCGTTGGTCGTCGGCTGTTGCGGGGTAGCCGTGACGCCATTCGTTGCCGGAGCAGCCGAGTTGTTGACAGGCGGGAGTTCGGGACCAGAAGTCGTGGGAGCGGGAAGAGATGGCCGGTGCTGCGGGGGCTCGACGTGCGCATACGGGTGAGGGGGGAGTCCAGGAGCTGCCGAAGGAGGCCCAACGTGGGCTGCTTGCTGCACGCGCGGAGAGACATTGGGAGGGTGGTGAGCCGCCGGAGCGAGCTGGTGGTGCGCGTAGGGGTGGCCGTTTGCGATCGGAGGTGGCGGAGGAAGGCCGGGAGGGGGCCTGTCAAAGACAGTGCCGGCGGGATAACCTGGGTGCGCCGGGTAGTGGTGGTAGCCGTGGGGTGAGTGCGCAATGTAGCCAGCTGGCGCGCCGTAAGCGTAGGGAGAGTAAGGCGGAGTTCCTTGGGGAGTGGGCGGCCAGGTGCCGGGGGGCAGTTGAATGGCGTAGGGAGGAAGAGGCGCGCCCGCTCTTGTGTACGGAGAGCCGACATGCGGTGCGGTGGTGTATGGCGAGCCAGGCATGGGTCCTCGTGTCACGGCGGGGACATTGGATTGCTCGTTGACAGATGATTCGGGGTACATGCCCTTCTGGGGGCGGATGTGACGAAGCGCTAGGTCTCGTTAGGCCCACAGCGATGCGGTTCGCAGGCTGATTGACTTACTTGGATCTTGCGAAGGCTGCATGAGCACGTTGGCGGTAGGACTCGAGCGCGCATAGTAGCTGATCAGGTGCAGGTGCTGGCCTTGGGAGGTGGTGATGCTGAACGACTGCTTCATCAGACCGTCGGGCTTGTAGCGGTATCCGTCGGGCCCGTCCTCGTCGGAGCCGTCCTTGGAGCCGTTGTCGGACTTGCTGCTGGACTTCTTTGCGGGAAAGCCGTTGCCCCCGCGCTTGCCCTCCATCTCGCGATATGTTAAAAAGCTCCCCGACACCCTCGACGCGCTCCACGACTTTCCGTCTGTCCAGCGTCGCATTCCGGCTTCTCTCTCATCCCAAACGAAGACCGAGCCCGACTTGATCTGCTGACGTTCCTTTTCACTCAGGCGGCGCTGCACGCGCGGCAGCAGGCCGGTGCGACAGGCCTCGAAGAGGATGATGGCATCGTTGGGGGTGCGCACGTGGCCGTGGTACGTCTCCATGGCGGACATAGGTCGCTGGGGGGTGGCTCGAAGACGACCAGAAGAGATAAAAGAGGAAGAGGAAGAGCTTGGGCGGGCCGGGATACAAAGGATATAAAGTTTCGGTTACGGCAGCTGCAGAAACACCGAGCGTTAGCCAAGGCGCAGCTAGAATGGATTTAAGTTGGGTTCGGAAGAACCATAATTAGGGCCAACAATAAGCGCAGGCGGCCGTGCGGATACGGTGGCCAAGCGATATGGGGCGAAACAAGAAGTGACTTACGGGCGCGTCAGGCGTGGGAAGATAAGGGCGGGGGAGAGGGAGAGCGGGTTTTGTTAAGCCGGCGGGTCGGGCTGGCACATGGGCGCGGGAAGTCTTGTGTCGGGAGCCAAGGGTTGGCCAAGCAGCGATGCGAAGGCGGTGTTGGGGAGGGCGGGCGCGGCGCGGATAAAAAAGCTGATTGACGGAAGGCACGGTAGTGGAGGAATGTGTCTGTTCTTAGTGGGATGGAACGGATCGGCCGTCTTGGCCTTTGCTGTGGCTTGCCCGATGATAGCGAGGGCGCTGGCGCGTGTGGATCTACCAAGTCGGCGTTTTCCCTCGCGTCCTGCGTGCGGCTTGCGTCGTGGGCTGCGAGTACAGGAAGGAGGGCACCCGAGGCTGACGGTGCGCGCGTCGCAGCAGTCGCACGGGCGCCGCGCACTGATGATCGGACGTGCGTCCTCAGATTACGGTTATAACTTTATTTGCAGTTGGACCGCAACCAGCGGGGCTGAAAAAGACTGACCCGTATCGAAGCATCCCCAAGCCCGCTGGTGCGTGTGCCAAGCGACGCCAAAATCTGCGCGTCTGTCTCCAGCAGCGCGCAGCCGTCGCAGCTGCGCAGTCAGCGCTGGGCTGCTGGCGGCTAGTCTCCCGCTCGGCTCCACACGAAACGTCAGCATATCTTTAAGCTTAGTAGAGCAGCTTTTCCCCGAAGGACTAAGCGGCCAGGGTGCGCGCGGGCATCGCCAGGATCGTCGAGATCCGCCAATCTTGGCTTCGCACCGCGTCGCAGCCGCCCGCCCTTGGGGCCGGCGGGCAGGCGCTTTGCGCGCGGTCGCACGGCGCCGGTAGAGGCAAGGAGCGCGTCTCCAGCGACACGAGCTTGCGCGCGGCTCCTGAGTCGCAGTGCGAGCGGGTCCGCCGGCCAGGAGGGCAAAGGGCCACGTAAGCGCAACGGAGAGAGCCAGCATCTGGAGTGCCGGTCCCCACATCGAGTGGGCTCGGCAAAGCCATCGCTCGCCTCCAGCCCCAAGCAAGGGGGGCCCCCGCCAGCCTCGGGCCCAGTTGACCAAAAGGGGCACTGGCGACGTTGTGCGAGCGTGTCATTCGAGCCCTCGTCAGCCGGTGGCGTAAGATAACCTCTGCTGGGACGGTTTATGCTTAATGGCGAAGTCTAATGAGAGGCACTGCAGCTCCCGCCCAGAACCGCCGCCCAGACTCGCCGCCCAGCGCCCGCCGCCCGGCACCGTCGCTTCCGACTGCCCAGCCGGCCTCCCGCTCCCGCCTTCAGCCCACGCTGCGCTGCTGACACCGGCAAGTTCCCGCCGGCTGCGCGCGCTGGCTTCGTTCTAGAGCGGCGCTGGCGTGGCGCCGAGCTGGTTGGCCGAGAAATAGAGTAGAGGCCAAGCAACTGGCCTGCCGCTTGGCAGTCGCGTGATTTTTCCCATGGCGCCGAGCCCCGAGCCAGTCGTATTGCTCTTATTGGGAGGATCTTCTGCCCTCTCGCCTCAGCTCGCCGCCATGGTGCCGGAGCTGTGCGCTGTTTGGGAGCAGGCCTCGCAAGCTCTTTCGCAACGCTTGTCTCAACCCCTACAAGCCTCTTGCCGAGCCTCCTGCCCATCCGCTTTCGCTCCCGCCCCCATTATCCGGCCTGCGCGGATGCCTGCACTTCCTGCCAAATCCGGCACCACCGGCAAATGACAGCCGCACATGGCTGGTTGGTGATCCCACCGATCCGGCATCCCTCCGCTGTGCGCCCTTCTGTGTTGCAATCGCAACACGATATGGCACTCGCCGCCCAGCTGACTAGTGCCGCATTCATATAACCATAAAAACTTGTTTGGGCCCTTCCGCGCCCGTCCGTCCCACAAGGCCGGCAGCAAACCTCTAGCGCATTACTCGCTATTGGCAATTGCCTTTGTGCCAAGCCGAGGCCGGCCAGAGATGAGTCGAACAAGTGTCCCCCGCATGGACTAGAAGGGACCCTAGGGCAGAACGTACGCAAGCACCACGTCTCGTAATCCTCATCAATTGCAGACGTCGCCCACATGCGCCATTGCTTGCCGGCTTGGCGCCCGGCGTCATTTTATGCTCCTCTTTGTCCCCCTCCAATAATCTTCGAAACGACGTGTTTCGTTCGATTCGGACCGCTCCTTCATTCGGATCTACATCCACGGGCTTGGGTACATGCCCTTTCCTTTCTAGAAGACCCTGGGCGACCGTGCTTTTGACGACGGGGCCCCGGACCCTTGGCCCACGCGTGAGCTCGAATTGTATCAGACTACCCTTATCCCTTTCTCCCTGGCTTTCACTACCCCAACATACCCACGATCCGCCATTCTGGCTTCACCCACGCAGCTTAAACAGATTCAGAGTACTGCTACCAGACCTCCAAACCCAAAGGAATAGTCGTTGCCCCTGGAGACCGACTCAGCTACCGCTAAATTTAGACGTCGTCAGATCGCGCCAGTGGCCTAAGGAGGTGGCAGCGCACGTACTGTGTAGAACCATCAATATTGCGAAATACTGGCCACACTATCGGTGTTTACCGCACCACGCGAAAAGAACCGGCCAGTTACGAATTTCCGAACCAAAAGGATTACAACCTCAGCCACGCCAGGAAATGAATGATCAAAAGTCGAGAAGAGAGACTGCACTGGAATTCTCATTGATTGATCGGCGAAGACGTTAGTGATGGGAAGTATCCAAAATAGCCCTACCATGACAAATTTAGCCCTTAGGAGCTGTTCATCTCCACATGAGGTAAATTGCGATCTATACCAGCTACATAAATGTCGACTATCAGCCCTGTCTTGTTCCGGTCCTCTTGTGATCATTCACGGGTTTGAAAGCCCACACTGTGAATCTACGTAGACAAGATTCTGTTGCTGAACAAATTCGATATTCGAAAACCCGCCAGGAAGAATCATTTTGTATTGTACTGAAGCTGACATCACAACTCGGAGTCTCGGAGAGGCGGGGGCTACTTGACAGTATAGAATCCTACACTGGGGAATCGTTCTACATTCCCCTTCATAACACTTTCTCATGGTAGTCCCCTCCGTCTCTGTATGATAATGCACCCTTTCGAATCTGCCTCTATGGCTATCTGAGGGAAAAGCAGATGCCAGCTTCCATTGGTCAAATGACCATTTCGTGACGCTGAATTTGTTCGGCAGTCAATATCCAGTCGATTAAAAAAACGACCACATATTGAAGGCTTTAAAGAGCGTGCATGAAGAATCAGCGGCTAACTGAAACCGGGTCCCATGCTCCACGTGTATCGTGCATCCGCTGCATGTATCCGCTGGAAAGGTGACGGATCGCATTTGGTTCGAGTGTCAACATGAGGCATCCAGGGCGGTGGGTTTGTGGTAGAAATGCACCTCCTGAAATTTTGACTGTTGCACGAAAGAGTGCAGAGCCGTTTGTAGGCATGTAGTGTGATTGAACACTCGGGTTGGTACGGAAGGACGTTATCCCCGGGCATCACTAACCTCCACGAGTGAGCTATATCAGCCCTTGGACGTTATACAATTCCAGGATGTGACGTCAGAGACTGGATTGCGGATATGCGCAGCATGCTCAGCCAAGAATCAGGACACCGCATGAGGCCAGCCAATATCCCAATTATTTCCGTCGGCGGGCTCTGCGGGCTTGAAGGAACAGCATTTTGCTTCGGTTCGACCCTAGAGACAGCAAGCGATGCGTCGAGCCACGGGACGTTGTGAGGCTGATGTGGGGATAAGGCGGCTGGGTGGTGCCCGCGCGGGACGGACCAAGACCAACAGGGATCGATCCTCCGCAGAAGCTCGAAAGTTTCATTCAACATCCAGCCTTCCATTATAACTGCGACCACCTCTCCATCGCGCCCAACCCCCATCCGCAGCACCACCGTCCTTCGCGAGTCGCCGCGCCGGAGCGACCGCGCCCGCGCATTGTTTGTCGCCCACAGATCCGCTAGCAAGCACCCACGCCGCCCAACGCCGACGCGCGAACGCGTACCTATCGCACTACTCGGCATATGCCCAGCACCGCGACCCAACGCCTACCTATCGCAAGAGCTTCGACACACCGCCCGGCAGCTGCCCAGCGCTGTCACCCAACCTCACCATGAGTCAACAGCAAGCCCGTCCTCTTCCGCCTGGCATCCGTGTCAACCAGATCCAAACCCTTCCGCATTTGACCGACCAACAAAAGGCTACATACACCCGCGGAGTCGCAAGTCTTTACGAGGCTTTCCAGAAACATGACAAGGAGAGCCCGGAGTATAAGACGGCGGCTGCTAAGCTGCTGGAGTTTACGAAGAAAATGGGCAAGGAGATGAATGAGTGGAAGGCAGCCCAGGCGGCAGCCGCTGGCGGCGCAGGTGGCGGCGGACAACCGGCCCAGCAGGCGCAACAGCAGCAGGCTCAAGCCGACAGGCCCCAAAGTCAAGGTCAGCCTGCGCAGCAACCGCCTCAGCAGAACCAGGGTCAACCCGCGCATCCAGGCGGCGGGACTCAGCTCCCGGCCCAAATTGTACAGCACATCAATAGCTTTCCGTTCCAGCTGCCGCCTAACATCCCGACCGGAACGCCTGAGGCAGAGACCAAGTTGAGAGAGGTCAAAAATCATTACGCTTCGATGCTCCACAGGCAGGAGCAGCTCGCAAATAACCTAAAGAAGATGACGGCTATGATGCAGGAACGCCAGAGCAATGGGCAGGAGATCCCTCCGAACTGGCTCAGCCAGAAGCCACAAATGGAGGCGCAATACAACCAGGTCAAAAGATCGGTTGCCGAGTTTAGAAAGAATCAAGAGCAACTCAAGCAGAATGCAATGCAGAATCAACAGAGCCAACAGAGTCAGCCGCAACAGCAGCCGCAGCAGCAGCAGCACCCACAGCAGCCTCCCCAGCAACAACAAGCGAAGCCGCCGGTCCAGCAGCAGCAGCCGCAAGCTGCAGTTCAACAAACCCCGCAACAGCCGCAGCAAACCCCTCAACAGCCAAATGGACAACAGATCAAACCCGAAACTCCCGTGGCGCCCCCGACGCCCGCCCAATCGCAGCAGCCCATGCAAATGGGTGGCCAGCCCGGCCATCCGTCTCAGCAGCCGCAGCAGGGCGGACAGAACCAGCCCCTTGCTACCAATCCGGCAGTGCATGCGGCGCGTCAACAGCAACCACCGATGAGCCCAGCAAATGCCGGATCGCAGCCACCGGGTCAGCCTGCTTTCAGTGGACAGGTTACGCCGCAGGGCGGGCAGATGCAACAGCAGCAAAACATGAACCAGCAACGGCCCCCGCTTAACCCGCAGCAAGCATCTCAAATGAATCAGATGCAACACTCGCCGCACCCGCCGAGTGCAAACCCCAATGGTCCTATCCCATTGACGCACGGCCAGGCCATGGCAAACGCCGCCCGCACGTACTCGGACAGCCGCGGCACGCCGCAAATTCCAGCAGCACAGGGCTACCAGTCTATTGGGAATCGGACTGATCAGATGACAAACCCCAAGATGCCAATCCCAAAGACGCTCAATGCTCCACCGCCTCACCCCGTCACCATGGGGCCTGCCAGACCAACCCTCGGAGGACCCAGCAACGGCGCTCCTGGCATGATGGGACAGCCTGTCATTGCAGGACACCCGCAGTACCACCTGGAGGGCGATGAGAATAGAGTACTGAGCAAGAAGAAGCTTGACGAATTGGTGAGACAGGTGACTGGGTCGGGTGAGCCCACGGGTGAAGCGCTATCGCCCGAGGTCGAAGAGGTGAGTCGTTCTCGCTGAGCGGAGGGGACACAGGCTAACTCTGTTCACAGGCAATGCTCCAGCTGGCCGACGACTTTTTGGACAACGTCGTGTCGTCGGCGTGCAAGCTTGCTAAGCTTCGCGAGTCATCGCAACTCGAAATCCGCGACATCCAGAACATCTTGGAGCGCAACTACAACATCCGTATCCCGGGCTACGCATCGGACGAGATCCGCACGGTTCGCAAGTTCCAACCGGCGCCAGGCTGGACTCAAAAGATGAATGCCGTCCAAGCCGCGAAAGTCATGGGTGGGAAGACAGATTAAGCGAGCCGACAATGTCGGTGTGTGTTGGAAAAAGCTTCTTTTACAGCTCGGGAGGCACGCATCCCCGACTTCTTCTTCATGGATGTGTACGGTTTACGGTAGCATTCTTTGGCGCAACAGGAACCAACAGGTGGTAATGATGGAATTTTGGGAGGCAGAAGCTTACATGGCGAGACTGGAAGAACGGCGGGTTTTGGCCCCCGGAGGAAGACGTGGTGGTGTGCACAGGTGACTCGTGCATGGAAAATCGGCATCTCAGCCCCATAGGCGCAGCGAAAGGCGGAGCACACGCGCTTACAGATCGGCCGCTGGTGCCTTATTTTTCCATTCCTGCTTCTTTATTGGGATAATTTTGGGTCAGCAGGAGCGGGTCTCGCAACTCAGCCGCGCTCGGCGCCGTCACCTGCAGGACCACGGGGAATGCGTTCCCCAAGCTGCGGCTCTGACAGCCCTACAGCTAGCAATATATGCTTCATGATTCATACGCTCGCGGCGCTCTCCTTTTCCGCCGTTTTTTCTTCGTGCGACCTGCTGTGCATTTACACGCTCCCACGTTCTTTCTAGCTTCCAGACGATCGCGACTAAGCTATCCCGCATCATGGCGGCGCCACCACCGCTAGAACCTCGGCGGACCCTCTCCGCACCCTCCATCTCCGTCGAGGACACCAGCTACGAAGAGCCGTTAGAAGACATTCAGTCAGGTATGCTCCTGCAGGCGGAAGCAATTACTCGCCGGCTAGATGCTTAAATTCTGCAGACCCTCCGAGCCCCGAGCAGACGCTGCCAAAGCGCAGAACAGAACCCCCGCCGGAACAGCAGCGACGCCCTCATCGCAGACGCACCCCCGGGCCTGATTGGAACACACCATGGGACCCGGCCGACTGGAAGGATGGCAGAGTGCTGGTCATCGACTACCTAGGCCGAAGTGCGTCTCTCTCTCCCGATTCCCCCCGCTATCCAACACACTCAGCTTACACCCAAGATCGTGTGAACAGGCGATGAAGACGGCAAACGGCGCATCTCGGCGCAAGAGATCCGCAGCGTCAAGGGCCTGCGCACACTGCTGGAGAACCGTTCGCTGCGGGCGTCGTCGATCCTGCGGGTGATCCACGTGCAGAACGCGTCGTGGGCGAACAACTACCTGCTGCGCAAGTTCAACATGGAGCACGACGACGACATCGTGGGCACAGCCTTTGGGCGGTGGGCGCGCTTCGAGCGGCCGCAGCAGCGCGCGGGCAAGCCGGTGCTGAACGCGCGCACTTTTCGCCCGCAGCGCGACCCGTGGCGCGGCATCAGCCGCTGCGCCTTCGGCCTGGATTACTTGAAGCACTACGATGCGCGCAAGTACAACAAGGATGCGGACGACGAGAAGGTCAAGATGATGGAGCTGAACACGTACGACCCGTTCGAGACGCCCGTCTATGGCTACGATGTCTTCGTCCAGCGCGTCTCGGTCTACGTCCAGCACAGCGAGCCGCGCGAGGAGCAACCTGACGTTCACGGGGGCGATTTCGAGATGCCGATGCGCAATCCCTACAACCAGGAGGAGTACAGCGAGTACAAGCGCTTGAAGAAGCAATATGAGCACCGCAACCACCACTACAAGGAGGCTAACGGCAACAACGGCCACGGCTACTTCCCGCACCTGGAAGAGCTGGATAACGGAAGCACCGTCATTTTGTTTGAGAACTCGCAGTCGAACAGCCCCGAGGACACGCTGATCCAGGCGAGGAACGAGATTGAGGCGAGGTGGCGCCGGCTGCCCTTCTATCTCAAGAAGGAGCAGAAAGTAACGGATGACCAATTGGCCGTGGAGTGCATGGACCTGGTGCTGAAGGACATCTTCAAGGCCATCACGGTGGGTTGGGAGAGGTTCATGCACGCTTGCGAGACTCACGTCAGCATTTTGGAAGACAAAATCTACGAGAACCCGGCTGATGAGTCTCGTGCTCCCGAGCTGTGGATCAATTCGTCTTTGTGGCTCAAGGTCGAAAAGCTGATCTACCTGCACATCGACCTCGCCAAGGACGTCCGCAACATGATGAAAGACGTCACCGGAGACGAAGGCCCCGAGGAATGGATCTCGCAGAGCGCTGAGGAGTTTGATAAGATTGCCAATTCCGTCAGTGAGGATCTTATCAAGCCGACCCAAAATTTGAGCGATATGATGTATAAGAGCGTAGAAATCAGAGATTCGCGCCTCGGCCTGCAGCTCGACACCAGCATGTGGCGCCTCTCCTGGATTACCTTCATCTTCTTGCCGTTGACCTTCATCAGCGGTTTCTTCGGAATGAACGTCGACATCTTTTCAAAAGACGAGAACAACCCAGAACTCAAGTGGTACTTCATCGTCACGGTCCCGCTCATGGTGCTCGTCGTGCTCTTCTGGCTCTTCTTCAAGCGCGCCGGGCCGGGCCTGGACAACGACCCGACCGACTCGCAGCGCGGCGTGTACGAGCACCTCTTCCACGAGTTCAGCGACAACTACCCGCGCGTGTGGGCGCGCGAGGGCCCCCGCCAACACGTCGCCGCCGTCGAGCGCGACCAGGGCGGCAGCGCCTTCAATCGGCTCAAGTGGCGCCTGGTGCGGCACTGGTTCAACCCGGACCGCACCATCCGCGCAAAAGGGTATAACCCGGCCGACGACCTCAGCCTGTACGCCCGCTTCAAGCGGCAGATGGCGCGCCGCTGGCTGCGCGAGCTCGAAAACGACGAGCGCGAGCGCGCCGTCCAGCTGCAGGACGCCCAGGCCGAGCGCCAGCTCGACGACCTCAGCCCCAGCCCGCGCTACGACCGCGGCGGTAACGGCAACTCGACCAACAACTCCAGCGCCTACGACCTCGGCCCTGCGTTGGAGGCCGGCACCATCAACCCCCCTGAATCGGAGGGGCCCCTCGTCGATACGCGTAGCAGTCGCGCTAGCAGCAACTCACCAAAGCTGCGTCCCACGCAGGAGCTGGCCTACCTCGCCACGCAGGCTGCGGCCGAGGCTGAGCCCGTGGCTGTGCCGGCGATGCGGCGCATGCGGTCGAGTTCGAGCGGTGGTGGGCACGGGCGGAGCGGTAGCGACGGTAGGCCGGGTAGTTCGGGGTTGGATGCGGCCATGGTGGAGGTGGAGATGAGCGATGTGGGTGGGAATAGTGGGGATGAGGGACAGGGACAGGGGCAGCAGCAGCAGCGAGAGGTGGTGGGTAGGGGTAGGGGTGGTGCCGGCGTCGTGGCGGATAGGTTGCATGTTGGGTTTAGGCCCAGTGGTGGTGGTGGTGCAGGAGGAGGAGGGTTTTGAGATGGTTGATTGGGGGGGAGGGGGGTTTTGGGGAAAGTGTGAAGAGGTGGGTTATGCGTGGATGTATGGATATGCTTATGAGTGGACGAGTGGACGACGGGAAAAATTGTCCTTTTAGTTGTATATATGTAGGTAATGCGGGCTTCAAAAGGGAAGTTATGGAGGTTATGGATCTCTCTCCTAATGGAGGAGGTAGTCTTGCATTTAAAAAGGTCGTACTGGTGCATACAATGCAAAGCAAACATTAGTGATTTAAAGGCCAATGGCAAGGCTATGTTGTGTGAAAAATAAGAAGGGAAAAGAAGTTACATTGAAAGGCTAGTAGGCATCTATCACAGCCGAAGGCTGCCATGAATTTGCTTTTCGCCCGTGTGATGAGCAGTTGAAGCTATCATTCGGGCATATTTGTGAGACTAACAGTTATACATTCTCGTCCGGACGGTAGCTTCCGCTGCCTGTATGTGTTGGTTCTCGCAAAGAGAATTGCTAAGGCAGAGTCCTGCTATATCTGTAAGTTGGTCACATCAAAGAATGCTACGCATATACACTTTATTTTATCTACAGCCTCAGTGGCGAAGTAATGTGGCTTTGCGAGCTAGGTAGGCAATTTTGAACAAATAAGTGCGCCAAATGGTTTTTTGTTCCTCGGCTCTTCCGATGTAATCATCCAGAGTGGACGTTGCTGAGGATAGCTTCAGATCTCTCTCTCTCTGCGAAGCCGTACACGTATTCCGTTGTTATGCCCACAGAATTTAACCTTTCACAGTGACAGTGTCGGCATCCCTGATGGTCGGTCGAAGATATCCCGTGATGAGCTTATAGCCGATTGGCCTGCCTTTACGGACCTGGTGGAGACCGTGTGTGTGCTTCACCGAAGTTGACGGGACCAGCGGACGGTTGACGTGCTGATAAAGCCTCGGGGCGAGGCGAAAGGGGAGGGGAGGCGGAGGCCTCTGTTCGTCATTAACCGTTGTCGTCTATGTATCAAAGAGCCCACCGGCTCAGGGAGCAGAAGAAGAAGAAAAAAGAGCCATTGATCATACAGATGCTCAAGGATGCCGCTCCCACTTGACGGCGTCCTCGCCCCTCAACGCCGCCTCACTCGCATCCATCTCATACACCCGCCGTTGCTGCTCCTCGCCGCCAGCCATCTCATGTATCTGCGCGCCCTGCACCTCGTGCGCCCCCGCCCCGCCGCCATCCATCTCATGCATCTGCTTCCCCTCCGCCTCGTGCCTGCCATCGCTCCCCGCCAGCTCGACCCGCCGCCCCTCCCCCATCTCCACCACCTCCCTTCCCTCCACCTCCTCGCCCGCCTTGAACCCCCCAGCCCCTCCTTCACCCTCACCCTCACCCCCACCCACCGACCCCACCCTTTCCCTCCCCACCACCATCCTCTCCTTCCGCCACACCACCAGCACAGCCAACAACCCCACTCCGGCCAGCGCCGTCAGCGCCGCACAGCAGCCGCGCGCCGCCGCAGCGCGGTTGGCGACTTGCGGGCTCGTGCCGTCGCCCCAGCCCTGGTTGGCGGCGTACGTCTCGGGCGTGAAAAACGAAGGCCGCGTGTCGAACTCGCCGTCCCAGGCGAGGGCGAGGGCGTCGGCGGCGTCGAAGTCGGTGAAGGCGTAGCAGGTGGCGACGAGAGAGCGCATGAAGGCGAAGGCGAGGAGGAAGGTTAGTGTGGGAAGGGGGCGGAGGGGGAAGTTCTGGAAGTGAGGTGTTAGATTTTTTTGGTTATGAGGGGGAGATTTGGAGTTGAAAAGAAAAGATATTGAAAATGAGGATGAGGGGAATTGTTGGGTAAGTCAGATTTTGATGGAGGTACGTAGATGGAAAGTGGCAGAGGGGGTTGAAGACTCTGGTTGTGTAGATATCTTCTCTTCTTTCCGTCTTCTCCTATCAATTTCACGTACCTGTCTTCCGGTGATGTTCAAGCCAAAGATTTTACCGGGCCGTGTTGCAGCAGAATAGACCAGATAGCTCACAATAGCGGCGTTGACAATGCCGCCTGCGCCAGCCCACACGACCAGCGCAGAGCTGGCGCGATGTATGACAAAACCGGGGTCCTCGATTTCGATATTTCGTGCAATGTACAGCACGTTGGCCATCAACGCCATGGTGAGAACGCTCAGTATGAGACAGCATGCTTGCAGCGAAAGCAGAGCTATGCGCGTGCGGCGGCTGCGGTGCAGGACCGTCGTAGAGCCGCCGCTTGTTGGCGCCGGAACGGCGTCGAGGATGGCGGGCATCTACTGCAACAAAACAGGACGACAACGACGATGTGGGGAGACCAAACTGAATAGCAACTCGGCGCGGGATAGAAAGAAAAGCGAACGAAGTCGGACCAGTTCCGGTGGTGGCGGATCTTGAGAAAGGTCCCAACTCCCCGCAAAAAAACGAGATAAGGCCGCAGACGGTTGCTTCAGCTAAAATGGTCTCCGAACGGAGCGTCCCGTGGGATTCTGTGAAGGAGGAGGCAGCCAAGGGCGCTTTAAGAAAAACTCTCGGCGGCGACGAATGGACACGGCTCGCTGCGAAGATCCACCCCGGGGTCGGCAATTAAGCACCCAACAACACGAGTCCAGATCGGTGGGGGCGGAAAGTTGGCGGTTTGGCGGTTTGGCGAGACCCCTATAAGCATGCAGGGTGAAGGACGGGACAGCTCGCATAGTTTTGTATCGAAGTCAAGACCCCTGTCGAGGCTGGAGAAACTTGCCATTGGCTGACGTCTCCATGGCGGGACGAGGCGAGCTGGGCAGAGGAAAGAGTGACAGGATGATGCATGGGCAAACGTGGCTGAGGCGCCGGCACTAATCGCACGCGAGGATGCTTGGCTCTCTGTTTCCTGCTCTTTCCTCCGTTGCGACAAGGGTCCGGGCGCCGCGAGGAAAAAGAATCAAGGTCGAAGCACGCCGGAGAGCGGTCCGGACTTCGATTTTGAGCACTGTTCTCACCGTAGCCAAAAAGAACCTCTTCTTTTCCCCGTGTCAAATTCACCAATCATACCACTGGCATGTGCCGGAAATCCCCGTCATGGTAATGCATCAAGAAGACATGGGTATATGAGAGACGACCAGTGGATGACTGTATCGAGTCGTCAAAGAAGGTGATGTCTTTGGCAGATCGCCTCGGCACGTCATGGATGACTGTTGGGGGCTTGTCTTGGCAGGACCCGTCCCCGGAGATATAATGCATACCTCCGCAGTACAAGAATAGACTTTGACCATGGAAACTCGCGCCTTTGCAAGTGCTTACACTCAGTGACGCACTATTGACAAGAACCATGCTCATTGAAGACAAGAAAGTAACAGTCGGGAGCAATTGTGTTGATTCTTTTGCCCGTTCTCCCATTCAAAGTAAGAGAAGGCTTCCTGCTATATTTTGTGGCGCACAATCAATGGATGTCCTAATTTCGATAGCCACGATTTCAGCATACTCACTACTGGTTCCGTAACATTCATAGGCAGCTGGATCTTTTCCTCTAAACTTCTTTAATGTTCTTTTGACCGCAATATTTCGCCGCTTCTATGGTATGCACTTCGACCACTTGCTTCAGATGTTGCACAGGACGATGTTACATATCAGCCAGATACTTCAACTTCAATTATTTGGGCGTTATCGCCTTTTCATTTGCAAACATCGCTCAGCTTGACGAAGAATTGCCTGCGTACTTTCGTAACATCGCTACCGTCACACTATGATACATAGATTACAAATTTTAAATCCCCACAGTCCCCTTCTCCAGCACTGTGCTCATGAATGTCATTTTTCCTTGCCCTCCTTTTTTTCCCTATCAACAACTTTTTTTTTTCACTCTCTCATCCACCAACTAATTCAACTTACGGCGTCAACCGACGATCGATATTGAACAACCTTGGCCCATCATCCATCTTCCTGGCACCCAACCTCTTCAGCTCCACCCACTGGGTTGGAAACTTGGCCTGGATCCAGCGCTCCAGGTCTCCCTGTCTCGAAACGCCGTACGCGGCATTGAACAGCGTTCCCAGTCTACAAAACAAAAAGCAAAACACGTCAGTCCAAACCGATTCCCGCTTCTAGAACTCAGGGAGGAAAGGGGGGAAAGGCAAAACTCACATAAACGTATCCGGCCTCAACCCAAAGTCCCTCTCGCACTTAAGCAGGACCTCCTTCGCAGCATCGGTATTCTGATTTCCCGCGAGCGCGCCGACGTAGGCAGCGAGGATAGGCTTCGTAATCTCGACATCAACCTTGCGGAGGCGAGCCCACAGCGCGCGGGCGTGGCGCTCGCCGTCGACGGGCATGCGCTCGCAAGCGCGGAAAGCGATCGGGATAGAGTTGAAGCTAGGCCCTTCGCGCGAGTTGACGATGTCCTCCCAGAAGCTCCAGGCGCGGGCGGGCTGGCCAGCGGCCGTGTAGGCGAGCATGAGGGCGTTGCGGAGGCGCGTGCTGGGCTCGAGGTCGAGGTCGAGCTTCATGGCGTTGTGGACCGCGTCCAGCAGCGAGCGGCACTCGTGGGCGCGCGACTCGTCGTCGTCGTACTCGGCCTCGGCGTCTGCTGCGTCGGCGTCGACGTCGATGTTGTCTGTGGCTGCGACGCGGGCCGCGGCGAACTCGGCGATGCCCGTCAGCGCGACGACGTACGTGTCGGCCGTGGCGCGCGTGTCCGGGTGGTCGAGCTCGCGCATGTGGGTGAAGACGTGGCAGGCCATGTCGGCGCGGCCGCGGTCGAAGAACTCGCGCATGATCTGGGTGCGCGCGGAGCGCGGCAGCTCGGCGAAGATGGATTGCGCGATGATGTACGTGTCCCAGGCGCGCGCGGTGGACGTGTGGGCGCGGTCCAAGACCATTGCCACGAGCGAGTCGGCGATCTTGCGGCGCTCGGCTTCCGAGAAGTGAAAGGCGTGAGTCTGGAGGAGGTCGATGACATCGTGGAGCTCGTTGCGGCGAAGGTGCAGCACGCTCAGCGCCGAGACGGTCTCGGGCTCGAAGCGTCCTTTGCGCTCGGTAAGATCGTCGGCCAAGGCCATGATGCTGGAGAAGGTGTATTTCTGCGATGCGCACATGGCCTGGATGAGCTCATTTGCTGCCCGGATATCTTCCTTCTCCTTGGAACATTCCACAGCTTGGAGCTGCCTATAAGCAGCGCGGGCGCCATCAATGTCGCCGCCAGAAAGCCGGTATTTCACCTGGAGGTAGTAAGTGAGGGCGTTCGGGTGGATCCCCCACTTGGCGCCGAGAGAGATGTATCTCTCCGCAAAATACAGCTGGTTCCGGGACATGCACCACGAGACCAGCTCATTGATGGTCTCGACGTCGGGCTGCGCCGACCTGCCGTCAGCAAAAGTCCTCCGAACCATGACGTTCATCATTCGATCCACTTCGTCGACCCCTTTGCCAGAAGCAGCAGCCCAAAAAAACAAGACGTCCCACAGCTTTTTCACCTCATCCAAGCGATCGTCGGCCGGTTCGAGGTAATACACCTCGAGGGTTTCGAGCATTGAACGCACGATCGACTGGGCCCACTTGCTGTCGCCGTGTTGAAGGCAGCACTGAAGCACGGCTTTGCAGGACCCAGAGTCTATTTCAACAGTTTGTGATGGGCCTTGTGACAAGTCATTATAAATCCTCTTCGTGTTCTCCAGGTCTCCAAGCGCGGCGTGAACCCCGAGCAATGTCTCCTTGACCTGCATCATGATGTTGGTAGGAATCTCGAGCTCCTGCATCATTTCGAGCGTTTTCTGTGCTTCAGCATGGTTCCCCTTCTGGTAAAGCCCCTGCAACACCGAGGCCCAGGGACGGGCAAGAAGCTTTTGGCTTTGGCTAGTCCAGCGATTTGTTTTGTACTTTTCCACCAACAAGTCGCGAGCTCGCACAGGCTCGTAATGCGACATGATCTCAAGTGTTTCTGCCAAAGACCTAATCATCTTTCCGTTGTAGCTGTCGGGTTCACAACCATCGGGCCTCATAGCATCCAGAAACTTGAATACCTCCTCTGTAAGAGCGAGATGAGCGTCGCTCCTAGGGGAATCTTTCCTGTTCAGGACCTCCAGAGCATTAAGAAAGCACCGCGTTGTTAGAAACGTCCGAGGCGCATCGCTCACATCCTCCTCCTTGGGGCGGTTTTCGTTTAAATAACGGAGAGTATTCAACGCATGTCCGGCTTCGACGTCTGACATGGTCTCCGAGGAAAAATATTTTTTCCTGAACAATTTGTCCAAGGCTTTGCAAAGCATTTCTAGATCTGGTGGACGTGACTGGCCAGTTTGAGCACGGTTGAGCTCGATCAGCGTGTCCAGTCCCGGGGCTAAATCGATGCCTTTGACTTTGCGCTCAGGCTCGCGCGCCATGCCGAAGAATGAGCGCGTCTGGGCGAAGCCATTGCGGCGTATCCTCTGGGCGCGTGGTTGCAGGCAGGCATTGGCGCGGCGGTAGAGGCAATCGCGGTAGACAATGGGTTCGTTGGATAGGATCCTGCGGATTACTAGTCTGGTGAGGTGGGCGGGCATGGCGGCGGGGAGCTCGGCGGCCGGTGGGGGGTACGGGTGGGCGAGCAAGAGGGCGAATTGTTCGTGGCGAAGCTCAATGGCACATGCCGGAACGCGATTCCCGGAGATGCGACGGCTGAGCTGGCAGGGCGATCGCGGTGGATAGATGGTTTGGCGGTGCGGGTGATGACGCGCGAGTAATCGAATCTCAAGTTCCGCAAAAACTCCAGCGCCAAGCATCCCAAGTCCGCGCGACTGCATCCCGACACCCTCAACTCCGCAACAGCTCCCAATGTCTTTACTACGACTGACCCCCCGCCGCCCGCTGGCCGCCCTCTGCGGCGCGCCCGTCCGTGCTCTTTCCACCACCCCCGTCAGGCACTCCAGCGGCTCCGGCGATGCAACAACAGGTACCGCGCCTCCTCTACGAACCACTGCGCCCCGACTAACCGGGCCATTCCAGCCCTCTTCAACACCGTAATGGCCGATGCGGGCATCGACCGCCAGAGCCCCCTCCGCCGCCGAGAGCCAGCCCGCCAACCGCAGCCGCAAGCCCGCGAGCCAGCCACTTCCACGCCCGAGCCGGCGCCGTCGAGGGCTTCATACGCACGAGACATCCTCAGAGAACACAGAAGCACCGCCGAACACGTCGACTCTCTCCGCCTCCGCGCCGATCTCGAGCTCCAGTCGACGCGTCGCTGGCAGGTTGGCGATGTCTACGCGCCGCACGACCTCACCGGCGTCGAGGCCAAGAAGTGGAAGCGGTCGAAGCGCACTCCCAACGTCGACGCCTTCGAGACGCTGGGACTGAACCCGCTGAAGGAGTACAAGGTATGGTTGCAATGTGTCCCCGTGTGTTGAAATGCATCGTGGGGCTGACGCGCGCTGGGTGCGCAACCAGAACTTCGCTATCATGTCCGAGTACATCACCGAGCTGGGCCGCATCAAGCACTCCAAGCACACCGGCCTCAAGCCGAGGAATCACCGCAAGATGGCTAAGGCGGTGCGGAGAGCAATTGGCATCGGCATCATGCCCAGCGTTCACATCCACCCGGAGTTGATCAAGCCCTCGCATGGCGCTACATACTAGAGCAGCGTCGACTACTCGGAATTGGGAGGTGTTGGTGGAGTGTGAATCCAAATGCCTGACATAGGGAAGTTTCTGGGAGCATGACTGGTCGTACTCAAGCTAGGCATTTCTGCATTTCGATACCACCTTTGCACCATGGGGTAAGAGAGCAAAGAGATATGTAAAAAACATGTAACGTTTCATTCATTCACAGACATGCCAAAATTACTCTTGAACCGCACTCATTGCTGTCTTTTCTCGGCCGGATTGCACATACTAAGCCGAAGGCGCTACCCGATCCGAAGAGGTTGCTAGCCTCCCGTTTAAACCTGCTGTGTTCACATCGCCTTCAGGCCTCCTTAAAGTATAGCAGTTTCTGCTTACGCCGCTGCACCCAAAGTGGCTGAAGCTTCCTCGATCCTCTGCAACGTCCGAGATACCTTCAACCGAGGCAGTTACCTCATCAAGCCGCACCTGATGGCAGACATGGGTTCGGTTCTTTGCAGATTTGGGGAGGTGAATTCTGAAGTCAGCAGCATGGTTGATAAGAGTAAAAACAAGAAGACGAAGTGACTGAGCCTGGCGGCACTGATGGTGTTCAAGAAGAACCAGGTGAAAGAGTTGGTGGCAAAACTCGAGAGCTTCAAGCTGTTCATGAACATCATCATGGATACTGTGATCTTGGCTGCTACGTTGGACACTTTGAGGCGAGAGGAAAAGAAAGAGCATGGACAAGAGGAGCACATGAGGGTCATCTGAACGATTGTTGCTTATCAATCTCGTGTTGGCTGTTCTCGACCCCGCTGTGGACAGAGGTCCGGGAAGGAGCAAATGACGCAAGCGAGAAACACTGATCGACAACTTCGAGACCAGAGTAACACAGCGTCATGGCCATATCAACTTGTCTTTTACCCTGAGAGTCGGAGAACTGCTTCCGGGGAGAACGCCAATGCCATTCCGGCGCCGGCGTCGGAACAAGACAGAGAACAGGATGATGGATCAAACACTCTCAGCATAATCTCAGCGAACAGGTCACGTAAAGAAGATGCGAACATGGTACTTACGAGCTAGAAGTTTATTGGGGCCCCTGAGAATCCCGAGATAGCTATAGTGGTGAACATCCCAAGCAAAAAACAATCTCAAGAGGGCTTGTCGCGAGCCGAAGGAGATCATTTTGTCTATGAAGGAGGTGGCCGAACATCTACTATACGTGTGGACTTATCTACGAGAGAGGCGGGAAAAAGCAAGTCATGAAAGGATCATCCATGCCTCTCCACAAGTACAGCAAGGTAAGGGTAAAGAACATCGCCAGCACCGTTTCAAGAGCCGCATACAATCTAGACACTCTCTTTCTGTCGCAACAGGTCCAGCTCGGCGGGACGACCGTTAGAAAATACACGTCGCCATTCATAATCTTCTCGCGGATCAGAATACAATCTCAACGACGAGTATTCAAGTACTGATGCTCACAATCACGTCGAGAGTCAGAAGCGCCATTCTCGATCCAGACACGCTCCCCCAGTCTCAATGAAGAGCTCGTCGGTGCCAATCGTCCAACCACACACTTCGAAGGAGAGTATCGAGTGTTGGGCTTATCAACTCTGTGGGCCCCGAGCACCATTCTTCGTCCGATGACGAAGAATACGTCGGTACCGGCATTTCTCTCAGAGACAGCGAGTGCCAGAAGATTCTGCAGGCGAAGATCTTTGGGATGCTGTTGACGATGATGGCATCGATGCTTCGAAACGTGCAAATTCCCCGAGTTCACGATATTTTACGTCTCAAGATAGCTCAAGCCACGCCATCCTGATATCGCCTTGATCAGTTTTTCAACCGGGGGCTCGATTGCTCAAATGTGCCATTTCCGTAATGGCGGAAATATGGACCTAGGTTCAACGATGAAGAAATGCTACTGTACATCATCCCGGGATTTCATGTATCTTACTTTTATCCCTCTTCTTCGACACCGACCTGAACCCTTCCCTAAATCCCACAAAAGATGTTATACAAGTAAAAATCAACCAAACCCAACTCCCCCAACTCCGACCAGATATATGCTCCCATCCGCTCGCTCAAGGCCCCGTAGTAACCCCACCCGCACCGCCCTTCGCCCACCTGAACGGATGCGCCTCGGTGTTGAAAACCCACTCATCCAAACTCAACACGCCGGGCTCCTCAAACATCAAATAGAAATACTTCAGCGTCTCCGCCAACCAAAAGCTCTCCATGCGGTCACCCTGCCTCGTCCTCCCTTCAGACACGCAGTCATCCAAGCTCGCGTGGCCGTAGCGCGTCTTCGTATTCTTAATAATCTTCTCGAAGATGCGCCACGCGCGCTCAGGCAAGCGCTCGTCGCCAGTAATACGGTACGTGACGAAGGCGCTCTCGATAGCCTCAGGGCGGAGTATATACCTCGGATCAGCGACCTTCGCGACGCCCTTGCGCAGATGGAACCGCTGGATCAGATCCTCAGCGAACTGCGGCGCCTGGCCGGCTTGGCGGTTGACGTCGTTGTTGTGCGCCGCCTCGACGGCGTCGAACCACCAGTCCTCAGCCCACTCGCAGCCGTCGCCGGAAAAGGGCCCCGTCTGCGGACACGGCAGCGTGTACATGGTCTCGGGCATGATGCCGTGCGGCGCGCCCGCCTCGTACGCCCACAGGCACCCCTCGGTGAGGCGCTTCCCCGTCGCGACGTCGTCGCTCACGCCGAACGCGCGGCCGGCCAGCGCGAACATGCCGCCGGCGAAGCAGGATAGGTGCTGGTTCTTGGGCTCGAGCAGCAGGGATTTCGGCGCGAAGGCGGGGGGGTCGCCGCCCGAGACGTGGGCGTCGCCTGCGAGCAGGATGTCCTTGTTGCCCGGCGTGAGGGGGCGGTACAGCAGGTGGCCGCGGATGGGGCTCGACGCGCGCAGCCAGAGCTTGCGGTACTGCGTGCGCGACGCGCCGTGCAGCAGCAGGTGTTGTTTCGGGAAGTACTCGTACAGCGAGTCGACCATGCCGCCGATGGTGAAGGGCGCGGATGGCGCGGCGTCGGTGCTCCAGAAGTCCTGGGTGCGCGCGTTGACGACGGTCGGGAACAGGCCTTGCAGCTTGCTGTGCATCTGCTGCGCCTCGAAGACGTCGGTGATGCGCTGCACCGCGTCGAACCAGCGCAGGTCGCCCGTCAGCTGCGAGAGGCGCGTGAACTCCATCGTCAGAGAGCCGATCTCGGCCACCAGCACGGCCGTGGCGGCCTCCTGCGGCTCGTCTTGCATGGCGGCACGCATGTTCCAGCGCGTGATGGGCATGCGGTTGGGCGTGTCGAAGGCCTTGTACAGCATGTGGCCCAGCTCCGTGGCCTTCGTCAGCAGCGACGGGTACTGGCCGCCGCTGAGGTCGTAGGCGGCGAGCAGGCCGCCCAGGTAGCGGATGGTGGTTTCGAACACGTTGATCTCCTCCAGTGAGCACGTGCTGAAATCAATCTGGTTGACGGCGTGGACGGCCTCGTCGAACTCGTCGGTCAGGTTCATGATCCACAGGGTATCCAGAGAGTCTACAAGGGTGGCGGCCCAGCCGCCGAACGGGTCTCGCGCCCCGCCCGAAATGGGGAGCAGCTCGTCATGCATCCAGGCATGTTTCCGGTACCCGTTCCAGGCGTGGAGGAATTCCTTCTTGACCTTTTGCTGGCGCTCCAGACGCACTTTCCGGTCCGAGGCATCCTCCTTTTCGAATTGGTGCTGAATCAGTGGAGGGTGCGCCACCGACGATGGCATCGACGCCATGGTCGCGACGGGATAACGGTGGGTGACATTAGCCCAGTCGAAGGCGGGTTTCACCGCGGGCGAAGCTTTTCCAGAAGATCCATAGGGCAGGCGATAAGGAGACGAAGAGCCGTGGAAATAGTAGAAAAGGAAAGCAAAGGCGACGAAAACGAAAACGGTCTTCCTCCTAGCGAACATGGCAACGAAGCGGCATAACGCTCATACGAGCGGGAAGGTAGTTTTTTTGCGACGGGGAATCCATCGAGGGCGAGGAGGTGATGAGCGAAAATACAAGGCCCCTGAGACGCGCAATGCTGAGGGTCTCGCGCCAAAAAGCCACTGGGGGCCGCGCGGGACGCGTACGCTTGCGAGAAATCTACCACTCCTCGACGACCAACTTTCGAGTTTGCGGTCGTACGTGAGACGACGAGAGCCGAAGAGGTACATACTCGCAGTTCAGCCATAGCAATTGGCCTTTAAGCGCAGCGACAAGTGCTCGTCGTCGAGATGGGCGGCTGTGCGCTGACGTCGCCATCGCGGAGGACGCCTGACGCCTCAGCCGTGTCTCCTGTCATCCCTGTCCGCACCACACGTTATTCCCAGCATCACCGTCTCCGAACGGAGGGTTCGGAAGCACAAAGCTCTGAGACCCGAGTCGGATGCTTAAATCGACTTCGACCGGAACGTGGATCGACAGCGGCCTTGTTTCCGCCCCGCATTCCGAAGCTCGAGGGCCCCGCCATTACGGAGACGTCGCTCATACCCCAACCTCAAACACTGTGCTTTGGCAGCACTCAGTATTTCTTGTAATCTCGCGCTTTACAAACCCCGAGCAGCCGGCCAATGGCGCGGGCACTTCCCGTCTTAGTCACCCGCTGCTGACAAATGTGCACCAAACCCGGAAGCTACAGCTTCCACTCAGACCCCTTCTTACCCAACAACCGAAGATGATAGAATACCACCGCTCCTAATATTTGCTAATGCTTACCTGAGACACGGGAGAACCTTGACCGCCTGCACCAGTCGCTGAGCTACACCAAAATCTGATCTCTAAGCTAGGTGGGGCATGATGCCCCGCGTATGACGCTCATACCCGAAAACCTTCATGTCAGGATCAGAAAGTCAAATATGTGTCTTGACCCAGGTTATAAAGACCCATTGAACCCCGCAGTCAAACCTCAAGTCCAACCACCACTCCTCATCTCCAACCACCACCAGCAATCGCATCCCCAATACATCCCCTTTCCCAGCCAACAACAACAATGTCTTCCCTCAAGCCCCTCGTCCTCTACTCGCACGCCACGGGCCCCAACCCGTGGAAGGTCGCCATCATCCTCGAGGAGCTCCAGCTCCCCTACGAGACCAAGTTCCTCGAGTTCCCACAGATGAAGCAGGACCCCTACGAGTCGATCAACCCGAACGGCCGCGTACCCGCCATCGAGGACCCCAACACGGGCGTCAAGCTCTTCGAGTCGGGCGCCATCATCACCTACCTCATCGACACGTACGACAAGAACGCAACCCTGCACTACACCACCCTTCCCGAAAAGTACCTCGAGCAATCCTGGCTGCACTTCCAGATGTCCGGCCAAGGGCCATACTACGGCCAGAAGGCCTGGTTCACCTACTTCCACCCGGAGAAGAACCTGACGTCGGCCATCGACCGCTACGCCAACGAGATCAAGCGCGTCGTCGGCGTCATCGACCGCCACCTGCAGAAGAGCGGCAAGCCTTACCTCGTCGGCGACCGCGTCTCCTACGCCGACCTCGCCTTCGTGCCCTGGCACATGGCCCTCGGCTTCCTCGTCCCCGACTGGGATTACGCCAAGGAGGCGCCGCACTTCGCCAAGTGGAACCAGAGCCTGCTGGACAGGCCTGCCGTCAAGAAGATTGCTGAGGAGAAGGCCAAGGCGTCGCAGAAGTAGTGATGAGGTCCGTTTTGGAAGTCGAAAAAGTGGGATGTGCGAGAGATATCATATGAGTAACAGTTTAAAAGAATAACATTGTCCAATTGGCAAAATAAAACATGCATGTCCATCAATTGAAACAGTTTTTAATGCTCCTCTGTTTCAAATTGCTTCTCTTTTTCTTTTGTTCTTGTCCACATTGAATCGGGCTCCGGAGATTAAAATGCACCTCGTATCCGGGAACGCCACCTATTACATCTTGGCATACACCACAACATCTAGACAAAACAGCAGCAGACACATTTCCAAAACACCATTGGTAGCAGCATATGTTAAAAAAATCATTTCTCACTGTGTTCACATCCTCCATTACCAGTCTTGATATATACAAGATACGTCTGCACCCCCGCGTGTGTCCTACATTTGCATATAAATAAATAGCAGTGATGTCCGTGGTATCAAGCATCCAAGCATCTCTAAATAACAAGTCGTGAAAAGAGCGTGACGAATGGCGTAAGCGGGTCCTTTTCAAAGGAAACCCGACCAAAAGATATTAAATGAGAAAAGGGAAAACAAAAAAGTAATTCAGGTTTCCTTCCACCCTCCCCCCTTCCCTTCCTCCAGGTATGCTCACACACCTCCTCCCTCCCTTTTTTATGCAGGCCAAATGAGATGTGAAAAAAAGAGAACCAACCAAGTGAAATAACGAACCAGCGGGGGCGTCAAGGAACGGTGTGTGTGTGGGGGGGGGGGGGGGCAGCATCGGTATCGTTTGCTTTCTCTTTCCCTTTCCCCCCACTCTTCAGCGACCGAGTCCCAAGAACAGGGCCTCGATGCACCGATCCCACACGTCCATGCCGCTGCCTCCAGCTCCGCAGGCCGATTCCTTTCTACTTCCAGCAGCAGGGGTCGTCGTCGGAGTCGGCGCCGTAGGTGTCGATGCGGTGATAGGCGTGGCGATGGCGGGCGGCGGCGTCGGGATAGTCAGGAATGTTGAGTGTTGGTACTTGAACTCATTGCCTGCTTTGCGAAAAGGTGACAAAGAAACGAATCAACAACCTGACCACCCCGTAGCAGCAGCGAAGACTTGGACGAAAACGAGCAAAACTAACAACCCGAAGAAGGAATCGCGCGAGTCCGCAACAGCACTGCTGCTGCTACTAGAGCTCGCCTCCTCTCGACGTTGCGATGTCTTTTGTCGTGGTCCATGTATTTAGGCCTGGAAGGGCGTACCGGTGCCAAAGGACCTCTTGACGAAGCCGGTCGGGCTGGCGCGCTTGACGATGCCAGTGGGGGCCGCGACGCCCTCGACGACGGGGAGATCACGCTTCTCGAAGACGCCCTCGGTGCTGTTCTTGTCGAGCGCCAGGCGGGGGAAGACGGTGCTGTTCCAGTTGCGAGGGAGGATGGGCTTGGTGAAGTTGAGGCTGCGCGGAACGACGGCCTCGGTGATGTTGGTCAGGGAGCCGCGGGTCTCGAGGTGGGCGTGGGTGTTGTTGACATTGGTCACGCCGACGTGGGTCGGGGGCAGGGCCGCGGCGCTGGAGGCCAGCAGGAGGGTGGTGATGGCGGAGGTGAAGAGCATTTTTGCTGCTTTTTTTCTTTTTGTTTTTCAGAGGTAATGACCGGTTTCTCTGTAAGTGTTGATCGAAAAGCCTAGTCCGTTTGCAGGGAAGCGAGCAGATATATCTTCTAGTCCCGGGGGCAAAGGCGTTGGAAAAAGATTGACGGTGACGATAACACAAACAATGGCAGGCTCCGGAGAGCGTCTCCTTTATACCAGGCCAGAACAGCATCTGGCCTTCCGGGCGCGGAGGGCGGTCGCGGCGGGCTGGGGCGCGGGCTGGGGCTGGCCCACCACACCACTCATGGCTATCTCTTCCCTGCAAGGTGTCTAGCGTGGTGACGGGGACATGGCATCCGCGCAGGGGGCCCGTCGAACACCAAGACGGCGCGCCCGGTAGTGCGGACTCCCGGCCGATGACAGCATGTTGGCGCGATAGGCACCCAAGCGGAGCCTCTTAGGATATGCGGTATGGGCACTGCAGGCCTGAGAGAGGAAGATCGACAAGGAAGAATTCGCTCATAGGTGGGTTCCGTGGGCTTGTGCGAGTGGAGGAGCCCAGAGAACGTGCGCTGAGATAGCGACTGGGGCTGCTCATCCCCTTTTGGGAAGCGTGGTAAATGGTGTGCAGCTCTGTCGTGCTCGCCCGCTCTATCTAGAACCCGCACGATTCAACCTGATGCGTGCCGCCGGACCGCCAAGAGGAAGAAGCCGCTGTATCTCTGCTTTCAGGCAGGCCGGCGTCGTGATAGGGAGAGTGCCCTGCCGATCGCGCTTCCTGCCTGCCTTCTTGCGCTGTCCATGTTTGAGGACCAAGCCACAGCTGGCAGGCGCAGTAGGCGCAACCCTGCAGCAACTTCAGCGATCGAAGTCCCTGGGCAGAGGTGAGGCTGGTTTGGATAAGCTTATTGGACTGTCTCGGGGGCTGGGCTGCTTTCGGTCGTGGTGGCAGAAAAAAAAGAGAACCCACTCCGAACGCTGGCGTCAATTGGCAAGGGCCCAGATGAGGCCTGGCGCTAGCAGCATGGCGGGCCCCGTTGGGGAAATTCATGGCGGTGATCGGCCCATGGTGGGTGCTGAATGCTTGTTCAGCGTCGCTGTTCGGCTCCGGCGCCCCCTTCAGCTAGAGCCGCTCCAACGGCGCTGCCAACACTGCCGTCGGTGAGAGAGGCGGCGCCGCACGGTTCTTTGCAGCACAACGCATCCTCCTTGGCTGCCGGGCCAATTCATTTCAGGCGCGGCGGAATGACGGCCCTGGGCAATATGAGGAGCGGCAGAGGATGTAGCGGGTAAACCGGAGCGCAGCGCTCAGAGGCGCACGACAGGCGCCGCACATGCGCGCGCTGCTGATGCTATCACTCGGTGCCAAGGACAGCGTGTAAGCCCTGTCAAGCCCCACCCGACGCAGGTACCAGCTGGGGCTCTGCCGCGAGCGTCCCAACGATGGCCGTGATGAGCGGCGCGTCGGCCGTTTGGCAGAAAATGAAAGAGTCGGTGATGAGCCTGAATCGCCGATGCGCTCCGTGCCACCGACGACCAGCCCTAGGATTATTTTCTGAACCACAGCCTTATCGCCTCTCCTTTCGTCTGCATGCGCGCGAGAGCTGGCGTTGCAATTGACTTGCGGGGATGCGCTTCCCCAGAGCTTGTCGCATGCTTCTTTTGCCTTTTGATCCCGCTGCGGGAAAAATATACAGCCATTGCCTGCTCGTAACCTTATTTCAACCCTCCCGCAGGGCTTGGGTGCTTCGGTCCGGATGGCTTCGCTGCTAGCCCCTTGGTGTGCTGGGCATAGATAAGATCGTCGACGCCTCGCGGATGGCTGACGCCCGTTTGCAGGCCTTACCTCGCCTCCTGAACCTCACTGGCTCCTTTCTTGTCGCCTCAGGCATTTTCTGCGGCGAAAGCCACCTCGACGAGATGCACCTTGAGGATTGAAATTGCTCTGTCGTTCTGCCGCTGACTTGCGACGATCAGGTCGCCAATGATGAGCCATTACGAGCCAGCTGCGATCTGCGGTCCAGCACGCACAACCCGGCAGGGTCGGATAGAGAGCGAGAGCGAAGCGGCCGATCTGGAGCTGTCGTGCAAGAGTGGATGGCAATTCATGCGTCATGGCCATGTGCTGGTCCTTGGAAGTAGAGTGGACACCCATCCGCTCATGTTATCGCCGCAACGGGCAGGCAATGACGGGTGGACGAGCGCAATGCGAGGCTGGGAGATCGGCGAGGTCCCCGAGCTGCGAGACGAACCATCACAGGAAAAGCGCCTGCATGGTCTGAGACGGATGCCGCACCAGCGACCAGCCAATGCATGTGTTTTGTCGCCCTACTACCACCCAAGGGCGAATCGCATCGACTCTGTGCCTGATGGTCTTTACACACCCTTGATGGACACGGGAGGGATTGTTAGACTTCCCTGCCGTCTCGAGACCCAATTGGTGAGGCCTTGGAGCTTCCATTGTAGGAAATGATTGCTGGTTGACTTTTTGATAAGTCGAAACACGCCGGGCATTCTGTTTCCGTGGCGGAACTGGTACCACACCATTGGCCTTGACTGTTTGGAATAACGAGAGCGCAGCGACTCACGGTCCGTCGTCCCGGGTGCAGCGGAGCGCCGGACAAAATGTCAGTCTGCAAGGCGTCCGACGTCCTATTCTGCCGTTCTGTTTGACCAGCAGTAACAAAAGTAACAAAAGTAGCAGACGGTCGGCAAACGCCGCGGGCGCGATGTGATGAGTTCGCTAACGATAGCTGGCCTGAGGATTCTACTAGATGGAGACACTCCGAGACGACCTGTTTGAGGTGAGTATAACTAATTATAGTTTAGGCTGGCTGCACGTGCTTCTTGGACTGGGCGGTAGCTGCTCTATCGAATCTGACTCTGCGAATTGTCATGTAAGAGACCAAGAAGCGTTGAAACGAGCCAAGAAACTGCAAGTCAGTCAAACATTGGGACGCCTTTCGACGCCGCCGTAAGCCGAAGCCGACTGAATCGTGCATCTCGTCGAAACGGAGAAATTTTGGAGGCGTTGATGTCGCTATCATTGTCTCGTAAGAAAACCCGAATTACGGAGAAACCCATGAGGCTGACGGCGATGCAAGAGGCTGAATCATGTCTGTCACGGCTGTTGAGTAAGAAGGCGGCGGCTTTCGATAATGTCGAGACGTCAAGTTGGGACGTGTTCGAAGCGAGACGAGCACCTGAACCGAGTGAATGTCCGAGCGCGTTATGTCTGTGAGGTTGAGTACGTGCTCACGATGTGGAGGTGGGGATGGGGAGAATACGGGGGAGGAGCGTTCGCGCCGCGGCGCGTTCTTAACGCGTAAGTCACGTGACTGGCGAACGGGTCGGACGGAGCGTCACCTTCTTCCGAAGCGGTAAACGGATGTTCCGCTTCTGTTCCACGTCCGTTTTTGCTTCAGTATTTTTACCATCATCCCTCGTTTTCCGCCAGGGAGGGGAATCCTCCTGCGTCACCGCGCGGGGCCGTCACATAATCACGCGCGTGCGCCGTACCTATCTCAACTCCAACAACTAGGCCGGCGTGTGTAATTCGTTGAAGCGCATGATGTTTCTGCAGCACAACATTAAATCAGGACAGCTTGCGAGTCTGGGCCCAGTCTCTTCAGGGATCTGGCACGCCACATAAAGGATACACGTGCCGCCTGGCAAAAGCGTTGACAGCGGACCGTCTTTGTAGGGTTTCGATGCTGGACCTACAAATATGATGCATTCCCTATTTCTAGAGTTGGCTGCACTGCTCCAACACGCCGTAAGCCGAACCGCGGTATTAGTGGCTCGCTCTCGGAGTTAGCGACGTGATCCCCGGAAGGATTCAAGACCTCCACCAAACTGATCCCACCTCCATCTTCCAGAGAATTTGCCCCTGAGAACGACAATATCAAAAAATGGCCGAAAACAAGGAACAGCCGCCGCAAGGTGCCGTTGTCATATCCAACAGCAAGGAATCTCCGTGGTACTTCCACGAGATTGATACTCTTACCCCAGAGGTCCGGGAGCTGCTGGAGAAGTACAGCGGCATCCCGCCCGAGAAAGTCGAGGCTCATGTGAAGGAAGTGGTCAGTTTGCCAGCTCGAGAAGTATTCTTGCGACACTTTGGCTGACTTGTGCACAGAGGGACAAAGCCTGGGAAATCGTATGACGGCTCCAGCCCGAGGCATCAGATGGAGTTAAACTGACAATCCAATGCCCTTACAGCATCCCTACCCATGTATCGGAACGTTCCGCTTCCTTGATCTCAGCATGTACAAAGAGCCATACTATGAGGAGGTACTCTCTCGCGTCAAGAACGGCGAGAAGCTGCTCGACTTAGGCTGCTGCTTCGGGCAGGAGCTCCGCAAACTCGTAAGCCCCAGCGCTCCTCCTCCTTTCCCCACTCAAACATCCCCCATCTCACACACGCCCCCTCCCCCCGCAGGCCTACGACGGCGCCCCGCCCTCCTCCCTCTACGGCAGCGACCTGCGCCCAGAGTTCCTCACCCTCGGCCACACCCTCTTCCTCGACGAAGCCAAGCTGCCCGCGTCGCCGCACTTCATCGCGGCCGACGTCTTCGACGACGCATCACCCTTGCAGCAGCAGCTGGCGGGCAGCGTGTCGGTCGTGCAGGCGCAGGCTTTCTTCCACCTGTTCCCGCGCGCCGACCAGCTGCGCGCCGCCGAGCGCGTCGTCGCCCTGCTCAAGCCCGAGCCCGGCGTCGTCGTCGTCGGCTCCCAGATCGGCTCGCCCAAGCCTGGCGTCAGCGAGAGCTGGACCCACGGCAAGAAGGCCGAGCGCTTCGTGCACGATCCCACTACTTGGCGCGAGCTGTGGGATGAGGTTGGGCAGAGGACTGGGACGAAGTGGGAGGTCGTCGAGGCGAGGCTGAAGAAGGTAGAGAAGAAGGATGTGAGCCCGGAGTTGCTGAAGAGGGTCGGGCCTGATGGTGTGCATTGGCTGAGCTTTTGGGTGAAGAGGGTCGAGTAGGGCAAGGTCTCGTCTCTTGTGTGATTGCGTAGAGACCGGATAGACCCGTATCACCAGTTGAAACGGTTACCCTTGCCCCTGAGCACTCTTAAAAGAACCTTGCCTTTTTCTGTAGCTGTGGCTAGGGACTATTGGAAATGATAGAATGTAAAGCAAGTATATCGGTAGATTGATCAGTGCCCAGAGTTTTCAGCGATTTTGTATTATGCGAGTCCGTTGCATTCACCCCGAGTTGCAGGTGCGGGACTCAATAAGTTATATATTTTAGCCAAATGCTTTAATCTTCATAGTTAAGTACAAGCTCTAACATATATTTCTTAGAGGTAAACAACCTTGCTATATACTATAGACTGACGGACTGTTAACAGATTCTCTAGATACTTGACTCCTTGCAGCATCTCTTACCCCGATCATACGCTACTTCTACCTTTGCTACTCCACTTACGAGATAATTTACCCAAGAAATCCGGCCGCAGTTTAACAGCAGCTTTACGCTCTACCTCTTCCTTAATGTGTCCCAGCTCCTCCACAGCTTCGGCAATTGCCTTCTCGTGAGCCTCCTTTGCTGCCTTAGCATCCTCTATAGCCTTTGATGCAGCCTCATCTTTCGCCTCCTCCGTTACAGCCAACAGCTTAGCTGCGTCTTCAGTTGCCCTTTGCTTTTCTGCTAAGTCTTTAGCAGCTTTTGCGTTAGCTTCGGCCTTTTCCGTAGCACGAGCAGCGGTTATAGCTTCGTCACGAGCCTTCTGTTCCTCATGCTGAGCGATTAAAAGATCATGCAACTTTGCTAATTTGTCTTCTTCGGCCTTCTTCTTAGCCTCGGCCTCAGCAGCAGCTACGATGCGAGGAACGAAAAGGAGATTAAGCAGGTCAGGTGAATCCCGGATCTTTTGATACTACTAAGAAGAAAATCCCCCGTCATCTTTGAACAGGAGAGGAGGTACTGATATGACCATGTATCGATTATTTCCAAAGACTGGTTGGGATAGTGGGTGCCTCAATTGAACTATTTCAACGGATCACGACATTCTGCTTTGGACTCGCCTCCACCCACTTCAAAAACCCTTCTAAATCCTCCCAAAAACTAATCTGAGCAATCCCCACTCTCCGGTATTGCCTACCACTTTGAGTCCTGGGGGCAACCAACGTTGCATCGGAATTAATCGGCCCAAACGCATTGAGAGGCACCAAAAGAAGACAACGTGACTCATGTAAGCTATCGTAAAGGGGCAAAGAGTACATACGCGTCGCCCACTCTTTGAGCAATGATGCGCTGAAGTCTAAATTAACACGACAACAAGATTTAAAACTCGAGGAAGGTTCTTTTTCGTCCTCTTTGTGAAATTCCACATTTACGCTTTCCCTGGAATCAAGCTGCTCGGTACTTGCTTGAAGACTAACGACGTTGAGGTGACAGGACAGAATAATCCATCCGTCTGAGACTTCGCCGAAGGGATTCCCACTCGCAAATTTGATGGAAGCAAAGCTGAGAGCGGCTATAGGTGTATTAATATCCCCCCAGTCATTCAGAATATTCACACTGTGGCTCGCCCAAGACCATGAAGGCGCCCGATAAGTCTCTGGCAGGGTTGAAGCCGGTCTTTCTGTGACCCAACACAGTTCTCGTATAAAACTCTGTCGCCACATACCAGCGAGGTAATCATCTGGTGCAATTTGATGCATTTGTTGTGCCACACCAGAGAGAGCTGGAAGCTTGTCGCGCTCGAATGTGAGATCGCATTTGGTGTACCGTTGAACAATTGAGAACCACGAATCGAGTTTACCGTGTGTTTTGATGGCGGCTGCATCCAAGCCAGGTCGGTCCCAAAGGTAAGAGGATTCTTGAGACACTTCATCTCTTAGTCTTTCATTGCACTCCCAGTAAACCCGGTGTCTGCAAAAGCGTAGGATTCGGCGCGATAGCATCCTCTCTTGAAACACCCAACCACGTTTGGTCAGGTACCCACCCCTCTGTCGACTAGAAGGGCCTCTCTCGCTATTGAAAAGATACCCGCTTCTGTCCCCAAGCGGACTAGAGATCAATTTCAGACCTTGGATTCCCAGAGCGCTTCGCTTCATAAAGCACCCGCCATGTTCATCAGGCGCTCCGTCTGCCGAGATCGTACAGAAGGCTTGCTTGTATATATGAGCCATCCTCGACGCTTCGTGGCTCCAATCATCGGGAGAGTCTTGAATGATACACAACCTGTCAACCCAAAGATACCGCAAACCCAAGGCGGTTGACAATGGAGCAGGCATCCCGTATCGTCTTTGGCAGGATGCTGGTTGGAGCCCACTCTGTAAGCTTTTCGATGGTCTCGCTCGTCAGCATGAGCGCCCTGTCGCTACGGCCCCAACGATAGCTCAGGGCCAGATATTCAGTGTTTTCAGGGAATCCATATTCCAAACGAAATCTTGTCCCTGAGTTTTCGATGGCAACTAGTCTTGTTGGGCGCTCGTGAACGAGGCCGAGTTGCTGTTGGCAGTTAGTATGTTGCAGAGTGCACTCTCCGATCCATGATGCTATTTTCGCAAATGTTTCTGTTGATTCAGTGGAAGTGCTGGATAGAAGCACAGAGGCTCCATAGTCGTCGGTAGAACGACTCACTAAACTATATCGTTAGCAAAGCATACATCTCGCTTGAGCAATGTAAGAGTCTTACACCCGTCAAAGTTCAGATGTACTCCGCAGGTTTCCGGATTTAGAACATCTCTTGATTGGAAGATGAGATTGGTCAAGAAATAAATTTCACGCAAAGAGGAATTGTCCTCTATGCAAACCTCCAACATATGCTTGGGCCATATAAGACTGAACTTGTCCGAATCTTGTCGAGACTTGTCGAGGATTCCTTTGAATCCGTACCAAAAGAGTTGACACAGATGACATCCTCCATCAAGTATGCTACAGCAATCCATAAGCTCGAAAAGTGACGAATGGTGCGCCTGCCAGTTTTCCGGTGCAGGGAGATTGGCTGAAAATTGGCGCTCATATAATGCCCTAAAAATTGAACGGTTTGTTTTTACGATCGGCGGATTCCTCATTAGAGCTCTGCATGGCTTGCAGAGCACGGTCGGTGGGCGAATTCCCAGATCGCTGCCGGAAACCTGGAAATCCGGATCGTAGCGTAAACGCGAGGGAGTCCGCACCAGTTGAGCAAGGTGGGCATCGTCAAGCAGCGCAATCAGCTGAGCTGGTACACCAGCAGCTGCAGGATCGTTTCGACTCGTCGATGTTTCAGCCAGCAAAAGAGCGTTTATTGACATCTTGATGAGTGCGAGAGAAAGATGAGATTGTTGAGGATGGAGTTGTTTGTAGATGAGGACAAGGCTGAGCTGAGGCGATGAGGGGTAAACATGTTGGCGATGTATGACAAATGATGTTGCAGCCGGGGGGGGGGGTTGGTTTCAAGTCATATGCACATGATTGATTGCTGACATTTAACATGATTGGCTGTATATATAGTTGCCTAGTTCCCCGATAATCAAGGAAGGAGGTGTTAATAAAGGTTCTAAGCCGTGATCCTCCCTCCACCCGACTTAACATTTGCACCAGTCTATCAATGTTTGCTTTGCAGTCAGGTACCTATCCTATTAGTCTGTTAGGCTTCGCAACTCGCACAACTTGCAACGGAATTTGAGCGCCTGAAGCCTTCGATTCTGCGAGTATACCTCGGTCACAGCTAGAACAACAGAGGTTGGCGGACTCAGACACAAACATCAGCATGCCAAGATCATCATATTATCATCCTCGACAAGGCATTCGCACGGCTGTCAACGCTTGTCTATACTATGATACACCATCATATCCGACGTAGAAGCCCGAGCGCCTTCTTAAACCCCCCAATGATACCAGCCATCTTCCATCTTTTTTCTTCTCTCATTCCAGCAGCGAAGCCTGATTGGTGTAGAGGACGTCGACGACGTTGTGCAGCTTCTCGATAGTCGAAAGGGCGGCGTCATAGGCCTGGTCGCGCTCCGTCTCCTCGAAGACGATGAGGCAGCCGGCGCCCTGGTCGAGGACGCCGATGATGACCTTGTCGAGGATCATCTGGCTGAGCTTGCGCTCGACCTGGGGGGTGTCGAGGCCGACGAGCTTGGCGATGTGCGAGATCTCGACGCGGCTGTAGGGCTCAATGACCTTGATGAGGTTCTGCTCGAGCATGGAGTCGTAGAGGCGGCGCAGGTGGGAAGCGATGAAGCGGTCGGAGCCGAGCTCGTAGCGGTAGTCGGACAGAGACTTCTCGTACTCCTCCAAGCTGCGGTTGGCATGTGCGCGCGCCACGGCCTTCATTGCGTCCAGGTTCTTGCCGGCGTACTTCAGAGCGTGCTTCGAGGCCATGATGCTGTTGACGTCGTCGGTCTGGTTCAGCATGACCTTGCAGAGCAACATGTATTGTAATGCCGAGGTGGCCTTCTGCTCATCATCCTGCGAGTGGTAGCCCTCCATAGCCTCGATGAAGTAGGAGAATGACGTGTTGAAGTCCTTGTCCTCGGCGTGCAGCATGCCACTCTGCATGTCCAGACCAGCTTGCAGCAGAGGCGGCGTGTATACAGAGGCGGCGGAGGTACGGGCGGACGTGAGGGCGGCGCGACCCTTGGGCACATTGCCCAAGGCGTGGTAGACACGCGACTCCAGAAGCTGAACCTCGACCAGCACCAGCTTGTCGTCCAAGCGCTTCAGCTCCTTGAGCAGGCTGTTGATGAGGGTAAGAGCGTCGTAGTAGGATTGCTTCTGCATGTAAAGCGAAACGAGACGGGTCTCGAGGTTCTGGCGGAGGAAACCTCGCCTCTCGGAAACGGCCCATTCTATGCACGACTTGGTGACGGTGATCTGAGTCTCGAGGGTGTTGGGGATGGCGGAGAACATGTCAAGAAGCTGCCTCACTACAAGATAAGAATGTTAGCCTGCTGTGCAAACAACATGTAACATGAACCAAGCTCATACCGAGCTTCGCAGTCTTCGCCCTCGCAAAGGATGACAGGACTGATCTTGTCTGGCGGATGAGCTCTCCAAGCTCGTTGGTCTTCTTGTGGTCACGGTACAGCTCGCCCAGCGACACCAGCGCGTTCTCAAAGTTCTTGATGGCAGCATCGTTGGAGCCAGGGTCCTTGGACAGCACGTCGCGGAATGTCTGCTCTGCCTTTGCCGGGTCCGTCTTGGCTATCTTCTGAGCCTCTGCTATCCGCTTCGCATCTTCCGGAGCGGCGGGGGCCATGATGAGCGAGGGCAGCGGCGGGTCGGGGGGTAGAGATGGAATGGGCTCGGAAGAGGCGGGTCGGGGGCGGATTGCGGATGGGCGATGTGGTGTTGAGAGCAGCGCGGCGGGCTGGAGCTGTGATGTCGGAGCTCCACAGCGCGGCTCGCCGCGCGCTACGACGGATACGGCATAGCACGGCATCATTCTCTCCAAAAGTTCTCGACGCTGCGGCGAACGCTTGCTCCTCCGCCCAAAGGACAAAATGGTATGTTTGCTGCCCCGCACGCTCGCCGCTTGCTCTAGTTTCTGACACGATTCGCAGAAAGTCAAAGCCCTCTCCCGCTCTGCGGCCGATATTCAAGCGCCGGGTACCAATGTGTCCCGCACGCCGAGAAATCTCGACCCGGCTCTGCACCCGTTCGAACGCGCTCGCGAGTACACGCGCGCCCTCAATGCCACCAAGATGGAGCGCATGTTCGCCCAGCCGTTCATAGCGCAGCTGGGCAAAGGCCACGTCGACGGTGTCTACTCGATCGCGAAAGATCCAGAGTCCCTTGCGCATTTTGCCAGCGGTAGTGGTGATGGTATCGTGAAGGTCTGGGATTTGACAAGCCAGGATGAGATATGGCAGGGGTCTGCGCACGAGAATATCGTTCGCGGCCTTACATGGTCGAGGGATAAGAAAATCCTTTCTTGTGGTGCGGACAAGACGGTCAAGATGTTCGATCCGTACAAGACGTCCAGCGGCAGTTCTCCAGTAGCTACTTGGCTCGGAAATGGCGCCTTTACAAGCATCACCCACCACCGCTCCGAGCCCGCTGTCGCCGTGTCTTCGTCCAGCCAGATTTCCATCTATGATACCACGCGCCCCGCCTCGAACCCTTCGCAGACGCTCGCCTGGCCTACCGCCATCGATACTATCAACGCCGTTTCCTTCAACCAGACGGAGACGTCGATCCTTGCGTCTGCAGCCTCTGACCGCAGCATCGTCATGTATGACCTCCGCACTGCCTCCCCGCTGCACAAGACAGTCCTCACGCTCGCCGCCAACTGCATCTCCTGGAATCCCATGGAGGCCTTCAACTTTGCCTGCGGCAGCGAAGACCACAACGTCTACATCTTCGACATGCGCAACATGAAGCGTGCCCTCAACGTCCTCAAGGACCACGTCGCCGCCGTCATGGACGTCGACTGGTCGCCGACGGGCGAGGAGCTCGTGTCGGCGTCGTACGACCGCAGCATCCGCCTCTGGAACCGCGGCCAGGGCCACTCGCGCGACATCTACCACACCAAGCGCATGCAGCGCGTCTTCTCATGCGCCTGGTCGCCCGACAACAACTACGTCCTCTCGGGCTCCGACGACGGCAACGTCCGCCTCTGGCGCGCAAAGGCCTCGGCCCGCCAGGGCATCAAGTCCGCCCGCGAGCGCCAGAAGCTCGAGTACGACGAGGCCCTCAAGAACCGCTACAAGCACATGCCCGAGATCAGGCGCATCGCCCGTCACAGGCACGTGCCCAAGGTTGTCAAGAAGGCCGGCGAGATCAAGGCCGAGGAGATCAAGGCGATCAAGAGGAAGGAGGAGAACGAGAGGAGGCATACTCGCAAGGGCGAGATGCGCCGGAGGGGCGAGAGAGAAAAGATGATCATGGCTACGGAACAGTAAAAAAGGACTCGTTCAATGGGCACACACGAAGAGTTGGAATTGGCTTTGCAGGGCAACTTGTCGCTGTTTCTTTTGCTTCTGCAGCACAGCGCCGGCGTTTGAGGATATGGCGGTTTCATGTGAATTGATTCGTAGGGCAAGCGGCGTTTTGATGTAAGATAGTCCATGGGACATCTTCAAAAGTCTAGTATGGAGGGACACGGAGAGATGGTAGTAATTTACCAAGATAGGAAGAAAATGGAATACCCGACCTTTGAGAATTAGCTGCCCGTATATGCTGCTTGAATTGGTCGTGCGTTCGAGGAATATTCTTGTTCGCTCTTTTGTTTCAACTTTTGATTTTAAATATTGAAATTGACACTATATTTTGGATCAATTGAACAACTGCAGTCAGACCGATGACCCGTATAAAGGGGGAACGTTCGTCGTCCCAAATCGTGTAGGGACCGGCTCATCAACGCATTGCTGTGGCTTGCAGTCATACAAAACACGATGTACATTGTATTACAGGCCACTTACCACCTTCCGTATGAAGCATCGCACTCATGAAAAGGGTTGCGTCTAACGCGTTTGACATTCTAACGCATTGTCCAATCAGGAAGCCACATCGAGCCTCTCCTTGTTGAAGCCCAAGAAAAAACACGGTTGCCGTCACAGAATGTCGTTGATTAGCGCATTAGCCAGTCAAACACGTTACCGCAGCCCCAGGTCCTGCAAGCGGCATGTTCTTCGACTCCAACACTGCGCACCTTGCAAGAGTTTCAGCTCGCGTTTGCTCGCATCCGACAGGGAACCGGCCCGATGACCGCGGAAGAAGACGACGGTTAACTCGGTCCCCGTCCGCAAGGTGTTGATTAACCACCGTGCTAGGAAGGGACAAGATAATCGGTCGTCGTCCTCAGCTTCGGCTTTGTCGGATGGGTCTTCCGTGACGGCTGTGGTGGAGAAAGGCAAAAAGAGAGGCAAGAGCACTTGCCGCCGCTCCGACGGGCAGCAAACAAGATACAAAGCAGCAGCAAGGCGCTGATCAAAGGGAAAAAAGAGACCCAGCAGCATGAAAGATCATCGCTTCCTTCTCGTATGGAGAGGAGAAAGAATGCACTATCCATCTCGTGATGGTGAGATGGAGAGGGGGAGCGGGCATCCCGTCAGGCCAACCTTCTCTTGTTTCAAACAGAAAGAGCGAAGCCCCCCCAAGACAAACACGCGAGGAAGGGCAGCAATGGCAACTGTATGGTGTACAATCCAACAAGGTGTGACGGAGTTATTAGTGGGGTGGAGTACTACCGGCTCAGTTTTGCCGAGCTTCCTGTTGGAGGTTGCACATGGCATGGGCGGCCGTGAGTGCGGAAAGCAGTCATGATCTTCGCCCGCCATAATCAACGTCCGTAACTCCCCACCAGCGATGGGCGGGCTTTCTTGGAAGTTTCGCCGATGGGCGGAGGGGTGGCCTTTCCCGGCAATTGATGAACGGCAGGGCGGCGCGGCGCGCAGTTCAGCCATGTACCGAGTAAGTGGGCGACCAGAAAAAAAAGCTTATCCCAAAGGCTCACCATTTCATCTCGCTTGCAAGAAGTAGCGTGTGCCAGTTAATCAAGCCCAGAGGACGACGGTGTCAGTACATCTTGGGCTGCTTACTCGCTAGGCGCTTCGGTGACGTGATGTGACTGGAACGCCCTTCCTCGCAGATGGGAGGTGGGAGAGCAGTTTTGTGAAGGTGGTGATGATGATCATGGTGAGAAGGCGAAATTTCCAGAGCGCCACAAAACCAAGCCTCCGGTAGCTGCAGGATAAGCGGATATTACGGTTGTCGGTCGGAGAAATCGGGGAAGGTAGCAGGTAGAAAGCGTGGATAGGAAGGAGCATGTCACGGCGAGAGTGAGCGAATATTGTTACACGTGTTGCCAGCATATCCTTAACTCTTCGGGCTACTGTACGGGCGGTTGATCTACCTCGCGCACACGTGTTGCATGCCGCGATTACCCTTTAATATTTCAGTCAGAATCCGTCCGCGCTTTAGCTCCCCGCCGGAGAAAGGCGTCAAAGGGGAGAGGGGCGGAGCGGAGACAGCGAGGAGGAGCTTGGACTCTGTGACGACAAGGAAACCAGCCCAGCGGGTCCGGACGGCTTGCTCGCGGCGGCCAACCAGCGCGGCCAGCGCAAATTGCAAGCCCGCCGATCGCCCATCGGGGGAAGCCGGCGGGTGTAGTAGTGTATCTCTTCTCATGCACGCCAGCAGGAGGCACACTGCGGCGTAGCAGCACCACCTTGTCCACCTTTTGCACACCGTCCCCCCATCCCTTCTCTCTCTCTCCTCAGCTTCCGTTCACCTGGTCACGCTGCCGCCTATCACTTGTGGAGACGTCGGGCGAGACGGCGCCGCGCGCACCCACCCACTCCAGCTCAGCTACCAGCTGTCGTCATGACTCTGCTCCGAGCTGGCTAGCTGGCGCGCTTCGCTGTCCCGCGGGCATGTGGCAAAGACAGCAGAAGAGGGTCTTCTCTGCGGTACGCACAGAAACCCGGGAAACGGCCTCCCTCGACGCAAAAAAACAAACAACAACAAAAAATAATTAGGGGACCGTCCAGAAATCTATGACGCCATAGGAATGGCTCGGGCCCAGACAAGCTCGTCCGTGTGCCCGAGCTAGAATCTCCATGCCCGCTCCCCGTCGTCGACATCGGCGAGCGTTGGCCCCGGCGTCGGCGAGTCCAATCTGCTTTCGACGGCCCACGCGCAAGCCACCCAGCGACAATTGCCGATGGCAAAAGGAACGGACCGAAGGATTAAGATTTCTCTGGCGTTGCGGCGCCGCTTGCATCGAGTCAAGGTCCTTTGCATCGAGGTCGTGGAAAGGGGGGGGTTGCGCCAGCGGCGGCGGCGGGCAAAAAAGCGCAAGGATTGATGCTTGCATGGAAGGTTTGTGGAACGCCCCCAATAACCGTAGCCTCCTTCTTTTCTAAACGCCCCCAGCGCCCTTGTCGCCGCCAAGCTGGGAGCCAAGCTCAAACCGGTCGGCTGAGCTACTCTTTTAGTGATTTCGTTCGCTGCGTGCCGAGGACTAGGGGCTGTTAACGGCCGACCTCCTTGACTCTGAGGCTGATACCGGCAGAAAGTAGCGCGCGCAAGGCGCTATGGAAAAGGAGGTTTAGCATGGCCACAGGGCTCGGCGCACACTACACCGGCGCAGCAAGGAATGAGACACGGTAGAAGATCACCGTTATGCCCGGGTTCCGCCTTGCTTAGTTTTGTCTGCTTGGTGGTTGGTCGGTTGCGGGCTGGCAGGCTGCGAGCGCCACCATCGCAGGAATAAGCTTCATCGAGGAGTAAGGAACGTTAAGGTAGCCGCCGAAAGCAAGCTAGTGAGGCTGAAGTGAGCATGTGCAAACGGGCACTCCACGAAACCTCGCCCCTGGCATCATCGACCTGTCCCGCTTCCTGCGGCGAGCCGAGAAAGATATACGGGGTTGCAGTGGCCATCATGCACACAGTTAGCGTTACGAAGCAGCGGGTAGCTAATCAAGCTACTGCAAGAACGCGCAATACAGTGTGGCTGGCTAGGTCGCTTGCAACCGGTGACCACACTCCCGCTTCTATTTCCATCGCCGAAGTAGGCTGCTTGGTTGGTTGAGAGCCACCCATGGCCCCCTTTTCGCCACCTCGCTTTTGCCTTACATGCATCTTGCATGACTACACATGCAAGATTTCCGACTCGGCGTGCAGCACACAAGCTATCTTGTCTCCATCAGAACTGTTTCATGCACCTGTGCATTTGCAGAGCCGCAACTTTTGACAATTTTTTTCGTGCATTGTTGATTTAGAGTACATCCCATATTCCCAAATGCTCCCGGATCAAATACTTATCGTCTGTGAGCGACTTGTCGCATCACTTATCCATCATCCGTATTCCTACGTTGCTGATACAAGAGCGAAAAAGGCTGCGCGAAAAAAGAGGCTAAAAAAAGGAAACCCTTATGTCATGGAAGCTGCCGAGCCGTCTCCCAGAAACAGCTCCACACCAACCCCAACACAGTAGTCGACGAAGACGAATCAAGGACGGGGCTTGCAAGCCCGAATTTTGGTGTGAGCAGACTTGATGTGAATTTGCGCCCTTAACCCCATCTATAACACTGGTCCTGTACGACCGTTCCCAACTGTTATCCCTAGAACCTGATAAGAGAAAGGAACTCCTGGGCCAATACCGACGGTATTTCCAAGGCGTATTAAAAAAAGATTGTCTCTAATGTTTTCGTTAAGACGCGGGCGTCGAACTCATTTTCTGGGAAGGAGAGTTGTGAGTTTGGTCGTGCCTCGGTGCGTTCAAAATATGCGCGTGACACTGTCGAATCGAACTTAAGCAGCGCCGTTGGCGGCGGCGACGGGGACGGTGCCAGTGCCCTCACCCAGGAGGCCCGTCACCTTGTCCTTGGCGTACTGGTTGTACTCGGGAGCGAAGCGAGGAGCGAGGCCGCCGAGCAGGACGAAAACGATGAAGATGACGAGGCCGAAGACAATAAGCTTGCGCAGAGCCGGGTGGCGGGAGCCGTACTCAGCCCAGGCGCGGCCGCCCTGACCAAGGTACTCCTTGAGCTTGTCCGCACCGAGCTTGTAGTAGATAAGACCGCTGAGAGCAATGCTGTAGCCGAACGCCTGGAGACCGGAAACGGGGTCCTGGAAGATGATCATGGAGGCGAAGACGAGCAGGATATCCTTCAGCACACCGGAGAGGGTGAGAACAAGGGAAGAGGTCTTGCCGATCTGTGGGTCCGTTAGCGCCGTTTTTTCGGGCAAATGCGATAGATCGGCAACTTACGAGGAAGACAACGGAGACGTTCAGCAGGAAAGCAATCAGCGCGTTGGCCAGGAGAGTGAAAGTGCCAACGTTGTAAATATCGGCCATGGTCAGGCGGGGAAGCTCGCTGAACAGGCAAACAACACCGTTCATGATGGCGCAAGCGGGTGCGTAGTAGTAGAGCGAAACGAGCGGGTCCATCTTGAA